TCAATCATTAATTTAGATTATAATAAAATTATCGATTTCTTACATTTCTTTTCTTTATAGGATTTTTATTTTAATAAATAACTTTAATAATCTTGATTGTTTTGATATATTAAGATTGACAGATTACAATTTTGTTAGATTTTGATATTTATATTTTGATATTAAAAAAAGTGTATAAAATAAAATTAATTTTGATATAAAGAATATAATTTGTTTTATTGTAAACAATAAATTCAGTTTTATATAATAATTATAGAAAAAAAAAAGGAAAGAAGAAGAAATTAAAATTAATATTTGAATTATTTAAAAAGTGATATAAGTTTCAGATAAATGATTTTTATTAACAAAGTAATAGTAATGAATAATGAGCAAATCATATTAAGGGCTTAATATAATATATATTTCATACAATCAAATTTCCATCAGTAGTAGACTATGAAAGATCTAAATGCGGACTGTTTTCAAGAGTCTTCATTAGCAGAAGTCGGCAAGAACTGTATGGTATGCTTAAATTGACACATGGAAATGGATGTACTCATATCATGGTATCTATCGGCTGCAAAGGTTTCTGAAACCTCAAAACTCTTGCAACAGCTAATTCGATTTCTCGCTTATAGAAGACCCCTATTACTCCTTTGTTATTGATTGTTTAATAAATTTCTCTGGCTATCGGTGTATCGGGGCTTAAGTAGCATGCCTAGTATTAAGGCATCGGAATGTTACAAAACTTCTTTGTTACTAGGAAGGCGAGAGTTCCTGATGCTTCAGAATTCCACCTTATTAGGTTCTAGGGAAAGCCAAATACTCCATTGATCTATTTACCAATAGTGAGACTGTGAAAACAAATGATACGTCTGAAGTAATCGTTTCGTCAAACTATCTACCGCTTAAAATAGGGAAACCAACACCATAGCAAAGCCTCGGATACTTGTCGCGTACCAACGTATTCAGAGGCCTTATTACTTCTCTTACCAGCTTTTGTAATTTGCGATATCTACAAAGCGGGAGCCCAGAAACCCCCCTACCTAAGTTGGTATGAGGAAATTCTTAGTACACTGTATAATGCTTGCTAGCATTCAATTATAGATAATAGCTCGGATAATGCAAAGAAGAAACCGTATTCAGAGACGGGTACATAAACAGGAGCCACTTGATTCTCAAGCGTTGGACGAAAAGGTGATCTTACCAAGCCGCCAAAACGAAAAATACATTTCCATCTCCAAAGATAATACGATCCCCAGTTCGAACAGCCGCGCTCATACTACTACCTAGCTTTCATCAGTGCCCCCATTCGCGAATCGAAAGGTTTTCTATGGGCTCTTAAAGTTTTAGCAGCTGTCATTTCACCGTTTTCCTTCTCGCGCACAATGATGCTATCATCGCTAAAGGCTAGAGCCAAACTCTATAGAAACGCTTGGGAAATTGAAATTTACCATGGATGTTAGTAGCTTAGATTTTGCTTTGGAAGCTGTCAAGGTCAACTTGATATTGACATCAATATAGTATATGGAACGATGTAACTTTTCCAACACAGGACTAATTGGTTTGCAACACTGCACGTGTAAACTGTATCGACAATTTAACTCTAAATGAGTTTTTGTTGTCTTCGTTTTGTAGCCGAAATTGGCTCCGTGATATGCATGGTGCAGCATCAATAATGAATGTCCTGATTGTAGGCCGTACAACCTGTTGGCTAGGTGCTCGGGGATTTCTCTCGGATGTATGAATATTCTTTCTATGCTGACTAGGCTGCGCAACGGGGCCCGCGGGGCGGATTATTGCCTTTGGAGGGTAAGCCGCGGGTGATCCATTTGCGGGGCGGGTAATTGAAGAATCTGAATAAGTAAACCGCAAATAATTTGCGGATTATTTGCGGATATCTATAAATTCGCGGATAGTCCATCAATCCGCAGGTAGATGGATTATCCGCAAATGATATTCGTTTAAATTTTTGAAGCTATTTCTACATTTTTTATACTAGTTTTTATACCAATCTTTATAAATTATACCTGATTATGAATTAGCAGATTATCTACAGATTATCCGCAAATAACCCATACAGTGCAGATTATTTTAAAATCCCAATAGGTAACCCGCGGAGCGGATTGTAGGTTTATTGGGTAGCTCGCAAGGAGAATTATTTGCGGATATCCGCAATCCGCGGGTTATTTTTGCGCAGCCTAATGCTGACTATCCGGCAAGATCAACTAGTATAATACTAATTCTTGTAAGTTGAGCTGCTACAGAGATCGGGAACAGTATAGATATTATATAATGTATTGATGTTTATACTACCTCCTTAGAATACATTATAAGAAAAAATTATAAGATTTATCACAAGAGAAATATAATTTCAATCCTATGATAAAGATTATATCTATAGCTTTTGGAATATCTTATATTATGATTTGGAAATATATATATAGTTTTTATCACACTTCAATCTTACATTAGATATATATATATATATAAATAAAAAGATTTGAAAATTAAAAACTTTAATATAAATTTAAATACACAATAAAGTATTCTTCTTTATAATATCTTTTAATTATATTTGAGTCATCTTGATTATTCTTTCTCGAGAATAATAATAAAATGAAAGTATACAATTAATTATATTTTAAATTTTAAAAGATATAAAGATATTAAAAACTATTTTAATAATTTTAATATCAAAGAATCCTCTCTCTTTTATAAAAAATATTTTATAATAATTAAAAAAATATTAAATAAACAAAAACAAATAATTAATAATATATTTCAAGATATAATTTCCGGGAATTCTGGTCGAGAGATCACGGGAGGAAGAGTAGGTGTAGTGAGCGAGAGTTCGTTGAAATCCTCAACAAGAATAAAGATAGAATCCAGAGACAAATGAATAAACAAACGAACGGACCAGACAAAAAATTAAGTAATTACCGAAGAATACCCGTCATCCCACGCACACGAGGGCGGGGAAGAAAATCTTGAGCTCGTTCCCAGTTTATTGGGAAAAGATAAGCTTAGTTTTCCCTGTCAAGCGGGGTTCCCACGATGCTTTGGAATTAATGTCCTAATGTCCTTGTGTCCATGAGGGAAATGATGGAGAAGAAGAGATTTACTTACCTAATAGGACAAGGTAGGACAAGACTTTTATTTTTGTAATCGGTCCGAAGATTTTTGCAACGTTAATGGAGTAGGTTTAGACAATGGAGATGAACAGGTAGGTAGGTACTTACTTACCTGGGTCTAATATGGCGGGAGTAGACATTAGATTAGCGTAGAGCTGAGCTGGGGAAATACTACCTAGATGAAGTGTTGAACGGCGGGGTCGGATACGAGGCCTTTTATGATGTGAGGATTTTAGTTTTTTATGTCCGGGCTGTTAGGAATGAAAGAAAGATACTTCGTTACTTAGCCATGCATGTAGTAGGGATTGAGAGGTCAGTAGGTATGATTATTCTGATCGGAAAGCTGGAAGTGACTGGGAATGACTGGAAAGCTCAGATCGATTGGAAAGCTCAGATCGATTGGAAAGCTGCCAAGCTCGCCTACTCATAGCCTGCCTGTCTGCTGCGGTCCACATACCTGGATACCTATGGAAAGACGGGGATGATGGAGAAAGAGAAGCAGAATTATAAAGGGGGAGCGGATTATTGTTCCTGGGGTGTATTTTCGGTATTGCTGATCCGAAGTTGTGATCCTTTAAACAGGTAGATACTTTGCGAGTGTAGTTTTGTTGTTCTCGTTTTTCGTTAAGATCTTAGTTGGAAGGAGTTGTGTTGTGTTTGTGGGATGGGGTGAGAATGGGGGTCGGTGGATTGTGGATTGTGGATTGTGGATGTGGATTGTGGATTGTGGATGTGGATTGTGGATTGTGGATCTTGGGGTAAACCTTGGGTTGTTGTTGATGTGGATGATCAAACTCCAGAGTAAAGATTCTAGAACTTCTTGGGATTCCCCTGTTGATCTTTTTTGGGTGTTAAAGTTGTATGCTGTATGGTAGAGTGGATGGTGAACGGGCAGGTGAGTGGTAGGGAACAGTACCTAGATCAAAAAGTAAAGAAAGGGTCGTCAAATTCACCACTAGATAGATTCCACAATGCTCGAGGTCGTCGACGTCTTGCATGCAGTAACTGCATTCCAAACCTAACCAACAATAATATCCCTCACATCATCCTCCGCTAATAAATCTTACAGTTACCTTTCCCCCACCCCACTACTCCTAAGCCACATCGAAGGAAGACAGGAAGAAAAAATCTTGTAAAAATCTTGAAAAGAAAAAAAGTCAATTAGGTTGAGAAAGAGAAAGTGGAGCATTGATGAATCATCCAACGACTCCATCCGTCCCATCATTACTCGCCTGGTGAGTGCACTAGTGCCACGACCCAGGGAGCCAGGTGACAGTTTGTTGGTGGCACCGTCCCCGCCTTTTCCCCAACTCCGAAGAATTTCCGAGTTCGTGGTGTGTGGGTACGCGGGTCAGTAAGACTTTGTGGGGTTTAGCGGAGGGAGGAGGGATGAAAGGATGAGGGATGGGATGGGATAGGATGAGGAACGAGGAGGACTAAAAATTCGAATTTGAAGAATTTTCTTGATTGAAATGTTTTTCCGAGGGAGTGTGTTGTATTCATTGTATTTTATTGTAGTGAGATGAAGTGGAGTTTTCCAATTATATCATTATTATTATTGTTTTTTTTTCTCCCCTGGTTTGTTTGAAAATAATAACAATCACAAGTATTGATTTACATTTCTGTACTTTGGATGATGCAGCTTGACGTTCTTATTATTTGGGTTATGAGATACTAAATATGGGATATTGTAAGTACAGGATGGAGAGAATGCGAAAGATGGCACAATGTGAACTCGGAATAGTATGAATATGGCATAGTGTGAGTACCGACCGACCTAGCTAGGGATTGCTTGGAGACCCAGGACCCAATATCCAATACCCAACACCCAATACCCAATACCCAATACCTAGTAAACAACATATTTGTGTGTATGTGCAGGGAAATATTCTTGGGAATTTTTCGTTCACCGTTTGTTCGGGTCGGGTCTCTATTACGGATAGAACTTCCGGGGAGAGCGTCATCCTACTTTACATACACGCCTTTTCCCATGCCCGAGTATACCTGGTCCCCACATATTACCTAGGAAGGTATTGATTGTATTACTCCGTATATCGCTTTCAAGAAGATTTGTCTGAGAATGTTTGAGCCGCAGGATTTGATCTTTATGACAACTTCCATGTGGAATATGAGAAGCATCATGATAGATGTTGATTCTTCCCATACACTTTTACAGATTAGGAATATATAGTATATGCTTACTATACACTCACAGTCTCATAACCTCACACATATATTGATAAATATATCGATCCCGATCTCAAGCCCCAGCCCCAGCCCCAGCCCCAGCCCAAGCTTAAACCTGACATCCAGGAACTCAGGGACTCAGGGACTTGGAAAGTCTCTCCATTGAGTGGAAAATTGAAGATCTTCCCCTCTTTCGACAACACTAACAACACTAGCAACAGTACTTGGCTGTAATTAAGACCAACTAAGATTCCATGCACGTCGTCTAATGATCATAGACCACCGGTACTACTACTTGGCTTCCTCATCATACAACATTTCGACAGGAAGTACTTCTACCTAGCTTACTGGGTAGCATTTAGCTTTCCCGCAAATACTGGGGAAGCTCGACGGAGCAACTCTTTTCGTACTTTCTCTCCTTCTTGGTATGCGGCCCCATCTTCGATTATCATGACAAACGATTCAGAGAAGATGGCAAAATGCAGAATCCACAGACATATATAAAGTATTTGATTGTCCCGCATGATCTCAGTACAATCACATTATTCCTCTCTTTATTTTTTGAGGCTATACCCAATAATTTTAATTACATCACCAGTTGTTATCATAATTGGTGGTAGACCTTTCTCAAGATGCGGTATTCACTAGTCGTTGCCGGGTTACTGGCCGCAGCTACTCCCAGTCAACAAGCAACTACATCACATCGCACAAAACAATCACGACAGGTTTGTCACTCCCATCCATAACCTTTTCCTCCTTTGCCTTCCTTCCTTTCGCATGCCACGAACCATATTTTTCTGCACAATTACCAACTGCATCAACTCAAAAAATAAACATTCCTTTCTCTATCACTACTTTTCATAATTACAATCATTTCATAAATTACGTTACACTCTCACCACCATGAAGAGTCTACTGGACCTCGTCCTTGTTCTTACCGGTGTAATAAATGGTGATAGATCGTTACTAACTCTTGGTACAAAGTCAATAAATTCTACATATCCTGGCGGAGTCGACCCTGCTGCTGAAGCCGGTACACTATTCGGTCAAACCAGTGATCCATTTTACCCTTCACCATGGATGAATCCAAATACGGGTGGTTGGGAAGATGCTTATGCCAAGGCCAAGGATTTTGTTTCTCAACTTACGTTGATGGAGAAGGTTAACTTGACTACCGGTGTTGGGTAAGTTTGTGGATATTTGATATCGATGAATCAAAGGCTGATGATTATTTAGTTGGGAAGGTGAACAATGTGTTGGTCAAGCAGGATCTGTTCCTCGACTTGGTTTCAGATCAATGTGTATGCAAGATTCACCAGTGGGTGTTCGTGATACCGACTTCAACTCGGTATTCTCTAGTGGTCAATCGGTTGCAGCCACTTTTGATCGTGGTTTGATGTACGCTCGAGGATATGCTATGGGTAGGTTCACTTCTTAATAATTGATTCATACGCCTCTTTTGGCCAAAGCTAATTAATTATATAGGTCAAGAACACAAAGCAAAGGGTGTGACTGTTCAACTTGGTCCAGTTGCTGGTCCCCTCGGTCGTGCGCCACAAGGTGGACGCAATTGGGAAGGATTTAGTCCAGATCCTGTCTTGACAGGTATTGGAATGGCTGAAACCATTAAAGGTATTCAAGATGCTGGTATCATTGCTTGTGCTAAGCATTTCATTGGTAACGAACAGGTATGTGCACCCTTCCTCTCCCGTCATGAATGTATGGCATACTTTTAGTTTTGGTAACTAACATGAATTCAGGAACATTTCCGTCAGGCTCCCGAAGCACAAGGCTACGGTTACAACATTACCGAATCCTCATCATCAAATATTGATGATGTAACTATGCATGAAACCTACCTATGGCCATTCGCCGACGCAGTTCGCGCTGGTGTTGGTTCCATCATGTGTTCTTACAATCAGGTCAACAACTCTTATTCTTGTCAAAACTCCAAGATGCTCAACAACTTACTCAAGGATGAGCTTGGATTTCAAGGATTCGTTATGAGTGATTGGCAAGCTCAACATACTGGAGCAGCTTCTGCAGTGGCTGGATTAGATATGACCATGCCCGGTGACACTGTTTTCAACAGTGGAGAAACTTTCTGGGGAACCAACCTTACATTAGCAGTCGTCAACGGCACTGTTCCAGAATGGAGAATTGATGATATGGCGATGAGAATCATGGCTGCCTACTTCAAGGTTGGTTTAACTCTCGACGAGCCAGAGATCAACTTTTCCTCATGGACTCTTGATACATATGGACCACTCCACTATGCCGCCAAGAAGGATATTCAGAAAATCAACCACCATGTCGATGTTCGAGGAGATCATGCAAAGTTGATTAGAGATATCGGAGCTCGATCAACCGTTCTATTGAAGAACACCAAAAATGCGCTTCCTCTTTCAAAACCCAAATTCCTTGCAGTCATCGGAGAGGATGCTGGTCCAAATGCTTACGGACCTAATGGATGCTCTGATAGGGGTTGCAATAATGGTACTCTCGGTATGGCTTGGGGCTCGGGCTCATCAAACTTCCCATACCTTGTTACTCCAGATACTGCTCTTCAAAACCAAGCAATTGCCGATGGCACTGTTTATCAAAGTATCTTGGATAACTATGCTACATCCGAGATTGAGGCACTTGTTAGCCAAGATGTCACAGCCATCGTTTTCGTGAACGCCAACTCTGGAGAAGGATATATCAGTGTTGATGGAAACGAAGGTGACCGTAACAACCTTACTCTCTGGCACTCTGGAGACGCATTGATCCAAAATGTTTCTGCCATTTGCAACAACACTATCGTCGTTATTCACTCTACTGGACCTACTTTGGTTGGTGACTGGTATGATAACGAGAATGTTACTGCAATCTTGTGGGCTGGTGTACCAGGACAAGAAAGTGGAAACAGTCTGACTGACATTCTGTATGGAAAAGTCAATCCTGCTGCACGTACACCATTCACATGGGGTCCAACCAGAGAGGGTTATGGTGCTGATGTTCTCTACGATGCAAATAACGGAGAGGGTGCACCGCAACTCGACTTCACTGAAGGGAACTTCATCGACTACCGTGCATTTGATCGTCAAAACATTGAACCAATTTATGAATTTGGTTTTGGTCTCTCATACACCACATTTGACTACTCTGATCTGGTTGTTACCAAGAATACCAATGCAACCAGCTCTTACACTCCTTCATCTGGATTGACTCAAGCTGCTCCAACTTTTGGAAACTTCTCTACAAATCTCGATGATTATCTTTTCCCCAATGGTTCATTCCCATACGTCTACCAATACATCTATCCATACCTCAACACAAGCGATGCCGCTGCGGCCTCCGCAGATCCGAGATATGGTCAAGAAGCTTCTGAATTCCTTCCACCAAATGCCACCAACGGTTCTCCTCGACCAGTTCACGCAGCAGGTGGTGCACCGGGTGGAAACCCACAACTCTACGATGTCCTCTACACCGTCACAGCACAAATTCACAACTCAGGAGATATTGACGGTGAAGAAGTTCCTCAACTCTATCTTAGCCTCGGTGGACCAAATGATCCAGCAGTCGTATTGAGAGGTTTCGAAAGACTTTCCATTCCTGCAGGCTCAACTGCAACTTTCAGTGCCGATTTAACTAGAAGGGATTTGAGTAACTGGGATACAGTGGCTCAGAATTGGTTTATCAGTAATTACACCAAGAAGGTTCATGTAGGATCTAGTTCGAGGAAATTACCTTTGACTCAGGACTTAGCTTGAGTTGAAGGTATGGGAATGAGAAGGGCATTGAGATGATACTTAATACTTGATTGATTGATGATTGGGGTATAGAATGGCTTGGGTTCACCATTTTTGGGGTACGGTTATGTAATCTTAGGTACATAGTTCATGAAGTTATGATTTGATAGATTACGATGAGATGTATTCATATGCATTGGATTGTTTATTCTTTGATATTTTGTTGTATGCATGTATCGGATTGGTTGGTTGATTGGTAGATGGGTTTATTAAGAGGGTAGATGAATATAGTTTTTTGATCTTGAATTCGCTTTAATAGAGACATATTTCGATGTGGATTTACTTTGATATATACTTACTTTGATATGGATTCACTTGAGCCAAAATTCATTTTAATATAATGAGGATGATGATGATAATGATGATAATATATTATAAAGATATTTCAATTCTATATAAACAAGATCTTAATATTAATACCAAAAAAACTTCATAAATTCCGCTAACTCGGTAATTTATTAACCTCTTCACTACCCCGCGACTGCGACTCCTCAATCGCAATATTCTCATGAGATTGCTCAACACCGTCATCATTATCATTAACACCACGTTCCGAAGTCCAATCCCCATAACGCGGCAATTCATCCACGCCACCACTACTCACTCTCGCTGCACCTCCAGTAGCAATCTGAATCGAATTAGTCGAATCGCCATAACTCGGCAACTGATCATTATTACTCGCAGCATCAGACACAGGAAGCTCCTCACGATCTCTAGTTCCACTCGAGCCGGGTGATCTTACATTACTACTCGAACTTCCCACCATTTCCCTATTTTCCTCTCGTTCGCTCCACAATAATCTTTTCTTCCTCTGCACTTTAGTCAACTGTGGAGAAAAGAACCCAATTGCCCTGGTATTATCCACGCGTCTGGCAACTTCAATCTGTTCCGTAAGATCTCTCTCTTCCCTCTCCAATCGAGACCACCTCTTCCATTCCTCCGACCAAAAACACAAAAGCGCAACGACTAATTTCTGACTACTTATAGAAAGACCCGTAGAAGTAAGTTGCTGGGGAAAATTCTTCGTAATAGCTGCTATTTTGACAGGAATTTCATCTTCCATGGTATATCTCGGAGCCAGCAGAGCAGGTGCAGAAGTAGCGGGTGCTCCTAGTATGATATCGTGATCAATAAGGGCTTTTTGAACTTCAATACTAGAGGTCTCGGAATCGACGATTTCGGTTATGGAAAATGCTCGCTCGCCAAGATACATGGGATGCAGGAGTTGACGTTGATATTTGATGAGAGCGTCTGCTTGGGCGGGATTGAGGGACACGTCGGTAAGGGGATGAGGTTCGGAAAATACGTTGCCGACTGCGTGGAGGAAGGCTCCGGAGAGTCTACGGACGCGTTCCATGGTATGATTGCTGATAGAGTTTGGTACTACTGTAGTATACTAGTGTGGAGATATCTGATCGGATGGCTAATCGGATGGGATCTGATCTGATTTGATAAGATGAATGGATGAATCAGACTGATGTGAATATTAATGCAAGGTACTATGCTTTGTGCTTGTCCTCCTTGTCGCACCGATAATATTGATGCTGGTAAGATATGTATGTATGTGTATGAAATCGAATATGGAAGGTGCTCACGAGGAAAAAGTGAGGTCATTTACGAATGAAGGGTATTCATTTGCGCACATGTTTCGTACTCACGAATACACAGGACAGGTTCCTCTAGAGTCAGAGTCTACACCATTCATTTAATTACCTCATTCAGCGACCCACTTGCATGAAAAGAAAATGATATTATTGGTCCAAAGGAACAAGGCTGAAATACGTAAGGCTATCTCCTATCAAAGCATACCTGTCTATGTATCCATAGGTATCCATCCATAGGTATATAATAAGTATATAAATAATATCATGAGATGAATTAAACTTAACTTAATGCAAGCAAGCCGACTCTCAACCATCGCAAAGCTGATTGATGCTGACACATCCAAATCGCCATGGCCAAAATGAGAAATCAAGCACGAGATGTTAAAGGAAGGATGACTGCATGAAGGATTGCAGCTGAAGCTTGGGTCACGAAATGATCACTTGAACATTCTTCTCGTGATTGCTTGAAAATTTGGCCTCACATTTTTGATATGATATGTTATGGACATGTATGGAGTATGCACTTAAACGGAGTGAGTACTCGGGTCTGCGAATTGGGTCGTCGTCAATTATTGGGAAGCGGTATGCTCCCTGAATGTAGATATCATATACGGAGGAAGAGGATAATGTAGGTAGGGTCAATTTCGCAAATTTGCAAAAGGCAAAGGCAAAGGCAAAGGCAAAGGCAAAGGCAAATCCATCCCCACAAAATACGAAGTACACTATGATAAATGCAGTAATGCATCCTGTATATACGGAGTATGTACTATATATAATTGTACCAACTTTTGAAGCGTCGTCAACCTCAAACTATCGTGGCGATATTCATGAAGCAATGATATCCATACGAAAGACCGAGGTAAATATTCCTAGCTAATTAAATTTGGTGAACAAATATTTGTTTGGAGAATGATGCACCAAAAAACTTCAAGTCATTTCATTGACGTGGTGTTGCACTGCCACAAAGCGGCTGACAGCTGTACTCCGGAGAAAGAGAGAGAGAGAGCATCGTTCAACCTGTCGTCCGTGATGAAAATTGTCTGTTCCCGACTTGCCATTACGAACGGCTTTGTGCGTACTGTATCGCCTCAATTGAGTGTTCGCCTCTCTTGCTGGCCTTGACCGTCTAGGAAATAGAAAAACATTGCAGATGATCCCGCTTTGGTGTTCAGCTGTTCTAGGATACCTACCTATGCCACGTTGATGGCGTTATACCTGTACTCGTAAATACTCTTGTCTATCGGCGGTATATTTTCCAGGGATCCACTAACTAAGATACTCTACTTGCTATCTTGATCTGATAACCCGTTGATAATCCCGGGGCCATTGAATTTCATGGTTCTTGTGTCCATCCATATGGTTATGTCACATTTAGAAACATATTTGGAAACCTGACATAGCCATGCATGTTTAATTTGGTATCCATCCATCGCATTTTTCACCATGAAATCTGAAACATATAGCGATCTTACATTCGATATGTTTGAAAACGGTAGTTCGAGATATGAAAACCTCGGACGATATGATAGATCTCATGTGGATAGAGCGTGGATAGGAAGGAATGACAAGGGCACGGCGCCAAAATCGTATGGTCGATCCGAATGAAAAATATCTTCTGGGCGAATCCCGCAACGTGCTTTCCCGAATACCAGATAATGGAAAAGCCGATGTCATGCGTCACACTGCGTTTGTACCCTCTTTCCCGTGCCATCAAGTGCAGGTATCTAAGCGCGCATGTAGAGTCACCTGTTGCTTGTTACCCTTACCTTATTGTGTACCTTGTTATGTACGAAATAGAGCGAGGGCTCTCTCGGGCATCAAGATGAACATGCTTAAAAGCGCTTCGATGCGGGCAAGGACAGATGGAATATGCATATAATACGTCGAAAAACTGGGAATATTTGCTCACCGTAAGATACTCTCAGGTACGGAAAGAGTTTTCTAATTTGTTTGTGACCTTGTGATCATCATGTCCTTCACAGATTCTCCGCCCATGGGAATCCTTCTGACATTGCAGTGGAATGAAAGTCACGAGAATGGAGGGATTTGCTATTTGGTCTCGTGAATTAGGTACTGACTGATATTGATGATGTTAGGCTTGTGATAAATCCGAGGTTCAAAGGATGAATGTGGGCGGGTGGGTTAGATAGATTATTGTGTGGTGCTGTTCTGTGCAGTGCGGTGCGGTGCAGGTTTTGGAGGTTTTCTTTTCTTTTCTTTTCCTTTCCTTTTGCGGTGAGTCGTACGACGGCAAGTTTCAGTGCCGGATACTAGGCCCGTATACCTAGGTAGGTATGGTATAGCCAGCCCTGCTCGGGCAAGCCCGTTGATTATCATTTATTCAAAAGCAGCAAGATGGAGATGAGGTCAAATCTCTTGTGGCGGTGCAAATAATAAAAAAACTACAAGTCACTGGTCATTGGTCAAGCAGCAAATATCGTATTCCATTACTAATTGGGCAGTCTCTGGTACCTAATTATAGAAACACAAAGCCCAAACCTTCGGAAAAAGGAAAATGTACCTATGTGGATATCATTCAAAAATGTTCAACGTCGCCACACCTCGTTACATCCTATCGCATAGGCTAAACCGCGTACACCGAGATATGCTCATGACTGTAACTGTGACTGTGACTGTGCTGCTCCGAGGTTCATGCTGGTGAGGGTCGTGAGGGTCGTGAGGGTCGTGAGGGTCATTGCCAGTACAGATAGACCCTGAAATTGCATCGCAGGAACCTGTTTCTATGCACCTCCACAGGTACGATGTGCTCCTACTACCTAGTGCTCCTAGTGTTCCTAGTGCTCCTGTATCTGTGCCTGTAAAGGTTTTACTCGAGTAATAAATAACCTTTCCAACAAATACACTGACTTATTCTTACCCCCCCAGACAGCGATATCGTTGTAGATGCATGGCCGGTGGAACAGCAAGTATAGACGATTGTGGTTGGCAGGATTTGCACCGGCTCCAAAGCTGGCTTGTGCGAATCAGAGCTCGGAAACGACCTTTTGACAGCGACACTACTTTTTCAACCAGGATGGCCATTTCAGATAAATATCATCGACAGGCTCAGATTCAACGATGACGACTCAGTCTAGTAAAATGTAAGAAATTTTACCCATCCACAAGTCCACCCACCAAGAAATGCTTTCGTCCATCGGAATCGGTACCCTGGAAGAGTGGTGTCTCTCGCTGCTTGGTTTGTTCGACTTCGTCCCATGGTTCGCACGAAGAAAATAATATGTCAGGAGAGAGAGTTCTGGAACTTCGAAATCGATTCATGCAGGAGATTCCAATTTTGGCGTATACCTGGGTAGGTTATCGATGAGATAGGTTCAATATCCGGCCGTCCGTCCCTTCAGTCTGAGACTTGGAGATCCATAAGTCATGATGAGGCTTCAGCGAGGTCTCTTAATCTCCAATACCTATGTATATTATGGAGATGCGTGGGATTGATTGATTAGAAAATTCTTCCTATTAAACGACCTCTGTGTAAAAATCTGTTATGCTGTTTCACATTGTTGACGCAACCTCTCGACTATCACCATTCTGCCTTTCTGTATGCGCTGAATGTGCGTATGCATCATCATACTGTGCTGTTGCTGTGTGGAGATGCAGGTTTGGGCTTGATGCTTGATGCAAGTCATCTTTTCATCGCCGGCCGAAGTTGAGGCCAGATGGATATTGGTGATTTCGGGTAGGTCTGAGTCAAAATAACGCCGATGTTCTAATATGGAGAATTATACATATTGGGACATGGCTTAACTTGAGTAGGTAGTATTTAGGGGTAGTAAATGAGTAAGGTAGCATTCATTGCAAATGAGCCGGGAAGGGAAAAAAGCCAATTCATTCCACCCATGACGATAATGCAGTTGAAAAGAGATCTTCAGTCATTTCAAGAATCCAAACCAAACTAACTATACCCTTAATAAGTATGGAAAATAACTCTTGTAAACAAGTAATGATGATACTTGATCACATTAGGGGGCATCATAAAATTAGGACTGAGTAGAGATGCGATGATTATTGGGATAGATAGAGAGTTTTGAGGAAGATTTTATCATCGCAATTTTATTGAATTATCTTCTTTCTCAATCTGATTGGTACGAGTGTTTGATAGCTAATCGATAACCCGGGATTGACATACGTATAATCACAATACACCTTAGGGTACCTACTAGCAATACACCTTACTAGATAGATCAAGTATAGACTGTATAACTCCCATATATTATACTTTCGTGCTAAATGATGATTATGTCCGCATCTCCGTAAAATTTAAAGCCAAACCTTTTCATTCCGTGTCAACCAAAAACCAGCTTTGAAAAGCGGCACCCAACAACGGGAGGACGGAAACTAACTACCTATCTAAGCACAAATGAGAAAATATGAGGGATGCTAAAGAGAAACATTAACATATCCGTGTATTTATTTATTTATTTATTTATTTTTCCCAAGAACATACATCCTTTTCGGTCTTTCAGATGATCAACCGGTATATCTCCATTGTTACACCCTCGGTAAGTGTCGATATCATGATAAGGTTACCGTCATGACCATTATGATCATTCTTCAATTCATCATATTTCGTTGTCCTTCGTTGTCCTTCGGTGTTTGTAGGCTGTGGTACGGCCGTGCATGCATGCATGAGTGATTCTTCCCTATATGAGATGGATGAGATGATTGTTAGTGGCCAAATAGAATCTGCTCCACGATACCGGGAAGTAAAAATGCAAGATTGTTGCACCTTTTCAGCTGCAGTCGGTGGTCACTGAAAGTGGGTAAGTGATTATAAGTCAACTTTGGTCAGTTTTTTGGTTGACAAGCGCAGGGCTTGAGTCTTGACAAGGCTTGACAAAGCTTTAATCACTGTGCAGGTGGCCATTTTTCTTTCCGTCTGCTTTGCCAAAATGTACCAGGGACCCTTTTTAGTGTTATGCAGGTCTAATGCAGCACTGCCCCAGCTACATTTTAGTGACTCTACTGCTTTACTGCTTTGGCTGCATTGCTGCCACTATTGAAAGGTACGGCTACCACACCCTACCACTGGATTGACTGGGCCCCCTCAGAGGTATCTTTTGTTCCCACCGACCCGTAATCTTTCGATCTCTACGAACGAATGAGGTGAGGCATTTTATCGGAGCTTTTTCACCATGTGAGTGGAGACGGGGGATGGGGGAGGTGACATTGGTGTAATCTACATACAAGACCTACTCAACACCCTCCTCTACACCCTCCTCTCTGCCACACTTTACCACTTCCAGTATCTACTCCTAGCTTCTTTCTACCACCGCATCTTACCAAACTCGATCCAGCTTTCGGAAAGAAAGTGGCTACGTCTAGTTAAACCCTACGGATACTATTAAGGGAATTCAAGATTTTCCCATCTATCATCATACCTTAACTTAAGTCTACTTCAACCCCCTTCATCCCTACGAGCCGATTCCGCCGCTTAACTAAAAGCTGATCGTTGACCTCTTATAACAACCCCACCATACCCTCAACTCTTTTTATCTTACCCTTCCCTTCTTTACGAACCTCATTCGTCCGTACCTTTTTCGTTCCTTATCCAGGGCGCGCAAACTAGATCCCTTGTCTCGGGACCGCCAAAAGATTTATCTTCATTCTATTTTCAACGTTTTGATTTTTCTAGCTCCCATATCTTCGTCAGGTCACCCTTCCGCCTCTTCATATACCCTTGACTTTAGTCCTCGAATTTACACCCGCCTCGTCGCTCTATATCCGCCTCCAATATTTTCCATAGAACTCTACCTCAATGCCTCCTCAATTACTTCCTGCTTCGGCAGCTGCTTTTGCACCAAGAGCTTCCTCTGTCAATGTTGTGTTAAGTTCAAAGGTTGAGCCATGGTTAACACAAACCTTAAAGCGTATAAATCGCATAAAACGCCCTCTCAACAGTGTACCCCAGCATCAAAGATGCTTAACAGAAACATTATCTTCCTCAACAGCGATATGGACACTTGGATCTTTGATGCTATCGAAAGCTCCGGAACAAAGACGCGAAGACTCAAATCCATTAGTTGAGGCCATGTTCAACTATCAACTCATACATATCGAAGCCTATGTTGTCCATGTGGATATGGTATTAAGAAACGAGGTTGCCTATAAACTTACTCCAGATACGATAGAATCCCTGATTGAGTTTCACAAGGAAGTGCACTGTCTGGATATTGCAGCGAATACCTACAACTGGTCGGAGAAGGATCAGCAAGTGAAGAAGATGCACGAGGATTTCATTCAAGCCATCAACAAGTTCGTCTACAGAACTCATGTCTCTGCATTGGAGGGACTGGAAGAGGATGGAGCTGGTGAATTGTTATGCGGTAAAAGTGATGAAGTCAAGAACAACATCATGGGACTTTTCCTTCCTCTACTTCCCCCACCACCAAGGGTTGTCGATGTGGTCAGACCTCCTACTTTGTTGCCCAGTTCACCAGCTGGCATGAATTGGTGGTCACAACCCACAATACCAGTAACCACCGCAGCTCACGTTGACCCATGGAGGATGCTTCCTTCAAGTCCAAGTACAACATCTTCCATGTCCTCCTCCGATACCCAATCTTTGTGGGCAAACGTAGGCTTGAATGAGATTCAATTGCCTTCCCCCACACCATCTTACAGCCAGCCATTCACCACCGGCGGCCTTTTCTACAGTACACCACAAGTGAGTGCGCCAATTCCAGCGCTCCCCTTACCAAGCATGTTAGCACAACAGCACTGCGGTATTGGTATGGGATATGGGGGATTCGGTGGGTTCGGAGGTGGATGGGACCGATACCAGGAGTATGCCACAACGATGTGACAACCAAGGCCTGGAACCTTGAATAATCCCCCTACTACTCGCCCGGGGGTTTAGGGCAGGCGACAATATAACACACAATACCATGGCTCAAAGCCTTTGTACAAGACAACAAAATTACATACATACATACATGGCATCGGCAAATTTCTTTAGCGGCATTTGATACCTCCAAGGGCACTTAACGGCGTTTTTACATCTTCATCATCTCCTCATCAGCGATCGAGCGAACACATGATATCCTGGGAACAAATCATACTTAATAATCATCAAGAACAACAATCTCCTTTCCTCACAAATACATAATAGGATACCATTTTCTTATCATCCATTTTCTTTCTCGGTTTATTTTAGCGCAGCGAGGTTTGGGTTTGCTTTACACGACGTCACAAAACCGCAAGACCGGTTTCCGAATTTTCCTTTCTACGCATATGGCAGGACCTACAGGCGGGTTATTTTGAAGCATTTTCTGGCACAGTTCCAAGATTTTTTTACTCATAAAGAGAATACCTTTATTAAGAGGATAACGCAGCAATGCAGGGCTTCACGGGCGCGTCTGGATATATTGGTTATTTTTTTTTTCTTTTACGTTGAAGATTATCATCTTACGTTTGTCTTTGGGGGAAGGGAAAACCGGGATTTTCTACGTTCTTACATTTTCGTTTTTGTTTATGCTTTATGAATCATGAATGCTTATCAATTTTGCTTGGACAAAAGATCAAGGCATATGATTTATGAGTTCACGAAAATAGAGACTGGAAATATGCAGAGCTAAGAAGACCATCTGCAGCGCAGGTTGGAATAAAAAACAATGGACGAGATACCGGGTCTCTTTTCAATGGATTTGAGGACAAACGGCAAATTGTTTAGATGGTATCATCAGAATGCGATATTTTTCAATTCTCGCTAGTCGAGCTTGGGATTTGAAGCGAGGATAAGCCTGAATCGACTTCTTCTATCGGGATAGATGGACTCTTTGCGAAATCAAACTCGATATCGGCTCATTATCTCGAATGCAAATCGATCAATACCTGCGAGTCGGGGCGATTGAATCTTACATGTTGGGGTTGGGTTTTATATCTTGGAGGATTTGGGTAGGGGGCTCGGATATTTTGTAGGGAAATGAGTGAAGGGCATATCGTAGTTCATCACTACATCTTCCGTTCACTATCTGACGCCATCATACTTGATGTATGAAAAGTTAAAGATAGTGTCTGGGAAAAACACCAAAATCTATCTGTCGTCCTGCGGACGGAGTTGGATGGAGGTATTGATGCGGGTTTCCTTTTTCGGCACAGGCAATGGGAATAAGGAAGGGCAATCTTTCATACTGGTTATGGAATTAAGGGAGGAACTGTGATTACATGTCTGGTATATGGATTATTAAGTGTGGAAAGAGGAGGAATACAATTTTGCGTGTAGGTAATCTTGAGCTTGAACTTGATACCGAGAAAAAAACTCTGAAAATGCAAATAAAATGAAAATATTGAAAATCTACAAACTAACTACCACATCCTTTGGTTCTCGACTTTTGCTTGACTCATGAGGTGGGTTAAGGTGAGAATCACATGCACGGAGCTGCCGTTCACGACGTCAATAGCTCTTCGCACGAGCAGAATTTCAACGTCAGCAACCGTCAGAAATTGTCAGATCTCAATTCCTCCTGCTCGCCCAGCCGGTCCTTTACTGAAAGGCCCATACTAATTCATATCAATGCATCTGGATCCGTGACAAAACAAGCTTATACCCCGATTGGTCAGCACTACGACAAATGGAGCGAGTCAGCGACGCCCAACCGGTTCTCGCCGCCATATAAACGAGCAATTTACTACTCTTTTAGGAAATCCGAAGCCGAGGTTTAGTGCGCTGAAAAATAACGTCTAGGGGCACGAAAGCTATGGTTACATTGTGATAATCCCGTATATGTCGGCTGGTACGATATAGATATATGGCGTCCGCATTCCGTGTATGTGCGTCTGTGAATCCTACCTTAGCTATATGAGGATCACCATATTGATGCTAAAGACTTTATTGCGTGTTATATGTGCTATGTGAGAGGTGGTATGCAGGTAAAAGGAGCTCTGTGCTCCCTGAAGCAAAATACGAATTCACATATCCCATGCCTCCGTACATGCCGACATTTCATTACCATGTCTTGTGTTCCCTCAATCTCATCTTCTGACATATGTCAAAACTAACACATGGAAAGGCACGGCACAGATAACCTGGAGAAATCCTATCGCTTACTTGTTTGTTGGTATATAATATTATCACCGCGGTATCCGTGAATAAGCGCTGTTGGCGAAGACTCCGGTCCTCCTCTGAGCTCTTGCTCTACGGCACAGTTTTTCATATTAGATTCTTTTGTTATAAGCGCGGGTAGACTAGCTATATCTGGTAACGATGCGAAGAGAATCTGTCGCCTGTATGAAGTGATGTGATATTATTTTATGTCTTCAGCTAGAACCGAGGAAGCCAAGCCACCTAGACAAACGTGTATTCCCAGAACACATATAACCTTAATATAACCCCTGAAGACAGCCTTATAGCAGCGAATAACAGCCACAGCTAGAAACAACAATGAAGAAAAGCAGTCTGAGATTACGCCGTCTCATTTCCCGAACCTCGCAATCGTAATAAACTTCATAAGCGCCCAGGCATACACAGCCAATTGCACGCTGCAACCATTCCTACCCAACCAAGTATCCACCCCCGCTAAAGGCAAAACCAAACGCAAACTCTAACCTCCAGTAAAGAAACCTACATACACGTACCCCAAGAAACAAGACCTGCAGAAAGGTCAAGCTATTCTCGGGCCTTTTCATACACACTTCCCATGCACACCCGCATATATCTATGTCGAGTTAGCCCATCGAAATATTCCTGCATTGCATATCGATTGTGCATTGGTGATGTGACCAACTGTATGGCCCGCATGAGATTCCGGTCATGTGAGTATCAAACCCTCGCGACTATTGAAAATTTATTGGCTACGAAGAGTTAGGATTAGCCACGCATATGTACTTGAGTAAAAATAGAGAGAGCAACGCGTTGAAAATGAGGGATTTCTTGAATTTCTTGATTTTTCGTCATTTTTCCATGCCGACTTTTCTAGAATTGGAATGCGAGATTATGCACGAATTTACGGATGTGGTAGCTTACTCGAGTATCTAGACGGTGGAGATGACCCGCATGAAGTTTCAATCATGTGAGTTTTTGTTTTGTTACCCCTCCTTCTCTTCTTCATATGCATATTCATAAATTGGTGAGAGCGGGAACGCCGTCAGGGACGTGATACACCGGGGCACTTTCGGGAAGAAAAGTACAGGAGAGTGACCTAATCGATGTCCCGCATGAAAATTCAGTCATGTGAGTTCCATCTCCATCGAGATTCGAAGAAACTATTGGCTATTATCTCACCAAGGAGATATTCGGCATATCTATATTTCGATCGCCAAACTCGTTATATCGAGCTAAAATTAATATCAAGCGTTAAAGAATCATGAGCCGAAAATAGTGATAGATCAGATATGCAGTTGAGTAGCTGCAACTAACCGTTTTGGAATTCTATATGGCGAAAAGAGGAGGCTGGGCTTGAGTAGCTCGTTCAACGGACGCTGATCGAACGTTTGCAGGATCGGGCTTATTGTGATGGTTTTAGTGTCTTGATCACCCGCATGAGATATCAGTTATGTGAGGATCGAGTGTGGGTGAGATTTGCAATACTGGTGGTATAGCAAGGTTTTATTGCAGTCGCTCATGAAGTTACCCCAAGAGAATACAGTAAGAAACCCCGCAACAAGCAGCCGCGTTGTATAATATAATATCCGTTTTGTGGAGCAAAGTACGGATCCCGGGCCGAAATATTTGCAGTATCGGGCTGATATTGGTGTGATAGATCAGATATGATAGAGCTCCGCATTGACGTGCTTGATTACACTCATTCTCTCCGACTCGGGTCCTAATTCAATCCTCAACCCGTCTAGCTAGTAGCTGGTACTCGTTCGGCTGCATCATTGACATAAATATGACTTGCGCTGTATCAGCAGCTGAGTTCAATTTTAGACTAATCCTTGAGTCGCTGCTGAAGAAGTATTCAACATGGCATGGACTGTGGAAGAGTGATGATTCGAGTAATGATAGTGATGATGATGTGAAGTAATTTTTAATTGCGAGGGGTCAGGGTAGTAAATTATTTTAACAATGAAAATTAATGCTCAATTTTAATATGAACTCAAACCCAACGAACGAAACTATACATCCAATTCATCCCGTTTTCTACATGAAAGATTATGTAAGAAAGTCCAAAGATCACTTAATGAGTAAAACCTAAAGATCTACAGAACCACACTACTTCCTCGTCCATAGATGTAGCACCGTCCGAGTTGCTATGGTAAGGAAAGTTCAGTTTTTCTTCGCTTACTCCGGAGATTGGAAAGTGTCTACTCAAAGTTAAAATATTGAGATTAAACACATCAGCTTTATATTTCACTTAGTTAAGACGGGGTAAATCAGAGCTATGCATTAGATTAAGCAATGGAAATGATATAGATAATGAAAGTACTCGAGGTTTATCTCTTTGATTAGTTTTCGAGGAAGGGGGCCACATAAAAACATGGCCTACGGGTCTTTGACTCCAGTTGTAGCTTCAAATGCTGTGTTCGGTAACTTGTTAGAAAATGAATATATTGACTGTATTTATACTCTAGTTAAAGAATAAAATAGATGAGGTATTATTTCACGTAGTCGGATGATCATGATCCTCTTGCATATTAAAAGAGATACCAGGCATCCTTTGCCGCAATGTTGGTGAGGGTAGTGGTTTCCCCGTGGTTTTGATAACGCTTATAGATAGATAATTAGGGAATATCCTTCAAAACTACGCTACTACACGCACAAAAGAAGGGGTTGTAAAGGACTAGAAGGCATGGGAGCAGATTACTGCTCACAATAGTTCAATCCATAGCAATATGTCGACATCCTTGCAGTTCCAAAACGGTCTATAAAATGTACTAAACGTGCCATGGTGGCATCATAAACCGACAGGTTCCCCGCTAAGCACCTTAATCTTGACGGCAAAAGTTCCTCCAGAAATCTTAGTCGTAGAACCAGTATCCTAGGTATAATTGAGAAGAAATCTTGGCAAACGGCCGGCCGTCGTGCTTTCCGTTTGTTTGGTCCGATGAATCATTAGATAGCGATCCTCGGCTTCAATCGGAAGAGGTGTCGCAGTCGCAACCTTCGCTGTTGTGCAGCTGATCATCAATCATCAATTGCCATTCACCGATTGAAAGATTCACCCAGCGCTTTGTTTGTTACTCGAGGGCGCAAGGCTACTTGAGGTGAATGGGATGGAACCGCAAGTGGTACTGGTTGTTGCATTTCCAGATGATATTGTGCTTTGGTCATAGTTGATGTAGCGGCACTCATGAAGAATTTAGATGTGGAAAACTGCGAGGCATTGAATATTTTTGCTGGAAAAGAAGCTTTCGAGTATTCTTGGCGGAGGTTGCTTTAAATGATTTTGCTGTAGAAGTAGTTTCGTGAGCTCTTTCAAGGTGAGGAACGACACTGAGGTTTACTTTTCCACTGCAGCTGATATCTAATTACTTGCTATCTAGATGCCTATCTGCGACGCCCGTAACTTAGAAGGAAAGAAAGAACATGAATACATCGTATTGAAGACGATGAACAACCAAAGAGAAAAATCTCAGAGGAATTGAGGTCTAATCTCTCCATGGAGTAAAAGTTCAATATAATATCAACAAATAGAAAGGGTTCAAAGAGGGCAAAAGAATTTAAAATGATTAAAATACTGCGTCGAACGTCAATATCGAAACATAACAGCTCATTCAATCTTAACTTCCTTGAAGCTACATCTAGACCTAAAACGACTAGTTTTGAACATATCGAGATCACTAATATCATGCTTTTAAAATGATTTCTCTCATGTGCACTTTTCATATAGTTCTGAACTAACCCTCTCCAGTCAAGGTTCAAGACTGGAAAGCCAAATCTAGGAGCTGCTAAATTGAGATGCCGTCTTTTGCTTTCCTACTTTAGTCACGCTGACTACTTAGGTTTTAACTTCAAGTCCTTTCCAAGTCATGTTTTCAAATACCAATGATTTCCATCTCCAAGCTATTCAACAAGCTTCTGGGTAGGCCATTGACGCAAAGAAAAAATAATGGCATAACAACACTGGAATCATTGGAAAAAAGGCGCGTTGTTCACTCTCCCCTTGGGAGGGTTGGGGGTGGTGGTGTTTATATAAGTACTTCACCATTCTATGGTGCTTGCTTGGAGTTTCAAAATTGGTATCTTAGCTTTAAGATTTTTCTTTTCAGAAGAATGAAAGGAGCAAAACAAGCAGCTATGAAAAAAATTGTATGCCATAGCCACAGCCACAGCCATAACTAGATACATCCCACGCAAAAGACTTCGTCTGGGCCGAGAAACCAGGATAGTTAATGAGTTCATACCATGAAGTAGCTGTAGCTGCAACTTTACAGACTATGCAACATTATACACAGATATATATAAGATACCATTTGACCTTTTATGAAACGGATCAAAAATTGATGGACTCCGGTTGTCAAGTTAAGCTACCTAGTAGCTATCAGCCGAAGCTAATATTCAAATACCTACCTAGGTAGTAATAGAACATCCATCCCGAATCATCAAAAAAGATAAACTAGACTACTTTCTCCCCTAAAGTCAAACATCAAAAAACCATCCATCATTTATAATTTAATAAATCAACTTACACTGATCTAATATCCGAGGAGAAAAATAATTGAATGTTCAAACCAATCTCCTACAATTAATTGAAAAAATTCAATATTGTTGTTCTAGGAGTTGAGCTTTTATATATGTGTGATCTCCAAATTTCTTTGCTAAGACAAGGTTATTAAAGACTTAAGATCCTACATCAAAAATGGATCGATTCTTCAGGACGAAGCTCAATATTGAAGTGCAATGCATACTAGGTAGATACTCTTAAAAAGCTACCTAGTGCATGACACTAAATATAACTGCCTGGCAATCATATCGGACTTCCAGCCGAGATGAGCTTTTCAATGATGTGATGGTATTTCTGCAAGCTTAAGGAAATAATCTTACAATGATATGACCTCGATGAACGACGATATTGGTTATTTATATCAGAACCATAGTCCGGTGGTCTTTGAATTATCCATACCTTGATAATCTCCAGCTGATTTTTCTCATCTGGTTGACTACCCCTTTTCCTTGAATTTGATTCCTCGACATTATCATGATAACCGATGGATACAGCAGAAACGGTGAGTATTTTGTTAAAATACTCTTCTTTAGGTTTTAAGGAGCGATATTAAGAGTAGAAAAATCATGAATAGGAGGTCGCTTCGGAAATAATAGATTACCCGCGGTCGGCCGCGTCATGGTAATGGATCCTAGTAGTCATCAAATGAGGATTATGCATTTAAGATGTAGATACGGAAATGTGGTGAGTGTATGTATGTGTGTGTTGGATGAGGAAAGGAAAAGTTGTTCAGATATCGGTACTTGGTTATAGCCCAATTCTAAGAAGGAACTAACTAGTGTCCGCACCTACTGTTGATCCAGGAGGGCTATCTTTAACGAAGACAGACGCAATTGAGACTTTCATTACGTCGAGAATAATGAAATATGTATAATTCAGTTATGGTATTCGTCCTTTGAATTACCAAGAGAGATATTACATTTTCCCTAAATCAACCCGAATATGCATCCTCGCGATCAAGTGTAATATATCGTCGCCCTTCACATCGAAGAAAAGAAACCTTTAAACCACAGGCGGTGTCCTACCCGAACTGCATGTCCCACTAATACTCTCACAAGCCAACGTCAAGTTCCCCGAACTATCTCCCACCCAAAACAAGAATGGTTTACTAGTAGAAACAGGTATAACCCAATTCTGTTTTCTCACATCCCAAACACTGATATCCTTCCTGGTAACCGTAAGCGATACGACCTGTTTTGCATTCGGTGCCAATGTATCCGTCTTAGCAAAATCACGAAGCTGAATAATGGGAGTGTCATAAGGAGAATCAGAGGGATATTGGACGTAAAGCTGGACGACCGATTTACCAGCCACAAGACCGGTGTTGGTAACTGTGACGGAAAAAGTGAACATGGTATCCCAGAGTGCGGAATTTCCTCCCTGTGATCCACCAGATGGAGGATCGGGTTTGGAAACATTGGTATAGCCAGTAGGATAGACAAATGTACCTGGAGTAATACTTGAGGGATTTGTGAGGTATGGATAGAGATATCGTGATACGGCATTGAAACCTGCTGGCCATGCGACTTCAGAAGCTGGAGGAATGGCCGTACTATATGTCGGTGTTGAACCTTTCGCTGCACGGGCCGGAGGAAGCGATGTAAGTGCTTTACCGGCTGTGAGAGTGACCGTTCTAGAGAATGTGGTGTAGGAAAGTCCGTACCCGAATGGAAAACGAGGGCTGATGGAATGCTTGTTGAGGTATCTATAATCAATATATAAACCTTCAGAAAAAGTATCCTGAACCTGGCCAAGCGCGAATCCAACAAGGCCAACGGAGGCTGGGTAATCGCTTTCTTTGACAGGAACTGAGTAAGGTAAATGGCCACTAGGCGAGTAATCGCCGAAAAGGATGTCCGTCAGTGAATTCCCAGCTTCTTGACCCGGTAAATGGGCAAAAAGTACCGCCTTTACTGAAGGGAGGTCTATCCAGTTCTCAACAAGAATTGGTCCTACTGTATGAACAACTACCACTACGGTGGAGTACTTTGCTGCAGCGGCCTCAACAAGTGCATCACCGTTGTGCCATGCATACAACCCTGACGATGAACGATCTCCATCGTTCCCTTCCACGGTTATGGAATTCTCTCCAGAATCACTGTTGATAAATACGATGGCAATATCTCCAGGCGACGCAGTCAGACCGGATGGAAAGCTATCACTGGTTGAGCTATAAACATTGGCAGCTTTTCGCTTAATTGCATCGATGGGCGCATCAAGGTAAGGGTAGTTAGCAGTACCTATAAGCTTGAGTTAGTGTACCACAACATTGGAAGACTATTAATTATGCGTGGAACATACCGGAACCCCATCCCATACCAAGAACGCCAGTATCACAGCCCCTCTGATTGCAAGCATTAGGCCCGGAAGGGTTATTTGCGGAATCGGAACCAAAAACTTTCAAAGTAGCCGAGGTTGAGAGTGGTAATGTATTGTTGACATTCTTCAATAGGGTTATTGCCTCTCTTGAGATGTTTCGAGAAACGACAGCATGATCGGCTTGGACATTTACATGTTCATTTACTGTGCATGTAGGAGAAATTAATGCTGCTGGGTAACATGGTCCCGTAGTGTCTAAAGTGTTTGCAGAGAAATTCGGTTGTGGGTAGCTTTTGTCCTGTCCAAGTTGGTACCTATTTAAGATTTAATATTAGCCAGAAGCCCAGATGACAGATACTCATGAAATCTCAAAGGCTATCGTCTGGAGTCGGAAGGTGCTCCAAGGGACACCACCCGGAATGAACACTAACCAAGTTGCCACAATTCGAGTAACCATGTCATTCAGTCGATCAACTGGAACTGTTCCATTCAAAATCGCAGTTGAGAGCTCATACGCCCAATATGCTTCGCCAAGAAAAGGAATTTGTGCATCCCCAGGCATGGCCATGTCCAGACCAGCTAGAGCAGACGATACACCGCCAATTTGTGATAGCCAATCTGACATAACCTGTAGGTCGTTAGAATTATTTGGACTACTGAGATGTATATCCTTACCAGGCCTTGAAACCCAAGTTCGTCTTTAAGCAGGTTGTTAATTAGGTATGAATTCTGACTTGCCGCACTCCCATTGACCTACTTCTGTCAGTAAAAAGCTATCGAGGTCTTCATTAAGATGGTATGATAAATATGGAGTTGTGCCATGAGTCAATCAAGGACTGCACTATTGAAAGAGGTCTCATTCATTGACCGATTAATGGTTCACTTAGACGATCACTTGATTTAATATTCATCTCGAAACATCATGCGAACGTTCATCCACTCATATAATTGTGATAAACAGTTACTCACCTCATTATAACTTGTCATAACAGCTCCGACGCCGGCTCTAATACCTTCCGCGAAGGGCCACATGTAAAGCTCGTGAAGAGTTCTGCAAATTAGTTTGGGTAAGATATCATTGAGGAATGTGCATACCTATCATCGATGTTACTGCTAAGGGCTTTCATCAAACCATGGGGAATGATATCCATTCGGAATGCTTCCTGTTCATTTCCAATGAAGTGTTTGATCGTAGCGATGACACCATTCGCTTGAATTCCATTGATTGTTTGGGCGCCTCCCGCTGCTTGAAGCACAGGATCTAAAATCACTAATCTTAGTCTTAAATTTCGACGACAGAATTTTCCTCAGCTCTTACCAGCGCCAAATCCTTCCCAGTTTCGACCACCACGTGGCTTTCTTCCAGTCGGAGCTAAAGATGGTCAGAAATTTGGACGTTGCGAATTCTCAGCTCAAGGAGTGTCTTCAAAATGGGTATTTGCTAACTGCTTGTTGTACGTACCAACCGTAGGACCCAGAATAATGTTAACCCCCTTTCCTCGTGCTTCTGCACCTAGCGCAAGACCCCTTTCATAGGCTAAAGCTTTGCTCCAAGTCGCACCTGTGGTAATACCAGCGGGAAAAGCTGTATTGTTATCGGTCGCAGCTACGCCAAGTGCCGAGTCTTGTAAACAGAGACTAGGAATGCCGAATCTTAGTACAGAGCCTGTGTTTCCAACACATCTGTACATTAGCTCTCCAACTCCAGTAGTAAGATTGACCTTTTCAGCTAAAGTCATTTGTGCCACAACGGTTTGTGCCTTTGCATAGGATGCCGCCCAGGAACTATCCCAACCACCTTTCGGCGTGGGGTAGTATGGAGCAGCAACATATCCTGCAGGAACCGAATCTCTTTTCACGGTTGTTTCCTCGCTAGAAGGAGGAATGAGTGGAGCCTTATGTATGAATGAAGGTAATTTAGCTTGCCCGAACCCCAACAGCGACAACGAGACAAGCAAGAAGATGACCTTGAGTAGCGACATCGCAAGGGGTGTGCAGCCAGTCAAGTAGAATTTGGCAGCTAATCTTTAAGAAAGTAGGTCCTTCTAGAGTAATTTGATGGGAAGAGAGAGCTTATAATATAAAAAACTGACTGACTAAAATTAGGCGATGGAATTGATGTATGCATGTGCATCCAAGACAATTTCTTTAGATACCTGCAATCAACGAGGATAAAAGAAAGAGGCTTGTGATGGTCACATTCCGAGGTTCATACACCATTATCGTGTGTGCTATATGATTTGCTCCATCGTTGAACCATGCTTGAATGGGGTGGGATTGATTTTATGGACGAAACAGGAAGTTCAATGAACAATGCAAGTAAGCTTTCAACGGAGACAGTACCTCTCTTGGACCACTATACTGAGACCAAACGGAACATGATTCCCAGTCAAGGGAATTGTGATTCTCGGCCGAACTTCTGATATGAGATTGTCAGATTGTCGGTAAGACAGACTTTTTTTAATTTTTAGGTTTGCGGGGTTTGATTTCCCCTGGCTTCCGCGATTATGCAGCATCTTTATCCGGCTAAGGTGCAGGCGATGGGAAAGATTGATGTAAACGAAGTACCATCTGCTTGAGATATCACCCCGAAATACATAGAATATCAGAGCTGGCATGTTCGATCACAGCCTTGAAGATGGATCTACCGTATTCTGTATTGTAATTGTACGAACTCTTTGGGAATGATTGGAAAACATCACCATCCGGGTGACCGTTGGATGGGTAGTAGTCGTCAAAGGAAGGCTAAAAGGATTGGTCACTTAATCTTAGTCTTTCGCTACTTTTAACCGGTAAGTCTTACAAGGCTTGATTTGGATACCGTGGATGCCGTAGATGCCGGTGGATGCCAGGCATATCATGGGATCGAGAAGAAGATGGATCAGCCAATAAGTTATAAGTTTATTGACCTTATGCGTATTGCTGAAAGTTGACCAATAGAAAAATAATGAGCCGCAAAGTGGAATTGCTCTCTCGTGTTTGAACTTATACTTTTATGCTCTGTATTGCTATCTGAGCAAGGGCAAGGAAAATCTGGTACGTTCGATAACTCGATGGATCTTTTGCAGCCAGACACAAATTCAAGAAAGTTCCCGTCATCCCTTGATCACGTGATAATTCTCGTCTGTTGTAGAATTCTGGTTACCTAAGGCGACAGAGGTGTCAATGAACCTAAATAGTAGAATCTCGTTGGCCGTGATAACTTCTCCAAAAAAATTCTCAATTTTTGCGCCGTCGGTTGTCTTGTGGCACAACTGAAATCTACTTGACTATTCATCGAAATATACCTTCGCTTGTTCATTCATTTTGCTAATTCCAAGCCCTCTTTTTAAAAATGGGAGAATCAAGGTTGGTTTGACCGCATATACTATTAACAAGAATTCCAAATTTCTGACAAAATGGCAAATATAGACAAGAGCTCGTGGCATGGCTTAACAACCTGCTACAACTTAATATCACAAAAGTTGAACAGTGTGGAACTGGGTGAGTAAATCTGCGATTTCGCACAACTCCTGCGTCTTTCGTTTTCCCCTATTATACTATTCACTAACATAGATCATCAATACAGTGCTGCTCTCTGCCAAGTCTTCGACAGCATTTTCCTCGATGTACCGATGTCAAAAGTCAAGTTCAACGTAAATACCGAATATGCATACCTACAGAATTTCAAAATTCTTCAAAGTCGGAATACCTTCCCCTGAATAAGGCTTCCAACCACTGACAACGGTCTAGACACCTTCACCCGCCATCAAGTTGATCGAAGCATTCATGTCGAACAACTTGTTAAATGCAAGATGCAAGATAATCTCGAATTCTTACAATGGTCCAAGAGATACTGGGATCAATACTTTCCGGGAGGTGAATATGATGCTGTAGCTCGTCGACGTGCCGCTGGAGGACCCGGTGCCGCCCCTTCTGCTGCGCCGAAAACAAGCGCTGGGACTGGAGCAGCTCGAAGAGGGGTAACACCAACAACGAGCGGCGCACGAGTTGCTAAGCCCGGAGTAGTTGGTGGTGGTGCAGCTTCAGCAGCATTAAAGGCAGAGAATGATACTTTGAAGGAGACCGTTGCAGGGCTAGAACGTGAACGAGATTTCTACTTTAGCAAACTCAGAGATATCGAATTACTGGTTCAACAAGCATGCGAAGAGGACCCCGAGATTGAGAAGCAGGAAGACGGTTTAATCAAGCACATTCAGACTATCTTGTACTCAACTGAAGATGGATTTGAAATACCGGCCGAGGCGGAGGTTGATGATCAGGAAGAGACATTCTAGATTGTTTTTACTGTAATGGGATTTGGATTTTTGCATTCGTTGCAAATTTATTCACTGATTCTTTGGTCTGCAGCGATTTTATAGCAAGAAGAGCTATGAGATAACGAATTATGAACGAGCAGAATGTGTGCGAGGCACAAATATACGAAGCTCATCGGTTGGTAGCATTCATAGGCTAGGGGAAGGTTCTATGCGGCGAACCTGCGGTGAACCAATTCTGAAGCATATTGAGAAGTTACATAATTCTTAAATGAGTTATCTGGTTATTGAAGAGTTTAATATTAGAATGTAAATCCCACAAGTCCTTTTTTTCGTACAATACCAATTTGATTGTTTACTCTATTTTAATTATCATGAGATGATGTGAATTGAAAGAGCGTCACAATTATTATTTTCTTATCGCCAAGTGATATTCTGACATTTTGCGCTATCAAGCGTCATCCTTGTTGCACAAGGCCAGCCCAGCCCAAACAATCTTACCAAGGCAACCTCAAGAGTCAAAACAAACGGTGACGATTCTAATCATTTACAAAGAACAACACGACCAACAATCAATTTTCTACATCGAACTGAATCGCATCAAATCGCATCTCATTCATCACTTCAATTGATCATGGCACCGCCTCTCGAACTGTCGATACCCAGCACAATTCTCTCGAGTGCTCCTAATGAAAAACCCTACACGCTCTACAATATTACATTACGTCTCCCCCTCCGAACCTTCGTCGTTCAAAAACGCTACTCCGACTTTGTGACTCTCCATTCGTCCCTCTGCGCCCAAGTTTCCGATGCTCCTCCTTCCCCCCTTCCCGCAAAAACATGGTTCAAAAGCACCGTCAACTCTCCTGAACTAACAGAAGACCGTCGTCGCGGTCTCGAAACATATCTCCGTAGCATTGCCGAAAATCCCGATCGTCGATGGAGAGAAACGAGTATTTGGCGACAATTTTTAAATCTGCCTAGTAATAGTGGGAATGGAAGTTTGAGTAGTGCGAGAGAGGGACTTATTGCTGCGAATCAGAGAGGTGTGGGTGGTAATGCTGAGGTCATGGCTGATCCTCAGATTTGGTTGGACGTTCATCGCGAATTGAAGGCGCAGTTGCATGATGCGAGATTGTTTTTGGGGAGGAGGGATGGCGCGAATACGGCGGCGGGTCAGTATGAGGCGGGCGCGAATGCGAAGAGGTGTTTGGTGAAGGCTGGGGGGTTACTTAAGGATTTGGAGGATGGGCTGAAGGTTATGGGGGAGGGGGAGAAGAATGGGAGAGGAGAGGCAAGGGTTGGTGCAGGTGAATTGAGGAGGAGGAGAGATTTGTTGGGGAGTGCGAAGGTGGAAAAGGAGGGATTGGAAAAATTGGCTGTTACATTGGCGATTAAAAATCAGGCAGGTTCGAGTTCTGGAAATGGTAATGCGGCGGCAACTCAAGCGGATAAAAGCGCATTATTTGGACCAGGAGTATCCCGACCCAGTGGAAGAGTTCTCGGCGCACCGGTTCCCGAAACGGACAAAACGAGAGAATTGGATAATGAGGGAGTGTTACAATTACAAAAGGAAATGATGCAGAATCAAGATATGGATGTGGAAGAACTAGCCAAGATTGTGAGAAGACAGAAAGAAATGGGATTAGCTATTCATGGAGAATTGGAATTGCAGAATGAGATGTTGAAGAGAGTGGATGAGGATGCTGATAGAGTTAAAGGGAAAATTAATATTGCAAAGAAGAGACTTGGAAAGATTCGTTAGACTTTGATACAGACAGAAGATACATACATAGTGTACGAACGGAAGGTATGGAAGGTGTGGAAGGTATATGATAGGGTATTTGATATTTATTGGATGCAGCATGCATGGCGTTTATGGATTTACTTGCTCGCTATTTCGATGCATAGGAATTGGGATTGAATGGGATGGGTGGATTGGAATGGGTTGAAATGGGATGGACACGGGGAAATATTTGTATATTGTAAGATTACTTTTTAATATAGTTAGTTAATTGTGGATGCTAGATGGGTAGTATGTGTATATGTATGGGTAGGTAGTTTGATAATATAAGTAGGTATTTAAACAATTATATGAAATACCAAGACTTGTGTTTATATTTTGGAAATATATTACATCAATTATTGGTTTACATTCATTTTATTGTTTTTGTTTTCTTATAAATATTAATTATAAATAATAAAAGTTGTATTTGTTGATGATGTATATTATATATTCTTCTCAATCATCTTTTTCAAATCTTATAATAAAATAACAAAGAAATCATCAAATCATCAAAATCTCAAAAATCTTAAGAAAAGAATCATTTAATCCAACTATATATCACTATCACTAATACTATTTCCTACTACTACCACCACGTAAATATCTACTCCATTGCATCTTCATCCCCATCCCCATCTTCCACTTCTCCCTCAACGCCGCTCGCAAAAAAAGAGAAAAAAAATAAAAATAAAAGAAAATGTGATAACGAAAAAACGGTAAAAAAAAGAGAAAGATTCCCGACAAAACCCCAAACTCTAGAAGCAGAAAAGGGGTATTTAAGAAACATATATATATGCGCGCAGTCCATTCATTCTCTCTCTTCCCTTCTCTCTCTCTTCAACACACACACATATATAAGAAAGAGAAAACACACACACCACAAAAAGTCAAAGGTACCAGTACCTTATTCCACTCTAACATTCCGTTATCAAGAAAGAAAAAAGTATCAAACAACTCAAATACACTCCTGACATCCATCTCCTATACATAAATAAACAGACACATAAACACATAAGCCTATAGATTTATAAACTCCTTAGATGAACGAACGAATAAATGAATAGAAATAACATCAACATCGAATAAGCAGATTAAAAAGAAAGCCAAATATGAAACAAGAATAAAGAAGAAGCGAGAAAAATGAAAACAAAAAAACTCCATCGCTAATGCTTCGGTCGTGTCTGTTGTGAAAAAAATTCTGGATTTGTGAAACAAATCGTCATCGTCAATTTCCCATCCCCCCTTTCTTTCTTTCGCTCGTATCCCCTTTTCCATGTTCCTCTTTTACCGAGTGTTGTTAGGGATGGAATCCCACACCCCACATTCCTCATTCTCATTCCACAAATATCAACATTTCATATCCACATGATAAATACTTTCAACTCTCAATCCCCTCATCCCTCATCCCTCATCCCTCATCCCTCATCCCTCATCCTCACCTTCACCCCTCAAATCCAACCCAAATTCTCCAGCGTAGCCTTCGCATCATTCGGACTCATCCCACTGACCCCCAAACTCCTCACCTGAGTCCCCCTCCTCAACCTCTGCAATCCCAACGCCACCTTCCAAGCCTCACTCTCCTGAACCACAAAAACATATTTCTTCCCCTCCTGATCCCTAATACTCGCTCTCAAAATATGTAACCCGGCAGTTTTATTCTCACCCGTCTGCGCATAATGGTTAGTGGTTCTTTTGATTTTCTCTCCGTGAGGAAATTGAGACGACGCAATGGAATCAGCATAATCAGATGAAACAGATGATCGTGTATCAGATGAAGCATAAGAACTTGCAGAATAGACGGAACCACTAACGGAATGCGCCGTGGGAGAATGATGAGAAATAGCTCGCGCGCGACAATTATCCCGACAGAGTTGCAGCATACTAACTAGAAGAGTATCTTTTTCCTCTTCACTGGCTGCTAATTCTTTATCGAGACCCCAAAGGCGTCGGACGGGATTTTTGTGAGCTGTAGTTGTGGGTGGAACACGCGATGCTTGTCTGAAAGATGGACACCATACCTCTACGAGTTTCATTGTCCATGCTTTGATATCCCACTCTCTTTGAGCGACACCTCGTACATCATCATCAATGAAAAGACCCTCCGTAGTAATCCTTAATATCAGTCCGTCGGTAACAGAACCCACACCAGATAAAAGTTGAGATGTAGGGTTTTTGTGGAATGCGTTATTGAATGCGAATACACCTTTGATAACAATTTTATCAGGATCGTTGGTACTATATGCTCCTCTGGTCGAAGGTGGTGGAGTAGTTTTGCTAGTTGATTGTGAAGCTGCGTATGAAGATTCGGAATATAATGAATTGAGAGACTTTTTCCGGCTTGGTCTTGGCGGTTGTGCATAAGATGAGTGGAACTGGCCATCCTTGTCTGTACCTGCATGCATTCTTGCAGCGGGGGCTGGGGTTCTCTTGGGTGAAGGAGGTTGTGCTTGAGGTCGGGGTGTCGAAGTTGTGGTAGGGAATGCTGGTGTTGTCGTGGGGGGTCTTCCATTTGGCCAAGGACTTATTCTCTCTCCTACACCAGCATTCGCATAAGTGCTTGGTTTTCTCCTCTCAGCGGCGAGTGCAGCCTCGATTCTAGCTGCTTTTTCACGTTCTTCCTTGAGTTTGGCTTCTCTTATTTGTGCTGCTACTTGGGCTGCCTTTTCACGTTCTTCCTTAAGTTTGGCTTCTCTCATTTGTGCTTCGATCTGTGCTGCTCTTTCGCGCTCCTCCCTAAGTTCGTCTTCTCTCATTTGTGCTGCTATCTCAGCTGCCTTCTCGCGTTCCTCCTTGAGTTTAACTTCTCGTATTTGCGCCGCTACTTCCTTTTCACGTTCTTCCCTAGCTTTGGCTTCTCGTTTCGCAATCGCCGCCGCCTTAGCATCAGCCCACGCTTTCGCAGCAGCCTTTGCCTTTTCTGCCTTTGCCTTGGCCTCAGCATCTGCTCTTTCTTTGTCTGCTCTGGCCTTCTTGTCTGCTTCCACTCTAGCTATAGCTTCTAATCGTAACATTTCCTGTTCTCTTCTGATGGCTTCCTCCTCTTTCCTTAAAACTTCCCTTCTAGCTATCTCCTCTCGCAACCTCCTGTCATAGTCCGCTCTCGCTTTAGCCTCGGCCTCTGCTTGTATTCGCTCTCGAATCTCGCGTTCTTCCTTTGCCTTTCTCTCTCGCGCCACTTGGTCTTCCCTTTCCATTCTCGCTATCCTTTCATTTTCTTCCCTCTCCTTCTCCCTAGCCGCCTTTTCTCTCTTTTCCCGAACTTCTAATTCCTCCCTATCTCTTCGTTCCTTAGCTTCTCGTATCTCTCTTTCCATTCGTTCCTTAGCTTCGCGGGCTTCCCTTTGTTTTCTTTCGCGGTTTACTCGTTCCAAGGCCTCCTTCGCTCGTAATTCTTTCAATCGCTTTTCCAAATCTTCCTTTCGCTTTCTCTCAGCCTCTGCCTTCTTTCTCTCCTCTTCCTTCTTTCTCGTCCTCTCTCGAGCTTCTTCCCAGGTAGTTCTCGAGGCATTTTGTTTCGACCGAATATCATTGTTTGCGCTAGGGGTTGTGCCAGGACTTTCCCTTGGTGTTGCGCCCGGCATCTCTGGACCAGCATCAGGAGAAGGAGGAGGAGTTTCTTCCCAACCTGAATTTGTTCTTTGTCTTGTGCCTGATCCGGTTTGCGAATTAGATTGAGGTTCCCCAGCCCCCTCTGGTGTGGATCCAGGTGAAAATCCAGTTCCTGAAGCCCGGGGCCCACCGCCTGAAGCCGATCCATTAGAATAAGTGTTATTATTGGCACCTGGGTATGATCCACCATGCGGAGGTACACGGGGTTCTTGACTTGGTCCGGGCCTGCTTTCACCATTCGATTGCATTCGCCCTAACGCCCAAGCTCCCAACCCAATCGCAAACATGAGAATCAAGGTTGTTGGCCCTCCACCTCCTTTCAGACTACTCACCAGTGGTTTTAAAATAAAAGTTAATGCGACAAGTACAAGCGCTGATGCAAAGCCGGCTACGAAACTGTTGACATTTGGTTGTAGTGAAGGTAAATATAAAAATCCTGATCCTGAAGCATGCGGTGGAATGATGAAAATGTCATAGTTTCCTGGTGGTAACCCAGATGATTTTGGCGGATTTCCGTGAGGGGGAGGGGGAGGAGGTGATTCATCAGCCATGGTAACCTTATATGATGTAAATGGTTTGAATGTCGCTATGTACAGGTACTCACAAAGTGGTCGATTTGATTGGGGCTCTCAGGGTTTCGAATGTGTAAAGGATATCTCGAATGATTCGCAGTGTTGTCATTCAAGCCATAGATAGTAGATAGCTAACTGTAAAGTATGATAAGATATCAGCTTCAGAAGATTTCTTATCATGCCAAAATACGCACAATGAACAAACCTCTTCATGAAGCCAAAGGTTCGCAGAAATCAAAAGTTTTTGTTGGCAAACGGCAGAAAAGTACTTTACAAGCAACAATCATTCGACAAGACAAATTTACTAAGATACATCCAAACTAACGGTATAAAACATTCGCAGATATTCTCAAATTCGAATAATTCTCTTATCAATCTGGCCTTCCTGTCGTACTCTGTATGACCTAAATTTTGTCCACAGAAAGGAGGTAAAAAGGCAAAAGTTCACAAGGTTTTCATCAAGTTTGGGTTGGTGAAGCAGTGGAGCAATTTATTATGTATGAGCAATTGTTTACTTTTGCGATAGAAAAAAAAAAAAAAAAACTACTCAAATGTGTTGTGTGTCAATTTTTCAGACGTTTCAGGGTTCCGGGGTTGATAATGGTGTACTGTGCTCCGTAGGCGAAATGCACAGCGATAAGTCTCGAGTCCTCCAAGGCTGAGGGGAATTCAGATGATGGCGGAAGGATCAATTGTATTTGATAAGAAATGGTATTTGCTTCTTTCTGCGATTCTGTTGATTGAATTGATGGAGTTGATTGAGTTGATGGAGTTGATGGAGTTGATTGAATTGATTGAGTTGATTGAGTTGATTGAGTTGATTGAATTGATTGAATTGATTCTGTTGATTGATTGAATTGTCTGGATTGTCTGGATTGTCTGAATTTATCGGATCATTATAGCTAGATGCTTGTTAGGTTAGTGTTCTTCCATCTTCAATCCAACGCTCTGCTTTGATCCTATTCTTCACTCAAAACACACCAAACACGGGACGAAAACCGTCCAAGAAGTAGGGTATTCCTTGTTTACAGCGTACAACTAGCCATCATCGCCTGGATAATTTACTCCCTGCTCTAGAGGGATTTTAGAGCTCTAGATGATCATGAGTTCTTCAACGGTGTATGTTTGTATGTTTATCAAACCTCCAAGCAACACTCCCCACAATCACCAACATGATTACACTGTACACCACACCACACCACACCACACCACGCCACACCACACCATTCATTCTCTCTCTCCCCTGAGCCTGGTGGCCCTATCACTCGAGAAACATAAACGCCATCTCCACCTTCCCCTGCCAGAAGAACACGTTCTCACACCAAGAAGCATGCATCCGTCCAGTAAACTGCTGTGCGAGTAATAACATCGACTTGGTCCTACCATATCAGTGGGCCTACTCCCTAAGTATGACTACCCCGTAGCATGTACTCGTACACAGACAGCCTGAGAGAGTATCCTCCGTCAAAAACTACCTCTACTGAAACCATCAGCGCCAATCAATCACCAACCTCATCCAATCCCATCCCTCATCTACATATAAAACCGTTCTAATATAGACCCTCTCTGCAGTCCAACCCACAAAATATTGTAACCATCACAAATGTCACACTGCATCCTCCTTACATACCCAGGTACCTAGGTAAACAAGGGACGGCCCGTCGTCTATTAAGACTTAACTAAATTATCTAATTTATTCATTTCTATCCGCGAACCCATTTATCTTCATTCACCAACCCTGATCTTACTTTTGTTTGGCGCCCACTTGTATAGTCGCCCACATCTATAATTGCACATGCATGCAGGATACAAAACAAAACACAACAAATGCCCAATGCCGAAATCATGAGCGGTCTCATGAAACTTGACTTCTCAATTTTGTGCTAATTAAATAAACTTGGTGCTTGGTTCAGATGGATGTGGGTTGGCTTTTCGTGGAACGTTACAGTTGACGGCTGGGCTTGAGCGTTGCTGTGGGCAACGCATTAGTTGAGATGACGTAGACGTGTTTGGTGAGAGAGTTGGCTACATTTTTATTGGATCTGGTGGATGGAAAGAAAAGAAAAGGGGGATGGAAGTTGTGGTGAAGAAGAACAAGATGTTTGAGTGATGATCGTTGTATGATAATCAGTGGTGAAATACCCTTCCTTTATTGCAGGAATGAACAATGGAACGAAGTGACCAAGACGAGTGTCTTGATCTATACACTCCAAGAAAGTCCCAGGAGTGGTAGAGAAACTGTGATGAAAGGTTCATTGTATTAAATTGCTTCAAATATCCTTTCATTCGGTCGAATTTATTTCTATTGTTACATATATCGGGGAATAATGAGTGGGAAGCTGGTCAAGGACGGCAATCTACACCAGAAAATACCCGAAATCCTTTTTGTTTTTTTTATCATTCTTAATACTTCTATAATAGTTCATATATCATTACCGTTTCCCTATTCCCACCTTAAATACACACATGAAGAAAAAGCTGATGTAAAAGAACCAATACCAAAATTGACAATCAAAAACTCCTCCTAATTTTGGTAAGACTTACTTCCACATATCACCAATCTTCTACACATCTAGCCCAAGTAATGGATATAAAAGCCACGACGTCCAAAAACTCGGCTCCAGACTTTCCTCAAGATAAGATACATGAATATCCAATATTCCTCTCTGATACTTCCGGTCCGGGTCGGAATAGCCACCTAATTAGACTCTAGTATTCCCTTCCAAAAATATTATTCATACGAATTGGGAATTCGAGATTATGTACTTTCTTTACCATGGTCCATTCATTAGCTACCTGGAAGTTTGATACTAAGTACCTGGAGTGAGTGTACCAAGTTATATATCTCCTCGGATGTATAGATAGATGTTGAAGAATTTGCTATTGTATATGTCTATCTGATTCGTCGATGTTTGCGAGTGGCGAGTTAATACTAGGGAAATATTGGAGGGGTATGTATAGGTTAGGTTATTGGGTAGTAGAGTAGTAGGGTGTGTATATATATATATATATACCAAGGAAAATGAGGAGAGAGTTATAGTAAGTTAAATCAAAATGAGATAAAATAAACATAAGATTATTATTATTGCCATGGTATTGAAAAGTAGAAATTAAGAAGTTTTTTGACTCTTTTTTTTGTACAATGGTAAAGAGGTGTGTAATCATACATGAATTTTTGGATTCTTCTTCTTCTTCTTCTTCTTCTTAGACTTCTTCTTCAAAGACAATATCAAAGTATAGTTACTCACATTATTCTCGCTTTCAATCTTTCCTCGATAGACTCTATCTATCATATAATAAAAAAGGCGATCAATTAATCCATAAAAAAATATTAAAAAAATAATACAAAACCTCTCCATACTTCTCTCCCATCGTCATATCCCACTTCCGGTTATTTTCTTCCTCCTAAATACTAACAAATTCAATATTGTCATATAATTACCGTTTTGTAATGCATGCTTGATTATATATAAGGAAGATGGATATACAAATACGATAATCTTCTTGCGTAGGTGCTGAGGGAGTTGATGGGATGCGTATCAGTTTGTGTAGAGATGGTATTATAGTTCATGATATTGATGTGGTTGACAAGCGTCGCGTTCAACGGTTGAGGATCAATAGAGATGTATCATGGAGATATGCCATTCGCTCTCTTATAATCGTATGAATGGCTGCGAGGTGATAGTAGCAATGGAATGAAATGGGATAGAATGGAATGTCTGTGTAATAATTAGATAATCACAAGTTTAGACTTTCTCGAGGGATTCGAATGGAGAATATTCAATATAGTGCTTGGGTTGAATTGAAGTTGAGATGGTGGTGTTGAATTGTGGATTTTGTGGAATGTGGGATACGGGATATGGGATGTGTTGCTTGTTTCTTCGTTTGTCTACTTTCTTATTTCATTACCAGCTTTTGAGTTATATAAGCAAACTGATCATGAGGAATGGATAGTGGTAGAGTTATACGGAGTAGAGTATTTAAAAGGATTCTTTTTTATATATTTATATACTTATCTACTCATCTACTCATCTACTCATCTACTATAAAGCTTGCTTCTAATCAATAATACCTTTTACTTCTTTCACTTATAATCTTAACTTTAATTATTTGTAATATTTAATATTATTAGGATTTTAAACAAGTTAATTATATTTGACCCAGATGATTTCCGTCACCTCTCCCGAACTTTATCATGTTAGCGACTCTATCTAAATCTTACAAACTCTCTATATAAGAAAAATCAAAGAACTCTTCTTCTATATATTTTAATTTTCAAAGGCTTTATCACCTCAGTCAATTCTTCCTAAAGATTTTCGCTTTCCCACAGGTCAAATTATAACATTGATCCCCGAAACACTCATGATCATGTTACAAGGTAACAGTCAACCTGTCCATATGAGCTTGGACCTCATCAAAAAGCAAGGCAATTTGTATACAAATTTCTATGGTAATCGACTCATGTATGGTCTGATCGTAGTCATGTGATGGATCATAGGATCTAGGGGATCTAGAGAATCGTATTCTAGATCCACTAGATCCTTATGATCCAATTGATACGAAGATCTATATAGCTAGGGAAGGATTCCTTTTGTAGAGCTTTGTGCTCAAGATCAATCATTTAGTATACTCCATTATTAGTTACGAATTGCAACCATTAAAACCATTGATATTACTTTAAGCCCCCTGCTTGACGCCTAGTTATAAACCATTCGAGGATCCAGGCCACTTCCACGTGATCTAGATCGCATCCCTTGTAACACTTGTTATTTCAAAGGATTCTTTGAAGAAAACCTTTGTATTTATAATATTTAATAAGATTCTAGTATATTCTATGATTAATAATAAGATCAATTTGAATCGAATCTTATAGAATCATTTTATATAATAAAAAGAAATAATAACCAATAATATTCAATCTGATAAATAAGAAATTCTATACGCTTCTACTTCATTTTATTCCTTTGTAAATCAATCTGATATGAATTATAATCAAATTTTCATATGATAATGAAATTTAATAATATATATGGATATTATTAATATATATCACGTGATCATCCGATCATTGGTTCGGCTAATATTATTAAGTGATTTAATAACTTATTAGGAAATCTCACAATAATACTGGAACGAATTGATAACCAAGGTAAGCATCGACAACGCGCTGGCAACGGTAATTCTTTCATTATCCTTCTAGAAAGACCACTGAAGCTCTAGGAATTGGTCTTATAGTCCATGTTCAGGGCAAGGAAGAGAAAGATACAGTTCTGGGAAAACTAAGAAGGAAAATTGTCCATGAGTTTCGAGAGGTAGTCGACGATGGTGTAATGACCATTTTGTGTCGCGCAGTCTCGCGGTGTCCGAAAGTTTCTGCACTCGAAATCAGTGACAGTTAGGCTTGCTCCCGCGCCCACCAACAACTTCACTGCCTTAAAATGACCGGTTTCTGCAGCATAATGCAAAGGAGTCTCTCCATAAAAATCGTGAATATGGGGACTGGCCTTGGCTGCGATAAGCTCTTGGATAAGATCAATGAAGTCAAATTCTGCTGCCCAATGTAGAATCGTCTTACCATGGGCAACATCTTTCTTGTCCCAATTGTATTTTGCACCCCAATCGTTGTTCATCATGATTTTTACAAGCCACGCCAAAGCGTTATTGTGACACGCAGTGTATAACGGAGAGCTGCAGAAGCCCGTGCCCGCCCAAAGTTCTGCTCCACGCTCCAGCATCAATCTCACTAAGTTTGCATTTCCAGTCTGTATAGCAAGACTTAGGGGTGTTTCCTCATCCACACCTTGATAATTTACGTCCAGAATATTGTTGAAGACCTTGGTCAATATGGGCCATTCACTTTTGTAAGACTCACGACCAAATACAAAACGAAGGATGACATTCTGTTCCTCTGTTGATTGGACTGCTGCGCCACTCTTGATTAATTGTATGACCACCTCGGATCGTTGATTTCCACAGGCATAAAAGAGAGGTGATTTTTCTTTGACATCTAATACCTGAACATTTGCTTTACATCGAAGAAGCATTCTACAAATGTTTTTGTTTCCCCAAAAAGCAGCAAGATGGAGAGCTGTGTACTCCATTCTTGGACTTTTGATGTTAACGTCGGCTTTTGCTCTTAGCAGGAATTTGACGACGCTCTCGTGATTAGCTATGCATGCAAACATTAGAGGGGTGTAGGCGTCAGACCACAAAGGTAGGTGAGCCCCAAAAATTAGGTCGTTTGACTCCAAAGTTAGGTCGTCACAGCCAAGTAAAGCGTTGATATCGGCTCCTTGTCGGCTGTTCCCACCATTCTGGTCTAGAAGATTGGCCAAGCAGCTCTCGACCTTGTAGTATGATGCCAAAGCTAATACCACATTTGGTGCACTCGTTTTCCATGGATAATTTTGCTTAAGCCTCAGAGGTTGCTTCTTGTTCAATGAAATTATCAATTTTAAGAGTGCGCCATCATCGGATGTGTACAGTCTGTCAAAGAGGTTGAATTGGGCGACGCCATGTTGGTCTGCCTCACAAGCGTGCACAAACAAATAATTTGCCGAGTACTTCAGAAGTATAGGTGGTTCCTCAAATGGAGGCTGAAGCTCATCAGAAGTGACAGACAGGGCATCGAGGTCAACGCTTGATGCTAAATCCTCAGAGGCTACGGGACTAGAAATTGACTCTCCTATTTGGTATAAGGTGAGGTATTTCAGACTGTCATCCAAAAGTTGATTATGGCTAAGTCCGATTAGCTGTGAGTCCAAGCCTGGGTCCAAGAGAAGTAGACCTGATTCTTTGACGAAAAAATTTCGAACCGACTCGTGAATGACTTGTATGCGCTGTCTCCAAAAAGAGCTTTGCAGCTCTCTACGTGCGCCAAGTCGAAGCCCACCGTGTACAGAAGCCTCTGGCGTGCCATGGTGGGGCTGTTGGAGTACTCTCGGCCAATCGTTCTCCAAACTGGACTCAGAATCATAATCGAATGTAATCGACTCAGGCGTCATGCTCGTCGACCGACATCGGGAGCTATGGCTATCAATTGACCCAGAATTGAGTGGTTCGTCGATCACTTCGACCAGGCCTTTAGTGCGAGTTCGCACCATGTCTGCAAACCTCTCGTTTGTTGTGAGATGCTTCGTCTCATTTTGCCACGTTTGGACCAGTTCTTTGGCAGGGCTTACGGATGTAGCTGTGCATGCAAGTGCCATTGCGTGGCGTAGTTCGCCGGCAGTAAGTTGCGTCTGCGAAAAGAGAGCCCATTGCAAAATCTGCAACATCTCACCACGGCCTTTATCCCCTTGACAACTCTCGACTAGCTGCTTATACAATTGGTGTAAGTCGGAAGGGACTCTCTTGAGCTCTTCGCGCAAGCTACTAATTGACTCCCCTCCAGCATACATGTTTTTCAATTTTGCCATCACGAGTTTTACCCAAAGGAAAATGCCACCTGCTTTCTCCACGAGATCCGATTTCAATGCTTGTCTCTCTGAGTATTCACATGAGAGCTTAGTCGCAGAGGGAAGTTTGCTTTCAATGAAGGCACCAATATCTTGCTTGTTGTTTTCCTCTACGTTGACTCCGCTGCAATGCTGGAAACGGATGTTTGGGTAGTGACGACTGGAAACACACAAGTTCAAGATCCTGCCATTTTTCTTAGCAGTAGTGACTGCAGTTTGGAAAATTTCAATAATCCTCAATGCCTCCTGGGTCGTTCCGTCTATACCACATTCATCAAGGGCATCGATGAAAATAGTAACAGGCTTGAGATGCTCGCGCTCAAGGGCTTGGAGAAAGTATTCCACAATCTCGTTCTGCTTCCAAGTCCAATCACCTCCAGTTTCGTTCCTTTGCGTAAAAGTCTTGAAAATGCGTTCAGGAACTGGCGGTGTCTCCAAAAGAAGCTGGTGCAGCAAAGACTGAAACAGTCCTAAAGTATTTTTCTCCAAGTCATTGCCGCTTCTTGCGTTGAAGTAAAAGGCAAGGACAATCTCGTCTCTCCCAGACTCCTCCTTGAACTCGGGAGAGGTAAATCGAGTGACCAAATACTTCATCATTGTTGACTTTCCTGAACCTGGATGCCCTTCTATGGAAAAGACACCTTGATGACGCGGAAGATTTTCCCTTGCCTCCCATTGTTGGAAGTTTGGGTCGTGTAATATCCACTCTAACCTTCCTTCCCCCACAGAGTCTGGAAGTTCAATGGCGTCCTGTCGTGCCCCGTACTCGAAAAACAAAGTTCTCAAGCAATCTGTAAAATGTCAGTCCCAGAAAACATTTTGACAGGACTAGCAATTGTAGCGCTTACCTTTCTCGGTTCTTTTCGGAAGTGGAGACACCGAGCCCGCTAGCTCAAGAATACAGTTAGTGATGGCACCTGAAGGGGCACAGTTCCTAAAATTGGTACAATAATTTGGATTTAAAGAACTATGATCTATGGAGATAAATTCGAGAGACAGTAAATTAAGCTGACGAACCAATTCTTTCCTGTAGACGTTCTTCACAGATGCGTAGTTGATTCTGAACATCTTGCTGAGCCATGTAAGAGCGAGTTGCTGACGCAATAATGGCCAACTTTTTAGTTTCATTCAAGCCTACAGTTTCTAGCCCCCGCTGGACGTTGAAGCGGTAGTAGATATTGTCCTTGTCAAGATCATTGTGGCGTCTGTGGAAGTCTTGGGCCGTTTTCTCCGTATCTGTAGCTATGGCCAAAATAGTGCGGAAGATTTCAGCCGGATGCTCTCCGAATGCCTCAGCCTTTGGCACGCCAGTCCCAATCGATATGAGACACCTTAGTTGTGCTTCCAAAGTAACTGATGACCAGATGTCCTTTGCTTCGTTCCACAATTCAACGACGGGGTTATTCGCTCCAGTTCCGCCGTCCAAAAACTTTTCGCCATATGGTCCAATCACTACAGGATCAAAGAACGATGGTGCTGCAGATGTTGCCCGGGCAGCCTCCCAAATTTTGGTGTATTTGATGAGGTCTCCAGCTCCTCGGGATTGATAGCTTGCAAGACGTCGAGTGCCACGACCCTCTCTCGTAGTGCTGGTGACAAATCTAGTATCAAAGTTGTTAGCACAATCAAATAACTAGAGCCAGCTCTACTTTACTTACATCTTACACTTCCCTTGCGGCCAAAAGAGAAGGGAATCTACAGGTATTCCGCGATCCTTGATAACCGCCTTGATAGCTTCCTCAAGTACTATAGTATCAAACTGTCCTCGGACTTTTCGTTTCGTAAGGGAAATGCGGGAGTGTTTTTTGAGAAAAATTTTCCCCATCATCTCCGTGTATGCTTCCTTACATTCTTGCACAGACATCTCAAGGCGGCCCAACATAATTGCAATTAGCCTTCTTAGTCAGCCTTATGTCTCCAAGGGAGAATATTTGGGCTTACCCTCCGGTGCTTGTCCCTCCGATCATGTCAAAGTATTCGCATGGCTTTGGTGGAGAGTCTGGATTGATTCTATTCATGATTTCTTCTATAATGAAGAGCATGGAAAGCCCACGAATCCCACCACCGTCCAACGAGAGCAGAGACAACTGCTGTGGTGCGCTCATCGTGACTTAGTTTTAGCCGTCCTATACAAATTTAAATGGTATGGATGAGAGAGTAGGGTGTTGTTTAGAAACAGAAGTAGTGACTATCGAATGATGGAGGGACAAAAGGCCGTGCAGCCCAGGAAGATTTTGTGAGAGGGAAAATGCTGATGAGACAGCCTTGCTTCATGATATATAAAAAGTAGAGTATAGGGTTGTACCTTGACCAAGGTTCTTTTATTTCAAGCCGTCACATGGCTAGTCCTTACTACATTAAGAACTGCACGAAACGATAGTTACATTAGCTTTTTGCCCCGAGTCAAATACTACCTCACCATCACCCCAAACAATAACTCCCTCAAACTAAATTAATTTAGTATGTAGAACGAGGAATTTGCCTTCATTAGACGCCTCGAACTAGATACTTAGAATTGCCTTTTGCAGCACATTCTGGCGGTGTTGCAATTAACCTCCTAGGACTAGGTTCAATAGGAAATGCAACATTCGGGTAGAAAGCGCAACCAAAAAAAGGCTTTCGAGAAAGGAAAAGAAGCGACACCAGAAACCATATGTAGTCAGATTTAGGGCAAGGGAGTACCCTAAAGTGCTTTCAAATAGCCGCTCCTAACATCTTTATCACAATTACCTACAAGCCTCGTGCAAGGCAATCTTAGCGCACGTTTGCAATCAGCTTCTTCCAATATCGCAGCCGGACTTCCCTATTCCAAGAAAAGGAATAACGGAGTTTTATTTCCCGCTCAGTTAAATTAAGAAGGTAGCATTATACTATCTTACTTTTGTTACACGGTGAACAATAAAAGCCTAGGCTATATAGTAGTTATATAATGAAATAGAGCATATTGGTCAATCTCAATTGAATACTTTTTTAACAGTTGAAATTAAATGAATAATTGTTCGAAAGCTAGTTAGGATCTTTTGCTTTCCTATACCCGAACTTCTTTATTTCAAAAAAAGGAACAATGGACTTCTATCTCCCGTTTAGTTAAATTAAGAAGGTGGCATTATACATCTACCATCTTGCTTCTGTCTAAGAACTAGAGCTCGGGATCGAAGAAACTCAATAATTTAAGCAATGTACTTTGTGACCATGACATACATTTATTTAGCTGATAGAATAGAAGGCATCGTATAGCTTCCAATCAAACTTGCTGATAGCAGAGGTGCACTCTTTTGGCTTACTACACAGGCCAAAAACTAGTCCTTTAATAGAGTTCAGCTATTAGGTCCTTGATAAGGCTTCCAAGTACAATTTTTACTTGTTGAACACCCTAGAACTTCTACATGATTCTATGTGGGTCAGACCCAATAAATAACAATAATTCATAATATGATACGAAGCTGGCATATATATAATATCATAAGCTACTAGGATTATTCTTATCATTATTTCTTTTGGAAGGTTAGCGTTCCTGGCACCATAGTAAAGCTAATGATCTTTGTATACACATCTAGCTTTGTTATATAATATAGATAGTTTCCTTTCTCAAGATCGTTTTACTATTCTATTTCTGTGACGACATAGAGTGTTTTAAATCGTACTTTCTAGTGATAGTAGTAATGTTCGGCTTCCCTTGACTTTCTAAATGATCCATCGCTATCCATATACACTCATTTTATCGTAATTTGAAGCCATCGTGGTTGAATGGTAAAAACCGTGCTCTGAGTGGGGGCCGTGGATATCGGTTACGTTAGCGAAAATGACACTGTGCGGGGTTAAGCGTTGTCATGTTCATGTGCTCGGCATGTGTTTTCTCAACCACCGCCTAGCAATTCGTCATCGCAACCATCGTCCAAAATAGCATAATATATCATCTTTATTATTTCAAGCTTTACAGTGAGTATGGCACCAATTGCAACTTCACACGCATCTTCTGGGCAAGCCATGCATAACAGAAACGGCAAACGTGTCTCTGTAACAGCTCCCAATGCCGACGGTGCAGCTTCAAGCTTGCGGCACAGCTCGACCATCTCATGGGCTCTTATTCTCGGTATCTTTGGAGCTCTGTTAGCATTAGGAGGTATAGTATACCAATCCCAAAACTCTGAAAGCACTCCAAAAGCTAGAGTCATTGAACGAAGCTTTCAAAAGGTGGTCGGATGGGAAGAGCCACCACCAACCATGGATACCAAGGACTAGGATGGACGAAGGGAGCAAGTCAAGCAGGCATTTGTTTCCAGTTGGGACGCCTACACAAAATATGCATGGGGTATGTTAAGAAAGATTGCACCTTACGCGATGTTATATTCTTGCATTTGCATAATTGAAAGACCGTATTTCCTGGACACAATTCTGATTCTTGTGTTATGATACAGGCGCTGATAGCTTCCACCCTGTTTCGAAAGGCGGCTCGCTCATGAGTTCACGCGGATTGGGATGGATCATCATTGATAGTTTGAATACTCTGATGATCATGAACCTGACTTCTCGGGTTGGAGACGCGCGAAAATGGATTAAGAAAAGTCTGACATGGGATCAAGATCAAGATGTGAACACATTTGAAACGACAATTCGCATGCTCGGTGGACTTTTGTCTGCACATTTTTTAGCATCTCAAGCATCTCAAGCATCTGATATCACCTCCGCAAATGATGATATCTATCTGAAGAAGGCAGTGGATTTAGCTGATTGACTCTTAGGAGCGTACAACTCTCGATCCGGGATTCCATATGCTAGCGTTAATTTGAGATCCAAAGAAGGTATACCGTCGCACACTGATGGGGGTTCCTCATCGACATCCGAAGCGGGTATACTGCAACTAGAGATGAAGTATCTTGCACAGCTCACGAACAACACGAAGTACTGGAAAAAAGCTGAGCATGTGATTAAAGTCCTAGATGACAATGGCATGACGGATGGACTGCTTCCAATTTACGTTCATCCAGGGAATGGAAGGTTCACTTGCTCGGAGATCCGCCTGGGAAGTCGTGGCGACTCATATTATGGTATATCCATCTGATTGACTGGCGGTCTGATATCATACTGATCCTTTTTAGAGTACTTAATCAAGCAGTATCTCCAGACATCAGGACAAGAGCCCGTCTACCTTGATATGTGGTCACAAGCTCTGGAAGGTGTACAAAAAAATCTCGTTACCTACACCAAGTATGCAAACTTGACCATTATTGCCGAACTACCTAGCGGTATTGGAGGTCGGTTATCACCAAAGATGGATCACCTTGTTTGTTTCCTCCCTGGTTCCTGACACGGATCTCGTATAAAGGACGATCACGTGATTTCAATTGATCGACAATTCCTATCGGTGAGCTGGTAGTCTGTGCACATCTTGCCAAATTTACCCTTTTTAGTATGGCATTATGATCACCTTAAGGCAGATTGCGCACAACCATGCAGCTACCGTATAGGTATTTTGTATATATATATGGATGCTCCCTACGAGCCATAGTTCTTCAGTTGTAGATTCTAAGGAATATAATTGACCCTGTTTATTCAGCTCTTATGAGGCTCTTGTACGTCACACTATTAGAATCATTCAACTCTATTGGAATCATTCAACTTTACTGAAATCATTCAATTCAATTCTATTCATTCAATTCAATTTTATTTATTCAATTCATCTCATTCAACTTATAATAATTATAATTATTATTATTATTTTTAAAAAAAAATTTAATTTTCAATTCTCAAAAACAAGCCGATATTCTGCCTGCACCCTAATATATATTTAATATTTAAATTTATTATAAAATTTTCAAAACTTAAATTTTCATTAAACTTTCTCGAAAAGCCAGGGGTCCGGAGGGCGCAGGCCCCTGGTATATTTAACCAAAATGGCGATTGAGTGCAGGTCATTAAGCTTGTCAGAAAAGAGAAAAAGTTCGAGGTTAGGAGTATATGGAATGGAAATAAAATATATATTCCTTTCTACGTTAGCTAGAGTGAAATTTGTTATCATTATTCAACCGGCCTTTGGTTTCCTTCTTCGCGGGCAAATTAATGGTTATTATTGAATATTTCATAATTTTTCACAAGTCATTTCCGGTTCCCGTCTTTGTTCGCCACTTGAGTACTCAGCAAAAGATTAAAGATTGGAGAACAAGGAGAAAATGAAAGACAGTTATAGCATTGAAATTCTACAAGACCGAGTCTGATCCATGCAGAAGGCTTGTCGATAGCTTCGACGAAGTATCTATACTTGGATCCGTATAGAATCAGATATGCAACGAAAGCGTCGAATGATTCACCACTAGGTAGCCTCATCCAACTCTTTCTGGTAGATTAATGATTGAGATGTGCTGTTTCAAATGGATTCGGCAAGGGTTTTTGCATAAACGAAGCCAACTAGAGCACGAATACCATTTAATCAGATATCTACATACGGAGTATCCAAAGACTTGACTCCAATGATATTTGTGCACCATGAAATCTAGATCCAGGGATATGTCTAATCCATGGAAGCTATGCTCCGGAGCGGATATTTTCTGATGATGAAACATCAGGTCCGGATTGATGTGCATTGATTAAATAGTTCGGTAATTCAGACCGAGAAAACGAGTAAGGATGCCTAGAATAGTCTCATTCATTAGGTAGAGGGGTTGTAGTTATCGCTTGATGACTTTACCGAGTTCCTCAAGTCTCGACATTGTGTACTTTGGTGTCTATTCGATTTCGCAATGATTATCCCATAAGCTTGTCTCATATTTCCAGGTAGACCAGGTCATATTCATCACTGGATGACTTATATGCCTTCGACAGTATTCCATCTACTATGCTTTCCAATCTATTCGTATATCTTGCCTAGACAATTCAAGTCACACTCCAGGTAACTTCTACTTACGCACCTTTACTACATGAATATAAGATCCGAATTATATTATACTTTCAATCAATCTTCCCCAAAATAGCAAAAACCACATTATTTGCCTTCGCGACGGTGACGATACTTCATCCTGCCTAGAAAAATATCCACATCGGTGTACGTTTCGTACTCGGATAGGATACAGTCCCACGTGCACATATTCTTGGCAGATTCATAGCAACAGCGACCTAATATGGAGCCTAGACTGGGGCAATCCAGAAAGTTGGAATTCCCATCGAAATATAGTAAAGATGCACGAATGAGGCGAAGTGAAATATTCCGTAGCTAGGTAGCAATAGGTTTTAAGTAATCGAAAGAAATATTGTCTGTTTCCCATCGGGTTTCTCCCATTGATCTATGCGTCACGCTAGAGATTTCGCCACACTCATCCTAGCCATTAGCCACACCACCATTACATAAGGTTACACCCATCCCATGCAGCACCAAAATTTCAAACAAGGCTTCATCAACCACAATCCAAAAATTAACGTGGATACACTTTAGATATGCAACAAAAAACATCTTCACATCCAAAACAATCCCGAAATATCCAATCCAATCAAGGCAAATATCCCAACAAATGCATCAGATCTTTTGCCTCGATTTCGGATGGAACCTTGCCAAGGGATCCTTGTTGAATGACACTGCCACGCCGGTTGTGAGTCACTTTTTCCTTTTGACTCTCGGATAGAGATGGATGAGTGATAAAATCAATGAAGTGGTGTAACGACTCCAGCTATCGGAATTGCATTGTGGTGTGAAAAGATTCGGGTAGAAAACACGTGGTATGGTGGAATGTAGGAGATGCTATCTATATATTATAGTATATTCGAGTCATCGAGTGGTGACTATTATTTTTATTAGTATTGTGACTCGAAGAGTTATTGGCCTATTGAGAGAGGAGATATAAGTTAAATATCTTTCTCTTTCATTTGATCTTTTGATTCTTTTATCGTTGATTGAATTTCTTGTGCTCTATCCTTTGGGCTTATATATACTCTCATATACCTCCCGGGTTTGAATGTTGTTGCTTTTGTATTGTGTCAACCTATCAAGACTTTAAGGACCAAAGCTCCCTCACATACTCAAACTTAAAGTATCCTACTATTGCTACTTTGACAATGGTTACTACAAATCTATCTCCCCCCACCCCTCACACATCAACCTCCTCGCCTCCAATCCAACATCGACAAAACCGGCGTCGGGAAAGACCAGGCTCACGCGCCCGTCGAAGTATCTCTCGTAAAACCGCTCTCGCCACCGATCTCAACGAAGGAATCCTCGAAGCTCGAGACTCTGATTTCTACATTCCAAATCATAGACCCGGTAACGGAGCTTCACCATTACTGAGACAAAACTTCGATCAAAGTTGGATGAGATGGAAAGCTAGACAAACTGCTGAGCTAGAGATGTTAGCTATGAAACAAAATATGAAACAGTTGGAGATGGAGAGACAAATGATGATTGGGGAAATGAAGAGGAGGGAAGAAGAAGAATTGGGGAAAATGCAACGAAGACTTTTTGGTGGTGATGATGATGATGACGATGTGAGTTGTGATATTGATCTTTGTCCTGCTATGCTGGATGTGGTGTTGAGACTTTTCGATGGGGAGGTCGATTATTTGGATCCCTAGTAAGAGTCTCATCTCAAGTCACTTCACTTCATCATTTTTGATTCTTCAATCACCAGAATTTTCGGTTGCGTTCGGCTATAGAGTTTGGATAAATCGGTTCAAAGCATATCAGATGGATGAATGCTTACGCATTTCTTCTCCTTCACAGCTGTTATGTCGCATGAAAGCTCTTCATCCATCTACACCCACATCAATCTGTCAAGACCAAATCCAAAATGTCGAAACTGAGAAACTATTCTCATACAGCTTTCGACCACCACAGCTCCGTTGCACAGAATCAAGATGTTAAATTTGATTTTTCAACAACATACATCATGATCTGGTTTCTGCGGAGGGCAGGAGTCCGTTCGTCTCATATGGGGATATACTGCATGGGATTTGCCTCGAATTTTCATCTTCTGCCCAATCTTGTTTGCTGCATATTCCGGATCCGGGCGGGATACAATACGGCCATTACCACCTTCAACTTGGATGCCTCTACTTTACCTTATCATCGGCCTCGATATGAATATCCATCTACCTACATTCTCCTCGTCTCGGTATGATCAGTTCTTGACGAATGAACATTCATCTCTACCCACGTCATACATCCACATTCACATCCGCACCATCAACACCTCAAGTTACCTCACTACTCATCCACACCTCAGGGAACCAAAAAAGTACCACTGGGAGAACTACAAAAAACCTCGAATATAATATTCATCGCGTGACGACTCGCGACAAATCTCTCAAATCAAATCATCGTATCAAACTAACCTACCATACGCTTTCTCCCCCTCTCTACCTACCTCTTTCCACCTTGTCAATTATCAATCCCACCTTGGGGCTTGTATGGTTTGGTTAGGTTCGGTTGGTTTAGTCAAAGATTAGATTTGGTGTAAGGGATTAGTCCTCTATAACTTGAATGATTTCTCATTCGAGAGTTTTATTTCTCTGCGGCTGGAGAGGAGGGGCTCTTGCGGTTCGGGGTTTGAGATATTTGATTGAGAGTTTAGAGGCTGAGTGTGGAAAGGGAAAGGAAGAAAAAAAGGAGTAAAAGAGAGAGGGGAGGAAAGGAAAGGATCGTAGAAAAAATAACAATTATATAGTAAAAAGTATAAAAAAGTATAAAAAAATATATCCTATATAGTCTAATATTTTTTGAAAAATAAAATAAAATAAAATATTAAAATATTGTTTATTTTATTACTCAAGTTTATTATATTTAATGATTAAAAAAATTTCTCAAAGAATGATAATATTAAAATATATTGTTTTTTTAAAGATAAGATTATACTTTTGAATTTATTAATATACTAAATAAGCTCAATATGTATAAATGAAAAAAAAATTAAAAACTGATAAAAATATAGTATTTATATTTATTTATACGAGATTTACTTTATTGAAGTTGTAATCTTATATTAAGAGCTATTGGATACGATATTCAAATCATGATTGAAACACACACATATGATCCAAACACTCAAAATCTCAAACGCTCATTTCCTCCCCTTAAAAACCATCATCAAATCTCCCAATTCGCACGTAAAAACCTCTCTTGTATCCTGATTTCCACCCATCCCTTTCCCTTTCCCTTCCCCATCACCCCTTCCATCAATAACCCACTCCCTCCCCGTCAACTTCTCCCCCACTTCTCCCTCTGCGAACCCCACATCAAACTTCGTCACGATTCTAGCCACCACAGCTCTCAATTCCATCAACGCAAGTTGTTTTCCGATACACGAGTAATTTCCCGCGCTAAAGGGAGTGAATGTCGATTTATCGAGGAGGAATTGCGCGTTTTGTGGGTCTGGGAACCAGCGGGTTGGGAGGAAGGTGTGAGGCGAGGGGTAGCTGGATTTTACTATTTTGGGTTGGGGTAAGAAGTTAGTTAGGAGGATAGATTAGGAAGGGAAGGATAGAAAATGTGTGAGTAGACGTACGACGACCCATGGTCCATGTAGGAGTTGATATGGTCACATTTCCCGGAATGTAAGTTCCATCAATTGTAAGACCTTCAGGAGGTGTTTGTCTCAATAAACCACTGGGAACAGGTGGGTGCAATCGAAGAGTTTCATTAATAACACCATTGAGATACGGAGCATGTTGAATATCTCTACATTCGTTCGGGGACCCTGGAGTGAATATTGGCTCTAGTTCCTCTCTCAATTTGGCGACGTGATGAGGTTCGAGACAGAGGTGATAAAAGAGATATGTGAGCGTTGCTGATGTAGTGTCACTACCGGCGACAATGATGAGTCGTGCGTCACCGTATAACCATCTTGTGAGTTATTAGTATGGTTAGGGTATATATGCTTTTTTAAGGATATGTTGAGACGAACCGAGGATCTTTATGGATTGGATCTGGATCATTTTCATAAGCATCAATTAACCATGTCATAATATCGGGAACGTTTGGTTCATTCTAAATTTTCCAAATTTTAGTAGATCTCTTCGTGTGCATAATGTGAGCTCACTAACCACTCTTCGAATATCAATTTGTTTTGCACAAAAGCGAATAAAATCGTTGAGACCATCCATCAGACTTGGAACCTTGATGAGGATAGGGAAAATCCAGGGAATGGGTGAGAGAAAACCCAGTGGGACCTGGACCTCGTGCAATAATTTGAGTTCATTATGCTATTTCTGTTAATTAGCGAAAGGAATAAATGTACAGACGAACGGGTGGGACCTTTTCTCCAGTTCTTAACATATCAAAAGGTTTCCCAAATGCTAAATCGCCTGTAACATCAAAGGCATAAGAATTAAACCAGTATGTTACATTAACTGCTTTTCCTCGGGAAGCGTCAAGCTGGGAAACCAATTCATCCGCATAGCTTGTAACTCGACCCTCGTAGTTGCGTAAGGCTGTATGAGTGTGAGTAATGACATTCACACAATCATTTTAAAAAATACTAAGTCCTACCCTTCGCGCTAAATCCACGATCCCAAACCTTCCTTCTCTTATCATGGTCCACACGATCGCGTTCCGAATGCATAGTAGTATGAGGAAGCGCAACAACTACATTCAGATCGGGTGTTTAGTAATTTTATATCTTCGGAAGCTTTTGGAAGAATAATTGGGAATTACGCACCATCATACCAGGGACTCTTAATGCATTTTGATCCCGGCCCAATCAAAGCCTGAACAGCTTCAGGTTTAGTGATCGAAAGTTCATTGGGGCCAATCCTATCATATCTCATCAGTCCCTCGTCTCGTCAAAGACACATTGAAATCCAACCCACCTCACAGTATCCCCATACACTCCATGCAATGCATGCGTTTGCAGGTAATTATCACTCTTCTCAATTAATCTCATTGTATGAGTCAACTTCGAACATTTTGCAGCCAACGGTCCTGGAAAATGGCGTAGCGGATGGAAGAATATGCGATAAATAAGGATACTTCCTGTTAAAGATGTGAAGAACGAGGTAAGGATAATAGTTGTGAGTTTCAAAGCCGTTATATATGAAGACGTGATATCAAATTTGAGAATGGTGAGGAAGACAAACAGAGGTGAAAAGACAGTAGTAAGTAACCATTGGAGAGCTTGCATGTGATGTTCGCCACGGATGAAATATCCTAGATGTGCTGCAATACCGGCAATAGCTGGTACGAAGGTAAAGAGATTATAATTGAGGTTTGACATGTTCATCGATGAGCACAAGAGCTACAATGAATTGCAGGAAAGGACGTGTAAATGCGTGCTGAAATCCACGCTTGTGCCAAATTGTGAGAGAATAGATTTGAGGAAATAAATGTGAGGAATGAACAATTCTCCTCACGATTTATAAAGACAGAACGACGAAATACACACACAAGCTTTTTGATATATACTAAAGAACGACAAGTCAGGCACGAAGGAGCTGAAGGAAGACTTTGTACCAATAATACCGTACAAGGAAGCCACCCCATCTTTGTATCTCGAGCTTTAGGTTAGCTGAGCTGAAAGTGGTTCCCAAGATGTGCAAATTACAGAAAATACTAACCGGATTAATTACTTCCCTACTGCTCATGCAACACAAAGTACATACCTAGTGGTTGTGGGGGGGAACACTTTTACGGAGTAAAGCTTCGACAAGTGTTGATTTGTTTTAGACGCTTGCCTATTGTCGAAACGCTGGGGCTGGGGCTGGGGCTGGGTGGGCCATTCTGCAGTGAAACGGGACCAAACTACTCACCCGGCGTACATATTTCCGAGGAATTTCCACATCAAATCTTTCAGTTGTACAAGAAAGAGAAATGATATGCAGGTGTATCAGATCACCAGTCAGTCTGGCTGAATGCATTGTTTAGCCTTGGAAAGACATTTCTTAATATGGAATTGGAAAAACATCTTCAGAGCTGTGATATTTTGTCAACCGTGTACAGTAAACGAGAAAAGCACTTAAAACCCCATGAGAATGTTCTTATTCTCTATAGATTCTAATGGGCCCATCCAAAGAACGAACGTTGGTCAAAATGTAAAGTTTTATGACTCCCTAATGGTATCATACTGGTATTATCCTCATAGTCTCATAGACTTGGTCAACATTCGGGGTACTCAAACCAACCCCTAATACTTCATCATACTTACATATCCTCCCGGATTCATCCAATCATTCAATCGTCCAATCGTTATAATCTCGCCATCTATGCCATAGTCCAGACTGGAGCCGAAAAAAGTACTTGTCTTCCCCTAATATCAATGGTCATGAAACCCGCAAACCGTACTTTGTGAACCCCATCTTCGCTCTTGATTTTTTCACTTGGTTCTTGACCACCCTGACTACTAATGCTCATCTTTTTCCCAGAGGCTCCACCACTACCACCTCCCATCATAGCCTGTAGCATGCCCTGGCCTTTTCCACTCTTTTCCTTCGTCAGCTTTGCATGACTCTTTTGATCCTCTTTCAAAATATCATCTTTATCATGACTTCCCACACTACTCGAATCAAATCCATTAGATTCTGCACCTGGATGCTCTAATGTAGGAATACCACCTTCGATTTTCATGTATTGGCGCTGCACTAGGTCGTTTGGCATCGGGTACGTAATGACAACATCTCTGCTTTCCAAAGGAATGTTCGCTGCAATGCTTACTGCTAGTTCTACGATAGTTGTTGCGGATTCTTCGATACCACCCGGTATTGGTTCTTGGAGGTAGTTAATTAAACTGGCCGTCAGGTTGCTTGTGACCATTTTTGAGAATTGTTTCTTGTATTCTTCACTTTCTGGTGAGTTCAGCACGTCTTTCAACCCATCTAAAGTCGTCAATCTCCACTGGACGACCTTTGCAGTCAAAGCATCGGATTCCTCTTGGTTGTTAATAGCAGGAGAGAACAGACGAATATTCTGTTCGATAGTTTTCAGGCTCAGGCTAAGCTCACTTTCTAGACCTGGGTGGAAGGTGCGATTAAATATTTCATCTACAAGAAATCGTGAGATACAAGCTCTGCCGACAGCCGTCATCTCTTGTTTTCCTATGGACATCGCATCACGGTTGACGGATTGTGAGAGCCATGCTGGTACCGTTCTCCAATCCTTACGAATGTTAAAGGCAAGATTTGTGATAGCACCATCTAATCTTTGGAAGCGTGATGTATATTCGCCATCATCAAGGGATGTTCGAGATTGGGATAGTCGCTGATTTGCCAAAGTATTTTGTAATTGTTCGACCTGTCCTTGTAATTGCTCCACTGAAGCTGTTTTATCAAAATACAGCCCCTTGACCTTTTTATATTTCTGCACTTGCGGGGATTTAGCAACGAATCCATTCACCATGGGGCAACAAAAACCTACGTAGCTCTTTGTATGCTTCATTTACATCTCTGTCTCCAGGTTGCGGTGGTGGTGTGCTTCGCCCTTGCTCTCCACTACCAGAGGGATTGTACTGATCTCGCTGTGGGGGACCTCCTCTATAGTTCGGACCTTGCCCTTGAGGAGGAAGTGGGCTTGTCGCCTGTGGTTGATTATTGTTATTATTAGGAGTTTGTTGCTGCTGGCGGTATGCAGGAGGATCCCTCCCATCTGACTGTGCCATTTGAGCTTGTAGTGTTTGTTTCGAGTCCGCAGATCGACGGTTTTGTTGTGTTGTGGTGGACTGTGGTGCCATGGAAAGGTGTTGCGACAAAGGGCGACTTGTAGATAAGCCTACAATCGGCCCTTGTATTGACGTTGTTCGCTCTGGATAATCTGCCCTGTTAGATTGGTGAATACTTGTTGGAGATTGATTATTAGATTGTACCGAGCCGGGACGCTGATCTTCCCGATATAGTAAAGAAGACTCGTATTGCGGTGTCAATGCACTATCTGGAGTGAAGTCTTGCGGAGGGTACTGGCTCTTGGGGGAACTTGGAAAACTATTCAATTGTTGCTGTGAATGAATTTGATCGGGTAATTCGTAACGATATTGCTGAACACTCTCGGGTGACTCGTATTGACTAGGACTTTGAGGAGATTGGTGGTAAAAAATAGGATGATGTGATTGTTGAAATTGCTGAGCGGGAGAATCGTTCTGTGAATCGGCCGAATAGAGGGGTGAATCAGAATCGCTTTGTATAGCTCGAATTGCGTTTAGAGGTTGTCGCTGCCCATTCGCATTCACAGAACCTTGAGCACTTTGTGGTGTGTTTTCTTCGGTTGTCGTAATGAGATATGGATCTAACCCGTCGTCTTTGGGGGCTTCTCGAGGCGATGACAGATGGGATCTCGAACCTTGAGCTGCAGGTTGCCAATCTGCCCTTTGATGCGGGTCTACCGAATTTCTTTGTTGATGACTAGTTCGTATAACGGGGGGACTCTCGTGTCGTCTAGATAATCTGCGCGCGAGTCCGCTAGTGTTGTTGCTGTAAGCTCCTTGTGTGGTAGTCGGGGGGTACTTTTGTTCGGAGGATCGATTCGAATTCGTCCCTCGCATACGATCAAAAATACTCCTTTTCTTAGGCTCCACCACAGGTGATTGTATGTGCGACGTATGTCTGCGACCCTGGTTTTGTATTCTCTGAGAATCAAGAACTAAATCATCGACGGATGAGCCGGCGGGAGATGGGGAAGCGGGGGACGCTTCTAGTTCCTGTGGATAAGGTTGCTGTAGTTGATACTGAGCTGCGACCGAGCGGGAAGGTGACCCGCCAGAATTATGATATGCAGATGCACGAGATCCAATTTCAGGACTCCGCGGTTCGTAGGGCAATTCGAGGTTTTTTTGAGATGGTGTGGTGGTGGTGGTGGTGGTGTTGGAGGATTGTTGTTGTATTGTTGTGGACCTTCCCTCGCCAGAACCAGATGAGAAGGATTGCTGTGAATGCGAGGCTGAAGGAGTGACCGCCGCTCTTTCTATAGCAGGTTCGTTCAATGCCTGCTTTGAACGATTGCTATGTTTGAACGGGAAGGGCATTTGTATTATGTTCACGACACAATCAACGGAATCAAAAGAATGAATAGGGTCGGCCTGGCTGTGCTGGTGGGGCCCGGGTTCAGTATCGTAGTGCACACTTCTTCATCTGCCAGTCAAAATTTCTGACAGGCTGCCGGTAAAGTCAAGGAATGACCCTCAGCGCCTTCAAAGTTCAAACAAGACTGATTGATTACCTTAGCATGAAAATTTCGGAATTTGCTTTTGGTATGGTGCGCCAGTGGGAGGATGATACAGAGATGAATTGGGTGAACAAAAAAGATAATAATAGCAACGATACTCAAACCGGGTCAACTTAATGTTTAGAGGTGCAGCTGGGTAAGGCAATTTGGGCAAGGTATAAGGGGGCGAAGTAAAATAGATTGGGATGAATTTGTTCTAACGTTGAAAATGAACGAATCAGTTGGGACACGGCGGCTCGAAGTTGTTGAAATAATAGGCTGGGTATGTGCGATGTAACATATTACTCGACTTTTGGCCTTCATTTTCCTTGATATTTCTCCGTCTCATCTTGATTTCTTTGCTTTGTTCCTCCTCTCTTTCATCAAAAGTTACCTAGATCAAAGGTGTTTGACTGTTGATATCAGGAAAATTGATATATGTGAATGTATACGGAGTATGTATGTTGGAGGCATGCTCAGCTTACATGTTGAACTAATCTAGGGCGGGCATTGCATCAAGCAAGCCCCGCCAGCACAGATAGACCATAGGGTCTGGTGGGTGAGTGGGTGAGTGGGTGAGTAGATGAAAGTGGGTTGACGTAGGATCGATTGATGTTTGTTGAGTAAGGGTGCAGCAAGAGCAAGAAGACAAGACACACGACGACCCCGAGCCGGAAGATTTGTTTATGAAGGATTATCAATATGAATTGGTCAGTCGTAATCGTATGAGTTCTCGCCAGTGCACCTAGAATAGCATGTCGAAAGCCTGTAAATTTTGATTTTGGTGTTCTTGATGATAAGATTTGCCTGATAGGCGGTAAATTGGAGTTAATAGGTATTTGATTTACTGTTATAGACGCTGAAGGATCCCTTGAATGGAGACCCGACAAAGAACCTCCCGATTCATCTGATCTCATTAGCTACATATGCTTCCAATTCCCCATCACATCTCGTAGTATCAACAGCACACTAATAACGTCCTCCAACGTCTTGGCATACCTGCGACTATTGAAAATCTGTTGTAAATAATACATGATTTATTCACAAATGTGACATTATTCCCTTCCCGAAAGGTAGGATTTATTTTTAGAAGTTCTTCGGAAGCACGAGAAGATAAAAAAGCTTGACCTAACACCTGCATCCGTTCAGGCGAGTTCTTCCACGACGAAGAAGAAGTGGTCGCAAGCCTGCATTTGATGGCGAATGCAACCAGAATCCAATTGCGCCGAAAAGTCCCGGAGCATTGCATAGGGGCAAATGGATATACCAAGAAATATACAACTTTTCGGCGGTATGTAGGTATGAGCCTCGCAAGCATTAGGGGTTGGATTGTCACTTCCCCTGAGATACAGCGAGGAGATTTGTGCAACGGTTGAAGCTCTTCTGACTGGCCGGATAAGTATCTCTTTGGGTGACATTACTGCTGGACGAATTGCATCGGGCTGTCAAATGATTAAATACTGGCAACGACATACGCTGTATTACCGGCATGAGGCGAAGCAAGATACCCATATGATCTCGGCCTTTAATAATTTCCTCCATACTAACATGCGTTTCATCAAACGGCTCTGATGACAGGGAGGGACCATTCTAAAAATACACTTAACCTTCGGATAGCCCGTCAACTTACACGGCATTTGCGGCAACAGGTAATGTAAGTATCGGTGAGTGGAGACTAGAATCTTGATCTCTAAAGGATTCCAAGAAAGGACATTTGATATTCGATGGTTGGAAGGATTTATCTGCAGCTGCACAGCAATAATATTGTTCCCATGATTAGCAGAAAAGATGCTGGCTTATCTGGATGACAGCAGACATGAAGCTGTGAAAATAGTCGTTGTAATTCTATCGTAGAGCTTTTGATCTTCAAAGCTAACAACAGCAAGGGATAAGGGAACCCCGCAACCGTTCTGGGGCCAGCTCCCGTAACTCACTACTGTTTTGCGATGCTATGGGGGCTCAAATCTGCGGCAGATCTATGCCAACCTTGGTTGATTACAGACCTATGGACATTGACAGCATAAAATATCTCCGCATTTTTCTATTTATTTTGCCCAGCCTCAGCGTAGCAGTGCTAATGTCTAATGTGCTGAGTATAGGAGTCAGTGCATGCTCTCCTGGCATATAACTCGGTGTCTTTCGATATAATAATGAATACAGAAACGAAGACCTTCATCTCTCATTACGAACAGAACAGAACATAACACATGAGCAGGAAATCCTAACAACTTTGATGAGGGAACGAGAAGCTGTCCACCCCTTTCTTAGTAAGTCTCACAGAAAATCCTCCATCATCATCATCATCATCATCATCAAGTATGACATCCAACGGCCATCAAAACAATCAATCTCACTGTCTCTGTCCCGCAAATGTATTCCCTGTCCCGTCACCACGCCAATGTTTCAAACACGATCAAAAACTCCCTGATCTTCGTCCAATCTTGAAGATCTCTATCTTAAGATCCATTCGCCAAGATCCATATATTAAAGTTATTCAGGTACCGGACGGTCAAGTCGTACGTTACTTAAGCATATCACAAGGACCATCCCCTTTTCGCTAGACATTTTATTCTCCTAGCCAGGGACCGAGCCAGGGACCGAGCCAGGGCAAACGTCGTGCGAAACTATGATGAAGTGGCTAATGCTGATATGTAAATCCTTTCCTTCATGCTTGAAATAACCATGAAGACTTGAGGCAACCATACGAATCGTTTATGTCTCTCTAAGGCGAACTGCAATTGGAGGATCTTGGTAGATGAATTATGGAGAAACAATGGGCCAAAATGTTGGTAGGATCTCAGGATCTCAGGTAGATCATAATTTTGCTTCCCTCACTCTGCGTTCTACCACGAAATGCATCTGGTATGCAGCAGTAGTACAACAGAACTGCAAAGGAAGGAAACGAAACAACTCGATTCCTTTTATTTCGTTGCTCAGTTACCATTACCGCTATTCCCTATATATCAGCCGGACCGAGGTTTCCAGCCATCAACTTTTCCATCCATTATCCAAATTGCCGTTTGTCATACCATCCAATCTTCGTTGTACAGCACCAACCATACTGGCCATTTTACTTTCGTTCCTGCCTCACTAGTTAGATCAGGAGAACCCCAGTTTTATTTCTTACTTTTCATTCTTTGCTTGGGCTTCCATGTGCTTGCCAACGCGACTCGCTTGTTGATTCATATTTCATCATATATCAACCTCACTTTACTTCCCACGTAGCAACCTGTTTCTCACCTACAACTACAATCATCAAAACACTTTCGTTTTTAATCCTTACCTACACTACAATCCTTCGACTTTCTAATCGAAGTTATTTTAATTCCCAATCCTCCCATCCTATCAAAACAACCAAACACCTCAAAATGCAATTCTCCAAGCTTCTCAGTGTCGCCGTCGGTCTTTTGGCCACAGCAGAAGCTGTTTCTGTCTATAAGCCTCGCATCGCTGCTCGTGGTTCCCAGCAGAAATACAATTTGAAGCTTGACACCGTTCAAGTCGCTACACCTAGTTCTGCTTCTGCTATCAGGAATATGATCATCCAGGACATTGTTACTAGATCTGCCGTTGATAGCAAGAATGGAACTACCATTTTTGATGATTCTATTTCCTGTATGTTTACTTTCCTTGTTTACTTTATATACTATCCAATTACTTCATATATCCCCACCAATCAATTCTCAACCTTCAATCTCCATTTCAAAACCAAACAACCAACATCTCCGCTAACAAAATAATCAGTCACCTTCATTGACCCCAACTCAAATACCTCGACGGCCTGTAACGATGACTTCCAAGGCACAGCTACCACCACTCAATTTCCCACTGGCTGGGTTCCCTGCAATAACAATGGGAACCTGATGGATGATTTCTACTGGCAATTCACTTCGTATCAATCTCTCACCAGTTTCAGCATCGAGTTAATTCATGCTTTTGTTGGTTCCAAGTATGTTTGCCCTCTATCCCCGTTCGCGCTTCCAATCTCGACATCTGGTACACCAAGCCGGATTCAGAGAATAAGGATGTAAATTTCGGATTCTGTAGATAAAAATACTAACAATCTTCTCCAAATAGCAACGCAGGCGAAGTCCTCAGATCTGCAGATATACCCATTACCCTCACCTGCGCCGACGTAAACCACGTCGACGGATGTTTCTCCAACCAAGTCATTTCACTACCAATCGCCATAGCCACCGCATAAATGTCTCCAAGTCCAAGAATATCGAATTTGTAATAACAGGAAACGCCTACTTCATTTTCTTCTTCGGCGTACCTTTTCAAACCCCATAATCATTTGAGCGGAAAAGACGGATGGATGATGGATGATTCATAGCTGAGCGGTGCCTTACGTTAAATATACTTATTTATTATAAGTATAATATACGTTGGTTTCTGGTTAAAGAATGTGGCTTGAAAGTTTAAAGAAAGTCTGGGCTTGCTTGCTTGGCTTGACTTTGATGGGCAATTGTAGATGTTGCGATGCATATTACTTGAATCTTACACGGTGCGAATGCGAATCGCTGTCTTGAAATGGCATGCATGGATGGGCTGGATGTAATAAGCAAAGTACTGTACTATTGAGAAAACAAAAAATAAAAATAAAAGAAGTCTTTTAGGCAAAATGCTGTGTCAATGATTCAAAGCAAAGCTTATACTCATTTAACCAATTAAGTTAACCTTACATTGGCAAATTTGCGATGGCAGTGATGTTACTATCAATACCCATCTAAACCTGTGATTTGTGATTTAGCTAGCTACTGCATCATCCCTAGACACCAAAAACTAAATTCAAATTGCATGTGAACAAGAAAATTCTATTTATTCAACATTGATTCATGAAAAAAGTATTATCCATCCTAATCATACAAGTCTTTATAACATTCAAAACCATTACATCATTAAAATCTCCAGACAATTAATTAGTAGGTCGTCGTCGTCGTCGTCACATTACCATAAACGATACCATCAGGACTAGCCATATCACTCCACGCACCATCCAAACCATAAATCTTAGCATCAACCGTGACACCCACATTAAGATCTCCAGCTCTCACTTCCACGGTATCTAAAATGCCCTCGGGGAAAAAGGTAATGGTTCCACTGCTTCGGCCGCCATCGACGAAGACCTCGAGGATGGATCGATCGATCACGATGTCGAATTGGAAGGTTCCTTGATCGTTGATGGTGTTTCCGACGGAGAAACGATCGGTGAAGAAGGGGTTTGTTTCGGCAAATCCATTGAAGTTGCGGCGGGAGAGCCAGACGGGTGCATCACCGCCGAGGAAAATGCCGCCGGAGACGGATTCACGGGTGGTGGAGGAGGAGAAGGTGAAGTTGAGGGTTCCTTGGGCGAGGGTGTTGTTGGGCATGCTGTGGACCTTGCAGGAGATGTAGATGGCGCCGCTGGAGACGGAGGAGTAGTCGGCGATGAGACTACCGTTTCCGAGGTTGTCGTTGGAGGCGAGTGGTGCGCTCTCGTTGTAGAGAGGAGTCATGTCGTAGGGGTAGGAAATGAGGGCCCAGCCTGTGCGGGTTACGTTGGCGAGATGGGTACGGCGGGGTAGGGTCATGGAACTGCGCCATCCCTCGAGGTCTCCGGTGGGTACTTGTTGTCCGTATTCCCAGTTGCTAGCCCAAGCCAAGAAAACTGGGTCTTCGTCTGCAGGAATCCCGTTAAAGAATTGACCGGCGTAGTTATCTTTTGCGAAGTCTGAGAGGCGGGCTGCGGAATCGAGTGGGGTGAAATGGGTTCCGTTGAATGTACCAGGGAAGTACTGAGTGGTAGAACCACCAAGAGGAGCACCAGGGTTGATGGAGATAATTAGGAGATACAAGTTTTCATCACCATTACCGTCAGCGACGGGGATGGGGATCAGATTTGGACATTCGTATTGCAGACCAAGGAGACCGTGATGACTGAAGTTGGAGGTGGCAGTCCATTCTTTAAGATCAGGAGAGGTGAAGATACCGATCTCAAAGGCGCGGGAATAGGCGACTACCATGACCCAATGATCTTCGAACCATGTGACCTGAGGGTCACGAAATTGGGTAGAGGTAGATGGGATAACGGGATTTTCGGCATACTTCTCAAAGGTGTAACCGCCATCGAAGGAGTAAGCGATGTTTTGAGTTTCTGACTCGGGAGTGTTGAGAGTGTAGATTGCAACTACACCGTTGGTTTGGCTAGGGAAGAAACCGGATGTGTTGTTTACATCGACGATTGCACTTCCACTGAAAATTCCTTCGCTGTCATTCTCAGGGAAGAGTGCTATCTTTTGATTGTCCCAGTGATAGAGGTCCTTTGATGTTGCATGACCCCAATGTTGGTTTCCTGCTACAGTTGCCGTTGGGTTGTCTAAAAGAATGTTGGCTATGGTCGAAGAATAACGTTGTGGGTCTAGGTATTACTTACATTGATAGTAGACGTGATAAACTCCATCTGCATCCCTGAACAGTCCGTTTGGATCATTCATAAAATCTTTAGGTGGCGAGTAATGAATCTGAGGTCTTAATGCGCCGGTATAATCACCGGGGATAGGTGCATCGGTGGGAACAGCGGTAGGAACAGATGATGCAGCATTAGATACTGCTACCAGAAGGGCACCAGCTAGAGAAGTAAGACGAAACATTGTGAAAAGATGTCGAGATGATTTCGTTTGGTTCGAAAAAGGAGAGATCTGCCCTCCTTATATACTTCGCTTTCTGAAGAATTCCACCATCCCCCCTGCTAAGCTACCTAGGTGAATAGACTTCATAATCAAAAGATGATTAATTATCATGACATACTTATTGGGGATTTCCCGGATCATTAGCCCAGCAATAGAGACAGGGAGACGACGAATTTCCCCATGATCATGCAAAAAATATGGCCGAGAAAGCCGGCGACTTGACTCGAAGCAGATTAAAGAGCAGAGGTCGCCGCTCGGTAGCTTTGATGGAGAAGTGGAATTCGGAAGAAGTGGAGATCGGGAGAAATGCGGGGATTGCTAACGGCTCCATACTCTGCACTAAATTTTCTTCAATTCCCAGCCAAACTTGGTTCGTCTAAACTTTATCCCTCGCTCCTGCGAGTTCTGTCGGTAGGCATCGTTTACTAAACATCGTTTACTAAACATGAGGTGAGTGACGGTCTTTCACCCCGCTCATAATTGTTGTGGCTAGGTGATTCCGCGTGTCAATCCCCAGGTCGATTAGACCAATAAGGGGCCCTCCTTATGTTGGCCCGCTCTAATGTGCCGGGTGTAAGTTTTTCCGCTTCATGAAGGTGTCAGATTGTGAAAGGTATCAGATGAATAAGTTAGATTGAACATACATTGTATTTACGAATCCTAGGTAGGGACTGACTGGACTTAGGTAGCGCATGTTGTCGAGGTACTAGGTATTTGAGTTCAAGGCTATGCTCTTAGCCAGGTCTCTTAGCCAGGTCTCTTAGCCAGGTCCAATGGTAAAACTATCTCGTAAGAAGATTGGTACCAAGTGGGAGTTTACCACAATCTAAGGCTTCTAAGCTCATGAATAAGCCCGAATGCACTTTGGATGGGATCCCCGTTTTGTGGGGAAATGAACGATGTGCACTCCTTTAATGAGATACAAATGCCATCTTTATCGATAGTTAAATGAATGACCTTGACCACTTCCCACCTGATAACGATTTCCAGCCTTCTCTATACTCTGCGTTGCGAAAGGAGGCTAGTAGTAAACTTTAGGGATCATCATTTTCCGAGACTATCGACGAAACCATCAACTCCATCATGTTACGACATGCTCTTCAAGTTATTTATGACGGGTTTTTGTTTAAACACAGACGGCCATGCCATGTTTCGTGGTATTTGTTGTTTGAAAATACATTGATATCATGAATGAACCTCCGTAATACCTTCTTTACGCGCTCAATGCAATCAATACCAATGAATTACTTTCGCTGTTGCATGCAGGAACCCCCTGACTCGAAAATAACCAGTCGGAGATATACCATTCGCGTTTCCAGGTATCCTCTCCTTCATAACAAAGCCAGAGAAAGCAAGACGTGTGAAACCAAATATTGCCATATTGAGCTTTTGTTTTGGTTTTGTTTTGATTTTGCTATTGCTTTCATCACATTTTGTATTTTGATCCTACGATGAAGTAGAGTAGTCGCGACTGTAAATGAAAGGGAAGTGACGAGGGTCGCGTCTTCCAATTTAGGGGTGTTCATTAGGAAATGTATTGTAGGAAAAAGAAACTGACGGTACATTTTTCAATCTTGTAAACTTACAACACAGCATCTTTTGAACTTCCTTCTTATGGGAAGTTCATCTATCATCATTATTTTCCTCATCCGAAATCTTCAAATTAAAGGTTGATTCAATCGTTCGCAATTTAATACCGTCAAGTAATAATAATTTGCGAACAGTCAGGAAAAGGAAAACATTCAGTCGTTACGGAAGCCCAAATCTCGCCTAAGGCATCGCCGATAAGGGAATAGCGTTAGATCTGCCTCGACTCTTCCAAAATAATATCAACTCCCGATCTATCCACAATCATAACAACCCGACGACCTACATCGGTAGAGATCAGTCAACAGCATATAACAGGTGGAAGGTGTTTTAAACAGCGATAGTGGTGACTTTGCGACTACTCAAGGGCGTGGAATAGCGACAAAGCAACCCGACGATTGAGTGCGGACCGTTCCTACTAGCTGGGTGGCCGGGGAACCAAGCAGCGAACCAAAATATTGATACGAAAGTCAATTATCACAACGACGCGAACTACGATCGCATTGCGCACAACGAAATTATCTTCCATTCTTGGACCTCTAGTTGATTTCGATAATTACAGTGGTTTGGCAGAGGCATTAGGTCTCTAGCTGCTCTATTCGGAAGACTTCCCAACAGCTCCTCTAGTCCATAGTCGTTTGCTTTTTCTTTCACGGCAATCATCATGGGGATCAACGGCGACCCAAGTTATGGCTCTTCTAAATCTCATGCGAATATCAGAAAGACCCACCATTCTTTAAATACCCCACCAATATCGACACCACCCCGCTCGTCAACCCCTCCTACCACAACAAGCAAAAGGATGACAGAAAGGAAAGCGCAGGAAGAGAACGCAAACTCGTCAAGAAATACAAGTAGAACATATCGTTCAGCAGCCGATGCGATCGATTCGAATGCGCTGAGTAAAGCTCTAATGAGAGAATTTGAGGATCCTGGTGGCAGACATCGCGATATTACACCTGGGGGTAGTCCCAGCAGGAAGCGACAACGAGTGTATGGCGACAGGTAAGAAATATGTTTCTTTGTACGCAGCATACGTATTCCTGGAGCCTTCGGATGTAGGAAGTTCCAAAAACGCTTTTGCTGCAAAAGTTTCAATCTTTGTTGGTTGATACTTTCAAAAACAACTCCACTGAGATTGAAAAGTTTCCAATGTCAAAGCTGAACATACACCGAAATTAGTATTGGAGATTGCTTTATTAGATGGTGTACTGATGCTTCATGTCTAGATTCATTCCAAATCGAGAAGGACAAGATTTGCAAGCCAGCTTCAGTTTGCTGCATGATGAGGGATCTCCGGCAACACCTTCCAAACAAAAGAAGCGTACCCCGCATGGCGAGCTCCATTTTCAGAGAAGTAAGTCAAGGTGAATATCTCTTCTCGAACAGGTATCTAATCTTATTACCAGCGGAAGAAGCCAATAGGACATTCTCTACCTTGCTTAGGTCCGAGCTCTTTGATACCACAATCCCACAGCCCACACCTACCAGCTTATCACCTGATTCGCATAATACAACTATCAACGACCCTACTAGATCTCACACGCCACCTCATATTTCACCTGCCGTTTCAGCACTACCCGCGTCTCTTACTCCTTCCACTCCACATAAGAATCTCTTTACGTATATGTCCCCGCGACATCATACCAATATTGCCGGTCACCCCACTCCATCACGGACACCTCAAAGTAGACATGGAATCAATCTTGATGTCCGGTCCGAGCTCTATAGTGTCTCTCCTGTACGATTCAACAGCCAGCAAATGCTAATGAGTCCACGCAAGCAACCTCGAGTTGTGAGCAAGGTACCGTATAAAGTATTGGATGCTCCTGATTTAGCTGATGATTTCTACCTGAACCTTGTGGATTGGGGAAGTAGCAACGTTCTTGGAGTAGGCCTTGGATCTTGCGTGTACATGTGGAATTCGCAAACTGGACGAGTCAACAAGCTTTGTGAGTTAAATGATGATACAGTCACAAGTGTCTCCTGGATTCAGCGTGGTTCTCATATCGCCATTGGTACTGGAAAGGGATTTGTTCAGATTTGGGATGCAGAGCGAGTACGACGTCTAAGGACAATGACGGGTCATACAGCCCGAGTTGGTTCACTTGCTTGGAACGATCATATTCTCACTTCGGGTTCTAGAGACCGCCTTATCTACCACAGAGATGTACGAGCGCCAGACCAATGGTTGAGAAAATTAGTTGGGCATAAGCAAGAAGTTTGCGGTCTTCGTTGGAACTGCGATGATCAACAGCTCGCATCAGGTGGAAACGACAACAAACTTATGGTTTGGGATAAGCTATCTGATACTCCACTTTACAAATTTAGTGACCATACTGCTGCTGTCAAAGCTATTGCTTGGTCTCCTCATCAAAGTGGTCTACTGGCATCTGGAGGTGGTACCGCAGATCGTCGTATCATATTCCATGACACTAAGCGTGGTAACAAACTCAATGAGGTTGATACAGGCTCTCAAGTATGCAACCTTGCATGGTCGAAAAACTCGAATGAAATCGTATCTACCCATGGTTATTCTCAAAATCAAATTGTGGTTTGGAAATACCCGAGCATGCAACAAGTTGTTAGTCTCACAGGCCACACATACAGAGTGCTATACCTGGCCATGAGTCCTGACGGCAGAGTTGTAGTAACCGGTGCAGGCGATGAGACTTTGAGGTTTTGGAATGTGTTTGGTAGAAAACCAGGACAAAGGGATGATTGTGATGCTGGTGGAGGGAAACTTGCGGACTGGGGGATCATCAGATGATATCTCACGATTATTCGCTACATTTACAATCTTTGATGGAAAGATAGGGTATGAACGGCGATACGGTGGTTCTGTGGTGAAAAATTAGCGAAGTTAATGGTGGGATGGTTACTCATTTGCATTAGTGGCGTTACGGCACAACTGGCGATATCTATGCTATCTGACATGATGGCTTAGTTGGCACGGTGTTGCTTGGCATGCAATGGCTGGGATTGGGTTTATTTACATGGAATGGGAGCTGGGAGCGAGCTTTATGAATAGGTGCCCAAGGAGTTATTACATGCCCTCTGTGCATTGCTTTTACTTTTTGTGATATTAGTTTAATTTTTTCAGAAGGACTCAGATGCTGGTGTATGGTGCTATATTTGTTCATCTCTTAGAGAAGACACGGATACAAGTAAAGTTAACTGGCTGGGTAAATTGGCTGGTTTTCAGTTAGCTAAAAGTGATATTGTTGTACACAATACTATGATGATTATGATTATGACTGTTTTATATATCTGGGCATATAGCGGGTCAGTTTAATAACCTTTCCATTTTTTTTATAAATTTTATAACTTTTATGGTGGTCGTTGTGGCAATTACCTACTATGTAGTTGTGTAGTGACTGTGAAGAATGTGAAGGAGAGCAATTTTGACATGGCAGGACTGATGGACGTTGAATATTGAGGTCAATTACATTTATTTCTTTGGATGAAAGATGCTATGATCTCGCTTCGGAGGATGGATAAGGTTACTCATAACTAACTGATGAATATTTCTATGATTTTCAGATGAATGCAGACTTTTCATGAATGGGAATTAAATGCAGCAACTACTGATTTATGGAAAATATGTTTAATAATTTAAAGAATATAATGTGTAGGCTTGTTGAAGAGGTGTGTTTTCTGTAATAAACTGATGCAGGATCCTGAGGCAGTCCCCACATAAGTTTTGTTTGTTGCAACATCAGGTGACAAAGGCTGCGACCAGAGAATCGATGTCACTTTCATGATATCGATAGTGTTTTATACCATAGTCCAGTCAGAAACCTGCCAAGGTGTATGAAAATACTTGGAATTTAAAGCATAGTTTGAGGGTGAATATCAATAGCGGGGTATATCCAAAGTAGAAGGGTCGAGTGAGCAAGGTTACTTACTAAGTTGCTGTTTCTGGCTCCCACTCCATCAAACACTTTTCAATTTTGCACCTTCCTGAAGCAGATCCATACAACAATCGAAATTTCCAATCGAAATGTCTGATAGAATTGATCGCTTGAAGGCTCTGACAGGTCAAGAAGAAGTCTACGATAATTATAATATGGAGGAAACGCAAGCTGAAGGAGAGGATGCTTTCGTGCTCCCCGAAGGTTTCACAATTACAGCTCATCATGTCTACGAGGGTACTTCAGAAGAGGATAATACTCCACCTAGACAAGCATCAAAACCCAAGAAATCGAGGAAAGGTAGTAATGCTCGTGAGCAACAGTGGAAAGAAGATGCAGAAGAGGATGGCGCGGACAATTTGACGGCTAGAATGCGAGCTGGTATGAATCAGAATCAGTATGGATCGTCGGCGCCATTACTTTGTATGTTGTATTGTACTATCTTTACTGGGATATTCTAATCTTGAGATGCAGATCCTGAGCTGGGTTCCAATGACTTCCCGGAGTACAAAGCTCTAGAATATGGTCAGCTTGCTGCGGAGGGTGAGCGTTTCTGTTCTTGGAAGACTGTAACTCAGTATCCATACCAATATGTTGGCAACGGTAATAGACCGAAGGTAAGAGACTTAATTGTCATCTCTTCAAGTCCTTTTATCATATATATTGCGAGGTCAATTGTCGATCGTCCTATTTGAGTAGACCATCCACTTGATTCTTCGATGATTTCCCCTCGCTTCCGGCTCTTTAGAACCCATATATATACTGATAAGTCTCTAGGTCACGGAGCGCTTTTTCAACAACGGTAAATGCTACTTTCAAACTTGGGATTTGTGAGTTAGCCTTGTTTATCTTTCAACACTGACTTCTTTGACCTCAAAGTTGTTATAGCCCATTGACGGATCTCTACACGTATCCCCTGCTCCAATTCTGACACCAGATAGCTTTTACCTATACAGACTAAAAGAAGAATCAAATCAAAGCCCGATATTCCTCGTTCCTACTAAGCAAGTTGAATACTTTTTGGCTGTTATCAATAGATCACTTGGTATAAATCTTACTATTCCTTCCGGATCCAAGGGCGCATTTGAGGCGGTATTCAATAACGACGGCACTCCCTACCCCAGGTATCTTGGTCGAGCTTTGAACAAAAACATGGCGGATGAGTTGAGAGAAAATGTTCCACCTCGATACTACAAGCTTGATGGCGAACCTCCCATCACGGAACCACCCGTAGACACATCATTTGAGGCCTTTAGAGCCAAGATCGCGGCTATGAACCTAACCGCAAAGAATAAAAAAGCACAAAATAAAGAGAGGCAAAAAGTCGAGCGATTTGCCAAGCAACGATCTTGGAGGGGTTCTACCAAGCGTGTTCAGCGTTATCTCGGATTGCGAAAACGTTCAGAAAATGACACAGATCATACTTCCTCTGATGAAAATACATTCTACGATCCGGAGGAGCTTACAAAGTTTATGATGGAAGACGCGGTCGTTTTCATCTGTATAGATGTTGAAGCATACGAACTAAACAACAACATCGTTACAGAGATCGGCATTGCTACTTTGGATGTTCTGGATATTGCTAACATGAAACCGGGTGCGCTTGGAAAGAATTGGAGAAAGGCTATTCGTGCAAGACATTTCCGCATCAAAGAGCATATGCATCTCAATAACACAAAGCATGTTCATGGATGTGCCGAAAGCTTTGAGTTCGGGTATGTTTTCCTTTCCCCGTTCAAAAATCCCCGTGACTCCCAATATCATTTCATTCTGCACGTCAGCTTAAGGGTTTTGCATATTCCGGACTATTTAACACCATGTTCCCTCTCTTCGAGCCCTATACAAAGGCAACTACTAACACTTATGCCTGAATAGCACGAGCGAAGTTATCTCTATAGACGATGCACCTCACGTAGTTGGCACCTGTTTCAAATATCCTTTCTCCGATCCCTCCCCTTCTGCCGAACTAGCCGATAAGAAACGTAACATCATCCTCGTCGGCCACGATGTCGATGCTGATATTCGTTTCCTCCGCCATATCGGCTATGAAATCAACAATCTCAATCTGCATGAATGTTGTGATACCACTCTCATGTGGCGAGCTTTACATCGGGAACAAAATCCAACCAAGTTGTCTAATATCCTTGAAGAGATCGGCGTTGCAGCTTGGAATTTACATAACGCGGGTAATGATGCCGTATATACTTTGCAAGCTATGTTGGGAATCGCCTGTAAGCATTTGGTAGATAGGAAGATTGAAAGAAAGGAGAAAGACAAGTTGAAGAAAAATAGAATTTCTGAGTACGTCAAGATATCAATTTCATGTTGCTCTCTAAGTTTTTATCATACCCCGATTCATTGAGTTTTACCAGTATACTAACTTGTGAAACAAACAGAGCTGTTAAAGAAGCAGCGGAAATGGCCTATGAGCGTGAAGAAGGTTGGTCCTCAGATGGTAGTGACGGTGGTGATCGCATCACACCCAAGCAAGCAAATGCCAAGAAAGCAGCTGATGCTGCTAAGAAAGCCGCGAGTAAAAGAAAAAAGGTTACAGATGTAAATGAGTTGTGGCGCGATGGGTCTAAACCAGTAACTGCTACTTCTTCTACATCTTGGGCTGGTATTCCTCAAGGTTCAAATCAGGCTTCTCAAGTAGGATGGGGAACACCACCTGCTACTCCGACGCGCAATAGGAATATCAATACTGGTTCTGCTCCTAGGCCTCAGCCAGCACTTATACCTGCAGAGAAATTCGGATACTCGAGCGAATATAAGAGCCCAGCAATCAAGCTTAACTCATCAACTAGCACCAAAACTAGTTTTAAGTCTGCTGCTGATATCAAAGCCAACTTCAGGGAGCAATTAATGACTAATAAACGTATAGACGGTGATCGGAGTCAAGACTGGGCAACTCGCAATACAAAAGCAGTTTTTATTTCAACTCCAACAGGCCAAGTATCTACCTCTATGCCCGTCCCCATCAACCGAGCATCCGCATCTACATCTGCCAATAATACCGATATCAATATTACTGGCCTCGAACAACAAATGCAAAATACCACACTCGCCGGACTTCAAGAACAAGGCAGGATTCCCGGGGATCTTTCAGCAAAAGCACCGAAGGGAAATCGTAGGGTTAAGTGGTAGATTTAGTTCTACTCTGTTTTTTTTTTTTTGGGCTTTTCCTTTCTTTTGTGCTTCGTCTCTGAGGAGATTCATGGGATCTTCTATCTTCTATCTTTTTTCTCCGCTTGAGGACGCTGAGAGATACTTAGCATTGCATGGATATTCATACCACACTCCGTTTTTCTTTTTCTTTTCTTTCTTCTTCTTTGCGTACTAGATTTCCTGCTCAGATGTTTCTGAATGGGAATGCAGCGAAGAGCATTACGTTGGGATCGCGAGGAGATTTCTTTTCATTCAGTTGGTTTTTATGGGTTGTGCATGCATGCATGGCATGATGAGCTGGATGGATTTCTTTAGATTCTATTACAGCGAGTAGTAAGTAGATTCATGAGCATTTTGTTGCGAGAATTACATAGCGTAGCATCATCATACATAGCAAGGAATAAATCTTAAGATCTTACATTTTATGGATTAATTGGAATGTTTCATCTTCACATATATTCCATCTTTCATTATGACCATATCAACAAACTGTAGAAAATTCATATCTGAGAGTTATAAAAGTTCATATCCATCCATACCTATACAGGTAGGAAGGCAGGGAGGTGGGAATGCGATTTATTACTCTCGTGTAACGAAAAAAGAGGAGATTTCAGATTGTGATATCAATCCATTGGTAATGTACAACAATTAAACGCCATCCATCCATCAATCAATCAATCGGTTCATACGTCTATATATTGATTCATCATAGATTCCTGGATTCATGGATTCATGAATAAAACCACCTCGCCACCGCGCTGCCAATATGATACGTAAACGCCATTCGCTATTATGCTATTTTGAGGAAAATTGTGAAGAGGAGGATTCGAGAATTTTAGAATGTTAGAGAAGATGTGGAGAGTGCTATACAGGGAAGATTTCGAGGGGCGGGTGATTGGGGTTTTCTGATGATTGCTGGCTTTGTCGATTCAAAAGGAGGTTGCAGAGCTGAGGTGTTACTGGCTGGATAAGGTGTTGTAATTGCAAGCTTTGTTTCGTAGATGGATGCAGAGGATATGTGGAAATCCGTAAGAGTAATCGTAATAGTGAGAAACCCGATCGGAACAAAATCGAATCGCACCAAATCGCAGGGAAGTGCGCACGAATCGAGAGGAACACGGTCTGTGTAGTAGGGGCAAAAATCGAAAGCCTGCGAATAATTGAAGTATATGGAAGTCGAAAAATAGCAAATCGTCCATCTGACCCAAGGTAAATCTATCCAAACCCCCGGAAACTGTGTGCGGTAATCAGCAAGATCAACCATTTTTCTCCAAAAATTCCTTCGCTTCGTTCACTTTGGTAGCTAGATATGGTGAGCCCCCTCGATCAGGATGGTTCAACATCATCAGAGTACGATGATTCTTTCTTATGCGCTCTTTGGTAAGTTGTCGTTCGCTTTGAGCCAAAAAACCCCGATTAGTTTGAGAGGTACTAGAGGGTAGGGTGGGATAGATTCAACATACCTAAGTTGTAAAATGAGTGCAGCTTCTCTGCGATTCATCTTCGGTTCAAATCCACCCTTGTAAAAAGCTTTCCCAAGTGCTCCGACGGCTTCTCCTCGTGATTTGCGAAATGCTACGAGACCGGCGCGGCCCTAGTGAGGTCAGAATTGAGAATTTATTTATTTATTTCATAGGTTGTGGATGGTAGAGGAGAGATACTTACTAGAAATGCTGCGGCGGCAACTCCCGCTGTAATTGTAAGGATTGATGCCATTGCTTCTCTGCTTTTAGAGCTGGTGGTGGTATGTCTGTGAGAAGGGGTTGGCGTCGTTCTTCCAACATCTATCTATGGATTCCGAAGATCAATTCATGTTGGCTCGGGCCGACCATTATTCCTTGTGTTGATGGATGTGAAAATTTGGACACTAGCGGCCGATTCGGATATTTACCAATGATGTTTGTTTATGGAAAACGGATTATTAAGCTAATCTCGAATCAAATCATGTGTGGCCTTAAGTCGTTATTATCATAGTCCTGAAGACTTAAACCACAGCTGGGTTGAACTATTCTTGTCAGTTCTAATTGCTACGAGATATTTACAAGATATAAATGAGACTTTATACATTGGTAATACTATCAGAGCTTAATCAACTGAAGTTAGTTTGGTAGTTCAACGCATCTATCCGAGGAGGTGCCTCACACTAGGAACTTATATCTATCTAGATATATGTACTCTAGATAGGTACTTTATTCCTTGAAATAGCCAAGGGCATATTTTTCAAACTATCGAGTAGCAATAGTGTCAAGCATATTCAAGTGTTGCTACCTGGGATCTTTTAGATTATTAGAATCCTCAGCGCACTTCTCTCCTGTCTCTTCCACTTCTTCCATCCCTAGCATCTAGCCCAGTATCTAACAGCATTCTCATCTCAGTCTCTTGGTCGAGGCCAGTTGTTGAGATATTTCATTATCATCTGCAATCATGCAACCTCTAATTCATTCATACCGAAAAATACGCTTCCTTTGCACGCTTTGTACTGCTGACGTCATGTCAATATGGATTATGGTGAACCCTTAATCAATTAGCCCTAGCTACTCCTCTGATGATATCCTGTAACTTCCATATTCGGAAGATATCCTTTAAGGAAAACCTTTTAAAGCTTTTCAATACTCATCTATCATGCCCAAAACCCAACGATTCCGAACGCACATTTGTATTTAATTCTTTCAGTGGATCAATTTCAATGTTGGTCTTTTCGAGTGGTGGTGTTTCCTGCACTTTATGTTATAAGAGCCTACCATTATTCGTATCATGAACACACTTTTCTTCCCTATATATTGATTGTCTGTTTAGGGTTAGTTACCGTAACTACTTCAGATCCTAGTAATCCAACTTTAGTTTCTTTATAGTATATCTAAAAATGCGAGTGTGGCCCATTAAATACTATCGTATTCTTTACATCTAACAAACGGAATGATCAATAAAACGGCCTCTCACTGTTCATCCCCTACAGTTAGATAGGAAATGCTAAAATAACGAGATTCCACAATACACAATTTTCCGTCACCCCCGCTTCCCGCCTTGTCTTCTTTCCGCATTCTCATTCTATACTATTAAACCTTAACCATCAGTCCTCAAATTATCCAACATGAGACATCCGGCATGCAAAATCCATGACCAATCTCGCATGTTTACTGTCATTAGATACCCACATCTTCTACATCTGCTTCACTAACTATGGCCATCACAAATCGCGCAGCGACAATTCTCTCAGGCAAGACCATATAGAAAGAAGCAAATGGTAGAACTAGCATCTATGAAGCCGCCGCACGACCGAAACTGAAATAACCACATTTGAGTTGGGATATTAGGTACTAGCTCTTTGACGATTTTGACATAGATGTGCTGAATATTATAGCCCTAGGTGGAATGATATTCTAGAAGACGAGTATTAGTATGCATATGGTAGCGAGCGAGCAATTAAAGCAACCAAAAACCAAGAGTGATAGTATTCATCGTGTCAGCAATAATCACCAATCCAAAAAACCCCATAAAAACCAAATCTGACTGGCTTTATCAGTATTGTGTCAAAGAGATCTCTATTAAATAGATGAAATTAAATGAAATTAAATTTTCAACCTATATTAGAATTCTCAAATATTTCTTATAAGTTGTCTGATACGAACCTTTGTCTCGCCTAATTACCTATCTACTTCCCTACACATCTCCTCAAACTTCCAGATCCCAAACCTCAAACCAAACTAAGATTAAATCCTAAACACACACTCCACCTCACTCCACTCCATCTCAACCTACAACTTCACAACCATCACAATATCCTCATCCCTCTCCTCCTCCTCCTCCTCCTCCTCTTCTCTTTACAGCTGCAATCAAACATTAAAAATTCCAAAATTCCAAAAGTCAAGCGATTACAATAATCTATCCAACAATCCCATATAATAAACCAAGCCTCCCCCACGCCTAGGTGCTCAAAAAAATATTAATATAATAGGTGAACCTTGGGGGGAAGAGAGAATAGAAAAGGGAAGATAAATGAATATACAGGATAAGTAGAGGATTGAGGTTAATTACTGGACATAATTATTTCTTTACATCATCATCACTACCACTAGGAGATCATTAAAGCTTCTCAAAATTCTCAAAATTGGAAAAAGGCAAGCAAGCTAGTAATTTAATGTCATTTTTCATATATGTCCTTTCACTACACAGTAGATAGAAGAAACATAAAAGAAAAAAAAGAAGCTAATGAGATTTGCCCGAGAAAAATCCTCGGCTCTTTTTGAAACACCATCCATATCTTTGCTTTGAACTCCAGATCCAAAGAAGCCACCCGTTCATTTATCTTCCTCCACTGCATATTCATATCTCATCAAATGTGGACTGTAGCTAGATGCCCGCTCTTTTAAGTATTCCAGCAATTTAAAGACTTCCTTTCCTTGGGAAACTAACTCCTTCGACCGCTGCATTATCAACGAACCAACTACACCTCTCTCTCGCCCCTTCATTAACCAATGCACAAGGTAATCCATTCCCCCCTTCAAAAATTGCCTTCATAATCTCCTTCTTTCCACCTCCTGTTGCGACGAAAGCTATCTTAACTCCGTGGGTAACAACCGGTAATGTAAGTGTAATTCTCTTTGGCGGTGGTTTCGGACTATCTTCGATCGGCGCAACCCAAGCATCTGTCTCTCTCAATAATGCATGACCGGGGAACAAACTACACGTATGACCATCCGGACCACATCCCAAGAGCAACAAATCGAAAATGGGTAATTTGACCGAATCTCTCGAAGCAAAACTGCGTACGAGAAGTTGTTCATATTGATCTGCCAATTCCTGTACATCATCCAAATGCGCCGTATCGATTGGATGGACGGTAGGTTTTCCCAACTCGGCCGGAATCTTATCGAGTAATTCGCTCTTTAATAATGCGTAATTGGAATCTTCATGATCGAGAGGAACGGCTCTTTCATCTGCGAAAAAGATTTCCCATTTGGAGAAATGGATAGTATCTTCTGGACCATGCGATGGGGCGAGAAGAGCTGCAGCGAGGGTTTTGGGTAAAGAACCTCCAGATACGGCGATTTTGAAGGCGTCGTGACGTGCAAGTCCGGCGCTTTGTGCTTGTACGATGTATTGACGTAGAGTTGTGGCGAGGATATCGACGGATGGGAAGGCGAAGAGGTTCGGTTGTGAGCCAACCATGTTTGCGACGGTTTTAGATTTTTGTGTGGACGGGTGAGTGGGAGTTATCGTGAGTTGTGTGAATGTATGGATGTAGGATGTGTGAGTGGTCTTTTTCCTATTTTTGAAAAATAAGAGTTATGGATTTGGAAGGTTTAGAATTGTGGGTGATGCGAGCGGAGTAGAGAGGATTTTGAATTTGATGGTGGGGGTTTTGATGGGTTGTCGATAAGTGGAATTTTTTTTCTTCTGTCTGAAAGCGGCGCATTAGATTTGCTTGCAACAATTTATTTGACGATGACGATAGTTTATTAACGATGATTGCTGATGCTGGGATAAGCAAACAAAGAGTTTTATTTAAAAAAAAAAAGGACAGGGATAGTTTTTATTATAGGAAACTTTCGACCGTATATAAAACATGAATAATGATTTGTGATTTTTACTTACTTTAATTGCATTCGATAAGATGTATTAGACAGTGAACTTTTCTATCGTCGTTGAGAATTGTGAATTGCGAATTTTGTTTGAAGTGTGAGAGTGAAGTGATGTGATCGTCAAGGTTTTACTTTCATGTGTTTCAAGCCCCGCAGGATGACGCCGTTTTCAATTCGATGAAGAGATAAGAAAAAGGTGCTTATATCATCAATTAGTAAGCAATGGGGTGGTAATGGAATGGAAACATCGGCAGCGGAGTCGAACAAACAAATCAAAATCCAGACCCGACTTTTGAAACAAGGTGAGTGAAGGGGGGTGAATGGACGAGCATAGAATAGAATGGAACGGAATTGACTTGGGGTCCAGAAATCCAATGGGGAAAGAGGAAGATACAATCTATTATACCTCCTAACTCGGTAATATCTCCAGCCAAGTGCTCACTCGCATTCCCTAGTCCGTATTTACTTCAAGGCAAAAGAAGGCATCCAAAACACACGGGAGGAATAGGTGCTGTAATACCAATATCCTCACCTGTCCTTCAAAACCTCCAGCAAAAAATCCAAAGCCTTGCAAATCTGTGGCACATTGATCCCCTTAATCTGCAAGCCTACCCAACTATAGAAATTTTCTCTCTCCTTTGGTATCTTGTGCCGTTCAGCTATCTATCTATCGCCCGAGGAGTGGTACCTCATTATTACCTAGGTAGGTCCTTGTTTCACCGATATTTGTTTATCAAAGGTGTTGTGCACCTCGTCGTTGCCCAATTTGTTAGGTCCACTCATTTACTAGAGCCCAGCTGGGCAGATTTTGAGTGTGCGAGGTTGAAACGGCTCATTTCTTACGACGGCTTTTTGCCTCGTAATTTCCTCTTGTCACGGCGGAGTAAATGTCTGTGGTCAACCGGTCCTTTTTGGCTGTTTCAACTCACCGATATGTACGGAGTATGTTGTGCCTACTAGGGATTCAACAGCCAATTGGTAAACATTTCCGTTTTAGAAATATACTTGTTCATTGTCCAAGACTTCTTTCCTTACGCGGGTCTACCCCTCCATCGTCAAAGATGTTGCCGTGGTGGGGTGAATTTGTGGTCTTTTTGCAACAATGTAGATAGAGGAATACAAACAGATCCGATTGTCCCGCGTAAAAAGGAGAGTTTGACAGATCTTTAACTTGACCGTATCGACTCCTAAATCATCACAGAAATTCAGATGTGAGAAGTGATTGTCCTACCAAGAAGATCATCCCATCCCTTCTCATCCCGTTGATCCATCTCGTCGGCATTCTCCTTATCAAATTTCTTGTGTTTCCCGTTGTGATCCGTTCGCCCTACGAGGCTATCCAAAAACAAATTCCACTGCCGCACTTGGCGGTTCGTCATACCTTGAATCTATCAGGTACCGCCAATTGATCGTCCATACTATTTCACGTGCTCTTGGCGGGGTCATTGATTTCTCGGATCTTCTCCGGTTCTCCGATTGTTCCTGTGCTACTCCGTATATTTCTGTAGATTGATTTTGAGTTCAATTCTGTACAAAGATACCCTTTCATATCTCCCTACCTCTACTATGGCTTCACCGAAATATCTTACCGGCGATCAATCTGCCATAAATGATTTTATTGATCATTTCGACGTGCGTTGAGTCAGTCCTACAAAAGCTTCAAGGCTTAAACATTGTAGGGCAACGCTGACTTTTCTTCGCTTTTCAGGTCTTCCTATTTGATTGCGATGGTATATGCGATGATTACAATCCAAAATAACAATATGCTAATGGGCAAAAGGTGTTCTTTGGTCCGGGGATCATCTCTTCGAAGGGACCGTCGAGACTTTGGAATTGTTGAGGTCAAAAGGTTAACTTGGAAACTCTGTTGATTGGATGATTGCTGATGATAAAGAATTCCAGGCAAGAAGATTGTCTTTGTAACGAATAACTCCACGAAATCGAGAGCCGAATATCAGAAAAAACTTACTACTCTTGGTATACCAAGTAATATCGATGAAATCTTCGGTTCGGCCTACTCCTCCGCAATTTACATATCTCGAATCCTCAAGCTTCCAGCACCCAGAAATAAGGTCTTCGTTCTAGGTGAAACTGGTATTGAAACAGAGTTGAAGACAGAAGGAGTGGAGTTTATTGGAGGAACAGATCCAGCTTATCGTCGCGACATTACACCAGAGGATTATAAGGGCATCGCAGATGGTTCATTACTCGATGATAATGTTGGTGTAGTTTTGGCTGGCTTGGACTTTCATATCAATTATCTCAAGCTATGCCATGCTTACCATTATCTGCGTCGAGGCGCTATATTTCTGGCCACAAATACTGACAGTACTTTACCATCAAACCATACCTTCTTCCCTGGAGCTGGATCTATATCAATCCCATTGATCAATATGATAGGAAAAGAGCCAACAGCATTAGGCAAACCAAATCAAGCAATGATGGATTCTATTGAAGGTAAATTTCAATTCGATCGTAAGAAGACATGTATGGTTGGAGATCGATTGAATACGGATATCAAGTTCGGCATTGAAGGTAAACTTGGAGGTACCCTAGCTGTATTGACTGGAGTATCTAAGAAAGATGAATGGGAGGTCGATAATGCTCCTGTAGTACCTGCGTACTATGTTGATAAACTAAGTGATCTGAGGGGTTGAGCGGGATGAGGGAACGGATGGGGCCGAAGGGCGAAGGGTGGACGGTGGAGCGTGGAGGGGCAGAGACGTGCAACACAACATGGAAGTATGACCGGTTCCGTAGACAATAGAAGATGGATGTGAGAGACGTTCGATGGAAGGATAAAGTAGAATGAGTGGTGGAATGCCCGGTAGAAAAGTATTGGTGTTAAGGGGTATCATGGTTATTCACGGAACCACGTAGCAGCACTTGGTCATTTGGTAGTAGATCTAGCCCCTCTATTAGGCGCAATGAAAAAGTAAACTAAATTCCGAGCGATTGCACCAACGTTTCTTATGAAACGGTATGGGTAGTCTTGATCGAGAGGAGCCTTTTATCGTAACTTTCCCTTTTCTAATAATATGGAAAGATTTTATTCGATTTTATTCGACCTTACTCGAATGAAACAATCTTGTGGCTGAGGATGGCTTTTCATATGGTAAGGATGGCACCTCTTTATGTCTACATACATATGATAGATAGAATTGGTAGTTTCTCCGTACAGCTAATGGCTAATGCCAGGTTGAGACTTTCGTTCACCAGCAACCAGTAAGATGTAGAACTTGCAAGTATGACGATATATCATTTTAAAACGCATACTGTACTAGCATAAATAGTAACAGATAAGTTACGAATTACCATGAATACAGTTTATTTTAGCAATATCTCAATACATGATTGGATAATACTCACCGGAGCAAATACTCCGAAATTTTTGGGTGACATTAAATAAAACCCTTATTTCGGTAGTGCCACTAATGATTTAGGAGGGGCAACCAGGCTACTCTCCTTCCCTGTAGGACCCCTACTCTCATTCTCGTACCTATGCAAAATCCCTGAAAATCCGAATCCCTATGCAAACACCCCCACCATGTCTCCTTCTCCCGCACCGCAATATAGCAAGAAAAAAAGTTCCTTGGTGCGACCTTTTAACTTGGATACACCACTCGCATACTTCTTTCATCCAAAGGATCATGTTCAAAGCACCATGGATAGAGACAGCGACTTGGAGGATGATACCTCCATCTTTGTGGGGAGACGACATGAGCTAACTGAGAGATTGGAGGAGGACCCTTACGATTTACTGCTTTACCTCGAACGAGCGGGCGTCTATAGCGATTTGGGATATCCCGATCTGGCCGCCGGTGATAGTTATCGCGCTCTGTTGTTATGCGATGAATTGAAGGATGAGAGTTTTGAATATCATGAACAGGCCTTGGAAACTTTTAAATCTCGACTCGCGGAAGGGTTTTCCGACGATATTTTAAAGAGACATGTTCAGCGATCCATAGATGGAAGCGATAATATCATTGAAGGCAAGGGAATTCAGAAGGTGGATGTTGATCGCGTGGATGAAGATGTTTATATGCGAATTGCAGATAAGGCTGCTTTGCGATGTTACCGAAATCTTTCTTTGAGTCTTCTGTTATGCGGTTGCTTAAAGAGTGCTTATGATTTTTGCAGCAGGGGATTAAAAGTTGCGCCGGATGATGAGGAATTGAATCAAGTGAAGGATTATATTTTCAATATGGCAAAGAGAAGGTTAAAGACTGATAAGGTGGATATTTCTGAGTTACCCGACCAGGGGTTGGTACGACGCGAAATATATCCTTGGAATAACCACGAACCGAATCGTTTCTCGAAAGAATCTCTCGACTTTTTGAATCAGGAATTACAAGCTATATCTTCGAAAGTGGAGGTTAGGGCCGTCGAATTACCTACACTTGTCGAAGCTGCTATTGTTCAGGATGAGGATGGTACTATACCAACGAACAAGCAATTGGGACTTTTCGCAACAGATGATATTTACCCTGGCGAAACGGTTCTGGAAGAAGTTTCTGTTTTGACTGTTAATAATCGTCTGAAGGATGCACTTTGCGATGTTTGCAGTACAATCCTACCACCGTTGGGTAAAAATAGCACGGTAGTAGGATGTCCTGATTGCTATGACATCATGTTCTGCAACGAGACCTGTCTCAATCTCGCTCTGGAAACCTATCACCCCGCCATATGCGAAAAAGATGTCGACAACATCTCCAAAGATCCAGATCCTAAAGAATCTCCTAATGCTCTCTATCTTTTACTCCTCGCTCGTGCATTAGCCATGTCAGCAACTCAAGAAGTACATCCTCTCGACCTCAAAGAAGTAAAATTCATTTGGGGTGATTTTCTCGATCCAGCTTCTAATGCAGTCCCTATTTCCTCAAGATCAGAACCTCCACCAGTCTGGACTCTCCCGTTTTCTTTCTCAAGCAATATCTCCACACCTCTTCATATCCTCGAAAAAATGGATATCGATATTTTTGCCGAGCTCGCTTCATATGATCTCTGGATCCTCAATACTCTCTACAGTAAATTCCGTGGTACGGCATCGGCGAGAGTTAATACAACGACGGGTATGCCCGAAGTGGCAGCTGTGCACCCGATGTGGTGTTTGGCAAATCATAATTGTGATCCAAATGTACAGTGGGAATGGGGTGGAAGAATGAAATTGTGGTGTAGAGAGAAAAGAATCAGTCGGAAAGGAGGTGTAAAAAAGGGTGAAGAAATTTGGAATCATTATTGTGATATTGAATTACCGGTAAAGGAGAGGAGGGGATGGGCGGAGGGGAGTCTGGGTGGTTGGTGTATGTGTGAGAGGTGTAGGAGGGAGGCTGGGGAGATTAGGGATGAAGAGGGGGATACGGTTGATGGAAGAGAGGTTGATGGATATGGGGATTTAGATGCGGATGCGCATACTCCTACCGCTGCAGAGACGGCTGGAGAACGTATAGTAAATGGGTTTTTAGATGGAGACACAACATCCTAGGGGGAAAAATATCCACTGCCAGATGGTATCTGAAAATTTTAGACAAATATCGGTAGTTACCGGTGGTTAGGTGAATAAACGAGGATTAGGATAGGTTACGATGGGTAAAATGTTATGTGTAAAGATAGGTAAAGAAAGTTAAGATTAAAGTTAGAGGGAATTATATACGGGTTTTACCTCGGAACGTTTTCTTTTTTGCTGTAGTTTGCGGTTTGAGAGATTGGGTTTGGCTGTTGAGTTGTGCTGTTGTTTGGCTGGTTGGTATTTGTTTTATGTGTTTGGGTGTAGGTGTGGATGTGATGTGGATTTGGATGTAGTGTGGTGTGGTGCTTTTTTAAGGGTTGAGGGGTTAAGGGGAGAATTGAGGGTGAGAAGTTAGGGTAAGAACTCAGGGCTGATTGATATGTTATGTTAGGAGGTAAATGGTAAGAATGAAGGCAAGAGAAAGCAAAGAAGAGTACAAAAGGAAAAGAAATAGCATTATTTATATAAACACATTTCTTCAGGGCTAGCTAGAAGGCTGAAAATATATACACTTCATGAACGGACTTGGTAATAAGCAGTGAAAGAATGAATATTTGAGGTGTTTATTAGAGTTGTTGAATGGTCCTAAAGACAGACGTGGAGGGAAAGGATATGAATTCGAGGATGTTAGTATTATAGTTATTTGAATGTGAATGCGAATGATGGGTATGAAGTGGAAAGGTGGTTGAATGTAGTTGTGAACGTGTATCTGGCAAGTATCTGGCAAGTATCTATCTGAACAAGGACGTTGTCAAGATGTCGGTCGGCTAAGTCGGAATCTATTCGGTATCTATGCCCCGCCGCGGGGTAATGATCTAATCTCTCCTTCTTCCATACCCTTATCATCAATAACATCAAATCTCAAAAAGAAACAACTTGTCGCATAATACTCTAAATACAAACCAATTATAGATCACAATGTCCTCCACTTTCTCTCCCAAAAAGATTTCACTCAACGGAACTCCAAGAGAGGTAAATCCTATTTCTCACGTGCACATTCTCCCCATACAGAGCAAACACGCCCCACTTTCCGTAACAACATCTCACACATCCTAGATAGGACATCAACATGGCAGTCTTCTCTCATCCGAGATCAAAAGCCAGATGAAGATATATGACGCGATGTTCCAATTCACGTCCTCGTTATCATGGTCCCAACTCCCCAACATTGCACGCGAATTCCAATCCACAATTCGTAAATTAACACCAGATATCTATGAGGAAATGCTAGGAATTGCTGAGGGTGCGAATGTGGATATTTTGGATATTATTGTGCTTAATTGTAGGAGTGAGATTGCTTTGGGGAGATTTACTGATGGGTGTACGAGTTTGGGGTGGAGGATGCAGGGTAAAGAGGATGGGAAGGTTGTGTTGGCCCAGAATTGGGATTGGACTGAGAATGTTATGAAGAATTTGGCGATGGTCGAAATAGAAAGGATAGGGAAGGAGAAGATTTGGATGGTTACTGAGGTATGGTTTCATGCTCTCTTTCTTATATTTCTCGGTCATGTTAGATGATGTGGTGAAGTAACCAAAGAACACAGGCTGGCATTGTGGGTAAAATTGGTTTCAACTCAGCAGGCGTCGGTGTATGTCTCAACGCTATCAGGGCTAGGCCAACGGATACCTCCAAGCTTCCAATCCATATTGCACTGCGCATTTGCCTAGAAAGTAGCAGTGTAGATGATGCTCTAGCTACGATTGACAAACTAGGTGGTGTAGCATCGAGTCAACACATTCTGATAGCCGATAAGAGTAAAGTGTTAGGTATGGAACTTTCCCCTGTGGGAAACTGCTTTTTGGAGCCATGTGATGATGGTTTTGTGGCCCATACAAATCATTTCATCAAGAATGATTTGGTGACGAAACCATTTTGGCTTAAGGGAAGTCCAGTGAGACTTGAAAGGGCCAATTTACTGACTAGCGAGTTAATTGGCGATTTGAAAAATGGGTTGGAAATAAAAGAAGGGGTAGGAAAACTGTTGAGGCAAAGGATCTTCTCAGATACGTTTAATACTCCGCAAGCGATTTGCTGTCAAGAGGATCCAAGTCTACCAAAGGAGACGAGAAATAGCACGCTATTTAATATAGTAATGGAACTAGAGGCTGGAAATCCATCCGCTGAAGTTGTGTTTGGGAAACCTGGAATGGCTGAGGGAGAGGTTTTGAGAATGCCATGGACTTGATTTTTTGGTCATTGGAGTGTGGTTATTAAACACCAGGTAGTTTGGGCTAAGAAATATCCGGATACGGTTTTTGTCGATTCGAGGGTGAAGCATACTTAATCCATTGACTATCAGTAAGTGAAGCGGGCGTACAGGATGTCGCTCAAATGTTGTGTTCGCATCTCTTTCATCCTTCATTTTAATCTTCGTTAAACTATCTTGCTCGATAATCCGCCCAGTCTCTAATTTGAATAGTTTTACCATGCACTCTGTATCTTTCCTTAGCTTAAACTTATCTTATCCAGTGCTTGAAGTCCAGCTACACGCCGCAGAATCAAGGCACGGCACCTAAGTCTCTGAAAAATATAAAGTCATTCATAAGGTTAAAAAGTCTCAAAACTATACACCAGTGCGCTAGTTCAAGACTTTAGTTGAAAAGTATCAATACCACCAATATGAAAGATGTATTAAATGCAAAAAATATCAAATATCCTAGAATTCAGCTGCTAGGAAAATATTTCCAGTAATTATGGATAGGTTCGGCAATCTTGAGTAATTACGTGCCCCCTCCGAATACAAACCATTTGACTAGTTCAGGCTCTGGGGATAGGAATGTTAGGAACAAGTAAGTGGTGGGTGAGCAGTGTTGGAAGGTGTGGTTAGTTTTCCTTCATGTTAGGATTGTAGAGATTCTACTCTGTGGATCAAGGCCGAATTGCTGGTTTATTTCTCAGGAAGTATTACCTATGTAGTCACTGTGTATTTGGTCACTAGTTCTGAATAATTACAAAATTACTGTTAGATTGTTAGTATGTTTGGTATGATTTGAACAATGCACCTCTAATTATTTGAATTATTGATTCTACTAGGACATCTAAACTATTTCCGATGTTTTTTTGTGATACAGTTTTCGAATATTATAAACTCATTCGTAAGATCTTACTCTGGTATCGAATCTGCTGATTCGGATTAATTATTCAATGTTATTGTCCATGGCTAAGTGTGAATCCTTCTACTTGTTGATATTGGAATCTTACCACATTATTCTCGCGCACTATTCGGATCGCATGGATATTGATATATCTACCTCATTCCGTGTCTTGAGTCTTGAGTTGATACTATAGCTAAGAGGAATGGAAATTAGCTTTGTGTTCTATTAGTCACAAGCTTAATACATCGCATGAAGTATAGATGGTATAAGAGGGGAAATATTTGATATTTAAGCCTTCTGGGAATGTAATCTATGTGAATTGGAAGCATAGGATTGTACAAATGTAGCATCGAGAGGTGAAACACAGGAACAGTATAGATATTCTGTTGTAATGAGCTAGCAACCTGCGCCAGCTTCTTTCTCAGATGACCGACACTCCCATACCGGAACACCAGAAAATAATCTGACATCCTCGTGAGGATTTCCTTGCAAGTGTGAGTTGCCCATACAGACTCAATTTCTTGGCATTTTCCTTTCTTTTCCAGTTTCTCTATTCGGGAAGGCGCCGACGCCGGATAGTAGAAGTATCAACTTGATTGCCCTCCGTAATAAAACTTACCAAAAGAAGTAGGGTCCTCCCTCCTACTGAATTTGTCAGTATGTTTTATTTGTCCGGAAGAAAGTAAACTTTGAGCATGGTCCTTGAATGGATATGAAACTGAAAAAAATGGCAGGGAATTGGTGACGATGAAGTGAAGAAAATGTATTCTTACCTGATGCGATTTTCTTTTGTCACTCATTGCTGGTTAAAACTATCATAAAACCCATCCCCACCGATGCTAATATTCATGTTAAAGCCAACACTAAGGCTTTCCATTAGCTGTGTTGGGTTTTTATTTGGTTTTGATGGAGACCTAGTGGATGAGCCAAAGGTGCCATGGTGCAATGGTGATTGATAAACAGAGGAGGAGCGACCACATTTATGGTCAGGCAGGAGACCAATTTGTAGTATTGTATGATAATTGGCCCATTTGCTGGAAAGAACTCATCACAATCCGTGGATCGTTCTTCTTCGGACTTTGTTACTTTCCCATGGTCGAACGTTTGATTGGCTGCCGAGGTTATAGGAAGTGAGGCCAGTATTGATCATTGTGCTTCTAAGCATATGGATGCCCTAGATCGTGGGCTCGGGAAAGTGAGGAGAGGAGCCATGTCATCCATACGACGTCGAGGTGAAATGGTTGAGGATCCTTTTGCTTTCTTGCTTTGGTGGTCTTTTTAGGAGAGCTGTAGTTTTGTATCTTTGTGGCATTCTCACCGGGAGACAAAAGCGAGCAGGCTCATGGTCTACGGATGATAGCCCTCTCTTTGCATGAAGTTTGGAAGCATCTGGATCGACTGGTTTGATTGACTGGCCCAGTTGCTGGAAAGTGGTCGGATAAAGACATTGCTTTGGCTGTCCAGCCGACCTTGTCAAGAAATGGATCCTTGAAGGGGAATGAATAGCTGGAAGAAGGTAAGAAGAATGTTCAAGTGAACAGAGGAAAAAGAATACTAACAGGTATTACAATATTCTATTTATGCTTGATTGCTTGACTTGGCTGAGTAGGATTATTCTGCCCATGTGATAGATGATATCGATGGACTAGTTAATCTGAAAAAATGAGGTTGTTTTAAGAATTTGGCAGCCAGTGTTTGCTTCGTAAGCTTTCGAGTTAAATTATCTTCACAGAGTCTATCCTGCGCAACCGCGTCTTCGCGCAAAACTTGGCCAATTGCTGGAAAGATCTAGAGATTTCAAGTGAAGAACTTGATTGAACACTATTCGATAAGGAGCCGATTAGCCATTGTGAAAATCTTCCAAGGTCGACCTCTAATAGTGCGACAGCAGAGTATGACTGAGTAACTACCTACATTGTATCTATACTGACAGTGTGGAGAGAAGTTTGATGGCAAGGAGAGGAAAGAAGATTGCAAAAAGCTAGTTTCGACTGCTTTAGACAGATGGGAGAACCATAGTGGCAGCGACATGTTGATATTGAGAAGAGGTAGAAGCATTAGAGAGGTTATATGGTATCTCGCTCATGATTTTGTAGTTATGGTGGAGAACAAAAGGGGAACAGAACTTGGGGAAATGATTATATGCTCTGTAAATCCCTCGGTTCGAGATCTTAAGGCATATGTAAAATGGGAACCAACCAATAACAATGGAAATTAGGGTTCGCTTATGGTTTGAAAACACTGGAAGTTGATATTTTGGTGGGATTTCTTAGAATCCTCAACAACTTTGTCAGACCTGCATATTTTTTCAATCAAAATTAAAGCCATAATGAAAACTAGGACAGAACATTGTCCCAATTATTTTGAGCGTTCAAGAGTTTTAAATGTTGTATTAGACTTTCTCAGGAGGAATAACAGGATAGAGGAGATCTCTGTTAAGCACACAGAAACTTCATCAGGCATTGGGAATTCTTGCACAACTTATCTGTTTCAACCATCCACCTTTCAAAGAAATCAGAACTTAAATTTATCTTATAAGTCCTTCATCTTTTATCTTTGAGATACACTTTCTCTTGGTCAAATATCCTTCACACTTTCCTACACATCTATAGTATCGGCTCTTTTTATTTGGCAACTCAGACACATGCAACAGAGAAACTCCAGATTTCCCAAGAGGCAGATTGATAATATGAGCAATTATACTGCTGTCTATTGCAACATGCAGTCGTCACTGGTATCTGCCTTCAGCATACCATGCCAGAAGCAACTCGAAGTTCTTAGTGGAAGAAGAGAAGAAAGCTGGTCAGACCGATTACTCACATAGGCATTTTAAAATACCCTTGTGCCTATGCTGAGAAGGCTACTCAAGAAATAAGTATCGTTGAGTATGATTGTCTCAATATGCATACTCTCTATCTGAAGCTAATATGAATATAGATTCGATGGTCATACCATCTGCATCGGCAGTCCTATCTGATCACAAAGGCATTGGAAGCTCCTCCCTCAATTAAAGACTCACGGTCCGGCTATTCGCAGCAATGGAAGGACATCAAAGACACGTCTATCGGGAACCTCCTAAGCAGTAATAGAATGCTGCACTCGGTCGCCAAGTATCACCCACTAAAGAGGAGTGCAATCGTGTCAAGGCAACCGCTCCCATTGTATCCTAGAATCATCAACTGTACCAAGGCATTCTTTGATAACCTGGCCCGCCACACCACCAACATCAACGCTGGAAGAGTTTGGATGCACGATACAAATCTCACTAGCAGGATGTCGATTTAGACAGAACTAGCTGGCGGACAAACCGATTACATACATAAAATCAACCACAATGGAGAGGATTTGATCCTCTTCATTGATAATGCTAGGAATAACAAGGCAAGATTGCTCGAGGTGAATTAGCTCTCTCAGATCCGAGAACAAACACGCGAGCTCAATTTGAGCGAACCACGGGATGCTTTATTTCCTCCGGCAACGCATGTGGAAATGGATATGGTCTTTCAATAATTTTATGCTCCGATTGAAGTCGACTTCTTCCAAACGGTCGTGGAAAGGGTGATGGATGCACCGTCCAACGGGGACACCAATAAATGATTTTTTTTTATAGGTAGGTTCATTGAAGGTTGCAGAAAGGAGGAACCTGCTAATAGGAAGGCCAGCCTGCATGGTGCATTCTTACAACGACTTTCCATGAGAATATTTCAAAGAATGATCTCGCTCTGGCGATAGATTGGCACAAGCATGTTCTTTTTGTATCGATAGGTAATATTGCAGAAAAATAGCGCTTCTTAAAATCCTACACTGTTATCGAAGCATCATGTAGTTCTATCGACGAAGTAATGACTATCTGTTCTTATATACTCATAACCTTCTATCCTTAAACCCGAGGATACCGAATGAAACCATACTAGTTCTACTTGGAATCATTTATCGCGATTGAATAATAGCAACAGCTCTCTAAAAGAAGCAGTTTTGTCACCAGTAAGTTATATAGCTCTCTCAATAACAATGCAGTGATAGGAATGATTAAATTATGTGTCGCCTGGCGATTGGGATGACATTGACATCAGATTAACCTCTTTGAATCCCTCTTCCAAGTACAGGGCACTTCAGAATTTGCATGGAGTAGCTAGCTACCTGAACACAACCTTACAAAAAGTAAAATAGAACCCCAGGAATGACAGAAGTGACCGCACTTGACGTATATCAGATCCAAATCATTCTCGCGACTGTGAATATGAATGTGAATGTGAATCACAATCAGACTGAGGTTAGCACATATTGAGGGTCGAGAAGAGGTGAATATCATTCCAAGGCACGGGACGTGTTCTCATCTTCCTGTTTCGTTCAATCATGATTGTATAAGTTGAAGCATGTTAATGTTTCGAGGATCTTTTGAAAGTCGCTCAAAGACAATCGATTTCTGAATCGAAGCAAAAGTAGCGAATGGAAGATATAGAAGGTTCGAGTAGATCTGGATGCGATGATGAATATTTTTGTATAAACAGCAGCTCATCCACATAAAACAATGTTTTCGACCTTTTCAATATTCCTATCAAGATGTTACTGCAAGAATAATACTGTCGACGTCGAAATTATAGAATGTTTGAGATATGGCAATTAATCATACTGGAGATTATTGTTGGATCCTTCAACCGGAAGATAGAAATCCAGCAATTGAAAGGTGGCTTACCTTGAGTCATACCTATGCAGAAGCAGGGGAGGTGATCGTTGGAGACCTGCGGAAGCCAGACTTAAACCCGAGGTTTAACGAAGTTATCAAGATCCGAAAGGCTGGTTTGTTGTCTGGCCTCGAAACTCAGATCGAAAAGCATGATATTGAATAATTGTGACTTTATATCATGATAAATCAACGACATGTTCTTCTATAGTGCACTCGAACATGATCGATGTGAAGTTTGATGGAGAGATAATTTCCGGCGGATAAGAGCATGGACCCAGGATATGCGGCAGCATATATGTGGCGGTGAATGTCAAGAGCCATATGAATCATGTGATGAAGGGGAACAAAAGCCTGGTATCTTTGGCGAAAACGAAGCCTATCTCGATATCAATGATGACGTTGTCAATCATGATGAAATGAGCAAGGTTGGCATGCCTGTCCTTGCTTGCATGAGGAAGGAGATCAAAGCCATTATCGAACTATGGCGACGACCAGATATCGCCAGCAGACAGGAACGTTTGCGAAGCTACCCGAAGACTTTGCTGCATGAGATGATTCATGCTTTTCTGAAAATTTACACCTGCTTGTGCTTTAAGTGTTATCACAATATACCAAGAACTATCGGACATACTGGATATGGCATGCCGTGACATAAAATCGCCGACAACATTGAAAGCTTTGTGAAATATAAATTGAATCTGGAGTTGGACCTGGAAAGACGAGCGTGTCTGGCTATAGAGATACAGGCCAGTGGCTTAGACATGCGTGATCAGATCGCAATCTATCTAATGGAATATTTAAATCTTGGGTCTATTTATATCAGTACAATTAAACAGAGGGACGGTCAATCACTCAATAGATCTTGATGATATCGGAACGGATCGCCGAAATACATTGATAAAGAGGATTTGTTTACTGCATCTAGTTCTTGCTATACTCGACTTTTGTAGACGCATTAGTTCTTGGCATCACTTTTCATGCCAGCCTGTATCCATTCTCTGTTCTTTTCAGCTGCAGCCTTCATTTTCGCTTCACGATCAGGATCTTTCTTCAGTGCTCCGATGTTGTGTGGTTCTGGTACGTGGCGCCCTTTCTCTACTGCTGGTCTCTTCTCCATTCTTTCATCCCATGCCTTCAAAGCTGGAAATTCTTCAATGTCAACTCCACAATAAAACGCCGCAGTTACCCATCCCCAGTGAGCAATGTCGGCGATTGTACATCTGTCACCAACCACTAGGATTTTTTGTCAGTAGCCGTTCCACGAACGATGAAATGGGAACACAACGAGCTGATTGAGCAACGAGTTATAAAACACGCAATAGTTGCGTTGGTCCAGAGACAAGAGTCATGGAAAGATTATACTTACAGTAACCAGAGGTAGACTTTTCGAGATGAGTATTGAGGACGGAATACAAACGCCTGGTCTCATTTACGTAGCGATTGATACCATACTCAATCTTCTCAGGAGCATATTTGCTGAAGTGATTAGCTTGGCCTTGCATAGGACCCACTCCAGCGTTAAGGAAGAAGAGCTAGCTATCATATTAGTTCATTTTGATGAATTGGATCCAGGAACAACGAATGACCTACCCAGTTGTTGACTTCATAGTACTCTCTTGTGCCTTTAGGATATGAGATCTTATGCTCTGTGTCATATCTGTCGACAAGATACTGTTGGATGCTACCACTTTCGAACAAATTAATCTGCTTCCCATCCGTGAAGGTATCTGTCAAAGCGGGAATGCGTCCGTTGGGGTTGATCTCGAGGAACCATGGCTCTTTCTGAGTGTTCTTGGATATATCAATCTTGTGCACCTCATATGAAAGCCCGAGTTCTTCCAAGGTAATGGATATCTTGATCCCGTTCGGAGTTTGGGTAGTGTAGAGGTGAATATCTGATTTGGATGCCATTTTGGGTGTGATATGAGAATTTAACAATATTAGACGATTGTTCATGAATTAGACTTTGCAATGAGAACTGGAGGGGATAAGAAGAAGTTTAAATATTTTGATTTGTAATGTACTCAGTAAGTTCCATCACAGTTACCCCACCCCATGATGGTGTGATCTAAATTAATACTCTTGTTCCATTATCTTACAAGCGTAAACTTGAAAACCACAGTTCTTGGAAGGTGCTTCATGGAAAATGCCTAGTCTGGTAGCATTCGAACAACGCATGATTATTCAACAAGCAGTCGAGGACTCTTGTGATGGTATGTTGCAGGAATTATTTAAATCTTTCTGCAGTTATCTTTGTCATCAATGTTAAAGAAGAGCAGTACAATTTTCAACACATCATTGTTGTGATGCATTAAACATCACGTGGGTATAACACTAACCATGATTGACACTAGCTCGACCGGCTAATGTCGAGCTTTATTCAACTCGGTAGACTATACAATCTTTGTGCCAATCTTTCATGCATCCTACTTTAGTATTGAAAACAACAGTTATCGACATTCAATACATCCATCATGGCGTGGAGACAACAAGGAAGTACAGGATCGAACAATATCCCCTTGGGAAACCGACGACGCTTTCCTGGTGATGGCGGCGCTACTCAAGAGGAAGGCTACAGCCCAGCTCAATCTTCCAACAATCACCATGATTCGGGTATCAAGCGTGGACGAAGCCCTACCGTGAAAAGTAAGTTTATCCTACCTGCAATTGCGCTCAAGCAGTCTTAACATCTTGTAGCCGAAGAAGTTGGAGGCGATGGATCTCGACGTCGCAAGAAGAGAAATCGTTGGGGTGATGCTACCGAGAACAAGGCTGCCGGTCTTATGGGACTTCCAACTGCAATCATGGCGAACATGACCAGCGAACAACTCGAAGCTTATACCTTACATTTTCGGATCGACGAAATTACTCAAAAATTGAGAATCGATGATGTTGTTCCAGCGGATGGCGACAGGTAAACAAGGACCTTTCCATGAATGCTCAACAATAACTAATTAAATTTCTCACAGATCACCTTCTCCTGCTCCCCAATACGATAACTTCGGTCGCCGTGTCAATACTCGAGAATACAGATATAGAAAGAGGCTCGAAGATGAGAGACACAAGTTGATTGATAAGGCTATGAAAGTCATTCCTAACTATCATCCACCACAAGACTATCGCCGTCCCACTAAGACTCAAGAGAAAGTCTATGTGCCAGTCAATGACTACCCAGAAATTAACTTCAGTATGATTGCTAACCCTCTAACCTTTCTAAACTTGTACTCCATCCCTTATCCGTTTTCATTTCTCGTGTGACATTGGATGCAGCATTTGGGAGACAAATGCAAAGCACCGTCATCACTAACCTTCGTACTCACTACCATTTTGCTCAAAGCTTTTGATCCTATACTAACACTTAGCTTGCGCTCTACTAAAGTTGGTTTACTTATCGGTCCTCGTGGCAATACATTAAAGAAAATGGAGACAGAATCTCAAGCTAAAATTGCTATCCGTGGAAAAGGATCCGTCAAGGAAGGAAAAGGTCGATCCGATGCAGCTCATACTAGCAACCAGGAGGAGGACCTTCATTGTTTGATCATGGCAGATACAGAGGAAAAGGTCGAGAAGGCGAAAAAATTAATTCACAACATCATTGAAACGGTAATTCTCCGCACTCCACTCTCCATTATCACATACTAACACATTATAGGCCGCTTCTATCCCTGAAGGTCAAAATGAGCTAAAGCGTAACCAACTTCGTGAACTCGCTGCTCTTAACGGTACGCTTCGTGATGATGAGAACCAGGCTTGTCAAAACTGTGGTGAAATCGGCCACAGAAAATACGATTGCCCACAACAACGCAACTTCACTGCAAACATCATTTGTCGCGTTTGTGGTAATGCTGGACACATGGCTAGAGATTGTCCAGATAGACCTCGTGGTGCAAATTGGCGCAACGATGGTCCTCCAGGCGCAAATGCTGTTCCAGGTCAAGGCCGTATTGGTGCTGGCGATGCTGTTGATCGGGAATATGAGGTAATAAAAATTTCTAGTCGATTTTCAAAAATTAGTACTAAAAAGTTATCTAGCAACTCATGCAAGAGCTTTCGGGTGGTGCTCCGGCTACTACAGATGCTCCTCGGCGTATTGAGTCTGGCCCCTCGGGTTACGATCAAGGGCCTCCGAAAGATCAAGAAGATGTCAAACCATGGCAACGAGGCCCATCGAATGCTCCTGCCCCATGGCAAAAAGGGAATGATGCTCGCGATACTCGCGATACTCGTGATTCTCGTGATGGCCGTGATTCTGGCCCTGCCCCTTGGGCTAGACGAGGAGGTGATGATAGAGACAGAGGAAGCTATCAAAATGGATATAATGCTGCACCATCCGCTCCCTGGGCAAAGCAATCACAACCACCATCTATCCCAACTGGTCCATCTGCCTATCCGGCTCAAAATGCTTTTGCCCCTGGGTATGGTAGCTATCCTACTCAGCAGCCTCCAATGGGAGCACCTCCAGGTCTTAATATCAATGCTCTTCTTCAACAATATGGCAACTCTTCACTTCCTCCCCCACCTCCTTTGGATAGCCAACCACCCCCACCTCCTCCGACTCATCAGCCTCCACCTCCGCCAACTCACCAACCTCCGCCGCCTCCTCCAGGAAACTAAACTTGTCTTTTCCAGCTAATCAATAAGAAATGCCGGTCTTAAATATTTTCTTAGTTGCCAGCATGCAACACTAAGAAACCAAAACGCCCATTTTGAAACCTATTCAGAAAGGATACTAACTTAGAAATTATCCACCAATACAATGTTTCTTTGTATCTCGAGGACGATGTTTCTTGTTGGACTGACCTTTCACGAGTTTGCTTACTCTAGTTTTTTTTTCTTGATTAGTGCCCTGCTGGTGGTGTAAATATAGGAAAATAACAAATTCTCTTTGATACTTATAAGCAGTGTATATGATACAACTTCTATGTAGCCGTGTCTGTATATAAGAAGTCCTTTGCCACTCCTGTGGATTTAGTCCATTAACTATGGTTGTTGATCTATAATTATGTTAGAGTGAGATGATCGCTCGAAGTGAATTCTCTTTGTCACGTGATATTCTTGGAATTCATTGACATATTCCTCTAAAATTTTGAACTCGGATTCTTCAGGCTGTTCCTCGAACTCAATAATTCTTTCAAAAAAAAAAATTAAGCAAACATCGGGTCAAAGTTAAATCCGTCTCCTGCGGTCACGTCCTTCATCAGCGAGGTTTAGATCAGAAATAGTTACACAACGTATCATCTCTCACAAACTTCATTTTTTTGTCGTACAAATGCCTTCTTTGGTTTACTCTTCCTTTTTCACTATAAAGACGGTTGTTTACTTCTCCATTCCTTCACCCTTTGAAAACATTTTTCGAAGATTCCGAGTATGGCTGAGTGCGGTACTACAAATGATGTCCTTCTGCCCATGATTGTGATGCCTCAAACAATGACGCTCATAGGCCGCCTTTTGAAGGTATATGAGAGGTATTACAGATGACTTAAAGCCAATCTGGAGATTCCTGCCATGAAGGATGCATTTCCTGTTGAAGTCTCAAAGTGGGAAGGGGTTGTGCGAATCTTGATCTGAAAAACTTCGAGGGAATGTTTTGCTGGTGTAGGTGATCATCCATAACTCCCGATGTACTTACACTTCTTGTAATAATATCAATTTTTGAACGCGATACTGAGAGTTCTATGACGAGGTGGTGTAGAATGATCGAGCCATTTGTTACCACATATCGATCTGAGTGGAACATATACGATGCGAACAATATCGCTACACAATTCTTGGAACGAAGTCAATGAGCCTTGCTTGTTCAGTAATAAGTTGAATTTATTGAGTTTTCTACATCTTCACTGGCTGTGGATCGCTGATACCCTTACAGATGTATTTTGTCGGAAAGTCAAGATCGCATGTGATCATAGCAACTGGCAATATTTCGGTCTGCTTATCAATCCCAGCGTCTTCTATCGACTGATGTGGAACCTGCACTCCAGGCAGCTCAATTTCCGAATTGTACAAGATGCTTCGCCGAAACATCAGAGTTCGAAGTTCCTTAGTATTGTAAAGGTTTCTTGCATCATCGTTCGTAATGGCGCGGATAAAAATGGCATTTCACCTATTGCCTTCCCGAAGCTGGTGACAAACCTCAGAAATTCATCAAGAATGTCAAGAAAGCTACATAGCAATCTCCATATGTTCACCCATTTTCTTCGTCGTAACATTACTATACAAGCACCACCGTTACATGAATACAGCTGCTGTGCTGATTGATGTTTACGGCCTTGCCTTAGTTACTCTATGTGAAAACTGAATGGTTTGGTAGGCAAGAAATTAAGATATTATTTGCATATTATGGAAGAAATTTTTGGTGAGTGCGAGTGCTTTAAATTGCGAAAGTATACACTATGTTTTCATTCTCAACCATCTACTACTCTACATACAAAAAAAGAAAATCCTACAAGAAAGCCGTCAAAGACTGCAAAGAACAAATAAAACACAGACTAAATATCAAACTAAATCAACACCTTACTAATCAAATCCTAGCTCTCTTCGACCTATCCGACTGAGAATCAGGATCCTGCGAACTTCTTTTTACCCCCCTATTCGCCCCGGTCACCTCCAAATCATCCTCGAACATCACAAACTCATTCTCCTCGACCACAAACTCATCTTCCTCGGCCACCGAGTCACCTTCGGCAATCAGCTCATCCTCCTGCTCCTCTGGCTCCAATTGCTCCTCTAGCTCCTCTTGCTCCTCTTGCTCCTCTGGCTCCCGAACATAATTCTGCTCATCAAACGTGACACTAGGTCTTGAAGCCCGTCTCACCGTTACGAAACTAGATTTTCGTGGTTCGGCAGCAAATGTCGCGCTTGCGGATACGGTTTCGATTACCTCTGCTTCTAGATCCGGTTCGACCTCAAATTCATCAGCATCGTTCATGTTAGGTGCCTCATCCGGCTCGGGTGCGGGAGCTGCGGCTGCCGCTGCCGCTGCTCTGGCAAGGGCTCTTCTTCTCCTTGGCGCTGGCGCTGGGGAAGCCGTGTCTGCGGCTGGGGCCGCCCTGGCATTGGCTCTTCTCCTTGGTGCTGGCGCTGGCTCTGGTGCTGGGGAGGCTGCGTCTGGGGCTGCTCTAGCAGGAACTCTTCTCCTCCTTGGTGCTGGCGCTGGCTCTGTTGCTGGCTCTGGTGTTGGGGAAGCCGCGTCTGCAGCTGGGAGTGCCCTGTTAGGGGCTCTTCTTCTCCTGCGCGCTGGTGCTGGTGCTGAAGGGGCTGCTCGACCTGTATTGGCTTTCGACTTTTTGCGAGGTGGTTCGGCAGGCGGTTCTTCCTCTTTCTCTTTCTCTTCTTTCCTCCCATCCTCTTTGCTCTCTTCCTCCTCAGCTTGTTCTTCCGCCACACCTTCCGCTTCTTTTTCAGCTTTCTTTGCTGAAAGTTCCTCCTCCTTCTTAGCCTTTTTTGCTGCATCATCAGCGGCTTTCTGAACCTTCTTTGCTGCATCGTCTATGGATTTCTGAATTTTCTTTGCTGCTAGATCTGCTGCCTGTTTAGCTTTCTTTGCTGCAAGTTCCTCCTCCTTCTTAGCTTTCTTTGCTGCATCGTCTGCGGCTTTCTGAGCTTTCTTTGCTGCAAGGTCTTCAGCCTTCTTAGCTTTAGCAGCCTTTGCCGCTTGGGCTTTGGCTAGCTTTGCCGCATCTTTCAACGCTTTTTCTTCCCGTTTCTGTTGAGCAACCGCCTCTCTCGCCTTCTCTTCATCTTCTAGCTTTTGCCTTTCTTCGGCGGCCTGTCGTAACTTTTCTTCTACTGTCATGGACGCTAGAGTCTTGGCTCTGGCTCGAGTTACTCTACCTGTCGGAGAAGGAATTCCCGCTAATTCGTCGGCACCGGCGTCAGGCTCATCAACCTCGCTTTCAGGAGCTGGTTTAGGTTGAGCTGTGTTTACCTTACCGGGTGCTTTTGCCTTTGCTTTAGGGGCCCGCCCGGTTGTAGTACGTGGTCTTGGGGCCTGATCTTCTCCAGTATCATTCTCTCCAGAACCATCTTCAGTTGCCCCTCCAGCTCCTTCAGCAGCCCCTCCAGCCGCCCCTTGGTTATCATCGTCATCACCTTTATCATTCTTATCATCTTTAGGTGGTGGTTTCTGTTTCTTAGCTTCTTCTGCCGCTTTTCTAGCCTTCTCCCAAGCAGCTTCATCTGCAGCTTCTTTAGCTTTTCTAGCCTCTTCCCTAGCAGCCTCTTCTTCAGCTTCTTCAGCTTCTCTAGCCGCAATATTCCTGGCCTTGGTTGCTTTGGCTTGATTGGCAATCCTAGTCTTGATACGTTTCAATCCTAGTTTAGGGCCCTCGCCAGCCACTAAGTTTATGTGTTAGTTACTGGTAATGATAATAGGAATGACAAACATAAAAGGAGTAACATACTTGCGTCATGTGCTGTCTGTAGATCAGCCATTCTCTGCTTATTTTCCTCATTCTCTGCGATAGCTGCATCTCTCTGTAATTGAAGCGTAGCACCAGTCTCATTACCCGTTGCGAGATCTGTTTCCAGCTCGTTAAGTCGGGCCTCCAGCTCGGTGATCTTGTCGGAATCATCTGCAGGACCGAGATTTGCATCCTCTTTTGCTTCTCGAAGCCCCCTATTATCTCTTCGAAGATCTCGTATTTGTTGTTGGAACCCTTCTCGTTGTTTCTGGAGACTCTGTTGAGTTCGCTGCGCAACATTAAACTGTATTTGGAGATCTCGGAGCTCTTGATCCCGTTTCCTAAGTAAGTCTCCTTGAGCTTTAATTCTGGCTATATGTTCCTTATTGATCTCTTCATTGGAATCAAACGATGCTACACTTTCATCTCTAAGGGCTTGATCAGCTGCCGCTTCCTCCAATTGCTTTTCATGTATTTCTTCGGCTGCCTTTCTATCGTTCGCCGCTTTCTTTTCTCTTGCCCTCTCTGCTTTATCCAGCTCTTCTTCCAATGCTTCATTCTCGGGCTCAGGCTCAGCTGTTCTCTGTTCGTCGAGTTTCCTGCTTGCCGCCGCGGCAGTTCCCTCACCCGTCTTGACAATGTGTCTATACCTTTCTAATTGTTTCCCCTGATGCTGACCACGTCGATCAGAAGCATCGAGCTGTCCCTCCAGACTTGTAATCTTGATTTGATCATCCTCATGCCGTCTTTTAAAATCGGCCAGATCCCACCTCAAAGCTCTAAGCCCCTCGGGCGAGATACCACTGGCATTTAATCTCGCATCGTCGAGTCTCGCCTGAAGCTCCTTTACTACCATTTCATGTCTCTTACTGCTATCGGCAATTTGAACACCCAATTCCGTGACGTGTTTGTCCCGCTCCGCAAGATCATCAATGGCTTTGGCAAGAGGACCATCGGGATCAACCTCGTCGGGAGGATGCGCCCTCAATTTATCATTTTCAGCTTGTAGAGTAGCGATGGTTTTTTGATACTTTGCAATTTCTGTTCGTAAACTTGCTATCGTTTCGTTCAGTTCTTGGGCGTTTTTAACATTTACATCCTTGTAGTCTTCCAGTTCTTTTCTGAGACGATCCATCTCCTTTTGATCGGCTTCGCTAGTGTGGTAATCGGGATCAACCAGATCCACATAATCCTCCATAGCCTTTTTAGCGAGTAAATTGTCGGTAAGATGCGTCATGCCGATAATTCTCTCTCTGAGATCCTGGATTTCCTGTCGATCTCTGCTTGCATCACGATCATACTCAAGCATGGCTTTCAAACCTCTAATTTGTGCATCTCTATCCACAATTTGTTGCTGAAGATCTTCTACGCTCTTCTTTGCAAGATAGAAATCTTTTTCATATTCCGTAATCCTCGCTGCGTAAACGTTCAACTCTTCCTCTAATCTGGTCCTTACCTCCTTCGAAATACCAGCTCCATTCTCTTTTAAGTGAGCCTCCAGTCTCATGACCGACTCGTACTTTTGAACAGCATCATCCCTTTGCGCGATCACTTCCTCCAGTTTCCCCGATGCCCCATGGCGGCTCTCTCGCAATATTTTGAGGGCTGACTTAGCATCAATTAATTGTCTTCGTAGATCGGAAACGAGGGTATTTTTAGCAGTCATAAGAGTTCGGGTTTTGGCCAACTCTTCTTTCAACTTTTCACTCATTTTTTTCCTCTGCTCTTCGTCGGGATGAAGTATGACACTTCGCAAACTGTCCTCGAGCATTTTGACCCTGGCTAAAGATTGCTCTGCGTTATCATGGTAGCCTTCGAAATGTTTGCACAATTCGTCAAAGATGGTGTTGGAGAGATGAACACCATCTGCTTCGTCGCCTCGGGCCTCCACGGGCCTATGGCCTCTTGATAAGGCCTCGATATATTCGGTTTGTTGATCACATTGTCGTTTCAGTTCTTCTTGTTTTGCCCACGCTTTACTCAATTCATTATCCAAACGATCGATTTCGGCTTTCTCCCTTGCACAATTTGAACCAGGCGGAGGGGCACCTCGTGCATTGACTAAATCTTGCCTTTGTCTCTCCAACTTCTCAATCTCTTCGGTCTGATCTTTCACTCTCTCCAGTAGTCTCCCCTTCTCTTCTATCGATTCTTCTCGAATTATAGCAACAGCCCCAGACTTATTCATTCCTCTTTTTTGTGCCAAATTTGTCATCTCGATGATCCCTTGTACAAGATCACTGAATGGCTGAGGTGTACTATAATTAATCCTCAGATTAATGATAGGCTCCCCGCCATCCGAATCATAATCAACTTCATTAGCTTCCACCTGAATCTCTTCCTCTCCCAAAGCCATACGAAGAACCCTAAGCGTAGTAGTAAGCGCGGCATGAAAATCCGCAACGGCGGTTTGAAAAATAGCCGGATCCATCTTCTGATCTCCACCATCCTTCTGATTCGCAAAGTAATACTGCGTTGCTCTCCGAAACTCCAAAAGATACTGCTCAGAACGATTTCGCAAACCCCTCCACACGCGTCCTTTAGCTCGATATTGAAGAGTCTGCCGATGCGTCCTCAAGAGTAATTCTCTCATCTTGACACATTGCTGCCCGATAAATTCTACACCATTTTTATCAATTACTCCCTGATTCCTCTCTATACCTTCCATGATGGGTCGATAGAGCGCAGCCCATTCATCTCTTTTCATCTCCAACGTCGGGAGATGTCCCTGCGGTGCGCGGACGGGTGGGAGAAGCTCTTGTTCCCTACGTGCCCAGTAATCTTCCATGTCTAATCTTCTCAGTTGCTCCTCTTGCCAAAAGGCATAGTTAGGACTTGTTTCCACCATGGCCATTTTTGAAGATGTGGATGGATTTCAGCTTGAATGCTGAATCGTATGTATATGTATTTGTATATATAATCCTTACGAATGGTTTTCTTTCTTTCTTGTGATGCTTTGCTTTGGTTGGGTTGCGTTTAAATCGGTGCGTAACCAACTATAATACCAACGGTCTCCAGAGTCCTGAATATAAAACCAATCAAACAAATATCCACAAACAAATCATAAAAGCAACTTCTTATTAAATTGACCATTTTTCTTTATGTATATCATATTCATTCGAAATACCCTGTGCAAGCAGAACTTTGACAGTACTTCCGAAAATCTTTGTTGCCCTTTGTCATATTGAGATTTCTTTGAGCTCCTCTCGACACATACATACATACATGTATACATGCATTATTCTCTAAGAAACACTACACAATTGGGCTTTTCCACTAAAGAATAAAAAACCGTTCTTGGAATATGAATGATTGTAGGTTTTGAGGTGATGAAAGGAATGGGGTTATTTGATGTGTTTGAGTTTGATGAAAACGGCGATGGAGGAAGGAGGATGAGGTGAGGATATTGGTGTACCTAATAGGCTCATGGTGGTCACTGAGATGAATATAGAGAGAGATATGAATTTGATAGCTGGCAGTGAAATTGTATGTATGGCTAAAAGAGTCAAGGTAGTATATACTGAGTTATAGTATCCCTAGGAAGAGATATGAATAAATAAATTAATTAATTGGCTGTGCGATGAAATCAGAAAATTGTATATATAGCTACCTAAGCTAACAGTTTCAAGATCAATCAATATAGTCAATCAATTTGAAAAATCATGAATCATCATCCAAACTCGAAATGTATAAAATATTAACATATACATACATATACACAGCACTAACATCATAAGAAATCTCCTCCGCCTAAATATCTTTTAGGAATATTTAAGGTTATCGTAGGTAACACTTAATTCTTTCTACCAAAAAATAAAATAAAAACAAAGCAATGGTATTTTCAACAGCGTAGAGAAGGAATGGGTTTCTATTAATTACAGACGGAGTATTGGATGAAATAATAATTAAGGCGAGTTAGATTCTCTTGATTGATTATCCCGTACCTAGCTTATGATGAGATGAAATGAACGTTTGCTGAGTGGGATAGTTTATAGGGATGTATATATATATATATATATATATATGTAATAGTGCTGGGAAAATTAAGTTGCTTTTAGAGATTGCTGGTATAAGTTGGTACATAATCATCTCTGATATTTGATATGGGCATGGTCTCTTGAGGGAAGGGAGATAGAAGCGGAACTGAGTTAGGCTCAATTTGAGGTTATTTGTCTGTCGTGATTGACAATAAATCAATAGGAGTGTCGATGAGTGTATATTAGATGCGAGACTCAACGGTAAACATTGTTAGTATTATTGAATAATCTACCGTCACGATCCTTCACTCAAATAAGCCTCATAAATACCCAATCCAAGCGTAAAATCATGACACCAATCTACGCATTATGCACCATCATCTACACCAATCCTTCAGCTCCCACCTCGCCCTTTAAACCCTTAAACCCTTTATCACCAATCAAAATCCTCTGTTGTAACTCAAACCCCACCCCACAAACCTCCTTTCTCCTCCTCGCAAACATCCCATACAAACCCAACCAAATGGTTCTATCTCTACAATCCGTCGCTCCAAACCATTCATTCTCCCCACAATTCGGCATGTATTTATTCAATTCCTCTTTCGTGGCTCTGATCCACGGTTTCGGGATCGGCCCGTCGGAAAAATGCATATATTTTGCTTCTGCCAATATCTCACCTGGATCCCAAAGTTCTTTCGCATCGCCCAAATATTCCTTATGTGATTTGCGACGGAATTCACCCGAGAGAAGATGGTATGGTCGTGATTGTATGGCTAGAATGTGTGGTGCAAATAGGGTATTCAGGATATCCATATCATATTCATTTGGTCCAACATGCTGCACAGCAGATTCGACCTGTTGAAATAGGTTACGCGACGGATGTAATAGTAACAAGTGAGAGGAATATGCCCAATTTGGAGGCGAACCAAAATAAGTATATGGCATGGCGACTGGAGCAGAAGGGAGAAGAAACAATTCATCCATATTCTGAATATAAATAGCATCGGAATCAAGATATAAAACCCGATCGAACTGAGTGAGGTTGAAAGCGAGAAGCTTGGTATATGAATCTGACCATGTTGCTCGATCCGTGTGATTCTGATGTAAAACGTCCACCGGTTGAAGCTTAACGTAATAATCCGTTTGCACCTGTTTTAACAATCGGGCAATGGGTGTGAGAGGCTTGGAGGGGAGAGTATCATCGGTTTCTTCGAGTATCCAATGTGAAGGATATAACATTAGTCGTTGAGCACGACTACCAATTGCCTCGACCTGAGACCAGAGCATGAGAGCGCTACAGAGATATTCGGGCGAGGTGACATATTGAACATATGCGAATTTAAACCAGTCAATTGCAGGATCATCGACCGTTGTTATCGGACCCGGCATGGGTGGAAAAGGCTCCGGATCATGGTTACCAAGAAGAACGAATCTGATAAGCAAAAGTATAAGGAAGCATATGAGAGATACCTGAATGGTAGTCGCAGATATCAAGGCCCGCAATCGGCGACTATAGAATCGAAAGCCTGCCATTCAGACATTTGAATAATATGAGAAAAGGACAACAACATTGCCATTCTTTGATATTTTTGATATTTTGTTTAGATTATTTATTTGTTAAGGTTGCTCGGCATTCTTGATTGATACAGGAGTTTGTCCCACACAGTGTACGTGCCAAGACGCTAAGGATTTCTTGGCCTTGATCAAGACGGATGTGACGGAGGGGGGATCTTGCATGGGCAGAGTAATCGGCGGGGTATAAATATAAATGATGAGTCAAACTATTCCCTTTCCATTCTTTCACATCTTTTCCCAATCAATTTGATTACAGTCGGAATCCAACAGACCAAACCTCAGAAAGAAACATCGACTCGTTTCGAATTCGATAGTTTTTCGTCCATGGTGAGATGACAAGTGATGGGCTCTATATAAACCTCGTCGATTATTTCCGTCTTGTTTGATAAACTCAATCCTAGGGCAGTTCCTGCTGTGAATCATCATAGGCTGACTATCTTGCACATCAAATATCGATGCATTTGTTTGTTTGGCTGGATGTTCTCAAGTGAGCTTTCTATTTATTGCTTTTTCGCCTTCATACTTGCCGGTCACTTATCGCATTCTTTGCTATTTTGGCTATGTTGTGTTGTTAAAAGCCAAGCCTACGATGGCATCTTTCCATTAAAAGTCTCCGTTGATCTCTGCTTCAAAGAAACCCTATTTTTTTTTTACCATGGGACTGAAGCAAAGAATCATTCAATATGACTTGCCTCAAACCTTCAGAATTGGATTTAACACCAGAGAAATGAGTCAAAAAGAGGTCATCGAAATTGTCAATAAATATATACTTGACTTTCAACTATCCACTTTAATTCTTCATGTCAACCTGGGAGTTACTTTGAGCTATCTCTCCTTGTCAGTTTTTACCGCAAATTTGAAACTAGAGCGGTGGACCATGCAACGATGGAACGATGGGAATTTATATCTGACAACCACTTTTCAACTCCAATACCTAGTATCGATTTATCAACCAATATACACTCCGTTCAGATATCTTCAGATGAACATCTTCTGTTTATCAATGGACAACAACGACCGTATACAGCCTTATGTGGGCACATAAAGATTACTCTCAAAGCATCCTTGAACGAACAAACATGATTCTACACCGCCAGTCATGAGCATTGACTAAGAGCCATCAAGTGAATATGCTGGCATATGGAAACACTTATTTCTTAGATCTCAGTCCTCGCTTTCAGTATGGCTTTGCACCAATGCTACCTGCGCTTGTAGGACGATTCAACTTTCAGCGCTTCAAAGACGAGGCCAGTCCAAGTCCTGAGCTATTGCGGCTGCAAGCAGGAATGGAGCAAACCTACAAAACAAGCAAGTCTGATGAAACCAGATAAACTCATCGAAATCGATCCTGGACAATCTCCTGTGGGTCCGCAATGAAACACCATGTCATGGTTTTGAATCACAATACACATGTACCATTGACCTCTCCAGCTATTGGTTGAATATCGAGGAATCCAATCTTCTCATTACTATCATAGTAGTAACATGCAACGCGAAATTTACAACGCAATCATTGGCGGGTGACTGGTTCGCTGGAAAAGTTTCTCATATATTAGGCTGGTGACTTATGCTCTCTTCCGTCTAACTCATGCTACATGTCAGTAGCAGCAACGCCCGAAAATAGGGAGATGTTCTTGAATTATGCTCATCATACTTGCTCCTCCGTACGTTGTATGGTGTGGTTAAGCAAGATACCGTCGGTTGCCGGTGTGACGAATGAGTTGTTCTGGTGCTGTGGTTGAGCCGGCATGTCTACCATTGTATAAGTCTCGACTGTTCTCCATTTTGGATAGGTCAAGTATGATGAGGAGGAATTGGTGCCCAGACTTTGATCTCTCTTAGACCCGCTTCCTGTACCTGACTTGTTCTCGAAATCATTCACTGACTTGGAACTGGATTGCAAACCGCTGCGAATAGAGCGGAGGGAAATAACACTGCGGACAGTGCGTAAGATACGCTCAGGGCTCACGCCAGCTAGGTAGTACCACAATGATGGCAGATTCACAGCAACGATTGTGAGGCCGGCTTCCAATATTATGAGATATGTCCAACTTGTATTCCTTTCTACACAAGTACCTCAGTAGCTTTCATTCATAGTGAAATGAAACATATATAGAAGAGGAGATACTAGCCATAGACATCCTCGTCGTCGACGGCTCTTCCTTTGGTTACAAGAATAATAGCGATAGCCATACGCGAAGTGCTTGAGGCAAGACCACTAGACAGAGTCAGTTCAAGATCGTTACTCTATCAGTGTTAAGACTCACACAAAAGCAAGTAGAAAGACGCAGAAGACTGCAATCTTTCGTTTGAGGGTCATGTTCAGGGACCAAATCTGCTTCGATCAGTTGTGGAAGTTGTGTCACGGCCCAAAGAGATATCTTACTTTGGGGATGGCTAGGGTAAGAATGAAAACATCTAGAAGAAAGTCGGATATGGTAGTCCCCATAAAGTATGGGAAAATAGCCCCACACTTCGCAGATGCCGAAGCTCCAACCCCAAAAAGATAGTTTATATTTGCACCACAGATTAAAAATGTCATGATGAAGAAGCCAAGGGTCCATAAGGCAACCACGGTAACAACTACAGCGGGGACGACATTGAAAGCTTCGCGCAAATCAGTGCAAAATACGCGACGATAAAATAGTAGTGCACTCAGTTTCGTTAGGCCGAGCGTTATCACGGTTAAGCCATTAAGCGCTGTATATGTCTGTGTTTCCAGTCAGCTCAGGCTAAAGTCCAAACCTTATCAAGGGTGCATACCTTTTCTACCTCTGCATGCATAGAGGCCACAAGTTTGTGGTTTTTGGGTTCAATATACCCCATAAACTTTTGCGATATCGCTATCCACTCATGTTAGTCTACGAGCTGTTTAGACAGGGAAGCATTCCCATGGTTATCGTAGGAAGATATGGTCGTTGGACTCGCGAAGAAGATCTAACACAACGAAGAAGTAAGCTACCGCTCGGCAAGTAAAAGCAGATGAGACTTACCCAAGCTGAGAACACCATCCAATCGTCAATTAGCAAGGATGCTTTTTGCTTTCGGCGTGCAATAAATCGTAGAATGATGGTTATCGTCGTCAGGCCCAACAACGTGCCACTCAGGGACGCAAGCCCGTTCTTAGATTCATCGACTCGCATGATGAATCTTTACAACAAAATGTAAGCTAATCGTCACCGTTTTATCAGACAAAAGTAGACGAGCCAATATTGAAGGGGGTATATGTGGGTTATTTCAACGTCCGTTCTTTGGAAGGAGTTCGAAGGGAAGGTTCAAGGAAGTGGAAATGGAGTGGCTACACGGAAAGGACAAGCAAAAGTAAGATCCCACATGTATCCGAAGGCTGAAGATGTCGGGGAATATTTCCGAACGATCCCCCACGTTCAAGGGAATCGAGACTATTTTTCTTCATCACTGCTATATATAACTTCTCAACATGGGGAAGACCCTTGCATGTTGGCGGGTATTTGCATGTCTTATCTACCAAGCACATGGCAAAGGTCGTGTCATCACTCCCATAGTTTCTTTAATTAGCGACGCGATAAGTTTCTTCGATCAAGCGAGCCAGCTAGACTAGTCATCTTGTAAGGCTAAGCTCAAAAGCTTGTTAGATATACCAACACTTGACCAAAGCTTATCTCTACCTCCGCAATGGACGGGGTACGTATACTCGTAAAGTAACTGGTAAATCCATCAAAGTAAGACGGAATAATAGGACATGATTTGATCAACGTAAGATGTCACAAATTGACTTGGAAGTGCACTAAATAACTATCTTCATTTTCTTGTTTGTGCATTACACAACATGCGCGACAAATTAACGCGATAGGATACGGATTGTCTATGCAATGTTACAACGCTGACTAGTACCAATGGTACGTATCCACAACTATCACCAACATCACTAACATCACCAAACGTCTATAACATGTCGCAATATTGAAACGCTACAGAATGAGGAGGATGAAGATCGCCCGTGGTGTAAAAGTCAGTGAACAAAATGTAAAAGTTAATGAAACGAGGATGTGAAAATCAATGAACAGCAGCACGGTACGAAGAGATCTTCATGACAGAAATTGTATGAACATTGGGACAAACCGAAAAGTAAAGTTATTTGAAGATACAGAAACAACTTTTGTTGCATAAACTTTCCAATGATATCGATCATATCTAAATTGCCGAGCAACCCCTTTTACACAGCTGACAAGCAAAAACTTCATCAAACACCTCGTTATATCCACCCACCTCATCTTTAAATCACATAACTAATAACCATTGCCAATAATCAATCAATCATAATGAGGAACTCCCTATATCTACTCCTAGCCATGGCTTTCCTGTCTCTTACGGCTCCAGTAGCACACCCAGGTCAGTCGGTCAGTCGGTCAGTCAGTCAGTCATTCAGCCAGTCAGTCAAACCCAGGCCAAATTTAAATTATTCAACAAATTACGAGAAACAAGAGAGCTAATGTGAGAAATAAAGATGTCACTACTACTAATACTACTACTGAAATCGCGACGTCCACCTCCACTGATGATGGAAGACTTACTCCCATGTTTGAGTGAGACAACCCTTGTATGTCTGCTTTACATGCTATAATTTTGTTTGGTTTGGATTGGTGCTCACGAATTGGTACTATAGTGAATACCAAGGAGTTCGAATAGACATGTTACGAACCTATCTGTACTACTACCATAAACTCGCACCTTGCTCTTCACTATTCGATTCGACATGCGGAGGTTAGGATGTGGTTCCATACGAGTATGTATTGACTGGGACGAGCTCGAGGTCGTGAAGATATTTGCTTGGTAGCGTGCTAGGTGGTTGGTGTCTGCAGCTCGAAATTATGTAGTTAATTCATCCACACAGATAGTTAATTCAATTGTTTACCTGTTTGAATTATGGTACTCGAATATGTTTGTGATTGTGTATATATACCATACCTATCCTTATGCGAGTAGGTAATAGTGTATTGAATTAGTCTAAGAGTAGGAATTACCATTTACTGCAGTATGCAAACTGGTGGGAAATGCTCTAGTAGTAGGTAGGTATGTAGGTAATCTAATTCGTAGAGTAGCGTTCACACTGAGAGGTAGAAGTTTCTACATCGTTCCATTCCAAGTTCCAATTCCATTGATATTCCTCTCAAACTCACAATCAAATTATCTTGTGATAAGTTTACTGTGGATTAGACTTTGTCTATGCAATCAAATTAAGCTAGCTGCTCAACAGGTTGTGATAAAAAAAGTTGAGATTAAAACAGGCAAAATCATCAAAGTTCTATGCTGCATTGCATATAAGACCACTGCCAAGTAACGTAATAATCCAACCAAGGTTACAAACATAGTAGACAGTTATTTCATGTATGAGGATTCAGATTTTAAAATAACTGCATCCGCGATATGATGCTCCGAGGATCACCCATCCTATTCTAGTATCCAATCACCTTGCATACCACTAGTAGGTAGTTGCCAGACTAATTCTCTTCAGGAAAGCTTACTCTCGCATGATCCACGGCATCTTGCCGCATGGACAAGATTTATAACGGTCGAGAAGCAGAATAAAACGGTCCAAGGGTCTTGAATAGCAAGCTGAATGCTCGAGTGCAAACTGACCCAGCTTATTCCAATCACGACACATGCGAATTTGGCCTGTTCCAGATGAGGCTATGATATGCCCGGCTTGTGCATGGAGTAATCCAGTACACCGGGGCGTATCGTCTGCATTGCAAGTCACATATTCCCGAAGAACATGAAGACAATGCGTGACATGCTCAAATCCCCATATCTGCGACTTTTTATCACAATATTCCATTATAGATTGTCGGAGAATAAACTAGATGAGAAGAATTGGATCAGTTTAGGGTTTGCGGAATTTCAAGTGGCAGAACTCACCACACAATGAATGCTGTGGTAGGCGTGAAAGACATACATACTTTTGGAGTTGTCCCGGGGCCACCTCATCGAGGTGGGCAGACCTTTTTCCGCCACAAATTCATCGTCCATGGCAACCCTCCCGTGAAGAGATCAAATTCAGGAGAATCCCACATGGGATCGTCAATCGCTCGATCGTCGTGGGGAATTGGCATAGTGATGTTCCTTTCTAGACTAGCTGTCAGAGGTTAGCCATTATGCTGAGGGTATCAAAAAATCGTCGCCTGAGAATTTGGACATACTGATGCTGTAGGTTTGATTGTGTAACATAGTTGTGTGTTTCGTAGCTGGACGAACAGAATGACATTCAAAACGCAAGAAACGAAAACTAAAGCGGACAGAGTGTATGCAGCTTTCCAGGCTCGAGCCGCAGATATGACTTTGTCATTATGACGTCCTTCATTATTTAGTAAATCTCCAAGGGACTCTTGCTCTAACTTTTCGTACTGAGGCGACATCATTCCGAAGAAACAAGTTGTCTATGCAAGCGAATTGCTAAAGGAGAGCAGAGAACTGCAAAGTCTTGGGATTAACCGAAAACAAGAACAGCTGCGTCTTGAAAGTCCTGTCTTGCGAGCTAGTTGAACTCAAGTGGTGGAACCATGCTACTGAGCGGCGTCCACCACATTGCATCTATGTATCTGCATATGGCGTGGATCTAATCTGATGGGTTCAGATTGGTGTGCCTACTCCTCACATAAACAAAAATAGCCCACCTACACACAAATTTTTGTATCAATTACATATGGCTTCCATGTCTTTGACAAGGTTTGACTTCCAAGTACCAATTCCAGAGTTACTGACTCATTGATTGTGTGAAACCCGACAAATAAGGAAATAAAGAGGGTGTAAGAGCATTGGATACAGTACGGGAAGCTGATTCATATGCGCTCAGAATTTAGCTTGGGTAAACTGCTACCGCTGCTCTTTCTCATCTACATGCAACTGCATAAGCAGAAAATCACACAAGGCTACTATCGCGGGAACGGGACGTAATCATCCCGAAGACGTGCCTATTACATACATATAACGAAGTTCGGAATACAAGTGGGTATCTACCGTGCCACAGACGTAGCCAATACCGGTTCTTTGGAAGGTACATTGTGACAAGGATGATTGCAGTTGGTGATAGTTTAGAAAATTTTCCAAACTGTATGCATCTCAATTTGAGCAATATGGAAGAACATGGGAAGAGAATTGGAGGGGTAAGCCACTGATTAACACCACAGAGCCAGCGAACGTTAAAAAGGTCGCTGCTCTCTTTGTTAATGATTATGGAAAAGATCCAGAGAGAGCCAAAGCTCAGAGTCCGTTCTTTGGACCGAGTATCTTTTCCGATGGACATATTTGGAAGGAAGCTAGAGGGCTGGTTAAACCTATCTTTGCAATGGCTGAGATATCAGATATGGAGCATTTGGCATCATTCATGGATCGTTTTATGGACCTCCTCCCGAATGATGAAAGTATGGTTGATGTTCAACCTTTGCTTCATCGATTGGTGAGTATAATTTTCAATTGCACTCTGATAAGGGGCACTAATAGTACAAATTCAGTTCCTTGACGTTTCGATGAATTTCATATTCGGAAAGTCACTGAATTCACTCGAACCCGAGGTTCCAAAAGAGGGCACAGAATTTACCCAAGCATTCAATGAAGCCTAAAAGTGGGTGACCAAACGCAGAGAGGCAGGATGGTTGCAGTTCTGACTCCATCAATATAAAGAAAACAAGGAGTGGAAGAATACCTATACCACAGTACAAAAATTTGTCGATTAACAAGTAGCTCGAGCACTTCAACAAACCACGAATGCAAAACCCGAACCAGATTTTCCAGCGGTACGAAGGCGTTATGTTCTCCTCGACGAAATGGCGAAGCACATCCGCGATCCCATCAAACCAAGATATCATGTTCTTGGCGTGTTCAATCCTGCTCGAGACACGATCTCGATCGCCGTTGGCAACACTCTTTTCCAGCTGGCCAGACATCCTCATATATGGACGAAACTTCGCAAAACTTCTTTGGAGATTGATGAACCATTGACCTTCGAAAAGCTTAAATCTCTGGTGGATTTAGATATGTCATACAAGAAACTTTTCGTGTATGTGGGACCGCAGCACTGGTATAGCGTATAGCTATTAGGGATACTATCCTGCCATTAGGTGGAGGTCCAGATTAAAAGAGTCCTGTATTTGTAGCTCAAGGAACGCTTGTTGTTCTTGGTACATGGAGTATAAAGCACTATAAAAGAATTTGGGGTGACGATGTTGAATCATTCAACCCAGATAGATGGATAGGTCGCAGGGGACAAGAAGTATGGGAGTTCGTCCCATTTTTGGGTGGTCCAAGAATATGTCCAGCTCAACAGCAGGTTTTAACTTATTCGATATACCTTTTAGTACGACTTACTCAGAGGTACGAGAGTATTAAAAATTGTGATCCTGTTTTTGAATACTTGGAAAGTTTTCGATTGGGCTTTGAGAGTCGGAATGGAGTGAAGGTTGCGTTTAAAAGTCCTTAGATAGCTTGATTACATTATCATTCGCGCTAAATTGAAGAATACATACCAATGGAGTAGCCCAGTCAAATCTATTGAACACGACTACTCAAGTAGATATGGATAACTCGCACTTCATTTATATCTATTTTTCTAGCAGTTTTCGGGAAATGCTCAAGAGAGAGAAACGGTGTGGGTGAGAGCAGGCTGGGAACCCAAGAATGTCATCGCGCAAAGCAGCAACAACTTTTGTAAAGCAGCAACTGCCTACCCCTTCTGCCGGCTCGAGAATGAATGATCAGAACTTTTAATATAATTCCATGAATCTCGAATGAATTCACTTTTGCATCCCATCCACTGCGAAATTCCCACCTACCTTAATTCACCTCTTACACGACCTCACGCCCACAGATTCCAATTCTCCAATTTCACGTGACCTCTTTACCCCATTCCCACATCTCCATGTAATATAAACCTCCTTAATCCCACTCGCTCAACAAAAAGAAATCCCTCGTGGCGCAATTGGCTAGCGCGTTCGACTGTTAACTCGTTTACATTCACGATACGTGATCGAGAGGTTGGTGGTTCGAGCCCACCCGAGGGAGAAGTATCCTTCTTTTCATTTTTTATTTTTGAAATTACGGAGATGCGGTGGTGGGATGGATGATGGGATGATGATTTTTTGGGTGTTGGGTTGGGATGGGGAGAATAGGAATGTGGGGAAGGGGGATGGATTTAGATTGTGTTCGGATCGATTTTGAAGATATTTGGCTATATTATTTATTAGACTCAATATATTCATTCGACAGATACAATCGAACCGAACATAATATTTGTATACATGTATGTATCATTTAATTCCTTACTCAATACATATATAATAAACTCTTACAATACGACACAGCGCAGCAAAAACACGACATTTAACATCCCAATCTCATATCATAATCATATCATATACTAGGTAATTAATATAAGTCATACATAAAAATTGCCAATCATCAGAGACCTTTCTGGTATGCGCTTCTCCAATCCAGCGTGCAAACTACCAACTTATTAAGAATCTCCCAAGACTATTTCATAGTTTTCAAGAAACCCTCTAGATCGAAACTTTCCTCATATTCCTTTCCATCCCATAATTCGCCTAGATCATCTAACCAGCCTTTCTTTCCCTTTTCTCTCACTTCTCCCGTTGCGTCTACCATGTCTTCTTCTCTTTCGGCTTGGATACTACTATCTGCTGCTAGTGGAACTTCTGATGTGTCGCCTAGATTAAAGAGGTCGAGGATTTGATCGGTTTCCATTGTACCTAACCCTGCGTTTTGTTGATTGACTACTGTGGATGCTACATCAATTTTGAATCTTTGAAGACTATTTTTGAGATGTTAGTTTTTGTCCAATATCACAGAAGATGATTTTATGCCGCGTGGGGAAAAAGAACATAACTAACCTCAAAATCTTTTCTTCTAAAGTCCCCCTAGTAATCAATCGATAAACATTTACCACCTTCTTTTGACCAATCCTATGAGCTCTATCCATAGCTTGTAAATCTTTCTGAGGATTCCAATCATGTTCCACAAAGATAACAGTATCGGCACCAGTCAAATTAAGTCCTAAACCTCCAACACTTGTCGTAAGAAGTAAAACATCATATGAAGGATCGGAATTAAATTTATTGACGATATCTTGACGTTTATTGGCATCAACTGATCCATCCATACGTAAAAATTGTACTGATGGTAACATCTTCTTCAGAACATCATTTTGTACCATGTCTAACATTTCCTTCATTTGACAGAAGACTAAAGCACGATGAGGGGAGACGAAAGAGGTTTCAGTTGTAATCTCATTTTCGGATGAAGGTTCGGTACCAATACCACAATCAACTAGTAGATCTCTTAAAGCTGTTAATTTTGGTGCGTGAATTGGATCTCGAAGACTAGTTCCTTGTTTGGCAAGAAGACGTTGAGTATCTTCATATTGCTTATGACCTTCTTTCATAACGAGTGCAGGGGAGTTACAAAGCTTGCGCATATATTGTAAAGCTTGAAAGATGTGTTGCTTTGCTTCTTTATCACCAGATGAAGCTTTCTCAGCTAGCGTCTTGCCTTCTTTCTTGGTGAAGTCCTCGAAAAGCTTCTTCTGTAGATCACTAAGATCACAATAGTAGTTTTGCAAGATCTTAGGTGGTAAATCATCCAAAACCTCTTCTTTAAGACGACGAAGGAGGAATGGCAGAACTTGTTTATGTAAAGCTTCAATGGCGAGAGCACCAGCTTCTTGTTCTTTTGAAGAAGATTTACTGAAACGACTGGCGGCAATAGGTTTGGCAAAACGATCTAAGAAGACCTTTTCAGCTCCAAGGAAACCTGGCATAAGGAAATCGAAGAGAGACCAAAGTTCCAGGACATTATTTTGAATTGGTGTACCAGAAAGAATAAGTCGATGGTTACTAAGTAGGCGTTTGACTGCGATGGTAGTTTTCGCTCGAGGATTTTTGATTAAATGACCTTCATCCAAAACGCAATAATTCCAATTGAGTGGCGCCAAAACGTCAACATCGTTGCGACAAATCTCGTATGATGTAATGACGATATCAGTTTGGCCGAGTTGTTCTCTGAAACGAGCTCGATCAGCCGGAGGCCCAACATAAGCGGTACAAGTTAGGAAAGGAGCATATGTTTTAATCTCTTGTTGCCAATGTCCGGAAAGAGTAGGAGGACATATGATTAGAGATGGCATTCGCCTAGAATCTGGGGCTCCTGTTTTTGCAAACTCCTCAGCTCTGAGATGGTGATCACTAGCAACAATACATAATGTCTGTAATGTTTTTCCAAGGCCCATATCATCACAGAGGATTCCATGAAGGTGATATTTGTTCAAAAAGTTCAGCCAATTGACACCTTCTTGTTGATAAGAGCGAAGTTCTGCTTTGATAGCAACGGGAATTTTGAATTCTTCAACCTTATGAGGATCTAAAAGTTGACCAATGAAGGTACGCTCACGATCTCTGCCTTGTAATAATTCTTGTGATAATCCGGGAGGATCTGGTATACCTGCTTCCAGTGGAACGAGCTTGACCAGGGTTGCGAAAGAAGTTGTGGCGAGGACTCGTACATCAGTATCTGAATCACTCATTCGTCCAAGAACAGGAACGATGAGGAAAATCACATATGGTAAAATACTATCACCCATAACAGCGATAAGATGATATATCGATTCAATTACACCTTGACGGAAGTTGAGATCGAGTGGATTGCTGATAGAAGGTAAAACCTTCTCCACAAGTAAAGTCATAGCTTCTACAGTGATAACACTGCAAACTGTTGCAAGACATTTGGCTGCCATATAACGGAAGACCGAAAGTTCAGAGTGTAGAGCAGTGACGACAAGGGGAAGTAACTCCATGATGAAGGGATATAATGATTTGTCCAACGTGGGTGTCAAAGCACGAATTACTGACATGCCATCAATTGCTTCTTGTCCGGATGATTGGGCGGGATCTATGCAGTCGCGTGGGAGTGTACCACCGAATGCATGTCGTAGTGGTTGTTCCATTAGAGCTCTAAGTGTGGGGACTCTGCTTAACAAGTCTGGTCCGAATATTGCGGAAAGTTGTTCTAAAGCTTCCTTGGCACCTCTTCTGGTTATTCTAGCTTCTTTGGCTTCTCGAGCAAATTTTGCTGCATCTGGATGATCTCTACGATCTTCTTCTTTTCGAAGTGATAAAATGGCAGTCGTGAGATTTGCATTTGGCGCGAATTCGGGTGTCTCCGAGGTTTCCATACACGTGAACTTGACCAAATTTGATACCACCTTCTGCGCTGGTCCTGTGCGCCCACCTTCTGCAAAGATCTCAATTAGTCGAGCGATAGAGAAGGCAGATCGTTGTTGCAATTCCAAGGTTTCCTCTTTTTTAATACTATCCATCATAGCCTTAATAATATGAGATGGCTTTTTGGGTGAAACTTTCATCGCGACCAGAGCACTTGCAGCAGCGGCCTTGATACGTGTATCTCGTTGCTCTTTGATGCTCTTAGCGATGTTAATGACTTCTATGACATTTTGACGTGCTTCGGAGAGGGCTTGAGTCGCAATCATACGCTGGCCAGGAGCAAGAACTTTCTTTAAGCGATCAAAATCCTCGGAAACACATTTATCGGCCGTCACAATAGAGAAAGCATCTGGACCAGCTTCAGCTTCACCAGCTACGACAACTGCAAGTACCGGTAGACGTCCTTGAGAAATCTTGCCAACATCCCGAAAGGTATTTAGGAGCTGCGAACATTGAGTTCGGACTAGATGTGTGTAGCTAACCAGATCTCGATAAGTGAGGGGACGTTCGGCCTCGAGAATCTTTGTAAGGGGTGCCTCGAAACGTAAAGCATGAGTCTTTGAAATACAATTCTTTGCGTATTCGTCGATGATAATTGATGCCGTTAGTTGGGTAGAAGAGAAAGCTGAACACATTCCTGGGATAATGCTGGCGTCGTACGCTTCGAGGACAGGCGCCGGAACAAGAGACATAATGAGACCCATTGCTTTTGCAGCCGAGGCACGAGATCTAATTAATATATCCATACCAACTAGATCCACATCACCTTGCATCATTGGACCATCAACGTCATGCGATGATGGTGAAGGAGTAGGTTCGACTACCTTTGCAGTCTTGCGACGCTTTTTCGTTGGGGGCTCGGGGCCCGATGGAGTGTTTGGACGAGCGTGGCTTACGATACCACTTGGTAGGGAGTAGGAATTACCAGATGGTCGTTGGAAAAGGGTGGCGTTCATAGGTAATGGATGTCGAGATACACCAATAGGATGTAGTGTAAGTTGCATGAGGGGATCAATATGTGCAGAGAACTCAGCAGATAAATGTTCTGGATCGCGTGCGAGGAATGTTACTAGTGCCTTCCATACTTGAAGGGATAGACTCAAGGTATCTTGATTCCTCTCAACCAATATATTCTGGTAGATCAATCGAAGAATTTTTCCATCCATCCAATCTCTAGTACCCTCTCCTTCAATACCAACAAATGTCAACAGAGCTCGAAGAACTGCCGAACGGACAGATGTGATGGTATGTCGAAGGAATGGATATAATCTCGGTACCAAATTACCAAAAGATTGTTCTGCATCGCGAGAAGCATTCTTTTTCATGGCTTCCAATACTTCAGGAAAACTGCACAGTTTTGCTAACAAATCCATGATTTGTCCTGTACTAGCACTCAAATCATCACCAAGATTTGAGAGACATTCCCAAACAATGTTGATCAAACCGTCCAATGCTTCAGGTCGTAAGTTGACAAACTCCTTTGCAATCGGGATAAGAGTCGCTGCGCTAACAGAACGAACATCATCATCCCAATCACCTAACCCTTTCATCACGGCCCGTATGACCCCATCGATCAGATCGTTATCTTTCAGTAACAAATCATTTCGAACTGCGACCAAGTAGCGGAGACCAATCATACCACCATGACAAATAGCCCAGCCTGGTTTATCAAGCTCGATATCATTTTGCATAACGAGACGATACAAAATATGATGAACGGCATAAACCACCGGAGGTGGAAGGTGAATGAGTAGAGCACCCAGGGTTTGACCAACTGTTTCTCGGATAGGTGCAACAACAGTATCTGAAACGTAGTCTCCGAAACGATCTAATATGAAAACGCAACACAATCGGCAAGCCAAATCATCGAGCCAACGTTGGTTGAGCATATCATTTTCGGCACGAGTCTTTCCCTGCTGTCTTCCGGCACCAGCTCCATGAACACGTATAATATCCCTGAGACCCATTGCAGCACCATGTCGGGTTTCCCATTGAGGATCGAACAAATCGACCACAAGGAACTCACATAAGCGCTCATAAGGCCATTCTAATCCTTCTTGTTCACCCTCGGTTTCAAGTTCAGATTTGATTGGCATGACTGGGCCCTTGAACTCAGAAACGACCTTTGAATCTTCATCTACCTCGGAAGATCTTTCCATCGTAAAATAATCAGCCATGGGATTTTTAGAATCTTCACTGCCAACATCTGGCATTGGAGTATCTCCTTCGCCTGAAGTATTTGTACGCCGCACTGAAAGATCTACCAGTCTACTTTTGTTACCAGCAGACATAGCTTCTCGTTTTCGCTTCCGTTTCAATTGATTCAACTGTCTCGCGCTCAGTCCGCTTTCTTCCGAGGGTGTAGATGTGCCTTTATTGTTGTCTTGTCGTGGGAAGCCATTCGAATCCTCACGTGCTAATGGGGTGCCGGATCCATTTTGGTTGGAAGTTGGAATTTCATATTCGAGTTCCTCTTCGGCATACGGACCAAGAAGACCAAGTCGCCCAGCAAGCGTTTTCTTTTGATGAGCAAGTCGTTGGGCAGGGTCCAGAGAAGCGAGAGCCCAATCATGACCTCTATCTCCACCACGAACGAGCTCCTTTCCATACCTGAGTATGGATACAATATCGAGAGTACCAAGACTTAGTTGCCCTTCAGCAAGTGGTATTGGCTCTACGGCTTCTTCCTTCTTGATTCCAAATTCCTCCTTCTTCGCTGACTCGTCCTCACCATTTGGGTCATACTTTTCAGCATTTTCAACAATCCCGGCTAATGCTTTAGAAGCGGCTGTCCGTGTATCCCAAGTTTTATGACGAAGATATGGTACAACTCTGGTTAATAAATTGAAAAGTTCTTCAGGATGTGCTTTTTGTACATCAGCTAATTGTTGAGCAGCGGTATTCCTAATTAATGGAGTGCTTCCTGTTTCCAGTAGCCTATTTAAAATATTAGTACGATTTTGAAATGAGATTTAGAGACAAAATTTCTAGAACATCTAGAATATTCTCGAAATGAAGATCATTGCTGATCATTCCAAGAACAATCTTCGATCTTCAATTCCGAAGATCCCCCACGGCATGAAAAAAAAGAAGACCTCCAAGGTTTGGTTTGTCTCAACCAGACATAAAGATTGAGTAATTAGGAGACGAGGGAAAAGATACTCACGTGACAAGTCGATCCAATCTATTTCAACGTGTTGATCATGTCAGCAAAATCCGCAATTAATTCCCGAATGCACCACCAAATGAAAATGCAATGCGGCCGCATTGATCACAGCTTAAATGTTGGGTTGGGGTGGAGTGGAGGTGAAACATTACCTTGATGCCATTTTCAATACGCGCGTGGTTCATTATCTGTATGAAAAGGATTAAAGGGAAAACGCCATACGTGCCAAGAATATATTTCGTGAAAGTTCGTTAATCCATCCAACCTCGTTATCGTACGGTCGTTGTCGCGGGAGAAGTATATGTGTGTGCGAGTGTGTACTTAGATGGTAGTGTAGCTGCAGCGGTAGTTTGCTTGTAGCTGCAAGATTGAAAAATAATTTTATTAGGCGCGTAATGCAATAAAATTAAATAGACAGTTGAGCAGCAGTTTCCAACAAATGCGATGCTTGTAATTTTGAATTTGATACTTGGAATAAACTTTATATTGTTGACGACGACGTGTATCGAAATTTAAAGTCTCAGCCTTGAACGCGAGGCGCGACTTTTCAATACGGTGGCTATTATTGTACGTAGACAGATAATGAAATTGAATGGCGGGAATGGTTGCAATGGTTGGGGTGTGAAAGGACCTAGGGTGCACTTTTCGGTTTTCCTTGATCGTTTTGCTTTTTCGTCTCGTGGATGATTGATGTGTGGGTGTAGTGTGTATGTAATGTATGGGACGGTAATGTGTGGTATGGTATGGGATGGGATGGTACAATTCGTTGGTCTCGTTGATTGGCTGAATTTGCCCTTGTGTGGATTTTCGTGGTTCTTATGGTGGCAGCATGCTCGGTCGGGGAGTCGCCGTCCTTTATGGTCCTTTATGGCCCTTAAGTATTCAGAAAATCCCAATAATTTTCTCAGTTCGCTTATTTCTTAGCGCTCATCCTATCCCTGTTGCGGTTGCTTCAAGCCTTTCACTAAAATGGAGATCACGAATATCTGGCTGTGAAGGAAGAAGGAAGTGTATGGGGCAGGAAGTATGAGTGATTGATTGTGAAGGTGCTGAAAATGAGTGACGACAGAGTAGAAAAATAACACCAATAATAACAAAAACAACAAAAACAACAACTACCATGACAATAGCGAAAACAATTTATACGGCAAGGATTCCCATCACACGTTATGAATAACTTCAATTTAATTCATATCAAAAGATCGTCTTTTTTTAAGATGATTTTCTTCCACTTCCATTTTCCTTCCGTCGGAGATTAATTTCCCAAGATTTTTATAGGTCGACAATTCCAAAGCAAGTAGCCTCAATACAGCATCTAGCCACCGTAGGATGCCCAAGGCTCCAAGACCACAAAGCAAACATTTTGCCTCATCTTGCCTCATCTTGCCTCATCTGCTCATCATTTAACTCTAGAACATCATGGCTATCCAATGAAAAGGACAGATCGCTTTTTGAATTTTGAATTTTGAATTTTGCATAGACTCCAGCCTAGATATCAACGGTCTTTACGACAACAGCAACCATACCAAGCCCCCATATGAGACGACGAAGTTGCTAAGGGGAGTGATGACTTGCATTAGTACCCACTATTAAAGGCAATAAATATCGTACCGCTAATTGTTGTACAAATCGAAACAATTATGAATGTCATAATTTATGAAACATGTCAAGCGAACAAGTACGTACGTACTCTGTCCAGAAGAAGATTATATCAAACATTAGGTCTTTATTGCTACCAGGTAAGAATATGGGGATGGGATCAATTACCAGCACCAGCACCAGCACCAACACCAGCACCAGCACCAACACCAGCACCAGCACCAGAAATAAAAATAGACATCGGACTTCCGGTCTCAATAAAAAATCTCCATAGTCAGTCAGTACGTACTCTAACTGATTATCACGATGCATCCACGTAACATGATTCGAAGCCGGAGGCATATCGGCACTTAGTTCATTGCATACCTTGCATACCATTACCTACCTATAGATGCAAGGCAGAATAATACATGGCACGTTGATGCCTACCACATTCGAAACATTGTGCTACAATATCGCAGTCATCCATGGCCAGATGCCGAGTAGAGCAAATTATCATCTCTTTGACCAAACTCGATCGACTCAACTCACTCTGTAACGATATATCCTTAAAAGATGGGATGAAAGGGGAGAAGGCTTTCTTTGACAAGGCTGGGAAAGTTACGTATCTACTCTACTATGCACGGCAACAATGATTGATCACGGAATAATGACGAGTCAAGTTGTTGATGTGATGGTTTCGCTCTCAAACAATTTGGTATTCACTTCATTTGTTATTGTACTGCCAATGAGAATGAATATAAAACTCGTTTTGTCATACTCAAATAGGTTAGATAGTATCCAGCGACTGATTGGCAGACAGGCTTTCCCATTCCTCAAAACCGGGGAATTTGTCAAAGCACTGCGAAAAAAAGTTTAACATCTTCATGAACATGAGATGGATTTTCTTCCTCTTGAAAAGTTACTTACTCATCACTTTGTCATTCAGATCACTTATCACTCGATCACTCGATCACTTGATATGGCTATTGCGGCTAAGTTCACACGCTCCTTTTTTATCTCTATTTCTCTACCGTATCTGAATTCCTCGGTCAACTCCTTACAAGCAGGTGATCTACAATGAGACACGTTCTCTTCTCCTTTCTATTGGTTGATGTGTGGGCAGAATAAAAGGCGGTCGATTCCAGAATCAACGCTAAACTGCCAGCCAGCCAGCCAGCCAGCCTGGATATCATACCCCCGTTCACCATTCTCGAAACTCTATGCAGTCGATAAGTCAATGTAGCTTGAATAGACAGCCGTTGAACATTGACCATTAATCTACTCATCAAACCTTGAATCAACTTTGGATTCCCTTGTAAAGCTTCATTTTACTTCTTTTTAATTATCTGCGTCATTTAGGAGCCAGCACATTTCACTCAATGCGGTGACCCTTTCTAACTCTAGCTTTACATTCCCTCGACTTTGCTCTACATCTGCCACATCAATCATGGCATCTTACAATGTGCCAGCGACAGTCCCTCGACCTGCCGTTTATGGGGGACCTGTACCGATAGCTGACCCAGCAGCACCAGCTGGGACGTTTGCACCAGGAACAAAAATCCAAGTAGGATCTCATAAGGTGGTTATCCAAAAGTACTTCTCGGAAGGAGGTTTCGCTCATGTCTACCTTGTCAAAATGCAAAAACCTATCGATGGGACAGATATTGCTGTATTGAAAAGAGTCGCAGTCCCTGATAAGGAACATTTGGCAAATATGAGAACCGAGGTAGAAACGATGAAGAAGTTAAAGGGACATCGCGCAATCGTTACTTATTACGATTCACATGCATCACAACTGAAGGGAGGAGGATACGAGGTATTTTTACTTATGGAATTCTGTAATGGGGGTGGTTTAATCGATTTCATGAATACTCGACTTCAAAACAGGTTGACGGAACCAGAAATTCTCAAGATCTTCTCCGACGTGTCAGAAGGAGTAGCTTGCATGCACTACCTTAAACCTCCCCTTTTACATCGGGATCTGAAAGTAGAGAACGTCCTCATAACTTCGACTGGCCCCTCTCGAAGATTCAAGCTCTGCGACTTTGGTTCTACCGCACCTCCTCGGCCTGCTGCTACGACCGCTGCTGAATGCAGATTGATCGAAGATGATGTTCAAAAACATACCACATTACAGTATAGGAGTCCTGAGATGATTGATGTATACAGAAAGTTGCCAATAGATGAAAAGTCGGACATTTGGGCTTTAGGTGTGCTGCTGTATAAGCTGTGCTATTACACCACTCCTTTCGAAGCTCAAGGACAACTTGCTATACTGAATGCAAGCTTCAAATTCCCCTCATATCCCATGTTTTCGGACCCCCTTAAAAACTTGATAGGTACTATGAATGCCACGCTCTTACATGCGAAGAGGAGGTGCTAACAAAGTTTAGCATCTATGTTGAAAGAGAAGCCAACATCTCGCCCCAATATATACCAGGTTTTACGGGAAGCATGTCTTATGCAGGGTATCGAGATCCCAATTAAGGATGTATGTTTTTATCCACACCCTCCCATCAATCAAAGGCTCACCATTTTAGATATATCCCGAGAGAACCCAGTCGGAATCGCGGCGACATCAGCAATTACCAACTACCGAATCTCCAGCATCACCTCCAATTGTGGGCGCCGTCTTCGCGCCGCCAACGCAACATCAAACAGTTATTCCCGACGTTGTCCCGATGCGAAGGGGAAGGCCCACGGCCAGTTCACAGCCGCAGCCGACGAAACCTAGTCCGTCTCCGATGAGAGGCACAGCTAGTGATCCATTTGCTGCTTTGGATTCCAAAAATCCTGATCCTGTTGTGGACGAAATTTCCAATCGATTTCCAAGTTTAGATCAGTTCTCATTACTGCATGATGGAGGCAAATTCGACTTCGGGTCACCCTCGCCATCAAAGGCAGCCCAGCCTGTTAGCAAACGAGTTACAGAAAGATTAGCTGATGATGCATTTGCGACGCCAATCCAGCAAGCGTCATCAACTTCAACCAATAAACCATCTCGTGCTCAACAAATTCTAGCCAGCAATCCATTAGAGCTTCAGACATCAGAAGTACCGGCAACCTTAATATATCAACCCACACCTACTCACCCTGGTGTGAAATCATCCTCATATGTATCCCAAGGTACAATGACGACACCAACCCCACCACCTTCAAGTACACGTCCGCCTACTTACACGGCTTCGCCCCGTCTTCTCCCGTCAGACCATCACCGATCAGCTAGTCTACCACGCAATCAGGCTGTTACTCCATCTAGGACACCGACTCTAGAGCCACAGGAATTTTTACCCGGGCATCCTGGGCTACCTCGAGCGTCTTCATACAATCCACAATCCAATCAAGCTAGACATCCATCTTCTTCTAGACCATCACTCGAAACGAGTAGACCTAGCAATGAAGCTCTCGAGAGCACTATCCCTCGAACAAAATCAAGCTTAAGTAGATCACGTCCATCTAGCCAATACTTGGAATCCAACATGGATTTTCTTCGAGAAAAGGAAGGCCGTCCCTCACTTGACTCGGAGCGACGTCCATCGTATTCTAGAGAATTTGCCGTTACAGATCCAAATGATGACGATCCCGGTTCGAATGTTGACTTTCTTAAATCAATGGAGGATCAGGAAAGGACGAAGAAAGATAGACGTCGTAGTAGTGGCTCAAAACAATCCAAACGTTCCAGTATGCCGTCTATTTCATTATCTGGCACCAAGAACTTATTGGCTGGTAAGTTTGGAGATGCTTTCAAAAGATTTGAAAATAATGCCAGTGCTCCGCCTGGTCCAAGAACTCCAAGTCCTTTGCACGATCTGGACCGACGTGAATTGACACCAATAGCTGGGTCCGAGGCAACAGATGATAGAAGTGATGATGGAAAGATAGACGACGACATGACACCAGAGCAAAGACGAGAAGTTGAGCGAAGAAGGCTATCGCTTGAGGAGAAACGTGTTGCTGATGCAGCAGCGGAATATCGAAAGCGAATTGCAGAACGTGGTGGTGCACCAGCCCCAAAGAGTATTGGTGGTGTGACCCGAGCTGCAAGTATCCAACACAAAGTCAAAAGTCTTCTAGATGAAAATAGTCAGCAACCTTCTTTAAAGAAAACAGCAGAAGGCTATGGAAGATACACAGACATACCAGGTCAGCCCAATCCATTACCAACTGGAAATCCATATGTCAAATCTTCCGTCCTCCGCAAACCGGTTCAACCTTCAATTCCTTCATCTGATCTCAGCTACACTAAACCTCGCCCTCAACAAATTCCTCCTCAATTACCAGTTAGCAAAACAGGACCAAAACCAAATGCCCCTCCCAAACCTATGCACCTCAATAATATGAATACGGGAGGTGGTCTGGGTGTACAGAATTCCCCGCCTAAACCTTCATATTTAGCTAGTAGAGCGGCACCAGCTGTTCAACCAAGACCCGATATGACGTCCCAGGAAAAGGAAGAATACATTGCGGATTTCAGCAAGAGGTTTCCAAGTCTAAGCAGTATTGAGATGGTGGAAAGGGAGATTGAGAGGGAGGGAATGCAAGGAAGTGATATGGGAGTGGGGATGGGAATGGCTGGTAGGAGAGATGATAGACCTAGGCTTACCAAAGAGTTGTAGATATTTGGGGGTAGTTGATGATATTGATGGGAGGTGTCAAGTGTTGTGCCACAATGCTGATGCGATGCTGATATTGAGATGGATAGATAGATGGTTGGATTGATTTGCATTGATCATAAGGGTGAAGTGAAGAATGAAATGAATAAATAGAGACAATCTATTCGTACAAAACCGGAAAACGAAACAAACGGGAAAGTTAAGATAGATGGATGGGACATCTTTAGATATAGATTACTCGGTTACTTAGATAGGTCTAGCTAGGTGTATTGTATGTATGTATATACATATCTATATGGAATATCTGGAATTAAATATATATTGAATTCTCTTTTGGGGTTTGAGAGGCTTCAATTCGAGTTTGAATTTTGTTATTTTGATTTTTTTATAGTGAGAATGAGAATGTGAATGAAATTAGATACCCCAGTATCGCTAGTCCTGCTAGTGCCGGATAATACACAAAATCTAATCTTATAATTCTTTCCTCACTAGCAAAACTTTATCATCATCCTCATCATCCTCATCCTCGTCAGCAAAAATATTTTATTTTATTTAAATCTATTGGCTATAGCTACCTAGGTCCTCACGATATCCATCCATCAATCCATCAATCTATCAATCCATCGATATAAATAAGTATAAGTATACGTATAAGTATACATAGCTAACTACAATAAAGTCTCCCAACCCCCAAGTATAACCCATTCGTCTTCTTTGGAGCTTGAGGTGGCTGTGGTTGTGGTTTTTGGAATTTCGGGTGCGAGTGCGGGGGTGAGGGGTATTTCATCGGGGGGTGTTGTGTTGGAGGTTGTGTTGTTGTTGGTTGTGTTGGGTTTGGATGGGGATGGGAATGGCGATGGGGATGGGGATGGTGGCAGAGATGGGAGGGATGGGATTGGATGGGGACCGGGATGGTGGTTGTGATTTGTGGGGGTGTGGGTGGAGGGGGAAAGGGAGCGGGAGGGGGAGGGATTTTTGGTTTGTTTTTCGGGTTCTTGGTTGAGGTCTTCGTAGAACTCTTCGTCGAGGTCTACGTAGAACTCCTCGCTGAACTCTTCGTTGAACTCTTCGTCGTCGAACTCTTCGTCGAGTGAATAGAGGATGTTGGATAAAAGTTCATGTTCTTCCCTTGCGGTCCCTGGTGCACGTGATGGCTTGGGATACGCATATGGATTTTGCGTTGTAGGTGGAGTGGTCTCTCTCCCTTGTTGCATAGCATGTGGCCCTGTGGAAGGATTGGCTTGGGATGGGACAGAAATAGGAGATTGTATGGCTTCTGCGACATTTGTTGATACCGGAGCATATTGTTCCTTTTCTGCTTTGTTTTTCAGCTCCTCAGCTTCATTTTCGATTTCTTCATGCTTGAACACAGCTCCCAGTCCCACAAGTACCTCCTCCTCAGCAACTTCCTCCGTCCTAGCATTAATATGCCCAATTACCCCATCAATTGCCTCTGAGCTCGAGCAATCAACGACTTTCCTAGTCTCCTCAATGCTTTCGCCCCCGAGCTCCAAATCCTTCATCTTCCTAGCAATCTCCGCGTGCTTAGCAGCTTCCTTCCGTCGCCCATTTCGTGCAATCGCCTTGCAATCCATACATCCGCGCTCCTTCTCATACCGTCCTACTCGCACCGTTTTTCCATCGCGACGAGTGTAATTCTCGCATTCTTTTTGTTGGTCCCTAGGAAGCAGGGCTTCCCAGCAGGGAGTGCGGTGGAGGAGATGTGGAGAGGAGAGGTGAGGGTGGTGTGGACAGTTGTATTCTGGGGGTGTTGTTAGTATGTTCTTGGATATTATTGTTGTTGTTGGGGACTTCGAAGGGGATAGTATGATATTTCGGGAATGAATGAGAATGCTTAAGGGGATGAGGATGAGGATGAGGATGAGAAGAACTCGGGACTACCAACCTTGCACGATGAACATGCATTTACTTGACACTTTCCCTATCTGCTTCGTAGTCGAGATAGGGGATTTTGGTGATGTGATTCCGCTTTGACTACCACCGAATATTTCTGGAAAGGTAAATTTTGGGAGTGAAGACATTTTTTCCTTTTATACCTTTTGTTTTGTTTTGAGTATTGAAAACTTTGAGTAGGTAAAGTAAATATAAAATGTTGTTATTAAGCGATGAGGGAAATGCAAGTTTTAGATATGGTATTGTGATGTGAGAAAACAAATTTTAATCATGATGTTTAAAAAAAAAAGTTTCTTAAATATACATTTCTAAACAAGAGGACTTATAGAGACCGTAGCAAAAACCTCTAATTAATAATTGTATCTATACTAAATCACAGATGTGGTGTTATTCATGATTGGCATTGCTGGTGGATTTTTTTTACTACAGTACATATCATGAATATAATCTCTATTCACTTCGATGACTTGAAGTAGGGACTATTAATACTCTGGCTTATGTATATTTCGGTATAGTGTTTATGGTTGAAATTTAAGAGAGCGAATAGGAAGAATAGGAAAAATTTAGATTTCGACGTTGAAAGGAATTCGAAAGAGGTTTATTTATAGGCGAGGAGTGAATGTTTTTATGTTTATGATTATTGTATTGGTTGTGTATAGTCAAAACTAACAACATTTCTGCTATAAATCTGTTCATGAGATCGTAGTTTTGTAGGAGGCCAGACGAAAACTTTATAGTTTTCATGCTTGCTACAGATAAACATGGCTGTGCATTCATTTTTAGTGGATAGGCCAACTATGAGACTAGGTTTGTGCAGCGTATGGTTTCGTTTCTTGTGTAACATTATAACTTCTTCCTCAAATGAGAAGACAAAGCTCCCCCATAAGTTCCAATCCTACCCTTAATTTACCCTTGATAAGCGAATTCACTGTGATTATAATATACATTACCATTGACCCATCTAAAAAACCTGAACCCCCTGTCATTGCTTAGCATAGAAATCATGAATGTAAATTCGAAAGCATATTTTGAGCAAATCAAAAATGCTCCAAGGAGGTCTCGCTTACTGAGCAATGGACAGTTTTTGACCCAGATTTCAAAGTGTAGCTTGCTATCTTATTGAAGTTGATATGGAAGAACCGTTTTTAGGTTTTGAATAATGATGTTGTTGCGATGTTACGGGGTTTTATCATAGATGCCTTTGTGAGAGATTGTGACTCTTGGAGGAAGGTCGCGGGCTTCACTCAATGGAGTATGCGGAAGGACTTTTGAATTTTATCTAGTTCCTCCCCATTAGTCTAATATAGATACCCCATAGACCTATCGCATAGTCGCATAGTTTAGCTATACTTAAATCGAACCCATAATGGATGTAGTAAGACCTTACCACTGTACTGGTACACCCCTAGAGATTACAAAAACATACCTCGAAGGGTTATTTTGTGAATGGTAATGCGGCGGATATCGATGCTTTAATCTAACTAAGAAGTTCTCTCTAATGATTTATTCTCATCTTTTCCTTTCAATTCAAGCTAAATTCTCTCTCAACATCTATATAGAAAATAGGAGTCAACATAATACGCAAGTGAAAAGCTTAGTCTATATCGAATCTCACTGTATGAAATACAAGCATTTACTATTTCTTCAACTTTCTCCATAAATTCCCCTATAGTTTCTTGCCCCGACTCACCACACATCTAACGTTAGGAATTCCACATTTCTCTTCATTATTTGCCCGTTCTTCTTTAATTACAAGAGATACCTGTCTATATCCTCCAATAGTTGATCTTCGTGTCAGAAACTTAAGGGCTCTTTGGTTCTCAAACTTTGCTATTTTTTTTGCTTCTTTGACTGCGACTTATAGAATGACAACCAGCGTCTATGTCTAGGAAACGTCGACATTTCTTGAGTAGAAACTCCTCCGTTGCTGTTAACATTTCCCCATTTTATATCTTTCCTGTTCGCTCGGCTGTATTGCTGTGCATAGCCTTATCCATACTTTTTCTCGCATCTATCATTTTCTACTCATCATCTTCCACATTCCAACTAATCTCATCCTCCACTCCTGTCTTCATCTCAATCTTCCTCTCATTCTCACAATTCTTCTCCTTCAAGCACTTCTCCGGCCGACAATCTTCACAAATGTCCCCACCATTCCTCAAAAAGTCATACCGATACCCCTCACTCGAACACATACCCCCATAACGAGCTATACACGTAGATGTATGAATAATATTCGTAGGATGAGTAAAAGGCTGTACGAAACGTGAACAAGCGTAAGTGATGAGGAGGTAGATACACTTTTTGCGGGGAATTGTGAGCTGTGGGGTTGAGTATGATTTTGGTGATGTATGAAGCGGTAGGGATGAAGATCGAGGTGGAAAGGGATGTGTTTGGGAGATGGAGTGACATTCTTCGGGTGTTGATTTGATTTCCGGTTTTTACTTGAGCTGCGCAAAAATCGAGGGTTGGTATATATGAGGAGAACTTTTCTTTGGAGAGATTGCACTTGTACAAGAAGGCATTAGGAATATGTGGAGGAGGAATTGAGGGCTTGAAATAGGACAGATGAGAAGACAATGTGAATTAGCAATTTAAAACATGTTTATACAAGAAGACTTCTGCGAACGAATGAATGGGTTTGAAGAGAGAACTTTCAACCGCCTTTTTAAACATCAAACATTGACAATTTGGCACATGAAAGGATTTGTGGGTACAAAAAGGTCAACAAATCTTAGACGACCTGTGAATAGGTGCTGTCACGATGGATATTAAGATAAGCGGGAAATAAATAACAACATCAACAACAGAAACAAAATGTGGATAGCCTCCTACAATGATTCAGAAAAAGTCTCCCGCAAAACTTCAATCAATAAATTATCTTTTGGACCAGCGAACGCCAACTTCTGAAATCCATCAGCATCATAATGTTACACCAGAAGCTATAACCCCTTATACCACTCGCTTAGCCACCTAACCCCCTCTTTTTAGTTTGGATTTAGTTACCCGTTTGATATATATTACCATTTAGATTCAACTCCTAACGCAGGCTTCCTGGTGGAGTGGTAGTATTATCGTTTGCCATTTTCGTAGTGTTTACTGATTTTGATTACAAAAGTGGCAAAAGGCAAACTTTCGTCTGAAGGTCAGAGCATGATACTCCTGGAATTACAACTGTCGTGCAAGTATGCATAGATGGGATTGATGAAGCTGCTCGCTGGATCATTAAAAATATCTGATTATTCGTGGACGAGGAGGGTTGTAGATTTCGTTGAGTCATGCGGGATTCTTGGAGCAGATATATTGCTTCATTGTGTTTGAGGGCTATAGTTTGACAAGGCTGCCGTTGGAATGAGATTGGAGTTTGTGTTTAGTAAATATTGTGGTAGAGTTCGCTTGTCATCATTTTAGAGTGCTAAGTGAATTGTGATAGTATGGATCACATCGTTTATCTACAAATATAGAAGACCATTAAGAGGTTATAGAAGGTTCATAACCTCTTTTGCACACCTCTTCAACATCCTAGCCAAATAACATAACCTCCCGAACCACAACTCTAGATCTCTAACTTATTTTCAAGCCCATTACTCAATGTAAACTCCACCAACGGTCTAGCATGAGTACTAGCAAGATGGCCGACGACTGAAGTGGAAAGATGGTGTCAGGCAATAAATATTACTATGTAGGACATTTCACAGGTATGATAGAACTCTCTACAGAACTTTAAATGAAGATCAGCAAAATTTACGATTTTTAAACCCTTTCTGCAGGATCTTGCGCAGCCTATGAAGTAATTTCGCTGTAAATAAACAACAACACACGAAACCAGGAGAAATTATTCTGATCGCTGCCAATGCTGCACCAGTTTAGACACTTTCGCGGTACTTACGCATGCTCTACCTTAAGATGTGATTGGAGGCATTTACCTCAATACCGCAGGAATCCAAAAACACCCGATGTATATAACCGGTAACTATCTTTATTTTGTAAAATATATTGAGTCCGTACGATTCAAAGGAGCATTCCGAGATAGTCTAGTCTAATCAAAAAAGTGGAAAACTTGATGATGTTATCTGAAATAATCGCTGGCATGAACCGCACTCGACTTAACCCTGCTGTTAAAGGCTGGTAGACATTTCAACATATAATGCTTGGTTCGAATCCTACGCATCTGTGCCATACTTTTTAGACATCGTAATATTGCATATAAACTTGCAACCTACTCGAAGTAATATGACCACTCTACCCACTAAGCTCGGGTTCAATAAATAAAGCTCGCATTTTGAAGAAAGAACAGTTCACCTGTATATTCTTCCGCACAACGATGGCTAATGACCCGAAAACATCGAAGATTGCCATATTCGTACACTTCTTGGCTTCATGATAAGATAGATGGTTGTTTTCTCGCGCAAAAACATACAGCAAATACAATTGGTATATTATTAGCAATTCTGGGACATCGCTTTGCCATGCCTTCATTCGTGCAAAACTAATAGTTGACATTATATCCTATGAAAGGGGAGTAGTATGCCTGTGGATCCTCTTCTACATGAGAAAAGAAGTGGGAAATCCTGGGAAATGAATTGAAACGAAAGATATTTCGAGTTAATTAGGCAGGTATGACGAAATATGACGATTATAGCGGTAGCAGAACAGACCAGGCTACTAACCGTATACGAAACAACATGCTGTCCTTAAAAAGAGATGGGATACATAAAAATAAATCCCAGTGTTTCGGGCTGATGCAGAATCAATGTCCTACTGGTGAATACATGAAGCCTGAGTTGGAACTATAGACGAGCCATTTCCCTAGTAAAAGCAATGGAGTCTTCAACTATGAAATAAAACAAGCAACGACGTGAAGCTGTTGCTTCAATCTCAAACAAAATAGCATTGGGTGTCTATATTGCAAAGATGACAATAAAGTAAGAGCTGGATATGAGTTTAGATAGCACTAGATATCTGAACCTTCAAGTGCGCTGACGAGTACACCAGGTACAGAATTCAAAACCATCAGAAGGTAATTTGGATATAGTGTTAATGCAAAAATAAGTACCCATATGAAGATTTGGAAGTATCAAGCTGGAATACATATATATAGCCACTATTCTATCACCACACAGAGGTAGCCTGAGCATCTTCAGACAAATACAAAACCACCATGAATGTCGTTTAGATATATATTCAACTGATCCCCGATCTAAAGATGGTGCACTTATTAAATGATTGATATATTGTATCGGGAGCTATTTTGCAGGACCTAGGTATTGATTCATGACACAACTGTCAATAACTCAAAAGTAATCAGATATAAAGCTAGAAAATCAGAAGAAGTTTAGGGACGCTAGTGAAGCACACACTAAAAACTAGCGAGGCGCGTCATCCCGCAGGAAATTCGTCGCGACAACCAAATCGAAAAAAAGTAAAGTAAACAATCGCTCAATTAAAAAACCACCGTCGCAACTACGATAATTCACCAACACTCATACATCCAAATCTAGCGCACACTATTTAACAAAAACCATCCTTCCAAACTCTTCCACATCACCAATTACCAACCTAGCGCACGCAAAACGCAAAACGCAAAACCCACAAACAATGCCCTCCACCACCACCACGGCCTCCCCTCCCCTCACCACCCCTCAAGCACCCATCCCCCTCACCCCGGGACCCCGCGCCAGCCGCCTCCAAGACGTCTATGAAAAATCTCTCACCTCAGCCCTCAACACGATATCCTACCCGGCCTTCTCATCATGTTTCCCAACCGTCGCGAGTAAAGCGCCCGAAGCGCTCAAAGCCGTACATGGACAGATGGTATCACGATTACAACAATTTGCGCTCGATGAATTCGAGACGATATTGCGGGAGCGGAGGGTGGTGGAGCGGTTGAATGGGTTGGAGGGGGTGATTGAGAGTGCGAGGAGGAGGAAGGCGAGGGGTGTGGATGCGGATGTTGATGTGGAGGGGGTGTTGCGTGAGTTGTTTCCTTCTTTTCAATTTGGGTTTTCGGATATATGATTTCATTTCATTTCCACAGCGCAACATGCCACCCACCCACCCACTTAAAATCCAACCCCAAACTAACCCCCATCACAGTCCCCACACCCTCCCAGCAAGCTCCATCCTCGCCGCACATCTAACCCCCATCTACACGACGCAACAATCACACCTAAACGCCAAACTCCAAACAACACAATCTCAAAACGCGAAATTAGCAGAAGAAATACGAAAACAGAGAGAGGAGATAGAGAGACTTGTTCGAGGGGTGGAAGTAGTGGTTGAGGATTTGGATAGGGCGAATGGGGTTTTAGAGCGGGAGGTGGATGGATTAGGGAAAGAGGCGTTGGAGGCAGAGGGCGTTTTGAGAGAGGTGTAGTAGCGGGTTTTTGGGCTTGGGTTGTGGAAGGCGTGGGGTATCGGATTGGTGGGAGTTTTTGGGTGAGGTTTGGAGTTATGGAAATGGGGAGTTTTGGATGAATTGGAGATAAATGGATCTCGTGGCGTTTGGAAATTTCCATCAATGCATTTAGTATACACAGGAGTTACTCAAGGATGGGCTTTATCAAATCTAGGTCATTGAATAAGGGGGTGTATAGTTTTTATGCTATATTGAAAGTCCATGCATGCAATGACGGATGGCGCCTCATGTTAAAATACAAACAAATAAAGAAAAGCAAGGGCTCCAAAAACACCCCAAATCATATCCCATATCCCATATCCCATATTCCCACCTTGGTATCTATAATATCTTTCCACTATTCATCCAAAAGCCAAATATCTGTATATTGTAAGCCCCATTCGATCAATCCCACATGAACCCTCCAGCAATTCCCAAACCAACATGTGAAAAACAAAAAACTCCATGCCAATTCTATAATTCAAGCCTTAACTAGCGACCCATTATGATCTATTTTCCACCTTCCACAATACTCCTCTCCATATTCTGGAGGTTCGCATCGCGTTAATGAACCGGTGCTCCAATCCACAATCCACTGTTTGCCTTTCATGATTAGATAGTTTGATTTTCGAGGAGAGCAACTTGTGAGGATGCCCATACATTTTTTGGCATATAACATATCGTATCGAGGAGACCATGCGTGTTCCGGACGCCATTTGCCAGTGTCGGGACAGAAGGAGTGGGAGGGTGTGGGGTTGGGAGTGCGACGATGCAGCATGCGGTGACGATGGGGTCGACCACCTATGAGACCCATGTCTTGGAGGGCGCGAAGGGCGGTCTCAGCTTCGGTTACGCAAGCTTGGGGCGTACGAGGTGTGCGGGGTGGACTAGATCGAGATGTGGGTGGAGCAGTTGATGGGCGGGTGGTAACTCTTTCTCGTGGGTTGCTTGGAGTTGCGAGGTTGGGGTAATGTGTTCGGATAAGCTCTTCTTGAGCTCGGATAAGGTCGTCGTTGACTTGTATATCTCTTGCCTCCCTTCGCCTTCTTCGTCGTGAACGTGGAATGGATTGGTCTTTTGGAATTTGTCGTTCATCGAGCGGCATAGAAATATCAATGGCTATGAAAAGTGATTGGAGCCAGCTGACAAATGTTTCAATTTTGATGCAGGATAGAAGGAACTGATCTGCTTCTGCTCGGACACGGATAACATAGTTTTTCCTGGCAGCTATTAGTATCACTAATTAAGAGACAGTATTTGTAGACCTACTTGACATAATCTGCAGCTATGCCAACCTCTGCATGCTGCAAATTATAACTTCCCAATAGACTCCCGCGCTTCGTACCAGCAGGCATATCTGGTGTACCCTTTCTTTCCCCACACTCAAGACCAAATAGCCCCGGTCCTTTGAATTTATGGAAGGTCAAAAGTGTTCCTTGCAATGTCGCCAACACTCGATGCCAATTTCTATCCGAAGCCCTATGTATCGCGCCCTGTAGTTCCATCTTCCTCATGAATACATTTTCCAGACTGATACCAGCGGAATATCCTGGAAGCGTCTCTCTTCCTTCATCTTCTCGAGGTTGAATATTCAAACGGCTGCGCATATTTTGAGAACGAACCGAAGCATCGTACGAAGGAGGAGAGTCGAGGAGAGGATCTACTATCGACGCTGGATCTGCTGGCTTATCCTCAATTTCGATATCGATATCGATCTCTGGCTCTGGCTCCTGTTCCTCCTCCGGTTCTTCCTCAACTTCTGGTTCTTGTATTCGATCGGAAGACTCATTTTCTTGCTTGTAATATTCCTCCATGGAGACTCTCCTCGAGCTCGAGATTGGCGCTATTTGAGGAGTGCTTGTGATTTCGTCCATGGTTACATGATTTCTGCAAAGTTCAGTACCGTTTGTACTCATGGCTTACGTTGTTAATGTGTTCCCTCAAGAATATTAGATCGCGTTGCACAGGTATCGATGCTACATGATCATGATTCACAGTAGGTATTTGTACCGCATGCAGCCAAAGTGAATCTGGGAACGAACGTTTCCTATTGTTTGAGTCTACTGGATAGGTAGGTTTCAATTGCGTTTTCCTGAGGTTAATTTGAGTGTTTGCACAGGAAAGAATTAAGACAAAAAGTTCAAGAAATTGGATCGAGGAAAGAAGTAACGTGTTAATCAGTCTTACTCATGTCTTCCTTCCAAAAGAGAAAAGGAGGTGATGTGATGGGATGTGATGGGATAGCCAAAAAAAGCATATCCCTAGTAACCAACATTCCCCGAGTCCAAACCTAATACCTGATGCAGTGTGACTGCGACTGTATCTGGTGTATCTGGTGTATCTCTGAGTCTTGTCTTTGGAGAGCTTTTACATACGACGCCCAGTGATTCATCATATACCTGGCAAGAGATGGAAGATATAATTGGATGCTGTGGGGGAAATGAAGTGTTCAGTTGTTCATGTCCAGGGCTGAAAGTCACACTTTTGGCTGGTGTAATTTTAAATTGCTGACAGAGAAGTTTCTTGGGCCACGCTGGGACATTTTAGATGTTCTACGGAGTAACCCTCGTTCCCACCCTACCTACCATCCTACCTAGTCGCTCATCATTGACATCAATTTATCCAACGCTACTACAATTAGTAACATAGATCTTCGAATCTTGGGAATCTTTGATCGCGATGTGATCCTTCCTTACAAAATCAATAGCTACAGAAGCTGTGTCAGCGCATACACCACACCTGTCCCAAAATAACTACAGCAACCGTGGGACTGTAAAGCCGGCGTGAAGCTGGCGGCTGTGCGAATCAATTCCTTGGACTTTTCTCAGCTCAAAGACTCAAACAAGATACAAGACTCATCATTTAATGACTATGAATCAGTTTCCAAATTGAGAAATAGGTGAAGCCTCTGCTCGGTCAAGCCTTGCGATTATGGCAGGTCGTGTTGGCTGCGCAAAAGGCCTTGGGGTAACAAATCCTTGTTCTTACCACTCAGGGATTGGTACACGCTGTTCATCATGATAAGATCCTTCTACTGGAATTAAGTTTCTGTTGCATCTCTCACTTCCTTGTCCTTCAACGTGGCTTTACTCTTAGTGGTTCAAGAGACTCTGGAACGTTTTTGTTGCATGTCTTATTTTTCTGATCCGAGGTCCTCGGCGTGGTTTTATATACGATTACAATTTACAACCTAATACTCTATATCCAGACCGAGGCTCTCCACTATTCCAACTACTAGCACCTCATTCTTTCAAAACTCACTATCTGGTAGCGGAATCCGAGTGGATTGCTGGAAGGAGTTCATGCCTTTAATTCTTTTTAGGTTAGAGGTGCCAATGGTACGTATGAATCGTGCTGTTGGATCTGGTCGGATGGCAGTAAGCTTGAAAGGCTGTACACGATGAGGACTCAAACACTGGAACTAATACAAGTATATCACTTCACATTGTCCTAATTCGGGACACTTTGAGCCGTTGAAGGATTAGTAAATATCTTTACCCTAGTGCTTGTTGTTGGATGCCGTGGTTAGTATAACGAGATGGCGTTCAATCATGACATGAAGATTGTAGAGTTTTGCTCTTACTATCATGCTAAGGATATCACGATAGTCATCTGTTATTCATCAAGTAAAGTCTCTTTTGTGTGAAAAAGTCATGTCGCTTGCTATTGAATACCTCCGGAGCTGTATAATGATGTATGAAAAAAGATACTACCACGTTTCCCCTTCCCCATAAGCCCTTCGATCAGAGCATCGACTACGAACTGAACGTTCAACCATTATACTATCCAAGGGGAGGGCTAGCACATATACTGGCGAAAGCTTTCACCTGATTATGGTAAGGTAAGATTTCTAAACTATTTGCAAGAAAAGGGATTTGAGATGTGAAAGGAAGGAGAATCAATAACCTTCCTACTCAGATATAAACAGACCGGGTATAATAACCGTGGCAATCCTAAACTATGATAGGTAAATCCTGTCAAAATATATACTTATATTACTCGAGAAGCAATTAGTACACATAATCATTTTGAACAATTACAATTGAAACACGCCGCGACAAATATAAAAATGATCGAACGACCGAGCTTGCCGGGACCTCCCTCACAACTGTGGGGTAAATTCCATCATGGCCGAAAGCGTGGGGTAAAATAGGATGGCGACATTTGGTGCATCTATCTAACTCTTATCATAAACATGTCTTCAGAACCTCCTCAATAATTATAATTCATAAATATTTATCAGTATGACTTTGTTATTTCTCAATGAGACAAAGTTTAGTATATTTATATATATATATATATATACATATAGAATTCCCCAACACAAAATAAACACTCCTCGATGGAAACGTACCACGCTATGCTATATTCGGGGCGCTTTCTAAATTTCTATAGAAGAGAAATGTTATTAGTGTTATTAAACCTGAAACACAACTGATATTTACGAGGTATGTGTTATGGAATATTTGATCCGCTTGTGGAACTACCTAATTAGTAGCTGGGTTTATTTGTGCCTTTGGTGATGATTCTGTCGTTTTGTTGTACGGTTACATTGTAGCACCTTCTGGTCATGTGCTACTTTGAACCTCAATCTTATCAGACTTTCCATATCTTTTCTTCATTTGTTTTCTCCTGTTAAGCGTTTATGTTATGATCTTTGGATGTGTGTTATTATTGTCTTTTTGTTGGTATCACTTTGGGCGATACTATTCATATGGTACTATTGTCGGGTTATATGTTATTCATTCCTGCCAAGTACACTATAAGAAGAGGGGTCCTATTTATAATAGAGGGAGATACTAGAGTCCGCTAGTAGTACGGCTTCATATGAGGCTAATCACATGACGTACTTACACTTTTGTTAGCTTTGTTTTATGTGTATCTCAACGTCGCGCCTTCAGCAATAGCGGCGGGATTCCTGAGCAGTACTGTTCAGACTCCAAAGACAGATGTTAACGTTATAATACTGTGAGTGTATCACGACGAGCATTAAATGACCAGCGCTAATTCTTCATTCTCACTTACTTTCTCGAACTCTTAAAGACAGGGTATCTTTACTAGTAGTGCAGCGTGTGAGTTTGTGCAATTGTATTAGTCATTGCAACAAGCCGAAGTGCAACCTGCATGTCAAGAGGCACCAACCTCTGCCAAGGATGTCTCTAGCACAACACAGCTACTTAAACCTCAAAGTTGTCAATTTGTCGTCGAGAGTGATAGACACGCATTTTTCGCAGGCGCATCAAATATCGAGAATGCTGTCGAGATGACTGCAAGCAGTCTAAATCAAGTATTTCGACTAATAAAACCGAAGTATCAGTTGGGGCAGGAACCTAATGGTCCAATCTTTATCCATTGATGGACGCCGCGAAGATCAGAGTTATAGGTGGCCTTGCGATGATGTTAATTACTATGAAGTACATCTTCTTCCTCGTTCAACATCTGGAAACTTACATTAAGTAATAGGCAGTTCTTGTGAATAGTCCTATTCGGAATTTCAACCGAGAATCGCGCCCAGATCTGTATGGGTATTGAGGGTATCGTGACAAGGTTTGATCTAGCTTTGTTCAAGCAGGGTGATATGTGGGGCGAAATGACGATTTCAAACGCAACAGAATTTTCTAATGCATTTGAGGCCTTGATCAACCTTCGACATCAATCACGCTCCTAACTCCTGACCCATTTGCCGCAGTCTTTTAAGCATATGCCTACCTACCCTCGCAGGGGCCACACTAGTCAGTACTATGTTGAATTGTGGAAAAGCAATCATCAACCCTGCTATTTTCAGCAATTTAACAAACCGGGCTAGCATTTATGCTAGCTCAAGAATTACGGACTTTACGTCGTTGGTTAATCCAACCGCAGTAACACAACCACCTGGAGTTACGGAATCATATTGGTCACTGACCATGTTCAATGACGCCGACTTAATGAATGATATCTGCAAGATCTCCGACCAGGAAGTCCAAGACAATACCAGTGTGACGAATGTAATACTATCATTGTTTTCCAACCAATTTCTAAACCTATAACCTCACAGTTTAGCAAGAATGGAGGAAATGATCTTGGTATAACGATAGAGGATGGTCCTCTAATCCGTAAGTAAATGTTTTGGAGCTTGAATTCATTAACAAGTATAATATGATGATAATCAAATGACTCTAGTAATCAACATCGCAAATCAGTGGATCAATATCAACGGACGATTCGGGAATCGTAGTGTTCACCGAAAAACTCCTCGCGCAGTCCACTGCTTTAGCAAAAGAACGAAATCGCTGACATAGCTTTTTTGTGCCAAAGTTATGCAGCACTTCAGGAGGATGTATTTTCCAACTTTGGTGAAAAGAACCATAAAAGTTTAATTGAGGTTTCAGAGAAGTATGATCAAGACGGTGTGTCCATTCGGTTGCAGCCTGAGCGTTTTAAGTTTTGTTGAGGTATGCCGCATGTTTAAAAACGGAAATGCACGTATCGTTTTCAATCGATTCACTCGAATTATATCGTATGGTAGCATGCTGATCTGGATGTGCCTGCTTACAGGGACAAGTTAATACCAGCCATCTAGTACTATCATGTGCTTTACACGTCGTTATTCGCCTGTCATGGGTGTCTTTTAACATGACTTTCGGGTATTATTAATTTTTGGATGTGCCCCTTGTTGAACAATGTTGCAAAATACACCAAAGGTTCAAGGAACTTTAGGTTTACAAGTTTTCAATCCGGATACCCGGACAACTTTAACTTTTTCAATTGCATTAGTATCATGTACTTTTAAAGTATAATAGATTCAGCTAGTCAGCAGATCGGGGAGTTATTTGACTTCATCCTCGGGCCAACATTGCTTATCAGATATAAGGTTTTACCCCTGTATTCGGATGATTTCCATCAATCTGATAACAAAAAGCCTGATTGCGGGGTCGTTTCCACAACTTCCCATTGACTTCATTGGAAAATATGAATAAACCCATCAGCATTAGTGGGGCGAAGTCGTGTTCACGTTGGTCATAGAATACTACGAGCCGTAGCATTTAAAACTCTATAAAGAAGATAAGATCAATTCAAAATGGAGGCCGTTTTTCGCTCTCATTTTGACCCACTTCTCACTTCTCTAATATCTTGATTCCCTATCATCTCAGCCTTACCTCAATCTCTGAGGATATACTCCGGCTATGTCAAGTGATCATATAGCTGAGAGTGATCATCCAACCTCGGTTACGCCGTCAATGGGTCGGGATGCTAAGGAGAAAGATGAAACCGTCGTATCAGCAGCATCCGCCAGCGTTAATGAGGAAAATTCATCGGGTATTGCCAATGACGAGCGTCCCAATGGAAATGATATACCTTTGAAATGGAAATTGGCTTCGATTCTCTTGGTTTCAATGATTGGCTTTGGCTCACATTGGAGTTCTGGCATAACAGGAGCGATGAAGTCAACAATTAAGAAGGAGATGAAAATCAACAACAAGCAATATGCTTTATTAAGTTCCAGTCAAGATTTTATGGTTACAGCTTTAATGCTGGTGAGCGGGGTCGTTACCGATAGAATTGGAGGAGCGGGTACGGAAACCAAGACTTGTCGCTCTATTTGACGACTTACTCACAACTTTCAGGGGCAATCTTTTACGGCAACATCATCTTTACCATTGGATCAGTTCTCATCGCCGGAGCTGCACAAACTAGAAATTATCAATTTATGATTGGTGGTACAATTGTTCAAGCATTCGGAGATATAGCCACTCAAGTTGCACAGTATGTAGAAGTTCTCATTCGATCAATGAAAATCTCTAACATGTATATCAAGATATAAAGTCTTTTCCTCATGGTTTGCGCCTAATCATGGATTCGCTTCGACTCTTGCACTTGAATTAGGAATTGGTAAAATCGGTGCATTTGTTGGTAAATCCTCGGCCAATATTATTTCTCAAAACACGGGCAATTTCGCAAATGTATATTGGGTCTCAGTAGCCATGAATCTCTTCTGTAATTTTATGACTCTGGGCTTTTACATCTTCACTCGTTATGCCAATAAGAAGTTTCCATCTACGGCCGATCCAGCTACTGGTGAAAAGCTCACAGAAGGCAACAAAAGTTTTGAATTGCGTAAAGTTCTTGAATTACCTTGGACGTTTTGGGTGGTTTTGTCCTTTTCGCTGTTTGAGACTTCGGTTGCTAATATTTTTACTAATAATGCTACGGAGATGGCTGAGCAGAGATTAGGTGTATCATCCGTACGAGCCGGGTGGTACACAGCTGCTGTTCAATATGGCGGTAAGGAGCTTAAAATACTCAGAACTAGTAAAACGAACGATACTAATGATTTAAGGATTCTTCTTCGTTCCTCTCATTGGAATATTTGTCGATATATGGGGAAACAGAATCACCCTTTGTAAGCACGATCTCCCCCCTTGCTCCTAAACCTCACGCTTACACGCTCAGTTGCCGTCATGGGACTCTCCGTCTTAACATCAATGAGCGTTGTAAACTGGGCTCCTTCCATCCACGGTACCGATGCCGCCTTCGGAATTTACGCATTTGCGTATTGCTTCGGACCAACTTTAATCGTTGATAGCATTCGAACATCAATGTGGCATCAATCCGTCTTCGGTTCCGCAGTCGCTCTCAAACTCACCCTGAATAACGCGTAAGTCCCTTCTCTTCATCCATCCATCTCAACCCTCCTCCTCAAACCCCCCCACTAACAAAACCCCCAAAAAACAGCATGAGCATCATCGTCAACATAGTAGCCGGCGTAATCCAAGACGCCGACCACAACTCCTACAACAAAGTAACAAATCTGTATGTCGCTCTTGCAGCAGGGGCCGCCGTCATCGCCCTCCTCATGGTCCTCCTCTCCTATTTCTGCATCGATTTTCGCATCCTCCAGTATACGCGTGAGCAACGCGTGGCAAATGGTCAGCTGATCAATGACCGCAAGGAACGTTTTCATAATATGAATGGAGGGAGGAATCGCAAGGTTTCTATGTGGTGTTTTGCGGGTTTGGTGGTTTTGGTTGCGGGCTCTTGGTGTGCTTATTTTTGGGGTGTGGTGACCGGTCATAATAATGGGTAGGGGGGTGTTTTGCCTGGTATTCCTGGGGTGCGTGCGGTTGCGTGTTTCGATGGTTGGTTTGATGTGTCATCGGATGATGTGGGATGTGAGATGATGATGATGATGATGATGATGAGATGATATATTGTATATAAACCCGAAGAAATCGCTGTTGTTTATATATACACACAAAAAATCTGGGCTAGGGAGTCGGTAAATTAACGAAAATGGGGTATGATATCTGATATCGACTTTTGGAGATGCTCTTATTATATAGCTCTCAAATCAATAGTATAGTATAGAATAGAACAGAATGTACATAGTATATTGAATAGAATTAAAAGTAAAACTTTTTGTATATAAATAGGAAATTGTAATTTATATATTTATATATCGGAACTAGGTATTCAAGTAATCTTATAAGAAGATGAAGTTTTTTGATTTTGGTGTGGTTTCTTTTTGTTGGTATTCGTGTGTCTAGATTTGTATGGATTTATGGTTGGGATCTTGTAAGCTTAATTTGTAAGTTTAATCGCCGAGCGGGAGGTTATCTTATATAAGATGTAAGATATCAGATTGATTTGGATTATAGATTATATAAAAATCACATGATAATAGTGTAGAGTTGCTGGATCAGAGATATGAAGTAATACGATGTTTTGTTATCTTGATTATAAGCTATTATAGCTAGGGAGGCACTGAGATAGAAGGTAAAAGATAGGAGAAGGGAAGTACAGTTTCCTATCGCGGTTTTGTGATCGGAGGTTAGTATGGTTTATTTGGATTTCTGAGGGATGGAAAGGCATGGAGCTTAGTGTTATTGGGGGTGGTTAATTTCTACTTTCTTGATAATGGTGGAAAGCGAGGTGAGAGAGTATACCGCGTCAAGCGGTAGGATATCAATGGTATCTTACGCTGGAAGAACAGACGTAGAGAGCTAAGCTGCGATGAAGCGCCTTGTAAATCGTATAATAGTAAGCTGGAGTAATTCCCGCACCTTGAAGAGTCTTGTGCCTATCGGCGAGAACTGTCAGCATCGATGGTGGATTTGGAATCTGTGGGTTGTTGTTCTTTCTTAAGCTGCGAAAGTTTTCGAGTTCACTGGTATTCTGCCTTTGTGTCGATTAGGATATCGATATGGCTTGAGATATTTATGTTGAGGGAGGTGAAGGTACACAGCCATGGTCGACTATATTGCTGCTGGTTACTAAGAGGGAAATAATAATATGTGTAAATAAAACGCATGAATACATCAATAGACAGCAGAATATTCAATGCCAACCAGCATGGTGCCCTAAATAACATTTCTCCGATAATAAGAGCAACCACTGGACCAAGAATACTTCCAAGAGATGCAAAGCTTGTACCACTTTCGGGATAGATGATGGTATCACTAACTAGGCCATTTGCAAAAGCTACTGCACTACCCTTTCCGGCAGCTTGCAAAGAAAGTAGAGCTATCGGCATTGGGTGAATATTTAAATCCCAGGCCGGGGTAGTGAAGATGCAAATGACGGAATATGTTATGTAGTACGGATTTCTGTTACTTTTGGCTAATAATCCGCAATTATCATAGATGCTTATCCATATGATATGAGGCTGCCCACTGGTGATGATGCAGCAGATCTAAGAATCCGAAGCTTGCTGAACACTAGTCTCAGATACGTGAGATCTCGGTTTTCGTGGTCATGGTAAAGTATAGTAGGGTTTGAATCGCTGCAGAAGTGTAAGGCGATAGTGTGCCGAACTTTGCATGGTCTTCCACGATGACACCTAACTATTGCCGGATTTAGACGATCATCTCCAAGAGATTACAGGGGAAGAGGAGCCGACAAATTAGGATGCATCGATCTAACACTTGCGGAAATTATGACTGGTGATGGACCAGGCATGGAAACTTCAAGTAGACTCAACTCTTCCCACGTACAATTTCGAGTTTGTTCAGAACTAGGCCCCCGGCATACCTTTCTACCTGCGAAGTAGTATAGCATTTAATTCCGACATTCGAACATTCGAACAATTAAGATGGTATTTTGTTCCTTTGAAAAAAAGAGTCCAACAGCTATGAATAATTCGCATACGATAGCTGAAATCCACAACCGAGTGAGGAATGGAGTACTTCCATCCAGACTATGAATAGCTCAAGAAGAAGGATCCGTTATCTTTTCCATTCAACCTTTAGCCCGTCGATAAGACGCAGGTACAATCATGCATCGCACATCTCCTCTGGGTAGATTTCTCCGCAATTTCAACCCTTTGACCATACGGGAGTGTATTGAGTATATCTATTGGGAGGTTTAGACGCAATACCCCATGAATGATATTGACATTCATGTTTGACAAAACTCTTTTGAGGGAAAATGGCCTGTAATAGCTAAACCATACAGATCCATCGTCGTGGTTGCATGAGCCGTTATGTTGTCAGGGCACTAAACAACATGTTGTGATTGGTGCTTGCTACGTTGTATTGTGGATATACTGTAAATTTAGCTGCAGCTACCCAGCCACCAGGTAAAAAGTGTCTGTATCTGTTTCTCATCTCCCTGCGAACCAGAAAACTGTCAAGCCTGGTTCCGTTCTAGGTCACATTGATTGATTAACGGTATAGCATGATTTTATATCTTCAAATATGTTAATGGATTATCAAAGGCTTCATTTTTGAAAGAATTAATTGTTTCTAGCAGTTCTGCCCTGCGCAATTCATCTTCACCGCATTGGTTACCGAGTGAACCTCCCAAATTATTTACAAGTCAGTACGATAAGGAAGCAAGCACATTTCGGCGGCTACGAGAGAACCTTTTCAACCATATTACATTCATTCCGGAACTACATTTTATCCACATTCCCCTCTATTTCAAATAGCGATATCGATTACTTCAAGATAATTACCATCTCGATAGAATTTAACGGATTTTGAGATTATCTGCCATTAGGCGGCAGATCCGCCCGCCGCCATGGCGACTGATAATCTCTCTCCAGCGGGGAGCAGTACATATTCATCGGATACGATGTATGTCGGAGATGGGACTTGGGATGCTACGAAAAATGATTTTCTGTTGCCAAATTTGATGGGGTTGAATTTCGAGACGATGAGGTATAATGGTGAGTGAATCTTGAAAGCATCAGGTCACTGACTGGCATTGCCATGGATGAGGGAGCTGACAGAAGATAGGAATGGGAAATCGATTTGCGACCATGCCTGGATACAAAGGATTAATTACAGCTCATGGTATACTTGCTGCCATTACGTTTCTTTTCATTGTACCTGCAGCGGTATTCATTGCGAGATTTTACGGTCGAGACATAAGGAGAGCGATACGATACCATATATATTTACAAATCATGACGTTACTTCTATCGACAGCTATTTTCATACTTGGGTGGATGGCAGTCGGCCCTGCGCGAAGTTTGACAAATCCTCATCATGGAATTGGGTTGGCAATTTATGTCTTAATTTGGGTACAATTTCTATCGGGCTGGTGGACACATAATTCGGAGAAAAAGCGAGTTTTGAGAAGAATTCCTTTCAAAGCATTCTTCCACCAATGGATAGGTCGCGTAACAGCACTACTTGCAATTGCCCAAGTACCTTTAGGACTGACTTTGTATGGATCACCAAAATATCTCTTTATACTCTTCGCTGTTTGGATGGGTCTTCTAGTGTTGTTATACTTCATTCTTTCATACAGAGCACTCCAAGCACTTCCAGAAGTAATACGAGAAGGAAGTAGTCATGGCGAGGTAATTCGGGAGAGGAGGAAGAGCTCATTTGGTGCAGGTATACTCGGACCTTTACTTGCAGGCGCCGGAGCTGCTGCTTTGCTTGGAAATCGAGAACGAGAACGAGATCGGAGGAGGAGCAGGAGTCGCAGTCACAGCAGAGTCCGGGAAGAAGTTATACCTTCGCGCCGTGGGTCAAGATCTCGGCGTGGCTCCGTAAGCTATGTCGAAGAGAAACATGAATCCAGGCAAAAAGACGATGGAGGTGTGATGGATTCATTGTTTAAGGGTGCGGCGGTTCTCGGTGCTGGCGCGCTTGCAAAGAGTTTTTTCGACCGACGACAACGAACACACCATGCAGACGAATATTCCTCTGTTGCTCACGATACTCCAGCTAGAAGGAATCATAGACGTAATGACAGCGAGTATAGTGAATCTACTATTCCTATTGAGCGAACAGGTCGTTACGAAGATCGTAGAGGAAATCGTCCCACCTTACCTGGTCCCGGAAAATCAGTACCTGCCGCAGCTGAAGCACGCCCAACGACCCCAAGGCCTGTGACTCCCGTGACTCCTCGACCAATACGGAGTCAAGCCGGTCGATCGCATAGTTTTGATTCTATGAGTTATTCTTACGATTATGGATCCGGTAGTACTGTTAGTCCATCTCGAAGACCGCAAGAAAATCATGGACTACGAAATGGGCTGCTAGCTGGCTTGGGAATAGGCTGGTTTACCAAGAAAATGAAAGATCGCAAGGAAAAGAAGGAAATGGATCGGATTGAACGCGATGAAGATGAAAGATATGAACGAGAAAGAGCTTCTCGACATATTAATCAAGGCTCACATTTGACAAGCGACGCATTTCCACCAAGAACTAATCTCAGACGAAGCTCTATAGAATCATCAGAACTTTCATCACTAGTCGACCCTCATCCTAGACCCGTAGCATCAGCATCAGCGCCACCCCCAATTCCTGTTAGTATGGGTCAATCTCATTCCCGCCATGATGTCGTAACAGAACCAGTCTCAATGCCTCGCATGCCCGGCGACACACATGGTATCCTCCATCTGCCTTCCGATAGTGATATAACACCAACTCCTGGTCGAAATCTTCCCCGATCGCCGATTCGCAGAGATGAAGGTGAGGCTGCTGCAGCTGCCGCGGTAGCCGGAGCTGCTACTCTAGCTGCAGAAGAGGAACGTCGCCGTCAAAGATCTCGCTCCAGGTCTGCCGTCGCAAGTCCACCTGTCAGTGTTAAAGTCAGAATGCACGGAGACAAAGATCGCAATGTTACTTTACGGCGACTTACAGAACAGGAAGCAGCAGCCGAACGTGCATCGAGAAGAGCTCGAAGTGGCCAAAGACGTTCAGGAAGGGATTCCATAAGTGATTTCAGTGATGGTGAGGTTTCATCTCGATATCGGAGAGAAGCAGAAAAGAGGGCGGAAAGGAGGGCAGAATCAATGGTCAGAGATAAAAATGATGAAGCGGGCCTCCCACCACCACCAATAGGTCCCTTGACGCCACCTAACCCTGCATTTTCAGGAGGAAAGAAACCTAAAGACTCAGCTTACTATTCTGGAAGACCACAGAGTTCTGGTAGACCACAAAGCGCTGGCAACCAAGATCCGAGTGTAGCTGGAGGGAGTGTGTTTGAAGCGGGGAAGAGTAATATGTCAGAAGATACTCATGGTACATGGAGTGCAATGAGTCCTGATTCTGGCACGGATCATGCTAGGGAAAGGAGGCAAAGGAGGAGAATGGAGAGACAGAGGCGAAGTATAGGGGCAGGGACGGCAGGCACAGTTGATTTTACTTGAGTTCTTTGTGCTCGAGTTGTATTATTGTTTGGTGTTTGGTGTTGGAAAAAAAGGTTTGATTTTTGGTAGAAATGAGGTCGAGGAGATGGTAAAATGGAACGAAATGCATAATGTCTGTTTGTTTCACCTCGAATCCTTTTGTATATGGATGATGGAATGACGAATGAGGACCGCATAGGGTCATCATAGGATACGAAATTTTTTTCATGAGAAATGGTTGGAGATGTGTTGAGAAAATTAGGCGAGCAACTACAATTTCGCGTAGATACGATACCTAGCTTAGCTAACTGTATGTTTGTTGTTTAGCTTACTTTTTCTACATATTATATAATTGTTATTGATAATTCTTATCTTTTGTTTTCCCCGGTTCTCTTTCTTCTTTTTATTTTTGAGGCTAGCTCGTTTTTGTCGTTGTCTTTGTTGCGGTGGTGTGACGGGGTGTGATTAGGTAGGTAGGTATATCTCATCTAGATACTAGATCTAAGTGGATTATTTTACAGTAATTGGAAGTCATATCTGAGGTCATGGTAAGACTTACCTAGCGTTGTGGTGCGAGGAATGGTGTATTTTTGGTTGGTTGGAAGCCGTGGGTTGGATATGGTGGATGATTGTTGCGATTTCTGCTTGGTCTGAGATTAAAAACTTGATATATTTTCTTACAAGTGTAAACTGTAGTTGTTGTTTCTTTTGGGGGCGGGGGGGTATTATGGGGGAAAGGGGAATAGTTAGGAGAGAGGGGGAGAAGAGGTTTGGAGAGGGGTTTAAAAGAGAAGATTTTTTGGAAGGTTTTATTATTGGTTTGTTGATGGTGTATGCTTGTGGGATTTCGAGGGCTTGCTGTTGTTTTAGGATAGAGTGGTGGAGAGTGGAGAGTGGTAGATGGGAGTTGTTGGTATCACTTCGGTGATACGATTGCAATGCAATGTACTATCTTCTTGTATTTGTTCATGGATGATTATTATCTATCTAGAGGAGAGAGACCTATTTATATTGAAAGGGGTACGGGCTAGAATGCACTAGTCGTACGGCTCCCTTTGTGTACGGCTCCCTTTCGAGGTTGATCACATGATGTACCGACAGGAGTGGAGATATTGTTTTGTATATGGTGCGGATTGATGTTTTTATTATTATTATGAATGGAGATTTGAATCGGGAGGTTTGTATGCATATGGATGGGGTATGGTCAGAAGTGTGAAATGGAGTGGAGATTTTTGATTTAAGAGTTTAGATAGGAGGCTCTGCGGTGCGGATTTATGATTTATGATTTATGATTGGGCTATGGCTGGGACTTGATGAGTTTGAGTAAGGGTTGTTATATTGGAGTTGGAGGGAATCGAGAATTTTGACTGTTTGCTTTATGCAAGAAGTTGTGAAGTTTGTTGTCACTCCAGTCCTTTTTATTCATTCTTTCTCTTGAGATTACTCAGGAAGTGAATTCTTCCCCGGAATAGCAACTCTGCAACCATAGAGTCATGGAGTTATTGATTTATCGAGTCATCGTCAAAATACTCCATAAAGCACTTAAATCACATCAAACTATTAGTAACAAAAATTGATATTACTGGCTTCCCGATTTCTGTCCCCAGGTTTTTTGTATTTTTTTTGTAGATTAATTCATCCTTATTCACCTTTCTCTGCAGGTCAATATTTATTGAGACTAGGGACCAAGGATTCAATCATTTGTCGGCAAATCAACCAAAAGATTTCCAGTCATGTCGAACGCGGTCAAATGGCTTTTTGGATACATGGCGTGGGCAGTCAGTCTGGGATTTTCTGAAGCCCGTAATATGGCTTCACACAAAAAGGGGAGGTAGAGACCCAGAACTCTCATGACAGAAGATTTGAGTTAGACCTTGCCGAGAACGAAGAAATCTTCCACATCTTTGGGGCTTTTAATTTTTGCCAGACCGACTTAAATAGCACTTAAGTTGCAAATTCACCGTTTCACAGATTTGTCGGAAATCCCGTTATTTTAGTCCTCTTTCGCCATGGAAGTTCCATCTTCGCGCATTAAGTTAAACCTGCCTGCTATCTATCGATAGATTGTTATGAACAATATAAATGAAATAGGCTAATAATTTTGGGTATTGTGATTACTTGGAATGCCAATAGAAACGCGGAGGCCATATCACACTTTCGGAAAGAGATATATTGATAGATTGATGCATTTGAGAAAGAAAAAATATTCTTAAACGAACTGTTGGAATATTAATATTAGACTCACACTGCGCGGGAACCTTGTGTTCATTAACGATTGTGTTGTATCAGAGGGCATAAGAGTCATAAGAGACGTTAATATTCTTCACAAAGGAAGGCTGTGACTATAAGGTCCTTTCACTAGCTAGTCACTATGACCGGATAGGTACTATGAAGGTCATCTTCAATTTTCTGGTCGTGTTGACAATGCATCTAAGAATACACTTCTACTCCGCATCAATAAAGTCTTCAGATTATTTTTCAATATCTTCAGAATCTACATCTAGCTTTATCATACCACAACCCACTGACAATTCGAGATCTATAATCTCCCTCATGATTAGGTAAAGATATTTCTCAGAGCCAACTTTATGAGCCATGAATAATTCCGAGCTCTCCTCAAGCAAAACTCTAAGACTGTCATAATAGACATCCCGCACAGCTTTATCCTCAAGAAAGGGGCAAAGATTCCAGTTATTTCGATAGCCACGCCAATCTAATGTAGTTCTAAAATGGAGAAAATCTATATGATGCCATGTTAACTAAATTTTTCAGATTATTTCCAAGTGCACTACTTACCAATGTGAATCATAATTTTAATCAGATCATGATAGATATTATCTCTACCGGTATCATCGATGCTAGTTAATATTTCTTGTCTTGTAACGAGGAGCTTAAGACAACTAGATAGGAGATCAGGATCCTCTAGATTTTTGATATGGTGTGGCTGCCTACGGAGTGTCGCAATTAATTTTTCAGTTTCCATCTTTGCGGTGATTAACCGAACTATTTTAATAGCTATTAGACAATATCATTACACCGAACGTTGTATAAGAATAGAAGTACGAACTAAGAAGCTTGAAAAGCGTTTAAATATCAGAGCAGATGGTAACCGGAGTTCGACAAAAAGAATAATAATAGACGATATCGATCCCAGAATATTTCCTTAAACGAGCTTTGACTTGAGTATTCGCCAGGAAGTATTTGGAACAACGTCTAATAAAGAATTTATGGTTGATCTAAAGTAATTTAAGATTACATATCTTCGACAGATTTCCATGAGATAAATTTTTGATTCTTAAACTCTTAAATAACAATTGTAGAAGGAAAATGAGGACACGAAGGGAATAACTCGTCAATTTATACCAAGATCTTACAATAATGTCATAATATGATTGATTCATCAAAGATCGAGTCATCCATGGCCATGAGAAAGAATTCAAAATTAGAAGTATGACTCTTATCAGTTAGTCTTTACTAATTTAATATATAATATCTCAATATGATTCATCATGTTGTGAAAGAGTTGGAATTGCAAACCATATACATAAAGATTTTCAACAGCTCAATCATATAACCTTCCATAATTAAATATAAAGAAAGACTCTCGTCCTCTCTTTCAAAAAACAATCAACTCTTTATATACTATTTTTAAAAACCTAAATCATTTCAACTCCAAATCTATTATAAAACCCATTTTCTTTATAAATGGCTTATTATAATATAATCTAATCAGCTTTCTCTTCTTTCCCCTCACAACATGCTATCGGGATGCACGTATCTCGACCACCCGCTTTTACAATGTGAGTCAACTACCTATCGACCTCTTATGAATAACTCAATTATTCAGAGCTGGTTTTCAAGATCTTCCACAGGATCTGGGAGTCTCTTCTTTAATATTCCATTATTCCTCGATTCCCACATGTTTGGAATTTATGGCCACTAATATTCTCAGTAATCATGACCTGGAAGGCCAGTACACTTATACAAGTATAAGCATCCTCCCAACCCTAATCCCAAATCCCTCCTTTCTTTCTTTTCTTCTCACTCTCCTTCGCTCCATTCCAAGATTCACATGCCCTTCTATCCATTCCCATCCCCATCCTCCTTCCATTCCTCCTTCCTCTCTTCTGATCCTCCCCTCCTCTCCCCATCCCTTCCAATTTTCCAATTTCCTAATAGCTTCTTCTTCCCACTTTAGATACTCAAACCTCTGCATTTGATATATATATATATGCCCAATTATCAAAACTCCACTCCACTCCATTTCATTCCACAGTCCACCTTCATTTAACCTTCAAGTCTCAAATCTCAACTCTGAAACCTCAAATCCCAAATCCAATCCCCAACCTCGCCTCACAAAACCAGATCCGATCTCTAAATCAAACAACATACCAAAAATCTCAACATCGCCTCACCCAAAATCTCACATAAAAAACAATGAACAAATGAACATTAAATGATATTTATTTTTCTTCTAATCAGCCACATCTGACTATGCTCCTCAAACCATAATATTCCTACTACTTATATTTAGAATTCCCCTCAAAAGTTTCATGATAAGCATTTTATTCCCCAACCCTCATATTTTCAACTACCGTAGAAACGCCATGCAGAAAGATAAGACACTATAATTTTTCTTCCTTTGACCAAATAATATGTACCAAATTAGAGCTAGACTTAACTAGTCTTAGCCTTCTTAGCTGGTCTTTCTGCATCACTACCCCCTTCCTCCTCACTATCAGTTCCCGAACTTTCATGAGCTGAATCGTATTCTTCGGCTACGTCACTCTCAGTATCAGTCTTGAAATCTTCATCCACACTTTCATCGTCCTCATCAGCACTTCCTCTATCGGCTCTGGCAGCTACTACTTCTTCATCCGAAGATTGCATATCAGGATTATCAAGAAGGGCGATATGAGCGGTATTATCTTCATCCATCTCATTCTTGACTCGGAGACCTTTAATCTTGAAGAAATCTTCTAGATTCTTTTGTTCTTCGCGATTGATATTGCTGAATTGTGTTTCACCTGCTCCATTTTTAAGTCCGACAGCGATATCGAAGGTACGGGAAGCGGAAGTAGCACCGCCAACACGGGAGAAAGTTATGACTGAAATTTGTTCGTAGGTTATGTATGTGGCGGGTTTTGGAACGAACATGAAAGCTTTCTCTAAGCAATAGAGGAAACCTTCGCTGGCTTTGATAGAACATTTGATACCATATTGTGAGTGGTGGCTGATAATGTTAGTATACTGGTGTAACAAATCCCGGGAAAAGCAGCATACCTCAAAAAATCCTTGGCAGGTTGATTAATCTTCTTTCCAGCAAGACCACGGAAAACTTGTGTGACGACTTCATGTAATGGTTGTTCATAATGTGTACTTAACTTCCCTCCATATTTTTCATCCATCACTTCTTCTGTCATATTCAGATCAATGGTAACTTCTTCATCCTTCTTGAATTGCATAACCAAGAAAGGATATCTAGTTTGACCTTGTCGTAATGGTGGATCTAAACCAATACAGATCATGAAATGTAATTCATCGGGCTTTGGTAGAACCATGAACTTCTTGATATGGTCGTATTGAATCTTGTAATCGTATGTCTTACCACGTAATCTGAAAGAGCTTTCGTACATGTCGATATCGAAACGTCCTCTGTGAATAGTTAGCCTTGCACAAAACCATTAAAAATGCGACATGCCTTGGAGTGAGATGTAGAACATCGAGGAAAGTAGCAACAGTATCTCCGGCAACATCACCAATTTCGGCTTTCTCCATCAAAGTATCATAGAAAAGGTTGGATGCATTAGTCGCCTCCTCATCGGCATCATCTCCAGAATCCTCACCGTCTTCACGGGCTCCCTTCTTGGTCGCAACTCCGGGAATGTAAAACCTCATCTCAACAAGCTGATCTTTTCCAGCACCAGCTTTCTTTCCTTTAATGCGCGCGCCACCCAAAGCTCCGTTTGATCCTGTATCATCGCCATTTGCAGGTAGGGCAAACTCGACGGCAACTTCATTTTTGCCTGCCAAATTCGTGTTTGAGATCTCAGCATATGGAATTTCGAACGCAGGTCGATTTTGAACGTTGAATACTAATTCTGATTTTCCAAATTCACCTTTGCCCCAATTCCATCCTCGTAAAGCGTGCTCCTTGTGTTCCAAATTCGTGCTATACCAATTTTTGAAAACTTTATTCAATCGTTCAAAGTCCTATAACGTATGAGCAAAATGCAACAATTCAATGATATATTGTGTACTGACGTCTTGCGAGAAACCATCGAGTTGACAGATATCAGAATTGCGCAACAAAAGCTTCACCTCATAACCCTTCGATGCCTTACTCCATTGCGCGCCTGCGATATTGCCGCTCTCGAGTGTAAATGTATCTCCACCACCTGCTGGCTTCCATCCAAAACCAGTTTCAGCGAATCTGCATCGGCCTGACTCTTTCGAGAGATCAAGGTAGATATTATCGAAACTCTCCCTAGCACATTGAATAAAATGAGTCTGGTCCCCGATTTTAATAGCCCAAGACATATTTATTGATGGCAAAAGTGTAATTGACTCCGGTTGATATGAAAATGGGATAACTTACATGGCCATGTTTTGAGTTTAGTAGTGGTTATTACTTTTGGAAGGAACGACTTTTCTGTAGGACAATTTGACAATTAAGATAGTCGCGGTCGCGTTAAGATACGCATAAATTAATTAAGCTTCGAGTCACGTGCTATAAAATAGATTTGGTGATACAGCCCATTATTTTTGGATTGGGTTATAGATAAGAGGTGAGAGACAAGAAAGTGAACAGGTGCAAGGCAACAATGAGCATGATGCCAGACGATCTCTGAGAACGGCTTTACTTCATCTTTATTGAGTTTCCCATACACGAAGAAATCCATTCATCATCACTAAAGGCCACAAGACAACTTGCATCAAGACGGGTTATTGTCAGCGAAAGAGATTCTAACATCATCATATCATTCCAATTGTTCCCAATAGGCATGAATGAACATTCAAATCATGTATTCTCAAAACATTCAAAATTCTATTCCAAAATCATTCACTCAAATAAGGACATTGGAATATGACTTTAGATAGACGAGATGACGGACTCTCATTTTTGACAAGAACGAGATAATTCAAGGTGAGCACATGGAGGAATTAAGATTATTGTTTAAGCTTCAGATTTCCTATGTACACTTGCTTCTAATAATGAGCAAGTTACATACCAATTTATAAAGATCATCTTTCGCTATGCGTGCGCGCAGGTGTGGTATAAAAGCTTCGAAAACAGTTGCCGACCTCCATCAAATGAAATGGTATGCTTGAGGTGACGGCAAAGATGAAACATCACGAAACGCCAATCGAAGCCCATAAGTATCCGAGTGAGAATCCTTAACACAATAGTCGTCCTCCTATCATAGCAGCCATGTCGTCCCTCAATACACCATCCATTATGCAGCATTTTCCTTCTCGCTCTCAGAGACGTGAGCCTTCTCGTTCATCGGTGATGAAGGTGAGTCGGCGGATGATTGTGATGGTGACTTTTTTCGCATGACGGCATCTTGGCTACCCATTCTTCGACCCAATGCTCTCTCCAACTTGGCTCCCAAGGCCAGTTTGCCCATATTATCTCTCTGCTCCGTTGTCAAATCGCAACGTTGACTCTCTAACTCCTTATTGTGTAGTTTGTCGAAACCTTCTTCAATGGCGATGAATTCTTCTCTCGCAGAATCCGTGGTCTCGACAGAGATGGCTTGGCTGTAGGTACTGAAGCGATTGCTTTTGGAGGAGACCTTTGTGTTGGGCATATTTGTCAGCGAAGATCAATTGATGATTTTATGGAGGTAGTATCTGCTGAAATCTGGATGATGGATGGACGGGACAATTATGTAGAACGATGAAGGGAAGTAAAGAGAATAAACATACACTTGGAGCCATGATAGGACGAGAGGAATCTAAAGAAGCAACCATCTTTGCGATATCCGTTTCAGATTAACACCGATGAGGTCTTATGACAGTTTTAATCAAGGGTCCTTCTTGTAGTATATTGTGGTCCCTAATAACAACGGGTTGTTATGATCGAATCGCACAGTAGCTCGAGGAAGTGAAAGGGTATGGGCTATCACAGGCTATTTCGATCTGGAAAAGATGGCGTTGATCCACGTCTTTGGCTTATGTAGGAGTAACAGGTATCGAAGTGGGTCAAGCCTGGGTGCCACGAGGGAAGGGAAGTAAGTGGAAGGATCGTTAACTTTCAAAACAAGAGCGGAAGAAAGTCTTTCAAGGGGATTCAAGGGACCCTTTCTCGCAGGTGGATCAAATGCTTCTAAAAACGGCAACGCACTGACAAAAACCTGGCAGCAATCACTTGCACGCAGACTGCAGTAAAATCAGAAAGAAGCGGAGAGACGAATTCCTTTAGAGTCAGTGGAGGATTCTTGAGACTCAATTGAGAGTGGGAGAGAAAAGGGTAGATAGATGGGTTAGCAGGCGGCTGGCTGAGGTGATTGATAGTATAGTTTAGTAATTTTGCGATTTGTGGTTCGACAGAATCTCTGTCTGTACTCGAGTAGGATGAGTTTGATGCAGTCAGCTTCTAAAGTAAGTTTCACGAATATTAATGAAAAATCTCATGGAGATATTCAGGATCGGAAAGATTTACCTTGTGAGAGGGTTAGCTAGAAAACGTGGTGTGTAGGGATTCCGGAATGTTTTAATTTTTTAGTATGATTGGGCTAAGGTTAATAACTAACACCGACATCCGTTTGATAAGTGAAAGAGGAAGAGGAAGAGGAAGAGGAAGAGGAAGACGAAACGAAACGAAACGAAACGAAACGTACTCAGTAGGTTAGATTCCAAATATTGAAAGTTCAGCCAGCATGTATATATAATTGATTGCTTTTTGTTTTGTTTATTCTTGATTAAGTACTATCAGTACTATGACTATGTGTCCCTCAAAGGTCATTAATGGAGATCAATTTAAATCCTCCCTCCATCTTATCCAGCCAACAATGAATAAGTACAATCGATCAATTGTCATCTCAAATGAGTCTTATCTGATATCTCTATTTATGAAAAGGGCCACGGCAATTCAAGAACAGTCAGTCGGAGTGTGTGTCACTGCTATCGAATACTTCAAGATGTCCAAAATAGAGAAACCGTGTACACGAACTTGATGAGTCTCGCATGATGAATTAAATGCAAGACCAGACCCATCCTCTGAGACCAGGAATGAATGAAGCTTATCACATCACAGAAAGAAATACTAGGCCGGTAGCTACCTAGTACATTGCTGGTTCACAGATCCGTAAGAAGGGAAAGGACCGCCCGGCTTGAGCACCATGGAGAAAAGAAAGTTTATCAAAGCACGTGGCAAACATGATATACTTTCTAGGACAGTGACGGAAAACGCGGTTGCATCGAGGTTGCATTAGACTAACGAACGACCTAATAATGCTTGTATTGGTTGAAACAAGAGACGTTGGTTTTTGCGTTCTTTAGGAATTCAAGTACCGCATACAACCAACCAATTGAACATCTCAAAAGCCATTGGGCCATCGCATGTGTGTGGTTATAGTTTACTTTTTCAAAGTGGATTCCTCCAAATTATGAGAGTCGTATTGGGCATTGCATATGCAGGATGCCATCGGGAGCGCCAAAAAATTCAATACGGTGTAAGTACCCCTCATCAATCTGCGGCATCCACTACCTTTTTGGGGGGTAGATAGTGTTTGTAAGCCGAGGGCTTGAATTTTTGTTGAATAGTAACATGGGGACTTGTAGAAGTGCATTTCTTGGTAAGTTATTGAGCAGAAGATGAGCACGGCATAAACAAGTGCTCGGTAATAGATACGGCACAGTAATGTGAGATTATTTGATGAATTGTTGGTCAATTGCTCTTTCCCCAACTGCAAGAAAATTCTCCTAAAACTGCTAGGTATAGCTAGCTGCCCAGATGCACCAGGGAAGTTTGGTAAAAAAAAAGTAAACAAAGCAACCCCACCATAAAACACCAATTCTCAACAACTACCAGATAACTCCATTAAATTACAAGTTACCACGGTAATATTTTGATAATACCTGATCAAACTTCGCAATGCCCAAAAAGCAATTCTTGAAAGATAACAAGAAGAGGTCCAAGCATGCACCGCAGGTAAGGCTCCATAGTTGATCCAAATATGCAGGTAATGTAACACGTGCAGATACCAGCAACGGCTGATGAATATCTCGCTGGTAAGTCATTGTTTCGTAGGACCAAAGATGGGGATGTACATAAGCTAAGACATATCATAGCCGGAGTAGATTTTGAAGAGGCTGGCGAGAAATGGAGAGGTGGTGATGCCGCGAAGGTAATGCCTTCATACTCATACACGTATATGTATTGGATCTGAATTTCAATCGTCGCTTAGTCAGCGAGATTCTTCGTCAGAGCAATTGATAACTACGAGGAAGCATTGAAGAAGTTTCCAAACTCTTTCGACCTTGCTTACAATAGGTGAGATCTTTTCATGCTCAAAATCCAGGTACTTATAGGTGCTGATATTTCACAGAGCCCGAGTTCTGTATGAGCTTACACAATATCCAAAGCTCACAGCACAATTACCTGGGACACCTCTGGACCTTCTAGCTGCTGCCCTGGAAGCGAGTCGATTTGCATTGAGTTTAAAACAGGATAATGCAGATATCTTGTTGTATGGAGTACAAAAATCCCTTCGTGCTTTTCACGGCTAACAGCAGCAGTAATACGGCTCAAGTTCTTACCAGTATTGCGGAAGTAACATCAGAAACGAGAAATATTAGCAATGATGATAATCTAGCTTTACTCGAGGAAGCTATTGAGCTTTTTCAGAGATGTTTAACGTTACAAGAGTACCAATACACTGAATCACAAACCCAAGCTAAATTCGTAACTCCATCAGATTCGGATCCAGATATGGAAGAAGGTGGAGTTTCATTGTCTGATGCTAATGGCCAAGCTCTACAGGATGATAGATGGGCGACTATCGTTGAGCCAGTGACCCTTGATACTTTACTTGATACTTTAATAGCTCAGCTCCAAACGCTCGCTATATTATGTGGGTTGGTCAACGTAGACGCTGGTCGAGGACTGGCGTGGATTGAAGAATATTCAACTCCACTCATCGGTCAAAAGCTACAAAGCTACCTCGAGGGCACTACAGCCAGAGACCAAGAAGCTGGTTCCGCCAAATCAAACTTCGTCGCTGCTCTCGCAGATGCCAATTTCCGAGTTCAAAGAATTGATATCAGTACCTACGAACGAACTTTGAATGATGCGTATTCGTCGTTGAGCCTCGACGATCATCCAGAAGGGCTTTGCGACAAAGCTGAAGCATTCATCTCATACAATTCTTCTGTTCGCCTGAATTATGAAGCAGCTCAATCACCCGAAGTTTCCGCATCACGGTGGAAAGTTCTAACAGCAGCACTGGACAGTTTGACGAAAGCTTCCAAACTTCCTTTGGCCGAGAATCTATCAAAGATCCATATTCTGCGAGGTGATGTTGACCTTTTGAGATTTCAGCTGGGTCAGCCGCCGAGTGCTTATGATATTGCTTTGAAGAATGGGGCAGTGTTAGCAAAGAATGCGGAGAAATTCTACCGTGGTGCTGGAAACTTCGCGAAGGTGGAGGGACTGAGCAAGCAGTTAGAAGAAGCTGAAGTGAAGGAAGCTCTAGCTATGAGTTTTTATGGTGAGAAGGACAAACTATTGCGATGTATCAAATTGCAACCTGAGCTAGTGAGGGCTGTTTTGGAGGATGCTCTTGATGATGGATTGGTTTCATATGAGGCTTTATCTGCCATGGGTATTGCATAGAGCTACTTGATACTACAGAGTCTTAGACATGGAACAGCACAGTGGTCTTAGTCTTTGATGGCGCAATGAAACCTTTCCGGCTTGAATACTTGTCAAATGTTCTGGACTTCAGTGTGACTTTGACTTATAATTCTCAAGAGACAGTAGATTTTTGAAAGTAGTTGAATTATTGGATACAATATATTATCGTATCGCAGTTGTACATGTTTAGAGGTGTGAATATTGCTCTCCATAATCTTCAGACAAAATCACCAATTAATCAATATGGTGGCATGATATTATATTCATTTATGCTAATCTTAACTTATATTTCGGTGATGGTCGTTCATCATCTTTAAATTTGGTTTATGGTTGTAAATAGTCTGAATTATATATGTTCCTCACTTCATCACATCCAAACCCCTGTAAAAGTCTTACATTATCTCCATCTGATCTGCACGGACGTTGGTGCCTAAGGCCCAGTGTTGGAGTTCTGGTTTTCGCTTATGAATTTGTAAAATAATGGAGATTTGAACAGCTTCATTACTCGCCCACCATCGACATCCTCAAGAAAAATTCTCTCCGATATCTTCTTACATCTCAAAACACATTTACCTTCATATTAGAAGCTTCTTATTGTTCTTCTAATCAAACCCTCACCACCATACTCGTAATATTGATCCCCAAATATTTAAAGCGATCATCTTCTCCAGAATCCTCGAATACCTTCAATAATTAAACAAACTCAAAATTTCTAAAGCACACCGATATTTGTGACAGGAGCCTATTTTATTCTGTTCATCCAATCTTGAACTTTATTTACAAATATCTGCGACAGTTCATTTCAGCTGTTTCCAATCTTTTAAAGACATCTTTCCGAGACCCCTCCATCTTCTAATTCTTGTAAGGTTGACAAAAGTCTTCCTTTCCCCACCTTTCCAGAAACATGGCAACCAATGGTACCTTCAATCAACAAGATCAATACAAGACAACCGCCACCGAACAGTATCCAGCTACTTCAGGTGCCACTGGCTCTTCAAGTGGAGGTGCTTCCGGTGGAGATCTCTCCAAGGATGAGGTTGGATGGTACTTTGTTGAGCAGTATTACACTACTCTAAGCAAGTCTCCAGAAAAGCTCCACGTAAGTTTCATGATTGCTTTTGTGGGAAATACATTTGCGCTAACGTTGCATAGCTCTTCTATGGAAAGAAATCTCAATTCGTTTCTGGTCTTGAGGGAGCTCAAGCTCCAGTATCCGTCGGCCGAGCTGTAAGTTCTGCGCGCCGTGTTATTTGAAAATGTTACTAATTTTTTTCAGGGTATCCAAGAACGTATCCGCGACCTCGATTTCCAAGACTGCAAAGTTCGTGTCACCAACGTCGATTCCCAATCTTCCTTCGACAACATTGTCATCCAAGTTATTGGTGAAACATCCAACAAGTCTGCCGAGCCCAAGAAATTCGTCCAAACCTTCGTTTTAGCTCAACAACCTACCGGATATTTCGTTCTCAACGACGTCTTCAGATACATCAATGAGGAGGTTGAAGAAGAGCAACTTGAAGCTACGGAGGTCAAAGAGGAGTCTACGTCCGCGCCAATAGTCGATGATGTTGAAATGCCTGCTGCACCGGCTGCTGTCGAGGAGTCCGCAACTCCAGAAACTACTTTGGACGCCGATGTAGTTGACAAGAAGTTGGAGGAGACCATCGAGGCCGAGCCCGCTACCGTCGAGCCAACTACAAATGGAGAGTCAGCTGAAGCTGCTACTACAGAAGTTGAGGAGAAGCCGGAAGAGCCAAAGGTTGAGGAAAACGTTCCTACACCAGAGGAAATTGAGAAGGCTGTTGATGAGGAAGTCAAGGAACCAGAAAAGCCAAAGGACCCTGTTCCAACTCCGGAACTCTCTAGACAACCTTCTGCCACCAAGCCCGCTCCAGTTCAACCAGCTACCCCAGCTAAGCCATTGAGTTGGGCCGCTCGCATTGCAGCTTCAGCTGGCCCAGCACCAAAACCTGCTGTTCCAGTCGTGCAACCAAAGGCTGCCGCTCCACCTGCACAAAAACCCGCTGCCACTCAACCAGCTAAGCAACCAACTACCCCAGCAACCACCGCTGCTACTCCAGCAGCTGAGAAGAAGGAAAACTCACCAACAGGCTCTGCTGGATGGCAAACTGCTGGAGGTGATGCCAAGCGACAAAACAGACCACAATCAATCTCCCAACAGCCAACAGAAGATAAGGGAACTTTGGGATATGTTCGTAATGTCAACGCTTCTGTCAAGGATGAAGAACTGCGCTCAGTGTTGAGCTCCTTTGGCGAGTTGGTCTACTTTGACATCAACCGTGCTAAGGTATGCCATACTATTTTCGTTTCATGATCGTAACTAATTCACCTCTAGAACTGCGCTTTTGTCGAATACGCCAATGCGGCTGGTTACCAAGCAGCAGCTCAGGCCAACCCCCACAAGATTGGTGAAGAAACCATCTATGTTGAGCCGCGCCGACCAAAGTCTACTGCATATGGTGGCAATGGTTATTCTGGCGGTGGACGTGGAATGAACCAACGCCCTCGTGGTGGATTCGAACAAGGTCGTCCTGGTAACCAACCTGGTCGTGGTAACTTTGGAGCAAACCGTGGACGTGGAGGTGCCAATGGACCAAGAGGAGGTCGTAGTGGTGCCGGTCAAACAGCTTAAATGCAAATTTCAACAAGCAACTCCATAAGTCAAAACGTCGAATTCATTATCACGATCATCAGAGTATGAAACCTTCGACGATGTACCATATTCAGTCACCTTGGCTACGAGACCCAAGATCCTTCCACCTTGTACTTTACTTGATCACGAAAAAATTTCGAGCCCTTTCTTTCACGTTCATGTTTTCAGGACAGTAAAAGTTCAGCAATTTGATTATTGGCTCATACTTTATGCTTTATCATATGGTATATTGAATGGGTTTATGCTTCTCTTTTTAACGTTCAAAATTTGAGGATGGATTGGGTGCACCTTTCTTTTTACGGGCCACAGAATTTACGCAATCTATGATGGACTTTTTTGTCAGGTCTATGTGGCATTGCAAGAATTTGATTTTCCTTACGTTTGATATGCTCTTTTGCCATATTGCCCCATTGTTCATTTTCCTTCTTTCCTGAAGTTACAATGCACAGCAAGTTCTGATGATTACGGCTGGATGGCGGGGCGTGGGGTGTAGGGTTGGTAATGGAAAATTATGTAGTAGGCCTACGGGGTTGAGGGCTGAAATGATGATGAATGGATTATCCGGATGGAAAAACATGGATTGATTGATTGATGATGGATGGCTGGATACTCCGGTGTGTAGGCATGCAAAAGGGGATATGAATTGATAGTGGATATGAACAACTTTGGCTACTTGCAATTTGCTTGCTAGTGATATTATGGAGGAAAGTAGATAAGAGTAGATAGTAGATAGGGTGGGAATGAATGTAAAAGGAAAAAATAATAAGAATATTAAATATTAAATAAAAAACGAGGCCAATGATGAAAGAGCTCTCCGATGTGTGAAAAAGAGAGTATGTATAGGTACTAAAAGTACTTCCCTACTCAATTAATCATCGGTAAACACATCGCTATACAGATACGCACTCGAGAGTGTAGTGAGTGTAGTGTATTACTGTAAGATTATATTATTGCATTCGCTAACCCCTAATTTCTCCCAGGACAGGGACAAGGACGGGGACAGGGACCCTGTTTCGCTGATATTTATATCGATATCGATATCGATATCTAATGTCTATATCGAGCTAGCTATTCAAAGAAACAAACAAACAAATATATCAATTGATCGAGTGGTTGGATGTGATACGAAGGACCGAATATCGAGAATGTATCCAAGTCGACGGAGGACATCGATATTGATATCGATATTGCTCGGCTATTTGTATCCAACTCCAATTCCATATCCATATCCTTTTCGAATTCCTCTGTCCATGCCACTGGCAGTTAATAATTCAAGTTTTAACGCTGATCCAAATTCTTCTTAGCTTAGACCCGTGCCGGGGACTGATCGATGACTGGATCGATCTCATGACATCGATCTATAGCTATCTCGATTCGATATTCTCATACCTACCATTAGCTCCAGATACGTACGGTATGTTCCGAATCCTTAATATGCCAACACTATCTATCCCATCACTAGAACATTACCAGAACTCTCAAAATATCTTTCTACTCAAACAGTACTATGAGCAGCACCAGCAATTCTCGAGCCCAAAATAACAGCCGCAGTATTCGGACTCGCCCCGCACCACAAACAACACGTATTCCCCGCAAAATTCCAATAATCACACCCATTCGACCCGCATTTCCAATCACCGGCATCGAACTGCACGATTGATCCATTATCTCTCATTGCGCCAGGCGGATGAGTAGGACTGGGATGTTTTCTTTCTAGTGAATTTTCGTCTTCTTCTTCTTGTTGTTGTGTTCTTTGCCCCGTCTCAGTGCGTACCGTTGGAGTTGAGATATTTAAACTAGTTTCTTGATGCAAGGTCGATGGGTCTTGGACTCCTGTTGCTTGGTTGGCATTGTGCTCGGATGTCATAGTGGTGTTGCTGTGACTGATTTCTTCGATTAGAGGGTTGAAAGCTCGCTCGGGACATTCGGCTGTAAAGTGTCCTACTTTGTTGCATTGCCAGCAAATTATGTTTTCACGTTCATCTGCCCATGAGTCTAATGGTGCTTCTTGGATGTTTGGGTTATTGTTAGATGTTGTTGCATCTGCATCCGCATTTGCGTTTATGTCATCTTGATTAGAAGAACTGTCAGATAAAGTATCGAGTTTGAATGAATCTGGTGGATTTAAGACTCGGCATTCTTTCAAATCATCTTCATCATCACTTAATAGAAAATCATCCGGATGTGGATGATGAAGCGAAGTATCAAATTCGTCAGGATGCTCAAGCTCGAATGAGATATCAAAATCATCCGGCAGTGGAAGTTCAAATGAAAAATCCGTATCGCTTAAACTGCCAACAGACGAGCCCGTCCTTGACGAGACTTTAGACGACCCATTATAATTATGCGCGATACCGCTTTGAAGACCTGCGATTGAAGGAACCAGTAACGACGATGTTTGAATTGATACAGAGGAACCAGAGCACAGAGCACGACGCTTTTCGGGTCTCCTCAAAGTTCGTGTTTGTTTTTGCTGCAAATTTGTAGATCCTGGACTACTTGCACGACTGATATTGCCACGAAGATCCATATCTTCCGCATCCAGACTTGGTGGCGTTGAAAAACATCTTCTAGTTGCGCGTTCTGAGTACTCCGTTGGCGGGAATAGCAATTGATTATTATTCAGAGCCGGACTATGCAATGGTGATGTCTGTTCTTTTGAATTTATGTCCTGTGATTCCTCTGGCACGCTAATATCTGAATCTTCTCGAAAAACTTCGCTTAAAACTCTCAACGTCGGAGTGTGTGAATTGAGCTGATTTGGCTGTGCCTTGGGAGATCTAGCACGGGGAGGATTATAAGTATTAGATTTATACGAGAAATGGCCCATAGATCCTGAAGATACTCGTCTTTTGTTAAGCGAGAGGGAATTAGAAGGTAGTATGAATTCAACGCTTGATGCGGAGGAGAGTCTTCTCCTTGGGGGTGGTAAATAGATATTGGTGTTTCCGCTTTGTAGTGAAGAGGAAGATTTCATGCTGCAAAAAGACGGCATTCTCCTCCTGTGCGGTGCTACATACATAGAAGATGTTGATTGCTGTTCCACAGATACAGGAGTGCTCGCCTCCTGGAAGACTTCCCCTGAGCTGGAAATTTTTGATGCGGGGTTGGAAGTCGAAGCCGTTTCTTTTTCTGCAACGGGAGAATATTGAAGTTCATTCAACGACGAGAAATCCTCTTGAATCTCATAAACAGGAGGCGGCAACTTTGACTTGAGAACTTTGAAGCTAGCTTTTATATCTTGACTTGTTTTCTTAAGACCGGAAGCTATATCGGAATAGCTTGTGGATTCGGACTCATCGCTTGCTACAGATTGTGTTTCCATTGCACTCAGTATTGGGAAAGGAGCTGGACTTTTAAGAATGGTAGATTCCTTGGAAGATTCTAGCTTGGGCGATATTTGTTCTTGCACAATCTTTTCAGCATTTGATATTTCTAGAGCTCGGCCGATGACACCAGAGCTTAATACCTCTGTCTGGGAACTTATGGGAGGCCATTCTTCCTCTGCTGAAGATGAATCACGGACACTGTAGTGCTCTTCGAGAGCCTCTGAATTCGGTGGTTCTTGCGCAAGCATTTCAGCATATGATATTCCTGGAGCTCGATCAGTAACATTAGACCCTAGAACCTCCGTCTGAGAACTCATGGCAGGCCACTCTTGTAAGTTAGATATATTGGGAGATTCATGACCCTGCTGCGCTGGTGGAGTTTCTGGCTTGTGTGGAATTTGTCCAGATTTTTCAGCATGTGGAATTGTTGGAGCTCCTTTGGCGACATCAAAGTTGAGTTCTTTTGCCTCCGAATTCGCCTCTGAACTCCTGGACGGCGATTCATCCCTTGCTTCAGGTCGAATATTTGTTTCGCGACGCTGCTGCTTGGGGGGACTTTTGGGTGGCATCTGCCTAAGCTTTTCAGCATAGGAAATTGGTTTAGCATCTCTGGTGACAGTAGGACTTGATATTCTAGCTTGGGAGCTCGTGGAAGGCCATTCTTCTTGTTTTGATGATACCTCTTTGTTTTTGCGATATTTCTCCCTTGGAGGCTTCAACTTCGGTGGTGCATGCGCGGCTTTTCCGGCGTAGGAGTTTGCTGAGACTCGGGGTTTAGATTCAATAACTTTCTTTTGGAAATTATTCACTTGACTAGGCAAGCGCGGCGGTGAGTCAATTGAAGACGAAGGATTGATTGATGATTGTCCTATTCCAGATCCGGTCCTATTTACTGATCCTATTTTCTGTTGGGCATGTGTAAATCTGGAAGAATGGCTCTTTTCGAGTTTATGTATCATTCGGACAGTTTGTGATCCTGGGCCATTCTCTTGGTGTCTGCGCAAACTGGCCAGTCTCGCCTTCTTTTTTTCTTTCTTCGCTACTTGCTCAAGCTGTTTGGTAGTTAAAGTTTCTGTTCTTTTCTCAAAGCCTTCGATTGCTTTGATCTCTCTCTGTAACCCCGATATTTCTTTCTCTAATGCCTTCTGTTCCTTCGATAGTGCAACCTTATATCGTACACTACCTGCAAGCTCCATAGGTCTATTTGAGTCGTTTGATGAAGGGGCTGTATTTAACGGGACGCTGGGTAGGTCTTTTGCTGGGGGTAATGAGTCTTGCCGATCATGAGGACTACGACTGCGTCCGTGGTTCTGTTCATAGGCACGATACATATCATCATTAGCTGAATGCCTGTTGAGGATGTTACTGTTTTGATCTGCTGTATCCTTCAGATCCATAGTGGGACTCGACATTGTCTCGGGATTTTTGCGACGTCTTGGAGGCGGTGATTCTGGCGGCGGCATATAATGCAAAGCATGAAATGAGGAATATGCGAAATCGCGGAAATCGGTGCAAGATGCGGTTTTCTTACTGACCATAATAAAGAATGGCTCTGGAGGTAATGAAAATCGGCGACGGTAAGCGCCAAACCAAACTTTCAGAATTTTTTCTTTTTCTCGTGAGGTCGCAATTGCTTCAAGAATAACATTATTTAGGGTCGCGCCATTTTTTTGCATGCTCTCAAAGTTTACAAGGCATCGAACTTGGCTTAACAACCTCGTAATTCTTTCCTTGAGTCCCATTTCATTATCATAGGAAGCATGAAGCTCCCCTAGATAATGATCTATTCTTGTTGCTAAGACTATTAGTCTCGCTTCTTTCGTCTTCATCGCTTCTGCCTCATGAGGAAGCAAAGACTTCCCACTAGCTTCCTTCCACTCTAAATCTGCAATATAGTCAAGGCTTCTGGCTAGATTCAATATGCGGTTCCTCTTTTCTAGCATCTTTGATGAGATTTGATTGCTCAGATATAGAACTTCCTCGAACTTTTGACTGAGAAGGGTTGAATCTTGCCCGAAGAGCCCGCGAAATCTTTCCAATCTATGTAGATGGTCTATAGTGCGTGCATGTTCTAAAACTACTTCATCGAAAAGTTTTCCAAGATTGGATTCCTCTCCTGGACGCATATCCTGGACCCTTTGCTTTGGATAAGCTTGAAAGGGGACTGTATCAGGATTATGCCACGCCGGATCGTAATATATGTTCCTCTCTAACCGACCACTGTTATTATATGAGTCTCTGTGCTTACTTGCTTGCTTAAGAGAGAATTCACATGTCCATGGACGCATCGAATGATTCCAAAAATTAGGTATCCCGCGAATATCCTGTGTCCAACGAATTGGAGGACGATTATGTCTGCTCTAACCTCAAAAAGTCAGTCACTTGCTTCCCATGTGATTCAATATTGGTCATCTATACCATGACTAGATAATTTAAATATGACGTCGATTCATTTTCCGTTTGGTTAGGACAGTGCTCAAATAAATGCGTCATGGTGTTGCACCTAGGACAACCCGAGATAAAACCAAATTTATCCACGGGACCCATGCAGAACTGCAAAAGGTGATCTTTCGCATGACAGTTTGCACAACATCCCCATCTTTCCTGTCGCGCAGCTATGTCAATATGATCTTTATTGTTGGCACGTGGTTTGTATGGAAATGGAGATTCGCTGGCATCAGCAACACCATGTGGCTCATCCTTGATATCATTGTTTGCACCATCGTCAAGACCGTCAAGTCGCGGTGTTTTTTCTGTAACCAATTTATTGACTGAAGGCGTAGTATTATGCAATGATCCAACTAGTGGCTGAAATGTAGAAGGGAGCCGTACGATTGGTTTTTGCAACGATTGTTCTGTAGGCAAAGATTTTAATGGAACTGGTGGAATGAACTTTTCTTGTGATACATTCTGTTCTATCGACAAGAGATGTGCACAATTTACCGAAGCTGAACTAGGACTTGAAGCAAAACTGTGAGCGGAGCATGTTGTAGTAGCTGAGGAGGGTTGAGCGTCCCTTGGGAATATGGTCTCACCAATATCATCTGAGTAGACTGGAGCATTTTCAGATAAAGTGAGTCCAGGGGAGGGCGATGGCTCTTCAAAAAGCGCCGTGGCTTGGTTCTGAGCCTCAGAATAAGTGTGTGGTTCCCTGCGGTTACATGTGGGTATATTCGCTAAGGAAGCTTCATTGGGCCCTATATTTAAGTTAGTATGCATGACAAAGTTCTTTAGACATTTTTAACTGACAGAAATATTTCCATGTCTCAACCTGAGCAGTTAGTGATAGAAAATGTTCAGGTATATCCGATCCATCCCTGCGTATTTCGGTTTGGAGTCGGTCAAGTATAGATCCATACCAGCTGTAGAAGGATTTGTATGATATTCCTCGCGCGTATGCTCTGCGGCCCATTAATTCAAGTTCACACACGTGATTACTGTGACCGCTCATATCGATCGATATATAATGTGTGAAATAATTATGTCTGAAGAATAGTTTTGATATTAAATAGAATTATTGGCGCCAGATTTTACATGCTTGAAGAATGATGTAGATGTGATAAGGGATTTTAGACTTCGATTGTTGTTTAAGATAGGTGCAAATGGTTCGCTCTTGCCATATATCCTCTCGTAGTTGTAGCAAGCGCGAGCATCCCTCTTCCCCACTTACTGCAAATTACTTAAATAAATATTTATCTTCTCGTTGAGATAATTCACACATCTCTGGAATATAATCAAATTTCATAACATCACTATAACCAACATTCGCTCTATCAACTCAACGGAAACATTCGCTTAAATCCTCTTACATTCTTAGACCATAGCACAGTTCTATGTTCCACCAATATCATAATGCCATCCTTCGCTGAAATTCTCACGAGATCATCTCGAGCGTCGAGAAGAGACCGTCTCTCTCTTATCCGTCCTGGCTGGGAACTGCATGAACTCTATTCTGACGATCTAAAATTGCAGGATGGTATCAGTAACCTCAGCTTGAACGCGATGCTCACCTCCGAAGCGAAAAATGGAATGAAAGAAAAATTCACCATCTCCAGCTCTTATAATCTAGACTTGGGGTACTCTGATGAAAATGGTAGCAAGTTTTATGGTTCCCGCCATAATTCCGAACAGGAAGGGCAGTCTGAAAGTAATCACTCAATTTGTACAATCAAGGGTCGCTGTCCAAAATTATCAGCCCAGATTGATCACGATAGTGGTCGGCAAGGGTATTTACAGTCAAGACGCGGCGATCTCTCAGGAATAGAAGAAGTAGAGGAAGAGGAGGTGTCGTGTACTTTGGAGGAGAATCCTGCCGAAGCTTTTACGGCATTGTTCGACATTGATATGGAAAATCGTCGTTACAAGCTTCAACAAAGTACTTCGAATGTTACACTAGAGGACGACAACTCGGACGAGAGACTTGAGCCCCTCGATTCGCGCTGTGCTCTCCTAGCACCTTCCGGTACTCGATGGTCAGCCGCAAGTCTAGCTGAAGATAATAAGCAATTTTCGGCGTCTGATTTAACCAAAAGATTGGCCACGTTGAAGAAACAGCAAGGTAGCAAGAAAGGACTGCGGGGGAGATTGATGATAAAGGTGAATTGCAGACGTAGAGACCGGCGATTGCTTAGCAGGTCAAAAACGGGTAGTGGCAGATCTGCAGGGAAACATATGGAACTGAGAACAGAGGCAGAAATACAGATATGACAGCAGATCACTCGCCCGTTTTGTGTGTAACGGTTTCAGGATGATGTATATATTAGTCCTTTCAGCGATAATCAAAGAAATGACAGCGATTTATGACAGCGATTTATAAACTACCGACTTCGATTAAGTACTTGCAGCAAATGTGAAGGGCCACTTAGGCTATTGGATTGCCAAGCCCGAATTAGAATATTTAGAAGTGATATGGTTAGGTCCACTTGTATGAATTTGGTTTCGAATCAAAAGGAAGTTCATAAAATCCTCGGGAAGATCAATGTTTCTGCGATAAAGCCCGGCATGGAAAAGATGCTCAACCCCTCTTTGCTACAACTCATCTCCCCAACCCATCATGACCCATTACCATAAGAAATCTTCCCTAACCACCCAGAAACCCACCAAATGAAGTCAGATCTCCTTCCGCATTGCACTAATATCCTTGATAGCATCCAAATCCCCTAAAAATCCCTCGTATTTCTGTCTAATAAATTTCCACGTCGTTGGCCCTAAAGGAAGTCGAAGCGGCAATTTCTCTCCACGATTAGCTATCATGTAAATAGTTTCTGCTATTGCAGTAGGCTCAAGCATACCAACACCGCTTTTGATGCCCATATTTACCCATTTTTCAAGCATTAGAGCGGGCATATCAGGAGCGGTATAAGCGGGATGAGGTGAAGTGTGGGATTTTCCGTGGCTTTCGAAATTGGTTTTAACACCTGAGGGCTCGATTATACAGAAATTGACTTATGGGAAGAGGTTAGGTAAAGTTTACCTTGGGGAAAATAAATACCTGCTATTCCAATCGGGATGCATTTCTCGTGCTACAGACTCAGTACAACCTTCCACGGCGTATTTACCGGCATGGTAGTAAGCATTACCGGGAAAAGAGCATAATCCAGCAAGTGAAGAAATTTGGTATATTACTCCTCCTCGATGTTCTTTGTGCTGGCGCATAATTTCAACGGCTTTCATTGTTACTCTTGCGTTGCCGAAAAATAATGTATCGATTTCTAAATGTGCTTCTTCTTCAGTTGCGGTTTCTATGTCTCCGGAAAGTGATTAACCGGCATTGTTGATGACAACATCGAGATGAAAGGATTCGCCGAAATGCTTTGACGCGGTAAAAAATGCCTCGTTGACGGAAGTAGGGGAAGTTACGTCGAGGGCGAGTTTGAGGATATTGGGATTGGAATCAGGGAGATAAGACAGATCTGAAGGGTTTCACGCTGTTGCAATCAAGCGCTGGTTTGATTTGCTGGCAACTAGTTCCGAGATAGCACGACCGATACCAGATGAGCAACCGGTAACTTTTCAGGTAAATAATTAGTTTATTGTTTTTCTGAAGTCATCAGGGAAGATAACCGCACTTAGCCAGGTTACGTCGACAGGTAACTCGTAAGTTTTGGTATTGACTGGATCCATCTTGCACCACGTGCACGCGAGACGTTCGACAATTCTTCTAGTACTTCAAAAATATGATGCTCCGTGAAGCTGCTGGATATTCGATTCTTCGTTATAGATGACTTTGGGTATCTTATCCTTCTTCCCATTAATCTTTACATGGTGCCGTATCGCAATATAACTCAACAATACCTAGTCTTCACACACCATTCCATTTAGACAAAGTCAAGGAACCCCTATCACGCCCTTCGCTTCACCCCGAGCCCAATTAGATTCCCCGATCGCAAAGTGGGTTGAAAAAAATGGGTGGAGAGAACTGAGTCAGCCGGTAAATACTGCAGCTCCCGGCTTAGCGATCCCGTGATCCATCGTAGAACATCTCCAATCACTATACTGCTGCTGCAGAAAGTTTTGTTGCATATCTTGAAATTTGGATTTATTGGTCAATTGAGTGAGTGAGTTGGAAAGACTGCTCCGCGTGGTGCGCATGGCTGGCTGTGCACTTTCTGGCTGGTGCTTAGACATATGCGGGAAATTTATGTTCTAATTTTGATGTTAATATTGTTAGCGGGTTGTCAAAAGTCACCTATAAAACATCTATAACTTTTATGAAATTAAAGCCATACTTGGCTTCGAGTATCGAATTTTGATTCTTTGCTTCATATGCAGCTAACTTGAGTAAATAAATATCCTTGGATGAAGAGAACTTTACAGAAAGGATCTTGAGGAAGACCAAGCCAGATCTAGATCTCAGTCACTGCAATGTCAAAATCACTGGCATTCTCTATCCTTATCGTGGCTCCCAATAAAATCGCTGGGCCATGTAAAACGGAGTAATTATTCAAGAATGGAATCTAAAAGTGATCAGAAACGTGGATGCTGCATCCTGTGTGATATCTTAGCGACTAAGCTGTCGATATTCAAGTAGCAGTTTTCTTCAAGTGATAGTACAGTGTTACTATACAAGCAACATTTCCATTCTTTAGCATATCTACCCTGAATTTGCACGATGAATTTTCAGATGAGTCAAGTATGCGCGATTCCATTTCTATCTGTCCCACTACCTTATTCACCCTTCTAAATCCCACCACTCCCCTCCACACTTCCCTCAAAAACCTAAATCCCAAAGCAGCTATCCCAGACGCTGAAACGTATACTTCCATCCTCAAGACATGTGACGTACAGAAAAATAAACCAAAATCATCCCCTATACTATTCACACAAGCAGGCCCCCATCTACACAACCCATCTCAATCAACCCAGCCAAGACAAGCAACACCTAATTGTCAAACTCCTCAAAAAAGAGATCTTCCAGTTACCTCAGGCCCAGCCCCGATAACTGCAGATGCCTTGCTCCCAAGTATCATCGTGTCGGTCTCGGTCTCGGTCTTGAAATCACTCTTGCTTTTGTGTGCTCCAGTGAACTCAGGAACGTGTGAATGAACACCAGTCGGTTGAGCATGACCATGTTCAGCTCCAGTACCAGTGGGTTTAGCGTGGCCGGATTCGTGAGCCTGAGTGTGATCTTTGCCTCTGGTACCAGTGGGTTTGGCATGGCCAAATTCACCTTCTCTGCCTCCCGTGCCTGATGCCTTAGCATGTCCGTTTTCACGTATTTTACGATCTCCGGTCTCAGTAGGCTTAGCATGTCCACTCTGACGAGGATTTTCATCTTTGTAAACACCGGTTCCGGATGGATGAGCATTTTCTTTCTTTCCACTACCGGTTGGCTTTGCGTGGCCACTTTCATGTTTATGGAAAGCATTACCTGTATGCTTAGGGCCCCAGTTGCTCACAGTGCTACTTTCGGCATCATCGCTTTCGATAGCCCTTTGAGAGACATGTCCGCTTGGCTTTGAGTGGCTATTTTCGTATGATTTTGATGCATAACCAGTTGGTCTTGGACCTTCGTGAGATCTGACACCAGTGCCGGAGGGTCGGTAGTGATGAGGCTCGGTCTTGCCACCTGTGGGGTTAATGGTAAACTTAGGGATTTCTTCGTCGGTGCAGGTAGGGATTGGTTCCTTGGGGTTGAAAGAGCCGGTAGGGCGAATTCTGAAGGAGTGCTCGATGGAGCCGGTGGGTCTGATGTGGACGGATCCGCTGGGATGAATGGCATCGTAGGTCAGGGCGATAGGAGAGGCGGAGATTAGAGAGATGAGAAGTGCGGCGGTTGCGCTGGAGATCTTGGAGAACTGCATGATGATAGATGTTTTGCGTGTAATTCTTGGGGTTGAAAAAATGAAGGCTTAATTGAGATGGAAAGAGAATGCTTGAAGTGAAATCAAAGTAAGGACCGGCCGATAATGTTATTGGAGAAGCAAATTTTAAGGAACGTGATAAATAAAAACCCGAAAGGTAGGAAGCAATTCTGAATACTGTATTGGAACCGATGAAGTAGAAACGATTTATAGACAGATGACATTGGCGCAGACACACACATATATATACTATGGCACGCCAAATAAAAGAGTCTAGACTTGTCCACCATCTGCAGGGAGCCCTCATCTCATCATTCAGGAACTTCAGATCCCTCCTCATCTGCGCCACCAGTATCATTACACATGCTCTTCCGGGAAGCTGCTCGATGCTTCCCATAAGCTGGTCAGTTTCAGATACAACTTTTCGATAGACGAAACAAGAATATTTACAAGGTAGGATTGGAGGGGTGATTAAAGTTTATAAAAAGGATTGGTACTAGATTCACGTAGAACGATTTCCCAGGAAATGTGAAACCGGACCCTTCCCATAAAGTTACTTCAAAACATAAATAAAAGAAACATAAAATACCAATCAAAGAAGGTCGCAAATGTTGACAGAAACCCATAATGGATACAAATAAACAATACAAAAACCCAGGTATAATCAGCACGATTAGGCACTACAATTAAATCCCTTCTTCCATCATAAACCCGAAACAAGCCCCAACACTTCCCCCTTGTGCTTAACATCCCCAAATCTTCAAAACACCAACTGCCATCCCATGTATAAAAAGTACGGACGAAACAAACTAATCATGACAAAAAGCTTAGTATAGCCTGCCTCAAAAACGAAGAAACGAATACACACCAGTGGGACAAAACAAAAACAACCCTAGAACATACCAAGCCTTGCGGGAATGATCAGAGAATCGCTTAACGATTGGTCAGTGAAATTAGTGCTTGCGCGTCTTTCTGACATTTAAGGATTTAATTGTGGAATAAGCTGGGGAATTTATTCAGGATGTGAATTTTTTGGATCCTGATGATGCGTTCGATAAAGGTCTAGGCATTGAGCCGCGTATGCAGGTCGTGATCCGGCAGAACATAACTTTAATATCTCCATATATTTTTTCGGGTATCAGTATGGCGCCACGAAGGGCATAATGTTCAAAGTAGAAAGATATCAGGTTCGTCACCTTGACTTACCAGGCGAAAATAAGACATTCAAATGCAGAGTCAAAAATCCTTTAAGCCTCCACGTCTTAGTAAACGATGAGTATATTTTGAGCACCAGGAACAGGGCTTCAATGATTGAAATACGATTAAACGAAATAGCTCAAAGTACTGGGCTATCCATACCATCAAGAGAAGTTATTATGTCCAGATTCAAATCTACATGGCAGCTGCTGGTGAAACCAATCATACTTGACCGGCTAAGGAAATTACTATTAAATTCGCTCTGCGTCTTAACTGGTATCTTCTTCGGTCATGCAGCAGGCTAGAAAGCAGCAATCTCTCATCTGCATCAGCTGGCTACAAATACTAAAAATGCCATATATTGTCCACCCATATTCCTATCCCATCATATCATATCATCACGCCAATAAATTCCAGTGCAAACGATGCATATAAAAACCCCGAAATGCCCGTAAGCCCATTCCATGAAATGGGCCGGCTATCTTAAACCATCTTTCACCAATTACAGTCGAAGTCGGTAAACGCATCACAATCATATAGCTTATCTCCATTCCACAAATCTTTGGATACCAATCCAATCCAGTCCCCATATGCTAGCTCCACTAGGTTGCCAATTGCGGTTGATCCAAAGTGCCAGGCCACCAATGATACCAAAACTGCTTACTACTTGTAGAGCGACCATGCCCCGCCGTTTCATGTCTTCATTGAATTCCAGAATTCCAAGAGGATCGTGCGTGTTCCAAATCGAGCCAGAGGACGTTGTTCTGGAATAAGTTCCTCGCTTAATCAAAGATCCAGTATCGTAAGATCGTTGAGGTTGACGTGCTTGCGAGATTGGGACGAGTGTACCATCCTGTACACATTCCCCAAGTCTTTCCGTTAACCATACTGCTCTCTCACTTCGCGCTAAAGTCTCAAATCTAGCACGCTCATTCTGAAGACTTCTTTGTAGGTCAGTAGCCCATTTCGAAAGTCGCACTTGTGCAAGCTTCTCTTCACGTTGAGTATGATCTGTTATACGAGCCAAAGCATAAGATGTTGTAGCACCAACAGGAGCAGTAAGTACTTGTGAGGTGGATGACGACATCATTGATTGCGCCAGAGGTCGATACAGACTTTGTGGTTTCTGCACGGTTGGATTATTTCGCCATTGTACAAATTTCTTCGCAGCAGAATTTCGCAGCCATGATATGCTATCTGGCTCGAATAGTTGGTCGACAAGAGCTGTGAGTTCTGATTGAACTAATGGCTGAACGTAGTCTGAGCTCATGAGAAGGCTTGCATCCATGGTCTCATGATCCTTCGACAACATAGTGGAAATTGCATATGGCGCAGCCGGTTGAGAGGAATGTAGAGCATCATCAAAAGAAAGTCCGAAGAGAAATGGCCGTATATTGGCCGCTTGAAGCTCGCTCAACACATGTCTTTTGACGCTAGCCAGATCCTCCAGAGACAAAACTTCTGATCGTGCTATGAGAGGGATAACATTTGTCATGGGTGATATACGTTTTAGGTATTCAATATCAACAGGTTTGATCCCTAATTATGAATTAGTTGCTTGCCTCCATGATTTTTTAGACACTTACGATTTATGATAATGTAGAATACGACATCTACTTGAGAACCACCATTTCCGCCAAGTAAATGTATCATATCAGAATCGGTCATACCATCTTTAGACTCCACCTTTTGAAATTGAGATTCGATATAGTCGACTACTGGAGAAATCGCTTCTAGACACTAGAATAATTAGCTATTAGCTGATAGTAAGGTCATGATAGCGCAAAGCTCACAGAAGTCTTGTTGCCATAACCAGGAGTATCAACAAAGCATAGATTTCTTTCAAGAACAGAGTCACCCATACTCTTTCTTCGACGTAAAACCTTAAATTCGTCAACCTCTGACCACCAACTAGGATAGGCCTTCGTGCTAGCATATATCTCTGTGATCTGAGTTGTAGTCTGCATATCACCACGTCCATGTCTAGCCTTATATTTGGAATGCCGCCTTTTCTCGGAGACCCGTTCTGGTGTAGTAGACAGGGGATCGACATGTACAATATCTTCGCATACTTGTACGATAGCTTTGATTAAAGATGTCTTGCCCACACCTTAAGAACATTAGAACAGCAAGTTGCGATGGAATAAGGTGCATTCACCTGAATCTCCAGCAATCAGGACCTTTAGCCTCCCCATATTCTTTCCCTTCTCCGTAAATGGCCGCCTACTAGGCATTTTTATACTCGGCATCACCAGCTGAGGGGCAGAGCCACTATCCACCATCGCTGGTACATCGTTTTCGTCTTCCTCGCCAGAAGCAATAGCTTGGCTTGATATTTCGTCATTCAAGGATTCTGTGTCGGAAATCCTCGAACCGGGACTGCTAATAATAGAACCTGCAGTCGTAGAATATACAGACATAGGAGTATAAGGTCTGGAAGCTTCGGTAGTGGAAGGGCGGACCGGAGACGTGGTTCCACTAACATCGTATGATGGTTTTCGGGAACGAGACCTTGAATCTCCTACAGACTGTAATCTCTCCGCCAAATTCTTCTTGAACCTCTCCCTAGCTTTGTCGTATCTTCCATCTTCATCACCGCTACCTTCCGAGAAAGAGCTAATTGTAGTGTCAATACTCTCCACGCCGTATGTACTACTCTTCAATGAATCTCTTGGTTTTATAGGAAAACGAATAGGCTGGGCTTCTCCGGATTCTAATGTTCTCTCATCTGCAAGAAAGTAGCTCATCTGCGCAGCCTGCGTTCTTGTTGCAAGTGGTGTTAACTCGTTATCATTAATACTCGTACTCCGAGATCTCCCCAAGTAAGCATCGTCGCCTGGTAAAGGGCGCATTCTGATCGTTGATAAGGAATCGTTAATAGTAAAAGCGGGGAAATAGATTTATATCATGCTTTAAATGTTCTTGTATAGTAATTTGGTTTCTTCAAAGATGAAGATATTCAGACACTCCCTTTATTGAAACTCGAAGCTGTCTCGTAATACGGTCTAAGGCACATAACATATGGTACCCCGCCGCGTGATATTGAATGTTATTATTCATTTATTGAGGCATACCGAGTAGAGAAGTAGAGCGATCGATTAGCGGTGAAATCTTATCTCCGAAACTAAGATACCGGCATTAGTGTCAGAAGCTGTCAAAGCACTCCAAAGCTCCCTGGGCATCAATGAAGGGAGGAGAGGATAAGATAAGGCATCAATTTATTAAGCGCCTCCATGAATTTAAGCGCCCTATTTAGCTCAATTTAGCTCGATTTAGCTCGATTTTTTCCAAAAATGAATCATAAATAAAGACTAAGCTAAATTTAGTTACTTTATCAACCATTCTTGCCATTGTATCACCCATTCATATATGATAATTGGGAGCATTTTTCGACGATCCTATCTTGAGATAAAATTAATCCCTACCCAAATCTTGCTCCGTTTCTTTCCAGTGGGAAGGATCTCCAATTTAAATACAATCAATCAACACGGCTTCCCACGGGTCGAAAGACGCGTTGTCGATCCTGGATCAACTTTGCACCCCCGCCTCCATTTTGTTCAATTCACCATATACGACCCTCCAAAGATCCTCCATAAAGCCTCCTTTTACATTTCCTCCATCTCCCACTGCGCAGCGAGTTCTTCACTCTCTACCAAGTTTCATCAGCGTCCACGATCTCGACACCGAACACAATACAGACGACATGGACAACAAGAGACATCCCAGTTCGTTCCAGCAGTTGGAGAAGCTAGGAGAGGGTACATATGCTACTGTGAGTTCAGAAAGGAATCCTGAGATCCAGGTTTTGCAGCACGACTTGTTCCCGAGATATTATTCCAATATGTGCTCTTTCTGCGGTGCATCCGTATATGTTCCTCGAAACTGACTCATACAAGGTCTTTAAAGGTAGAAATAGACAGACAGGTGAACTTGTTGCTTTAAAAGAAATCCACCTCGATTCCGAAGAAGGCACACCATCGACTGCGATAAGGGAAATCTCGTTGATGAAAGAGTTGAAGCACGAAAATATCGTTAGCTTACACGATGTCATACATACCGAAAACAAACTCATGCTTGTCTTCGAACATATGGACAAAGATTTGAAGAAGTACATGGATACATCAGGAGACCGAGGGGCTTTACCACCTCCCACAATCAAGTCATTCATGCATCAACTTCTTAAAGGAATCGATTTTTGCCACCAAAATCGAGTCCTTCACAGGGATTTGAAACCTCAAAATCTTCTCATCAACATGAAGGGTCAACTTAAACTTGCAGATTTTGGTCTCGCGCGTGCATTTGGCATTCCTGTCAATACTTTCTCCAACGAGGTTGTTACTTTATGGTACCGAGCCCCAGATGTCCTCCTTGGAAGTCGAACATATAATACTAGCATTGACATTTGGTCTGCGGGATGCATAATGGCAGAGATGTATACAGGACGACCCTTGTTCCCTGGTACAACTAATGAGGATCAATTGGTACGAATTTTCAGAATCATGGGTACGCCTTCTGAGCGAACATGGCCTGGAATCTCTCAATTCACCGAGTACAAGTCAAACTTTCAAATGTATGCAACTCAAGATCTACGAGTCATCTTGCCACAAATTGATGCGGTCGGTATCGACCTTCTTCAGAGAATGTTGCAATTGCGGCCAGAACTGCGAATCAGTGCACATGATGCTTTGAGCCATCCATGGTTTAACGATCTACCAGGAGCAATGAGACGTCCACAAGTACAACAGGGACAGATGTCGATGCAGAGGGGATATGCACCACAAGAAGTAGCACAGGGCGGTTACCAGCAGTATTGATAGATTTCTTTTGGCATTGCGGATTTATGATACCTCATATCATTAAGGAATGGCGTTAGACAGGATGGCATGAGAGAGACTCGGATGCGTGCGCTTGGTAGCTGGTTATGACCCATGATAATGAATTTCTTTTGACTTCGAATGCATGCTATATCTATCCATATATCGAGTTCATTTCTATACCATAGAACATGCTTTCCACGCACAATATCTCTGCTGTGCCCACAGGCTCGTATCCGACATTTATGTTGCATATCTGAAGTCTGGCTGTGCAAACTTGTTACCACTACATGTTTCTTGGCGCAACAATGCCTCCCTGGAACAAATAGTCCCGTGCGGAACTTAAATTGGGTTTCGTACAATTAAGCAAAAATGCCATGAACTCGAAGTGTTAAACTAGCCTCGAAAACTAATATACAGCATCAGAGCCTCAGCTCGGAGGGAAGTGAAGATGTTGTCCAAAGCAACGATTTTATTCTCAAATATATACCATCGAATTTGATTGAAATAAGAGGCCCTTAACCGATCTCTAGGGATGCTGGGTTTAGCTACTCACTGGGAGCTTATTGAGCAGAATCACTTTCTTCCTGTTTTGTTTTGTGTTGAAATTGGTGAAAGTCATCTATAGGAGGAGTGTAGAACAAATCACATAGATTTCTCTGTGTGGTTTGAGTTTGTACTACACTACCTAGTAGTGATGGCAACTCGCACAAATCTCAACATTCGGGCGGAAACCTTCATGGAACAAATTACGGTACATTGGGGTAACCTAATACTGATTTAGATAAATCATATGGGTATCTTCTAGTATATACGCCAAAACAAGCCATGGAGTACATCCAATCTGATCCATATTAGACAAGAACCTGCAATATACACTTACTTCACTTCCGCTGATTGACCTGCAGGCCAAAGTAAAATAATATCTGTCAGGATCGGTTTTTCTTCCAATCACTTTCATAGTAACCAGAAATGTTTCTGGTGAGTCTTTTCCTAGTCCTACGAGCTATCGATGGCGTCGGTTGGACAATGAATTCAAGCTTTCGCTTAGTTGCTCTTATGGCATCCTGGGCCAGACGAATGTTCCGCTTATCGAGTAGCTGGATACTAGGTATTCTAAGATAATGCTGAAAGTTCCCAGTTAGTTGTACTTAGGCTAAGCTAGTCTTGTTGGGTATAGCAACTACCTTATGAGTCTGCTGTATCTACAGCCTTTCCGGACTCAATTTAAATGATTTCATCCCATCCGAAAACCTCGTCTCCCTCCACTGGAGATATATCTTACAGTTGTCAGTTTTTAGAGGGCAAGAGAGATCAGGAGTTGGTTACCTACCTACTTGCAACTTTTTTCGAGTGACAGAGCTATTACCACAATAGTTATTGCGCCTGTTTCTGGCTGTAAGATGTTCGAATCGACTATTTGCTCTCTCGTATTTCTAACAAATTATGTGGAAGCGGGGTAAAGATGTTGGAGAACACTAAGGTACTGGTATTGGGATATGCAATTCTAATCAAAAACATACTGGGCTCTCTTAACAAGTTGAGAATTCACACAACTGCGCTGCTGATGGGTCCTTTTACAAGGAGATCGGCAGACGCTCGACTAATCACCCGCTTGACCCAGCCAGATACTGTGGCTATACTGGTGTACCTCATATACAGCCCTCTTTACGACAAAAATATCAGCGAACTGAAATGGGGAGCTCGGCACACCATTTCAGGGCATGGTAACAAAATTGAGTATTGTATTGAGACGTACTATCTGACTTGGGTTCCCCAAGCTGTTGAGGGCAATCGGCGATCGTGGGAAAGAACGATGAAGCCCAGGTTAGAGAATATCAAAAACGGATACTTGGGCGTGAGGAGATCAAAGACATTAAATTTCGGTTGAGTCGGCGGGCAAGTGATCAGTATAGATATTGCGACTCAAAAATTGAAAGTGTTGGCGAGGGGTGCATATTGCTTCGTGCTAGAGACGTCTGGAACTGATGACGTGACTGCAAAGGATACATATTGAAGGAATAGGTCGCTTAAGAGAGTGTTAGACTGTCCAAATGATAGTGCAAGTGAGTGGACAAGGAGAAGTACTGGAATTTCAGTATATGAAGGATCTTTGGGCGACTTGATTGGGCGAGGGGTTTGATACCTCGGAGGGATCTGTTTGGGATCTCTCATGCTCACAAAATTGTGACCACAAACGACAAAACTTTTAGAAAATCCTTGAGAGGTACATCTTTGGAAATGAGACTAATTATTCCAAAATGTTCTTATACTCAATCGCCTCGTAAGAAGAGGAAAAGGTTAAGTAAGTGTATTATCTACAGCATAAATGGACAAAAAGGTCCCAGAAATAAATGCTCAAATATACTGAACATTTTGAAGTGAGCAGCTCATTATCGTAAAAATGATGACCATCGATGTCGACTTGGCGTAAGCAGTATTTTTGCAGATCATGGACGACTAGGTCTTTCGGACAGGTTGCCGGAAATACCTTGGCAGCAACTCCATTTGTATTTGCTCCCTCTTGTGAAGGTCCTAATGGAATCTGGAGGTCTTCCTTATTTTTTCTCCATAGATCATTAACGCTACAAGTCCGGGTAAGAATGCAATACAAATGAAAGCCAACAACGAATTGCCCCACCCTAGTCCCAGACGATCATACAAAGGTGGTCCAATGACTGGTAGGATGGCAGCAAACAAAGCACGAAGCACGCAGCACACAGCCACTGCCGAGGCTGCATGTAGCTCATGTACATCAACAAGATAATTCTCTGTGGGAAGTATCGACAGTATGAAGCTAAAGCCCACGATCGCGGTACCAATGATTGGGACGATCCAATGGACATGCTTTTCCGCAGACCAACCGTAGAGGAAGAGACCGAGTGGGAGAACAATGGCGCCGAGGAGCATTAGGGGCAGTCGATTTTCGGGTTTGAGATAGCCTTCTTGGGACTTTTTGTATTTGATGTATCGGTCGGAGAACATGCCATAGAGCAGCATGGCTATGACATTCCCAGAAGCTGGCAGAAGTGAATCACATCAGTCTATGTCCAGCGAATGAACAGGAAATTCGTACCTCTTCCCAGAAAGTCAAGGCCTACGGGACCTTGACTAAGTCCGTAATTATCCTCTAGGATTGGAGTGAGTGTAGTGAGAATAACATAGGAGATTCCATAAACCAAAGCCGTGAAGAAAGATATAATAAACACAATCGGCGACAAGAAAAGCATTTTGATTGGTCTAAGCAAAGGGTCCTTTATCTCGGCATGCTTATTCGGACTTGCATATTTCGATCTCAGATTTTCGTTTCCTGTAATTTTGCGGAGCCGTTCTGTTTTCCGCTGTACTAGTTTCAACTTGTACGTTTCCCTAAAAGTAAGAAATCCGAAGCAAGTCACTGCTCCCACAGCAATAACGACGATCCAGATACTCCACCGCCAACCCTTTGCTTCTGTTATATAAGAACCGACAATTGGTCCGGCAAATGGTCCGAGCAGTGGAAATGCAATAGCTACTGACATGGCGGTACCTCGATCTTCTTTCCTGAAGAGATCCCCGACGATACTGGGTCCCAAAGTCACAGAGCAAACGACAAATCCGCACAAGAAACGAAAGGCAATGAGCATAGACATGTTGGTAATTAAGGCCCCTCCTGTGAGACACAGAATAAAGAGAATATTTCCAGCGTGATATACGGGCATTCGACCATAGAATTCAGATAGGGGTCCCACTAAAAAGGGTCCAACAGCTTCACCGAGTTCCCAAATCGACACGAGTAAAGTTGAGTATAGCTTGTTTGTAACGTGAAACTCTTCCATTACTCGTGGTACTGCTGGAACGATGGTGATAGTCCCCAAGTTACTATATTTGAACGCATCAGACATGTCATTGGGATGCACTTTTAAATATCGAACATCACCCTAGCTAGCACGTGGAGGAGGATTTGAGCAAAGACATCAACATACCATAACATGAACATCAACGCAGTACAGCTAACAATTGACCATTTTCGCCATAAGGGCCAATTGAGAGGGTGTTCGGGGTCATTTTCATCCAAGTCAACAACATTTTTATCATTATCCAGAACGCCGGCCTCAGTGGTCAAAACTTCTTGTTTGTCTGAGGGTACGGCAAGATTCTGGCCTACTTTTGTTTCCAAAGCTTCTTCCTGTAAGGAAACGTCGAGAACTGGGTTATCCATTATCGGCTTCAGATGAAGTAGTGATTTAACTCAGAACAAGTGGCACAACTTGCCATCATGGCAGAGAAAATACTTTGTATTTGGGTCAACCAAATGTTGGAGTCCCCGGGAAAAGGCCGGCAATGCAACATCGAAACCTGGTAATCTAGACTTGTCGTTTAGTCTTACACACGATTAGGTAGAAGGATTGCAACTCTTTAATCAATATCGGCCGTTCATATTACATGCATCCTCCCTAATGTTTGAATTTCAAGCCCCATAGGAATTTGATCGTCACTTTCTAGGATCAAGGATTCCTAAGACAGACTTATATTGAATTTGTAACTTCGCTTACAAAACAGATGCAAGATAGATTTAGCCCCCTGGGATGTGATGGAAGGGGTCCAAGATAGGATGATGCCGCGACGTGCGTATGGCATGCTTGCCGGTGGCGAATCCAAACCGGATGAGTAGCAGTGAACTCTCCGCTCTATAACAAGCCTGTAGATGAAACATTTTCAAACTTCTTGCAATATCAGTTCAACCTCATCATCACCATAGCTGGGAAACTTTACGCGGCGTCTCAAGCTAGACGCTTGGAGATACATTGAGTTGTTCTTTGTGCGGCGTGTGCATAGAGTGATCGCCTTGTAGAAAAGCTTGTAAGTAATGGCAACAGGGTCAATAGTCGAGCTAGACAGATGTTTAATTCGACCATTGACCATGCCATTTTTTAGTGGGGTCATGCGGCGCAGCTACCGCACCTTCACTGGCCCCCACAAATTCTTATTTTAATAGAGCTATTTACTCCGTAAAGAGGAAATCAACTATCTTTTTTTCTATTTGAGAAGATCTATCTTTAAAGAAATAATTAAGATACTTTAATACACTTTATTCTTTTCTAGAGAAATGATCAATTTTGAATTGAATATAATTAATTTCAAATTCATAAATAATATTTAATATAGATATAAATAAAATAAACTAAAACTCCTTTTCGTTTAAATTTTTTAAATAAAATCAGTACATTCTAGTAGATACTATATTCAAGCAAAGCTATTTTGACCACCTAAAACACACTCTAAAACCATATTAGGAAATGTTGCCAAGAGATAACTACTTATTGCCGCTCTTAATACTTCCAATGACCGAAGTGATGTAACCTTTGTCATTTAATTATGAGCAGGAGGCTCGAATAATTGTGCGGGGACATCACTCTGTTTTACAGCAGGTAGAAGAAACATGCTACATAAACATATTGTGAGAAAGTTGGAATTATAGGCCAGATACATAAAGGTTTTTAATTAATCAATTATATAATCTTTTGTAATTAAATATAAAAGAAGAGTTTTTGCTTCTCCTTTTTATAATAATCAATTTTCTATATATATTTGAATTTATATAACTTCAACCCCAAAACCATTATGAACCCCGTTTCCTTTATAAGTGATGTATTACGATGTAATATAATCAGCTTTCTCTTCCAATTCCCCTTCACAGCATGCTATCGGGACACACGTATCTCGACCTACCACTTTTACAATATTTCAAAATGTGTCTTCGATCACTGAAGAAACATTCGAGGTCAGGCAAGAACCCTACTTGATCCAAACAGAATGTATCGTGCTCTTCGCTCAAATAGCCCTTCAAGGGACGAGTCTCTAGGTGCCGAAAAATTTGTAGAAGTTCCCGAAAATCATGATCCGAAAAATATTCTCCACAGGAATCTCTCGTGGTTTCTCTTCCTACTTTCATTGATCGTTAATTTTAGTCTTGTCGTCGTCATAACGATGAGAAGAGATGTTCCCCAGTGTTTGGAAAGCTCAAAATTTGGTTTGTTGTTCCCTAACAATCGAGCCAGTCTCACCTCATCAAAATACTGACCATTTAATTTCCAGCCGGGTTGAAAAGAACAGTTCCAAAAGCATGGACTCCAAATAGTGGTGCAAATGAAACCGAGCAGGATGCGCTCTGGGACGAAACAAGCTATGACCGTGGTCAGATTGCTCTTGACGACGACTACGCGAAGGGGATGGGACTCGCCAGGGCTCAGCGATTTCCTTGGGACCAATCGAAAGGAATTTATCTTATAAATGCATATCATAACACACATTGCGTTGTAAGTACATCATTTTGAAGAACTCACAAGGAGAATTTCTAAAGCTGATAAACAAACTAGAAAACCATTCGAACGTCAGTGGTAGAGTTTCACAATGACGTGCCACAGAGCTCGCCATATCTTCATGTCATACACTGCTTGAACGTACTTCGCGACGAAGTTGTGTGCAATGCTGATGATACTCCACGATACACAGGATTTCAAGAAAACCAGAAGAGCGGCTTGGGGCAAGTACGTATGTGTCGTGATTGGAAGCAGCTGGAGGCCTGGGCTGATGAACACACTGCCTGTTGGAGACACGTTGGAGAAATAAGGGAGGATGGATTCCGCGAATTGGACAGATACCGTTTCTGTCCACCTGGATTGCCTTATGAAGAGATGGCTAAAACTGCATGGCTTCGTCCAGGCCAGAGCATCGAGTAACGCGCGTTAATAGCGCAGTGTTTCAATGTGAATATGACTTAGATCTTATGATTTTTAAAGTAGTTGTTTTGCTCCCTCCGCCAAGTTGATTTGGAAACATCTGTGATACAGTGTATGACTACCACCCTTTCACAGTATCTGATCTGACAAGCTGCTCATCTCGCTCTTTTAATCGTCAAGTGATGCTTTTGATCAACTCAAGGCGCCATTGGGAACTGGCATTGAAACACTCTAGCCTTACCCAAGGTCAACGTAGTATCCGAAGAAAAAGGTTAAGTATGTTTGACAGTAGAAAGGGTGAACAGGACTAGTGGGCTCAGCGAATGCACAGCTGTTCATCACATGAGCTAGGTGAAGGGCTCCCAAAACCAAGACTTCACACTAACATTTATTGTTCTTAAGGTTACGAGACAAAAAGCTCAGTGTTATGATGGTTTACTACGGAAATTTGTGATGCAAAATTTTCTTTTTCATTCTCGTAATCATTAACGCAAGTGCCTCTCGGCCATGACACCCGCATCCCTTCACCTGCCCAGCCACCACAATCCCGCATTCCTCCAGCAAGATCGATTCTAGTCCATCCGAATCCTTTACGCTCTCTTGTATATCCCCTTTTACAGACTTAGTGCTTGAGATCTGCTTGTGGGACAGATTCGACAGGCCCGTTGTTGGGAGCAGGGAGTGCGGTATCCCAATCACTCAAGGGTTTCGAACGTATTCGGTGTCTCGCTTTGAGGAAATGCCTTCAATTGACTGGGTCAATGGAGATCTAACATATTCCAAATCCCGTTCTAAGTATCAATTAGTCTTCATTGTCACACTCAAAGGGCATGAGCTTACGTGAGTGGATTTTGACTGGTGCAGCAGTGATGAGTGCACAGGCGGAGAAGAGGCACGGAAGTCGGAGTAGCATTGCCATGGTGAAAAAGTTTGAGCTTAGAGAGGAACTTGGGATGAGGGGGTTTGCACAGAGATTTCAAAACGATAGGGCCAGTTATAAGCCTTCGGTAAGAAGGAAATCAAACAGCAAAGTAAGACTTTCCACCTGAAGAGATATTCCCCATGATACTCCAACAAAAGTTATGTTGCTAGCATCCACCAAAGAAAATTCTCTTGCTGCTTTTTGGTGATCTAGTCTGAAACTGGAAGGTATGATAGACCGTAATATAGCAATGAGATGTGTCGTTGACAGGGGGCAGGTGAAACTTTTGATGACCAAAGCTCATAAGTGGAGACATATCTTCCAATGATAAGGATTTGATTGACCCAGAGGTCTGGTTCAGAGTGGGAGGTAAGTGCCCGTGTAAGTCAATCTAAAAGCTTCCTCGCAACGCACACGATTCTGGGAATACATAAAGCCGCGCCCGCCGTAGACTCCTGATATGCCTGCTGTATCAGCTCATAAAACTTATTTGCCGCGTCTACCTTCCCCATCTTCACTAAACTAGACGTAAACTCATCCATTATTAGGAGATGTTGCTCATTAAAAGCTCGGGTCAGACGATCTTCATCCCCGAAGTGCTGCATTTTCACATCCTGGAAGCCTGCTTCTTGCAGAAAGTCCGGCAGTTTCACCGTCCAATCATGCCTGCCACTTGCCCATGACATTTCTCTGATCTGCTCTAGAGCCGGCGTTTGAAGCTCGGGATCAGATTTCTTGACGTGCATGTTAACACAATCTAACTCGTCCCACTGCAAGTATCCTATTCTAGATTAGCAGATTGATTGGTTAGAGTTGTCGACGGTTCTAACATCATCAAGAGCTTCTGAATAAAAGACTGAGAATTGCCGTTAAGAACCAGTACAAGTAGCCGCACGTGAACATAGTCGTATTTTCCAACCATATCTTCCGGCAAATCTGTGAAGATATTCCAGTGTCTGACAGACACATTTGAAGGTAGCCAACTTCTGTGGGGGGCTTGGCGCACATCATGTCGAAGCCGTGGAGTTGCGCTTGCGAAAAGTCGCGAGCAACATCCAGAAGCCAGGCACCGGTACCTGTTGCCACATCTGCAATGACGCTCTCATTGGATCACTGAATCGAAGGGTGTACCACGAATTGGAGGGCTTCTCTCCAAAGATAATACTGGAGATTGAGACGACAGGCTGCGATATGGCTACGATCTCCCAACACGTAGCCATGTCCATCGGCCAAACTCCAGTCCACCTTTGAAGATTCTGACATGGTGATGGGTACGGATGATTAGAGGGAAATAGAAATGATGAAGAGATACAGCATTTGCAAATCTTTCAAATAGCAAACCAAATCATCACCCTTTAAATATAGGTGGAATGCGGATGGCCGGATAAGGAATATCCGCATCCACAGGCTGCCTGCACTGTGCCGCAGTTCATTTCACGTTTTTTCTGATTTGGCCACTTATATTTCGAAGTTACATATCGATGATATATTTCGAAAAGAAAAGGTATCTTGTATTTTGAGCAAGTGGGATAGGCAAACGATAACTCGTGCGGCCAGTAAGTATGTCACACTCCAATTTTAAGCACATACCACAAAATGGTAAACTACAAGCGGAATTTTATGCACGCTAATAATAATCTCATAAATTTTTAATCATAGCATTCATTTTCTACATATGAAATATAAATGGTTTCAATATGGATTTTGCTGGAGAAATCTCGTCGCACCAATGATCGTTCGTCGCCTGTAGAAGCAAACCATCTCTAACTAACCGCAAGACTATCACTATGGTTTGCTCGAAATTCGAGTATGTGTTCGTTCCGGCTGCTGCGGTACCAGAGGTAATTCGAATCCGTCTTCCACGTGTGATAGCTTGCATTCTTGCGCCTGATAAGACAACCCACTTCGAGCTGTATTATCACCAACATCTAGTGAAAATTTGCTCTCGTATATATTAATGTAGCGTTGAAGATGATAAGAGATATTTTCCAATTAAAATGAACACCATATGTAGAAAGTCCTTAGGTTTGCAAAGCCAAAAATACTTTTTGGTGTGATTTTGGTGGATAAGTTGGGATCGACTCGGTTACCCATGAATCCAATTATTGTTCGATAAACTAAAAAGAATCTGTTATTAAAGAAATAGTTACAATAATTATATATTTTATTCTTTTTGAAGAAGTTTTATTTCTTTTAAAGATAATTAATTTGATTTTTTGTACTCATTTGTGTGAAATTTTTAATATGATTAAAATCAAGAAACTTTATTGTATTTAAATAAAGTTATTTTGATTATTCAAAAATCCCCCTAAATTTATAACAGGAAAAAGCTGTCAAGAATTTCTTAATAAGCTGAATACCTCTATTCTTTAAATCGGGGAAAGGATTACCGCAAGTTCGTAATTGGGTATTTGTGATTTACCGGCCTAGCTAGATGAATTTAGGACACGATACTACCACAGAATCGAGACCTGATACAGAGTAGAAACATGATTAGAACTAAAGAAGGAGAAAAGCAGAGGAGTCGAAACCCTTTCATCCGCAATTCCAACGAAATGGCGTGAGAGACGAGCTAAACTCACAACCAGGTCTAGTTGCGATCATCAGCATGAACAGCTGGGGTATCAAGTCGGATTTGGTGGAAAAATGATTGAATTAGAGTGGCTCACTTCTTCTCAAGATGCATTATCTCTATTTTTGTATTGGATACTTACCCGCTTCGAGTCAGCTAAAGCTCATAACTAATGAGATAATCATTAAAGTCCGGTCTTACAGGGGAATTTCTCACGGTTATCAAAATTCTTACTAACCTATTAGATGGAGAAAGGTGGACAATCTGGTGGATTTGAAAGATTATGTGCCCTTCTTGCAGCATAGAATGGTGGTCGATCCCAGTATAAGTTGATGGTTACATCTAGCAAGTTCGTAGTTAATCCAGGCTTACAAGCATTGGTATCTGAGAGCTTCTAGACCTCATAAGTATACGACAAAGATTTACAACACTGCACCTCCAATCATCCGTCCTGTCACACAGCAGATTCACATGAACATTCTCTTGGTAAGATGAGGTCATTCCAGCCTTGATCTTTTCGGCAATGAGTTTTGTCATTCTTCATGATTAGCCGAAAGGCCTTTCAGGTGCATCTAAGTCCGTAGAACCTTGCCGGATCGGTGTGTCACATGCGATACTGGGTAGACCTCTCAATTGGAAAGAGGCTGAGCACCGTTATGTCTTGAACCTTGAATTTTATCACGGCATTCAAACCCGGTCCAAATTCCCAAATCCTCCAGATCCTGTGATTATTAGTATGCTCCAATCAAGTCATCATTTGGTCAAGACAACCTAAACTTTATATTTACCACCACGTTCTGTTCCCCACATCCACCGCAAGAGAAGAGGTATGTATTAAGCCCAATGTAAGGTGATTGTGTGCATTCACGAACTCCACATTGCTCTGTTGCCTATTTGAATCTTGTTCATCACAATATTCATCTCCGCATCCAGTCTATTCATCACAGCCGTCTACGGGGTAGTCGTCATCTTCTTGCTCCCGTACGAAGGCACCCCAAGTTTTAGATGGCGAGAGTGAGATACAGGCATTGATTTTTCACATCCAGAATCAGCTGCAACGCCCATCTGGTTCGCACGCTCGCAGTCCTCAATCGTTTGCTGTGTAGGACGACTATGGCCAACCCGGCGGCATTTAAGCTCTGTGAAGGATCCGGACAGAGGTATAAGAACGCTGCTAGGTGAACTTACTGTACCTAGGGGTAAATTATTTTGAACTATATAAAGACGATAATCTTTCGAGCTAAGGTTGATGCAAGTTCATCAGCGTTAAGAGCAACTTGAAATCTCAATAGTCGAACCACCCGGCTTAGCAGCAGCTGCAGCTACAATAATGTGCAACTGACTATCTGAAAATTCTGTGCTCACTGATTGTGTTCAGCTTTGAAGGTCCCAGTTGCAGTATCGCTTCCTACAATCATATCTCTGACTCGAGCGATCATTTTTCATAACCCCTCTTCGTACGTTTATCCTATCATCAACATTGTGGTTTTAGATCATCTGTTACACTTTCATACAAGCATAAGTTCTCATCATTGCATACGTCACTACATGCCCACACTTTTGCACCGCACAGTGAGCAATGAAGACTTCATCATCTCTGAGTGCTTCCTGACAGGACCATGATACTTTCTGGTCTAATCATCTTGAAGGCAGTTTATGGCCGCGAATGCCAAGTTAATTCACAAATGGGAGAAAGGATAATCTTGAGTCCAAGATCTAGAAGGCCAGTTTTAATTACAGTTTTTGAGGAAACCAACAATGTTGAGAGACATGTGAAAAGCAACGCGTACAGCCAAGTCTAGAAATGCATATTGGAATGCTTCAAGGAATGGTTACTGAAGTCTCATGCCAGTGGAAACGTCACAGTCGTCCCACGATAGGACGTCATGTAAATTTAAGATGACTAACAATCTTGAATCGAAGCCTATTCGTGGCACATTTGGCCAATGAATTTATTTGAATTAGTCGATATATTCGAAGGTGAGACAATAGCCAATGGCATTTGTAGCGTAATATTAATTCATATTATACAAGTACTGCAAGCCAAAAAATATCCTCATGGAATCCCAATACAAATCGCCTTTCTCATTAAGCTTCTCCCATGAAAGCTTAGAATATCATCCAGTCTTCTGACAAAAGACTACTAATGCCCAACTCTTTAAGAACCGAATAGTAAAGCATCAGCTCTAGCGCTTAGAGTGGTACTTCAATGAACTTATTTCAAATCATCTATAACCATAAAATTCGTACATTGCGTATGTCCTCCGAATTTGACACCTTCATCACAATTTCAAATCCAAATTAGGTGACCACACCTTACTACGCATCGACCTAGCATCAAGCCAACCTCGTCTTTCCATACCCATCACCACTCAATTCCCTCACAGGGTGAGTCACAGGCATTTCAAATTTATGCTCCGGAGCATACATTTCAAAAGCCGTTGGTTCCTGTGGCTGAATCTGCGCATAATCCGCCGAGGATGGAACCGCTGTCATTTTTTCGTTCATATTCACATCCGATGGATAAACCGTGTAATCGCTTTTCTTTGCTTGTCGTTTTCGGCGCCAGAAGAAAAACCCTGCTGCTAATGCCAAGAGAGCTATTATTGCAATGCCGATCCCAATTCCCGCTTTTGCTCCGCCGGAAAGACCACCCGTTGGTGCATTATCATTATTCGAATTTGCGGCGGAAGTTGGAGATGTAGAAGCTGAACTAGTGTTGGAGCTAGCATCGGAAGAGGCGGTCGGACTTGATGCAGCTGTCGTGGTCGCAGCACTGCTATCTGATGAAGTAGTTGGAGTCGATGTCGCTGAGGTTGAAGTCGTAGTTGACGTCGTCGAATACAATCCCAAAGTTATCGGTGTCGCACGCTGAGTTTGCTCCACGGTGAAATGCGGACTATTCGCACCTGCACCACCCGAGGAGTTTGGTTTCAGATCAAACCAACATGGCGATCCACCTAGCCATCTGAAGTTTATGGGTGCAGTACCATTGTAGGCTTTGACTGTAGTTTGACCTTCTGCAAGATGAACTATGAGTGAGTCTCCATGTTCCCCATACCGTTATTTAGTTGGAACTTTATTATGAAAACTTACCAGTGATTAATGGAGCCGTAAGATCCGAAGCATTTTGGCAGAAAATCCAAAGTTCGGGTTCGGGGAATAGAGATGTGTAGGTTACATTGATCGTATCGAGGTAGTTGACTGTGAGATCTTTCGGTGGATAAACAAACACAACTCCATGGTCATCGGCAACAGCATATCCTATGCTCCACCACAAGGAAAGAAATGTGAAGATGTGATGGCGTGAGCAATGCATCCTGATGATTGCAAAAATTAGACGTCCTAGTTTGAGTTTCACTGAGGGTCAAAATCATTCAAAGATTCCATGCCGGGTACGTGAAAGATTTGAACCTCGTGGGAAATGTTGCACGAGGGTATGAGCCTCATAGATTCGAAGGCTAGGCCTATGCCCAGACCAAATAGATGGGATATATGGGATCCTTTCCTTGCTGCCATGCAAATTTCATCTAAAAGAGTGGAGATCTGATACTTCATCCTCCTGTCAACTTTCTTCATGAGGGAAAGAACGATAAGGATATGCATTTTGTGTTCCAATCCCGCGAAAATTGGTTCTTGATTGGTTTAGCGAATTTTATTTTGGGGTACATTTTTATATAAAAGAGTGGGATAATGCACGGTTAGCTGTTTTTTAATTGGCTGATATCAATCTAGCCAATAGCTTTCCGAAATTAAGCTTATTCTTCCCACATCCCCCTGTCTCATCACCAACTTTCTCATCTCATCTTCTCCTCATTTCATCACCTCATGTAAGATTTATGTTTCGAAGGGTTACACCGCCTCAAATGTAAAGCTTGTATGCATAATTCGTCCCTCGGGTCAGGATAAGTACGATTTAATGACTCGGCTATCGCGCTCTCTGCTTCAAACGCAACTGAACACGTGCTCAGCAGCACGGACATGGTGTTTGTTAGGTCGAAGTGGAGCACATCTCATCAGATAGGATTGTGAAAGATGGATGATTAGACGGCGTTTAACGATGAAAGCATGGCCATATTTTCAAAAAGCCCGCATTTACCAAGTCATTACCGCCAAGGTTGCAACACTTGTGACACAGGCAGCAACCGCAAATGCTCCTTGGATATCCTTTTCCAACATTGCCCAAGGGCCAAGAGATCGCAAATGCTATCCCTAAGTTTGAGGAAACGATAAACATAAGGGTCACAGCCAGGGACGTATTTAGTCCTTCCACAAAGTGTAATCCCCAGCCTAGGTTTTCGTTGAGACTGCTCGCTTTAAAAACGATCAGTTTCAATCTTCCTGCAGGGGATTCGTTGAAGGTAAAAGCTTGAATTGACTTGAGATATTGCAGAACAATTTTTGAAAAGGTGCAACATGTGCTTTGGACCTATAGGCGGTACCATTTTCGAGGATAGTGGAGGTACGAAGTCATATTCATTGGTTGTCGATGGAAGATCGTTGGGTTTGATATGATCAACATAGTCATCCGGGTAGGTTTCGAACTGCGCTATGTTAGCAAAAGTCATGTAACATATTTTTCTTTTGGTTGAGATAAATTTGTTACGTTGAATAGCTAGTCTGTAAGAAGCTTTATACGTTGTTGGTCAAGTTCTAGACGAATACTTCGCCAATACTTTTTGTGTCGATGACTGCGACTATCACCGTTCAACCTCATCCGAAAATAACCCGGAACTTGGAGGGAAACGAAATACCATGAAAATTTTACCAGGGACGGGGATATCATACACCTATAAACTAGATTTTCTCAAGTTCGAAAATCAACCAATCCTTCCACATTTTTCCTTAGAATAGACCTGTTTGACAGCCTCAAGAAACGTTTTGTCCGTCAAAGGATTTTGTTCGTCGTCTTTACAAACATGAAGTGACTTCAGGTGAGTTGCATATGATCTTTTCTTGATGCATAAATGAAGCCAGCGAGCGGCATTCATCATTGGCAAAACCAGACGGGTCAGTGAACTGATCAGGCAACAAGCATCCCCATGATATAAGAGCTTAGAAGCTCTCCCCTGAGTCCCCTCATCCCGGGATTGTTCCAAAATCAATGCACGTACCTTTTCCGTATATATTTTCCACGGATAGAAGATTTCCAGAAGTCCTGGGCCGACATGATGTAAAAGCTACAATTGGAGTTGTTTTTTGCATTGCCATCGATGATGTGATTCCGTACACAAATTAAGACGCCGAGAGAAGAACTTCCGTTTCGTGATGGCTCTAATGTGCGTAGCTTCCAACTTCAAAATAGCGGTTCAAAGGCCCACGAGTTCTGTTTTCCATCCACCACGGAAAGCAGGTAGCGAGGGAATTACATCTTTACCAGGCGGCTTCAGAACGAAAATTTATCAATGCTGCCACGACATCGTGTTGAAGTGAAACTGGAGGCTAAATATCCATTAAGACATCTTTATTGTTTCCTTCAAAAACCAGCGAACAATATTATCCGTTGTCCGAAAACAATCATGAAAAAGAGTTCTTTGATACAGATTTTCTCAGTGCCGTCGAAATCATTGCTGCTCGATTTATTCTAGGCGACGGAGTACACCGAGATCATTTTGATGTAGAGCTGGGATAGTACCAGTGTAACCGGACTCTGGTTCCATACCAACTAAATAGATTTTACTAGACCACTCCTTAATTATGTTACGATCCTGAAATTGGGATACGAAAAAAACGCCTTCTTCAATATGCACCAATCTTACCCTCCTAATCCAGATAGGCGCTATACTGACGTGATGGCGGCAAGCATAACAGTCAATCAAGATCGAATGCAAGGTTCTCATGCGTCTAAACTGAAGACCAGGAGAAGCTTCGGCTCAGCTTATCTGCTACTATGGGCGCCCTATAACCCAAGATATCTGGTTCGAGCTTCCTCGTTACAGCGACTCTGAGAATTTAGGTTGGCTACAAGAACTTGCTGAAGTGGAATTAAGCATCAGTGGAGCAGTGCAAGTGCGAATGCTCATTGATCACGGGCTAGTAGAAGTTGACGGATCTTCGCAGGAACTGATCGAATCAAGAGCATTCATTGATGTGTCTATTTATAAGTATTTCAATATCTATAGCATAACAGCGCTGTCTCCGTACTCATAATATCTGATACCTTCCTATCCGGTGCAAAATCCCCGAATTTGAACATCTCGTTGATCACATGTGAGTCTCGGCTGTATTGAAAAAGTCTTCGTTGTGGGTCTCGTTGCTGCCACTGCCACCACATCCGGTCCAGCTGCGTGTGATGCAGAAAAAACACAGGATCTGTCCATCATTGACTATCATTAGTAGCTGTCGGAATCTAGCAAGAGGATATGAAGAATGGATATAGAAAATAGACCACAAACCATTTGGTGCTGTGACTCGCAGAAAGTCCCCACGAATCGCCCGGGGAATAGCATTATGGGGACCTTCCTCCAGCTTAAGATTGAACGATTCGTAGTCAGATTCGAGTAAAACAGCTTCAAGTGCTTCTGGCTGAACCTTAAGACCAAAGACAGCTCTTAAATGATCGCCATGAATGAACCCACGTGACAGGCAATGCGCACCATATTCCGCCCCAAAATATAGAAGCGTCCGGTTCGCAAATGGGCCATCTGTGATGCAGTGACCATAGCCGACAGATCTATCGCTGTCCTTGTTTCCATTTCCCCCGAAACCTGTAGTACTATCCCATATTGGCGACTTTGTCATATCCTCCCAATCCAAAGACCAATCCCAATATGCAAGATGGCCCGAATAGCCGCATTGTTCCTGCAGTGTCCGTTCGTAGATGTTGAGGAAATATCTATGCCAGGCAATAAATGCTGGAGTGTTATGAGCTATTTCAATCTGTCAGCACGTACTCCAGAAAAGATGGGAAAACGAATTTGTGGAAGCCCTACAAAAATTTCCCATACGACTATGAACCCAAGGAAAGTCTTCATACAACGAGTGATTGAGACCTATTCTTGAAGGTTGCTCCCACAAACATTGGACTGCTTTCAAGTACGTGTGCTTTTCTGTGACGCTCAGGGTCCGCCACTCCCGCCGGACTATTGGGTTTTTGCATGAGGGCGATTTTTCAATCACAATGCCTGGCCTTTGACCAAGACCTCCCAGAAAACTGGTGTAGAGAATGGCTGCGACAAAAAAGAAAGGAGCTACAATTAGCAATAGGGCACTTTTAGAAAATCCAGATCTTTCAGAAGTCAAAAATAATTGTCGTGATTTCGATTTACCATCAAACTCGAATCCCGTCGTGGGTTGCAAGGCAGAGCTGGATGGTAGTCTAAAATCAAAGGCCATCACTCCCAATGAACCAAAAAAACAACTGTATACAACAATAACTACTGAAATCCGATGTCAATGGAGTTGTAGCACACCAGAAGGATTCAATGGAGAACTAGCTAGGTCGCAATCAAAATGGTCGTGATGCTGAGGCTTTCCAGGTACCTACACTGAAAGGCCCTGTAATAAAGTGCAATTCCGGATTAACCGACACGACAGCTAATACGCCGTAGAAATGATAGTCGATTAAGGTTGAAGTTGACCTGGCCCAAAAATAATCTAAGGTCGTCTTAGAAGGCCTCTCAGGGACTATGTTTGGCGATCTTGAGAACAAATCGAAGAGTAGAGGGTATCGGACGGCTTCAGGTGCGGGGCAAGAGATTTAGCCGCTGCAAAGAAATGTTGACCGGAAACCTAGAGATGATCTGAAAGGTTGAGGGATGAGGTGAGTAACAAGAACAGTCAATTGGGGCTGGAGACGTGTGTATAGTCGGCGATGCCAATAATTTGATCAGATCTCACCATTTAGGTGGCTGCAAAATTGTTGACATGCATGTACACATATTAGGACAAGTAAAATGTTTTGGGGACATATGACCACATTGTTAGCCAAAATCCTTCTACTTAGGTAGGTCTGTTTTCTGATACTGTTACCTTATCTTGCCGGATAGATGCAATTGGGCTGTCTGGCTGATGATAAGTAGTTTTTGAGTATTGCTATATGACCAATGGAGAAGAAACACGGATAATAAATCCGGATAAATGTGAAAGCGGAGTTGGAAGTATCAGTACATAATCACCTAATCATCTGAGCAATCTGGAATGCCCAATGACGTTGTTCAATGTCGAAATGAATCGGGGTATAGAAGTCTTGTGGTTTATACGTGTTATTTTGAAGAGAATTTTGGAGTAGAGGGACGAGGAGGGGCAGAGAGATGTTGGATTCGCGTTGATGCGATCGATCTGTTTAGGAAGTTTAAAAGCGGAAAAATGAAATTGCCGGCTGCAGTAAGCACTTTATTCGGACGTCGTCCCCTTCCCTTATTATCAAATATCTAGATGCAATGCAGATTGGCTTGTTTCACGCCATTATTGTCTTACGGATCATTGTTGTAAGTATGGTAAATATCGATCCTCTACATGACTCTTACATTTCGGTAGATTTATAGATATCAAGGTGGGAGCTGGCAGTCATGGTCGTGTGAGAGTGTGTGAGACTTTCTGATGTATCCAATAAGGTATGGGAAAGCTTATTCCCTCCGCTTGGTGTGTTCTTCAACACCCCAGAAATCTCTTCGCAACGATCTACACTTTCAATTTCCCACCAGTTGCATTGTTTAGTATGTCAAAGTTAAGATTGTTTGGCTCTCTACATGCATCATGCATCATGCAATATATATGCATGCTCTGCCAGGATCCCAAGAGGTCAGCGCCAGAATACACCCATGGGCCAACCTTTATCCTGAACATAGTCCTTATTTCAACAAATTGGCGACCAATCCAGAAAGATGGACCTTCTCTGTCTTTCACCAACTTCATTGTGTAGTAAGTATCTGGACGAATATAGTCCCTCCCGATATCAAAGAGAGATTACCGCTAGCATAGTGGTCCCGAACAGAACCGCTTGCGTCACGGATACTGGAAGGCTCACACGGCTGCGATGGAAGGTAGACCACTGGGGGATGAAGACCATGATCGTATGATCCCGCCAGAGCACATTCAGCATTGCCTAGACTATCTACACCAGAGCTTCATGTGTCATGGTGACACAGCCCTTGAGCCCGATGATGTGGGAATAAATGGCGCACACGGGTTTGGCATCCAACACAACTGCAAATGCTGCATCAGTTACTCGACGAAACTGATAAAAGAGTTTTGGGTCAATACTAAGATGTAGTTACGGGAATCGTCGGAGGGTTATCTGATTTAGGGCTTTTATCCATTCTGCATGCAGAAAACTTTGGGGACATCTTTGTATTTGCCATTCTTCTAGGACAGGAGGTTTCAGGACGTATCAAATGATGAATCTACATAAATTTCCCTGTCGGAGCAAATTCTATCACCATTCGAATAATCAGCGTTTTCTCGCATCAGAGGCTTTAGGAGATGTTGACAGACGGTATAATGAAGCTCATGGAACACGCCAGTCCATGCTAGGTAGCCTCCTCCCGGTAGCTCAACGGGTGCACGTCTATTTTTCAATAACTCGTCCTTTGAAACGCGGATATACCTATCACGGAGAACACCCTACCAAAGGGCGTTAGTCTCAGGGCTCGGAGACCCGACGAACTCGGTGTTTTCGTAGAGATTATAATGGCCGTGGTGCGTTTTAATATCCAAATTATCGATTGCTATAATCCCGTATAAGTCTCAAATAAAACATAGGTCTACGGAGTTCTGGAAGAAAGGGAGAAGAGAGGGGTGGCAATAAATTGGGTGAGTACCATTCATAGAAAGCAAACACCACCTAGTTCTGTAATTGATGATGGCGAGGCTGGTAACGGTATATTATGAGTATATGAGTGACGATATTGATCGTGAATAACTTTGACGTCTTCCGTCGCGTTCCTTGATCGACGGGAAGGAATGGCTCCGAATCTTCAAGCATCCTTATTTGAAGTCCTAAACGGCTCCGGAAGGAACACAAGTGATGCACTTAGCACCGTGCTGAACAAAATGATCGGCGACTAAAAATTTACTGTAGAATATACGGAGAATCTATTGCATGATGATGAAGAAATTGAAAAATGTTGGGTATTCCGCCGCATGTGAAAATCTTAGTAAAACAATTGGATATTGATAAGAAACTTCTCAAAATGGTTGTTGCAGGGATATGCAGGTTCTCTATCTCGGCTTTTGCGGATATATGCAGCAGTTGATAGAAGCAAATGCGAACAATAACCATGGAACACTAGCTCGGGATAAAGGCTAAGCGAAAGGAGGGGGAATGAGGGGAATTTACGAATGTATTGCAAGGTGCATAATTGTAATCACGAGTATCAATGACCATATAAAATCAAGTCAAGGCCGCACTTAAATCTTTGAAAGATAATCTCTTTTATATTTCTATTGTTATTGTTCAGGGTCAGTCAGTTTCTACGCAACCTACTCTGACAAATTTCCAAATCAAAGACAATCCATCAAATATGAAAACCGCCAAGTTCATTATTCTCTGGGGTCTAGGAATGGTGGCATGGGCAGCTCCTACTGTTGGCTCTGGTATTATTCAGCACATTCCCTTTTTTGAATAACTACTAAAACAAAGGAAGGTTTGACCAAGAGAGGTGATTCTGGTAGTAGTAAGCAGTCCACGTTACGTTATAGCTGGTAAGAAGGGAAAGCTCATAGTGAACGTTGTCTAGGTGTAGCTGCAGTAATGATGTCGCATGGCAAAGAAGTGGATGATGACGATGTGATCTACACGGACTACAGGAGAGCAGCTCGACCAGGTGAGTGAAATCCATAATTATTTTTCTGAGATGAATCCTACTTACTTTTCATTATAGAGGAGAGCGATGATGGGGATGTCATTTATACAGACTACAAGAGAGAGACCGATGACAAGGATGACATTTACACAGACTACAAGAGAGAGACCGATGACAAGGACGACATTTACACAGACTACAAAAGAGCAGCTCAACCAAGTAAGTGAAATCCATAATAATTTTTCACAGATGAAACCTACTTACATACATACCAATAACAGAGGAAGAAGACGACAAGGACGACATATACACCGATTATTGAACAATGGTAGAATTAGAATATCTGGACATGGACTTCTATGGGGGGCATTCATACCATCATACCCAACAGCCTGACCAAGCAGAACATAATCTGACAATATCAAACAAAGTTCATTCAATGTGTTCAACCTCTAGCTAGCTCTTTCACTAAAATTACAATCTAAGCTAGAAAGAATACTTATCAATAGGTATCTGAAATCATGAATGAATGAAATTTGGAACTTGTGATAGATAGATATGCTTGTGATTAGCTATAGGTAGTTAGCATAGATCAATTGGGAATAGAAGTCAATACAAATTAAATCAAATCAAATCAAATCAAATAAGATGTTGAGAAAGTTAGATTAAGCAAATATCTATTATAAGCAAAATCAGTCTTTATTTGTCTTTCAAAACTTGATATTCATTTATTATAGATAAAGTTATAGTGGAGTTTGATCAATCTACCCCTTAATCAATCTCATATCTTATATTCCACCAAATCATATCACATTATATCAACTCAACCGAATCAAGAAATCTGGTCATCCCTATCAACGAGTTATATAATCCCATCAACCCTTTAAAGACCACTCAATTACCCTCAATTACCCTCGAACATTACAAACAACCTCACCGTCACCCTCCCACTATCTCGCATCCCAATTCCCCCCCGCCCACTCCCTCAAAACATTTTTCTTAACCTTCCCCGTACTCGTCTTCGGCAACTCCTTCACAACAACCACCTCCTTCGGAACCATAAATCTACTAATACTGCTTTCCTCCTTTGCCCATTTAACCACATCTTCGCCTTTAAGTTTAGGTTTTCCTCCTTCCGCGCCCGCATCACCATCCCCATCCCTAACCGTAACAAAAGCCACCGGAACCTCTCCCCACTTCTCATCCTTAACCGCCACCACACCCGCCTCTAGTACCTTCTCATGCTGAACCAGCATCGCTTCCAAAGCTACGCTACTTATATTCTCGCCACCGCTAATAATAATATCCTTCGCGCGGTCCAAAATCTGGGCACTTCCATCCTCGTGCCAAACAGCCAGATCACCACTATGTAATGCACCGCCGGCGAATAATTTTGCCGTTGCTTCTGGATCATTATAATATTCCTTTGCACAGATATTTCCTACAAAGATGATTTCACCGATTTCTTGACCGTCGCGAGCTACATCAATGAGTTTACCGGCGGGTTGATCGGGTTTGATAATGCGGATGTTGAGTGAGGTGAGGAAACCGTGGCCTTGACGAGCCATGCGGGCATATTTTTCCTTCTGGGGGAGGTCTTCCCAGATGGGCATGTGATAGCCTTTTGTGATGGGACCGTAGGTTTCTGTCATACCATAAACGTGAACTGGGATGAGATTGAGGTTTGTCATGGTTTCGAAGAGATGAGCTGTAGGTGGTGATGCGGCGACTGTGACGCGGACTGGATTTGGGAGTTTGGTAGCTTCTTTTGAGGCGCAGAGGAGTGTGTTTACTGTAGGTGCGGCGTTGAAATGGGTAACGGGTTGGGATTTTAATAAATTCCATATTAAAGGGTAGTCGATTTTGCGAAGACAAAAATGGGTGCCTCTGACGGCCGTTACAGCCCAAGGAAAAGTCCATCCAACTGCATGGAACATAGGGAGTGTCCAAAGATATCCACATCTCCCTTTATGAAAATTCAATCCCGATTCCACCACATTTCCCAAAGACGCAAGATAAGCACCTCGATGCGTATAAACCACTCCCTTTGGTTTCGCCGTCGTCCCACTCGTAAAAGGAATTGCAATCGTGGCATCTTCATCATCAGCCTGTGCATGTAATCCATCCCATCCCTTTCCTCCATTTTCCCCATCATATTTCAAACCCTCCAAAACCACCTGATCAAATTCCCCTTCATCTTTATCAGTATCCTCATCAACAATAATCCTAGCGCTTTTGTTCCTCTCCCTAAAGCCCTCCAACAATCCCACAAACTCCCTATCCACAATAATACAATCCACCTTGGCAAACTCAAAAATATAAATAATATCCTCCTCCTTTAACCGGTAATTAACCCCTACATGTATAGCTCCAGCAGCCGCTACACCAAATATACTTTCGAGAAAAGCAGGAGTATTCGGACATAATATCCCTATGCGGGAAAGTTTTTGTTTTTTGAGATAATATGCTAAACCACGAGAACGATCTGCAAATTCTTGATATGATCGTGTAATCGTTTGACCATTTGCTGTAACGTGATGGATAGCTGGGGCATCAGGTTCAATGGCTGCTGCGCGGGGAAGGAAAAATGTAGGTGAGAGGGTATGAATGTGATGTTTGGGGGCCGGCGGTGACAATGCAGTCGCAGGAGATGCTGTTGTTGTAGAAGAAGGCAATAAATGATTAACCAGGCTTTGAAGCCTAGACATAGGACCCGACATCTTTGTTTTTAATTTAGCTGGGCGCGTATAGTTTCGCTGGTCTAACTGGCGTTGGTGGTTGAATAATCTCGTCGATCTGTCTGCTCTAGACAGCTTTCACAATCCTTAGAACTCCGGAAAAGTAGAGAAGTCCGCACTATAGCTCTTCCTCGAGCATAAAGCGTTGGCAATCGTCTTCACAATCCGCCCAAACGAATCTAAATCCGCCGTCTTACACTTTCCGTGCGATTGTAATCTATACTGTCTCTCTTGCACTGAATCGTCCAATGCGCATATCAATCGATAAATAACCTCAATCAATCAATCAATCAACCTAACCTCAACCACTCACCCAACCTCATAACATAAACAACTGCAATCCGATGCCAATATTCCAATCAATCAATCAATCAATCAGACCAATGTCAATATCAATATCAATATCAATGTCGATACCCATGCAATTCTCTCAAAAAGAACCACCAAACAAACAAAGACACAACCACAAACAAACAAACAAACAACCTTCAGATTTTAGAATTCAAAAAGTAGCCAGGGTAAGGAGAGCTCCAACAACTTAACAATCATGGAACCTACCTAGGAACTTGAGAAACAAATGGAAAAACCAATGACTTAAGTAGATCGAAAAGTTCTCTTATAATAATAATAATAATAATAAATACTAACCCCACAAAACCCATCCAATCCCGTCATCCTCGGCAACCAATCCAAACCAAAAAAGGAATGAATTCCGTCCCCCGCCCGCTCGGCCCATCGGCTTCGGGTCTCCGGAGCTTAAACTTTTCCATTTATTCATCATGCTGGCTGGTTTACTTCACTCCCTAGTACTTACTTCATTGTACATACTTGACTCATGGATATTTTCAATTGGATTCATGTGGAGAAGGTCTATGGGGAATAGTTGCGGGAAGGAAACGGATAGAATCTCACTTCAATCAAGCAGAGGATCATATGCGGGAGACAAAGTCTAGAAATCTTTGGTCTACCTACTGGGTATATCAGTCGAGCTGTTAAAGGTATCCATAAATTACATCATGATGATCTTGTCATCAAATTCTCTCCAAAACACTGCCATGTGCTCTTTGAATTCACAAAGAATTAAAGTAACTTGTACCAAACCGATGCTCATTCATAAACTGTAGCTAATGGATTTCATTATTAATTTTCACAATTCAACTTCCATTTCCACAATGACCAACCGCAATGTGTTCATTTTTGATTCATGCCTTGGGCTTTCATTTTGCTATGAACTGCATGTAAGCCGAAGCAATACACATCAAAGTTCCTTGCTGCGTCAGACTCCTTGTCGTCGTAGCATTTCCCAATATCGTGTATGGTAAATGAATACCAGGCCCTGAGATCTCCCAGTAATTGGTCGAACAAAGCATTGACGTTGTTATTGTTGAAAAGAAGAAACCGTTTAAACAACCCAATCCATCCACCCAGCAGCGCAAAATCACATCAAATAAGGTCCAGGATATTTAATATCCGAGAGCAGCCAACTCAGACTTGGTCTTATCATCGATCTTGGCGGACTTCTGGGCTTCTGAGAGCTGCTTGCGTGCTGCCTTCTTGCGTTCGTAGTATGCTGCGCTCTTAACCTTTCTTCTCTCCTCAAGTCTGTGATGATCCGTATTAGTATCCAGCTCCGAGAATCCGCCATCAACCCAACTCCAATGAATTCACTAACCTAGCAACAACATCTTGGTATTTCCATCCAACCTCGTGGCTCAATCTGCCGACAGTGCAGTATTTGCGTCCAGGCTTCAATCTCAACACTCTCAAAGCTTGGGGAACGACAACGCGCTTGACTTTGTCGTATGGTTGTGGAACACCCTCGAAAACCTTAAGTCTCTCCATGGCGGCGGCACCACGGGCAGTCTTGTGAGGAATCATACCACGGACGGTCTTGTAGAAGATTCTGGATGGGGCACGGAAATGGAAAGGACCTATTCGAAGAAAGTCAGGATATCTCCCAAGTATCGAATGCGATCAATTGCAATTGCAATTGACGGGGTTTGAAATCTTACCTCCACGGGTTGGGTTGTATCTGGTCATCTTTCGGAGGTAGGCGTGGTACTTGACTATTATCGAAATTGAATCAGCCTTCCATCATTTTTATCCATTCCATTCATGCGCAACATCGAATCCATCATATTCAATTCCATCGCACTCAAATAAAGGTAAAACGTACGCTTCGCACGGAAGAACTCTCCGGAGATGTTCAAGGCCTCACATCGTACAACGACGATCTTCTGGCCGTTAAGCAACTGCTTTGCAACAGTGCTTGCGAGTCGACCAAGAAGGTGACCCTTGGCATCGATCGTGATCTAATAGAAGAAGTCCAACATCAGCAATTCGTTCCTAGTCGTATTCCATCTTGTCGCTGAACCCAAAAGTACTATTTCCAATCGTTTTTGTCGCGCAATATTGAATTGTGTATTGGTTGCCATGGATAAAGGATTGAGCACTTACGACTGGCTCGAAGGTCGACATTGTGTCCTGGATAAAATGTCAGAATGAATTCGAAAAGGCGTACAAAAAATCAATATGCTCTACCTTCGTTATTTGGTGAGGGCGGTGTCGTGTTTTGTCGGTTGGTCGTTGTCTTCAAATTCCCTCGCGGTGGATGAGATTCTCCAAATTGACACTGGTTTTCGCGCTAAAATATTAGCCGAGTCCCAGGTCTAACAACCCTAATTTGAAGCAAAATTGAAAAGAATTATTTATTCAGCGAGGCGAAAAAGAGTTGGTGATGAAATCAATTATTTTTTCAATGGCAATGTCTATTTGATTTTATGTTGAATGTTGATTGCACTCGGAGTTTATTTGTTCTGTATCATTGAAATATATGAAGTTGAAGATAATTTTTGCGGTTGCGGTTACAGCCTTGTCATTTTCACCGTGGACCGAATTCAACAAAAACCCGTTCACATCAATCAAGCCTCGCCTCGCGAACCCCAAATTTATCTGGCTCTACTGAAGCTACAATCTAGTACTACTGCTATAATGAATTATCGAATAGAACGATATAGACAATAGGTACCTTTTGAATCTCGTTTGGTACATTTGAGCAAATGGCGGTTTGTTAAGTGCATGATGTAATGAATCTCCTGGATTGTTAACGTAGTCCTTTAACACTTTAACAGTGGGGAAATCCGCACTATTGAATAACTAAAGAAAGTTGAAGTAGGTCTTTAAGCTATTTTGAAGCCGTCGGTTCATGAATATAGTCAAATGCAGACCCGCGGTAGATTCTAGTTGTAGCACGCAATACGCAATCATAGAACAGCGTAAAATGATACCAAATACCTACTAGTAAAGGCATAGAGCAATTCCGTTCGGTTGCAAGCAAGTTTCAAAATCACATGTAGCGAAAAGCAAAAGGAGTAACAACGCAACACACCAAAATTTTGACATATCTTCAATTCTTCTACTCTCTCCCTACTACAACACAGCCGTATGGCATGCAGATGCATATCCGACGGACCAAAAAGTATGTAATATCATGCTTCATGCTGCACTCGAAATGATCAGCCCTCTCGCATCTTTCCCCTGTGACAATGACGCTCACCCCTGTCCTTCGTTCAAAACCCCTCTTTCCCCATCAACAATTTATTAATACCCATACTATCTATGAAAGACGCCATGCAAAACCTCGCCAACTCTGCAATAAATGATCCTCTAAAATCAAAGAAGCCCGATCACACCCAGTATGTGCATAGCATCCCGATAGCGTAAACTTCATAAATGCAAGCACAAGATTGATGCATTTTCGATGCATAAGGAAGCCGGAGTCGAAACCGAAAGACTCGTTCCATCTTCAAACAAGGTATAATAACCGGACCAAAGATCTTACTTTGCATCAGGAACCTTGGAATCAATACCATTCAAGATATCATGCACTTCCTTCACCAGAGCTTTCCTAGTTTCTCTGGCTGTTTGATCGCCCTCTATCTCCACCGCATCCAACTTCAAGAGTACCTGTCCCATGATCGTCTCACTCAGCTTCTTGTGTTCGAAATCTTTTTTCTTTTCTCCCTCTGGGGGATTTGCCATGAATGCTTCTGCTAATGGTACGATTTCGAAATGTAGGTAGTCTGAAATAGCATTTAATTTCTCCATTGGGGTTTGGGGTGTTGAGGGTGGAACTGGTGAAGCTGTTCTGGACGTCGTAGATGAATCCATTTGTGGTGCTTTGAGGTTGTGGTCGCTCTTCTTCTTTCCCTTCTTATTCTTTGACTTGCGAATTCGTTTTTTGAGCTTAGATGCAGTTCCTTCTTGAACTTCCTCACTGTCATCCCCTGAACCTCCACTGCCAATTGCTGCATCCCCGATAATGCAAAGAATCTCCGATTCATTTCTTAAACCGTAGCTTCGACAAAGTGCATGATCATCCTTCAATTGTTCTCCCTTGTAAACCAACTTCAACTTCCTCCAATTCGAAACATCCATCAATGCCGCGGCTCTCTTCCTGACATCACTAACTTGTAATTTTCCATCCCCAATACTGTAAGCTGGAAATTTGACTGGGTAGGTGATTCCCTTGTTCTTCACCAGGAGCACATCATCTTCCTCTTGTGCAGAAGGAGGTGGTCTCGAATGTGGATCATAGGTTCTACTCGGTTCTTCCAAATCCCCACTCGTGATGTATTCAAAATCCTCATCCTTTACTTGCGGCGGATTACTTCGACTCGAGAAAGGACTCAAACGACTGGTGCCACCACTGAACCAATTATTTCCCCAGCGACTCATACTCACGGTAGCTGCAAGGATAACAAAAACACTACCCGCTAACGCCGTAGGAGGAACCCGATCGATATGAGTGAATTTGGCAGCCTGTCCGAGGTAGGCTTGAGCGGGTTCAGGCAGTTGCGAATAGACGGATTGGAGATGATGAGAAGTGGTATCGAGATAGCTTTGTAGAGAGTCAGGGAGATGATGAATGGCAGAAAATAGGGTGCCACCTTGCGAGACGAGATCGCGGGAAGCCACCTTGTCTGATTTTTTATCTAGTCCTGTGGAGGGGACTTTCTCTTTTCTTCTTTTGGAAAACTTGCGATTGTTGTGATATGACCAGACTTTCGAAATATGTGGCCCACGATGTAGGGTTTAAGGTGGGGTAATCGAACGAACTCGTATGTTGAGGCTTTGAATGACGAAGCTCGAAGCTGATGGAAGGACCAAAGAATTTGTTTAGTGGTAGTGGAATAATTGATGAATGGATCAACGTTGTCTTTTTCATGCGAACTTTCTTGTTACGTTGACCGAGAGAGAGAGAGAGGAATCCCAATTGAGAGTGGATAGCGGTGAAGTACGGCCGGTATAACCAAGCGACTGGTAAGTTCTTCCTGATTCGAGGCCTTGAAAAAAGTCAAAGGAAATGTCAGAGAGTTGTCGTTTGTACAATTCAGGGGTCGAAATCTTTGATAGAAATGATGCAGCAGAATTGTATTTCTCAAGCGGGAAGGAAGATCATGTTCGTTGTCACTAAGAACCAGTCTGTACCTGTCCTGTCCTGTTCCGTCTAATAGCAGAACGAACTGCACAATCAATGAACTGAAACATGTAGCTGAAGATTATTCCATGCCTCACTCTACCTGCCTACCTATTGAAATCCCAATCAATCATTCTATCCATCCATTCCCAATCAATCACAGGGCTTCCTTTCTTCCTTTCTTCTACAAGTTATGCATGCCAACACACGTTTCCAGTGCTCTGTAGATCAATTGCAAGTATGCTATGCTATGCTATGCTATGCTATGCTATGCTATGCTATGCTATGCTTTGCTATCTATGCTTTGCCATGCTTTGCCATGCTTTGCCTTGCCTCACTTTGGCATGAGTTCCGGCCGTGTTACGTCCCGTGAAGCAGTATTCAATCGACAAATCAAAAGTCTTGATTTTTTAGAATTTACTTTTGGCCACTTACAGATCATTGGTTCGTTGGTTTGGGATCTTTGCTGACAAAGATTATCATTTATTTACTTTCTTGCTCATCAAAGGCGGGATGATTGTATAATCTCTGATCTTGAGAGTTTCGTGCGCTCAGCACTTGCTGTATGGATCATTACCATGCCGATTCTGTTTAACACTCTGGAAGTAAGAATTGGAGCTGTGTCCTCCGTATGTCTACGAAGTAGTTGATCAAACAAAAATCTCCAAGCACAAGACCATTAACGATCGAACAATGAATCTGTCTCAAGACGGTCGAATATTCAGCCGATTGAATTGAGGCCGCATGCTAAAAGCCCGTGTTCCTCAATACTCCGCAGAGTAATTCCATAACTCCTTCTGTGTTTGTTCTGAACATCTAATTACCTAGGTAGGATTGATCCCAGCGGATAGTGTCTCCCCTTTCACAGTTATGATAGCTCTTACCCTGCCAGTGACGCAATTTCCCAATAAATTCTCATACGGAGTCGGTCAGTCGGTCAGTCGGTCATTCAGCCCACATCTGTCTGTCATCCAAACCTATCCACATCCCACATCCCACAATCAAATCAATCACATCAATCACATCACCATCTAGAACCTCCCCGCCAAACAAAAAATTGCTAATCAAACCCCTCCTCACAAATCAACCACCAAGCACCAAAAACATCCTCATACTCCGGAACTCCCCATCTCCCAACCAAAACACAAAAGTTAAATTTCACATATAAAATAAACAACTTCCCACCTACAGACCTAGGTACAACAGGTCTTTTACAATTTGCCCAACATTAATATCTTTCGCCGTTTTTTTACCACATCTTCTATCAGTCCCGCCAGAATGTCTGCTGCTCAAACAAAGGCCGATAGCATTATTGCTGAGAATGCCGTTGGTATGTCTTTTGCTTCTCCTATTCGTTTTCATTTTCGTATTTATTTTCTTTCGGGATTCTATTATGCTCTGCTACAGACAAATGGATTTACCCCTCCTTTCCCGGGAACGCCGTGAAGTTGTGATGGGGTACTTGAAGATATTATAGATGATGCTTCTTGAGTGAGATGTATTACTCTATACTTCTATGACTGGGATATGGTTCCGCTGTTAAAGATGGGAAATATATACATTACGAAATAGCTAACATGTCTCCATCAATAGCCGTATTCAGCAAATCTTACTGCCCATACTGCAATGCTACCAAGAAGCTTTTGAATGATTTGAAGGCTAATTACTATGCCATTGAATTGGACCAAGTTGGTATGTGTTTTTTCCCCGAGGTTTTTCTTCCTCTGTCTCTACATCATAAGCCACCCTCTATCTCGCATCACTCTCTCCCCTCGCACAATTTACTAACATAATCCCCAGCCGACGGATCCGAAATCCAAGCCTACCTCAAAGAAAAAACAGACCAAGGTTCCGTCCCAAATATCTTCATCGGTCAGAAACACATCGGTGGTAACTCGGACTTGCAAGCCAAGAATAAGAAGGAGTTGGAGGCTCAGTTGAAGGAGTTGAATGTGATTGCTGCTTAAAGGGTGGGATACATTGTATGCTGTGGAAGAGAAGAGAAGATATTATATCGGTTAGGGGGGTTGATTAATTGTATGATGGATGGTTTGGTGGCTATAGAATTATCGCTTTTGGTGGGTTTAAAAGACTGAATGAATGGAGAATATTATATGATATGATACATGAAAGTCTATTTGCTCTGTTTTTGTTTGGTGATATCTCATGTCATGCCATGCCATGCTATCGTTTCATGTCATTATAACCATAACCATAATCATACAAGCATGGAATGCGCCTCCCCATCTCCAAGCGCATCCTCAAACATGAACCTGTCCCTCCACCCCCCAGGTCTCTCCAACCCCATCCCTCAATATTCCTCCCTCTCCACTACTAACCCTCGCGCCCGCCAAATACCCCAACCAAACCCCTACTAACCCTCTCATCTCTCACCTCTCCAACTGACTCACTCCCACTCCCGCTTCCACTCCCACTTCCACTCCCACCCCCACCCCCAGTCTTCCCATCCTCATACCACACATTCAGACAGCCCTTCTCATCCCTATTGAGTAACAATTCCCTCCCTTCGGCACTCCCCTATTAAACAACGTCTTGAACTCCACCATGCTCCTCCCAAACCCCTCATCACCAAATTCCTCTCTATTCTTCTGCGCGCGCGCCGTTAAGCTCCGCACCCATGCATCTCTCAAATGGTGAAAATCTGTATTTCGCGTAGGTACGATACGGATAATTGTTTTTACACCGGAGTTCTTTAAGATCTCGGTCCAGATTTCTTCGCTGTGTGTTTCGTGCATGAGGAGCGTTTTTAAGGTGTCTTTTTCCCCAGAGACGAGCGTGGATGCGCCGCCCGGAGCGGCGGTTTTTAATAGCGTGGCTTGGAGGAGCGGGATCGAGGACTGCGCGATGTAGAGTCCGACGACGTAGACCTGGATGTGGAGGAATGAGACGGTGCGGATACCCAGACCGAGGAGCTGGTAGGTTTCTGGTGGGGAGTTGGGGGTGGGGGAGTGCTGGATGTGTTTTGGGAAGCTGGGGATGCTGTTTGTTCCTGTGGGGATGAGTTCGTGCGGTTCGGAGGACGGCGGTGGTGTTGAATCAAGCGGTTTTTGGATGATTACTTCGGTGGCGCTGCTGAGGCTGTCGTAGGCTCGTGAACTGTCGAGTTTGGCGGGCTTGATGTCGATTGAGGTTGCGGTTACCCAGATGCAGATCATGCCGATGAGGAAACCGGCTGCGGAATACATGGTGCGACGTTTGTGGTGGGCGCGCTGGGTGGCTTCGAGGCGGTGCAGGGAGATGGCGTCGAGGTGCGGGGTGGGCGGTTTGTTGGTTAGAGACCGGAGAGGTATGCGTATTGGGGTGAGGCGGGGGCATTGTGGGCGTGGGCGTGGGCGTGGGAGAGTGTGGAGGATGCGGGAGGTTCGAGGGAGGAGGGACATTTTGGTGGGTTGGTTATGGTGTGTGTTTTAGAGGGGGATAGATTAGAACTGGAAATTATGGATGAGAGTGAGGGGTGAGGGGCAGTTTTGTGAGGATGGTCTGATTTGATGATAGAGCTCGCGTACTGAGGTACTGCATAGGTATTTAAGCTTTAGTGGAATCTGGGGAAAAAGCTAAAATTTCAGAAATAAATTGTTGATTGATGATGATGCTTTGCAAGGATTTAAAATTGTGGTTCACGATCTTTTAGATCTTTAGCTAGATATACAGAGCAAGTACTACCGTTGAATGTGTGTTTTATTCTATCTAGGGATACTATTGAGTTAGATCTTTGTACAGGATATACTTCGAAGAGTGAGTAAGTTCGTGAAGCTATCTTTTAGCTCTTGTCTATTTTTCAGCATTTATTTATTTTGAGATTTAATTCTAGTTTCTAATCTCTCAATACTAACTAAATGTCTAGGTAGTAGATTGGTATCCCTTCTTTTGACGAACCGAAGAAATGATATTGCCTGAACATCATCTAACATCTTAACCATCAGCACACTGCAAGGTCTAGTTCCACCATCATTTATCCTTTTCCAATTTCTTAGACTTTTCAAGGAATCATGTTGCTCAGTTCTAGATTATCCATTCACGTCTTATCTATAAATAGAGTGGATGGTTTTGAGAGGATGTTTTGATAGGTTGATAGCTTGATATGCACCTTGAATGGTTTTCATCACTACAGGATTGTAGATGATTTGATGGTTGTATTTGTTGATAAAGTAGATAGGTCCCTAGTGTCTGATAAATTTGGAATTATGTGATTGGAAATTGCTTTAGTATTGAAAAGATGAGTAAGGATATACATATCTTTTAATTTTTTAATTCTAATGCTTACTTATATTGCTTTTCGTTGAGAGAGAGAGATATAGATATATATATGTATATATATATCTGAGTGTGAAATTATAAAAGTTGGCTTACTAATGACATTATATAGCACGTCCAGAACGGAAGTCCTGCATACTGGATGGAGACTGGATACTTTCCGCAACCAAACCACTTTACAGTCTTAAAACTCAAAAACATTAAAACGAGGAACACAACACATCCATCCATCCATCAAATATTGTGTTCCGTCACTCATTTTCCCTGCCAATCTCAACAAACAACAAACCTTTCCCAGAAAATAATATATCAGCAAATGGAAATCAACTTTGTCATTACGAGTACAATTATTCCTATCATCTAGGAAAATTCGCGACATTTTTAACCTTCGCCTTCATTACCTTTCAAATTCTGGGAAAGTCTCCCATGATATCGACGAGGCTGCGTCAATCCACAATTGTCAGCAAACCTCCTCATTCCACCCACCCCCTTGAACGACATTCAACTTAATATCCATTCATCGAGACCATCCAAATTATATCGCAAACCCTAGTAAAGCCGTCCGGCTATTGCTCTATTGCTTCTTCCCACAACAAATACTTCTCCACATAATCCCCCTTCATTCATCCATCATGAAGAGTCGACCTCCTAAGATGCCTCTCATCAACTCCGGATTTCCGTCTCGTGCGACTCCTGAGATAGTTGATGATTCGCATTCATCTACAAGTAATTCACCTGCGCGTGCTGATTACGAAGAATCCGATTTCTTTACCGGCAACAACGATTCGCAATCTTCAATCGGCGTGCCAACTTTCCAAGATATGGCTGTCACAGAAACTTGTATAGCGGCATCAAACAGACTGCCGGCAGAAGTTCTCATCAACATATTCTCAAAACTCGCCCATCCAAACGACCTTTTATCTTGCATGCGAGTATCTAAAAAATGGGCTAGGAATAGTGTTGATTTATTATGGCACCGACCCGCATGTTCGACATTTCCGAAACTTGGGCACATTTGCAACACGCTTACCCTAGAGAACCCCTACTTCGCATATCGAGATTTCATCAAAAGATTGAATTTAGCCATTTTATCAGATCGCGTCAGTGATGGGACCGTTCAACCTCTTTCCGTATGCACAAGGGTGGAACGATTAACCTTAACCAACTGCGAGGGTATCTCAGATAGCGGATTGACTGGACTCATTACTGATAATAGTCACCTACTCGCTCTTGATATTTCTGGAGTTAAACAAATCACCGATACTTCCATGTTCACTTTGGCGGAGCACTGTCGTCGATTACAAGGTCTGAATATATCACAATGCGTTGGAATTACCTCTGAATCTATGGTGAAAGTGGCAGAAAGTTGCCCCAACCTTAAACGTGTAAGTTATCACAGGTTGATTCAAAATCTATACTGACATAATTTTAGCTTAAATTAAATGAGTGTGAGCAATTAGACGACAGAGCCATCATGGCATTCGCTGAAAATTGCCGTAACATCCTCGAGATCGATCTGCACCAATGTAAACATATTGGAAATGACCCGGTTACTGCCCTGCTCACAAATGGAAACGCTCTTCGAGAACTTCGATTGGCGAGTTGTGAAAAGATCACCGATATGGCATTCCTCAACCTACCTCACAAAGCGGCATATGATCATTTACGGATATTGGATCTCACAAGCTGTCATAATCTCACAGATGCCGCCGTTGAGAAGATCATTACTGTTGCTCCAAGATTGAGAAATTTAGTGTTTGCAAAATGTCGACTCTTGACAGACCATGCAGTCAATTCCATTAGCAGGTTGGGAAAAAACCTTCACTACCTCCACCTTGGACATTGTGGACAAATCACTGATACTGCTGTTATCAAACTGGTTCAAGCATGCAATCGTATTCGTTATATCGATTTAGGTTGTTGTATTCACCTCACAGATGCATCCGTCACAAAGTTAGCCACACTCCCCAAATTAAGGCGTATTGGTCTAGTCAAGTGTTCGTCTATCACAGATGAGAGCGTTATAGCATTAGCTATCGCGCAAAAACAACGACAAATAGGTCATCGAGGTCATCATATCGACGATGCATCTTACAATGGAAGTTGTCTAGAAAGAGTACATCTTAGCTATTGTACTAATTTAACACTTTCGGTAAGTGGAAGATTATCACGATTGAGGTTTATTGCTAATGACAAGATAGAGCATAATTTTGCTACTTAAGAATTGCCCGAAGTTGACTCATCTGAGTTTGACTGGCGTTCACGCTTTTCTTCGACAAGATCTTGAACAGTTCTGTAGAGATGCCCCTGCAGGTAAATTATTTCCTTCTCATACTTGTTTTTTATTTACTGACCATTCATAGAATTTAATGAACATCAACGCAATGTATTTTGTGTCTTCTCCGGACCTGGTGTGAATGGTCTACGTAATTTTTTGGTTCGAGATGAACGACCAATTAGCAACGAGGATGAAGATGACATTGTTATTGATCAGGGTATGGATGCACCAGCCAATACAGACGCTGATGACGACCAAACAATGACTGGCATGATGAACGCTACTGGACTAAATAATGAGGAAAACGACGCTGATGACGACGAAGTTTTAGATGATCAGCAGTTTCCGGTATTTCCATAGTACTCATATTGAGTTCCACGTAGGCCAATATCTTGGAGCACCTCATAAACTATCTTCTTAAGCATATGAGGCATACAATCAATTCGAATAGAGGTCAGCGAGCGGGCATTGACATATCCGATCATTGGGAAAATGGAGTTTAGGGGTGGGCAAGGTTTAATTACGGACGAACATACCCATTTCGTTACGAATCATTTTTCGTACACCAATCTGTTTTGGAATGGACTGAATGCATTATGATTGATTACCTTTATGGTACATAGATATCATTTTCTTAAGCGAGGGGGAAAGTCGGGATAGTAAACCTTTAGGTGTATCATTTGTATATACGCATTTCTTGGCGCTTGGGATGAAAGTTGATGGTGGGTTTGGAGGGATTGTTTTGTGTTTCTAACGGGGTGTAACCTGGGTTGGGGGTTAGGATAGGGGGTGGGGGTAGGTGTTTGGTGGGTTTGAGGGAGGGTAGGAGGCTAGGCTGGAGGAACAATTCTATTACATTGTTTGATTCTTCTTGAGTGATTATCCTTGAGATTGGGGATTCTTATAGATTCGGGATTTGTGCAGATTCATGCAGATTCGTATAGATTCGTACTTGTTTTTGATTATGTCTAGATTGGGATTTTTATCTCTTCATGGGAGTGAGGAGAGGATAGGGAAAAGTGAGAAGTGAGGAGTGAGGAGTGAGGAGTGAGGAGTGAAGAGTGAAGAGTGAAGAGTGAAGAGTGAAGAGTGAAGAGTAATTGATATGTGGTATTGTTCTCATATGCTGTTTACTGTTTAATTGTGTATTGTATATCGATGTTTTGTCTATGTCTATATTTGCGTTTAATATTTAATATTTATCATCTAATATTTACATCGATATAGACTTAACCGAATTAATTTCAAATTCTAAATTCTGAAGTGAAAAAGTGGAAAAGTGGAAAGTAGAAGGTGGGAAGGTAGAAGTGGGAAGTAGGCGGTGGGAAGGGAAAGGAGTGAGAAGGAAGGAAGGAAGGAGGGGGTGGATGGGAGAAGAAAGGGAGTATATTTTATGGAGGGGAAAGGAGGAAAGAGGAAAGAGGAAGGGTGAAAGTAATATTATGAGTTTGTGATTGAGTAATAGAGTGAAGATGAATAGAGGAAAGAGGAGAAGGGGAGTGTGTTTTCTGGAAGGGGAAGGGGGAGAGGTGTCTATAATATAATCTTATAACATACTCGAGACTTAATTAATTATATTATCCTTTTCATTAATTCTCATTTCCACTCTCCACTCCTACAATTTCTTTTGGTACATATATACCTAAGACTCTAGATACATGAGGAAAAATACAAAGATACGAAAGGGGGAAAGAATTACATATATACTCGAGTGCATCCCTACTAATTGGTACTAATAAATACTCGATAAACATCAACATCAACATCAACATCAACCTAAATCATATCGACATCCATATACATCTCGTTTGATTACCCACAGCTACCTATACCTATACCTATACCTATCGGAAATAAAGTAAGATTGAGGTTGAGATTATACCTTATCGAATACATTAGGGGAGGAAATACTCAAAAGGTATAAAAATAAAAGGATATACGAATATGGATACCATCAAGTATGTATATTTTTCTTCTTTTGTTCCTTATCCTTATTTGTTCGTTCTGGATGGTGAGTGCAGATTTTATATAGTTTGTATACAGCAGCGTTTTTTTGTTTTTTGTTTGATATGATTTTTTGGTTAGAAGGTGTTTTGATTGAATAGATTAAGATTCATAGTTAAAGTTTTGTTAGATGTGAGATTAGACGTTTTGTTCTGTTTTTTGAGTGTATTTTTATATGTTTATATTCTGATTCTTCCCTTTGGCTTTCTTTCTGCTTTTCTTCCCTGGGAAAACTACAAATTAAAAAATACACACTCCTTCCCTATCAATATCATATCCTTTCTTTTCTTCTCTCTATCATTCTTTTCCATTTATATACCTTATACTCATGTTTGGAGTAATTACTCTTCCGTTCTTTTTCTTGCTCTTAGAGGATTGTGGATAGGATTTTGAAGATTTATGATTTGAGAGAGACTTTTAATGCTGTATGAACTTAATAGAATATATTAGATGGGTTTGTTTACTGATTAATTTTGATATTTTAGACATGCGGGAAAATATGTATTAGAGAGGACTCGGGCTATGGGGACGGGGGTAAGGGAGGGGGTTCATAAGAGTGTGTTGATTTTGTTTTCTCCTCCAATTTGCATATCTTTTTATCCCCTCTCCACTTACTAAATTTTCAAGATATAGAAAAATCTCATACACAAAAGCAATTAGCTGACAAGATTCCAAATACAAGATATAGTAAAAGATTCCGCAGCTTCAGTTAGCACGAGGGCACGGGCAGCTGTTGAGGTGGTTGGCGATAAGATTGAGAAACAGGGTCATGATGTATGTATGGATTTATGTAATTCTTTTCTTTATTGATCCTTTTGGTGGTGTGTAAGGTCTATAGGGAGCACTTGATGGGGAGACAGGGAGAAGAAAGGCTCTAACTCATAATCCAATATAGGCAAAAGCAGAGTACCATAAGCAAGCTGTTAAGCACTAATGCTTGAGATGGAGTTTGTGAGGTGGAGGTGGAAGTGGAAGTGGAGTTAAGTCTGATGAATGATGAATGATGGATTGATACAGAGGAAAGTTAGTGAGTTGTAGTGTATTATGGAAGTTCAACATCCGAAAGGAGATCGAGGGACTGGTTAGATGCAAGGAGCTTATACCTGGGGTGGATGATGTGAGAAATTGTAAATGCTCGATTAACTAAGGAATTTATTGAACTCCAATATTTCTATATATTGCTAGTGATATATAACATTTCACGTTGTATATAATATTGCCCGTGGTAAGTATTACTATTACGATGTGTACTACTTCCTCACGCGCAGCTGGCCGGTGTTAACGACAAAAATGAACTCAATAGTAACGCGAAAAAGGAAAAAATAAGAAATAAAAAAGACTTCAAGGGACGAGAGTGAGAAGTCTATGCAATACAAGAGTGATATGGAAAATGATTTGAAATCTGGACCTGGTTGACTTTGATAGAGTTGTGTACACAACTCTGAAGAGGTGCTCGTGAAGTTGTCTTTTCGAAGAGGGAAAAAAATACTTCCGCATTCACTTCATCAACGTATGACTAACAACTCACAGCTAACGTTTTCGTGCGTGATATGTCAGCAGCATCAACAGATGGAAAATGTTTCAAATCTATGCAAAAGAAGCGAATTTCCCAGTATTTTGCTTCACTGACCCGTATTGATTGACGTTCGGAATGTCAAGGTACCCATTCGTCTCAAGTTGATTTCGAAAATGGTCAATTATTGCAGCTTTAATAGCGATCAAACGACTGCTGGTTAATCCTAGTGCAACTTTGATGGTTGACAAATGAATCAATCACTATCCGCCCGTGGATGGGCCAAGTAGTTGTTGGTTGGGTTTCAAGCTCCTGCTTGCGCACATGGAGGTCTATATTGACTTAAACTTCGTGAGGTCATTTCCTATCATGCCATTGTACGATCAGAAGAAACTTATCAACTTGTTAACTTCTGTTGTTATATGGCTTGAGACATCTTCAAGATAGTCCATTCCGTGGGTCATCTGACTCAACAAATCCTCGTTGATTGTCCTGTAGAAATCTTGAGGCGGCCACGAACCGTCTTAGGTTTGAAGAGTGTCAGGCCGTAGCTAACACTAAGGGGGGATGGACAGGCGACGTTGGTGAACGACCTCATTGGTGAATGGACTTCCTTCACCGATGGGATATGTCTCATCAGGATTAGAGATGGCGACTATCATTTAGTTTCTTGATCAGGGTTGACAGTGCTCTTCGAAATCCTTCTGGCGTCTGAGTGCCTTAGTTATTGCGCAGCCTGACGAAGTTTCGGATGGTTAAGCAACATTCGTGGCTAGAAGTTTTTCCTAGCCAAACAACGAAAAGTCCGAAGAGTTCACCAGGCTGAATGTTCGGGTTTCTTTTACGCTTGATGTGTTACTTGACCTTTTTCTTTCTTTGCTTTTTTCCAACCCACTCTGAACTTTTGGTATGAAATGAAGATTTCACGGGGGATGCCTCGAGACCCTGAAAATTCTGAGCGTGTAAGCCGATGTAAGCTCTGGGTGAAAAAATTGCCACCACCTCATGCTTGCTGCAGTTATTTCTTGTTTTTGCAAAAGATTGACATATGTTAATCCTTCAAAACGTTGAAGCGTCATATGCAGTCCCTGAATGCTGCATCAATATTTTCAGCAGCGAAACATCGTCCCGGTAAATTGGAACGCTTGAATCTACTCCCCATGTTTATACCATACCTCAGCCAATTGCATTGCGAACTTGGTACTTCCCGACCCCGCTAAGTATGATACCGTAGTTATCTGGGCCCCATCATTGCGCCATAAGTGATGTCTATTCGAAGACATTCATGGAGATTTAACCTGAAATTTCTTTGGAGAACTATGGCACAGCATGATACTCCTTGCCTAAAATGCCACACATCATCACAGTTTCAATAAAACTCAGAAGGAAGGTGTGTGTACTGGTAATGAATTATCTTAAATCTGCAGTTTACAGAACTAGTGTTGGCAAGGTAATCAAAACCTCAAGGGTAGTATTTACCACCCAACCATAGATTGAAGTCATGCAATACTTGCTGTTCATGCTATTGAAATTTTGAATGATTGACACGCCCACCACCACGTCCCCTTGCAATCCCCTTTGCTTTCAAACGGCACTATTACAATGAAGATCCCATCCGGAGGAGCCCTTTGCAGCTCTTCCCATGACTCGAGCCAGAAAAAACCGCTTGCATGTCTGTCCTGTCATATCTTGCCAGGGGTTGGCAATTTGATAGAGCAATAGACAACCAGTTATGCGAATGATCCCGACTTAGAAATATCCGCCTCCTTGTTTGCTAGAAGAAGCTCTTTTCTGAGGAATAAGCCAGGCTCAGGGATATCTATCTTCTTATTTGCTGGAAGAGGATCTTTTCTGAGGAATAAACCAGGCTCAGGAATATTCAAAGAGGTGGCCTTCGAGGCTCGTTTTTCGAAACCTCCAGCTTGGATGAGATCTCTTGCCTGAGTATCTACGACTTTTAGAAGAGGCCCGATGTAGCAAATTTGGAGATAGGCTTACCAGGAAGCGGATATGTAGCAACCAAAGCAGTGAAGCTTGCAGTAACGACCTGGAGAGTTTTTGTGAAGAGCATTATTGCTGATGTGCCAGAAATGTTGTATTTTCTATTTGATGGGATAAGTAATGTTTTGATATGCGCAATAAGATACTGGCTTTTACTTTGATTTGGAAGTAGATCTCGGAGAAAGATCTGGATGGGAAGTTTGACATTGATCTTATATACCCGTAATTTTACCCTTGGCATTTAGAGCATGCTGTTTGTATAGACGCCTAGGATGGGCACCATCCAAAGCTAGTAACATAGTTAATGCACAAAATTCATCCGTCTTACTATGCACCTCAAAATTGGGTGCTATTTGGATCTGCTGAGGCGACGTCATCCCAACCAAAGTCTGAGGATCTACGGTTTTACATGAAAACAATGGGTGGGCAGATGACCCATTGCTGTACGCCGACTACGAGCAGCAATGTAGAGAGCCTACTTTTTTCCTTCGCATATCTCCTGAGAAGTTTTTCTTTTGCATTTTCAAGAACGCTTCACTATTTTTCGAGCCCCATGTTTTTATTCACCTCCACATCCACCCCAAAAACATCGCATAATGTCGAAAGAATACGAATCAGAACGTCTTATCAGTCACCCTGAAGGGTCTTCTTTGCCCAATGAAATGCCTGTGGATACGACTGAGCATCAAACAAGGCAACGAAACATTGTTCTAATCGCCATTCTTATACTCTCAATTGTCATCAACATTTTGCAAGTGACTGTTAGAGCTTCTATACCTTGGCACGCCTCACATGCAAAACAGTCCGACTATCGTTCTCAATATGGTAATTCATTCCGAAATATTAAGCCTTTATCACGCTGCTAACACATCTCTCTCAAAGCTGGGCTGAGAAATAACGAAGTCTCTGTTGAATGGGTTCAAAATTCAGTCTACACGAGTCCTAACGTCACGGAAAGGGATCTTATTGGGATGCCATCAACCATGATAGTGGCATTGTCGCTGTTACTAAATTATGGGCCTTGAAACAGGGCCTACCGTTGGGATCTAGGTTTCCTTGGGACACTAATAAGACCATTTACCTCGTTAATGCCTACCATGCCTTGCACTGTGTGGTGAGTGTCTTCAGAGTCCCTGATTAGCCATTTAGATGTAATGAGGTAACTAACGTTATTCCAGAAAAACATCTATAAATCATTCATGGAATATAGAATGGGCATTGAGCAGTCTCTTTCTCACCATCACATAATTCATTGTCTTGACTAGATACGGACGGACATATTATGCACGGCAGACGATAGCCTTCGAGTCACCTTTCCAGACAGACCCAAAACGACTGCTCAAGGGCAGATCCGACAATGCAGAAGTTGGGACGCTCTTGAGGCATGGACCATGGCACATCCAGGCTGTTTTCGATACGGTAACCCAAATGTAGAAGATGAGAAGATAAGCCAGATTCCCAGAATGCGCTTTTGTAAAGAGGGGAATCCGGACTTGGAATTAATACGGGAGTACTTTGGTAAGGGTTCGAACTGGAGACCAGCGGATGAGAAGGTGTGGAGTTGGTTTGATAATACGATAGATTCCGACGCTGAAGTGTGGAGGGATGACTTTGTGTTTATTGATTCAATGGCTTGATAGCCAATATTTTTGAAACTTGGCAGAATCTGCGTCTCGAGCTTGTCTTCGCTTTTCCCTTAGCCTTTCTGCGTTTTCCTACTAGCAAGTAATTTGAAAATCGACATTTTCTTTCCGCTACAATTTGAAGGTTACGAGTATGTAAATTTCTGATTCAAATGAATCTAATCATAGATAGGTGAAAGTAAACTCGGTGAAGGACCCCATGCTCACTGACTAGGCAGGGACAAATGAAACCTTACATCCATTCCTGCTCTCCTTTGTGAACACTTGTGTTGACAAATATTCATGACACGGATCACGATTTTCACAGGCTTTAAACTCCTGCATCAATCTCACCAATACATAAGAAACATCTGTCAAGACGTTTTGCCGCGCAGGACAAATGCGCCTTCCGCCGAGAAACGGTATGTATCCCCAATCCTGCTTGCGACCCTCCCAGCGATCTGGCTTGAATTCATGGGCATCGCTACCATATATGTCCTTATCCATATGCATAGAACCAAATGCCATATCTACTTGGTCTCCAGCCTCTAGAAGAATCGGGTCCTTTCCTAGCGGACCTCCGCCATGAGGCAACACCGCTGGAGAGAGGCAGGTTTTCCAGCTGCGGACCACGGGACTGAACATTCGAAGAGCTAAAAGCATCTCAGTATTGGAAATTTGAATTGGTGACCCTAGAACATTGTGAGCGAGTACTCGGATAGAACTACAACTTACTCTCATTAATAACATGATGCACGCATTTCAGAGACTTCAACTTCTCAAATGTCAACTTCTCAGCCCCAATGCTCAATACTTCGTCTCGAGCTTTGTTCCACTCATTGGGGTGCCTTGCCAACAAGAAGACAGCATTACTTGTAAGAACAGCTGCCGAGTCTCGTGCAGGGAAAAATATATTCATCAACTCGTTCCGAATGAAGAGCTTGTCGTGGGTAGCCTTGCTTAATTCCCTTAAAAGAACGTACTTGTATGGTGTGTCTTGTGACTCAACAGCCTTCTTTCTCTCCTCAATATCCTCTTCAATGTAGTTGTCAATAATGGAGTGAACCTCAGCACATTGCCGCGCCCATGCCTTTTCGTTTCTGGCAAGGAATTTAAATTTGCTAAGGAGAAATCGCGTCAGCATGCTTCGCAGTGCATCATCGAAAATTTCTGGGAGCCGCCGTGCAATAACATTGCTGGTTTCAGGGGATAGCGAATTTGCAGATTTCCCAAAAATGAACTCCGTGGTGCTATCAAGGTAAAGTGCTTTGCATAATGGCTGAAGGTCGATCGTTGAGCCATCACGAGGGATCCGATCTATCATCCGCCGAACATGGATTTCGAATGTGGACAACTCAGAGACCTGAGCCCGAGTAAAGATGGGGTTGATAAACTGGCGAGAGAGTTTCCATCGTGCACCATCTGTGTTCATGATGCCCTCACCGAGTAATGGCCGGCTGACTGCATAGTTCATGGGGGCAGCACCAAACTTGTCCACTTCTGTTGCTAAAACCGTTTGGATATTCCGAGGATCCATAGTGACATACTGTTTTTTCCCCCAAGCATTTGTTAAGACTGTTTTTCCGTACTTGCTAAACAGGTATTGGTCTACATCCACACCCCTCCTTCATGGCGGCGACACACTTAAGGAATAGGTCCAATCCAAAAATTGGATCTCTGTGGTGATATCGCACAGCAGTGCTGCAACCGGCTTTGTGTATGGCATACCGGTATCTTATTAGATCCCATATTAAATACAGGCCGTAAAGACCTAGGATGGATAAAGCAATCTGAAAACCTGAAATAGCCATGGCAGGGGAGTAGGGGAGGATGCTAGGTAGCTTGGATAGTTTGGGTTTTGATAGAAAGTTTGAAAGTTAAAAGGTATCAAACTGAAGAATGCTTGAGCGTTGAAGTCGAGGTAGCACGGTTAGAAGTAAGACGAACCTCGAGCCTGATGACATGACGGGTCAATGAGACCCATGCAAGGATTCATGCAGGGTTTTGCAAAAGGTGATCACTAGTCACTATTATGCCGATGTTGCTTGCATACTCCATTCCTTCCCCTCATCCATGTGCGGTAAGCATTACATGCATGCAATTGACAGAATGGAGAATGTGGATAGGTTATCCAGAGAATACGCGATCCGTGCCAACAACCCACATCTAACAACATAAATCTCGCAACCCTTTCACTTTACTCAAACTATTTCAATCACTCCAATCCTCGAATCATTTCAAGTTTTCTTGCCAGATTCCAAGACTTTCTGACTTGCTTTACCATAATCAATGCCAATCTCTGCATCTCTGTAGTAGTTCATCGCCGTCCCCGTCTAAATGCCGCCAGTATCATCATCCACACTTCCCTTTATGATATTTCCATTCCTATGAGAATAAATGGTAGCGAAACACTCCTGGCTATATGATTCAAATAAGCAAGTATTTATTTGGGGAAACCGAAGGATTACGGGGCGTAGATTGGATGGTGTGTTACCCGAAGCCATCAGTTGACAAAATCGTACCTTTCGACCTTGCTTTTGATCATATTCCTTTTCTTTCTTCAGCGACCATTCTTTGGTGTATGACTTAATATGGCTTCCAATACCGATGGGACCGCAGGCGAGGTAATTGCTGCCGGTGTTGTTTTCCCCGTCCTTTGAGCTATCACAGTGGCCTTGAGATTTTATATACGCAGCACTAGAGGCAATAAAGTGGGCCTGGACGATATTTTAATTCTTCCTGGACTGGTACGTCTATTATAAACCCGTTTTACTTCTGGATGTTCGCACTTGTTCTGACTATCGGTGACACTAGTTGATGCTCATTGGAATGGGAGCAACCCTGATCGAGGGCAAGTCACTCTATAGCTAGCGCCTATTACATACAAACTCTAACCTTTGTTCCTTTCTTTCAGGTGTCAGAAAACATGCAATCGGATATCGCACCCCACCTAGCTCTGCAACTACGCCAGAAGAGGTTTTATCAGAGATAGACCCAAAAACGTCAATAGTGGAACAGGTTGAATATGCAGTTACACTGTTGATGATCCTCACGTATGGTTTCATCAAATGCAGCATCGTACTCTTCTACAGACGTGTCTTTGTTGTCGATAATGGTAGTGCGTTCAGTATACTTGTATGGATTTCATTTGGCATTGTCGTCGCCTGGACCATTACTTTCTTCTTGCTCTTCCTCTTCCTCTGTGGTACACACTTTTCCGCAGCTTGGGGCTCTCGAGCAGGACTTATCCGCTATTGCAGCAATAGCTTAAAAAAAGAGGAAGGGCTGTATATCTCAGAGTTCTTGATCAATATCTTACTCGTTGTCATGCCTATGCCAATGGTGGGTGACCACGTTATATTTCCAGGTACGGGCTTCCGAATTAATGTTGCTACAGATCTGGCGCCTCCATATGCCCTTGGGAAGAAAGCTTGCTGTGACTGGCATTTTCCTGCTAGCGTTCTTGTAATTGCACCTCTTTCCTAATTGATCTACTTGGCCATCTCATTGACATTTCTTAGGGCACTCGTGGCATCAATTATACGGCTTGGGATTGTTATTAGTCTGACAACTGAAAGCATCGCAACTCTCCACGTTGATGAGAATCGTATGTTAGATGTATTCCTCCAAAGTCACATTCCTAATATGCAGTCACCCTATCCACCATATTTTATTGGAGCCAAATAGAAGCAGGTCTTGCTTTGGTAGCATGTTGTCTCCCCACTCTGAAGCCGCTGTTTAGTGCACAAGGGATCGCCTCAGTAGTGGCTAGCCTGCGGAGTGCCATTTCTCTGCAGTCTCTTCAGTCTAGAACCGGCGAGTCGAACCGCTCCAGAAAATCCAAAGATTCAAGAAACCCAACTACAAAGGGCTCAAACGCATACAAAAATATTGACGAATCATCTAATACAGAACTACGAGGCGATCACAACGCGATTATGGAAATGGACAACACGGCTACACATTCAGATGTTGATGGCCTACAAAGAGATCTGGAGCCAGGAAAGATTAGGGTCAGAAGAGAGGTGAGAGTTGCGGATGAATTTCCTTATGAATAAGTCGACCCGTTATCTACCTCAGCCCTGCAACGTATTACGGCTATGTTGTGTTGTACTTTGGCACAGTTACAGGTGTACAGATGTATGGGTGTACGATAGGATATGTTTTTTGTCCCGTGAGAGATACGAGAGCGGTTAGTATGAATTTTTGTAGTATTGCGCTATCATGACTATGGTGCAAATCACAATGTACTATCCGTCTGAAGGATGGAAAACAGAGACGGCGAGAATGAAACATAGTGAAAAAAGTGTAGCTGGAGAGCTAGAGATAATGTATCGAAACTTCACGTGGAGGAAAGAGAATTTTCAGCTTCTATTTCATCTTGTTCTTTTCATTCTAGCTCTTAATATCTCAACCAACTCATATCTTTCCTCATCATCTTCCCGGCCTGTCATAAAATGATTGCAACGAGTTAGATACGTTAGCTTGAGGATTCACATCTCAAGTTTTTATTTCAATGGTTTGTAAAAGTCCTTGATTAAATAATAGTTTGAAACAAAATTAAAGACCTACTTTCAAAATCAAAAATTTCAATATTTCCACGAAAACATCTGAATATTATAAATTCAAAATTCAACTCATTAAAACTTCACTAAACCAAGTCTAATTCAATCGAACAATATATTTATATATACATAAAATTGTCTGTCAACGAACGGGTATCTAAATACATATGGCATTCTTTTCGCCCTCTCCATCAAATCTCTCATCCCCTATTCTTTTCTCCCTCCTTCTTTCTATCTCTCATCCTCTTTATCCCTCCTTCTCCTCCCACAATTCCTCATTTCCTCTTCCCGCCTATTAGAATTAACCCATCAACACAAACCATCATCCATCCATAAAACCAAATTCAATTCAATTCATAAGCTCATCATAATTCATAAATCCATAAATCCAACCTCTCACTTTCCCCCCTTCCCTAAAAACAAACCCAAACCAGCAAATCCCAGATCCGCATCGCAAATAGCCAACCCGTGACATTTCAAGAATAGAAACTTCGAGACTTCTGTACAAACAAAATTGGGTTCGCACCCATGGATATTTCTTTTTCCGTTCATTATACCTAGACCATGCAACCTCATCTTTCCATCTTTCCATCTTTCCCAATATTCTTCTTCGACATAAGAAGTAGTAAGCACCAACACCGACAATAAGCACACTCAAACACTGTTAGTCCTTCTCCTAACCACCACTGGTTTTTGCGCATGAATAACCACCAATTTGAAACTGGTATTCCACTTCTCGCATTCGTCTAGGGTTTTTATATCAGCAAAGATACTTTTTGCTTCTTTTCCTTTTTCTTTTCTTGCTTTTCCTGTCTTTTTGGACTCTTTTTTGGATGTTGATGTTGATGCAGGTGAAATTAAAGAAAATTCATAACATCTCATATACCACCACCTCCCCACTTTGGCAACCATGCGCGTGATACTTTCATCAGCGGATTCAGATTCATCTTTCATCATTTCGGCGAGACTGCGAATGTCTTTTTGTCTTTTTTCCGACTGCTTTTCCCCTCCTGCTCCTTCTTTTCCTTTGCCTTTCTCATCAGCACTCTTAACCCTTTCCAATACTCCCGCAACTGGAATTCCTACTCGACAACTCTTCACATCCCCGAATCCTCTTGCACCTAGTCCTCGAAGAACAACATCGCCCAAACTCCCCAACACGACTCCCTCATCCCGACACTTCAATCTCGTTTTCAAGCCACGCACCGCACGGCGAGTCCGCGGTCCCATATTCAACATGTCTAAATCGAGCAGTGTGATCTCAATATAGCCGCCGGGTTTGAGTACTCGTCGCGATTCCGACAGAATGTGGTTGTAAGTATCGGTTGTGAGGGAGGATGGGAAGCGGAAAATGACGGTGCTGAAGGTAGATGAAGGAAAGGGAAATTTTGAGGTGGTGGCGAAGGGAGAAAAAGGGATTTGACGGTGGTTAGCGGGTGGAAGGAGATAGGCATGGTTTTGGGTCTCGGCGGGAGGAGGAGAGGAGGGGGATAGGTTGTAAAATGTGCAGGTTGGGTAGGTTTCGGCAGCGTAGAAAGACCAGTCGTCTAGATCCGTGTTAGCACCATATACAATAATTTGTCAGATTGAACATACCATTGCCAAGACCATCAATTACCAAAATGGAATGGCATTTTGTCGTAGGTCCATCCATCAAATTGCCTACCTCATCTCTAGCAGGACTGAACAGTACATTCCCAAATGTAAGCCATTTACTAACACTCATACTCCCCACCCTCAAATTAACCTGCGAAACTGGGGAATTACTTTCTTCGGATTCGATTCTCAAGAGACTAGCTCCTGAAATCCGAGATGTATCGCTGGAGGAACCGGATTTCCGTGATTCGGCTGTCGAAAGTCGTTGAGATTTGTTGGAATGGATGGAATTGCTAAGTCCACCTAAGTTGTTAAGGAAATCAGAGAACGATACTTGAGTGGTGGGTGATGTGAAAGCATTTAATGTATCTTTTTCTTCAACCTTGGTAGTGGTATCAATGTCGACGCTATAGCAACTCGACGATATAGATGTAATAGCTGATCTTCGACGAGGAATTTCGGGCAATTCGCGATTTGAAAAAGAAGAAACTTGAAGCCTTGGGTCGAGATAGCGGGTAGATGGGCTCTGGTATGTTTCATATTGAAATGGAACACCGTAAGATGATGTTGTAGAAACGACGCGTTGCTGTTTTGTATTGTCGTCTGTTTCGATCAAGTCATCGTATTCATCCCAAACCTCATCTTCTGCTAATTCTGCGTCAGGCTCGGGAATAATCGCCGTAATCTCAGCACAGTTGATTGTGCCGGAACTACTCGTCGTAGCTGTGGAGTTATTCCTAGGAGAGCTTCTTGGCGAAAAGGCGAGGAATTCTCCTTGGTAGGATGATGGGCTATTAAACAGTGTTGGATAGCTTCCAGGGTTAGAAAAGTTTGTTGGACTTCCTCCTAAAGCAACCGAGTTGATGTCGAATGAAGGTAAATCCATTGTAGGTTGTATCGTGCTTAACCGTGCAAATGGTCTCGAGAAAGATATCGGAGATGTAGCTTCAGGCCTTGCAGAAACGACTTTCGGGATGCGGCCAACTTGTTGAAGACGACTTGGACGAATAGGCACTTCCATTTGAACATGGGGCTCTGTTTGAGTCTGAGGGACTTCAGGTGATGAGGGCATCATTAGTTCAAGTGGCGAGAAAGCGACAGTTGCTGGTATCATCTCGGGAAGCGAAGGTGCCATGGCTGTCTGAAGTTCTTCGATACGTCGGATGTTTTCCTTATAATTGCTAAACTTAAGTTCATTCAATTGCTCATCGGTTAGCTCTACGACATCTGAATCTCTGAGAATTTCCGCTAAGTCGACACTGTCGGTATCTTCTGGCTCATCGGAAAATTCAAACATAGCGTAATGGGGTATCGGTTTGACAGGCTGTCTGCCAATGGCAACAGGCACTGCATCGTGTTTGATTTCGGTCTCTACCTTTGGTGCTTGTCGATGAAAGAAATTCCACTTCCTAGGTGACCTTGCACGCTTCTCCGGTTTCTTGGGCTTAACTGGTTGAACTTGTCTTCCGCGCTCGGTCTCATTTTTTAACTCTAATTGTGATTCTCCAGACGTTAAACTAGGGTCTAAACTGCTGATTGAGGATGAAGTTCCCTTTGTTGTGATATCAAGTGATTTTGGGATATTTATGGCACTAGTTGAATTATTAAGACGCTGGGTTGACCTTCGGAATGCAAGGGACGGTGTCTTCGAACGGTCGTCATCCTGACTGTCGGATGGTCTTCTAGATTTAGAGACGTCTGTAGTGGAAATCCGCTCATTGCTTTCTCTTGGAATAGCAGACGGTTGCAAAACAGCTTTCGCTCTCTTTTGACTCAAATTAGTCTGAGAAATATTCTTGGCTACAGGAGGAAGACTGGTGTTACTATCTGTACGACTGATGACTTCAGAGATAGAATTACGATTCTCCTTTATTGCACCGCCACCAGCTATAATGACAGGGCTCATCCGATCTCTGAAAAAAGGATCCGTGGTATCGGGTTGGTCTCTCGAAACTGGAGCTCCACTTAAGCTTCTTTCTCGAGGCTTTCCTGTAGCCACTCTTGTAGTGCTACGGCCACGCAGGGCATATCTTGTATAACCTTCATGGCCGGTACCTGCAGCTGGTCCCTTCTTTTGGGACTTTTCTACGGGAGCGGTCGTGATTTCAGGGGCCGTCTTTGTCCTTCGACCAAAAAGTCCAAAGCGATGCCTTCCGCTGTCGACACTTGGACTTGGAGTACGAGTGATATGACTTCGAGAAGGCGGCCTGAGATGCGGGACTAGTCCAAGGCCAGTTGGTGCGGGAGTAGGATCCCGGTGGATTGGCTGAAGTGGAGTTGGTGATGGATTCCGCGAAGTCTCTCGTGATGCTAGAGTCATTGAAGTCTGAAGAGGAGATGAAGCTGCTCTCTGAGAAGAGATACTGCTACTTTTGCTATGCTTATAATTCACGCCCGTAAAGTTACTTTGAAGTACCGCAAAATCTCCAATTTGTGATCTCAGATCCGGAGCACCATCTCTACTAGGCCTTCTTGGAGGAGAGGGTCTATTGTTTGCCTCCAGCAATGGAGCTTGTGACCTTTGGGGGGATACATCAGGAGGAAGAGTAGTTCCGGTGTGTAGTGGATTTGGGCTTGCCCCGGTAGATGATATTTTTTCTTGAGCCAACTTCTTAAATTGATGAGAAGACTTACGAGGTGGTGGGCTAGGGGGAAGAGAAGACAAGGACTTTTCCTTTTTATGTACCTTATCCAGAGACTCTCCGTCGGCCTTGACTGTTGAATTAGATGATGAGGAATTAACAGACTCCCGCAACGAGGGAAGTTCACGTGAGTCAGCAACTGCATTGTTAAGCTCATTTGATGCGTCACTCTCGCGTCTCCTGGTAAGAGGTGGCTGGCTCCTGATGGGACTACTGCCTCTGCGGTTCGGAATACTAGACTTAAACGGCACGAAGATGCTAGGCGATACGGATGACATAGAAGTCGGGGTCGTGTCTCTGCTATAAGCGCTTAGACCTGGGGATCCAGAAAACCGCGTTGAAGGGCTTGCACTGTATCCACTACCACTATATCCGCTATACCTTTTGTGACTGGATCCTGAACTTAGAAAACCTGCAGACATCGAAGGAGTTGGAGGGGATATATCGGGAGTTGTTAACTTGTAAGGAATATTGGAAAGGAATTTAGCATTCAAGTCCTCGCGATTTTGTTCTGGTTTTGTCCGATATCTATCCAGTTCTGGTATGATCCGTGGTGGAACTTCCTTGATAGAAGAAGACGAACCCTTTCGAACTTGCTGTGAGGTTTCAATACGCGGCTGCAGTGGTTTAATTGAACTTTGAGGAGCAGCTTTAGCTCCCGGTGTATTCCCCCGGCTGGCAGGGGAGCTAGTGGCTGTTCTAGCTGTTGTAGGGCGACTAATCTCAGCATGTTGAGCTATCGATGAAGGCTTTCTTCTCAAAACGTTTCGAGATGGCTTTCCTTTGACGGCTGGAACGGGATTGGGGCTAGAAACACCTCTATCGAAACGGCTCTCGGATCCTAAGCGGGAGGTCATTGTTGGTCTAGACCCGGTCTCGGACTTTGTCCTTGGTACTGGGGAAGGTTGTCGTATGCTCGGTCGAGGCAGATTCGTCTGCTGATAAATTTCCGCATTTGTCCTTCTTGGCTCCTTTCTCGATTGAATAAACGCACTGTCCTCTCTCATTTGACTTGAATTACTGGCCTCTTGCGACTGGGTATGGCGTGGAACTCTTCTCTGAGACAAGGCAACATTTGGTCTCGATGGTAGACCAAACTGCAGATTGTTGGATGCCATGACGTCTTGGTTCAAGTAAACATTCTTCAAGAAAAGGTGTACTAGGATCCACCAGCGGTTATAAACAGCAGCAAGGGTACATGCTTGACATTCGATTCATATTATGTGATAATGAGGCTTGTTCTTGTCAGAGAGGTAGAATGTATCTCAAAACTAGAACCAGTGAGCAATTTGATAGAGGATGAGAGAAGTTGCAAAGTATCACCGTACCTTCTTACAACTTTTCTAGGTTAATCATTAGTAGGGATCTCATCTAATTGAGGTCTTTAATGCATAAGATTATTGAAATTCCAAGATGGTGTGGTGGTATGGCACGAAATTAAGTGGTGGCCAATATACTTGCGTTCAAGCACGTGAAGGCAAGAAATTGAGAATGGAATTGTATGGATCACCACCAGGGTAGGTATCTCAGGGAATATCGAAAGACAAAACGTTGTAGAAAGTGCAATAAGAAAATTAATCTGACGGATGTGTGTAATGAAATCCGGAAGCAACAGAAAAAGAGAAAAGGTAAAGAAAAATTGCCAGCGATTTTCTTAAGAATCTTCGAGGATTACTTGTGGTTGTTAATAATAAGGGTCGCACCTAGCAGGAAAGGATAGGGCCTAGAGTGTGGGGACTGTCACCCTATAGCTTCCGTTAAATAATGGAGACGATACCTTAGTCGAAAATGATGAGCCACTGATGGTTGAAGTTTTGTGCCTGCAGCTTAACGAAGGTGATATTCATTTATTTTTGGTCGTACTAAAAATGCGGGACGTAATGTAAGTCTGCGAGTCGATTTGGATATATGCAAAGGATATGTATGGAGAAAGCAGCATAGATTAAAATCCAAGAATCCCGGGTATGCGGTGGAGAAATACATGAGAGCAATCATGACTTCTGGGTATCCCAGAGACTGTAGGCTGTATAATAGGCTGTTGCGGTCATGTCCGGTACTTGCTTCGTGGCGCTATCATTACTGAGGCCCCATATGGTCGACGATTGTATAAAGAATTGGGCCGTTTTGTCGGTCATGAAATAGGCATATGACTGTGCCTCTGGAGTAGCCGATGAGACGAAGATCTTGATGTGAAAAAAGCTTAGTGACCCTCGACTGAGGGCCAAGATATAGATCCATTACGCTTCGTCATTTTCCAATTGCGTCGTGGATAAGAAGAATTCTCGGGTCCTGTAAGATTATCTGCATCATGAAAAGCAGGGCAAGAAGTAAAAACCTCAAGCCCGTAAAATATGCATGTGGAGCTGCAGAGCCCTGTAAAATTCATTAATTGATGTTATGCTGCGCCGGCGGTCATGTACAGTATGTATTTGAAGCCTATGATATTCTTCTCGGGCCTCATAATAAATCCATTGGCAAACGGTAAAGCTTGGTGAGGCATAATATACCTACCCAGTTAGCGCTTCGTAGGTATTTTTTCTGACATTGCTATGAACGAGTCAATTTTTGGTTAAGATCCGATTGAGGGGTTTCCTGTTAAACGCCAAGTCATCATTCGTCCAGTGTAACAAGGTCACATCGGTTAAAACCCCAAAGTGATAGATCGAGAAAGAATCACTGGAATATGTGATTCGAGAACTTCAATTGGTTCATGATTATCGAATATTTCGTAGTTCAAGGCGCGCTTGTTCCACAGATTGCTTTTCTTCGCCGTGTGCTGCGGGTCTTGCGCTTCTGCAATCATACGTTGGTACTTGATAAGTTGGTAATGCTGTACTTGGTTACCCCCTCACCGTTGTCATCGAACATCTTTTGTGTTATAATGGGCGTTGTGAAGCGCCCTACCTAGATAATTAGACGACATCAGCTTTCAGCGACAATCCCGTAAATTGGCCTCTCACACTGTGACCGGCTCGACCCTAACAATGCGGGGTTTAGATGAAATGACACGGTATCTAAAGCCTATAAGACCTAACATGAGTACATGAACCTTGTACCGCACACGGACCAGGTCAAATTAACCTTTATCCTTCAATCCGTCCTCGGAGTAATGTCAGATGCTTCTTCTCGTAGGATGAATGAGAAACACCTTCTATCCATATATTCAACCATACAAAGTTCTCACCATCGTGATGATCCTGAAGGATCTAGATGTAAACATTCGGAAATGCGATTTGATCGTTAGATGACATAGCTCGGCAGCCCCCCTGGATATTTTCAATGGCTCTAGACATCTCAAGGTCCTAATTGGCCTTAGGTGAATCGTTACTATCCAATTGTTCGTGAAAAGTTTTGTAAATCTTACAAATGGGTCGGGTCAAGAAAATTTCCCCTGAGTAAGCAGCTCACGGAAATTGCCCGAAGGGGAGAATAAAGATTTTCTCTAATGGATTAAATGTGCCTATCACCAACCAGGAATCTTAATAATTTTGGCAATCGTGGGAAAGCCTAGACGGGACGTGTCACTATGATTGGCATGAGAGGTACAGGGATAAAAATTGCGGCAAATCCTGCCCTTGGTATGGATATTGTTGTTCTGTAAACATAATTAGTTGCTTGATCTTGAACAAATATACGAAGCCATAATTTTGGGTCAACAAGTTCTGGTCTGACACCCGCAAGTTGGCAGTTGAGGCTCAGAGATATCTCTCACGTTCCATTTGGTGGCCTGAGAACGCCCTGAAAGTTACTCACGGTCTCCGTTCCTGAGCAAGCTGAGTTTTGCCAGCAGTGGAGGCGACTGTGCGTTGGCGGCGTAAATCACTGGAGACTTGTGGCGAAGTACATAACATACGACGATGGGGAACGCCACAAGTGGGAATAATAACATCTGTACAAGTTTGCTTGAACAGATTGTTGGAATATTCTATGCGTTGGCAGGCAAAATCTTTTTTTAAAATCATCAATTTGTGAAAATTCGTGAGACGCCCAGAGACGACCCGAAGAGAACCGTTTCTGGCAATGGGACCGATATCTTTCACAGCCAACAAAAGATGAAATTCAATAGGGCAGGGTTCTTAGGTCTCTAATTGGATAGCTGATGGTGTTCTGGTTTCCTTAACTTCGGGTCCAAATCAGTAACGTGACGGTGATATGTGTGGTTGTAAACCTGGTTCACTCTATTTCCTGGGAACAATAATGTCGTACAGAAACGGGGAAACTGCACGTCTGTGAGGTTATTGGTTAATGTTGATCCAAGATAGCCTTTACTGGCGCCGAGAGGATTTCTTTTTGTGTTTTTGTATTCCATCAGCACTTTACCTGGTAGATCTATCACACTTGCAAAAGTCACTTAGTGAACCCCATTCGCGGTACTTTGATTCCATCAGAAGAATGCCGCCGATCCTTCGGGGAGCTCGAAGGGTAATCGTTGGACGTGAAGAATCGAGTTGCGCTTCCCCTGGTACCATCAAAACCTTATCGTATCGTTTACTTGTAATACAAGTGGTTATTAGTTCCGTCCAGTGCGCTCACAACTGACAAGTTGAGCTATTGCTTCTCAAAATGAAATTTGATCGAGATCTGAGCCATGCACATAAATGTTGACAACCATTGAATAGAAAAGACACGACTGCAAAGTCCTGGTAGAACGGGCAGTTGTTTATTATGCATGGACAGAGCTTGTTTTGACGTATACAGGAGAAATCGGAGTCTTCACAGGATCCAGAACAAGGGAGAAGAATAATTGGGTTTAATGGTATTTCGAAAATGCTTAAGGCCGCTGACTTCCGTGGAAAATAAAAAATCACTAGTATACAGTAACGCTAGCTAATCGTGTTGCGATAGGAAGCTGTGTGACATCTTGGTATATATCTCCTTATTCAGCAGTCGCAAATCTCTTTGCTCTTGCTTCCGCCTTTGCCTTCTCTGCGGGATTGTCGGTGACACGGCCCACTGCAGACTGTTTAGGACCAGACTTTTGTGTATTCTTTGGGCCAGGTTGTGGTCTCCTGGAGTCTGGTGTTTGTCTTTTTGCGTTTCTTCCTCCTTGCCTACTCTCTTCCCGAGCTCTCTTTGGTCTCCTCTCCGGTAAGGCGCTATCCAATCCCTCAACAATCTTGCTGTTATCCACTCCAAACTTCTTCGCACGTTCTGCCAGTTTTGCGGCCTCCTCGCCCTCCGGAATATTGAACCTTTTGGCTCTCGCTGCACGTTTCTCAGCCTCCTTCTGTGCATCGGACTTTTCAATCCCGGCGCTGAAGTCCTGTTTCGGTGCTTCTGGTGCAGCTGCGACTTCGGTCTTTGTAGGACCTGATGCTGCGACTGCACCATCTTCAGCTGTTGGAACACCTTCACCTCCCGTAACTTTCAAATCTGTTGTTTTGGCAGGATCAATCGCAGGTTCCTGATTAGGAACTTTCGTAGGGTTCGGGATATCTTCTTTGGCTCCAGCAGCTACAAGCGCGGCAGTGGTCGTAGCTTTCTTTTCATCTTTTTTCTCATCGTCTTCGTCCCAGTCGATTTCGTCTTCTCCGGTGGTTGCTAGGAATTCTCAGTTTTGAGTCTAGGTCGTACTTGTTAATTGGACATACCTGTAGCTTCAGCAGCTGGCTTCTTTTCGGATTCTTGTAATCTCGCAATAAGATCTGCCTTGTTGCCGGAGATTGGTAAGGACTTCTCCTGAAGAAGCTTTTTGAGTTCAGGAACCTTGAGTTGTGAGTAGTCCGTCATGTTGGCTGTGCTATCGTGGTGTATGTCCGAGAATTGATAAAGTAATGGGAATTACAATGACGAAGCTGTATATTGATTGAGTTGATAGATGTCGAGGTCGAAGTCGTAATTAAAGTTAAGGTTGTTTGATGGAAAGTCCCTTGGAGCTAGAAACGCGTTGAATGTAGATGCGACCAAGTATTTCGCGACAATGTGGCTGTACCTTAAATGTTTAGTTCAGTATTGTGGCTGAAGTTGAGCTCGGACCATGTTGCCGTATTGTTGTGGATGTATTTGTCCGTCGGTATATCAAATTCGCGATACAACACATTATTACTATACGTATTCTGCATGTTAGACAGGCCCTTTGGGTATTATAACCTGAACCATGATCAGACCTCAAGTGAGGCTCAGGAGTTGAACACGATGTACCAGTCTAGATGTTTCGCAAGAGTGCCTTAAGTTTCTCGAAATATTGCTCGTCATGTATAGATCTTTATATACTTCACTACCTTACTAGAAGATGATTAAGGTTCCCGTGCTGCAGTAATGAAGTTTTATATTATTGCAAAAGTGGTCCTTGGTGTTCTATTGAGCTCCCTTTCATTCATTTACAGCGCATCTATCCCATTCCATCACATTAGATCTCAGTACGTAAATCTTCTACAGCTTTTGGCAGTTGATAAACCAATCAGCAACACAAACCTTTGTATGTAGATCTTCAACATTCTTCAACGGTGACAAGGTCCCGGAGTTTGGCTGAAGGCATATTTAATCCCGGTGCTGTTCGTGGTTTCTTGTTTCAAATTCCTTCTCGAACCTCCGGATAATGAGTAGTACGATCAGGGAGGTTTGGGGAACTTTCAGCAAGCTCGAAATGTGTTATTTAAATGCGTCTCGAGGTGCTATAAATACTAATGCGCGCCAACACAATACTCCTCTTGATTATCTTCCCTTTGGCGCCGAAGCTCTGATTATCCTATTGCCATTAGCACACCATGCCACCACCTGTTATAATACATTTGATGAGACATGCTCAGGTATGGATATCCACTTTGGCACCCAAAGATCTATTTTAATGTGTCGCTCACAGCACGATAGCTCGACTGGACGCTTATCTGATGGTGGAATGAAGCAGGCACTTGCCTTTGCCAAGTCATTCAAAGACGCACATCATATCACCCATATATTTTGCTCTCCTGAGATTCGATGCAAGCAAACTGCGGAGGTAGCTTTTCGAGAAGTGATTGCTCGTGGCATTCCATTTATGGTTGTACAAGAGCTTTCTGACAATCGAGGGATAGGTCTCTCCTTTATGTGGCGATATCTTAATCCCCTTGAGAGGAATGAGGTTATGATGATAAGTCATGGAAGTGTTTTACCAACACTTCTTCAACAACACCATGCCGGCTAGTTTCTCCCTTCAACGCGCTCACATTAGCCCGTTAAGTCATGGCTAATATGGATGTTCCTTAGATTACCGAGAACAAGACTTCCCTAATGTCGGAAGAAGAAGCTATATCCTGATACAACGTCTTGAGCATGTTGTTCCTGAAAGGTTGCCTAGGGAGAGGGGAGAGGCATATCCGCCGCCTACCTCTTGGATGGTCTTCAAACGCAAATCTGCAGCATTTTCCAGGGCTATGGTTAGATTTGTTTCTATCTGTTGATTTGTTGTTTGCATGGTAACTCTTTGGTTCTATTTGGTGAATCTATCATGTCTTTGTAGGAAAAATTTTGATCCTTCGTGATAGAGCCCCGATGGATGGCTACCCGGCTAAGTCTTTACTAAGCCGGCGAATTTAGGGCTTGGAACTTGGTCCTCGTCCTTACCTAATTCCTGTTTCTCTCGCCACTCAGCTTTATTCGTTTACCAACGAGGGGTGTTAGTTCATTTAATCCAAACTATACAGCCAAGTAATGGTCTACCAGCTGAGTTCTTGCAATGCTGATGCATCGATTGATTTATATGAGCTAGACATCTTTTCTATGCAGCAAACCTCTTTCGACTGTACATATTGATTCTTTGTTGGAAATGTTCTGGCTGAATTTGAAATCTGTCTCAAATCCACAATTTTCAGGTGATCTCCCTTACCCACATAATATATAGGTCGACAAGTAAACGACTTTCGCAAATAATAAGTCAGAGTTATAGTTCTATTATCGGAATACACGTGACACGTCCCAAACTCATTCGAAATCAAGTGAATTCAGATGCCCAGCCCCACTATCTATTGTGCCTCTAACAGTTTTCTGTCAACTGTGGCAATGAAATGTTTTGGGTTCGAAAGTGATATATCGGTGCCTGACAGGCCGCAACAATCGCTCATCCATAACTTTCAACAGCTCAGATACCACAGTCTCTTCTCATTTGGATAGTGCCAAAGTACCTTAAGCTTAAAATCATGAAGCCCTTATAAATTAATCATCTAGATACAGTCATAGCAACAAATACAGAGAAGATTAGCAAGCACTTGCTTGATAATGATTTGACACTCCGTCGTTTGACGTTGATGCACCTAATAGATCCCTTATATAACATGATGCTCCGGAAATGAAGCCGCTCGAATTACAGTTATCGACGCAACCTTTATGCTTCGCGACCTCATTCTTGGACCTGAAGAGTACCTCATGAGTTTTACTGTTAGTATTAAAATGTCCGTGTGATCTTTCTTAGTTAAGTATCCTAAACTATAAGTGCCATGGTGAAATATCATGGACCTCAAGAACCAAACGAGACCGTATGAGCATTCTCAAAGGTAACTAGCAATTTAACTAATGACCTTTGGCAGGGATTTGTACTCGCTAATGGAGCCGATAGGTGTGTTGATATTTTGTCCCAAAATCGATCACGGGCATCAATTGCATTCTTGAGGATATTCCGCCAGTAGTCGAGGCCGCCGCCAAAAACATCCCTTCAGAGCTTGCAGAAAGGATACACTTCATGGCCTATGATTTCTTCAGAGCACAACCCGTCAAGAATGCAGACGTAAATTTCCTCAAGATTGTCAAAGAGGTTATGAGGATGATATTAGAAGTAATATTCGAACCAACGGATATTCCACGATTGGTCCTATAAATACTGTATTTAAATACTTCATAACCATACTCCAGCCCTAAAAAAAGGTGCACGCATTACAATTAACGATAATGTGCTTCCCGAGCCAGGTGTTTTACCTGTCTGGAGCGAGGAAAGATCGGGATCGATGGATCTGACTATGATGGAGTTGCAGAATGCGAGGAAAAGGGAATTGAATGATTGGGCTAAGATATTTGAAGAAACGGATAGGGGTGTTAGGTTAAGGAGGGGAGGGGGACCTGGCGGAGCTAACTTTGGATTTTGGAGATGTCTAGGAGACGGATTCTATGACTGGATAGTTTGAGCGCCGCATGATTTTTTGAAGGAAGAATTAGCCACAAGCTATCCTTTGCATTTGGCTGCAGATACATCAGAAACAACCAAGGCTTGGGACATGCAATAGGGCTCTCCTGAATTCTTCCAACTAGATTCTAACAATTCTCAAATGTCTGAGACTTCTGTCCCATTCCTATTGGTGGAGCCTATATCTAATTTGGAATGGTCAATCATAATCAAGGGCATTGTTTACTTAAGACAAAGAACTGAATAACTCCAACTCTATATAGAGGATCACTATCTCAAAGAAATTTTCCTATACAACCGCAGTTCTCTTTACAAACAGCACACCAACAAAGAAACCCCCAAACAAACCCCCACCAACCTCCCCATCAAACGAGAACAAATCCCAACCCCAGATATAAAACCCCATTCCGCTCCCCACAACCAAAAAATCCCCCATCTCCAAAAGTCAGACCAGAAAAATCAGGTACTAGACGACGAACTCTGATGACCAGAAGAACCGATCCCGACACCGACAACTTTTGGAGTAACAACAACTGAACTTTCGAGACCTCACGAGGAATTGAAAATTACCCAACACAACTTTCTTTGAAGAGTTGGATGTGTTGGAGGTAGGTAGATTGCGAACATTTGGGTAACTTGCTAATATTTGATAGGGACGACCGAGGATTTCGGGAGATGGGATGTACCATGAACCTAGAAGGGGATTGCGAACCTGATTCTCTTTTTTTTTAATGAAATTTCTTGACGGAGAATGTTTTGGGACTTTTTTTTGCGGATGTGACATTTTTGTGATGGTGGTTTTGTTTGTGATGTTATGATGTGATGGAGAATTTTGTGAATTTAAATATTAGGAGATATTACGTGGGTTTATATAGCTGGAAACTACAATATATATATTACCCTGCAGATCATTGCAAGATTTTTGGTAATATTTTGAGTGAAAGGAGGAAACCCACTCGAGCCTGTACTTTTGTGGACACTTCCAGCTGTAAAATGACTGATTAATTCGCATTGTCAGATTTATATCAATCCGCCCCCTTCAACTAGGTATCAAGCCTCACATCAATATTTCAGACCAAAGTGCTGGGTGACAGAGACTGTTTCTCTGGATTATAACACACATCATTGATTGTTGTTGTGAAACCCTGGCATGGTGTCCAAAAGTGTATCTCCCAAATATCCTAATCATGTAATTAATATCATACTACGTCGAGTATCTAGCTCTCTCAGGTCAAAAGGTGCCAATTGGCTGCAATTATATGACTGCCATTCCAAAACTTACAACGCTAGTATGTGCATAGTAAGAAGTCTATCGTGAGGTAGAACTCGAATCCTATATGGTACGGCATGTCGTGTTGAGTTTCCGAGGAATCATCGCGACGTAAATCTCAGCTCACTCTAGATGGCGAATAGTGCACCTGTTCTTTTTTTGAGAATCTCATATGGGTTGTGTCCCATTCTAGCCATTCCACACAGTGGTAGAAAGGGGTAAAGTATATGGGTATTTATAGTTGGAATGAGTCCTGAGTCCTGGGCTATAACATTAGTTTCCCTAGAACTTCTAAGAAGACTCATTTTGATGACATACCTTTTATTGAAACAAATTCCATATCGGCTGCGCCCGGCGACAACATGACACAAAGTCCTCCATGTGCCCACTACTGCAATATGATTTGACATCGACAATGCCAAAACGCCCACGACTATAGGAAACTAAAAGGTGGTAATGCTTTCCATTCAACTTCGTCAGTACTAAGTCACGTTTCGACCAGGTCTAGTTCACATGATATCAACCGGGGGAACATCTCGGTCAAACACCGATATGATACCGAAGTTTTACCATGACCTGGGCTAGCAAAGGCAGTGCGTATTGTACTCCTCCGATTTCACGCTGACCACTAGGCCTAATATCTAGAAATAAATGCAATGCCATCGCAAAGCAACACCGGAACGTCTCTGCACTACAGCTATGGACTACGGACTTCTATACTGGAGCCCATTGTGTATCACCAATAGAACTTCTATTAAAGCGCAAAAAACAAACTCATGCATATCATCACTTTAAGCCAAAACGAACAACTATTTTGTTGCATATCTATTTCGCCTGAATCCGCGCTTTCTCTACCCCTAAAAGACTATCATATAGCTTACACAGGACTCAGGAGGAATCATCGGATAAACCCGACACAAGAACAGACAGTAAGATCTTACATACATACACCAAGAATCTGAATAAAAGCAAGCACTTGCCAAACTCTCGAGCAATAATCTCTCGGTAGATATCACAGCGATAATGCATAAATATGCAACAACGCAGTGTCAACAAACCCCCAGAAAGTGATTTGGCAACATTGCACAGATAATTCTTACATCTCACGCAATTCCACCATAGCATACCTACATGGCATAGCATGGCATAGCATAGCATAGCATAGCAGTAGCGAATTCGTGTCAGTCACCCCACTCGTCATACGAGAATCCCATAACATCATCATCATTCATTCCTTAATCTTATAAATTTTCCACAAAAGACTCGCATGGACGGACGAATGAATATAAAAGAAGAGATGCAACTTTTTGTTGCATGTCGCATTTTACGAGGTGGATGGAGTTGCTGTTTTTGGTAATTTTCTTTTCTTTCTTCGTGCTGCAGCTAGCTGGTGAGGTTTTTGGTGATGGGGAATTTGTAGAACTGGATAACTTGAGGTTAGACGGTAGGTAAGGTTACCTACCAGTACATATCCCAATTGTGAGGATGATATGATGGGGTGATGGGATGAGAGCAGAGATGTGAAGGACACCGTACATACCCCTGAAATGATCTCGGATACTTGCTGAATTGCTGAGGTGAGTGAAATTCTTTTGGATGTGGTTATGTATTGTAAGATTAAGCATAAACTGGGGTGAGGTTATTATTATTGTCCTCTTATAATATATGTGTTTATGCAATGCACATTCCTCAATCAACATTCTATCCATCTTCTACTCTAATGACAATTATTAACATCACCAAAAACAACAGTAAAAATAAGCCATATTAGAACCGCTATACTCAACTCCCTTCCCTCCTTCGCTCCCCAACCTTCCCGATAAAAATCCTCAACCTCAAAACTCCTCTCGCTCTTGACTCGTCCCCCAAATCATCGCCCCATATCCTGACTCAGTTCCTCTAAACACCCCCGAAAGAGCACGTCAACAAAGACCCACCCGCAACGAAAAAACCGGGCCATCAATCCAAGGTCCTCACAACAACTGACTCGACCGAGGATTTACGATATGCAACAAAGAATTTTACGCAACCCTGAAAAATAAAAATCAGTGATAAGTGGATTTTGAGGACTCTTTGAGCTCTCTGAGAAGAAGAAGAAGAAGACGAAGAAGCAGGACAGGGAAGAAAGATGAGCTGGATATGTAATGAAATAATGTACGGAGATGGGAAGGGAAGGTGGGGTTCGGGAATGCTGGATCACTGCAGATTTGCGGTGGTATTGGCGGGAGGATACAGGTAGGTGTGACGGTTTGGAAGCATAATCTTGCGTGTTTATTAATATTCTTGCTTCTCATGGTGTAAGGTTACGAAGATGATATGTATTGTATTGGATTGGATTGTGAAATTATGACATCGACTGTTACACGAGGAAACTAAGAGTCGAAAACGAGGGGGCCTCAGGGGGGGAATTGTGCGGAAAAATGAAGAAAAGGTATACGCCATCGCAAACCAAACGCCCCCATCCGCAAATATGGGGAAAAGAAAGCCGTATTGCCCCAATCAAACGCTGAGTTTCTTCAAAACTATCCTTCCTTTACAGCTTCAATAATACTTCCAGCCCAGCAAGTTCCCATCCTCTCGCACTCTTCCACAATTCCAGCATCATCCCACCACCACTTCCCACCTTCGACATAACTTCCCCACAATTCTTTCCACAGCATTCTTCCCATCACGCTCTTCAGCTGCCATTCTACTTGTTCTTCTCCATTTACGATGCCAACACATGCTAGGAATTTCAGAGACGAGGTGCAGCTCCCCTCAGCCCATAGTCCGGCATCTGCCAACCATAATGGAAATAGACGGGTGGGGTTTAGACAACGGAATTGTTTCTCAAGATTTACTGTTAGGTGAGTGTCGAGCCAAGCTCGCAGGCGCGGGCCAAGTGAAGAGGGAACTGGACAAGGATCGAGGATGGTTAAATAAAGAATGCCAGGTTGAGTGGACGCAACTGTACTAACTGACGTAGATGAGACTGGCGTTTCTGATGTTGAATTTCGGGCAGAGATGAGGGTACGGTGACACTCTTTGAGTATATTGGGGATAGAAGATGAAGGGAGTAAAGATGGTAGACCCAGAGAGTGAATTGCAACGAAAATATTTGAGGCATAAGATAGTTGTGAAGTTGGGCCTGGAATGGCAAGAGGATGAATATTCGGATAAGATCTTGGCGACAGAGGGTTTGTGGAGATGTGGTGTATTTGTCTTTCCGGATTTAAAGCCGACAGGAAAGATGCAGAAGCTGTTTATGTGAGTATGCGACTAGGGACAATGGAGAGAGGACTCACCGTGATTCTCGTACAATGAAAGCATCTTTCCAGCTTGCGGTGCTCCAGTGAGCGCCCGGGAAGCATCACGGGTTTTAGCAACGCGGTTAATCGCTCGCAAGGCAGTGAGCATCCAGAGCTGTTTTTCCAGCTCAAGTTCTCGATATACTGAAGCGTCGGCCACTTGCATCCATTCTTCCTTCAATCTTTCCAGAATAATCTTATTGCTTGCGGCTTCCATTTTACGAATATTCATTTGCAAATGTGTCTGCTCCGAGTTAGAAGGCGAGCGATTACGGCCACGAGCTTTTCTCCTTCGTCGTGACCCCGAAGACTTCAATGAGGCGACTGATGATGCCGTTTCTTCTGCCGGACATGCCCATGTTTCGGGAGGTCTCCACGAATCTGAACGCCTGTTCCTCGCTGTAATTGACCACTCGGTGGTTCTAGCACCGATGTCACTTCTGGAGCTTAACATTTTCGGAGAGCTTGGTATCTTTGGGGTTTCGGGATTGTGTGTAGGTGGAAGTGGGAAGTCATATGTTGAGGAAGTTGATGATAAAGCAGATCTAATGTGTCAGCGAGAAGTTGACAGGGGTAGGTTAACCTTTCTTACTCTCTTATGGTGGAGTCGTGGATCTGAATTGGAACTGTTCCTGAAGTGATATGAACGACAGTGGCAAGTTGTTCGGAGGCACTGAAATCCTCACTTGGGGCGACGGTGACCTCAGTACTTTGAGTGACAAAAGAATTTGGGCTCAGAGGTTGAATGAAACGATTCTTGCTTTGTCCATCTGCCATAGAGCCCCATGATGACTTGGTTCCGGCTGATCTACCAGTATAACCAGAGAAAATAGACTCTGTTCAAGATCAGTTTGAGATCAATGCCAGTGGAAGAGAGCTTACCGTCCGAAGGACTTCTCTCGGATTCTTGGTACGGTTGAACTGTTGAAAAGAATCCATTTACTGGAATACGCGTGATAGTTGTCGTAGTCGTTTCACGTACCTCTTGTGTTGATGTCTCCGAAGTGCTGGTATAGCTTGACATTCGACGAGAAACTTTTGAAGACTGTTCGGTCCTGAATTCTGGCGATTTGGGAGAGGTCACTGCTGCTGGGGCTGATACCTTCTTGTTGCCACTCCCAAAGAATCCAAAGATAGAGTGCTTGATTGACTTGGATGAATCGCTGGAATTTGAGCTCCGTATTGACGGCGATGATCCTCTGGTAGACGTTTGGTCCTTGCGATGTTTCCTCTGGCCAACGGTTTCCCGTGTAGGATCAGTCCACGAAACGTCGAACATGTTTGAAAATAATGCGGTTTGTAGCAGGTTGATTCTGCAATTGGAAGGAGGGGAAGTACCCTTGAAATTCAGCAATATGGTTAAGAGGAAAGAAACATTAGTATACGTGGAGATGATTCACAAGAACACAATATGATATATGTCCTCCGGTAGTCCTACCATGATGTTTGTTTCAGGAGGTCAAATATGTTATCGCTCATGCGAGGAGTTTTCATTTGCATGGTGGATGTGGCGGGATGTGGACTAGTCTCCCTCTCTTAAGCATGGTTTCACATACTTTTTTTTGCAGAATATCTCATCATTGAACTGCATCATCCCGTGCGCCGAGTAAGATCAGGTCGTCAATCCGGCTAGTAGCTTTGAAAGCTGGATGATGGAAGAGTTTTCTGAAGGACACAGCATTTGGTAAGCAATAGAAAATGAGAAAATATTAAATACCTGCTGTACATGGTCGGACGACTCAATGAACGATGAATGTAATTTGGATGAGAATAGTAGAAAGGGGAAGTAAGAGCATGAAGGGAAAAAGGAACAAGGCATCTTACCTTCCACCTCAAAAAGGTCTAATTCGGGAAGAGCCACGATCATATTTCGCAAATGTGATCAGTAACAAACATTTATCAAGCACAAAAAGAAAAAGAATCAGAGAAAAACTTTCTTCTTACTTCCCATCACAGCACAAAAACCGGTATTAGTCAATCAAACATTTAATTAATATTTATCCTCTCAACGTTGAACGTTCTTCTTCTTTTCTTCCTTTCCATCCGAATTAATCAATAAAACCCGATATAGATTTTCGTCCGATCCATTCTGTAACTCAATATCTACTAGGTATTCTGTGGTCACGATTTTCAGGTGATTATTGTATGACATGCATGTTCCCGAATCATGTCGTCTTCATCTCTTCATCCATTGTTAATTCCCCTGTAGTGTTCACCACTTTCTGCAAATCTCATGCGGCAGCGGTCGGGACCAGGCCCAAAAGCTGTGTCCTGCAAGCCGTAAAAAGGCATCACAGGCTGATCAGTGGGGTTTATGTCTCACAACAAAAGCCACAGGTTCACGAGAGCCCCACGATGAAATATGGAAAAAGTGGTGGTACCTGCATTCATTTATTCAATATTTCCAATGGGATCATCCAATTCTTATGAACCTCATCGAGGAGCTGCTGAAAGTTATGCCAAGTTATCATGAACGGAAGGAATAGCATTACGCCCGGAAACGTTGATTCACAGGATATTCCGATCTATCACAAAGAGGCGTTCCCCAACCATCATTACTCAAATGTCATTATCCGTTCATTGGTATGCGAACCAAACTCAGCCTATCAATGTGTTCCCATTGTATCCCTTGCCGAATTATGCAGTCCGACGCGGTAGTCCGCAGTGATGCCCGCTTAATCCCCAGTTTCAAAGGGCCACAGCAAGGACTACTTTATACGTAGAAAATCTACTCACAAAGCCATTGTTGTTTTTGATCATGAGGGGCTGGCAAAATTGATCGAACTGCAAATTGAAGTTTACGTTCCGATCATTATCTTCGACCGTCAAAGAGTTCCTCTTTCAGTCCAGATGCTTCCGCTGTCATATCAGAAGTTTGTTCCGAAAACCACTCAAGCTTTTTACCGTTACTGTATAACTTCTACCATTTTCCCACGTTCTTCTCGTGTGCTTTAAGCTTGGCAGGAACTACGTATCGCTGTCTACACATCATGCTATCTATTAAAGAGTATATCGACAATCTCAACACGAGAGCCTCCAAATCAACATTTGGCAGAGTTTTTCGCCTTGATGGATGTGGTCATGTACGTATTCAAGTACTTAATCCAATCTTTATGAGATACTTACCAGTACTAGGAACAACAAAAGAAGAGTGCAAAGTTCATTACGGAAATCAGAGCTGGGGTGACGACCTTTTTCACAATGGCATATATCATCGCCGTCAATGTATGCAGAGTTCCTTGAAGAAATATAACATCCCTCTAATATTGCTTCAAGTCAACGGTTCTATCACAGAGCGGTGGCCCCTGTATCTGTTCCGACACAGAAGATCCGTCATGTGCAACAGATTCAGACTACGCCGCTTGTGTTCTTGGTTAGTAAATATCTGGTTCTCGAATGTTCTGTTTCCAATGCTGATTCTATCTAGATATCAATCGTGATATGATTACTGCAACTGCAGCGGTGGCAGGCATAGGATCTTTGGCATTTGGCTTCTTCACTAATCTACCGGTCGCTTTGGCGTGAGTATATACTCCAAAATAGTACTTCACAGACGGAAACTAATGTTCTTAGACCTGGGATGGGCCTGAATGCATACTTTACTTACCAAGTTGTTGGTTTTCATGGGACTGGGACTGTTCCTTATCGCTTGGCACTCACTGCAGTATTCATAGAAGGATTCATTTTCGTTTTTTTATCTTTAATTGGCATGCGACAATGGCTTGTAAAGGTAATACCTGCTTCAATTAAGGTCGCCAGCGGTGTCGGGATTGGCCTGTTTTTAACAGAAACCGGAATGTCATACTCTGCAGGGATTGGTGCTATGACTGGCTCCGCAGTAACTCCCACAGCCCTAGGAGGGTGCCCTCCTCGCTATCTCGACGTCACAGGGGCCTGTACCAGTCACCAAATGACGAACCCTACGGTTAGATTCCTCCCCTGTATTATCCTCACCGTGAAAATTTTTACTAACTTTTTACAGATGTGGATCGGAATTATCTTCGGAGGTTTCTTAACTGCATACCTAATGGCATTTAGATTCAAATCCGCCATAATTATCGGCATTGCAATTGTATCTATCTTCTCATGGCCGTAAGTAAATCAAAGAGATTTTGCTTCACCAGCTAACATGTATGGCAGGCGTGGCACGACCTTTACGTATTTCCCGTACACTCCAGATGGTGAATCACGTTTCCAATTCTTCAAACAAGTTGTCGCATTTCATCCCATTCGCAACACACTCGCTGCACAGGATTGGGATATCACTGCTGCAGGCTCTCACTTTGCTTTGGCGCTTTTTACTTTCTTATATGTCGACATCATCGATTGTACCGCTACTTTGTATTCCATGGCGCGCTTTTCAGGAGCAGTCGATACGAAAACTGGAGATTTCCCCCGCTCTACCATAGCATATTGTACGGACGCCATGACAATTTCTATCGGCTCTTTGTTTGGATGTTCACCTGTAACTGCATTCATTGAATCTGGTGCTGGTATAACTGAGGGCGGCCGGACAGGCCTCACAGCTATCACAACTGGTGTCTGCTTTCTGATATCCATTTTCTTCGCTCCCATCTTCGCATCAATTCCTCCATGGGCTACTGGATGTACTCTTATCCTGGTAGGATGTATGATGATGCGTCAAGTTGTTTCAGTTAACTGGTCTTACATTGGCGACGCCCTCCCAGCTTTCGTCACTATCGTCTCGATCCCTTATACATACTCCGTTGCATATGGACTGATTGCCGGTCTAATGACATATACCGCTCTCAATGGATCCGTATATTTAACGCAAAAGATTTCCAGGGGTAGATTGACTCCACCAGATGCTGACAATGCTGAATACTGGACATACAAACCAAGCGGCGGTACGGCACCATGGTTTATTAGAGTCGCACATCGAAAGTTCTGGCATAGAGGCGATATGGAAAGTATTGATGGAAACTCGGCTACCATGGAACATGAATTAGCTGAGAAGAGACGCTCTGAGATTAGATCCTCTGATCTTTGATCAAATCGATTTATGCACACGGTACTCTTCTGCTTTACGGTTATAGTTCATGGATATTTACACAGTGCGTATTGGTATAATAGGACTCGAAAAATGGTTTTGATATAAAAAATTTCATGGAATGGTAAGTTGTATTGAATGGTATATTTGTTGGTTTTAATAGAGAGATGACTTATGGGCATGATAGCTTGCTTGCATGAGGGTATGAAGTATAAAGGAAAAGGTTTGGTTTGATGGATGAATTATGGATAAAAAATCGAGATAACGTAGTTAGATTCTTTGAAAGATCAGTATAGGAAATAAAATAGGCATCAAAATTTGTGTTAATTAACTGCTTTCCTTTTGGTTCTCTACAAGAAGTGCTTATAGTACATACAAGTATCTCGCAACTTCTAAGAACATTTTTACTCATATTTAATATCTCACCCCAAGGATTGCATTTCCTGAGCACAATGTAATACTCAACGCATTTTGTAAGATCAGAAGCTGCGGTTTTAATCAAGGCATCTAGATAGATGTAAGATTGATTTTTATTTTTCCACCGATTTGAATAAATGTATTGATATATCTATCTATCTATCCACAGTCAGAAAAATCAAACAAAAATGTAGATTAATCTTGATTTCTAAAACCCATAAGAAATCTTCCCGCTCAATAGTATCAACAACCATTATCAAAAATAGTTTTTAGAATATTTATAGGAATTGGGTGTTAGGATCCCGTGTACGAGAATAAAATTTCTCGGTCTTGCTTTTAAATTTTAAATTTCATATTTAATATTTATGATTGATTTATCACGGCTCTGCTAGCTTAGTTTTCCTTTTGTTTATAATTCATGAGAATTATTAACTAGCTGTTCTTTAGACGGAGCTATTTAATTAGACTTAAACGTGTACAGTTTCAAATGTTTTTATTTTTTATTTTTGAAGGAAGTCGATATTTTTTGTATGAGGTTATGGGATTCTGATCGTAGATTATGAGGTTGGAGATAATTATTTGATGTTTTATTTTGATATATCTTTCTATAAGTCTAGTACCCTACTTTCCGGCCACCCCTAATTCCGGACATCTTTTCACACCAAAGATTATCATTTTCACCTATTAATATTTCAACAACCAATAAATTAAATCGATTGAAATTTGAATTTAAGATTTATTATATAGTTATCAGTCGATCTTGAAAATTTCAGATTTTTCACTATTGATTTGATTGAGATCTGAAAGGTTAAATTTTAGAATTTTCAATTTGTATAGGATTTACATACAAAATTGAAAAATTATTAAAACCTTCAATAACTTTTGAACAAAAATTATTAAAAATAAATTATAAATATTTTTCGAATATTTATATAATAATTGATAAAATAAATCAATTTATTTTGAAAAATAATTTACAGAAATCCTTTTAATCAAAATATTGTAATTTTTAATCTCTATAAAATTTATAAATATCAATAAAGATTTATTTATATTATTAAAAATTCAAAATCTTAATCTATTATATAAAATTTGATTTGAAGATTTCACAAAAATTTATTGAAGTTTTTCAAGTTTTTCAAATTTGTATGTAAATCCTATACAAATTGAAAATCGTAATTTCAACTTTCAATTACTTAACCAATAAAATCGCGAAAAATCTGAAATTTCTAGAATCTATTAGTAATTACATAATATATATATGATTCAAATTTCATCAAGTTTTAATGATTAATTGTGAAGTTATTAATAGCTGAAAATGATGATTTTCAGTGTAAAAAGGTGTCCGGAAAGAGGGGTGGCCGGAAAGTAGGGTACTAGACTTATCATCAGATTTATATATAATCTTATATAACCGAATAACCTAGTTAGATAAATAAGATCATATTACACTTAAGAGAGTAAGGAATTTCGGCTTTGGGTAACCTTATCACAAAAGAAAGGCATATAATAGAAAAGATGATATTTTTGCTTGCTCGAAGTCCAAGAGTACGAGTAAATTTAACAATCATTCGAGGGCTCACTTGTGTGATGATTTCAAGACAATAATTTTGCTTTAAATCATATTAACGCCAACATAACTCATGAATCAACAGTAATACCATCAAGTCTAACCGCAATTTGCAAAAAAGGCTCAAATCTAAATTCAGAACCAAGCAAATCAACACCCCTGCTCATCTCTTGAACTACACAGCAACAACACTCCCCCGACATTCGAATCCGAACAATAAACGAAGGCAAAGAGCCAGAAACTAGAGACGCGAAACCAAAGAGAAAAAACCCAAAACAAACTATGAGAAGCAGGATTGGTCTCTTGTTATCATTCCGCCTAATCAAATTTGTTAAAGCTGCGGTCAGGTGAGTACTTACTTGTCCCCTATTCTCCGAGAAGACAGCATCAGAAATAGTTGCATATTTTTCGAAGGTGATACCATAGCCTGCAATTTTGCTTTTGAGGTCTCTGGCAAATTTTGCCACTTTCTCTGCGGGAGCATTATGATTATGGTCCAGCCGGATAATATGGAGTCTAGAAATCTTGGTCCCCGTAATTACAAACTTGAAGATGCGATCCTTACTCTTAAGCATACAAGAAGACTTATTCTTTGATTGTCCGGATAAGTTTAAGTCTGCATCTTTGAATGCGAGTGTAGGTTGATGAAGATATCTGGGGATAGCCTCTAAGAATTGATGTTGAACACTAAAGCCGAATTTCTTTATTCATTAATTTTTGGCAGCAACTTATTACTCACCGAAAAGAAATTTGTGTTAGCTGGAATTCCCAGAGAAGCCAACCCCCCTTGTAAGATTAATCTCTTGTTCTCTTCAGGTTTATACTCAGCCATCTTTCGCATTTCGCTTTCTAATTCATCCGGAAGTAACTTCTTGAAAATTTGCCCCGGAAGGATCAAACAGATTGGTCGCCGACTGCCCCCAAATTCAAACAGCATGATTGAGGGTCGAAACGCAAGATTGGGTATTCTACATAAGTCAGCAACAGAAGCCTTCAGAAATATGTTATTTAGACAAGTGGAGGGAAGAACTTACTGTTACTCATATAGTTATAAACACTCGTACTCATACCCGAGACTCCTTTGGCGTCCGTTGGCATGAAAGTGGTAAGCCCGGCATCTCGCGCACCAACACCGCGGATGACTCTGATCTTAGGATTTACGCCATTGAAGGTCACCCGCAAGTCAATGAGATCGTCATGGTCAACATTCGGCGGAATCTTAGTCCGCCAACGCCTAATGATTCAATCATGCAGTATACAGCCAGGGAAAAATACGGAGATTGAGGTGTTAACTTTCAAAAGCACCGACCCGACAGCAGGCCACATCGATGTGAAAAAACCAGTTCTAGTAAAAAATGTTGGTTCGCCCGTCGCTGGAACCTGCCGGGAGGTTATAAAACCCCTATCAGCAGGATATAACCTCTCCCCGACACGGATCCGTCAAAAAATGCCACATTCTGCGCATTGTAACCATTGATGTTGAACCATGATGATGTTCATCATCCTCAGTTCAGAGTCTGGTACGAATAACGAAGTGTTCGAAGCGACATGAGCCTGCAAGGCTTCTCGTTGAAAAGAGCCTTCGTAGATGATGGAGCTTTGCATCGCGACCCAAGTTCCATTCTGACCAGGACGATGATGAAGCACATTAGTGACTGTGCCACTGAATGAGAACAAACCGGGTAAAGTTTTCCGACAGAAACAATATATTCAATAGTCCGAAACCCAGATTCCTGAAGGGGAATGCTGTTCTAGTAGGGCTTTGATAAGAGCACGACGGAGTCCACGTTTGACAATGTCCTTTGAATTGATTTGATCGAGTTGAGTTCGATAACTTCGAAGATCTAGGCTTGAAGCGAAATTGACTTCGAAGTAGTTGGCTTGAACGGCCACATGTTGAACATTGGTAGATGTTGCCTTACGATATACCAATTTTTGGAAACCACTGGCCCATTTATCTGCTTCAATTTCCTTTTCTGTATTTGCTGGGGCAACGAATTTCGCGCCCAGTTGTATTGAGCTGAGCTGGGTGAACGAGCTTGGACTTGGAATTGTGGTTGCGCTTGTGGTACAGCGTTAATCATCGTGTGGACTTTTTGTGAACGACCGGTATGTCAATTCGATAGGACTGGCTGCGGCTAATTCTTTTGAAGGTCTCTTTCCATGTACGCCTCATACTTTTCTTGTGTATATTGCTCAGGATCGGGAGCATTTCTGAAAGGACATATTTGCTTTTTATGCAGATGTCCGCAAGTATTACAGATACTGTGTATGGCATCGTTCTTTTTGGGACAGCGAAAACATGAATGATGGGGGCTGTAACAGATATCACAAACTTGATCTTTCCAGAATGGCCATTTTTCTTCACAGGAATGGGTAAAGTGGCTGGTATTCTCCGGTGCATTTGAGCATTTTGAACATTTACGTGGCAACAACGACATCCTTAGTAAGCTGAGATGTTTCTAGAAAAAGGATTTCAGTGTAATCTTACCGTATGAACAACGCTTTGCCCATTAGTATGCGGACATTCTTGACTACTTATGCTTCATGTCCCAGGAATCTTGCTGGATTGCCGCTGGATTGCCGGATCAAGAGAATGGCAGTGGAAAATGATCGACATTGTGAGAACTGACAATCTACAGTATTATCATGGAAAGGTTGTGGAAATAAAACAGGATTGCCTTCAAAAAATGTCATGGCGCAAACTTCCACTTGGTTCATGTGAACATAACATGTTTGATATTCAGTAACATCATGGACATGAAGAAAGACAATGGTAGACTGACAAACAAATTTGGGGCTTTTACGGGCTTGTTGCCCAGGAACAATCTATATGAGGCCCTGTGTGGGAATTGAAGAACCACACTATGATCTTCATTTCTCCTAAACATAATGTTTCCATACTGCCATTTCCATCCATGCACTCGTACGTACACATCTCGTATCGTTTTGAGTCGCAAGGCAGCGCACAACCTTCCTTCTATACCACATGCTCAATGGCTAAAGTCTTGAAATTGGTTTCTGGCCCTTATTGGTAGTTTAAATTCCTCATAAATAGGAAGGTTCGCAGTCCTAATTTGGCTATCCACCGCCACCATATTATATTCAATGGGGTATATCTGCAGTACGTGGTCAATTTCGAATCATATAAGTGTCTCTATGCTGCATGCTTGTTCATAATACCCTCGGACGTTGCTAGAAATTGTAAGAATTTTGTGCGGCTTTGTCTTCGAGGATGGATTGCGGTCGGCGTGAATGAGGACTGAAGTGGGAACTAGAGGCAGTCGACTGAACCCATATAATCAGAGTAAAAGCCGGCTGCCACATTAGTACACTCCATATGTTGCTGATGCAAGTCTGCGAGTAGTTGGTGGTCTTCCTTGAATAGTCTTTTTTCGTTAGTGAAGCTCTTTTCTGTAGTCCATGATTTTGGGATAAGGTTAAAAGTGGAGCGATGCCACACCTGAGTTCCTTCATAAGTACCGCCAAAAGCTACCACCGCGACTGCACCCAGCGAAGGTGTACCATCCATCAAGGATGAATGAATTTTGTCGGTTGAAATGAAACTGTGCTTCGAAGTCTAAGTTTTACGTCCACGCAAGACACACCCCATCGAGTGTTGGGTGGCTGGAGCTGTGTCGCTATCCGCCGCCACAGTTAGTACCACATATGTTAAAGCACTGAATTCTCCGTTTTACACTTTGATGGCAGGATACCATAGTCCTTCCTGGCCAGACGAAATGATTGACATAGGGTAGCAAAACCCCTGATTCAAAAACCTTATTGCCTCCAATGAAAATCGAACCCTTGTGCGCGTACCTTTCCATGGTTTAGGTCTATGGACATGATGCAAGCTACACATGCAAGCTACATGCCTTCCAAAGCATTTAGAGACGAGTTGTCTCAAACTCTTAAGCTAAGTGGAAAAATAGGATGGAGATCAGGGTATAGCGGATCCAATATCAACGTCTTGAACGTGGTATCTACATTCATTATTCAAGTCGAAAAGAATCATTTACCCGCGATATCTTACCGCATATGTTATATCACTTTTTGAAGTCTGCAAGGAAATATATATACGTCGTATATTCATTAAATCATAAAACAGCGCAAACTCCTTGCCTGTTCGATTCCTGCCTGATCGCTCATTCAAAGTCTATCCGAAACGAGATCTGCCACCTCTTCCATTTTCTGTTGTCCAGCTCCGTCAAATAACGAAAGGTACCACCCGTATCCTTTGAATTTCCGAATCTACTTTATTCAACCCCAATACAAAAGCTCAACGGACAGCTCGTGTTCCTTGACCAATTTACCCTAGAACATTCATTTTGTAGGTGAAGACTGCTCAACTGCCTTCTTGACTGTGCGTTGAATGGGAATCGATCCATTTTGCTGTGCCGTGCCAGATGAAGTTGTATCTGACTTGGACGGGACTAGATAAGTCTCATACCCTGGTAGCTTCTCAAGGTCTTCCTTTAGTTGGGCTACTAATTTTGGATTATTAGCCACCTCTGCATTGCGGATGAGATAGTATTTATGGGCGATATCGCGTGCATTTGCGCAATCCTTCAATTTTTTGGTGTTATTTGTGTCCTCGGTCGTGCCCAATAGGCCGAGCTCCATCTCTTCGAATTCACACTTTAGCTTGAGATATATATTTTGTAGGCGCTCTTCTTCTTCATCTGCAATTGTTTAGCTATTTTGCCATAACTTGCTCCGCATTCAGGGAGACTTACCTATTTGATCTGTTGTGTGTGCTACCCTGCTGTTTGTTGTTGCCATAAGGTTTGGAACGCCGAGTAAATTGTCCTTTTGTATCGATCGAGCTCCGATTATAAGATCGCATTGTGAATATGGTGAGACGAGAAACCTCATGTTATGGAAGACCCGTGTACTTTTATCGTAATACCAGGTTAAGTAGATGGCTCCTTCTGGCACCTGGATCAGAACCGATTAGTTCAACTCTCAGCGAATGAGTCGAATCGATATCTATCGTTTCCTTTCTTTGGTACCACAACAAGAGAAGAGTTTCGAAACTTACGAGTTTATGCCCTGTCACTCCGAAGCCGCCTTCCTTTTCTGCCGCTGTCAAAGAGACAAAGTTCGCTTCCGAATACTGCAGAACTTTCTCAACGAATTCCCTCGAGACGATGTTGCCCTGCATGTTACCGGTATCGATGGTGCATTTTGCACGCTTGATCACTGGATGTTTGTCCGTATCTCTACGTGTCGATACAACATGTACCGGGAGTACCCACGGAGAACTCTCCATCTATCATGTTCATTAGTAGAGCTTTGGTGCAGAGAAAATATCCGTTACTTGCATCGAACGACACGCCCTTGACGGGTCCTGGAGAGCTATTTTCCATTTTCTTCGGCATTGGAACACAGAAAACGATTCGAACAATTGCCAGTATATGATCTAAACAAGTATAATTTGACGGTGTTATGTTAGAAGAATCTTCATAAGGGGCGATTTGAGCATCCTCCTCAACGTGTGTGACTCTAGACAGGCTGGACCTCGCAGATCGTTCGGAGGTAGGGACAGATCCAGATCGTCCAAGTTTTGTATTTGTAGCTCTGGTTTTGATGGGAGGGGAGAGGAAGCCGTTTGAATCAATGTTCTTCGGATAATCTATGAAGGTTAGCGTCAAGAAACGTCACATTTCGCTTCGCATGCGTGTTACCTGTCATGTTTTTGATAGCCGCCTCAATAGTCTTTTGCTTGTTCTAGCAATTAATTGATGTGGTAAAGCATCAAAAGCTGGTACTTTTCCGATTGACTGAACATTGGACGGATGATTTGTTTGGCATTTTATAAGCTTTTATGCTGAGTCCCAATCGCGGAGGAGCCGCACAGTTTTTACCCAATTCGTCACAATGGCGACTTATGAGGCGTAAAGATCACCTCTCGGATTGCCTTCAATTGCCTTTCCAGATATGGCCAGCAGACATTCTCTGGCTGAGCAATTTACAATGCCGAATTGAGACATGAAGTTGGACCCCAATGGATGATAACGGGGCGGACTCCAAGTTGCCGCCCGCCTACCAATCATTCATGTGGCTTGATTGCATGACTGGGTTTGATTAGCTGGGAAGGATTGAAATTCTTTTCTCCAGAAGACAGGCGAAGGGCGCAGAAAGTGGAAAGATCCAAAACATACCGCTCCTCAGGCTGAAATTCTCGAAAGGATTCGCCGCCACATTCGACTGCGATGCGAACATTGAACAGGATTCCCAAGAAATGTTCGTGTAATACTGGCATAACTGAAACATTTAGCCATTAAGCTCTGGCAATGATTAATAGAAAGACCGTGTAAAAGCTTCAATTCAAACAACATTAATTCTCGAAAATATTGGAAAGATTCAAAAAGAACATGCCTAGTGGCATGGGCTCTCATATACTCGAGCTTTTGAGATCGCAAATACACAGCAAGAGCCTTATTGCTGATTTCATACAGAGCCTCATAATTTTCCGATTTGTTCAATTGCATTACATATGCTTGATATGCGATAATTCACCTGGCTCCGTTCATTGGACGCCAACGCCAACGCATCCTGCTTTCATCCGCGAGAATTATCTTCACCGTTTAGCACTTCCAATTAGCTTTTTGGAAATGGTTAATTTAAAGAGCTCATTTTAGAATGATATTCGATGCCGTGCGACTTTTTAATGCTTGGAAAATTGGAACGTCTACACCTGACATTTTCGCTGCTTCCAGAATGTCAACATCAGTCAGTACATATACACGGCCGTGAAGTTTCAGTTGTGTGACCGACTCGCAACTCCAGCCTCACTGCGCATGAAACTGTATTGGTAGTCCTCCCACAGCGTATTTATCGTCGCTCTAGACACAACATCAATTTGTTCCTGGAATTACACTTTTCAACTCTTTTCCAGTCTGTTTTTTCACCCTTGTTGCGAGTACTCTAATTTAGATACTAGATGTTTTTGGCTGCTTCACAGAAAAGCGAATTACAGTTTGGAAGTTAGATTTTAGTGGATTTAATTAGGGGTCCCTAGGTTGAAAATCACGTATTCTTGTGCTATTGATGGCGGGTTCTTGCTCACAATAGATGTAAAGTGCCTATTTATCCGGCCACAAATGATATGCAAATCCAGACAACCATCCTCTACGGCCCACACTTGACCATGAAATGCTGTAATCAGCCTTTAATGTTGCATCTCTTCGATTTTTAATGAAGAAATATGACAGGGAGTAGTAAATATAAGAGGATGGACCTAGGAGCCCTTGGTTTAGCTATCATTCTCCTTTAGCATTTTATATATACCATAAATTACACAAAGTTCATTTCAACTGTTCAAACAGCATATGTTCAAACAAATCTTCGTTTAAATTCATACTACATACTCTCAATGGCCAAGAAACTTCGTAACATCGCGACAACCGGAGCTTCGCAACCTGTTGAACTCGCGAGCCCGACTGCGACATCGCAATCCGATGAGACCGTAGTTGGTAGTCCAACATCTCAACTCCAATTTACGTCGGGGCCATGGGAAAAGGACACGGATCCTTTCAAAGATCTAGAGAAGCCGTTACCAGGATGGCCGCTCGTGTCTAAGGTGATTGCAGATTATCCAGACCTTGAAGCGTTCAAGGCTTTCCGCGCTCTCAACATCAAGAGCCTGCTTTATTATCAGGCAGAGTTGGAGAATTTACGAATGAAATTGCATCAGGCAGAATATAATGAACACCGTCAGGGTGAGCAAGAGGGCATAGAAAGGGCGTCAATGATGTCGGAGAACCTGGGATACTATCTTTTTCATGCTCGAATGGAGGACGACAAGTGCAAGTCTCAGCAAGTAAAGATTATGAAGCAGATTAGAGTCGTCCTCAAGGAATATAGTACGATATTTGATTTCTCGATTCATGGTTGCAATTACTGACAATATTGATTTTCAGACGATGCTTTACTACAATACTCCCAAATCATGGCATTACCACGAGCAGACCCGTATAACGTGGAAACTTTGAGAGTCTGGATAAAGAGAGTTGGTAATCATTGTATTAGTGGTCCTGCTGCGAAAGCGTGGGGTGATTATACAGAGAGTGTACGCAAAGAGAAACCATTAAAATGGCAATTCATCAGTCTCTTGCGTAGCATGTTTTGGCCTGCAGTTCCTAAACCTGATATTCTCGACCTTGTTGTACCTCGGCAGGGCCATAAGGTTGACAGCCTTACGAGATGGGTCGCTAATGAATTTGTCCCGTTTTGGCACAGCCTGAAGCAAACTCTACGACGCAAGAAGATAAAGACATCCTCCGAAGATAACGGGCTACCAACTACTGAAGAAAAAACCCATTCGTCATTAGGGAGTGGGAAAACTCAAAGAAGCTTTCCCTCTTGGCTCACTGTTAGAAAAAGCTCGACTGGCACAATCGAAGGACATTCGAAGTCGAAAAATAGAGCTGGACTTACTGTTTACTCCGAAGCTCGCATGCTACGTTTTACCTCATCTGTAGCAACAGTTATTGCGTGCCTCTTACCAACCCTTGCAATAGCAGTTCTCTCGAGTCTACAGTCTACCGTGGAACTACTTGGCGTAATCGCAGCATTCACAGCTATGTTTGCCATAGGGCTTATGTTCTTGACCGATGCCGGTACATCAAGAGTTGAGATTTTCACCGCTACTGCTGCGTAAGTTCAGCGGCATCTTACTGTTTCACGAAAGTAGACTAATGTGGTTCCAGGTTTTCTGCAGTTATGGTAGTATTTGTGCAGAATCAAAATGTCTATGTTGGCTCGTATGCAAACAGCCCCGGAACACGAATTATGAACAACACAAACACGAAGAAAGGATGAAAGTCAGCAATAGGCAACTGTAATCACCTAATATTGTCTAGTGTGCTTTACTGTCTTTTTACTGATACGCTCTAGTTTCAATCCTCTTTGCATGTCTCAATTTTGATGTCGGACAGAGGAGGACGAAGAAAGTACCCCGTATTATATATCTTCATTAACGCCACCGATATTGTATCATTCTTCACCAGTTTCATACTTGGATCATCCACTTGCAGAAATGTTTTCTTGATATAAGTTTCGATGTCACAAACCATTTGAATATGTGGCTTCAAAAATTATGATATCACGAGTTGCGAGATTTCAATTAAATCATTTCCTTCTTGAACAAGGTTTGCTCTTGATTCTGCCCCGCGATCCGCCTTCAAGCAGTCATTCTGCAAAGCGTGCACAATTAAAATCGCCTAATGTTCCATCTCCCATTCCTGGAAAGAATTACTTCCATGCTGTACCGCCAAAGTATTACCTCTCATATCATTTAACCATTAAAAATGCCCGAAATAAGCAGATATGAGCCTCATCCATCTCCGGAAAATCAATGCTTATTTGTAACACAGTTTCGCATGATCAAACAAAGTAACCGAAACATATTTCGGACCAGCTTACAGGCTTATCTTCTCTCTACTTCCTTTACCGCTGTCTCCCAGCCGTGCGAACCATGGGAAACTCCGTAATGATATTGCGAACCGTGGTCCGTGAAATACGATATCCTTCAAACTAGACCTCAAATCATGAACTGACTAATACTAGTTTTCTCCCAGTATGAGTGTGGTTACACCAACAAGGAATGAAATGCTGAAGTGGCATGTGCCAATATTATAACAGGAGGCTTAGAAAATCTGCTGAACTTATGGTTGGTCTAAGCCAAGGAAGTGAAGATAAGTTGTTTGACCCCGCCTCGTTTTTTGTGAGACTGACGATAATCCCACGTTTGTGCAGTGGTTCATGTTTAATGTCACATTGGGATATTTTCCGAGGGCGGAGGCCTCAATCCCTAGAAATTCATCATCTTCCGATGATGCAGGCGTTTGTGTCACGGAATGCATGATCAGTCTCAATTTTCGGGTTTTATCATGATGACTGCTGTCTGACCAACAGGTAGACAAAAAAACGCTTGTGACAAGATATGACATTCCCAATCGTAGGTAGAATCATCAACTAGAAGATTTGGTGCTATGCCTAGTAGTTCGAGAAAGGTCCTTGTGGAACCGAATTTCATACTGTGTTTTTGTATGAATTAACGCTACGTTATATGTTATAATTTCAACGCAGCAAAAAGAGAACAGAAATACAAACTTCATCTGATGATTTTCACGCCAAGTGCGAGCTGGGTCTCGGCTAAAAAAGCGGTGTAGACGGGCAATTTTATATTACATAAGCAATTCGACCCCTCCCAACTCCCCCATTAGACACAAATAAACCATCCTGTGAGGACAATTGAACGATCTCGATAGGTTACTAGTGGTGGGTGTCAGATGGTAGTATTACACTCATTATTGAAGTTTTTAATCATCACAAGCAATAAGCTGATTACTTCGATTTGTTTTCATTCTTGATAATCTGAGGAGATATTAAGGTGTTCCAATGTTGGAATTTGGGCCAGACTTTGAAGGTGCTGGTCAGGTTTCTTATTGATGAGAGTATAACTTCATTCTTCCATATCCATACTATTTCACCTGTGCTCCTAAAGCCTATTGTCAAACACTGTTTTTCTTTTCTTCCAAAGGCTTCCCTCTCTTCACTGCTGGCATTATATCCATATTCGTTTCCATCGACATGACAACGACCTTGACAACGACCCTCATTTGCAATGCCTGTCATCAAGCTTTTGTTCCTTATTGCAATTTCAATCAACCATGTCGATATACTTACTCGGTTTTACATTTTCATCTTTATCCCTCAAGACATTCAGCGACTCTGATTCGTCTTTTGCCTCGTCTGCCATGTTGTAGCCTAACATACTATCGAACTCAGTCATATACTCGACTGTATCTGTAGCCCATAGACGAACTTCCTCGTCTTCATCTTGCGCAAACATTCCAAAGCGAGATTTCCAGAACATCCATCGCTCCAAGCTAAACCCGTGGTAGGTAACTCCGCCCTCTTGCGCTAATTTTCCAGGAATCTGGATCCATGCTACGTCGATCAAAGCCTTCTGGTCAATCTCTTGATTGCTCCATTTCTTTTTGAGCATTGAGAATGTGAGTAGCTTAGGACCGGCTGTTCGAATCCAAATGATTGTCACCGGCGCCAGGCGCATAGTTTTTTCATCGCTTGTCTCAAGAGCCTCGCCCAGGTACCATAGTGCGGTAATACCAATCCAGTCGTTGGTACCGATTGCCAAGGCCGTAGCAGTAAAACTAGCAAGATTGCATTGCTCTGTTAAAGTGTCATGAGTTGCAAATACGAGTTCCTCCCATGAGTTCTGCATAACTCCTAGCAAGTGGTCACAATCACATGCTGAACTGGTCTTCCTTTCTTGTGGACGAAGGCTTTTGCGAAGAACGTCAAATTCTTTCGTCCAAAGGAGCAAGCAAATCAGCTTATCATGAAATGGGTCGTTCCATTCAACATTTTTTGCGACCTCCGTAAAAGTTTCCCAAACTCTAACGAGCGCTTCTTTCGACTCCTTCTGTGGTTTTTGTAGAGCGTCTTTGATATAGCCACAACAAAAGGGAAAGATGGCATCCAAAAGCACTGCTCTTTTATGGCGCGTTCGAACTCCCGAAGTTTTCTTCCTGAGGAACTCAACTAGCTCTGATAAGCCCATCTTTGGATCAAGTTCATTCGCGTCTTTGTTAGGAGGTGTCATTTCCATTCTTGGGTTATAAATCTGTACTGAATTAGTAAGCCACAGTATTATCACAGAGTATAATTGTCCTAGAGGAATCGATGATGATATCTTGTGATGGTGTGTTGTGTGTTCTACAGCTCAATCGAAGCTGGCATCATTTTGTTATTATTGCATAGCGCTTTCCTTGTTGAGAGCTCATGAGTGATGTATCGATGAGTTACTTGTTCCTACCTATTTTGAGAAACGGTATCCAGGCTTTGGAAATTTGGAATTCTATGCACTAGATCAGTCCAAAAGTAGGCGATTTATGCTTTATGCTATGAAATGTAGAAAGAACAATGCTAGGCATTTTCACGAGTAGGCAAGATCGATTGTTCGTACTGTAGCGGGGCCATGAGAAATTCATTGATCAAAACAATTAGGATATCGCAGAAGATCAAATAACTTCAAACATCCGATTTTCGAATTAGGCTGCATTATGAACTATTGGAGACCAGGAGGTGTGCTGTGCAGCAAAATATGGCGTTTTACAGAAAGTAAAAGTGGTTGGTAGGAAGTATGTCATATTCTAACCGGAAGTTTAGTCATTCCTTCCACTAGAGAGAATGAAAGTGATAGATGAAGTGAGATGCAGGTTGACCCAACGGAGACATTGGTAAAAGGAGCCTTAAAGATAAGTGATACGCATGTAGAAACATGGCATGACTCATCTTCTATCCTATGGAGTAGAGACCGGCAAAACTGACAATTAAAGTTCAGCGAATGATGTGGTTAAGAACCAAAAGAAAGATGCAGGATTTCCAAGTGAGATGTTCCAAATATGAAGCGTGGTGTCGCGTCTAGTGTGTTTACCACTGATCAGCTTGGATATTTGTAGTAATTGACGTTTAAAGCTTGAAAATCGACTGTTGACTATAGGCACGATCAACCAGACCAGGAGAGCACATTCTGCACTTTTGTCAAGCAATGCGGTTGCGATTCTCGTCGGTGTAGCCAAATCTTGCATTTTTTTCAGTGTTCGCGGGAAGAATACCGTGAGTTGAGAAACTTATTACAGAACCGAGGATTGTTATATTTATATCTGTGAACTGATTCTTGTATCAGATACCTAGTTTGCTGTACAGTTTCTCTGCTTGGATTAAAAAGCCTTCTGAAGAACCTTAAAATTCCTGGCACGAAGGCAACTTTCCCGCGTTCTTTGGCATCTGTTTTTGTTTGAACGCTGCGGGAGATATTTCAGATTGCATAGGCTGAATGTGTTCCTCTGCCGCAAACTTTGATTGTTGCATTGTTCCTTTGCCACTTAAAACCGATACACTGCTTCTCTGCCAATTTCCCGGCATGTTCCTTCTTTAAATCACCTAGTGATAACCACGCTCTCCACAAGTGCGGATAATTATCCCCAAGTCGATACTGGTGTCATAAATGGCATAATGAATTGGCATTATTGAGTGGATAGCGTCAAGTACAAGACGTGTTCGCAAGTCTATCCGCGCTGGATCCTCAAATTGAGTGCGTTCCTGCTCAGGTCTTGAATGATTCTCAACTCACTTCGTCTGCAATTTTAAGTGTCGTATCATGCTCAGAATTTAGATCCTGCAGATAAGTCTCCAGTAACAGATGCCAGGAGAATTATCGTCGCTTCTGGCTGGACTAATTGACGGGCAAAGAAATGATAGATAAAAGGGTCTACTTCAGATATACAGCGGACACGGGAACATTCTAGGTAAGTGGCGGGCGCGACTTATGAATATATGTTCGTGTATCTTCGTAAGGAATCTCAATTGAAACTAATTGCGCGATCAGTTGGCGGATAGGTTGATTGAGATAACTCCATAATTCAACATGATGACATGATGGTACTGAGTTTTTCGAAAGCAGGTCGTCGACTGCCAGGCCCTCTCATAAGATGGACCTGCAGCTTGGCTTCGTTTTTTTTCGGCTGCTTCACAGCGCTCAAATTAGAAACTTATAGAATGGATCATTCTTTGCCGAATTAATCCTCTGCATTGGTTATTGTTTGCTGACTCCACGTCGATATATAGGCTGCACTAGGTTCAGTGTGGTCTTAATTTTCCCAAGCTACACCGTCGGCCGTCCGATGTCCGCGAATGATCCTGAAGCTTTGAGCGTATCGAGATTTTTAATCTGGAGATCCTGGCATAAAGTGACTTTGAGGACCATTGTAATGAAACTAACAGATAAGTTACATTGAGGGTACCAGAAGATAATGGTATTGCAATTGATGTAGCAGTAAAGCCGTTGGTAATTATATCAAGCGTGTTGCCGTAGCCTTGCTAAGTCTTGGGACGTGGAAATGAAATCACTTGATAAATGCATTGGAGCAGATAGTGCATGTACTGCCCGCCTTTGTATTCCGAATGATATTTGTCGAAAAGGATTGATCCGGCAAAACGCCCAACTCGCTGCAAATTCACCAGCTAGTGCGATTATAGATCCGAATACATTGGATTGTCAACTAGTTTGAAAGGTGTGCATCAGAAATTCAAGGATATCCAGATTAAAAACGGGGTAATACGAGAACGAACATACAGAATTATTACATATGGAAAACCAATGTAGCATTTCACGAGACTCGCGACACGTTGAATCGTAACAATGTGTTCTGTGGCATGCTTTGAATTTTAGCCGACTGCAATAATGCGGGGATTGAAGATTTACATGTACCCCTATGTCTTAGTCCGGACTTTCACGGGAGGTCGTTAAACTATTTCGGCTCGCTGGCTATAGTATCATAGAACTAGTCGATACTTGATGCCCCGGTTATGACTCCAAATATTCGCGATGGAACTGATGTGGTCCTTCCAACAGCGTAGTTTTGTACTCCTTAGTAGATAGACCACTACTCATCCTTACCTAAAAGAGATTTAGCACTATTGAGTTGATGTCCGAGTCACGATATACCGTATCACATGGTCTGATGGGATCTTCATACCATCTCCAATCTATAGACTAATGCATATAAACCAATGAAGATCATACTTCGAAGCCGACTCTTCCCCACCCAGAAATTCACAGCTTTAATACACTACGTAGATCCTATTCAAATATGTAAGATTGACCCCAGTGTCTGAGTGCTCGACGCTCCACATATTCAATTAATAACTGACTGACAGCCAAAAATTTCACGACATGCAGTGTAACCACCTTTTGTCTCACCCCCAAAAAGCCCGTACCCAGTCTATTATCGAAACTTCATCTGCAACAAATTCGCTCTTATTCTCAAAGCGTCGCTCAAATTGAGTTGTTCCGCTCTGATAAATCGGGGCCAAATAAATGTACTGAATTAATAGTTAAGTATTTGTTGACGTTGATTATTTATCTGCAAGCCAAGATTTCAAGAATTCTTTTTATGTAACACGATGTGGCTGGAAGCCATGTCTTATGTTGTGCATGTAAATTCCTCCCATGTCCAATAGTGACGGGAAGAATTGTTGTTTAATTTAACGCACAAAAAGGCGGAATATTTGTTGACTTCTGATGTTTACACAGATCATTGCCAGTCCCGAATTTTGGTGCTCATATACTCCGTATATAAATATTGTGATGGCTGCCCTCTCACATCGTCCCCCTCACCCAGTTTCTCTGCTACCCTTCCATCACCTTCGTCGAAGATCAAAGATACCAGAATTATAATTGGTAGATTGTTCTTCTCAGTTCCAAATCATGAAGCTGCAGTTTGTTCTTCTTGCTGGTACCATTGCTTTCAGCAATGCGTCTCCTCATGTGAGTGAGCAACTCCCTAGCATTTAAACACCGATTCTGACTTGGCCAAGCCTGCACCAGTAGAAGTTCGCCATTTCAAATTCGACGATGATACTCCTGATCAACCTGATCAACCTGGTCAATCCTATGGTTGTAATTGTACCGGAACAACCGCAGGGCCGCTTCCCGCCTCTGCTCAATACATCTGCTATGATTGGAGACTCGGTCCGAAAGTACTTCCAAAATATCTCCCCCTCTCGAGCGAGCTATCATCTTATGATAGATTCGGCGGATTGACTCCAGGGCAATTCCTTGCAAAGTGGTGGGATAGCAAAAAGGGCCAGTTCATATACCCAGGGGATGAAACCCGTGGGTTTTCAACTGACATAAATGGAAAACCTATCAACGGATTGATAAGCCTTCCTCCTGACACTTATCTAGACAGGTTTGGAGGTGAAACTGGTTTGTTCTACCGTATCCTAGATCATGTCACTCATCATAATCAGCTGACACGGATAGGAATGTTTCTGTCCTCCGCCGATACGCCATATTCACAACGGTCTCTCCCACCTTCGAACCTAAACAATCGGGTTCAAGATCCAGGGTTTCCAAATGACTACCATGTCTATCGTGTCAAGAAGGACCTGATGCTCTATGCTGGACCCATTGCGCCCGTCAGTATCTTCCATTCTTGCATATCACCACTTTTCTCTCCAATTCGTTAATCTCAAGCTTCTTCGGTCATGTTTTCCTTTTGTTTTCTCCTTGCTCTCATCATATGGCTTTATGACCCGCTGTAGTTACAAAAATTCATACTAAGCAAATGCTGACTCTAAAGTATTGTAGTGGTTTGGTCAACCGGGACTTGGAACACAGTTTTACTCAGGACCTCGAACTGTTGCGGATTTAATTGGTAACGGAACTCTAGAAAGGGTCGATCCTTCTGTTCTGATCTCCAACAGACAACAAATGGGTTGCGGATACTAGACGGAGTTACCTGCTTCCGTAAGGTGGCCAAGATTAATTGGTGATTTTAATGATCTCATGCTCACTGTTAATATATTATGCTATTAGTCAATTTGACATCTAATGATAGAATTTAGCTTCCAAGATCCTTGTTTAGTTTCCAGTTTATGAGTCTGCTGCTGCCAAATGATGATTTATTCCTCTCCGACTTTCGAAAGAGAATAGCCGGCTTTCTGGTGCACACAGCACACTTCATCCTAATCATTAAGAATATTTTAATCATTTGCCACAAAGCTGCCCTCGCCACGGACTGGTTGTGTGATTAAAAGCCAATCGCTCATGCGCATCTAGACAATCAGTGTGCCTGCACTAATTGTTCTCATCACATGAGACGTCGGGATGGACACATCAATCGTCATTGAGAATCCTTTGGATACCCAGGGCAGTCAATCTTCCAGTACTTTAGCTAAAGATTTTTCAATAAAGAGTTGTGAGAAGTACATTTTAAGGTCCAGGTTATCCTTCCTTACACAATCACTAATTTTTAGCCCTCAATCAGCTATTAAAGACATCTAAAAGTCCACCGTTTCATGCCATTAGTTCTCAGGCGCCCCAGAAGAGATTGAAGGCACTTCTGGAAATGAGTATATAACCATCGTCCGGACCTTACTCGACCTCGCGGCTAAGACTCATTCCACTCGAGTTAAGAAGAGAGATCTGGAAATATCTCTTATTTAATCCTGATCTGGGAAGAGCCTCGTCCATATTAAGGAAGGACGGCTATGGCGCCAAAGCCAAGTATGGACTCGCACCTGTTATTCTACGCGTTTGCAAGCAGTTTCATGAAGAAGGAATGCAGGTACTATATGGAGAAAACCAATTCCTGATAGAATGTGTCAAGGGAGATTGGAATCGTGATGTCCACTATACTGCGTTGACAAGGTATATCGAGCGTCTACGTTTTTATTCCAAGACTCAGTTATCTAGTAATCGGTTGGGGCTTACGCCTGGGTTAAAGTGTGTTAAGCATTGGAAGGTACTAATAGCTCCACTACGCCGTAATATGCGAATCAAACTTATAGAATTCTGTCGCTCCATATGTCACAATCAGGTCAAGTCGATAGAAGTTGCTATCATTACGTGGGGAGACGCGACTCGTCGGCGCTCTGATCACTAGATTAAAATAGGGTCATATTCTGACTGGTCAGAAGAATGGTTTGCCGACTCTCCAACGGCTGAGAATATACAAGAAGTTTTATTTCCCTTGGAAATGCTTCGAAGCATTGGCGGAGTCTGCATTCGTGAAGCAAAATTAAACGAAATGCCTGATTTTGCTTGGGAGAGTGAGAGACAAGATTGATTTGGGAGACAAAGATATCATCGAAACCACCTGGTTTAAGCGGGAGCGGTCGAACATTTTGAAGTACTTGGAACGTCAACTTGGCAAAATAAGCACCGCATAATATGAGGTGGTGGGGTTTGTCAAACGCGAAAAGAGAGAAAGGGGTATATTTGACCCTACCTGTGTCAACGACCTCTTCTTTGACTTAAATGTGCATACTGAGGCTATTTCATTTCTCGAAGAGTACGCCGCTTCATTTAATCGCGAGCTTGATACAACAACCAAGAGGGCTGTGCGGGCTCAACATGGTCTTTTTGAGCCCTGGTATAATTCAATGTCAAGAGAAGTTAGGCTCGAATAATGCAGGATGACATACAAGATGAAGGATGCTGTTGGTTTTCGAGCATATTTTCGGGATGTTGTTTGCGATATGCAGTTTCAAGACTTCGAGATACTCAAAGCTAGGGCTTTGCTTTACGACTGGGATTTGAGAGGAAATATTGCTGATATCAAAATTACACCGTTAATGGAACCGAATGACTAGCATATTCGTTGCGATTTCTCAGAGCCAGAAATCACAGTTCCAAAAGAATCACAGATGCTTTGCATCGAGCAGAACATTCAGAATCAAATCGCGTATGACAAGTTCTTAGCACAGCAACTCGCGAATGAAGAAACAGGGTTTGATTTTCCCCAGGGTATTGAGAACGCGAGTTTTACAGACGGAGAAGAGATTTGCGATCACAGCACGGATGTCTAGAATGATAGTAATAGAGTTAAAGAGAGTAATTTAATTGATATGGAAATTTGTGATGTTAATATGGCAGGCTGGATATCGTTACCCTTCTATGACCAAGACGATTGTTTTTCGTCAATTTACCAAATGGACGACAATCAATTTCATTTAACCTCTACTCATACTGCTGCTGCTGGTTATCGATAAAGATTCAGAAATGATGAGAGCTTGTCTTCACAGTATGAGGATGATGGTGATGATGATGAAGTCGCCGAGAGTATCCAAGAGCACATCAACTGCGGCGATTCCCCATCAGGGCCAAAGGTTGCAACTAAGAACGGATTCTCACATATTTTTGAGTAATCTCGACGCGATTTACTGACCATATGAGGAAGACCCATGCTCATATCCTTCTTGAATTGAATGTCTCTCTCGAACTGAACGCGTATCTTTCAAGGACTGCGAACATTTTCGTACTCAGTTCAACTTCCAAGTTCCCCTGAACTAGTTCAATGAGGAAGCGTTGATATGAAGCTTCGGTAACATTGATTTTGTCACAAGTGGCATTTGATTCCTGTCCTCGCTACACACAAAATTCGGTATCTCAGATATTTGTGCTGTCCGAATCGATACTTTAGGAATATTTCGGAGTAGTTCCAGAGGCTGAAGCATTTCCCCCATATTGTACACATCTATGAAGAGTAATGACGCGTTAATAGTTGTTAGACGCAGCAGATTTTGGAAGAAAGAAATAGTGCTTACCCAGAAACCCATCATTAATTTCCACACCCTTTGGAATGATACAAATTTCTAGTTCTCTCAAGAACGGCCCACCAGTGGGCGTCTGACACCATTCGAAAAGTTGGGCTTGACTTCGCGGCGAATGATGCTTGGCACTCAATCCAATTTCCACTTCTTTACCTGTCTTAGAACTGAATTTCCTTGCAACAAGCCCTTATGAAACGAGACATACTTGTGTTCTTCGTTACGCTGATTGATCCAACGAGTTAGCGGACTACATAAGGTTAGTGGAGGCTGCAATTCCAACGAGGCTGGGCCGAAAAGGGGTAACGATTCGACGTAAAAACGGTTAGAAACATGGAGAATTTCCCTTCCCTCGTGATAGAAAAGGCGGCAAACGAGTAAGATCTGCGGGCTGAGGCCATATCTTATTTTGGCTCCATAGCTTCCAAGCTGGGATATGGAAGATGCTTCTTCAATCTCAATATTGACTAGTAGACACTGAAATATACCGCTGCGAATCTCCATCGGCAGTGACTGCAATGTATTTGTTTGTCCAGTATTCTTAAGACGTGCTGCTTCTTCATTAAGCATTTCTAGGAGGATTTTTATTGAATATTTGAGTTTCTCAAGGCCAGCGAAGGAGTCGAATAACCTAAACATTAGTGTCTCACCGGCTTCCTTTGCGAAATCATCCCAGATCATCTCTTTTGCTTTCCCTAAGATCACTTCTACGCTCTCTTGATCTTGGATCAGGTTTTCGAACGCTTTCTCAGCAGCTGGATCCATCCTAGGAGGTTATGATATTTTGTTATTGATGTTGATAGATAGAAATTGTAGGCTGCAGGTACGACTGTGCTGTTTTCTTCCGTGGTTTCTGCGCAATACTCATCCTTTTCCTAATGTAACTTAGTTAATCAAGAAGCTTTTTGTTCCTGTGATTATGCGATGTTTCTTACCATTTTGAACAGAAGAAATGAAGATTGAGATTTTGTAAAAGGAGATAGGGATATCGATCAGTGTACTATATGACTCCAATATCATGTGTTGATAGCATTCATTCATAGCAGTATAGAAATTGTGTGAGAATCTAACAAGCCTTCGTCTTTGGCTAATCATAACAACAAACTTACAAACACGTCTAGTACCTCTACTGTCTCGGGTCACTAACTAGTAGTGCGGAAACAAAATGTGAAAATACAATGCGATTGCTCACAAGATGTGTAAATTTCTAGTCCGGTCAGATCATATGCTTCCAACCATGGGCCAAAGTATTTCGCGCTTTGATTTGATCAAAATAAATAGAAATGTCAATGACTGTCGCACTTTAACTTCCACCACACCATCACTCGAACTTAGGAGTAACAATGATCGTACTCACACAAGTGAGATTAATAAATGAATCATTCCTGTCAATTGACTAGAGCTCTGATATTATATAGCACCCACACCTCCCATTCTTAATGGTCTTTTCCAAAACAATCAAATTTCTTTACAATACCTTCAACATCTAAGGGTTGCATACTACACTCACAACTTGACAACCTATCCTACCAATTCTCATAAGGTTGAAGATAGAATAGTTCGCATTTCCAACAGAGCAATTACATTTAATACATTTGTTGAGAGCTCATCGAGACCCTGCTATCAAATCAAAGAGCTGTTCCTATTAGACTTGAATATGTGAGTTGCAGACAGATTAAAACCCACATTGAAATGCAAAGTAAAGCCTAAAGTAAAATGGAAACCTACTAACACAATAGCTTTAGACAAAATCCATTATGGATACCCCACGATCCGCTGAGATTATTCCCAAGAACATACAAAAGGTCCGAGAATCGAATCATAACCTTACGAGTCATACAAATCAACACGATACCTTGATTATGAAGACGCAGCACAGTGTGATGGTATCCTCACACAACCAATGCATGGAATTGGCATCAATCACAGGATTGGGGGGTTCATGTAAAGGAGTCTAGGGTGTCCGGATCCAAGCACAATCTCCTCAACATTTCGCGAGAACTTCGAGATATTATTTACTCATATCTCCTAGTCAATACAGTTCTGGGTCAGGCTGATTCCGTCTTCGCATCCCCCATTATTGGCAACACCCAAATATACAATTTACATGCCAACATTCTTTACGCATGTAAGCAAACATACCAGGAAGGTATCTCCACCTTATACGGCAACCCCATGTTTATGTATTGCAGCAATAATATGGATGTTTGCGTTTTTCTTGATGTCGCTGGTGACAGAAAGATTTTGCGTCATCCATACAGTTACCAAGATGGAATTTCGGAACCCCGCACCATAAATATGTGTCCACTAACCCGATATACGTATAGAAACTATCAAACTAAGGGACATGAAGATACGTTATCATTTCGTAACACTCCGGGTATTCAGAATTTCAAGACCTGGAATGTTCTCTTCGGTACTGCAGAGCAGGTGATTACTAGTTCAGATGCTTTCGCTGAGTTATGTGTTTCATTGCATCCATATTCGGGAATCTCGCTAAACATATCAATTTTGCTACTGTGTGTCTAATGTCGGCACGTCTTTTAGCCCTAAAAATCAACGGGAAGATTAGGACTTGACACGGGCAACGTATTGGTCGGAAGTCTTTTACCTTTGCAAATGCTTCGAAACGTGAGGAGCTTTGTTGTCAAGGCTGCTCAAGGTAAACAAATTCCGGACTACTGCAACAACCCAAGATTTGAGGTGGCTGCTGACCTGATTGTACCTGATCTGCCCTCGCCAGAGCTCATTGAGGAGTACTCCAAACTCACTGGTGGATCAGCACCGGTTATTGAATGCGTGGGTCTCTTATGGAACCGGCTTGAGGAATATGCCATGTGTTTCGAACATGCTAAATTATCAGTGAGAGAGACAACTTATGCTGGCCATAGCCACCAACACGGTATTAGAGTTCATGACTTGTCGAAAAATGAGGGTCAATGGGATCATAGAGTGCAGGTCATCGAAGGTGACTCTCTTCTAATTGCAGATGAACCAAACTTCTGACGCGCACAAGCAGTAGCTAAGGCCAGCATTCATCCATCTCTTGACCACACTGAATCCACCAATGACGTCACCCGTTTCAAGGAATACCGAGCCAATCTTCTTGGAATTCTTGAGCCCCAATACCAACAAATTCGAAGCTGTTCTCCCAAACTACAAGAGTATTTAAAAGAGGAGAATGGGTCGAGTGGAATATTCACAAGTGGGCCTTCCCATGCTACTGACCAAGCCGAACATTGGGACAGGATGGCAATAGGTATCACACTGTTGGAGGAATATGATTTTTCATTTGTAAGAGAACTCACGGAGGAGCTACAGCTTGCCATAAGAAAAGAGAACAAGTTCGTGGTACTGGAGTACGACACCACCCATATGACAGTGGTGATGGAAAGGGTTACCTGGGCGTTCGAAAAGAGAAAATGGAGGAAAATCCTGGCTTTTTACAGGGAGGCTATCAGGCTCTTGGAAGAGCAACATTTCAAATTGCGACGATGTAGAATGGATTTATTCAAGTGGGATGTTTTAGGCGAAGATTTGGTCGAGACACTCAGCTCGATGCGTTGAAGAGAATTCGTTGGCCAGAGCAAAGCTTGAAGGAAAAGTTGCGCGATCAAAGGTATGTGGGGCATTATGGAGGCATTATTAGTGGTGAAGATAGCGATGAGGATTCCGACGACGATGAAAATGTCGACGATGATGGAGATGACGATGACAATGAGGGTATCAATAACGATAATGATGGTACCGATAACGATGGGGGTATCGATGATGATGGAAATACGGACGATGATGAGGGCATCGATCAAATTAGCCAAGACATCGGTATCTAGCTTCAAGCTTTTGCTTCCATTGGTAAGCTGCGGATACATAATCCTTACCCCTACTGCGACTCAATCTGCTAACATTTGAGCCCTGTTACTAGTAGTCTGCGAAAAGCTAGATCTTAGGAAATGAATTTCGAGAATGACGAGCTGGCGTTTGGGAGAATGATTTTTCTAGATGAGAGGACAGGGACTGCTTTGGCATGATATTACAAAATGAACTTTGATACATTTAGCTAGGAATATTTATACAGTTATACTTCCGAGACGAGACTAGTGTTAAATATGTTTTCACTGCATGTCTTCTCACACCTCAATTAGTACCTTCTATGTTTTACTTCAAATAAGTAAGGATACTCTACACAACTACCTGCAACACTGAACATATACATGTGTCATGTTACTTTACTTCCACTATACGTAAACCCATAGTCAGCAGAGCTTTTTCCAAATGTTAAAGTGTAAATGCTATCACTCGTCTGTCTGTGTACGTAGGTCTATGTAAGCATTTCTTGAACTGATAGTTTGACTTGTCAGAGGGGGAGCTCTCAACTGAAGGTGAAGAGGCGGACGCATTTTATGCCAATCTATCATTATATCAATGGATTACTGGTATGAAATAGCTCTTGAATTTGTGTTTACAGATATATCAGTGTGGTACAGAACTTTAGTTTTGTTTGTTCTACTCAACGTCTAGCTTGTGCTCTATTCATACTCGAATACTAAACTACTTCAGTTCATTAAGCCCCACGTAACACCCCACAACCGCATAGTCACTGGGGAAATGAGTGGCTTTTCCCCTAGCAATCGCTTATGGTAATTAATTATCATTGCACATTAGCCATCACAAGACTAGTCTTACAGAATCCTAATGACGCCTTACTCAGCAATCAAATTCCATGATTTCCATTACATTGGATATAACATTAAAATTAAGCAATTAGCAAACAAATATGGTCATAGCCACCAGCTTTAGATACTACCTACTATGTTTCCCATAACGAACTAGCAACGATCAATCAGATTTCCTATGCCAAAAATTGCTAATTTTCCTGCCTAAATCAATCCTTAAATATTTAGCAAATCTTTTCTTCTTTCTTTCTAAAAGATATATAAAGTTAGATTTCTACACCGTTTCAGCGTGCCAATGCCACTTTAGACTCCCGCCAGCGACACTTATTATTACTAGCTTTAACATGAGGATTTTGACATTATGAAATTAATTGTATTCCACAATGCCAAGAGCGGAAAAAATGGAGCTGCCGGGAAGATTCAATTAGAATAAATTTCCTACATTAAACCGTTGATTAACCAACCATTTAGTCTGCTGGACTCAGATGACACAAGGCTATAGTGAGCTACGTAGCTGACCAAGGGAATTGGTTTTCACTAGTGATTAATCCAATACTAGATTAATTTATATACTCAAATGCATACGGTTATTGGCTTCTAAAACCATTATTTTAGGGTAGTATAGATTTGAAGTCGAATTAGATCAAGGAACTAGTACGCTGTAATAACGGCTCGCTAAATTTGTATGCCTTGGACAGAAAATGCATCGTAGCTCATTAGTCATATCAATTCCCTGGTTGAGGTATATATATAATACAACTCGCTTACCGTATCTGCCTCCGTGAATATAGTATATACAGCGGACTAATTCTACGAATCTCTTCAACTACGGCAAAATAATGCCCGTCCATTATATCAGCATCACTGAGTACAGTGCAATACAGCCCTAAGTCTTCATTCGTCTATCTGACTTGGGTATTTGACGACCTATACTTTCTACGTTCAATCAGCATCTCTTCTCATATTTAACATCTAACTTCCACACAAATACCTAACCAATTACCAATCGAAGCGGAACAGAAAGAACGTCTAACACGGAGGAATACGATTTGCTAGTCCATTAGCATCCTTTGCACGAATCCTTATTTGAGTCACCTCAGTTCCTCTTCCAATTCACATCCTCTTACAACATCTACTTTCTACTATCATAGAAAGAACGAGCGAAAGTCAATCAGAACAGAACGAATAAGACATACAATTTCCAATAAAAAGATATCCATCATGCAGAATTCAAGAAAAATCTTCAACATGAAGCCCTCCACTTCAAAGAGTCGCAAGGGAAACAAGCAATTTGTCAGAGTGCATTCGAACGGTACCATCACATATAAACAGAACACTCCAGTCCAAAGGAAACGAGCATTTCCAATCCAGAATAAAGCTAAATGTGGCATTCCCTCCCGCAACTCGAGAGCACATTTACTCAACATGCCATCAGAGATCCGTGACGAAATCCTTTCGTACCTCCTTACCAACCCTATCCTGGGACAAGGCATCTCAGTGACTATGGAAGCAGGACCTCTGAGAAAAGGTAACAGAGAGGTCACGTCGCCCAAATACGACCTCCATCCAGCCGTCCTCCGTGTATGTAAGCAAATGTATCAAGAAGGCTTATTATACATGTTATATGAGTGCAACACATTCATCATGGATTGCACAAACTGGATGTATCAGGACGATACACACGTGCCTGTTGATGGAATGTACTCCTATGCTCCACGATGGGCAAATACGTACTATCCCATCACAACTGCTCTAAATGTGACCCCATTGAATCGGTACTTGGAACACCTGAATGTCAGTCCAACTAATCCGGTCTGGGTGTATGAAGGAAACCAATATTTTAACGAGCAGCCAACATTAAGAAATCTTGTGGGTTCACAAGCCAGCTATGCCAAAAAGTGGAAAGTCATTGTGCGTGGGGATAGCGGGACTTACAGTCGTCGGTTTGGTCGATTTGCTTTACAGCAGTTCTGTCACGCAGTATGTCAGTGTCCAGGACTCTCCCTTACCTTTGTTGTTTGTACAGATAAGACATCGAAAAAGACGAAAAAGACACTTTATCTCGACTTCGACAGCGAATTGAGCTTTGAGGAAATATTTTCTCCGCTGCAAATATTCAGGAACGTGAAGCATGTTGAGTTTAGCGAAGCACATGCCGACGTTGATCAGGAAGTTCGTGGAGAAGATTTTCCTGAGGCACTCCCAGTGTACTTTCACGAAATTTTCCAAGTGGCAGACGCAGCTGCTAGCAATCTCACGTCAGGAAAGCTTGTGGAAAAATACACCAAGTTAATAAAAGGATCATCACCATTGATCAACCCACTAGATCTCATGTGTGATGATCTCGTGACATACGCCAAGACTTTTCAACGTGTTCCGGAATTTAAAAAGAACATGGACCTGGGTACGGTTTTCGATGAAGTTCTATTCCAAGAAGACGACACGAATACATATAAGCGGCCATATGATTCGGCCGAATGTCTCCTTAGACAGGCACAAGCAGCGGCATTGGTTAACGACAGCGAGAAATTCAAGGGTTTTCGGAAGGAGTTGTTACTTGAAATAAAAGGAGAACGGTACAAAATCATCAAGAATGGCCGTGCAAGATTTTACAAGTTTATCGAGCAGAACAGGATCTTTCGAGGAATGCTATGCTCGGGAGAATTTCATAATGATGTGTACAGGTGTCAGGAATATACACTGGACCTGAGCGAAGACACAGCCTTGAGACGTAATTGGAGAATCAGCATCACGGAAGCCCTCATCGTGCTGGAAGATTATGCTTCCTCCTTCTTGAGAGATACGTCGAACATGAATTCCAAGCTGCGCGCTGGACACCGTCTTTATGACCCCACCCACCTCTACCATGCATTGCCAAGAGAACAACTGATGCGACGAATCCAAGACGCATATGTTTCCTGGGATTTCAGCTCCTTTCTACAATACTACAAAGAGGTTGTTCATGACATGGATGCACAGTACATCGAGATACTGGAGGCGAGAAAGAACCTCTTTCGATGGGATACAGGACCTACTTTGAGAGGAATGGAAATCGTTTCTGGGGATGAGAACAACTTTGCAAGCCGTGAAATTGAGCCTATTGAATGGACCATGCTTAATTTCAATCAAAATCATGAGCTGGAAAAGCGGGCACCGGCAGCCACTAAGCGACAAAAACGTCGAAGTTCACGGCAGTGGTGAAGAAATGATCATGCGGGGAATCTAAGGTCGATAAACGGCTTCATGTAGAGGACGGGGGCTCTTGCGTGGAGAACGGAGATTGATGATCTCAGGGTGAGGACTTTTTGCTGGAAATACGAAACTTGAGTGTATCTAATGCTACTTCCATAGTGAAACAAATTCGATAGATTCGGTGACTATTATGAAGTGAAGAGTGTGTGAAGTGAAATGAAGTGAATAGTGACATTTCATTTTGAGAGCTCCAAATTTTTGTGGATGGAAAAGTCATCAGGTCATGCTCGCTAATATTACTAAGCTCCCCCGACTCCCACGCAGCCAACCGAAGCAATTCCTCTATGAATAAAGGAAAGAACACCCCACACCCATTAAGATCAAAAAATCTCTCCCACAACACATTACAGACAACGTTTATCATACCCATACAATCAAGTCATAAAGCATCCCTACTTCTCACAAAATCCAAATATCTCCCTTTGGTCCATCTTCTGCAGCTCTTTCCAAATCGCATCATGGGCCATGTACACATAACGAATACAAAATCTAAGACCCCAATCGCGATGAATGTCTGCTTAACTCCTGTATCCAACCAATAACTCGCTGCAAATGTAAAGATACATCCGATTGTATTGTTTATGACGCTAACTCCCACCATTCCTTCGAGTACCATTTCAGGATATGCGTCCATGAGGTAAGACATGGACAAATCTCCCGCACAACCCCATCCAAAACCGATGAACCCAAGTCCTACATATGGAGCTGGCCACGACCATTCATACGCTGTACCGAGACCAAAGATAAACATTCCCAATGGTGAGAAGATAGCACATGGGTACATCATCCAAAGACGATCCTCGGCTTCGAGAATGCCATGGCGATATCTTTTAGAATACCAGAGTACGAAAACATCGGAAAGGTAACCACCCCAGAAACAACCAATGATGGCGCCGATCAAACAAGGAACGTTCATGAGACCAGAGCCAATAGTAGAATAGTTCCAAGGAGCTTCAGTCCAGTTATCTTCTTCGAGTGTAAGATAGAAGGTGAGCCAAGCATCTTGGGCTCCCCATTGCAGGCCACTGTACCAGACAGCGGGGAAGGTGAAGATGCGGAGGGTGTGGAAGAGACGGGAAAAGTATTGTTTGAATCCCGTTCCTTTGAGATTAGATGCAGGCGTAATTAGCTGGATGCGTTTACGGAAGGATTTTTTGGCGGGGATTGGAGAAGGTGAAATGGGAGGTGTGTCGGAGGGGGTCGTTTCTAGAGCTGTTTCCTTCTCGTTGACGTTGCGAAATGGAGTTTCGTCAACATTTGCTTGGGAGCCAATCCCGTTTATTGGAACTTCGTATGCAGATTCGGGTCGGTCAAACATTGTTTCTTCGAGGGTGAAGTAACACACGACGATGGTGCAGGAGGAAATGATGACGGACCACCATCCAATCCATCGCCAGCCCAGAGGTCCGCCAGCAATGTATCCAGCAATAATTGGACCTAGGTAGGTACCGATACTAGTCGACAAAACGTAAATACCTAGCACACTACCTCTTTGATGTTGAAAGAATAAATCCGAAAGGGAAAGCTGCACATTGGCTTCGGCACAAGCTTCAGATGCTCCCACAAAAAGCTGATTCCAGATCGAGTCTCTTGTGGATTGCACTCGTGCCATCCATATAGCACCAATAACTCCCAGTGTCAAACAAATGATGTATGTGACCCTTCTTCCATATAACCACGCAGCAGGCGAGATCAATAAAGTCCAGTAACCAATTCCCACAAACAAAACTCCAGCCCCAGTGTTCATCGCATCATATGTAATCCCGTATTCTGCATTCATACCATCTTGCGCCGAGCCCGCGTCGTTAGAAGTAGCAGCCGTTAGACCTGTGATAAAACAAACTAGGAAAGCATGCCAATATTTTCGTGTACGGGACCAATTGAGAGGATCGAGAGGTGAAGAGGTAGGCTGAGGTTCTAAAACGATGTTTCCGTGTTTGAGGAGGTTGGGGTTTTGAGCTTTTTCAACATCTTCTACCAGTCGTGTGGTGCCCGGAAGGAAATCTTCATCGTGCATTTGAGTGTGGTCCATCGCGGATGGCGATTTCTATATCGTGGTAAAAACCACGACACGAGAGCGACCTGATCTTTGCTGGTAGTCAATAATTGACTCGTGGGTATTCGAAATGAACAAGAGTATATACAGAGTAAGAAAAAAATTGTTTTCGAAGATGCGAGGCTCTATGTAAAATGACAAAAGTGCTGCGAAACCTTGAGAAAACTAGGATAAATTCATAAGAATTTCCACTTGGATTTCTTATCTGTGTGATTCCCACATTTTTATTATGAAATGAAAACTCTCGGGGTAGGGATTAAACACTTGTTCTGTGCCCGATAAGAAGATCAATCATTGGGCTCCCCATGGGTGATCGCATTGCATTATTTTCCATGTTCCTGGGATAGGGTGAATAGGAAATTCGAAGAATGGGATTTGATCGGCGAATACGTATGTTTGTTTGTATTCCTCTCACTTATCAAGTTCGACATTGGATCGGAAGGGATGTTTGTTTATCTGAGGTTTGAACAGCGTACTAGGTGCAACAGAATTAGCACGAAAGGCTTAGGGCTTGCTAAATTGCCTGGAGTACCTAGGTAAGGCCTTATTAAGAGGTCGGGTCGGCCCTGAAAAGGAAAAGTGGGCTAGCTAACGGGAAGATGCCTAGCGATTGCTTGTATTGCTTCATCGGGACCATCGAGCCAACCAAATGATATGCGATGCAGGAATTCATCCATGTTCTAGCCATGTTCCACTCAATTAGTGCCACTTCTAGCCATTACGGATACCACCTAACAAAATTTGCCGTTTAACATTAAAACTTTTGGGTCGGATTAATAGTTACATGCATCATGATTCATTAATCATTATGGTCCGCCACGGATATATTTCCGGTCAATTAGATAAAAATAAATTTATGGTTGGTGAAATCTTGGGGAGCGGTACGGAGGATACTTATACTAGGTACATGCATTTCTTCATATCTCGGCTATCTCCCCTTCATTCGTCTCATTGCTTATTACTCCCCCACCGAGAATTCGAATCGAGCTGATCTTTGCTAATATCAGGTATCATTTCACACAGCTTGTACTTTCTTCCTTCAGCTTAGTAGCGATACAGAGGCAAGATCAACTGGACCCTGAACTTCCTTCCGCCTGGATTTACCCAATTAGGTTGAATGAGCTTGGTGATGAGCGATAAGAAAGATAACTCGGTTTGCATGAACGATAAGACATTCTTCAACCACCAAATTCTAATCCATCCAATCCCTTCAATCCCTTCAACTCACCAATGTCTGTAAAATCAACAGAAATCCCCAACCTGGAGCGATTTAATCTTGGAACCTCGGGGAAACGAATCACACCCAAATCTATTTCCATTCCATCCCCACTAAGATGTCATCGTTATCATCAGGTGGACAAACACTGCATTTGATACTCACACCCACCACTGCAAAGTATGAATTTGTCTTCAAGTACAGCCGTGGAACGAGGGGAATCAAAGACAGATATTATCCCTTTAACTTTCGGATTTGCTGGGTTTTATTGTCAGGAACATCAACCTAATTTATAGTGCAGTGGATCGATCATATGACAAACCAGCGGGTAGTCCAAGTATATTTTACATCTCTCATCCCATCCCTTCTCTTTTCTTTCTCTCTGATTTTTAATCTACAACAACTCAGTTTTCTACAGAGGTTCTCATCTAAAGAATCTTTGATTGCTAAAATCACAACGGCACACTTTTGCAATTGACCAAGTTAACAGCTTCGGAGATCCATTCAACTACAACAACTTTCGAAACCTCTTATTGATTAGTCGATTAGCATCTTTGCGATTTTTTGATTTTATATCCCAGCTCTTCGAGCATACTCTACTACACTCACGAGTTCCAAATCATACGCAGATGTTGAATCAATATGTCAACCTTATCCATATCTCCTCTTGGCGCTCTAAATCCAAACGAAATAAACCGATCATATCAAGTAATTACCGCGCCATTGCCAATCCAGAACTCAAAACCTTTGATCTGGTCCACAGGACTTGAGAGTCCCGAAAATTATGGCAATGGCGTGAAAAAAGCCCACGTACTGATCGTGGGTGCCGGAATTTCCGGTTTACGGGCAGCATCGGTTCTACAACGACATGGAGTTGGTGTTACAATCTTGGAAGGCCGGCCGGATCGCATCGGTGGTCGAATCCACACCAGTCGAAAATCTCCAAACGGGAAGCCTCGAGACATTGGTAAATACACCTGACCTAATAGGCAGAACAATATCTTCCGTTGTGGGTGGTTGAGACTTACGGTCTTGACCACACAATGTGGGTTGTTTATCCTTTCCCCCGGCAAAAGTGTGCTTACTATATATACAGGTGCTGCATGGATGCACGAAACTTCGCAGAATAAATTAGTCCAACTAATCAGAAAACTCGATATCGAGTACTATTATGATGACGGTACGCCTTTATACTTTACCAAGGAAGGAAGAGCGGGATCACAATTCAAGGCGAAGAAAGTAGCTGATGAATTCGCGGATTATTGTGAGCACTACTTTGAAACTCATCCACATGCTCCTGATCGCTCTGTCAAAGAGTTCATTCATGACTTCGTAGAGAATCATCCTTTGATCACTAACACTGAACGCAAATGGGCTCCACAAGCCATTCGTGAGGTTGAACTTGTAAGATGTCTCAGTGCTCCAACCCATGGTTAAAGCTAACCGGATGATTTTAGTGGATCGGTACATCAATCGAAGAAGCTTCTTCCAAATACTTGAGCTACTTCGTAACTGAAAGAAATTTATACATGAAGGGCGGATATGATAAGATTGTTAATTGGCTCGCCAAACCACTTCTCAAAGATCCTGAGACCATCAAGATGGGAGAAGTTGTCAAGAATATCCAATGGGGTGACCAGGATAACTCAGTAGTAGTTGAAACGTTGAAAGGCGACAAAAAATCTATTTACAAAGCCGACGCCATTGTTGTCACTGCACCTCTTGGTTGTTTGAGAAACAAGATGATTAACTTCGAGCCTGCTCTTCCTGAAGACATTCAGGAGGGTATTGATAACTTTTCTTATGGAGCTCTTGGAAAGGTTTTCGTGGAGTTTGACGAGGTGTTCTGGCCAAAGGACAATGATCAATTCATCTACTACCCTTCTCCTCTTCCAGAGGGTACTCCAGTTGATGAGTAAGCATATCCTTCGCTCTTTATACCAACTACTCAAACTAATACCCAATAGATCTTCGATCTTGTCCTATGCTACTGTAACATCTAATTGCTGGATCATGTCCGGCACTAAAGAGCTCTGCATCCAAATTGCCGAACCTCTTACCCAACGAATTGAATCGATGACCTCAACCAAGGAAATATATGCTTTCTTCGAGCCCCTCTTCAAGCTCATGCGTACGGAACCGTATAAGGATCTTCCAGATTTACTCAACCTCGAGACCACTCACTGGACCCAGGACCCCCTCGCAGGATTCGGATCCTATTCCGTTGAGAAGACGGGTGACGAATCCGAACTCCTTATCGAAGCCCTCGAAAACCACAGTCGAAGTCGCCTCCAATTCGCTGGTGAACACTGCACCATTGTCGGAAACGGCTGCGTGCACGGAGCATTCGAGACCGGAGAGGTTGCTGCTAGAAACCTCCTGGAGACATTGGGCGTGGTATATGATGGAAATGATACCACGGCTCGAAATGTGTCTCTTTGAGTGTGCGCATTTCTTGTGCCTAAGAGGTGAGATGAGATGAGCTGATGACTTGAACTTGCTACGTATCCTTAAATGGCTTTCGTGAGACTTGTTAGTTTTTGATTTTTGTGTTTGATTCATTTGCTCTTAGTTATATCATTATCCCTACGGTCATTACAGTTTCCATCACTGTTATATTTGCTATTCTTTATATCAACTAAGATATAGATATACCTTGCGATTCATATTGTTCCAATTTGCCACCGTTATGTGAGTTTGGCGCGTCTACTTCAAATCTGGAGACGGGGCTGTGAGGGAGCTAGTATTTGCTTCCTTCTATTCAACCGTCTGCTGAATATCTTTATCTACTGTTCAACACTGATAAATAACATTTAAGTCTTCGATGGCCACTGATTCCATCTTCAATCTCAGCTCATCACTAATTTCAGTAATACATGGTCATTATCAGATGAGTTTCCTAATTTACAGCTTTGTATTAATGTAGCCACTCTTCTTTGTGGTAATCAGGTACTCGAACACCCGCACAATAGTTCATGAGGTCACAGAAAATTTCAGCATTTTACAACCGCATGGTATTGATGTAATAACAAAATATATCAACAGGGCCTGATCTCGTTTATTGCAACGTCATATAGAATTCTTCATATTGTGCATCGACATAGCTTTTGCACATCTGAATTAATCCCGCATCGACGATTAGTGGCTGCACACCAAGATTTCAAGATCAACATCTTTCATATACTCTGTACTTAATTGACCATTCGATATGCATATATATATACATCTCAATACCTATGCACATATTAATACGAGAGAGAGAAATTTTCTGGAATGGCGGTGTGGATGTAAATGCGGATGTGGATGTGGATGTGGATGTGGCCATGTAGATGACACATAATATTCTAAGAAAGTAAACGGAAAAAAAGTAAGATGTCATGTAAATATAAATGTAAGTCTTGGAAAAAAGAAGGTATCCAGATTAGAAAATAGAAATGCGAATAGGAAAAGCCATCGAGATCTTCACAGTGAGTGAGTACTTTCCGAGAGGTGGCGGGGCTATACGATATTTGTGCTTAAGGAAGTTTTTGGTGTATATATTACAATACTTTCAGCTTATTTTTATTTTTATTATTTATAACTTTAACTCTATAACTTTGATTTTATTTAAATATGTATATAAAAGAAAAGTGCAATTAAGCGAGTAAAGATTTCATATAATATATTTAGATAATAAATAATATCAAATTGAAATTTGATATTTATAGTTTTTGTAAGTAAGAGGGTAATAATAATAATAAGAGTGCTGAAGTCGTAGATTTCTAGTGGATAATAAAAGATATTTACTTCCTTGATAGTATTTTATTTTGACTCTAAAACTAAAAACTACTAGGAGGATAGTAGATATGTACATTGATGTGGTTTTCGACATCCGTTGGGTTGGGAAATATAACAATGGCTTGGATTATTTGGAGAATCAATATGTATATTTTGCATGTTATTCTTATTTCTTAAATCCATTCATGTGTTCTCATTTCATATACATATAAATCATACGGCATTATTGTCATCAAAACACCCTTCTGCAAAATATTCTGTCCATCAACTAAGGCAAACTCAAAAACAACTTCAACAACTTAGGGTAATTTGGCGTGCCCAACCCAGTTGCTGGATCCCATCCCTTTACTGCCGCGAAACCCTCGGTTCCACAGCCTACATTCGTGCCATTAATAATATCATTAAGAGCTCTAGGGTTTTTGTAAAGTGTCGGATTTACAAATCCGATCGGTCCCTTTCCAACCGCGAATCTCTCTTCATTAATCAATGTGAACACCGATGCGAAAAGAGGAGATGCCAGCGATGAGCCAAACCAATGTTCATCGACCCCATTAAGGTGTGCACGAAATTCGGCACCGTTGGCGGAGATATCGGGATAACCTCGTCCGATGCGGTTGTAGAGTCCTTTTGTTGCGTTGACGTTGACTTCGAATTCAGAGTAATATGGATAGGCGAGTTTGGCAGTCTCGAAATACGTCTCGACGGCGGATTTTTGATAAGAAGGGATGGGGAAATAGTTGGAGAAACCTCCTGAGCTGGTAAAGTTGGAAGCCGTCCCACCAAGATTGACGTGCATGACTGATTCGGCGTCTTTGACGGTTTGGTCGGCGTAAAGCATGGTTCCACCTACTGAGGTGATATACGGGCAGTTACCCGGATATTGAGGGTTAAAGATTTTACCTTCAGGACCGAGACAACCATTTGCATCGCCATCTCCGGGGAAGGAAGCGACTCCGTAATCACCAGATGCGGTAAGGATTGAATGGCCTTGAAGACCGAGTTTCATGAATTCATTGCATTGACGTTTGGTGTAGGCAATAGGGAGGTCGGATTCAGCTTGACCATAGGATGCGGAGATGACCTTAGTAGGTTTGTAGACTCCGCATTGACGTGTTCCATTCCATCCACCGGGTCGTGGATCGGGATACACAGGATCAATTGATGGGTCATCTCCGGTCTCGCCATATGCTTTGTAGTTGCAGTAAGACTGAAAATGGTTAGCAATGTCTCGTTGCAGATGTTGATCAACTTACTCCGTCAAGTGCATCAAGGAAAGTGTTGAACAAGTTAGTGGTTGCAACCTCTTCTGGCTCGTAAATTTGATCATCAACTTGGTAAAGAGTGACAGTCTGAGGGTAAAGAAGAGCAAACGCCATATCAATATCGATATTAGATTCACCTCCATTGAGGGAACTGTAAGGAGGAACGGAGAAATTTGCACCATCGATGAGTGCGGGAATAGGATAGGTTCCTTGTGGGACCCAAGGAGCGTACTCAGCATAGAAAAGATCAAGATCTGACTTGGCGAAGTAATCTCCTTGCTCGTATAATCCCAGAGAGTTGCCCGATGCATTCAATGTGGCGGTGGGAATATTGTACATGGCCTTGATACAAGTAGGTGTCATATTTGAACCGCAACCTTGCAAATCGCTGGAAAGGCCGGCAGCTGCAGGTGGGGTCCACTCGTAGTTCTGTGAAGGAGGGTTTCCCTTGGTAAGACGGTTTCTTCGCTTGGAAAGGTAAGACGTGGATCGCTTGGTTTTTACGCTTCTTTTCTTGACGGGTGCAAGCTTGACACCGGGTGTGATGTAGTCAATATGTGGTACGAGATGCTCTGGAAGATGATATCTTAGAGTTTGGTTAGTAAAAATAAGTATTCAAGTGAGGACGGGACAATCCTACTCATCGCATCCAACCCGAACACTCGAACTATATTTATGCTCATGTTCATGAAACTTGGCTTGGAGTAAACGCTCAGCCTCTTCGACTGAAGCATCAAATGCCAACCACCCTTTGTTTTCGTAATGAGAGATCCGAGAATGATGGATACCAGACGAAGTAAGCCAGGCTTTAACCGAATTAAGAGTTTCTTCTGGAGGAGCGAACTTTTCGTGGACTTCCTTTGACGACCAATATTTACCATACTTTGGAGATTCTGGATCCGAACTGAATATTATTAGCTTCAATTGGTTCAGATAAATGTATTTGATCAAGGCAAACATCAGAATCACTCACAGCTCCATAAGGTATTCGTAACCATTGTCAAGATTGGTTTGGGTCAAACCAATTCTCATTGGCACAACTGCACTTCCTTCAATTCGAGAACCCTTTACCCAATCCGATGGTGCTGCATTTCGCTTTTCATGCATCACATATTTGGTCGATGAAGGGGCAGCATTTGCAATTGCTGCAATGGCAAGAGAGACAACAGATACTGGCACCAACATTTTGCAGCAAAGGTACACGGAACAGACGCATGAAGAACTTCATCATGAAGGAGCAGAAATTGGGCCTTTTAAACAATTTGTTGATTGACCACTTGGTCGTATTTCTTACACTCAATGAATCAATCGTACATGAAAACATGCAGTACTTCCTGCAACTTACCAGCCAGACTGATAGCGATAGATATCCTATATTGCAAGGATACCTAATCAGGAAGGTAGTAATGCGGTGGAGAAGATGGGGCCCCTATCTTTGTACCATGTTCCGAGCAAATGATTGGTGGAGGTTTGTCTGTACCTGAAGATACTCATCGACCATACGGAGTAGTGGATGCTTGCAGATAATCGGTAAGTCAACAGCTGAGCTTCATTCCATCGGTTTCCAATGCGATGGCCCCATATCTCTAATGATCCTCTATTGGATATATTTATTCGATCCCGTAAAAGTGTACCGGGTAGCTATCTCCTTCAAAGGCTGATGGTACCGGGGAATCCATGGATATATATAAGATATCATACGGACAATCATTTCCTCGACTTATCGAAACTATTTTTATTAATACAAAGTTCTGTAGGTCAATTAACAGTGAAAATATTTCAGAGGATTGTTACTTGTATGATTTTCTGTCGGTATTACATAATCATTTAGAGGGCCAGGAAAGAAAATAACAAAGGACTCTAAAACATTGTGGGCATCAGTTCATCCAGAATCACTCCTTCTTTTCCCCTCTGATATATACACATACCATAGTTGCCCAGTACTGAAATCCTATCACCAATGATAATTCTCTGTATTGAGGATAGTATTGAGGCCAAGGGCCACATGTAGCTGCAATCACAAAGATCCAAAATCATTTTCTTTCAATAAATATTCCGGACCGGGTGGACTCCATCCTTTGTCGATAATGCAATTTCTTTCACTTTCCTTTAAGCTAGTAAGCTGGAACATATATTTATATGTAGTTTCGACGGGAAATAAGTAACTTTTCTTAAATCTTCACATATGTTTCAATTATTCAATACAAAAGATGCCTGTAACTACAAGATCTCAGTCTGAAAAAGCTTCATCATCCATTCCACATGATGCGGAACCTCATTCTGCTGTCAAATCTTCTTCTAGAAACAAGAGCCATCTCAAAAGCACTGTTCCAAATGACTCGCTGAATCTTACTACTTCCCCAAGACCAACTCCTCAGCCAAAACAAAATCACAAAAGGCGTCGCCCATTGCCAAAAAAGGAATCGAAAAGACCATTTTCCAAAAGTCGGGATCTTGGAAAAGACGAACCAAACCAAACAAGCACGACCCTTTCCCCGCTCGACACCTTCACTCACTACTTCTGCCAAAAGTGCGATTGCCCACAAGGGATTTTTGCGTCCCTCGCTAATAGTTGTGTTGAGTGTGGACACCGATTTGAAGACCACCATGACATGAACAATCCTTGGTATCCGCATCCTACGTGCGAGTATATTTGTGAGAGATCTGATCTTGTTCACGCAATTTTGCAGCGAGCAAGGGATTTGCGGGTAGTCGTTATCCGTTCTATTCCTGGAGTAGGCAAAAGTGTACTCCTTAAACTCCTGGGCTATCATATACACAAAAACTGTCCTGATCTAGAGCCGATATTCATTAGATGGAAAACGATAAAAGAACGCAACAATCTTGAATATGACAAATATTTGCAACAGGAAACAGAAATATGGAAAGCAAAGAACGCTGAAGTTCGTCCTCACAACCCAGAAGCTACCGAAATATTTCTAATCGACGAAGGCCAAAATTCATATGAGGACAATTCTTTCTGGAATGCACGGCTTAAAAATATGAACCTTCTCTCACAACCAAAATTCATAATTGCCTCCTGTCTTGATATCTACAGTCTTCCTGTTCTTCACGAATCAGATTCTTTCGCCCAAATGAGCCGTAAAGATTCTTTTCTATACCTCGAACTGCGTCCGTCGGCTGATGATAAAAAACATCTACTTTTTAAGCCAGTCGAAACACACACTATGATTATAAAGTGGGCTACAGCACATAACTTTCAGCTTGAAAGTGGTGTCTCCGAATACCTCCATGCTGTTACTGATGGACATGTGCGTATACTCGGCGTCATCTTGGAAATATTAAAGGTCCGTTTTCCTGATCCAAGTTTTTCATTTCATACACACCTCCCTAACATACGGATTTGTGTTTCCTTATAACTTATTCTACTATAGCCCAATCAAAAGATCAACCATCAACGCGTAGTTACGCTCGGCTTATGCTATTCCTTCATTCACGATGATAATGAATTTCTACTACATATGTTGAGGATAGTGGGAACGGGGTTTTGGACACCTAATGTACAGGCTTTAGTAAGACAATATTTTATTGCTTCTTCTTCTTACTACCATATTCCAGTTTCGAATATTGTAGAAGCATTACGCAAAGTGGCAAGATTACCCCATGGCTATACCCTACCAGCCCGTCACTTGGATGACCGGGCATTGACTTTCTGTCACGACGCCGGTTTACTGCATACGGAACAAAGACGACCTGGAAGTGAGGAAACCACATACTTTTTTGCTTCCCCAATACACCGAACGTATGTATGTTTTACTTATTTATCTATCTATAATAACCTTCCGTTTATATTGACTGTACACCACAGAATCGCATGTCGTCGCCTTTTTGCAGCTTCGGAACCAGATACTATTCAGGATGAAATCACTCTTCAGCAAACGTGCTTCAATGCGATTGGACGGTTTAATTTATCTAGTTTGAAAAAACATCTCGAGAAACCTTTTGAATGGAAGAGGCTTCTAAATACAGCAATCCAGAACGAGATGTACTGTTGCCTCAATCCAGAGCTTCATAATATAGAAATTATTTCCGAATATTCTTATCTTACAAATGAACGACTCGATTTCTATATCTTTGAAAAGAAATGGGGCATTGCAATACTTCAATGTAGGGAAACAGAAGCAATGAATGAATATATAAGTCAATTTCGTGTCGGAGGCAAATATCATGGATGGGGTGCCATGGACGATTTTATTATTCTTACTTTTTGGTGGAGAAGTGGAGGCCACACACTAGATATTAAAGGTAATGTCATTTCTTAACTTTGAGATGATATCTCGTTCTAATATCAAACTCTTCGTCTTTAGATGTCGATATACAGTCTCACATTTTACAAGTCGCTATTGATTTTGAGACATATACTGTGGAGCTATATACATATGACGGCAAACTACAACTCACCCTGGACTTGGGCCGAGAAAGACAGCAATCCCATTCCATAGGGCCTGATACAAATCAAGAGAGCGTGGATCCTTAGATGCAACTCTGTGGTTCGAATTTTTTTCTAAACGAGTCTGGGGAAGCGAAGCAAGAGTGGTGGAGCTGACGAACGAAATCGCTCAACTGGAAGCGGCTCATATAAAGTTAATTCAGAAAATCGAAGGAAAGAAGCTTTGAGTGAGAAATCAAAAGAGGTGGATATTCTTTTTTGTTTTTATTGTTGGATTGATGACGGCGTCTTTGAGGCAGCATTTTTATCACGTTGCCTATGAATTTCAAGATATATCTCCCCGACTTCCATATGACTCAGTATCTTCTGTGTTCTATTGAATTTTTCTCGTACATGTTATGAAGGTTCTCACTTGTGAAAAGGCTCGCAGCTTTGATTGTAGGTGCAACACAACTTGATGCCCTGACAGCTGGGATGATATATATGTGGTTTTGTTTCCGAATAATTGTTTGCATTTCATAGATTAGTAGGCCAAAACTTTGTTCGGGATAAAATTTCAGCAGTGCTGAAGGTGCAATTAGTAGAAGGTGCGAAGCAAAAAGAAGACTTGCGGGAACGACCATGGGTGTACACCAATTCATACAGCTGTTTAAGTCAGTAACGTTCCAGTAACATTTGAAAGGTTTACCAATCACAGACCGTAATTTATACTTTACTGCAAGTAAAGATATTAGCAGGAGCGATTGTACTCGCCAAGATGAATATTTCATACTTCATCAACAGGCTCATATTTTATAGCTTCCTGGTAAGTACTATAAATCATTCTTATGGCTATTCATCCCTATATATACTGGATACGAACCCTCTTCTCACACATTATCTACAAGTACATCCTGACCAAACCTAAGCATACATCAATAACCTCACAAAAATCACAACAAAAAAAAGTATGACCGCTGTAACTTCAACCTCATCTACCCAAAAAGCTCTCGACGCTTTCTGGAAGAATAACCTCACATCTGATGAAATAATCACCCGCTGTATGTTTTATTTCAAGAACAACTTCATATGACTGACAATATTCAGCACCCAATGTTCTTCCCAAACATATTTACGAGCGACTCCTCGGGGAAGAAAAGTCCAAGGGCAAGATCTCTGGCTGTAGCGTCAATACCTCCTACGATGCTGCTGTAAAAGAATGCGAAGCTAAGGTTGCGACCATTGTGGCAGAATGTAGGCGCAACAATACCAAATACACCGATAATGATTTTGATCTCGATGACATGGATTATTGTCTCAAGCCTCTCACAGTTACCATACCAGGCACATCGAATGGAGAAGAGCATACAGAGCTAGACCCTCCAAAGAAATCAAATAACATGAAAACCGTTATTACACGAACCGGAACCGCGAAGCTAACTGCGGCCGAAATACGAGGGCCTGCCTGTGCAAAAAGAGTTGATGATATCTTCGAAAATCCCAAGTTTTTCATCGAGCATGAACCTCATGTACAAGATATACGACAAGGTTCAGAAGGAGATTGTTGGTTTATCTCTTCTTTGGGATGTCTCACCGTAGACAAGGCATTTCCAAAACTCATTAATAAACTTTGCCCAGAAAAGGCACGTAGTGAGGAAATCGGAGTATATGGATTTGTTTTCTATCGTGATGGGGAATGGGTCTCAGAAATCATTGATGACAAACTATACCTTACTAATCCCGATTATGATGATTGCGATGATGATAGAAGATCTGTCTGGGATCGCTCTCACGGAAGAATGGACCCGGAAGCTTCGCGTACAGAATATAAAAAGGCTTTTCAGACAGGCTCTAATGCTTTGTTTTTCGGATCGTGCGCTGATCCCAACGAGACTTGGTTACCGTTGATTGAGAAGGCTTTTGCCAAAGTGCATGGCGACTTTGATTCAATTAATGGTGGTTGGCCCGGGTGAGCTCTCCTTCATTGCTGCACACAATCAATGTAGTGGATCCTAACTCAGCACTAGTGAGGGCGTCGAGGATCTTACTGGTGGTGTTACTACCAAATCCATTTCCTCTGACATTCTAGATAAAGATACTTTCTGGACTCAAGGTCTCTTAAAAGTAGGCCATGAGTTCATATTCAATGCCGGTACAAGGGAGTATACCCATCCGGATCCAGACGAACTCGGCAGACAAGGTATTGAGGATGACCACGCTTACTCTATTCTTCGAGCGGTTGAATACCAAGGAAAGCGTCTTTGCCTCTTGAAGAATCCTTGGGGTGAGACGGAATGGAATGGCCCATGGTCTGACGGGTCTAAAGAATGGACTAGGGAAGCACTTGATGCACTTAATCATAAGTTCGGAAACGAAGGGATTTTCTGGATGCCGTATGAGGATTTCCTCAATCGATATGATGAAATCTGGAGAACAAGACTCTTTCATTGTGATTGGCTTTGCTGGAATGTTGCACAACACTGGACTACTGTCAATGTACCTTGGTCTGGAGAGTAAGTACTTATTCATCACATTTCATACTCCTTTTGGAAGTACAGGTATCTTCATACTAACTCTCTAGTCATAACGACACCTCCTTTCACTTTACTATCCGCGAGCCTACCACGACCGTGATTGTCCTCTCCCAACTTGACAACCGCTACTTCGGTGGCCTTGCTGGCCAATATACTTACTCACTCTCTTTCCATCTCCATTCACCAGGACAAAAATCTCATATCGTACGCGGGTACTCAAGCGGTGATCGTTCCGCAACTACTGAAATTTTTCTCGAAGCAGGTACTTATGAGGTGTTTCTTCAAATCACTGGATATCGTGACGATACACTTCCAAAAGTAGAAGATGTCGTCAAGCAGAATTGGCTCAATAGGAGAGAAAAATTGATTCAAATTAGTTTGAAGCATGATATGGCTTATGATAAGGGTGTGATTGATGAAAGTTCCTCAAAGAAGAGCGAGGGAATGTCTCTTGCTACATCCGCTGCTCCTCCTACCCCACCTACAACCCCCCCCATTACGCCATCACTTCCTTCTTCCGGGAATGCGCCAGAAATGGATAAACATGCCTGGAATGCTTCCTGTGTTGTTGGTCTCAAAGTATATACATATCAAACGATAGCAACGATCAGACTAGGGAAAGCAGCTAATGCAGTTGATGTTGAGGTTGAAATTGAAAAGATTGAAGATGCAGATAAGAAAGGACACGAAATCCGTAAGATACTTTCTACACTAGATGACAAATTCTCGAGTAACTTACATAAGATGAAGATTAGGACGAAAAAGAAAAGTTTAAAGGTAAAGTGGAAGTTTCATAATAGAGATTGGAAGGAGGAGAATGGATTGGGTGATGGGAAGAAAAAGCGGAAGAGGGAGAGGAAGGAGAAGAAGAGGGAACGGGAAAGAGAACGGAAAGAAGAGAAGAGGAGGGAGAAGAGAAGAAGGAAAGGGAAAGTGTAGATTGGTAGACTTGGGAGGAGTTTTGAGGTTTAATGCTAGTTATGAATGTCCCTATACATGAAATGCGGCTGGAGTTTGGAAGCAATTATCTTCGGAATTCCGGGCAGTGTCATACAAGATCCATTTGTACAAATATTTTTCCGTGACCTAGAATATATAGTCTTACTAAAAGTCTAAGAAATACCACAGCTTTGAACACATTGGGACTAGTATCTCTTCTTCCTCTGAGGAATTTACACATTTTTGAGGGGGACTTAACATGATGATAATGTCGCAAAATCATACCAACAGTATGATATCATCTAACAATAACTTAAAAAAGAGGTTGCTATCACTAACAACTAGATCACGAATTTTTCGATGCAAATCCCCGCCGGTCGTCCTGGTCTGCCTAGTCTTCCATACAAAGAAAGATAACTAGAGTGTCTATTATAGATTGGTGACGTCATATAAATATCTATCTACATCTAAAGACATCATCATTTACTCTGAAATACAAAATATTATTTTATTTATACTGAGAAAATACCAGTTCGAACTCCGATATTCATCTTATGAACTAAGTTTCAATTTTGGTTATTCAAAATTTAATATAATTATCCGATTGTTATTTTCTTTTCTTTTTAGGTCGGGGTTTTATTTGTGATTTATTTCGGAAAAGAGATGAATGAAATGTACTGTTATTAGTATATGAACTTGCTAATTTTTTTAGATTTAGACGGTTCAACTACTTTTCATTTTTGTCTTTTCATTTGCAGGAACCGATGAGGATATCGGAACGACAAATTAATCTAGTCAATCAATATCACAAATTCTCTTACCAATGCATCAACTCAACCCCCACAAATCCATATATTTCAAACCCAATAACAGCACAATAACAATATCCCAATCTTCCTAAAAATTCCATATTAACAATCTCAAAATGTCTCAACAAAAACATAATATCCTCAAACTTCCTTACACCTTTTCCGCGGTCGGATCCAAATATCTCAATGCACTTCCGGCCAAATACAAACTACCCGTAACTAAACACTCCATAGCATGATTTTGGTATCCAATTTTAGTGGCTAAGTCTATTGCAGCCGCATTATTAGGTTCGAGGAGAATACTAGAGTTAGGTGAGAGGTTTTGCCATGTTTGAGCGTAGGAACGTATGGCTGAGATATCGGAGTCTGTTATTTTTGAGGCTGTGGGTAAGTTTTTAGTGAGGTTGAAGATGAGATGGGAAGAAAAGGGTAAGGGTAAGGAAGATACTTACTATCATCCCAATCAGTCGTAAAGATTACATGTTTAATCTTACATCTATGTTTCTCCAACGCCTTTACCAAACTCTCTACGACCTCTTGCCCATCTCCATCTCCTCTCGTTCGATGAGCAAAAACCACTACTTTTGGATTTCCCGACTCCTGACAATTTACAATGGTCTGTTTCATTCTCCGGAGCGCATATGAGAAAGGTGATAGCGTAGCTTCTTCACATACACTCAGCGCAAACCATTGTGCCGCTTTAGGTACAGTTTGAGGATGATGCGCACCATCCAGAAACCAGGAGTTAAGTCCTACTTCCAATTTGTGGAAACGGCCGGGCCAGAAAAATCTATCGAGACCAATGGAAATGTCCACAGAGGAGAGAGGAGGGTACTTTTCATCGCATGTGGAGATGAGATATGCATCTGTGAGGGCAAGTGCTAATGAGCATTCGTATCTCTTGATGTCTGTTTTGAGCGCATGGGCAGTGATTGGAAGACGATGATCTTCGGTCACAAAGTTCAAAGCGACTCCTTTTCCGTTTGCACGTTCTTCGAGAACTTTCCTTATCTCGGGATCTTGGGGGATAGAAAATGCAGGAGCATTGGTTTTCATGATACCTCCTGCATGCCAAGCAAGATCTGTTGAAGAAGAATTACCTGTATCGACGTAATCTGAGGGAATCTGGGAAATTCCTACAGCTGTAGGTTTGACAAAGTTCGTAGCATCATTTTCTCCTCCGCTATGAGTTTCCATAATAACCACATCAACATCTTCGCAAATAAATGCATAGATAGCGATCAGTAATCTCAATTGCATATAATGCGGCATCATTGTCTCGGAAAACTTGCTAGAAAGAGTTTCCCATACTTCGAAGAAATATCTAGCAAATTTGTCCTCTGATATTGGTTTGGAATTGATCTTGATTGGCTCTCGGATGTTTGAAGAATAGGGGTTGGTGTATAAACCAATTTTCTTCAATACACCTGTTCTGGAAGCATAGGATGAGAGGAAGGATTTTACGAATATGCATGTGGATGCTTTGCCTTTTGTTCCGGTGATATGGATGACGTGGAACTCTTTATGCTGTGGGTATGATTAGAGTGTTTTCTGAGGCGGAGGATTTTGCTTACTGTATACCCAAGAGCATTAAGCCACTCATTCATACTGTCATTTCCATGCTTGTTTGGGATACCACCTAATGTACTCAACCTGTTATTTGTTTTCTCGCTGGAAGAATCCTCTCCACCACTACTACCACATGCCGTTTTCTTCAGCAACTGAGAGGCTCTACTACGTCTGCTAACTTTGACGCGATCTTTTCTACTTTCGAGTAGTGTAATAGCGTTCTAATTAACATTTAGTAGATGCTGCAAGGAAAATGGAAGGAAACTTACTCGGTACGATCGCTCCATTTCGTCCTAATTCGTCACAACAGATTCAATTGTAAAAATCAAAGTGAAATAGAAAGCCAAGCTGCGAGCCGATTGAAAAAGTAATGTCTATCCCAAGCCATGACGTTGATTAAGGTCTTGTTGGACTGACCATATACTACACATTTGGAAGCAAAGAGGCAATAATGGCTTGCCATTATTACACATATCGCGACATTGCAGGTCGCGAGGATTCCACAATGGGTCGTATATGGTCTTTCTAAGGGTGAGGCGGAGTGAAATGAAAATCGTGTATTGTTAATAGCATAGGAAAATTGGCGCCTAGAAGAAATAGGATTGTTGGTGAGGGACGCCCGGAATGCAATTGAGGTCCATTTTCAGGCGAACCTGTGTCGGGCAGGTCTGGGCTTGCTTCGTTGCCACTTGGTAAACATTGAGGATTATTAAAAGAAAGCAATTATGGATTACTATGAGCCGTAATGGAATATACGTTGATGGACGGGTTAAGTATACATCAAATGGATTTGAAGTGTCTGGGATTTCCAGGACAGCATCCAAATGCTTCTCAGCCCTGCAAGCCCCTAATGCATGCCTGGGTAGTTTAAGTGTGTGTTGTGAAATTAGTAAGCAGGCCGTGCGTGACCTCACTTCACACAATTTCATCAACATCATAAAATCCAAGAAACATACATGATCAGGAGAAGATTGACATACCGTCAAAGCTGTATGTTATCAATTTTATCGATTCAAAATACTATTCCAGATGATTCAACAGCCTGTCAGCATTCCTAGTCCATGTTCTATTTGAGGGCGGGCCTCACTATCTGCCACTCTCTTTGAATCTACAGCGTACGAAGTATTAAGGAGAGGCTGAAAAGGTCCATAATCCTTCCATCTGATCTCATCGGGCTACTTAGAGTGACGTAGGTGAAAGAACATGACTGAGAAAAGAGAGGAGAGGTTCAGCAGAAAGGAAGTTGCATGGCATTATTCAGCAATTCAAAGACGGAGATGATTCCGATTCCACAGGATTTCAATCTGAAGATGGGAATAGTTTTTACCAGCCTCGAAATATTTGAAAATTAGTCAGAGTAATCATGTTCTAGCTGTCAGGTTTTGAAGTAATCGTCAAAACCCGTTCCGGACCATTCTCCCTTGGCTTTCCAACTGTTATTCACGATCACAAGTCTTGTTTGTATCACTTTCACCTGCAAAGCATCGGACACGAAATAGATGAGCTATTGCAGATCAGATAATGGTTACGACACATCAACAACATGGCCTTTGTTGTCCAAGATCGGAGGGCTACACAAGGTTCTGATTCGTGTTGAGGTAGTATTCAGCTTGTGTTACTAAGTATCCAACTTGTACTTGGAATATGGGAAATCAGAATACCATCCAGCCCCGCAATACTGCCTTTAGTTACACATCAATCGAAGTTCTTGGACTAAAATGTTATTCCATGTCGAAAATTAGAAGTGTTTCACAGGTCATACAAAAGACGACGACATTGAAGCACGACATTGAGGCATTTTGGACTTAAAACAAAAGAATGATACGGAATTTTATGATCTACATTTAACTATCATCGATAAAATCTAGTCGAAAGATAACTTCCTTTGGTCATTTGTATCTCAAACGTTGGAGTGAAGTGCGACAGAAGTTTCCTCCGTCATCCTCGACAAGCAAATCCGCTATAACGCAGACTATGATGGCCAAAATATTCCTTTGTTGGGGATCTCTAAATCAACCACATCCCGAAGACAAACAAGACCCTGAACTCAAAATCGCAGTATACGAAAAACCACCCTGACGTCACCGAAACACGTAAAAAAGTATCTCGATTTTCACCCGCCCATGTAGTACCCAGTGACTACCAAACTCCAAGCAAGCCATCGATCGATACTCCAATAAACACGCTCTTTCTTTTATTCTTGCAAGTTCTTGTTATCTCTGTCCTGCTCAGCCAACTTTCCAGCCAATATTGAAACCTCGCTCTCCGCCAACGAGTGTGCTCTCCTGATAGCTTCCTCTAAAACTTCATTCAAGTCCTCTAATCCACGTTTGATTCGTGCCTCGATAATGTTCTTCGCGCCAGCCTTCCGCGCCAAAAAATTATAATACGATTGATCTGATGTGAGATCGGTACCCACGTATTCTAAAGTAGTGGGTGATATGACTGTAGGTATTCCAGCTACCGGTGTCGCACACGATCCGTGATTTCTCTTATGGATTGTCCATAAAATGTGGGCAGGCCCTTGCGACAGCGGCTGCACGACACGCGTGTCAGGAATCGGTACGACATTCGGTGTGAAACAACCATCTTTAATCTTCAACACAACAATCTTTTTCGGTACCCACGGCTTCACCGGAGGCGCATCATCGGGCAAATTTGATCGCTTCGGGGCGGAGACGGGAGCAGTCCCCGGTGCAAGCTCATTTTCTCGAGCTTGTCGAATGCGACTCAATACGCCTTTACATATTTGTGCAGCGTTGCAGCGAATGTTCGTGTGAGTTTTTAACTCATTTCTCAATTGCCACTCTAGAAATTCGAGGCTTTGATCAGTAGCTCTTAGTTCGTCGAACCGCGCTTGTGCCAACTGATAGATTCTCGCGAAACGTGCTGGCGCGCGTGTTAGTTTTGTTGTCTTGTTCTGCCCAGTTCTTCCAGATTTAGGAGGTGCTTTGCTAGGCATGGTGTATAGTAACACTACTGGTTGTAGATTATAAGTGTAACTAAATTGATTTTCATGGATATGCAGCTCTTGAGATATTCGGTCTGGCTTCAGCGATCGAACGATGGATATTTAAATATCCTGCCGGTATCTGTGTCGATGCGCAAAGTCGTGCCCGACATGAACCAGACAGCTCTAGAATAAGCAAGTGCTAAATAGAGAATGTTACAAGAAGTCGATATATCTTGTGGTAATATGCTTTGTAATTGTGTTATTTCTCTTGTCGCTGAGATTGAGGTTGTTCTGTCGCGGAAGATATTGAGAGAACCCAATCTCAGAGGATGTCTCGAAACCTTTTAAACCATCGAGATACTTTACAAACATGTTCGACCGTATTATTCAACTATATCCATGAAACCGTATCCGCGAAAACCGTACCGTTCAACCACATTGCCCAACTATATCCCTACTATAGCGCAAAAACACAGATTCGCGAGTAACCCTAGATAGGTAAATAAAGTGAATAACAGTACCAGCAATACGGGGAAAATTCACTTTTGATTTATGGTACGCGAATTTTGAATGTACTATCGTATTGTGGAGTTAAAGAAATTGTTTCAAGTCGGCGATTAGCATGTTTTTGTCAGTACATGAAAATACTTCACATGTGAATTCTTGAAAGCTCTTCTGCTTTGAAGTGGATAGTTGGGATACCTTAGCGTTTTCTACCTATGTTGATAGCTGATTCAGTCGAGAAGCTTTCGATATGGAAAAAGTTCTTTCTTCTTCCTATAATTTCGAAGGTTTTGTAACTTGCACCCATACTTAATATCTAGACAATAAACATAGTCAATAAAAAGAGCTCATGTTTGCTAGATACTAAAATTTTGACATTTTAGCTCCTTCTACCCATTTTGAATGTTATGAATATTCTAGTATCGTCTGAACAATATTAATATTAAAGGTCTTCACTAATTATAGTCGTGTCAATGTCGATTATTGAGACATCTCGTGGTGATGAGGTTTTATTTGTGGTATAATATTATTTGTGTAGAGATTACATAATCCCATCTGACTTTTATCAAGTTGATAGATACCCGTGGTCTCGTTTTCTTCCAGAATCGGTCACGTAGCTGCCATACATCATCATTGAATAAACCTAAGCCAACAGACACTACATTCAAAATCCAGTTAGTTATAAAATACTCCCAGGACCCCTACCAAAACCGTACTCCCTATCCAAATCCCTAAACCTATCCCAGCGCCACAACCCACAACTCACAACACATCCGCCTCCCCCCAATACCAAGTATCTTCGCTCACCCCCACCTTTTCACCCTCACCCTCCCTCACCGAAAACCCACCCCGCAAGTACGCAAACCTATTAACTTTCCCCTCCCACCTCCTTCCCTCCCCCCACCCCGCCACTCAAAATCCTCCCACCTAGGCCTCTCCAACATATGAAAAAAAATGCGCCTGACTCCCCGAATGCAGCGCCAAAACCTTTACCCTCACTCCTCCCATCCCGATACCAACTTCTCACCCCTTTATCCATCCACACCGTTCTCGGCATAAAACTCTCTATATACTCTGCATAATCACTTACTGCTTCGGATAAAGGTCTAAAAGAGGAAATATTTTCCAATTGGCATTTTTGGATGAATTTTAGAGTGAAGGCGCTGAGTTATTCGGTGATTATGGGGATGGCACCGTGGGCTAGGGGGCCGTTGGGGCCGAGGAATTCTGGGGGTTTGTTAGGTTTTTGTTTGGGAGGGGGTTGGTTATGGGTGCAGGTAGGGAGCTTACTGATGTAATTCGGCATACCGGGAACCATACACGACATATATGCCTGAGTTTTATTTTTAGACCAAAGATCCTGTAGATTTCCGTGCTGGCCGATGATTGGAAAGCGCGGGATAAATGAACAGTTGAAACCTGTAGCGCAGATAATAGCGTCGACTTCGATCAGTTTGCCATTTGTCAGTTTGATGCCGTTGGGTTGCACTTCTTGAATGCTAGATGTGATGACGTCGACATTTGGTTGTGTTAATGCTTTTAGATAACCAATGCCTGGAGTTACTCGTCGACATCCGACGGAGAAGGAGGGTATTAGTGCTTCGAGGAGATGTTTGTCGTAGTTGAGGGCTTCGGCCATGTATAGCGAGATGACGCGTTTAGCTTCTATTGCTTCGGGACTGCCTCGTAAGATCTTGTGTCTAAATTAGACAGTGGTTAATACGAAGATTAAAGACTACTCACAGTTTTAAATCGCTTATTAGACAAAGCTTCAATAGCTTTTAGAAACTTTGTGTATTTTCTCGGGTCTCCCCGAAATTTCTGGATTTGTTCCTCTGAGAACTTATGCGCAGTATCGAGTTCGTACTCCTCCATAACATGTGAGACTGCCTTGCTATTTGGAGAAATTCAGGTCTTTATCCTGACAAAATGGAAAAGTTTTGCAACTTCTAAACAATGATTAGTAAGTCAAATAAACCATTTTGTCACGATTGTTGGAAACATCTAACCTTGTTGTAAAACTGGAACAACCTGCACACCAGAGGCACCGTTCCCAATGACGGCGACCCTTTTGTCCTTGAGGTCTATATCTTTCTGCCACTTAGCAGTATGCACAAGATCTCCTTTGAAAGAATGTAAACCCTTGATATCTGGCCATTTCCAATTACTGTCATCCATTAATCCTGTCTCTCACATACACAGAATTCAAACTTACTTGAACATACCACCAGAATTAAGCAAAAAATGACATCTATACTCGAAAACCACTCCGGTGACCTCATTCTTAATACTCAAAACCCGTTCTGCACACCCTTCATCCCATTCCGCGCGAATAATCTTATTGGACAATCTAATACGATCTTTCAACTCATACTTGCTACACACATCAAGTAAATAATTCTGTATCTCCGCAGCCGGTGTAAACAGCGAGCTCCAATCTGGATTCGGCGTATGAGAGAATTGATAATTATGAGACGGATCATCCGAAGCACATCCGGGGTAACAGTTCTCAAACCACGTACCGCCGATCTCGGGATTTTTGTCATAGACAACATGTTCGATATTGGTGCCATATCTTTTTAAAGCTCGAGCCATGTTTATACCACTAACTCCTGCTCCAATGCTGATGACTTTCACCGGCCTCATGGTTCCTAACGGGTGTTCCTCTGTGATACTGTCACATGTTACGTTTTGTGAAACTTCAGGCCGGGAATGAGTTTGCGGAAGCCTTGGTTTGGTCATAGCATGGGTTGCCAGACTGCGTCTGGAATGTCCAACAACGTGTTGCTTGTTATGCATGCCGAGATTTTAGTGCCGAAGCGAGGTTGTTGCACATTGAATCGGCGATCGGAGGACATGATGTTGTCGTACAAGCATCGGAAATTTTGACATATTTGATGGTACTTAGAAAAATAGCATAATGAGTAGCTAGATGGTGCAATAAAGCATAAATTTGTAATACAAGTACTTTGTAGACTTCCTCAGCTCCCAAGAAATAAAGGCATGCACTCCTGGCCAAAACCATGTAGTATGCCTAGTAAGCAATTCCTTCACATTCAAAATTTTACAAGTGGATGTTAAGTCGGTCCGGAGCCCATACGAGTCAGAAATTAAATCTTGTCATTTGAGCGTCTGCCTTGCCACTATCAAAAAGCCGAGCAATTGAATGAAGGATTTGAGACATTCAGGTGATTTATCGAGGAGAACGTCCATGTAGTGGCCAGTGCTCCAAGACAGCCCCAAAAACATGGTAGCAAAACCTCTGGGGAATGCGCTTTGTGGTCTTTAGTGGGGAATATAAGGCTAAATTTAATCATGGTAAAGTGGTGTAAAGTGGGCGATTCCCAAGAAAATCAAACCAGGTTTAATCGTCTGACAATGGGGGCCATGCATCGACCGCAATGCGAACGTTTCTTACTCCACAAAGTGTCTGATGTAATATGATGTAAGTTACCAGCGCCTATTTTGACGTGGGAATATGGATCTCGATGAAAGTGTTACAAGGGTTGTTTGACCTCAGCATGTGGGAAAATTGACATCAACTAGTAACTATATCAACTGGTTGGATGTGCGACTACAACCCTGGCAAAAGCCCCCGTCTCTAATTTGCTTAAAGCGGTGTAGTACAATCCTAATCATGGTACCACTAGTGGATCCAGAGGGATATTTGGAAGAAAGTCGCTAAGAAGCTGGGCGTTAGGTATTAAACATCAAACCATATATAATCTGGATAGATGCAGGCGGGGTGGTAATTTGACCAATTTATTTCTGATTCAAGTCTGGGAACTATTTTGCATTCACTATTTGAAGATAAACAAAATAATTATGGCTTCAGAAGTTAGTTCAAGGTTGGACTTCAACCGGGCTGCACGTAACGATGTTTTGCAGAGCATGATGGGTATCAAAATTTTTGACCTCTTTGCGAGCCTCGTTGCGACAGCTAGTGAACGGATTTCAGATACCGCATACCTAAATTCATTCAACTCATGTGGTAATAAACTTCCTGAGAGTTCGGATGTTGTTATTGTCGGTGGAGGAATACACGCGCTGATATATGCTATCCATGCAAGAAGTTTGGATCTCCTGGAAAATGGAAGTAAGTCTAATCCACCATCCGCATCCGCATCTAGGTATGCAAATTTAGCTAGCACAGAAGTTTTGCAAAACTGGTTTCCTATAAACAAGTTCTGCCAGCTAGACAGAAAACCACAAAGATCGAAAACCGTTCATCAATCAAAACGCACGCATTTGCTGACTTAACATGCAGAGAAGAATCCCCTGGCCATGACAATCCTAGAAAAGTCAGCCAGCCCTACATACAAAATTGGAGAATCAACATTAACAGTATTTGGACTTTGGCTTAAGACAGTCGGCATTGAAAGTCCAATGGTTTCACGACTCTTTGGACCAAAAGATGGCTTGGCGTTCTTCTACTTTTCCTCCGAAGGCGATCCAGAAAATTACACGCAATTTGTCGCCAATGGACCACCTGCAGACTTTGTTCCCACGCTCCAAGTCGAAAGAAAGATCAGCGAGTTGATGCTTACTCTCTATGCGCAACGCCTAGGAATTACGGTTCTTCATGGAAAGGAAGTCATTGTCGAGAAGCAATCTGCAGTGGTAGAGGAGAATGATGGAATGTCTATTCAAGTACGAGACTCAGAGACGATGGTGGAAGAATTCGTGAAGTCTCGACTAGTAATTGATGCTACTGGTCGTTTTCATCGATTCATCTCGAAAGAAACACGTATTGAGCGTGTAGAGGGATTCAACACAAATGCGTACTGGGCGTACTTTGAACAATTTGGCGATGAGTCTGATATTCCTTTGAGACATTACGAAAGTGTCAATACGAATCATATATGTCTTCCTGAAGGGTATGCCTTAATCTTCCTTATAAATAGCACAAGCTAATCAATTGTTTAGATGGGCTTGGGTTATTAGACTTCCTTCGTGGGAGGGTAGTTCTATCCCTAACCTTACTGCCATGATAAACCATCTGCTGGATCTTAATGCAGCCAAGGCACCAGCAGACTCCTATCCTTCAGTTCCCGAATTGGTTGAAAGATTCCAAGTCAAGTTTCGCTGGGTCGTTAGCATCGGGTTTGCTCTTCGCTCCGATGTTGTCTACCCAGAAAACATTTCAAGCTATGGAAACAACGAAGCAGAACAGAGATTTAACTGGATAGTATCCCGATACCAAAAAGTATCCCAATTGATGGAAAAACACAAGCTTATTGAAAATCTTTATGGTCCAGGAACGACATGGTTTGTCCGCAAAAACATTGCTTTCCGTGCGCCACGAGTTACTGGAAAAGATTGGTTGGCCATTGGTGACGCGACAGGATTCACCAATCCGCTGTACTCTCCCGGAATCAATGCAAATATGAGCACCAGTATCTATGCTGCTGAAATGACAAAAAAGTATCTCTCAGCCAAGAATTCAACTGTCAAGAAAGATCTATTTCAGAAATATGAGGACTTTTGCAGAGACCGTGTCCCGAACAATCAGCGCATGAACTTATTCAACTACGTATGTATGCGATCTCCCGAGCTTGGCCCGCTAGGACCCATCTGGCAGTACTTATGTGGAACTGGAAACGAGAAATTTCGGAACGCGAAGAACTTAAACTTACGGAATGTACATGAACTTTTGACAACTTGGGATTGGGGATCGAATCAAGTTGAATATATGAACTTCAGCAAACTGGTCATCAAGATGCTTGATGGACCACCGCAGGCTAAGCTGACACAGAAAACCATTGATGAGGTGAAGAGACTTTCCGCGGAGCATCTGAAAATAGCCATGGCCTCTGGTAAATACAAGGGAAGATGGGCAGGATTATTGCGCTGGTATGATGATGATCTCAACTTTGTAGCGGACAAAGTTGATAGAGATGTATTGGCCCGAAGATGCTATACATGTGGAGAGTGGAAGATGTTGAAACCAGACTGTAGGAAGTGCGTGTATTGTGGATGGGAGCATAAGGTTGAGGAAAGTACCAAGGTTCTATACCGAAGCGGAGAATGATCACAGAAATTCGACCGAAAATATAGACTGCCGAAAACATTCAAGAGTGATGAATGGGAGGCTATTCCAGACCTACCAAACTTGGAAGAGTTAGATCCAATGCGTGCTGCATTGAACTCTCCTTAATAAAGTTATTAGATCTAATAACTTGAGCCGATATATGGGGTCTTGAGGGTGGATTTTTAGACATCTACCTAGTTATAATGTCTAGGAAGGAGTTAGAGGTGGGGAAAGGCTTGGACATGCTGTTACAAGATCTGAAAATGCGACATCAACATGGAAACATGCAAATAGTCCCCAGAGTTTTTGATTGGTGCATATAACTTGGAAAGAAAGCGAAATACATAACTTCTTCCGGAACCAAGATATTTGGCGTACTTGGCCTATTCACATGATCCCAAACAATAAAAAGGTCCCAAATATCCAGAGTCTCTCAGACATTCAAAGACTTTCAGATTGTACAACAAACGTGCTGTCCAACTACTGGACATCGTTTAGCACCCATCCAACTAGGCCGCGTCAGCTAGGCAAAGTCCCCATCCTCACAGAGCTTTTCCCCATGATGTTCTAGGGCCGGATTCCTTCTGATCCCTAGGCTAGCCGATAGAGTTGATAAATCTGAAATTTACCCATGTTATTCAAAATATGGGATGAATTCTAACATGGTGCCTGCACCGATACATTGAACTCCGCGCAAAAAATGAAATTTAGATAGTACCGTACAAAATCAGCTCACGTTTGATGTGCTTACAAGCGCTAACAAGGTCTAAGCTACAACCAATCTAGCCTAGAATTTTCCCGTTGATCCCTGAATATTGAGCCCACTTCTCAATTTGGGTTCTCAGCCGGTCTGCAAGGTATCTTCCACTAGGTAGGATATAGGTATGGTACGTAATATTCATGTGGAGTGCAAGTAACATTCTCGCCATGTTACCCATCCAACGAACCATGTAATCATAATGCTTATTTATCCCATGAATGTTTCCCTGGTTGTATCATTTCCTCGCCGTTCCAAACAAAAAATTGAATTCCACAGTACTACCCATGACTGCTATTCTGGTCTGTGCATTGCATTGCATGGAATGCCCCAGATTTTGCTGAAATTTCCAAAATTGATTTATCCCATACAACCGGTAGGGGAATTGGTGGTAGATAGCTATACACCTAGATGAAATAGCTTCAAGAGACTCAAAAATATATAAATGGAAGTGCCATAGTAATAAGAATGGCAATAATAGACCATCTCGAGCTCCAACTATTCAATTACCCGGATGATTAAGAACCTGAAAACAAATATCAACCATATTTGATTAGCAGCAGAAAATCCAACTTGGATCCTGATGTAAGATCTTACCGGTAAGACGCCTATCTAACGTCGCTATAATATGTTCTAGATCAGTCTCATCCACATACACATGCAGACTGCAAAGACTCGTACTGCAAGATCCAGGGCCCGATCAAAGATACACTCACCAATTCACAGAAATAATGTGCCACTCAACCAGTACCCTTATTTTGTATTCTCCCTGCGCTTAAGAATTGGTGATATTGACTCAAGAGTACTCCATAAACCAAAGCTTTGTGCATTCTTGCAGTCTCGAGGCATTTCGCAGTACAGTACGGTGCAATGATGCTGTGTTGAAATTGAGCGGCTGTTCCTGTTAATCGGTTATGCAGAGGCAAGAGAGAGGTGCATCCCTTATGTATGTAAGGGTAATCTTATGATCATGATTGGTTATGAAAAGATCTCGTGACCTTTAAAATTTTTGTTGCATATCTATACAATTGGAATTATCTAGAATAATTTCGAATAACTAACTAACTTCTAATGTTTGAAATTCCTGTACGAAATAACATTATGAGGTAGAATCTCATAGTTCGTTAGAAAGAGAGACAGCGCAACAGCTACTAATTCTTTCATTGATGTCAATGATCCAGATGGATTAGTGCCAATTCCATCCTTCTAGTTTCTAATAATTTACAATACTACTAATATACATCATTACTCTCTGCAGAGTCTAAAATCTATCCTGGACTATATATACATACATATGCAACGCCCCTTGTTCTAACCATCTAATAACCATTTTTAGGAACCTCTTTTTTGTTCTTACAAACGCCATCAAAATCGCCATATCGCTCTAAACCTCTATTGATAATCTCTACAAACTGATCGAACTTGCAACTTGCTCCGGGCCCTCCTTGGCATTCAGGAATTGGTCTCGGTGCCGTGTTAGCAATTATCCTCACGAATTCTTCCACATCTCCTTCATTGCTAGCATCGCCTTTTAAACCCTTGCATGTGAGTTTTTCGATCCCTACATGGCCTAAAAATGGTATAAGTTCAGACATTCTCCAGGATCTAGACCAATTGATACGGTCCGTTGGAAATTCTTCAGCGAATGCATTAGAAGAATTGAAGAGACCAAGGGCGGTGGCGATAAAAGGAGGAACTTCGCGATGAGTAAAGGACAAGAAGAATCTTTGGCCATCATCATCAGGGATTTCATCATCGGAAGAGTTGGAATGTTGAGGTGCGTGGAATTTAGAAAACAATTGTGCCGTGGTATTCAACCATGGAAATCCGAGGTAGATCGAAAGGGGATTACCATGGCCGACCATACGTGAATATTTCATATCCCATGCATATTCATAAGCCATCCATTCGTCATCTGTAAACACATCACAGATTTTGGACACTTTCCCGGTAATGGCAGATTCATACCCGCACATCTGTTGCAAGCCCATTATGTCGTAGGTCCGGAGTTCGACTGGTGAGTACTGCTGGAGTCTTGCGATGACTGGTGGTGCATATTTTGCGAGAAAAGTTTGTTGTTCTTCGTTTCCGGGCTTTTTGGTGAATGCATCACAGGCTTTGTGGGGAACTTGAGAATGGAAAGACGATCGATTTGTTCCGATCTCAACAATTTCGACTTCTTGCGGAAATACTTTGCTAAATGCCTTGGCCGTATCTTGCGTTCTTGATTTCTTGTCGGCATAGATTCGTTTCGTTGTGGGAACCAATTCGGGGTATCTTGATAGTAAATGTTTTGCAACTTTCTTCGAGTCTTTAATTCCTTGAGGAGTAATTTGTTCCATTTGATTCTCCGGGTCATCAATGGGACTTTGCCATTTCTCAAAGAATGCAAGTGGACCCGTCCATCCTTTCCTCTTCTTCCCCGAAGTCTTTGTGTATGTGCTGTCTAATTTCTTTAAGAATGGTTCGATGTAGGTTTCGTAATCATCGTCGTTTGCATAGATTGCCGCATGTCTGACAAGGTAAGACGCAGCTGTAACTTCGCATAGACGAGGTGCTCTATGATTTAATCCTACACCAACTGCATCAAAGTATGGACTTATACCGGGGAGATGAAGGAGAGGGTCGAATTTGTAGTCCTGGCTATGAGAATTTGCGGAATAATCTTGAGAGACGCGAAGTGGGATTTGAGACGATGAGACTACGGGATTGGCTATTAAGACTAAAGCCCATCCGTATTGAAGCATTTCGGGAGACAATTGATTGGAGAAATGTAAAAATGTATTGACAATCTTCAAGCTATTATTTCATTTTCATTTTTATGGAAGTGAGAATCTGAAAGCATGAATGACATCATTGATTGGTTGGTCCCCCTGCTCACTTCCAAGGTTCAGAAAACGTGGCTGACTTGTGGCTCGGCCTCGGGAAAGCTCATTCCGTTAGTTCGGTTATATATTTTTATACTTGTGTCACAACAACAAAATACACCGAATTTTTGTATTTAACACAAACATAATAGATGAGTTGACAACGATGGCACTTCAAACATCACTCCGAGTGCGAAGAGCTTGCATACTAAAATCTCCAAGACAAAGAATGATTGGACCACGTTTATTGAGCAAATTTGTTGGCTATCTCCGCATTCCCCAACACTCAAAAGGAGGGAAACTTCTTCTACTTTATTCGGTTAGAGGAAGGGGATTTTTTATCAATAAATTTCATGCGTGAGGAAAACCAACTCTGCGTTGACCACTGAATATCAGCTTTATCGTGCCCTCTCAAATTCCGAGCATTCCAACAATGGCTTCTCCGTCGCAAATCACTGTACTGGCAACCACTATCTCCGAATCAACTGCAATTTTAAATGAGTATTTCCTATCGAACAATCTCCCCATGCCATCATTCGACATCTCTGGTCCTCCACAAATACTCATTCCATTTCATGAGAAGCGCGTTGCTGCCGCATATGCAGAGGTTCTGAGAGCAACCATGGAGCTTCACCACCTCATATTAGGGCCTACAGCAATGTTGATGAGCACATCGGTGTGTGGAAATTCACGTTCTATCGCAGCCATACTCTGAGCTGAAAGCAACTAGGCGATGGATAGTGTGAGCTTACAATTCATATATGCGTATGACATGGCCAATGCTTTCCCAATAGATGAGGAAGCCACGTTTGAGCAGATATCTAAAAAATGTGGCTTGAATTTGATTGATACTAAGAGGGTTCTGGGCTACGCAATGACAAACCATATTTTCAAAGAGATCCAGCCGGGAGTGGTAGCTCATACTGCGGCGTCCAAACTTTTGGCCACCGATCCTATGTTGACAGACTATGTTGGAATTGTTGTTGAGGAACGATTTCAGGCTGCTGCACATGTAATGCTGCAAGCCCAATTGATACCCAGAGTTTCCCCACTGATCATGATATAGACGGTCGAGGCAGTACAAAAATTTGGATGTGCTAAAGAACCCAACCAGACAGTAAGGATATCATAACTTTTCCACTAGATCCTAGCATATCCCAAAATGCTTCTTTAAGATACTTTCCCTGCTGTGAACTATACTCACATGTTTAATATCTCAGGGATACAGCATTGGTCATCGAACCACCAAAGGTTTCTACGAAGAATTGAGCGCTCATCCATCTCGAAGTAAGCGTTTCGCCAAAGCAATGAGCGCCTTTACCTCCAGAACCGAAGTTTCCTACTTGTTTGAAAGCTACGACTGGAGTGGTCTTGAGTCCGCTACCATAGTTGATGTTGGCGGAGGGTATGGTCCTATCAGCATCAGCCTGGCGACTAAGTTTCCCGCTTTAAATTTCATTGTGCAAGATTTGCCTGGTGCAATTGCAGATGGGCCAGCATACGTGCCAGCCGATATTTCAGATCATATATCTTTCATGGCTTATGACATGTTCACTCCACAGACTATCCGGAACATCGATGTAATATTCTTCCGTGCTGTGTTCCATAACTGGACAGATCATTATTGCGTCAAAATCTTGAGAAATCAGATACCAGCATTGAAGAAAGGATCAAGGTTACTCATCGTGGAACCGTTACTGGTGGAATCTGGGAAACTTCCATGGCATGAGGAGAGAAGGTTGCGGTGGGTTGACTTACATACTTTGAAGATGAGATACTGACGGAAAGTTATTGAAGTACGATGAATTTGAATATGCTTTCATATTTTGGCTCTCGTGAGAAATCTATGGAAGATTGGAGAGATATTTTCCGAGATGCAGATGAGCGGTTTGAAGTTAAGAATGCTGTCAAGTTGGGGGATTCTTTGACTTCTCTCCTGGAAGTCTTGTGGAAAGGGGAATAATCTTCGTTATGGTTTCACCAATATGGAATCCTTACGATGGCAGGCAGTTCTGCAGGTCATAGGGTTCGCGACAAACAATGATCTTTGCTAGACCACAGTGCGTGGCTTGAAATTCTGTCCGAGTCGCTTGGGTGTTTCGGTTGGCGAAATCCAAATGATATTGTAAAATTACATCCAACAACAAATTCGTATCAGTTGCCCAATGCCGTTTGCTTTTGCATGTCAGTATTTTGAAGGGCCCGCAAAGTCAAGTTACGTCAACCTGACCATCTACCTATTCAAGCCATAAGAAGGGTTATATATAATCTTACATATAATCTTACATGATACTGACGAGTATGGACAATCCGAGGATCCGAAAAGAATATTTGATTAGAGAAATGGGAAGTGAAATCGACAGATGGAGAGAAACAATCTGACGAGGTTGAAACGTTTAAAGAATATTTTGGAGTGGAAGTTTATTCTATTGATACCTATTTGATAGGATAGATGTTTGAAATGTGTATATGCACATGTCTCCATCCAGGGAATATTCATATGCTTGTGATTCAGTGTACTCTTCTCAATGTAAATTTGACTACTCTTTGGTACATTGGGGAGGCTCGAAAGTAATAGTCGAGGTAAGGTTGAAAGAGCTGGGAAGAAAGAGGTTGGTTGGCTTGTCATCGAAATTATATGAAGTCCTACAATGTTTAGTATCGGCCGAAGACATGTGAATACGGTGGCCGACTAATAGTTTTGCGCTGTGTGCTTCTACCGGTCAACGTAACATGGGAATTCATTCCACGTACCTTAGCTTGCTTTGGAATTCGATTGTCATCAAGGGACATCTAAGATAGATCATATCTTACCTTTGCAACATTCTAAACTCACCAATTCTAAATTTTATTCTTCCGTTCATATGAAAGTATCAAAAAGATGCCTCAACAAATTTCATATCGTCCCATTTCAGACTCTCCTAACACGAAATATCAACTCATATTCTTCATCACAGGCAATCCAGGATTGATAGGCTACTAGTATTTATGATATCCCGGTCCTATGTTCCTTCGTTAACTCCTCTGAAGCTCATCTTTTCTTTCTACCCTCAATGATCTCCTCTCTTCCTCATCCATAAAGGATGCGAATACATTCCATATCTTTGGTCAATCCTTAGCTGGCTTCGAGACTGATGATGTTCCCTCGGGTTCTACCAAACAAAGTCCATATTCATTAGAACGACAGATAGATCTTGTTCATGATTGTCTTCTAAAACAAATAAGTGGCTCGCCAATATCATATCAGAACGTGATCCTGATTGGACATTCGGTAAGTTGCCCAAATCCCATGAAATATCACTCTAATGTCGCAGGTCGGGTCATATATTCTTCTAGAAACCCTTACCAAACTTATCGCACCTTCGACCGTCCCTTCCATATCTGCAATTTTATCAGGAATCCTTCTCTTCCCAACTGTTACGCATATCTCCCGCTCTCCTTCAGGAACCAAACTCACGCCGTTAATGTCAATTCCAAACTTTCCGGTCTTGGCATCTTCCACTGCTAAAATGCTTCTTTATTGTGCTCCGAACGTGGTCCTAGATTTCCTCGTAAAGACAATTACCGGAATGCCAGAGGAGGCAGCAAAAGTCACCACAAGCTTTTTAAGAAGTAAAAATGGTATATGGCAAGCTTTGTATGTTATGTGCTCTCAAATGGTGATGGTACTGATTAATTGTTCAGACATCTTGCACGTGATGAAATGAACACTATAACAGAAGATAAATGGGATTCGGAAATATGGGGTGTTGAGCATTCTGAATCGTCTCAATCAAATACTTCTCCTCCCAAACTAATCTTTTATTTCGGTGAAAATGTGAGTTTAGCTTTTTTTGGCATCCAAAGAGCAACTGTGGATACATACTAAGAGATAATAGGATCACTGGGTAGCATCTCACACTCGCGATGCGCTCATTGCTGCACGAGCTTCCCCTATGCCAACGCCAGCCTCTTCTACCTCTTCGTTTTCAATCAAGGAAACTAATAAGCCTATAATGATGATTGATAAAGAGGGAATTGATCATGGGTTTTGTATCAGTGAGTACTTGCACGCTTTCTTCACTTGCACGCTTTCTTTTGTAATTTTGTCTTGTGATGTGAAATATTAAGGCAAACACTGTGCTGATTTAACATGATGTAGACCACAGTGAAACTATGGCGGCAAAAGTAAAGGACTGGATAGAGAAAATAGTCGAAGGTATATAATGAAGTGTATACACTCTTGACACGAACAATGGCCACAGGATTAACACTAATTGCGCTTCTACACAGCAGCTGAGTAACTCGGGGAAAGACGTGGTACATTTGCCTTGATACGAGGTCATCTTATTTGTGCACTTTAAAATAGTGCCATCATGTTGCGCGTGCTCGCATGACCTTTACCCTAGGAATATAATATTAGCCTTTCCTCGGTAATACTACAAATATCAACAATGATTTCCTTTTCCCTCCAGAAGGACAAGAGAATTTCCAAATCTATTTCACTATATCTAGCATTTCCATAAAAGTCATACAGTAAGATTACTAGCCTTAATAAAAATCACAAGACAAATCATCCAATTTATATTCTCAGCGCAGGACCTTTCTAATATATCTAAGGTAAATCAGAGCATTCATTTATTACTTTCGTTTATATTATGAAGTCACTACATGTGTCAAACTCCTTCAATGAGTCGGTGTCTAAAAGAAGCAGAAATATATTATTATATATCATCACAATATACAACTTTTCCATTAAAGACGTGTATATATATATAGTTTGTTTGTTTATTTGTCTACAAATAATTAATTTGTTGAGTATTAAATGTCAAATAGATAAACCGATAAGTATTTTTATATAAATAATGATTAAATAAGCAATAAGAGCTTGAGTCGAATATGATATTAGTGTCACGGGGTGAGGGTCGATCACGAGGATCGCCCCTCTAGTAGACCCACAACCGCCCGTTCGGAACCCTAGCGCATATTGTATATTAAGAGAACTGTCACGATTCACAGATTAGATTATAGTAGTAGTATAGATGTCGGTGATTTAGTTGCCGATTACCGGGGGGGGGGGGGAGGGGGGGGTGATTTAACCGTTGCTTTCAAGGGGGCCTAATCGCTTTCGATTAGGAACCCAGGAGCTTGGAGAGCTCCTAGAGCTCCGGGGGCTTTAAGGAGCTTTTGGGCTCCAAGAAGCTCCTTCCTTTTAGTATTATATAGTCAGAATAGTTTCATAGTTTAGGAGCTTCGTGCTCAACTTAGTTATCAATTAGTTTAACTACATTCTACTTGATCTAGTAACGAATTCACTTTCAAGTGAATAACCAATGATTAATAACCTTAACCCATAACTACCAACCATACGAACCTCAGGCAGCCGCTGCCTCGGCCAGGGCCAGATCGTTACATTTCTATAAAGAATGAGTATGTTACAAATCGAATACTTCTGGTGTGCATAAGTAAACATATACGCTTTTAGCTGGGTCATATTCGAGAATTGCAATTAAACCCGTTTATAATTTAATTCTTTTAATCATTAATGAATAAATGAATGAATAAATAAATACCTACTTGATATTATCTTACAATCATACGAAAACTTAAACTTAAACTTAAACTTACAGACGAACGACCCAACGACCTAGATTTCGAGATATTTCTACCGATGTTAGATATCTATGAATAGGTAATATTATATACATATATACTTAGGTACTATAAACTATATCTGAACAGTAACTAACACTGAGAATTTAGAACAGTCTGAAATAAAGACCTTTGTATAGCATACCTACGATAAGCTTTTGTAATCATTCGAAAAAACTAAATAGTTGAGATTAGTTCCCTTATAGATATAGAAGTACTAAAAGTATATACATCTCAATATCGATCCTGAGCGGGTTTTATTCAGAGAAATGCATGATATAAATATGTGTATATACTAAGATATAAAATCTCAATATATTAACTCCTCACAAACGTCCCAGTATGTCGAAACTAGAATGTCATTTTTCGAATTAAGAAAACCAGTATATATTTGCTGATGGAACATTGTATATCGTATAGGGTGGTCAGGATATTGATTTAAGGGGATAACGGTAATGACACTACTACGGTCCTATAACCGATGCGGTGACAAGTTCATGAAGAAAAAAAATACTGAGTTCGATATACTTATATCTTACTCATGCTTTCTAGTGGTTTTACTTGATAAGACTTACAATTGAGTTGGTAAGCAAAGACGCTTGAAGGAGTGAAAAGAGAGTCATTGATACCGATAAATATAAAAAAATTCATAAGAAATCAACGACGCTGAAGGGATTCCCTTATTCCGCTTTAATCCGCGAGCATTCCTAGTATCCCATTTTTTATACCCACTTCACCTTGCCCATCAATCCCATAACATAAATTGGTAATTCCCCCAATCAATATACTCCAAACGCAACCAATCCCATATTTACCACCCTTCCACCTTAATTCTCTCTCCAATTTCTCACCCCTGCATCACTCTATGTAGTCAAACCCCATTCCTAACTTCTCCTTGGGGAAACTCTCCCTCCTCTTTCTTCACCACTATCTTCTTCCCATCTTGAAATCTAAGTTCTCCCTTCCCCTGAGTGGCCGGCACAAATCCATATAGCCATCTTGCCACAACCCATGAGCTAATAGCCCATACCCATATAATAATACCCAAACCACAAGTAACGAAGAGGGTTGGGACGAGGAGGAGAGTAGCGATTCCGATCCAGAAAAGGGAGAAGAGGATGGCGGATATGAAGGAGAAGGCGAGGATGGAGAGGGTGAAGGTTGTGAAGAGGAGGAGGGGATGGCGAGGAGGAATGTCTGCATGGCTTAGTTAGTTATGAGGAGATTAGGTGGTGAGAGTGGGATTAGTAGTATGGGTATGAGTAAAGATAGAGATAAGAGGTAATTGTACGTAGTATACAAACGAATGAAGAGGACAGATGAGTGAATTCATCCGGAAAATCCACCGCAATCAAACACAAACAGCACGAATACCTGCCGATGGAACAGGTACTCCATTCATGAGAAAGATAAAGAGAGATACATACAGCAATAAGCGGTTGATCCTGAAAGAACTCAGAAACATTCCCGTAGAACCTTGATCTCGTTTCCGGACTCACAACGCGATCAACCATTCTCTGTACGCGTGAAATTGTACCTGCGGCTACCATTTTCGTGATATTTACGTATCAATTGATTGGTAAATGTATGAAGATGATTGCTTGGGACTTTGTTGTTATGTATAGGGAATGGGCATATTCGATGTAGTTGGGAGCTGAGTGTGGTAGTAGGTTCGGTTGGAGAGGAATGAGAGATGACGTAATCATGACGTGGTCAACTATATACATATTCATCCACACTAAAAGGACTAGTAGCTAATTTTATTACCAGTGGTGGATTTTCGCAGCTGAATTATTGAGCCAGTTACCTTAAATTTTCAGTCTTGATTTTTATATTACTATTTGGTATGACTATATCACAAAATACAATTTTAACCAACTGTGTTTCTAAAAACAGCTCTTCATAATAACCAATTGCTGCGAGCCATATCTCTTGATTCTCTACTTTGTATCCAAATGTACAATGATTGTCCGGCAATCTATTAGACCCCAAGCACCAAAATTCATGAAAAATTATATGTACAAAATAATTAAGAAGATAGATAGACGCGCTCAAAAAGATCGTTTTCATCTGCCCGCCCGCAGGCTTCGTGGTCATCTCTCGTATGAAAAATAACCTATCCAAACACGACAGAACCACTCCACAAAATATTCCGAAAAAAAAGAAAGATCTAGGTAAATCGTGTTACAGAAATAACCAACTAGTCAAACCATCCACCGCAGACAAAAAGTTAGCAAAAATCCAGTAAACACACTAATTATGTTAGTCATCTTAATATCTCCCATACCTTCCATACCTTCCATACCCATAACCCGAATATCCATAATTTCGAGAAGCGGTCGACCTGGCAAAATAACGATTATAAGCATAACGACTACTGGAAGACTTCGAGACCCTATTACTAGAGGATTTTGCCGCAGATGAGCGTTTACTTGTCTTCTTAGCTTCACTTGGAGGAGCTTTGTAATTATCACCTGCCTTCTCAGCCTTTTTTCTCGCTAAATCCCTAACATAGCGTTCTTTTTCATATTTAGCTTTAGTGATGATAGACTTTCTTTCCTCGGTAGACTTTTTGGACCAAGCTTCTTGCAAAGACGTAGAGGTAGAATGAATAAGCGTCATTGAAAGGATCAAAGTTCAATCCTATATCAATAATCCAGTATCCGTGCTTCTTGGCATATCCCGCGGCATCATTCTTGAACTCCTTGTCTTTTTCCTTGATAAAGTCATATGTGTATTCAAAGTCCGACCATGAATCAACAACTGGATTACCGTCTTCTTTGATGATGTTAGCTGCGTCGAGAACTTTATTACGTTCAATCTCAGTCAGTACGCTCCAGGCAACCTCCATACCTTGCATATTACCCTCGGATAATTCCAAGGTTTTGTAGCAGAAAGGGATAATATCGAGACCAATTTGTTGCAGCCATTGGCGGCGTTTATCGAGATATGCTCCGTATGTAGTGAAGGCACTCGCGGGGTAAATCTCATAGGTTTGCTCCAAAGTCGCCCATGATGGGTTTGGCGGATCGAGCATGGCATTGATGTACTTTGCTTTAGCTTCAATACCTCTTCTACGCGTGGTTTTTCATCATAGAGATTGTTTAATGCATGCCTTTCCAGTGCAGTCTGCGACAGAGGTAAATATCGGGGATCGTCCAAGCCCAATTGCTTGAGCCAACCAAGTCTTTCCGGTATAAGTTCATGATAAACCAATGTTTTTCTTTGAGGAATATTGAAGTATCTTTGTTCCAATTCGTCAAAGGATCGAGGCACCGGACCAATAAGTTTAATTAGAACAGGTGTTCGTAGGAGGAAAGGAGCTAATCGGAGTGGTACCTCACGCTTTGCATATGGCTGCTTCAATCAAATGGCTTTCTTCTCAATATCTCGACGAATTTCTGGAGATTTCAAAGCCCAATGAACTTCAACCCTGTCTCTTTGCAGTGGATCAACAAAAACAAAATTGAATGGGTTAACGTCAATAACCAACTTTACCAACCACTCCCCTGCGTGCAAGCTTTTCTTTGTCAGTCTGGGGATCTTGGCCGCTTGTATAATACATCTGCTCCATCTGATAATACGATAGATAAGAAACATTGGCTGGAGACTTTGAAGGTCGTTTGGAATGTCCGGCTTTGACATTTGTTGACGACGATGAGGCTGGGGTAAACGGCTGAGGCGTCGCTTGGGAAGTGCTAAATCCGGCAAGGAAGAATTGAAAGGACTTTCTGAAGTACTCATTTCCGACTTGATTTGAACTTTGGTATTGCCTCGTGTACGAGTCTCGAAGGATGATGGTGGTAATGCCTGGTTGTTCTGAAGAGTCGTTAATGGCTGGCGTTGATGGGTGTCACCGACGCATAAGGATCCTGTGTCATTTTAGGATAGCCTTGGTAATGACTTGAAGGTGGAGTTCTGCTATAGTTTGAGCCGAGGGAGACATATGGTATTGAATTTGTGGACCAGCTTGAGATTGTGGCTAAGAATTGGTGAAGAAAGATTGAGACATTGGCAAATCGTAGTCGGTATCCAAGTCAATATTGTCATCATCGCTAAAAATCATTTTCACTGAATTGAACAGTATCGAGGTTGGTATATGGAGAGGATTGTGAAGCACTATACGTTGTTGGCGTGGTTTTTAGATTCTGGATCTGTGGTGAGGTATAGGTGTTCTCCTGTTTGAGTATCATATGACCAGCGGACGTAGGAGTAAAGCCAGGTATGTTTTTGAGTGGATCCATAGCATCATGCAGATTCTGACGCTTTGCGTTGCCAATTGCATGTTCTGCTTGAGTTGGAGGGCTAAGGACATGTTAATAGCTAATTTCAATCAATTAAATCCAGCGAGGATTGTGTGTGCATTCTTGCTGTCGCATGAAACTCTCCGCAATCATCAACGATAAGAGGCAGCAATATATCTCCCAAAACACTAGGGTTATCGGGCAGTACTTACACGGTAGAAGATATTTCCTGCTTAACTCCTCCATTGATCACCTCCTCAATAGACACGTGAAGAGCATCCGACTGTGTCAAACGTTCCACTAAAGTAGCCTTCAAGCCATTAGTCGGAAGTTGACGAGCCAGTAGAAGCTTTTTCAAATCTACCACTCGATATTTGGCGAAATCTACCATCACTTCGACGTTCCAGTGGGGGTATCACTGGACCCTTGGTAATATTGTTGAAGGTATCTTAATTGTTTATACTTCCAGCTCTTGATTGTTTTGAAGTTTGAGATAAACTGGCACGTCGTGGCGGAGTAAACAAGTAAACAAGTCAATAAACTATCTGTGCGTGTTTTTGGCCAATGGCAAGCCTCATTTGAATAGTCACTATCGTGTTATCGTGAAGTTATTAGCAATCATCCAGTACCTACCACTATCCAACTAGTTAGAGAGTATCAAGATGTATGGCTCCCAGTTGACTAATCTTTTGAAGCTGATGTTCTTCAAAGTTGGCTAGTAGTATTGCGCAGTAATCCATCCAAATAACAAAACAAACCTTTGATTTTCATATAAATTTCTGCCGCCTCTTCATTCACCCGTCCTCCTCCAGCTTTTATTCACATCCCAACACCACATCATCGAATAAAGAACAGTCTATCCCTCCCCATCTCGTTCATTTATCATCCACCACGACCTCAACCTCCATTACCCCCAGAAACTTCCCCCCTTTATTCCCATCTGACCAAAACCCCGACCCCAATAAAACACCACACCACATTCAATTTACTACCTACCACCTACACCCACCACCACCACTAATCCCCCCATCAACCTCAAATAACCCTAACCCTAAACACAAAATATCGAATATCGAATACAACAAATACAACAAGCAATCACTAAGCAATATAGCATGGAATAGGCTAGAATAGCATAATATAGTATAAGTTATTCACCATATTGAATTTTAAACAATGAGTTGCTTTTAAAGATGGTTGTTGAAGATGAATTTGACATATGATATTACTATTATTTTTTTTATTTTGAAGTTTGAAGTTTGGGGCTTGAGGTCTGGGTTTTATAGGGGTTATAAAGGTTATAGAGATTATAAAAAGAGATGGATGGATGGATAGATACCTATCTGGTGGCTGTGATACCTAGTAGGTCTTAATGCTGGAATGTGAATGGTCCACCACCGGAATGTCTGGGTGGGTGACTTATACCTGAAACTACTCCGTAGGGTTATAAAAAGTCCCATCACACAAAGAACAATTTCGTAATCTGGAGTGAGATATATTGATACGATTGTGAAAAAGAGTAGTGTAATATAATGTAACATAGAAGAAACAGAGTGATGATTTTCTATCGCTATCCATCCATCATTTATTATCCATCATGAATGATCAACTCGTTCATTCATCCATCCATTAATTCAAAGTCTAAACTCCAAGTCTATAAACTAATATCTGTATCATATCATGCAATGAAGCATAGCATGACATAATGATCCTCCAAACGCCATCGCCATGGTGAAAAGAAAGAGCCAATGATATATGCTCTCGTGCCACAACATGAAAATGTAAAAACTAAAAACTCCAATGAGGTATCTATGCGTAACGCTCATCAAATCTGCAACCATTAAAATTCATTTCAAAAATTCAAAATCATCCTCCATATAAGCATCTCTTTTTTCCAGATTCCACTACATCTCTTCCCTATTACTTTCTGCCCAAACTCTGCAAGTTGACTAACTCGGAGTATCTACCACCCTTATGCATAAGCTCAGAGTGTGTGCCACTCTCCACGACTCTACCTTGATCGAAAACATAGATACAATCGGCCTTTTGAATAGTACTCAATCTATGCGCAACTGCAATTGTAGTTCTTCCCTTTGCTGCTTTATCCAATGCTGCTTGGACGACATGTTCACTCTCGGAATCCAATGCACTAGTAGCCTCATCCAACAAGAGTATTTTTGGATCACGGAGTAAAGCACGAGCGATAGCGATTCTTTGTTTCTGTCCACCAGACAACATGCTACCCTTTGAACCGACGACTGTGGAAAATCCTTCAGGAAGTGACATGATAAAATCGTAGATATTAGCCTCACGACATGCGAACTCGATTTCCGAATCAGGAACATCCTCGCGGTCAGCTCCGAGGAGCATGTTCTCACGGATGGTACCTTGATAGAGGGTTGGTTCTTGAGATACGAGCGCGATGTGCGAGCGGTAATCACTGATGTTCAGAGAAGAAATCTCTTTGCCATCGACATAGATACCACCAATGAGAGGATCATAGAAACGTTCAAGAAGAGCGATGGTCGTAGATTTACCGCAACCGGATGCACCAACAAGAGCAATGTATTGTCCAGGCTTAACTTGGAGGTTAAGGCCACGAAGTACTGGCTGTTCTGGACGAGTGGGGTAGCGGAAATGGACGTCACGGAACTCGACATATCCATCCATAGACTCCATGCGCTCTCCATCTTGGGACCAAGAGTCGATAGCAGGTTTGCGATCAAAGAGAATCTTGAGCTCTTGGGCGGCTTGTTTGGCTTTACCCATATCCGCTATAATATGTTAGTAAGACAATTATGATAATTGATTGAAGGAGTACTTACGTGCAAAGGAGAAGATAGTTCCAGCAGATTGAGCACCGAAAATGACAGCCGAGAAACAAACGAAGAATTGGAACATGGTGTACTCCTTGTCAGCGATGCGTTGACCACCATACCAGAATCCAAGTGCGACGCAAAGGAACACCAAAGATTGAGACGCAGCATAAAGTAATGAAGACTTCAAGATGGATCTCAAACTCCTTTGTTCCTGGTCTTTGAGGGATTGGGTGTAATGAGCAAGGACATCTTGCTCTCTGGTCAAGGATGCAACCGTTCGGATAGCACTAGTAGCTTCACATGCATAACTAGCACTGTTCTCATATGCTTTCTTTGCTCTTTGCTGGAATCTTGCGAGAAGCCAGAATCGAAAGAAACCACAAGCAAGCAAAATCGGAATGGTGGCGATACAGACAAGAGCCAACTTCCAGGCAATAGCGAGAGAAAGAACGCATGCTGCGATGAGCGTAGTAATAACTGTCAAAAGCGTTCCCAAGGTAACTCCAGATAATCCTGCGACGTGGGTAGTTTCGGTACTCAAGAATGATGTGAGAGCACCCGCAGTATGTTCATCCCTGTCGAAATATTGAATGTCCTGACGAAGCATTGTACGGAAAGCACGGTCACGGACTCGGTGAATGAGCCTTTCTGAACAGAAAGCAAAGGCAATGCCTTGGGCACAAAATGCAAGGAATTGAACAATCGCCAACATAAGGTACATCAAAGACCAGAAATCGGCATCATGTCTAATCTTATGGAAGTTGGCAGGAACGGCAGGAAGTGAAAGCGAAATGATTTCCTTGGCGAAGAAAACGGCTTGAGTTGGATTACCTCCTCCACAAATAACGGAAAAGAACAATCCAACCAACATCAATTTCCATTCAGTTTTGTTGAATGAAGCAATCAACTTGATCAATATCCATAATGAATCATGTTGTTCTGATGATAATGTCTTGCTTTGAAGTGCGACAGATGATTGCGACTTTTCCGTTGTTGTGCGATTCAATTTGTTGACAATATTCTTATCATCTGGATCCTCGTTGTACTCAATTCCTCCGACCTTATTGGACATTTTGCGTACAAGTTCATCGTCTTTGGCGTCGATATCTAACTGCTCTTCAGCGGTCATTTCCTTGGTTTCAGCGATCTTTTGTGCTTCGATCAATCTATAGTAAGCACCTTGTTTAGCAAGCAAGTCGTTGTGAGTTCCTTGTTCAACGATGCGACCTTCAGTCATGACAACAATATTATCCGCATCCTTGATAGTGGAAAGTCGATGAGCAATTGTAATAGTAGTTCGTCCTTCAGCAGCAACCTCAAGAGCGGCTTGTACGACACCCTCGGATTTTGTGTCAAGAGCAGATGTGGCTTCATCGAGTAGAAGAATCTTTGGATCGCTAACCATGGCTCTTGCAATTGCGATACGTTGCTTTTGACCACCGGAAAGTAAGCTGGCTCTTTCACCAACGTTTGTTTCGTAACCTTCAGGTAAAGCAGAAACAAAGTCATGTGCATTGGCCATCTTGGCAGCCTCGATAACTAATTCTCTCTGACGTTCTTCTGTCTCGTTTTCGAATTTAGTTCCAATCAGTCCGTGGCGAATGTTTTCGAATATAGAAGTTCCAAACAATGTAGGCTCTTGGCTCACCAAGGAAATTTGTTGTCGTAGCCATCGCAAATTCAAGGTACTAACATCATGCCCATCAATCAAAACCTGACCGCCGACTGGATCGTAGAATCTCTCCACCAAGCCAACTATAGTACTTTTCCCGGATCCAGATGCACCCACAAGAGCTGTCATTTTGCCCGCTGGAATAACCAAACTGACATCGTTCATGATTGTGACCTCAGGTCTGGATGGATAGATGTGCTTGATATTTCTTAATTCGACGGTTCCCTCGACGTGATCGAGCTTGATACCTTCGGTAGAGGTTGGATCCAAGGGTGAAACACGATCGATTGTGTTGAAGATCTTGGCGGCGGCGGAGATAGCAGTTGTGAAAGCCTGAGCGTTGGGAGCAACATTTCCAAAAGCAAAAGCTCCGATCATGATAGACATCAAGATTGTGAGAATGTGAGAAAGGGTCATGGATCCATCAACAAGGAATCTAGAACCCATCCAGAATGCTAGACCATAATTAAGATAGATGACCAAAAACATGCCTCCTACCATGATAGCTAATGTGAATTTGGTCCTGTAACCGTATTTTTCTGCCTCCGCAAGATGTTTGTCATATTGACGGGCGAGTTTATCTTGAGTACCAAAGGCAGTGGCATTTCTGATGGATGAAATGACTTCTTCGGCGATAGATCCACCAATGGCATAAGATTGAAGGGATTGTTTGCTGTACTTGACAATCCATCTGGAGCCACCTCCCATGATAACAGTGATGGCCGCAACGGTAGATGTGAGAATAAGCGTCAGTTTCCATGACTTGATAAAGCCAATCACAAAAGCGGTAAAGAAGGTAGCCAATGCATTGAGTGTCAAGCCGACCTTTTCGGAGATACCATCTTGAACCAAATTGGTATCAGCTGTGATTCTGGTAGTAATTTCTCCTGATCCTAGCTTATCGTAGAAACCAATATTCATGCGTAAGCAAGCAGCCAAGTATTGTGCTCTAATCTTTCCACTGATATGTTCTCCAACATAAATAAATCCGACGGTAGAGATGTAGATGGTGACAAACTCGGCTATACCAAGGTAGATAAAGTAGAGAACCATGTGATTGATGGTATGATTAAAATGCTCCTTGCTACTCGATCCTGCGAAGTAATCTGCAAATGTTCCCGCCAATTGACCGAAGATAACCGTCATCAAAGGTAATGCAGCCCCCGCTGCAATACTGCAGATGCCACTGACAACCATGATAATGATATCATTTGTAGTCGAGAAGCGATATAAATTTCCAACTCCTGATGATATTTCTGGCAAAACCACTTGTCGTTTTAATATTTCCGCCTCATGGGGAGGTAAATGTGCGTAAATATCCTCATTTTTATTTGCCACCTTCACAACATTCGAGTCTAATTTCGACAAATCCTTTTCCTTAGCCGGCGACACCGTCGTTATCCCTTCCCCGTCCTTTTGTTCCTGTCTAGAATCGCGTTCAGTTAAAGATGAGCCTCCGTTGCTGGATGGACGACTCTCATGCCCCGCCGTCTCAACTTTCTCTGATAGTTCGCCAGCCATGATTGGCGGCCTTGATAAGAATTGGGGATTCGTAAAAGTGGGCAATGTCGGCAAGAAATCGGTCGAAACTTTGTTGGAGATGTAGGTATGTTATGGTGTTGCGTAGCCGATTTTGCTGGCATGCAAACAGTATATGCGATGGTAATATCTGCTTCTGACAGTTCTTCTTTCGTCCTGTCACTAAGCAGAGTGAAAATTAATGACGGACGGTGTTGTGAGTTGTTGTATTGGGAAAACTCAATAGAGTTTGATTAAAGTATGAACGTGTTTGTACGTAGAGAGTTATTAAGAGGATGTTTAGTAAATCATCACGTAAGGTACATTAAAAAGAGGATTGGAAAAGAAAGAGATACATAGATTACTTATTTATTTATTTACGTGAGGAGAGCGGAGGACTTTTCATAACTACAAACGGGTATCACAAGTTCCGAGATGCGGATTGTTGAAATTCCCGATTGGACTTTGATGACTAACTCGTTTGACGGCAAGGATTATAAGCACCTAAGTGAACGAATCCACGTAAGTCCCTAGTACGTAAACCACCTTAGTGCTGGAGTATCTCGCTTACGTTAACCATTAGTCCGATCTAAAAGGTATCTAGCAGATCTCCAAGTCAACATCAAACAATGGCATCTATGGAGGAGTATCTGAGTACGTACTGGAGTACTTCGTGCTTTGCCTGTATTTCCTAAAAACTACTACCTCCCTACCTCCTACTACCTCCTGCCTACTGTCTATCATTGCTAGTATTACTACTAGAAGGTTGGAGAAACGTCATTGGAATCTTTTACATCCTTTATCTTACCAATGATAAAAATCTAATTTTCATATCTTATCATTATCTGATTATCTCCTGTTTCGCCACCATTTTGTTCCAGTTCACGCCATTTTATTTTTTTAAACTATCTATGTTTCTCTTTCCTTGTATTCCTCGTATATCGAGCGTATCTATTTCCTTGCAAAAAGAAAAACAAGGTTCTTCGGATTGCTCAGATCAAAAGCTTAGCTTGCTCCGTGCTCTATAATAATATTTGCTACAGGGAGAATCTGAGCCAGCCAAAAATTTGACAGCGGAAAAGACATGGATTCATGATTATGTTCTGCTAAGAGGAGAAAGTCCTATCTTTCAATACAATTTATTATTGGTGGCTTGAAATCATCTGGAATATCAAAGAAGAAAACTCCTACCATCTCTTGATCTCTCCTCCCTACAGCTCTATACCCATGCTGATCCCTAATCGGATATCCACTTTATTCTCATGTCAACGTACTCTATTCCTCAAATGGCTTTTTATGGCAACACAAATATTACCCACAACTGCAACAAAATACTCCCTATAAACAGGGAGAGACGTGCTTACTTTCCCCATGCCGTCGGTATGACTCAAAAATTGTAATACTTCTTGATGATCCACATTGGTCGGGACACATTCTCTGCAGCAAATGCGAGAGAGGGATTAGCCCATTCTAGTACACACCGAATTTACCAGTCTTTTGCAGTAAAAGCGACGGAGGGACGAGCTCATTTCTGGTATCCTACCGAATATACCCGCTCCTCTTATGCTCTCTCCAATCGATTCTACGGTAGCCAATCCACTGCGCACTCGTACTGTCCTGCTCGTAGCGAGCTCCCTTTCTAGAATAATATCAAATCTTAAGACAAACGCCCCTGTCTCAATTTCAACAAATCGACGAACCTTACCCCACTAGGTAAATGATTCGTGGAGCCTACGCTAGACTAGATAAGGCATCGGGGGCGGGCAAAGCCAGCTCCGCTCCTGTGCTTTCGGACATGAATGCGATTGGAGTGCCACCATAACCTTTGTTTGACGAACGGGGTGAACGGACTTACGTGCCTGGCTCCCGTGCGAAGTTATGCAAGTCACAGAGTACAGAAAGTGCACGGATGAAAAGTCTTTCTAGAAGTTTTGGTAGAAGATTCTTTCCTTCAAATAGTAGGCCTGTCAGGTTCGAGCACTTAGCTTTTTTGCGTACTGAAGATTCTCATTTCAGACCCTCAATCAGTAAACTTCCAGAGCCTCTAGAGCCTTCACCCTTCCTTCTTTTTACATAGCTCTATGATTCATTACACATAGGCACGTGGCATTCAATGTCACCTATTGCTAGCTGTAAAAGGACTACTACATGGTGACTGTCGATTGGCAGAAGAGGATTGATTGGATAAAAATTATAATCATCCCAATGGTCTTAGAGTGATCTTGTTTCTCAATGTGCAATATCGACTTCACATTATACTGATACTCTAATCTTGAGATCCTAGGGTTTCCATATAGTACCCAGATTGAAACTTTTGCATTCAAATCTTGTAACCAACCAAAAGTCATTCAAGTCTACTTAATGATAATCTCATGAACTACGACCGAATTTGGTCAAGTTATCTAATGCCCTTGCAGTATCGTTATTGGGTACTATGTTTACGTGAATGGTAGAGTACTCCAAGTTGAGCATTTCATTGCTGAAATTCATGATTGTTATAATTCAGAAGAGTAATGCTCATTCATCTTCGTATCAAGTAAATGGAAATGGTTAGCCAAAAATGCGTAAGGCTAAAGCAAGATATCTCGATCCTGTGAATACACGTATCTGGATTACCATCAATTAATATAATATCCATCCCCCACCCTATCTGGGTCTCGGTTAGCCTCCAATCAGCGAAGCTTGAATGGTTGAATCGGTTGACCGCCTAGGCAGTATCAGCATGGCTCGAGCACAAGCACCAGAAGATAATGGAGATAGGTAACTTCTTCTAAACCAAAATAAATCACTGCCTCAAAGCTACAATTTCCACCCATTGCATCCCTTGTATTCTCAAAGCCACCAGAGTTTACCAGCCAGGCTTGCCAACTCCACCACGAAACAATCCTCGAGGAATTCGACTTCGGAGACATCAAAATGGCGGGTGGAAAGAAATCTGGAAGGACGTTGATGCGAGAAGAAGGTTTGGAACGAACAGACAATGGATTGAAGCAAACAAGCTGGCCAGAAGCCATCCCAATTAATCAGAAGAATTATTATACGTATGTATCTTACATCTTAGTTCTGCCCATATCGCATACCTTTCGGCCAACTATTGCCTTTTCACGACCTACAACTTTCACCAACTAACAATTCACAGAGAGTTCGGAAAACGCGACGACCAATTGCTTGCATCACGTCTACAGAACGAAGCAAATCAAGAAAAACTCATCCGCGACGCCAAAAATAAAGACAGAGCTCTTGCGCGCACAGGAACCGCTGACGTACCACTACCTATGGACGAAGACGAATCTGAAGATACAGATGTTACGGACGAATTGGCTGCTTCAAAGACGATCGTCATCCACCCTGGAAGTCAAAATTTGCGCATTGGTTTGGCCAGCGATGCCCTTCCAAAGACAGTCATAATGGCAATTGCCGAAAAATTCCCCACCACAGAATCTCAAGAGTACGAACCTCGTCCAAAGCGACAGAATTCTGAGCTTCCACCAGAGCAGCAATTTGGAGAGGAATGGTCAAAGAAATATAATAAACAGTGTGCCGATCTGAAGGTAGATATGCGTGCAAATAGGCGTAAAGTATTACCCAACTCGAAAGAGTTGGTTGTTAATTACAATCGCCGTATTGAACCAGAAAAGATTCCAGAACACAATGATCCGCTTCGTATGGAATGGACGGATATTGCCAAGGGATCAATAAAGTCTGTTACAGGTCCCGATGCACAGCGCATAGCAGACAACTCCGAACCACCATATAAACTTTTCTGGCCTATGCAATCCGGTTGGTTCCATGAGGATGATTATTACATCCGCGAAGCGATGTTCAATGATTTCGAGACAATCATTGAGCAGGCCATAAAAAGAGACCTTGGTCTTAAGAGAACCAGTGAATGGACACAGTACAGCTGTATAATGGTGGTGCCGGATCTCTATGACAAGAAATACCTGGAACAAATGCTAGATATGTGTCTTAGGGGCTTTGAGTTCAAACAAGTCGCTTTCATTCAAGAAAGTCATGCAGCTACATTTGGAGCTGGTTATACAAGCGCTTGTGTAGTTGATGTTGGGGCACAAAAGACATCAATTTGCTGTGTTGAGGATGGTATGTGCATAGAGGATTCTCGCGTTAACCTCAAATATGGAGGCTATGATGTTACTGAAACATTCATCAAAATGATGCTCTATGATCACTTTCCGTATGCCGACATAAATCTTAAACGACGGTACGACTTTCTTCTCGCGGAGGAACTAAAGATCAAGTACTGTACTATGAATCAGGCCGAGATATCTGTTCAACTCTACAATTTTCACCTTCGCGCACCAAATCAACCTACTCACAAATATGGTTTTAAAACATATGATGAGGTCATCCTTGCTCCTATGGGCTTTTACGATCCTTCAGTCTTTGATAATAGTGATAAATTGAAGGGTCGTCGCAAACTTCTGGATCGATCATACAATGCTTATGACGTCGACACTCCGGATGATCCTACATCTTCAGCTCAGCTTGCAATCCTGGCAGCTATCAAACCCTCTATTGCAACAAATGCAAATGGATACAATCCTAACACATCCAACGGCGTGGCTGACATGTCTTTCTCTACACCTCAAAAAGAGAAGCCCAACCCTTTCAACTTACTTCGGATGGACACAGACAATCCAGTACATTCTAGCGTGACTTCTGCTGCCGCATCACCTGCTCCAGAAGGTGCCAATACTCCGGTTCCTGCTCCATTTGTCTTTGGAGGTAACGGAACAACCGCCGGCTCTCCCGGTCCCACAAACGGCATGAATGGTAGTCACAGCGGAAATACACCTATACCCCCAGCGGGTATGTTTGTCGATATTCATGCCCGTACTGCTAAAGATCTCGCTATTGAACGTGACTCCGTTTTACCAATCGCTCCGTTGGACACTGCTATAATCACGTCTATCACCCACGCATCCAAGCATGATGATAAAAAAGCTCGTGACTTCTATGGTGGCATCATGTTAATCGGTGGAGGTGCCAAAACCCCTGGATTTGGACCTTTCCTTGAAGATAAACTCAGAAAGAAGAGACCAGATCTCGCAGAAAGAATTTTGGTGGGAACTAGTCCTAGGGAAATGGATGGTCAGGTGGTGGTTTGGAAGGGAGCAAGTGTTTTCGCTAGAATGAAGATGCATGAGAGTTGGATCGGACAAAAAGAATTCGAAATGTTGGGGGCCAGGGTATTAAGTCAAAAGATTCTTTGGCATTATTAGGTTTTAATTTCTTCTTCAAATCATGGAGACTTTCGTGGGATACTTGGCTAGACAGAAAGAATATAAGGGGTAAGATGGAAAGGGAAGAAGTGGAAATCTTGAATCATGATGAAATAATGGATGGATGGAATGATTGAGCATGGCGTTTTAAGGCAATCGGACTATCTAGGCGTTTATGGATGGTAAAATTATCGAAATCAATTATATGGATGGATAGATGGATGGATTGATGGAGTTTTTTTTAAAGATATCCTGGAGAGTAAATTTAAAAACTATCTCATTGAGTGGCATTTAAAATAGGAGACGGATGGATTTTTTGTATCTAGCTATCATTGTAGGTACGGGACAGATGATACAATATGAGAGATGAATTGAAAATTATTGGTCTTTTTTTTTGGTGAGGGATGTGAGGGATGTGAGGGATGTGAGGGATGTGAGGGATATGAGGATGAGGATGAGGGTGAGTTGGGTGAAAGTCTAGAAATTTATAAATGAATGAATGAATGAATGAATGAATAGATGACTGGTGGATTATAACTGGTGAATTATAAATTATATATCGTTTTGTGTTACTTGTAGAGTATAAATATTTATATATATTATATAAGATTTCTAAATCTTATAATTATAATACTCTTATATAAAGATTTCAATATACATTTTGTATTTTATTAGATTTTAATTTCTTTTATTCTTATTTAATTTATTTATATTTAAATAATTAATTGTTATTTTCATTCCATCCGGCATAAGACTTGTAATATAATATTACAAAATTAACATAGATTTTTTAGTATTTTGTAGATTTTTATAAAAGAAATATATTTAAAAAAAACTTTTAAAATTCTCAAATTCTAATATTAAGATGAGAATAAATAACGATTTGAGAATTTAGATTTAAGATTGAGATTTTCATTAGAAATTAAAAATTGATAATTGTATATAAATAAATACAAGAAACTTTTATAATTAGAATAAGAATTATATATCAGATCCAGTAGTAGATTTTGATAATTATAGGTGAATATAATGATTAATACTTGAGATTGGATATTGAGAAGACTTGAGAGTTTCTTTGGACTGTTTTTGGGATGATTCTTTAGGGTAGTTCTATAGGGCTGGGGTATTACTTTCTTGGAAGGATTGTTTTTGGGTGGGAGGAGGATGGAATGGGTGAGGAAAGGGGAGGGGAGAGGAGGGGAGGGAGGGATAGGGAGGTGAAGGAGATGAGAAAGATGAAGCAGTTGAGTAAGAAATATTCATGATAGAAAGCTGAGAGAGATAGAGAGAGGGATATATTCACATATGTATATATATGGTTATATTTAGAATACAATTATTCCTCGGAATAAAGAAAATAAGAGGATAAAAAAAGAACAATTAAAACTTTGTATAATAGAAGAGGCATGGAGAGGGTTTATTTAAGTATAAATACTGAAGGGAAGTTACAACGAGATGGTAAGTTGACGAAGTATTGATATATGTCTATTATGGAGGAAGTATTCCTCTTTCGAATTAAGATCTTGCAAATTTCATTTCCATAATTATGTTCTTCCTCTCCCCCAAATAGTTTTTAGGGCTATGTTTAATTATATCTTTTGTTGAGGACTACAGGGTCGCAGAGTCGGATTAGTTGGAAGGATTTTAATAGTTTAGGAGGAGATTCCTGGGGAATATGTCCTGGGAATGGAATTTGATTGGCTAAGGAGGTGAATAGATCTTAGATATGGATATGTGGTGTGTTTTTAAGATAGTATGTTAGGTGGAGATTTGCTGAAGGGGGAAGAATTCAACTGGGATAATATATGGTTTGATTCACACCATTTCTTTCACTGGGAGTTCTGTTTAAGAGTCAATTTAAGCGGTTATAGATATACTAGATGGTATGAAGGATGTCAGAGGTGAAGGTTTGAGGAAAATTGAGCCAGGTCTTGCGTGATAAAGATACTAGGATGTATGAAAGAGATGTATTCTCATGAGTCTATATTACTTTATTTCTCTCATCAAGTCTTACGAGACCAAGCAGTTGAAGCTGGATATCTGTGGATTCGATGGGACGGGTACTTATGATAGGAAGTGCATGATAAGAATTTGAGATGTCTCGTCCTGTTGAAGAAAGAAGCCAGATTAGATTAGCAGCGTCCTGGTTCCTGGATACGCGGTGATAATTAGATATGAAGAGTGATGTTCATTTTTCTTGTGTAGATGGGAGAATCAATCATATAACCAGAGCGTCTTTTTCAGTGTCAGGATATTAGTGAACGGCAAAGAAAAAGGAAGGAAAGATTTAGCATTCCTTTTTCAACTGCGGATAAGGGGACGTAGATAGTAGCTTCATGTGCGGTCATCAGATTAATGAGAATTGCCGAATGCGAAGCCGTACGATCGAGTGTAATAATCTACCATTAGTCCCGCCTCATATTCCCCTCAGTAGGACTATGAGTGTTTACGTCAAGATAAGATCTTGTCGTCATTTATTCTTTTCAATGAATTAGTTTGATCAGCTCTGTTGTCTATTTAAGCTTTCGCTTAGTTCGGTACTTGGGAGGCTAGCTAGTGAAAACAAGAATCGATGTGGATCGGCCTTTGCCGTTACCAGTTTGAGAGCTAAAATAAGGGTCTTGAACTTTATTTTAGTGTGCGTACTAGGCTCGGCATATAATTTTGTTTTGTTTATTTGCCGAGTATTGTTGGTACGCCTGAATGAAATGCCATAGGAATTTGTTTACCGATGTAATAGTGCAGATATATGTAGTGAGGCCGGCATACTGCCAAAGTTGGAGGTATTATTGTAGCACAGCATGATATGAGTTTGGAGTGATGAAAAGGATTCCTGCATTCAGAACTCTATTTCGGTTTTTGAACTGGGGGAGACTAAGTTTTACTTATCTATGACTTATTCCAGAGTTGACTCGAAGATCATTTTAGTACAGGGTGCTTGATCTTGACGATATCAAAAGCTCTAGAAGCTAAGCTAAGCTAAGTGATAACCATAGTACCATAATTCTTCTGACTCGCCCTATCTTTATGGTTGAGCTAAGCCTTAGCTTCTATGATGGCTTCCATGATGGATTCCATGATGGCTTTGTTAGCATCGGCATTTCCATTAGGCTAGTGAGTATGCATTATCAGAATTGATTTACCAAATGTACGAGTTTGCTGTTCAATTTACATGTGTGGAAGGAAAAAAGGAATCACAATTCAGATGATCAGGTTATATGTTGAAAAGCTGTATCATAGTTCGACGATTGTGGATTGTGTGGGAAGAGATGGTAAGCAGGGGTAAACTTCTCGATATCATAACGGCATATCAGAGCTAATCAACAAGATCTTCGATGTCCAAGCAGTTCATAAGTCTATCGAGAAAAAACAAGGAAGCCTTATCTGAACTCACCGATGAGAGCTTGGTTGCTAAGAGACCAAAGAGAACCGTTGCTGCCACTATTGTCAAAAAAACCTTAAGTACATTGATAGCGTCAGCGTTTTTTAGCTTCTAACTAAAGAATTGATCAAATTTAGCTTTGTTTGCCATTCAGAATTTCCTATAACTAGGCCGCTGTTCCCTCCTTCTTTCTTCTTTCTTTCTTCTTTCTCTCTTCAGCTTATGCACTTTTGATTACTTTGACTTTCCAATCTTATCTTACTGCATACTCTTACTTCTTACTACTTTTATCTTTGAGCTACCAACTCATCGATACCTAAATTTCTATCTCACTCTCACCTCACTTTTACCTCACTCTTACCTCTTATTTCTTTTATCTTTGAGCTACCAACTCATCGATACCCAATCTCACATCTCACTATTACCTCACTCTTTTCTCTCTTCTCCAAGTCGGCGTGCCGATTTTTGTTTTAACATTAATCGCTATAATGTCCTTCTTGTCTTTTCTTCAAGTCATGGGCACAACCCTTGTGGTTGCTGCCTGTGTCTACCTCATCTCCAACCCTCTCCCTCTCGAGGAAACACCTGTTGTCATCCAGGTTGCTCCTCAACCTATTACTCAGTCGCTACCTGAGTCCCAAGCAGCCCAACTCGCTGCTTCATCTTCTACCAAGAAGATGACTCGAGTTGAGCAGCTTGCCGGCTCAGGCATGGTAGCTTCTGCTTCTCCAGAGATTAGGAGAAGGCCTGTTATTAGACCGGCCATCACTCTTTCTCTCGTGGAGAGAAGATTAAGGGATCGACTTCCTTCTCGTCAACCAATCGAGGAAGTCATTCGTTTTTCTTCTTCTGTTGCTGGCGCGCAGCAAAAAAACACCATCTCATCCGACATCATCATGACGGATGTTGAAATGACTGAAGATGCGTCGGTATATGCCGAAATGTCTGAAGTCATTTCAACTGAAGTCGAGATGACGGATGCCCCTGTATTTCAGCTGAAGTCCTGCTTCAGAAGCTCCTCTTCTCGCTCTGCGAAAAGGGTTAGCTTTGCAGGACCAAGCGGTGATAGTATTCGTGGACAGGTGATCACTTACGTGGTCCCTAGGAAAATGAAGAACTATCACCAGAAATACTTGGGTCAGAAGCGTTGCCCTCACGAGACCTTTCCTCTTGTTGAGGAAAGAGATCAAGAAGGTAACGCTACTGGATGGTTTACTAAACGGGATGGAGTTTTTCTCCACCCAATAGCTCATGGCGTATTCGAACGCTGCGACGAGAATGCATCCTGCACTAAGTGCAGAGAGAGTCTTTCCGAAGGATTTTTAGATCCGGAGGTAGACTTCTCTGATGCTATTCTCGAAGCAGAAGAATATGCTCTGGGCTTTTATGTCCTTCGGGACCAATATAGAAGATACGGTTGCATCAATCATGGTGGACATTGATGCACCGTATCTTCTATTAACTACTAACCTGTGACCTGAACCTGACCCTTCCTGGAATCCCCGGACCCAGGTTAGTAATTCTTTTCCTTTTTTCAACCAAAATAGATGTGCTTTTATCAGCCATCGCCAAAAAAAATATTTAAAATAAAGGCCTCGTTGGAATAGATTTTCAGATTGGTAACCTGAATATCTATCCTTCAAGGTATCACAAAACAATCACCAATAAAGCGAACATCGCATCTTGTATATATCTCTTTCCTTTGTCATTATTTTGGGGAGGCCGGCGAGCCATTATTATTTTTCCTTTGTTTTCCTTTTCTTTTTGGGCGATTTTAACCCCCCTTTTCCCCTACATTTGCTCGTTAATGGTTTACAGATTAGAGACATACGAGCTGTGATCGCTCGATTTTAGTTCATAACTTCAAAATATTAGGTCAGTTTAACCCCCTTCCCCCTTTTGACTTGAGACATTTGCTAATCATGTTACATAATCCCAGATCCAAGTCGTCGAACGACTCCCCCTTCGATCCCACCACTTCGATTCCACCACCATATTCCAGGAAGGGTTCAGGTCACAGGTTATATTATTCTATATCAAAGAGTTCAAATGAGACTGTGCAGCGCGTTGTGGAAATCAACACAGCTCTCTCAAACCCCAACTCTTTTAAAGCTCACTTAATCATCATCTCACTTCACATCTTCACGTCTCCACACCCCACCCTTCGTCGACCAAGAAAGAATGCGCCCTCTGCTGCTCTCGAGACGACAAGCAGAGATTCTTTCTTGACTCGACATTCGAATCACATCACTTCTCCAACATATTGTCATACAAGACTGGGCAAGCTCGCGATAAGTTACGCCCAGATCTTTAAACCATCACAAAATGTTGATTCGACCTCTTTATCCACTTTGACTTGCAAAAAATCGAATCTTTTCAACCCCAATCCTAGCTGCGCTCGATAAGACTAGCAGGATATTCGATGCATTTCGATGGATTTATACTGTTCTCGTCCAGTTACTCGACGAGATTATTTTCACGAACTTGGCTCTCGGGGAACGCTTATCGAATTTTTCACTTCGGTGATTTGTTCATGCTATACCCCTTGGCCTTGTCTCGTTTTGTTAAAGCTTTTCACTTTTATTAGAAAGTGTTTTGGCGATATCTCCTTGGCTTGGTTGGTTTCAGGACAGTCTCATTGGAAGCTCACTCGATGGGGCCTCATGAGAGCTCGTCGTGGATGGAGGATATGGTACAATTTGATAAGTATTTCCCCTTCGCTAACTACTAATTCGTCTATAGGGTGGCTAGCCTTGATCACACGTCCTCGTTGCGTGCTAGCTGGGAACCCTCAAATGAGGAGCTAAGTGATCTAATCGAACGTTCAATTTTTGATATCGTGTGTAAAGTCCTTTTTGATGATGACTGGAGTCTGGTGCTTCGATGGCCTTGTGGTTGTGAGTTTTCTGCTTTGTCTTCCTGCTTGTTTGGACAATGCTAATTTTCAGTAGATGCGGTGGGGTTACTTTTCGCTGCAAGATGCGGCCTGCCATGCATGAAGAAGATTAGATGCTGAAGACGAGGTTTTGGCTTGTGTGGTATTCTAATTGGTATATTTATCTCATTCTAGCGATAAATACGAACTCTAAGGTCTTCCAATATATGCTCCTTTAATTCTAGCACACGCACCTTTCATATGATTCTTTACTGCACTTCAATTTCCACATAAAATTAGAGTCTTAGTCCTTTCTCTTCTACGTCCTGGTCACAAGCGGATGATTATGGGAAATGATGGGAAATGATGGGAAATGAGACCAATCTCGTAGTAGGACTAGAATAGAACTAAAGTTACAAGGAGCTTACATTGAAGTGACTTAATGACTATTATATTGGAACTTCAGAGGTGGTAAATTGTGGATGAGTGGAAGAACAGGTGATGTGAAAATATAATTAGCAATGAGCTGAAGTTACCTGATGCATAACAACTGTATAGAGTCAGAGTGGCAATCAGTGATTGCTGACAGCATTGATTGACAGAGAATAAGCTAAGTCAATAAACTGGATTTTGTAAATATTATTAATTAATTAATAGGATTAGATTTTAATTAATAGTTAATTGATCAGCTAAAAATAATTAATTTTTTGAAAAAAAGAGAGAGAGGAAAGGGGAAAGAAAGGAAAGGAAGGGAAGAGAGAAAGAGAGGGAATAAATGAATAATTTACTACCAAATAAAGATTGTATTGTGCTGGGAAACAACTGTTCAGGATTCCTCATTCCTCATTTTCTGACAATTTTCGAAAAGGCTAAGGGAGTGACATGAATAGACAGAGGAAAGAAAGAAATACTGGTAGGAGCATGAAAATGGAAAGAGCAGGTAGGACTAACTGATGCTGCCGTAGATGCTGAGAGTTCTTGCTACATTCGTACTCCCTAGGAAATGTGACTATAAAATCGAATCACTTCTCCAAAGCTTTCGAACATCTTGAGAGCAAAACAATCTTTCAAAAACCACAAACTTTCAAAACAGTATCCTTACCATATTATCCATACCACAGTATAAATTAACCAATATGTTAGCAGACTTGCCAACCATCGTCATTTTTATTCCGTTCTGTCTCTTTTTCTTTTCCTTTTGGCTTGTGTTTTGCGTCATCGTTGACATTCTCACTCACACATTCTTTTGAACAGTTTGGTCTCCGTCCCTGATTGCTTAATTACCATTCTACAAGTATCCAATCCGAATCTATCTATAAAACCAATGGAATCTAAAATCGCTGACGCGATACTCGAGCTTGTCGTTGTGTGGCTTTTGGTGTATGTGATTCTCGCTCTGTGGGTTTTGAGGGTGGAAAGACTTGTGGAACGTTTCCCTGGAATATTACCAGAAAGGCGTCCTGCTTGAAGATTGTTTCGACTTAAGGATTTCTTAAGGTATTCGTCAATAACTATCTCTCTTCTCCTGTGCTAATACTGTAAGATTAGGGAGACTCATGCTATAAACAAGCAACAATCACAATCATCCTACCTCAATCTCTCCACTCGCAAAGCAATCTAAGGTCCAATATTCTCATCGCCATCATTCGAATAAACAGCAAATCGTGAGTTCGGAGTCTGAATCAATCTTTGCATAGCTAACTGAGCAAATGGACAGTCACGTTATTGCATATCAAACCCAACAATCACAATGGCCACAAAACATCCCCGCATTTCAGACACACTCGGCAGAGAACAGACGGGGGAAAGCCAAATAAACAAAGCTGCTCAAAATCGCGGAGGAGTACTTGGAGAGAAAAGCAGAGAAAGACATGCACTTATTGATGCTCGCAAGAGCCTCATGACATTCTTCATGTCTCAATTGAGATTTGGCAATGAGGTGGTTATCTGGGTCTTTTTTCGAAAGTACTCGCCAATAGCATAGGCTTCACCTTCGAAGCCCTGGTTCCCGATTTTCCTTCACTGTCGTTTTTATAAGCAATTACTGGTTTCCAGCGTCGCAGGTACGAAAGGCCGGCATTTAGGAGATGGGATATGATTGAGCGGATTGTTTTAGCAAGGCATGACTGAAGGATCACTGATTTCAGCACTCATTAAAAGAAAAGTGGAATAGTCTTGGTATTAGAACTAGGTCACAATTAGCGTCTCAATACAGCGTTATTAATTTACACAAAATAAAATCATATGATCAGTAAACGCTGGTATTGATTACAAAGTAAGACTGTAAGTCAAAAAAACTGATTGTTAAAAAAGTAGGTGCTTCCCATTCAATACTTGACCATTATCCCGAAGAAGAGATATAGGGGCCAAAGAAACAAGGATTATTAAATCATATGGAACAGTAAAATATGCAGCTATTCGATTGAGGTATACATAGTGGAAGAGAAGCATCTTCTTCTCGACGTGCGTGCTCGACCAGGGCTTCGAGTAAGTCCTGATCACTGAAACCCTGTGCTTGAAAATAAAAGGTCGCTGTAAACTTCTGCAGAGTTATCGGTCGAGGAGCTAGACCACCAATATATATTGATCGAATGTCATATTCACTATGCTGCCTAGCGAAGAGATATTGAAAATAGCCAACATATCCCCAATCATAGTATCTTCTCCAAGATTTGTTCTCGGGTGAAATTTGTGTTCAAGTATCTCGAGACATAGTCGTCACGGTTAACTGTGTTGTATTAGCATCTTGAATCCTTTCATAAACGATATTAAAGATGACTTCAACTTACTGTATCCACCACAAATACGTCTTTTACCCGTGAATTCTGATCTTCCATGAAGGACTCTCCAGTTATCAAAGACTGTTGCCCGAGAATTAGCCACTTAACATTCCAAAAAAGAATGCCTAAAACCCACTCAAAGCTCGTCCCGGTACGAGCTGCGACCAATACTGTAACCTCGGATCATTAACCCTATCATTAAAGGTTTTCGCCGCATCGTACCACTCCTGAGAGTACCCCGGATGAATAGTTCCCCTGTCCGCCTCATTCCATCGAATCTGCGTTGCTCTGCGATTCGTATTCATCGTGAGAACGGGATATGGCCTATTGGGAGTAATATTAATGCCATCGTTACCACTAGCATGCCAAGGAACAGCTATTTTTGACAGAGAATCTTTGTAGCGATTGCGAAGTGAGCGAGCTGCCCAGAAACCGTCGACGAGGAGGGATTCACCGCCGGTGCCTTCGGTGTGAGAGAGGAGATGGAACATTTGGAGACCGGCGGGGTCGGTGAAGTAGGTTGTGTCGGTATGGGGACCAATGGCTTCGCTGGTATAGGCTGTGTCTTTCATTGTCAGATCGGATGTGAAGTCGTAGAAACCACCTAGGGAGGTCAGCTAATCATTAAGGCCAATGGGTTTAAAGATCTAGATACTACCGTAGTGTGTGGGTCGAATAAAGGCGATGCGCTCGAGAAGCTCTTGAGTCTTTTCGGGGCATACTGGAACTCCATCTACGAAACAGAAACCATAGTTATGCTGAAAAAATTAATAATGAATAGTTGGAATACAGGAAATGCCAGACAACTCACAATCATGCGTGTCCATTTCCCTACACCAGCATCGCTGGCCATGACTTCATCATAGTTGACTGTAGGTGGGTTTTTTCCAATAATCGAGTCCCAAAAGACGACTTCATGGCTACTGTAAAATATCTCAAAATAGTGCAGAACATGATGAATGACACAGGCTTACTCTGGATCAGGTATTGTACTTCCTTCTTCCGCTGAAGCAACTAATTCCCGCTTGGCAGTCAAAAGTGTAGGTTTATCTTGCCGAAACCTATTTGCGCTGCGGTAAACCTCATATTTGTGGAGCCAGTCCCACGGGTAAATAGTAACATGATCTGGCTTAGCATCATCACCTACGCTATCCAGCCCTGTACGAGGTCAGAATTGAAGATGAATGTACGGCAAAGTGCATACATGTTACTTCAAGCCCCTCATGTTTGGCCCGGTTTATAGAATTAGGGAGTACCTCGAGCTCAGACTTTAACTGTTAGAAATCACCTCATACTAATGATTGGGATATTTACCGAGAATATGTTTACTTCTCGCTGCATAGTATCAGGACGTCTGCATTTTGCACAACGACAATTATCTCTAAAATATCATCAATCCAGCGGCTAACACCCTTGGAAATTCAATAAAGTCTTTATCTCTTACCTAAGCCACCGACGTGGACTGTTAAATCATTAGCCCTTGAGATTATGAACAAATATGGGCTGGTGCACCTACATCGCATCAAGCCCATCACCAAAGTTGATTGGTATGAATGCTCCATTATCAAGCAAGCGAGAGTTCTCCCGATAACCTTTTCCTAATTTTGGATGGACAATCTCTTCTCCAAGGTCGGCGGTAGAGTTAATCGACTCCTCATTTGCTTTTTCTTGCGCTGAAAGTCCATGATTGAGAAGAGGTCGGATGAAATTTGGAGGTCCGTTATTCTTCCGCAAAGGCACAGGTGGACCATGAGGGGTATCAAGAATGAATTGGTTATTGGCGCGTTTGTATGCAGGATATACATAATCTAGCTCTGTGGGTGAGCCACGAGTGGTATCTTGAAGAAATTGACCTTTGGTGCGTGTGTATGAAGGATATTCATCATTTACCAAGTTCAAACGTTTGAATGGACCTGGCCCAGATTTATCCTCAGGTTTATCCGTAGATTGATCCCGCTGGCCATCATCTTTTGTTGGTAAAGTAGACGCGCGATTTATCTCAGGTACATTGCTGTAAGTGCGACGAGATGCAACACGACTAACTCGTTGAACCCGGAGAATGGAGCGATACATGTTGATGACTTGCTTTAGTTATATCATCATGAATTGATGAAATTAATATGGATTTCTTTGAGGTTTTCGTCGTATGATATTTCTCGAATGTATTTCTGTGCCTCGGCTCGGGCTTCCGTTTGATAGATATTGATATTTAGTAGTTCTGTATATTGGAAGCGACATGTCGCTTTTATATTTAGCTGCTGGTGGTTACATTACAGAAATTATCAATCCATTTTCCCGCTTACTACATTTCATTTGCTATATACATGTTCATTAATAGTTTATACATTTTTTGAAAACATTGTGGTGATGTTGACGTATCGCGAGCCAATTCACGGAACAAAGTATTTCCGAATATCCCTGACCCTAAGCTCCTTCACCCCACCAACACCTTATATGTACGAGGTATCAATAACCTCACGATTAAACCATGAACCACAATCACCTCGACTAGCTTTCATCATGTCCACCGAAGACGCCCGCTACCGCACTTCTACTCAATATCGGCACTGGTCATATACACCCTCCGCACTCCGCTCCTTGCGCGAAAGCACAAATGCCCTAGCCACAGCGCAAGTTCGAGATGCCGTTCGACGCGCCCGGGAAGCCAGGGCTGCATCCTCAAATGATAACAGTGAAGCGGAGAATAGCAGGTCGGCTAGCACTGCTTTGCCAGAGGGCGACGTGGATTGTTTGACCGTAGATGAGGAATTGAAGTTGATGGACTATTATTGTAGGCAGACGCTACAATTGGGGGATCATTTGGGTGTGCCGATTGAAGTTAAGGTGTGTTTTTCTCACTTGAAAGTTTTCCAAGTCTTTCAGAAGGACTCGATTGATGCCGGTCTTATCTCGTGAAACAGGCCAGTTTTTCCAATGGGACACGGTAGATGTCTGGCAAATCGCAACCTATCTTTGTTCAAATATCTCTAACGTTCTTCTTAATTACAGGCCACCGCAATCCAATACATCCGCCGATTCTATATAAGCCACAGCCTAATGACCTATTCCCCTACTACTATCCTGAAAACCGCCCTCTTCTTCTCAACTAAAACCGAAAATCACTATTTCCGTATCACCAGATTCGCCAGCGACATCGGCAAAACCACGACCGAAGAAATCCTCTCCTCAGAATTTCTCCTCACTCAAGGAATTCGCTTCCAATTCGACATCCGACACCCCTACCGCGGTCTTGAAGGAGCCATCATGGAACTCCTCTCCATCTCTACCAACAAGATCCCCGTACCGCCCGAATTGGAACCGCAACGACCCGCCAACATGCAAACACTAGTATTAGAAAGCCACGGACTCGCACGCCGATATCTCAAGACCAGCGCTCTACTATGCGATGCCTATTTCCACTACACCCCCTCCCAAATAATGTTCGCATCCCTCTACCTCGCTTCCGCCCCCTTAGCAACATTCTACCTCGCCCTTAAATCCTATAACCCCGCCGATACGAACACCGCGGCATCAACATCAACCCACCAAAAACTCCTAACATTAATAAAGAACCTCGCTCAAATCTTATCCTCGATCCCCGAAGAACAAACTCCCGAACAGAGACAAGAGATCCAAGCCCTAGTTAAGAAATTAAAGAAATGTCGAAACCCCGAAAAAGCAGATTTAGTCGGGTTACAGAGGATGAAACGGGAAGGAGTAGATGGGAAAGAAGGAGGTGAAGAAGATGAGAAGGTTATTAAAAAGAGAAAGATGGAACGTGAACAGAGATTAAAAGAAGAGCGGGATTTATTTGGAGGGAGTTTGAAAGGATGATTTGGCGGTGCGGAAATACTATAATGGGGTGGATGGGTTTATACAAAAGTGTGGTATGGTCGGCGTTATACAGGCTGGGCGACGGACTGGATCAGAGCGCATGGAGCTGGGGATTTTATTGACGATTTAAATTGATATGTATCATCACTGTTCATAAGGGCACATTTATGATGATTAATGCTAAGAGCAAAGAACAACAGCATATCAACATTGAAAAGGAAATTTTCATTCATTGGTCCTGTTAAACTATGTCCTCTAGCTGTTATTCTCCCTGGTATCCTCATGTATATGTATCCCGTCTGCTTTGGTAAAAGCAGCCCATATCTGATATTTTGTTGTTTTTAAAAAAGTAAGTAACATCCCACCCACCATTCATCTCTCATGAAGCAAAGAAAATAAATAAAGACGATAATGATACTTCGCAAGATAAATAATAAGAGAAAAAAAATATGTGCCAGCGCTTACTTGCGTCAGAATATTCATAGGCTAAAAAAGCCTGCTTGCACAAGTAGTTTCCTACCATTAAATACCTTCTGCAGTGTTAAACAGCTCCGGATTCCCGCTGCCCCACGCACTCGTTCCGATACTTCGCTCCATTTCCAATTCTAGCTCTAGTTTTCGATAACCTGACTTACAGCCCAGGGCAACTCATAGTCATCGACCTTGGTGCAAGTGAGATATGCGAGTTCGCCATTAACTCCACTGCCGTCACCCATCAACTCATTGACCATCAGACCCTTTACCTTCTTCGCAGCATATTCCTTCATAATATTCAGCTGCAACTCAACTTCGTCCTTTTCCCAATGTCCCCACTCTCTGGTCTCCGATACGGTTTTGAATTGTTCAACCATTGACATAACATCATCGATCTGGAGATAAGCATCACCACCTTGAGCCAGCAAATTATACATGCTCTTCTCTACGCTCGCGTATTCCTGGAGTTGAGCATGAGCGCATCTGTGTAACTGTTGAGAGAACCAGTCGTGCCAGATTTGTACCATAACCCACAAATCAAAGGTCGTCTTGTCCAAATTATTGATACTAACTCTCGCACCATCCTTTACGAGACAGCTTTGGAAAAGGGCGTCAGTGACTTTATGTTTCTTCTTTTGAAGATCGTGGGTTTTCTTGTTGATAAATTTGCCGAGCGCATCATCAATTCGATCTTGTGGTGTGGGCCATGGCCATGAAGGTAATTGTCCAACGATGTGTACAAGGGCTTCCTTGAAGATGGTGGTGCATTGTAGCTTGTCTGCCAAAATCAGGAAACGAGGAGGGTCTTGACGAATGGCTGAGTAGAGATTGCGGCCTTGAGAAAGGAGGGAGGCAATTATATGAGGTCTAACAATCTTCAGTGAGTCGTAGAGTGTAGCGACCTTGATCAATAGGTTGGACTGTTTCATCGCATTTGACACATCCGCCGTAGAGATCGTGGGAGGACAATTGTAGTAGCAGAGGAAGAGAGAGTGGTATGCCTCGAGAACATCGTGATGTAGTGTTGTAACTTGTTGTCCTAGTGTGCCCTGGTTTGAAGTATTATTGTTTGGCTTCTCCGTGGTAGGGAGTACAGTCTTAGGAGCAGAATGATTATCAAAAGACGGTTCGTCCATAATTGGATCAATCTTGGGTTGTTGCTTTTTCTCAGCGGTTGATTTGCCGTTCATACGAACCTCAGCTTCTTTTTCCGGCGGCTCTTGAGCACCCAGTGACATTTGTGGAAAGCGTTTTGGCCCCTGCTTTGGCCCTTCGATTTTCAAACTTGCATTGACAGGTGCTTCGGTGTGTCTGGCAGGGGCAACGTGAGCAGCAAGAACTTGGATAGTTTGACTGTTGCGTTGTTGTGGCTCTTCGACAATCAAATTTTCATCGGGAGCAACATCAATCTGGTTTTCAGGCGATGTTCTAATGCTTGGAAATACTTGTGACATTGAGTTCGTTACTTTCTGCTTTTCCTCAACCCTGATTTCCGGTTCTATCGGACTTTCCGAAAAGACAGTAGCCTGAAGCTGTTCTTCAGGAAAAACTTGGTGATTTGATGGAAACTGGTTAGGCTGAATTTTTGGCTGACATTGTTCATCAATCTTGTCATTTGCATTTTCAATTTCAATATCAAGTTGCCTTTCTGGCAAATTTCCTGCAATTGGAAGGGTTTCTGAGAACATCTTTTCCTCGGGCCTAACCTCTGCTTTCATAGTAGCCTCGAGTGCCGTGGTAGTATCTCCTTCATGAGAAGTCTTGGTGCTTAGGTAGACTTGAGGCTTTTCAGAAATCATGTGGTCCGTTTCAGTTCTAGCTCCTGCTTTGGTGGGGCTTGAAGGCGGCGTAACGACCTGCTCCCCCATAGCCTTTTGTGTTTGGGAAGTAAGCTCAACACTATCCGATTGAACGGCTATATCTTCCTCTAGCTTGATGCTATCTCCTTTCTCTTGATGTGCGTTGGCTTGGTTATGGAGAGATGGCTGAAGAGATGGCTGCAGAGATGGCTGCAGAGATGGCTGAAAAGATGGCTGAAGATTACTAGGGAATGAAATGGAACTCGGGTTATCAAGATGAACAGCTGCTTCAAGGTCGCCAGCCATATTCCCCATTTCAACATCTTCGAAGGAGCCATCATATTGTGGTAAAAATAATGACGAGTCACGAGTGTGGCATGTACTATTCGTAGGAAGTGAATGTCCATTTGCGCTACTAGTGATCGCCTGTGGCTGATTCTTATACTTTGTGAGTCCCTGTAGAAATTAGTCCGATTTGTCAAATTTCAAACCATAGTGCATGATGTTAGCGGTAAAAAGAAGCCTCTTACCGTGCGTTCCAATACATGGTGTTTGCGTTTAGCATCAAATATGATTTCAAATCTGTATTTGATTCCAGTCTCTTTAGTGATCACAGCTGCCACTTTCGGGCCCACTTCATCGCCGAACTCCCCATATAGTTCCCAATCAAACCAAGATGAGGCACGCCTCAATATATGCGAGTGCATCCTGTATGAATACCTGTGGCTCTTATGAATGAGTACGATATATACATCAGCATCAGCATCTGCGAATGGCTGCAAAAGTTTTGTTGGAAGCACGTTTGGGCGTGCAATGATTTCTGGGGAGATGACGATTTCTGACTCTTGCCTGGATTCGGTTGGTCTTTCCTCTTGCTTAGGCGCACGGAGCTTCGCTGCTGATGAGTGTGGGTCTATTCAGAAGTTAGTTACTTAAAATCGAAGCTATACTTAGTATCTGCATGATCTGACGAAGGAAACAGATACTTGGAGATTATTGCATACCTGGACGAGCTTTTCTGGGTGGTTCATCATCAGATTCAATTGCAATTGCATCTTTATCAGTTGAAGGTTGAGGTTTGATTGGTCTCTTTCTGCTGTTGACCGCTTGAGCTTTGAATGCATGGTTGTTGGCGTCACCAACAACATGGACCTCCTCACCACGTTGGTGTTGCTTACGGCCTCTTGGAGCCATAATAGAATACTAGCAGACTTATCGATATATTAAAGGAAGTAAATGATAGAAGAAGATAGGCTAGAAGGCAAAGGATAATAGCAATAAAAGAAGTGAGAGAATTCGAGGCAGATCGGCGGTAATGCTGGAGATGGAGGTTGTTGCTGTGGTTGTTGAGAAATTTGAAAGAGTAGTGGACGTGGCAAAGTAGTAGATAAAAAGATTCTTCCCTTCGTCAGCTAAAAATAGTGAATAAATATGGGAAGAGATGTGAGGGGTATTTGGTTTCAAAGATGAGGTAAATCTGGAGTTTGATCGAAGTATGAGTTTCTGAGAAATGGCAGTGAGGTAAGAGAAGTAGCAGCAATTCGGACTGTAGACTCGATTTCGCATGTAAGACTATGAAAATCCTGCCGACAGGAGCGTTCCGTCTACCACTTCCATTTCGATGATTGTAGATTGACCAGTTTCCCGGAGAGTAAAAGAAGAAAGGAGTTGTAGATCAGAAGCTGAGAAGTCGTAAATTTTAAGTTAGCCAACACTTTGTGGTTCGATAAAATAATATGGAAGTCTAAGCTGAAGACCAAGTGAATATTATGGAAAACTGATGCAATAATTTTTTTTGATGAAGATCCAAAACGCCAGGTATAGAGGACTTGGGAAAGAGCATCACCGGCCTCATTCCCTTTGCACAGAAAATATGATGATCGAACCCACAATTCGCATATCAGGGCAAAATGCATCAGAGCAATTGGGTTTTGTAAGATTATGCCTGTACATCTTCTAAATATCTAATTTCCTAGCCGGATATGTGAGAAATGAGTAGTGCTGAAGGATTAATTGCTGAATTTGTAGCTGTTCAACCAGAAAGAGAGCTGAGAACTCCATCTATATCTCATAGATGAATGATAATACACACTATAAATCACAAACGATAATAATTCTCGTCCTCAAACACCACCTCTATCCGCAATCCTAACCTTCAACAACCTCTCCGCATTTTCAAACGCGAAACCCTTCATCTCCTTCGAATTCTCATCCCCAAACAATCCACTTTGTACCACTTTCTGCACAAACTCCCTCCCCGTGTCATTCCCAGAGAACGGATAATCAACACTAAACAAAATCTTATCCTTCCCCTTTGTCTGCACCAAACACGCCAAGGGTGCCAACGAAAACATGCCACTAGTAGTAATCCACAAATTCTCCTCCCAGACCCTTTCCAAGCTCTTATTCCTTCCCCATCTTCCCGCTATCTTAAGTATCCTCTCGAGATTGAACGGGAGCAATTCACCCATATGTCCCAACACTATTTTAATATCCGGGAAACGATCAAATAGTCCCGCAGCATAAAGACGCAGAAAATGAAGCCCAGTATCAAAATGCCAGCCTAATCCCCAATTACTAAGCGCGGTTGCAATATCCTCTGGATAATTCCCACGATATTTACTCATTTCTTTTTCGGACGTAAAATTCGGATGGATATAAATAGGTACATCTAAAGCACTAGCTTTCTCAAATACACTCCAGAATTTTTCATCGTCGTAAAATTCCCCCTCAAGATGGTTATCAATTAATGCTCCCACGAAACCGAGGTTATTGATACAACGATCTAGTTCTTGAGCTGCTTCTGTCGGGAATCCCATGGGAAGAGTCGCAAAGCCTTTTAATCGGATGGGATTTTTGGATATAGCTGTCGCGAGTTCATCGTTGATTTGTTGGCAAAGTTTGGGAGGAGCATGATCCATAGGACCATGGGAGAGGATTTGTAGAGAAACATTTCCATCATCCATATCCTTGATGCGTTCATCATCAAGCGATTTTAATTTCCTAGTTAGTTGAGCTGGAAAGCCAGCAAATGGGTCCGGAGCACCGCTTGCTTGTTGGGTGGCAAGAACTGCAGAGGATAGATAGTGCTCCTCAAGGGTGATGAGCGGTAGCATTTTTAATGTTTTCTGGATGTTTAGTCTAATTCTTGGAAGGAATTGAAACATTATCTGCTATCTTGGATCGTGGGGAGCATTCGTTGAAGATATATACCAGAGAGAACGTTGAATGACGTATGATAAGCTTCGGATTTATCTTTCGTTCACGATTTATCTCCGGAACGCAATCGGGATACCATACTCCGGAGATTACAGACAGATCAACAAGCATATTCAACTCGCTAATCCCCCTTAAACAAAAGATTAACTCCGTTCGCACGATATAGAATACGGTCTATGAGACGTCAATTCCAATATATAAAACTATCATATAAAATATCCATACTCAGGGGAAATAATTTTCATCCGGCAATTTGTTCGAAAATATCATGGAATATATCGAGAGCATTTATATAATCACATCGCTTCCATTTGCTACGAAGCTGGTAATTACTTCAAGCCTGCCTGATATTCGTATTGTAAAAGTGGTAGGTCGAGATACGTGCGTCCCGATAGCACGCTATGAGGAGGGAATTGGAAGAGAAAGCTGAATTAGATTACATTGTAATACATCACTTATGAGTAAAACAGGGTTCACAATGGTTTTGGGGTTGATGTTATATGAATTCAAATGTATATATATAGAAGATTGGTTTTTGTAAAAAGAAGAGGCAAAAGGCTTTTCTTTTATATATAACTACAGAAGATCATATGATTGACTAGTTGAAACCTTTATGTATTTGGCCTATAATTCCAACTTTCTCACAGTATCTGGAAAATGAAAGGGTGACGTTGACGATAATGAATAAATGTCTGCTCTAGGGGTAGACTTACATGACACCCTATCAACAGATTTGAAGTACATGTATAAGAACTTTCTATAATTTTAGAAATAAATTAATGGTAGTTTCAGTTATCAGTTCCAATATACTATAATAATACTACTACCATTATCCTCTTTTACTACAAACAGCTCGAGTTCCGAAGTGTTTCTTCTTGCGGACGAGGTCCATATATACATACATGAGTTATCCGGGCAAAAAATGCCTCGTGGGCATTTTATCCATGACCTGACCATACAAAATCATCAGACAATCAAACTTCGGAGCTATCTAGACAATCCCAAGCTAATGGCCTGCCCCTCTCAATATTGCACTGCGATGATATCACATCAGAATCGGATGTAAGATACCGTAAACTCGGCCGGCCTAGAACAAAAATCCTTCCAATTTCGACCCATGCATTTCAATTTACCTCATTTTTCGAGAAAAGGGGGTCGATGTGAACCAAATACTGCTAAACACGAGTATAGATTTTGCCACAGGCATAGACTAGAAACTGGAATGGAGACTTCTCTTTTGGCATTAGAACAATGATGCAGATGAATTATCACATAGAAGAATTAATCCTTGAACTACTATGATGTTTTATTGTACATAGCAAGGTACATATAGCAATATCTAGAATAGAAATATAGATAGAACGGTAACAGCACATATATAGTACCAAGAGGAACAAGAAGAAGAGTATTGACATGGCGACAGCAACAAACAAAACTACCTGCTGTTGATTTATGTGAACGAAACACCGCAAAGTCAATAAATTTCCTGATTACTCTAATAGAACCTTCCGTTGTACTGATTTTATCTGGTCGTGGACCTCTCCACGACGATCAGCAGAAATTTTTGACAGGAATACTCCTCGGGCCAGTTTAAAAGAAATAACTTTCCTAACTAAAATGGAATCGACCCCCGCTAAAACAACATTTGTTTGTAAACTGTAAGTCTTACTTCGACTCAGTGTCAAGTAAACGTCACTAATGGAAGTACAGAACATGCCATGAATTTGTTTTGCGGTACTATATCCCAATATAACTTTTCATTTATTGTTTCGACACCAGGAGCTTGGAGATTGGTGTGTTTGGAAATGATATGTCCTCGATTTGTCTCCTCCGGAAGCTGGCGGGGAGGCAAATATCGGACACATTGGACTAGGAGAATAACAATTGACTCAACTAATAAAAGTAAGATATCGGGACCTCGAATTTTTTGGCAATTTTAATGCAATGCAATGACCGAGCTTTGAGCCGTGCCGGTGGTGAAACGTCTGATAGTTGTTCAAATGGTTGAGTTGTCTGTGTAACTACCTTGAAATGAAGGTAAATTTCCACTCATTTAACAAAATGTCGATGGAAGATATTTGTGGAACATTTGATTCCCACAAAAGAAGTCAAAATCTTATTGAGTAACACGTGAAAGTAACTCAATCTCATCATCTTCATCACGAACTCCGGCTTCTCCGCAAGTCTTGCACTATTTTGGTGAGCTAACACAGCCACTATGCTCTATCGCTATACCAAGTACAAGAAATTTAATTCAGTGTGCGCGATGGTAATTCGATGAAAACTCATATGCTCGTTTCATCCAAAATTAATATCTTCCCAAGAATCACACAAACTGACATTAAGGAGTCCAATTTCATGGTACGTAATTACCACCACGGCCGCCAACGATCGCAGATCTCGGTTGCAATTATATAATAGAAAGCAAAAGGTCTTATGACACCTCATTGATTCGATAAGAATTCCTCGGATTCATCGGTAGACACTGGGATAATTTCAGGTCCGAATTCTGGGTAATAATGTAAATCAGATTCGTGTATGCGAATCAACAAAAATGCTAGGTTCCCAGCACAAGATTTTCGTTTAGGACGTGTTGGATGTTCCAAAAGCGTACACTTGCACAGACTTAGGAGGGGCCGACTAATTGTTGGTGATGGTTAAGCTCTACCTCAATTTGATTTGTCAATGAATACGGAGTTATGGAGGGGTTTCATCAACTTCAATCCTGCAAAGGCCTTGCTTCGAGGGATAAGATTAGAATTTAAACATTCTGGTATCGAGAAGAATGCATGCAGTTCGGAAAATACTTTTTCTGTCAAATGCAGCGAGAGCCTTTTTGAGGACGAGCTTGAGTTAAGAACTTCCAGTAACAAAGCGCAAAAGTTCAAAGCCCAAGTAGTAAATAATAAAGTCAAATCAGATGTAAAAGAAGAGAGTTTGTTCCTCGGTATCGGAGGGGATTACCGAATTAGTTTTGATTTTGGTCTGGTTTGGTTACATACCCCAAAGTTTGCATAAATCATCCTTGTCCTACCCCAGAATCCCCAGACTTTGCCCCCAATCAAATCAAAGCTAATGATTTTAACCCCGCCTCTAGGCTTTATAGTAGCGAGCAATACGAGCTTTAAGTATTGGCCACTGTTGTAAGAGTTTGAATGGTAGCTTCCATTGGAGGGCTATTTCGGCAGCAGATCCTAATCGTGGTGTTCCTGCATCACAACAAGAGAGTAATCCGATGTCCGACAAACAACCATACGTGTATCGTAATCACTGAGATACGTTGCTCCAACCACAAAACACTTGCTACCTCTTTAGTGGCCATTTTGGTAAGTTCCCATTGCCACATAACATATACTTGCTCTTCGAAGGCTTATTGAATAGCGTTCTCCGCGCAACTTTCCGGGTTTCTCCAAGCTGACTCGGTGCCCTGTTTGTTGCTCACTGACACCCTAGACGGGTGTTGTTACAAATGGGAAACGAACGGTTGTCTGTCTCTTGGCTGACTGTTATTACAAAATGTGTGGAATAATTAGACATCCATGGAATATCCCCTAAATTTAACTCCGTATTAGTCTTATTCACATGTATATAAGTTGGGCAATCTGCAACTTTGAGTGACTTACCTCTTCATCTCTCAACATTAAACGCACTCGCTCACTTATCAACAATCGTTCTTTGTTGCCAATCATTCGTTTTTAAAGGCAATCCATACACTCAAACACTCTTCAAAATGCAATTTACCATTGCCGGACTCTTGGCCATTGCCAGCTTGGCTAGTGCTCAATATGCCGGAATTGCAACTTGCGCTCAATCTTGTATCGCTGACGCAGTAAAAAAGTCCACCACTTGTGGAGCCGCTGATACTGCTTGCCAATGCATACCTGACAACCTCTCGAAGATTCAAAATGCTGCTACAACCTGCGTTATCGACGCCTGTGGTATCACAGTTGCTCTGAGTAAGTGTTATAATTGACCCTTGAAATTGAGCCCGCTGACCTTTTTTAGCCGTTCAATCTGCTGCTGCCTCTGCATGTGCTTCTCTTCCTGCCTCGTCAGCCAGTGCACAAACTTCCGCTAGCTCTGTTCCATCCTCTTCCTCTGTCGCTCCCAGCAGTTCTGCATCAGTTCTTTCATCATCCAGCGCTGTTGCTTCCTATTCATCTGCCGCCAAGTCTTCGCCTGTAGTATCTTCCGCTGCCTCGACTCCAGTATCTTCAGTTGCCTCGACTCCAGTATCTTCCGTTGCCTCTACTCCAGCAACATCCGTTGTCCTCACCCTCACTCCGATTACTTCTGGCGTAGCTGCCCCAACTGGTAGCACTGGCTCCAATGCTACCGCACCTTCCACGCCGACCTCCTCTATCACTCCCTATACCGGTGCTGGAGCTCAAGTCAGAGCTGGTCTAGGAAGTGCTCTTGTCCTCGGTCTTGCCGCAGTCTTTGCCTTCTAGGTACCGAACAAATGTCAAGCATGATAAGGATATGAAGGGTTATAATAATGATGGAATGTTAAGGTTGGAAATGGAAATGGAAATGGAAATGGAAATGGAAATGAGAATAATGAGAATGGCGGCTTGGTGTTCAAAATTAATTCTTCACACTTAATACTGTAATGGTTTTTTTTTCATATTACCCTCATTATGAAAGTAATTGCATTCGAGAAAAAATACTTATCTCGTCGTGAATTGCACGATCTCATGAAATAAAGCGAAGAAAGGCTAGAAGTGAGTTGAATCGTGCCAGAGCGGACCCTGATGATGATAATGTTGCTTTCTCTCTACAAGGTCCAAGGAAAGAAGAACAGGATGTACTTACCTATGGCCTTGCCAATCCATTTCAAAGCCATGAGATTCTTAATACAGATACTTTTCGGCGTAAGCAAGTGATAAGGTCATTTTTGGAAATTCACAATGTTTTTTTCCAGTGACACAAATTGGAGAGACAATGAAGGGAAGGGGAATACAGCGCTAAACCAAATGAACCTTAGCGATTCATTGCTCGTTTGCTGTCTATAAATATTCAGAGTTGTTTGATAACTATCAAACCCTCATCGAAAGAATACTTATAACAATAAGGACGGGTGTTCTTTTCATCATGATTAATGAGTTTCGATGCTTATGATGCACAGCAGCCCGGAAGCTCAGTCTTGTACTCACCCGACCGCATCGTTGTGTCATACCCCTAGTGATTGTCAAAAATATATTATCAGTATCAAAGTTGATATTCATTCAAAAGTAACAAGTTGTTGCGTCGCGAACTCTAATGAAAGATTCGCTCGAGGATACATTTGTGATCATTTTAAATACAATTAATCAACGAATATAGCAGAGGAATAATGACTGCTAGATTAACTTCATATCTGTCTATCATCAGAGGGTTTAGACATGCCTGAAGTATTTTCATTATGATGGAAATAGCAAGTGCTACTTCTTTCTTCCCTTCCTCAAACGTTTTCGTTGCTATGTTTGTATAAACTTGCACCCAGGAATATACCAATTCTGTATTTATATCCTTTTTTTCTGCTTTTCTTTCCTTTTTGTGACTCTTTCAACCGTTCCTCGTTATTTATTTAATCCGCTAAAGCTACTACCCTTATGACCGTGAACCCCCTTTTTTGGCATCAGTATCAACATAAGGTAATGAACCAAAATAAATTGTCATTAATTAATGATACACCCATCATTGACGATGTGAGAATTGGTCCGCCAGTATCAACATCACACCAAATTATGTGCATACAATCAATTGTTTTGAGCTTGGTCATACCCGTCTTCAGATCTACCGTGTCCCGACCAATATAATCAAATAGAAATTTCCTTCAGAACCTGTGGAAACATGGTGGAGATTTCATGGTGATATACAAAATGCTAAAAACTCAACACTTTGGCAGTCCCGCACTGGGTCAATTTTCATTCCTTCTGCAAGTGCAGAATTGATCAACTCTACATCATTCATTGATTCTGTAACTCTTAAAGCCACCTGAAAGTATATAAGGCGCATAGCTGACAGTAAGGTTCCCGATCCACAGGTAGAGGTTATGACTCCATAAGGCGTGAGCAGGATCTAGCTCGAAGCTGGAAGCCCCATTCGTGAATATTCAAGGACTGACTTGATGTCATCCATGGGTTCTCTCATATCTAGCAGTAATACTAACAACATTTGCATTTTACATCGTCAATCAGCCCCTCTACTTGCTGTAGAAACATATACCATCATAACTCTCTCTATTCGGGGGTGAAACATATCTCATGACGGCGATTTTGAAATTCTACATTTTTACATCCCCTTTAGCACACATGCTTTATCCTCGTGATTGGACATTTACCAAAACCGTTCGACTTTCTCAAGTATGGAGATTACCACGAGATCACTGTCCAGTAATGGAGTTCGACAATTCTTGTATATTAATATTATTAGACCTATAAATCCAAGTAGGGATCTCCGCGTCATCTATATAGGTCTTCTATCTCTCTTCTTAACCATCAAGCAAACAAAAGACCCTCAAAATCCCTCTTCCCATCCTCCCAGTTTAGTTTATCATAGAACAAAAATCTACGCCACGTACATGTCCCGGACATCCAACGTTAAAGCCGGAGGCATCAATTATTTCAATGATTCTAGTGTTGCAAGTGAGTACAGAATGCATATATATCCTAACACTTACAAAAGCCAGAGAGAGTGAATATCTCTGCATAGCAGGCGAATTTAACATACGAGAGGGTTTTATTTTTGTAGTAATTATACGCATGGAGTAAAAGAGAAGAAAAGCAAAGGTATTATATGGGGAATAGAAATGGGAATGGGAATGAAAACTAGAATGGCAAGGGCTAATTAAGAGTAGCCGAAAATGAAAAGGGAGGAGAGAACGCTAAGAGTATACACACGCAATATACTTTAGTATTTTCCTCGCACCAACGCCGTGCCTATGTTTCAAAGCTCATGAAATTAAACTATTAGTGATGGCTTGAGCGTGTGCAATGGATAAATAATAGGTAGCTCAAGAGTGACTGTAGCCCGCGTATTTGAAACGATAAATTCGTCATTATATCATGTCTTTTCAAGTATTCCAGATTACATATATATTCTAATCAGCTCAAATGTAAGATATTATTTTACCATCAGCTATTTAACATCTAGACAACTTCCCTCTAAATCCAAGCTTAAGATACCTAAGAAATATATGAATATCAATATCAATACCCCCTCCTCTCCTCTCCCTCTCCCTCCTCCTCCCCCATCCCTCCTCTAACCCACACATCAGCAGCAACAAAACCCACCAAGACTAATTCCGAACTTTCAACAGCGAAAAAGAAGTTACAACAATTCAGTAATCATTAATTCATTCCTACCATTAACAAAAGAATACTCAACCTCTCCCCCTTAAACATCCCCCATCCTCTATCCCACCAAAACAACAAAAAACGGAAAATACCCAATTACAAGTTTTCCATCTCCAGCCTTCAAGTTTCATATCCACAGCACACGGAGAACAACCTATACACGACAGACGTGCAAGAAAACCCCCAATACGTACCTGCCAACCCCAAATTTACGACTACTATACGCAGTACTCCGTTGAAGGAAAATCCAATTCTCGAAGCTCCTAGGTTTAATATTCCAGAGACGTCAAGCTTAAGTTCTCATTTCACAATCACAATCTCCATACTATAGCTAATTAGCACGGCATATACAACAGAATACAACTTTAACATCTCTTCTCGGCTTCTCGGTCTTATATTCCCATTCTTCGCGGCTTCACCCCGTATATATGGAGCGGCATTCAAAAACCGTCGATCGGGTTAATTCATCGAATTCAAGTCACATTCACATTCACATACATAACGCAACCCACAAGTTACAAGTTACAACGCATTCAACTCAATTCATCGCCACTAAGCTCACCAGCGCGCCCTATCCAGCAACGCCGATACAAATTTCCGCACCGCAAGAAAATTAAACCTTTTTCCGCCTCATCTATGAACAGTGGACGCCGCATCACATTAACCCATCCATCCCTCCACTGCCACACAAAATTCCAAAATTCCACGGTGGCGCCGAAACCTCGCGGTCCGAGCACCGGCACTTTTGTCTCTTTCTTCAGTCTAGTCGTGTCTCACTTTACCTGCATGCACGTTTTGTTGCCGTTCGTTCGTCTCATCTCATCTCTTCTCATCTCGAGCTCATCTCAAGAAAGAAACGCCAAGTACCAAGTACGCAGTATTAAGTGCAGTCTGAAGTTTAAACTTTAAAGTAATATTAGCACAAAAACTTTTTGTTCTAGATGTGCCCAGTATGCACGATGACATTGCGGTTCCTACTACCGTACTAATGGAGTAGTGGATAGAGATTTTAATTTTGGGGATGAACTGCATAAATATCCCGCATGCTTGGGGATTGACATGATTGACACGTTTATGGTATGCACGCAGTGGGTACCTGCATCGGTAAAGCCGACGGATGGAAAAATTATGAAACGAAACGAAACCAGACCAAACAAAACAAAACGAAAAAGAGTAAACCAAAATCGCGGCCACGGCGATATGAAACGGAAACGTTATTTATAAGAAATATGGCTCATTGCATCGGAATAAGGTATATTCTCCGATTTCCTCGTGAGAATATTTGACTTTCTTCGCACTTGAAATGAGAGAGTCTGGAGGACAAATATTTAAGACATTTTGATTGGGATTAATCTCATGCCTAGCTAAATATTTCGTATGAGTGGGTAAGGAAGAACCCGTATCCCTTCTAAGCTATTTGAATGGTGGTGTCCAAGAGAGTGATCTATGATACTTTCGTACAGAGTGAATTCATCTATACCAGGCTGAGATATAGCGAATCAAATCGGAGATAGAGTACATCGAGATCCCATCTGATGGAGTCTGGATTCTGCTCTTGGGACGGAATTCTGTCCCGGACGGAGGAACTTTAACGCTTTGGTGGAACTATTGATTTGATCTGATTTGTTGCTTTGACTGACAGATGCCCAAGATTTATCCATCTTGTGCATTTCATAGACTAAGATATGAATGACAAAAGAGATTCGTACCCCATGCATATCATAGCATTATTTGCGAATAAACACTACGGAGTAAAGAACGCATTAAGAAATAGACTTTCACCAGCATCTAGGATACAATTCATGATCCCGAAGCCTCATACCACAGGGTTCATTTGAGGAGATCATCACTCCAATGTCAAATAGCAACAACGATATACCCACGTTCCATAGTCGGTAATATGCCCATTCTCGAAAACTCTCTCGAACTTAATTTTCACCGAATTGCCTCGTCTGAAAATCCGCTTGGATGCTTGAATCCATCATTCCTTGTTCACCAGATGAACTCACCCGCCCTATGGAAATAAGAAAGCAGCGTATTTTCCTCCCCGCACGTATACGTGTAGTACTTTGAGTGAATGACGAAACGCCCTCGATATTATAGTGTGGAGATGCGGCAGTGATCTGAGGACAGGGAAATTCCTGATGAATTGGACGAAGTAGCTTACCAGTATCTTGCATAAGCTGTTTGCTCGAGCTCGAGTTTCTACATATGACGAGAGGACATACGGTGAGACTTATAAGGTATTGTTGCAGATGTCAATATGCATTCGTGGGGGAATAGCATCCGGGCGCTTAAGCAGGAGTATAGATGTAGGCAGACACTTTTCTTTGCCTTCTTCCCATTTAGCGGTCAGTGAAATAGGATAGGAGACATCTTTTCTTATTTATGTGAACTAAACAAAACAGAACATGAGTGATGGGGTGAATCACGATCTCAGGAAGGTCGGTCAGAAATCAAAGACGGCAGGCACGCCTTACTTTTTCCTCTTTTTGTTGTCCGAATCAGAAAAGTTCTTGGAGAAAAAAAAAGTGAGGGTTGGGAAATTGCAGAATGAAAAATCCAGAAACTCAAAAAGTTATTTGCTCAAAACTCAAGCATTCGCCCTTCCAAATTATCGGGGACCGAATATAAAAAGCTCGCACGCATTCACGATGAATGATAATAATAAATGAATCGAGATATATGCGACGCGCAGGAAACTGTATTGTAGATCCATCCATCAAAAACACGTAACGCTGAAACGAACTCGTGGATCTTGCGTGGATACGAGTGAGCACAGGAACCAAATGTGAAGAGTTAGAATGTTCTATGCTCAGCTACATGTGATTTTCAGCATGAGATCATCGCACTTTGGGGGCTATGCATGCTGCAGTTGCAGTACTCCTGGAAGCTATAACTAACATAGCCCAAAAAAACCCACAGTATTCCTACTCCGTGCAGTAGCAATTCCTTCTTACGGAAAACCCAGGGAATTCAACGATAGTGGACCAAAAACACCAAGGATATCTTGAAATGGTAGGATCTGAGGCCACTAGACTTTAGTTAATGCATGTGATGATGTGAGGTATCAAGTCATCACTGCAGTTTACTGCATGTCTGTCTGCATCAATCAATGTCTGTGCAAAGGCTGTCCTTCCGGTGGATAAACTGCACCGTACTCCGTACGATGGTACATTTTTCAGTCATGTTACTTGTTTGCGGGGCCGTAGGTAGGTAACCTATGATAGATAGGTTGGTTAATAGGCTGGCTAATCCTCACCTGTTCAGTGGATCATAGTCAAGGATACTCCGTATTTCATAATCTGTCTTCTCTTTGCTTCTGGGAGAATCTTTCATAGGGGAATGAATAGGACGACAAGATACATATGAAGAAAGAGAATTCTGTACATATAAAAAGAACTGAAAAAAAATGAAAGAAAAGCGAAACGAAACGAATCTTAGTCCAAAATCTAGAAATGATTGTAACATCATGATACATCATAAAAGAAAGCTTACATGTCTAACATGCCTTAACTCGAAACTATTTTGGACCAAAAAAAGGCAAGCCAGTCAGCCTTATCATGTACGGTCATGTAATAACAAAAGAGATGAATCCAGTAGGAAGGTACCTACGTACTTCGAGCTAATCTCAAAGTAGGACTAAAACGAAAAGCGGATCCAAATTGACGCTTTTTTCATGCGCAGATTCCGCATCACGAGCGAACACACTAACGATAAATACTACCATACAATTTCCCCTTTTCAACAGCTATACCGAGATGACCAAATCTTCTCGGTCGAATGTGACGATGGACCTTGAACTTTTCCATGCGTAGTTCGTGGACATCTCGCGTTGCTTACTATTTGAAGGTAGCATATGTACAGGTAAGGATTCTTGATATATACATATCAACAAATGCATAATTTAGAGTGGATGCGGGATAAGGGAGGGAGGGCATGGTTACCACGTTACGACTGGTACGATGTATGATTGATTGATGTATGATGGTATCCAGCATCCATTCATTCATTAATTCATCCAAATTGGCAGCTAGGAAATTAATCAACAATAAGATTGTGCTACACTGCACAATCATCGCTGCCTCGCGCCTCGCGGGGATGAAAAGGACGATGAGGAGGTGGAGCGTGAAAGTAAAAGCAAACCATCTGTCTCCTCCCTTGAAGGCCGGCTTACTGCAGCCATCGGCAGCTTTCATAATTAGTATAGTGTCGGGAATTTTGCTGCATCTAGGACTTGGAAAGGCTAAGATTCGGTCATCGGCGACCATTGATAGAAATAGCTGTGAAATGCCTGCGCAGTGCGGACAAATGAGGTTACATTTTACGGAGCCCATCTTTTTCTTCTGCACTCAAAATAATGAATGAATGCATCTAACCTTTTCCCTTGCGATCTTCAGGATATTAAAAATCCTTGTATTGCGGTGTGAGTGATGGGGAGGATTCTGTTTCCTTGTCATGTTTACTTTTTTTCTTTCTTTTACAACTCGCAGCTGGCTGGCTTGGCTGGCTCGGAGTACCGCACCTCCCTCTCTATTCCTTGCCCATGGCCGTGACATGGTTTCGATACAACAAGCTATAACACAACCTGCAGGGTCCTAGGTTCAAGTTGCAGAAGACCCGTAGACCTTTTCCCGCTCCTGCCAATGGTGTAAAAGAACAATAGCGTTGTTAGTTGTAACCCTAACAACTGTTGGAGCCTAAGGATCGTGAGGACAATGGTACAACACGGATCGGCAACCGAATTGGAAGTTTGGAAAAACTATTTGAAAAGGTTTGTCAAAGGCCCAACGGTCTTACCGGCCTAAGTGGAAATATTCCCGTTGACAAGACAAACTAATAAGAACTCTAAATTCATAAGCTTCAACTAAACAATCCAAAGTCGATCTTTTGCACTTTGTTCGGCATTCCGGTCTGTATGGAACTGTTGATGATAAGCCTCCGGGAGACATCATTGTCATAAGCTACTTTAGAGTTTAGACGGGTAGGGAGGTATTTCGGCAGGATATCAGTCAGTAATCTAATCGATTTCTTATTTTGTCGAGACTCTTTCAGACTTGGGATGAACAGGATAGATTAGCAGGGAATATGAAATAATTTGAGACATGGTGTTGATGATCCGGTCAACGTCTCCACGGAGCACGCTAGATTTCCATGGCCTCCATGGGCCTCCATGTATAAATAAATCGACCATTCGGAGCTTTTCATAGGAGATCATTCTCAGGGGTTAGATTGATCATTGTACGTAGGTACTTTATTATTGTTTGGTAAGAATAAATAAGATATGCAAGCAGCTCATAGACAATTAATCAACATTGCAATAATGAAATAATGGCATCGCTGCCTGAAGTCCGTGGCGTACAAAAGGCCAAGAAAAAGCTCAAGAATGATTCTCGAAGGTGGTGAGAAATGCATTTCGTCTGCAGGAACCCTTTTCTCAAGCCTTTTGCAACCATTGTGCAACCAACCAACACACAAGAGCTCTCCCAATCTCCACATTTCAAGCATATAAATTATGCCTGACCGGAAAAGGTACGCGCTTAAATTGGATGAGCCGCTGCCCTGGGAACGGAATGACTAGGAATTATATGAATTTGTTGCTGTCTGTCATGCAGAGACCAAATAATGTGATTTGTGCGAATGATGCTACATATTTTTGAAGTAATGGAATCTACGCAGGAAGACACACCGCTGGAAAGAGGGCATACATACTCCGTATTTCTCGGATTCGCTTCTTTTGGACCACTCATGCAAGGTCTTCCAGGAAATCGGTTGGATCTCGGAAGAATTCATCGAATTGAGGACAATAAGTTGTACATGATGCAGGCAGAGAGCTGAAGATAAAGCCTTGAAGGCTAGCTGGAATGGTAGGTAAGCTTTCTTTTGTATGCAGGTACTGTGCTCCGTAAAAATTTGGTTGCACCATGAACTACTTGTAGAGGGAAAGTTGAAGCGTACGAAATACTTTGGATACGGATGGGTGCCAGCTCGTTCCAAAAAGATACAAAAATTGACTCCATTCGGTGCCCACATGCATCCATCTATCCATCCATCCATATGCCGTTGACCCACGAATTCAGCCGCTATCTCTTGGCCGCTCGACGGGGAAGTTGCTGAGATTCCTGAGAAGCCACTTTGGCAAAGTTGTACGAATCGTGGAGTTTTGTGCAAGACATTTTGCAAGTTAGGTGCGGAAGCAAGCGTGCAAGCGTGCAAGCGTTATATCGTACGCGTCAGGTTTTCGGATGTACCTTCCGTGCCGAAGAGTTACTCCTTATAGAAAGTGTTAATTTCTAGCTAGATGGATGTCAATTAGTGATATGTTTTGCTCAAGATAATATTGAATTCAATTGATTCCACAAGTCCACAAAATGAGTACCTTGGCATTGGCATTGGCATTGGCACTGGCATTGGCATTGGCACTGGCACTGGCACTGGCACTGGCACTGGCATTGTCAATGTCAATGTCATTGTCATTGCCATTGTCGATTCAGACGTTGATATTTGGAAGAAGATTTTCAATTGCGATAAGGAACCGACCTGCAAATTTCGACATCCTTCGGTGACACCGTGATATATTTAATGAAATGAGATGATCTCCTTTAGCTTGTATAAACACTTGAAAGTTTGATTACTGATATGCTCGCTATTCGAGTGGAGGATTCCTTTGTGGAAAAAGAATGGAATTAAGTTTGTTTGTTTGTTTATAAGTCTTAGTTGTGCAGGAATTGGTAATTGGTAACTGGTAATTAGGGAAATATGGAGCTTGGGAAGCTTCAAAAGCTTTACGCGGTACTCACTCCGGACAGGGGAAAAGGAAAGACTTAGCCAGTCACCCATAGAAAACCTTAACCAACCTTGGAAATTCAATGAAAATATATTGTGATTCGTAAACCAAGTAAGTAGTAGTAGGCATGGGATCATTTTCTATCTCTCTCTTTGAGATCTTCCGAGCTTGGTTGGGTATTTATTTGATTTATTAATTGAACTTATTCATAATTGTCCAATTAGATATCAATCAATTGCTTGTGTACCCTTTCGTTTCCGTTGACAACATTGATTGCAAGGATTTTGTACCTTCACGACTCCATGGCTGATCCAATCTCATCCACTTGCTTTAGTTTACTCTACTTTACTTTACTTTACAACCTTGACGCTTGACTTGACAACCTTGAAGTTGACAACCTTGACAATCCATCATCCATCATCCATCATCCATCATCCATCATCCATCATCCATCATCCATCATCCATCCATCATCCCCACCCACAAATCCTTAACTCACAATCAAAATCCTCGTTCACCTCGTTCGAATATAGCCATGGCACTGTTCAAGGGCTACCCCCTACAAGAAAAGGATGGGGTTCTTCCCAGCTATTGGGATCCTTTAGATTGGTCGAGAATCGGATGAAAAATAAATGGATTAAAAGTGGTAAAATGGTTAAAAAATTAAAAAATAAAATAATTGATGCGGTAAAACATATCGTCGCATCGTTCAGCAGCATCGGTCAGTCGTTCAGCCAGTCACTACTCGTGGCTACAGTGCAAGCAATACATGGTGCACAGCTCGATAGTCAGTCAATGCTGACACCACGCAACAAAGTATTCGCAGTCCTTCACTTCCCAGCAATTCATCAATTCAATTCAATCCCTTTGATCCATCCATCCATCTTCCTGTTCTCTTATTGTTTGTCAATTCCTCTTTTGGGTCATTTTCAATTTAATTCTTTTCAATCTCTTCATCTGATTGGACCAATAATACTTGATTATTCTGCCGATACGGGTCGCTTTTTACTCTTCAGGGCAATTTACAACTCCGTTATTGCATGAAAATAGACAAATCGGCGTCCTTGGTATTATGCATCACCAAGGGGATTGATCCGAAAGAAAGTACCACCTCGATTCAATATTGTACATTGTTCTACCTACCACTTCAACTTCACACCTCATCCAATCGCAACGGCGAGAAAAAGCTGGGGACGCAGAGCTCTCAACATATGATATACATCATACCTCGCATACCAAGTGTTGAAACCAACATCTCCAACCTAAGGTGAGCGAGCATTGTGTTGGTATCCACGTCCTATGGGGGAGTATACATTAGTTTCCTCGTGGCTTTATATTGCCTCCGCGGTCTTCACAACATTCCGAGCATAGTATCCTTGATGCTGGATTGTATCGCTAAAGAAGAAACGCTCCTTGCTCCATATTTCTTGACAAACACCCTGAATGGGAAACCCTTGTTGTTGACAGGCCTATTTTATTTGTGGCACATGCTGATCCGTATCTCCCCAGCCGAGCGTCGTCGGATATCCTCAACCCGTCACTTTTATGTTGGACGTTCCCTCATTGTTGACTGTTGAAACTTGAAAGCCCTCAACTTTTTTTTTATCGACCAACACCGAAACAACAAGGCGTCATCGTGGCTGCAACGTGCCTCGATATAGCCTGTTCATCAGCCCAAGATCGATGATTGCGTCTTATGAAGCAGAAGGCATAAGCACAATCTCTCTTAACATATAGGGTTGGGATTCCCTTGTAGTCGACGCATTGTTCGATATATATCCTCCCCACAGAATCTCAATTGAGTTCATTGACAGCTGTCCAACTCATCATTCAATATGTTCAGTCTAGGATCTGCAGGCACGGGCTCAGCGCCATATCCCAATAATAACGGCCCCTTATCCAAGAGGAAGATGTCTAGAAAAGATAATGCCCCGCCGACGGATAAACACTTCATGTACCCGCCGGTCGAGACCTTCGAGCCAGCGATTGATGGACCCCCATCACCTCAAGGTATACGCGCATACACTGAGCAGATGAGAAGGGGCTCGGCCTTTGTCCCCAAATCCACTACCCCTTCATTCACCTCAGCTTCCTCCTTCCGATCCCGTCAATCCAGTCTCGATTCCTCCAACAGAATCGAATTGCAACGAAAATCCTCTGGCAGATCAAACGGCAGTAGCATGGCGGCGAAAGAGAGGCCCGATAGTATAAACCTTTTCGGAAAAACGATTTTCTCCCGAAGCAGTAAAAAGTTTAGGCGTAACCATCCTTCGATGGGGGGATCTTCAACATCACTTGCGAGTGGTGCTGGAGAGAAGGAACGTGGCGACGCATCTAGCCGCAGTCCACCACCCACCAGTTACCGCGCTCGAAAGAGTACCATCTCTGGACCATACAACTTCCAACACATTACCCACACCCAACAAAATGAACTACCCGACTTGAGGCAAATTCCTCCCACGGAATTGGTCTCCGAATTCTCTGCTTTACGGGCATCTCAAGCTCCAACGAATGGGAATCTCAAGGGTATTAGAGCTCGAGATCTAATGTTTGAAAATTTCTCTTCGGTAGCAATAGACTATGCACCTGATGTTGACGCGCCTAAAAGCCCCACAAGCCCCAAGAGTCCTTCGTGCCCTGTTACCCCGCAAAGGCAAACCGCACATCGGGCGTCTGTAACACCACCGCAAAACAACCCATGGAGACCTATTAATTACTCCATGTCACATGATAATCTTCGATCAGTACCTGTACGCCCATCACGGTCTCCCGAGTCTCCTCGCTGCACGGTTGATCCACCGGCTCGAACATCGTCGAGAGCAGCCTCGAGTTTCTTTAACCATGTCGACCCCTCCACCACACTTGATTTTGGACCATCTTTGAATGCCAACCTCCAGGAATCAGCACCATTTGATTTTACTCCGCAGACACATCCTTCGCCACCCAAATGGGATAGAAGAGAGTCAGACGTATCTGCCAAGCACCTGTCCCATGCAGTCACGACTCCCGGCGAGGAGGCATGGCCTTTATCTGCACCATTAAATGGAAATTTTGGAGTTGATCTTGCAGATGTTCCCGAAGAGGATGAACATACTAGGACGCGATCGAGAGAGTCGAGCACAGATGGTGAATTGCGACTTTCAAAATCGGTCCCAGGTTTGAGGATGAGAGCACTTGAGCAAGCTCCACATATGCCAGATATGCCACCGATTCTGGGAAGACTTGGCTCTGTTGACACCTCAAGATTTTTGAAACGACCCAGCTCACCCAAGCTCAGCTTAACCACAGATTCTTGGGAAGACGCGATCGATTTTTGTTACATGGATGAAGCTGGCGAAGATTGGGATTATGAACCTGAGGAAACATCTGAGGAGAGCAAACCTATCATAGCCCAAGCCCCAACGTCACTCACCCAAGTGGAACAGCCTGCTATGGATTTGCATCTTGATAACCAACGTCATGTTTCGCAAGGCCGATTCCGTCCATCTTTACTGGTCCCTACACCCTTCGATCTTCCCGCACTTTCTCCACTGTCAAATTTGTCGAGCGCATCGTCATTTCTACCCACTCCAACCGATTACTTCCGCACCAATCATATGCGACCCAATTCCCATGCATCTTCGTTCAAAGAGTCGGATGGGTTCAATCTCTCCCCAACTCTTCTCATTCCTTCGGATGAATATCCTCTACAGAGCGAACAAGATGCTTTGTTCGACACATATCACCATGACAACGTCCCGTCGGCGTCTATTTACCCTATGGATACTTATGAGCAACCTTCTTCACCAATAGACGAAAGTCTTTCCAGTAACACCTCTTACCGGTCCTCGGTTTATTCACATAATAGTCTCAGAAGTAGCACTATTAGCAGCCGCTACAATCGATCCAGTCAAGATTCAGCTCTCCTAATTTTCCAGGCAGGAAGCATGAGTAAAGCTCATAGAAGTATTGGATCTGCATCTTCTTTGCCTGATCTTGTCCCTTCCCTTCGCCCAAAACGTGACAGCAGAACACTTGGTGCACTCGCTACGACAACATCTGATCCGGAACTCGTAACAAACGTTTCTGGCCTAAAATTTTATGAGGACCAATCTTCCTCCGAAGTTTCTGAGCTTCAGAATCTTCCGGTCAACCACGTACGCAAGCCAAACAAAAACCCTAGTCATTTTGCTCCACCTCCACCCACCATTTCTACAGCGGTTCCAGATGCAGCGTCTAGCATCCTTAGCCCTGTAGCTGAGAGCTTTACCGATTCGCCTCCTGCTAGACCACGCCTGAGATCTGCTCTTTCTCGCGAGCTATATGCTCCTGCTTCGGTTGAGTCCTTCATTTCGAACCACGGACGAAAGGTCTCTGCGCCTATCATCACCGACAAAAATTTCCAAGATATGGGACCTAGATCAAGATCCAACACATTATCTAATACCGCCGCGGCTGGCAAGCGCAGAGGAAGCTATAATCTTTTCCCCGCCCCTCCCACAACTACCTCCAAATAAATTCTGCTTTTTAAAGTATGATATTGATTTTTATACTACACACATATTGTGTAATTGTACATTCATGTACCAAATTATTTTTACCACCACCTGCACATCCGCAATTTTCCTTACTCAAACTTTCCGCTCTCTTAGAGCACCTCACTATGACGAGCTATGCTGTCACGACTCGAATTTCCTATGTTCTCTTCTTCCAAAATCAAACCAAAAGAAAACAAAAGTTTCAATTGTTTACTTATATTCAGAGATGGAAAAGTAAGAGGGTGGATTTCTGTATCATTATTCGTGCAATCGTTTGCGTTCGCATTCCTTTCACTTGCATTATTGGTAGTTTTGCGATCTGGATCATCTAGTATCCAATCACACGCGCTATGATGGGGTGGATTTTTCTTTTTGTTTTTTGATATTTTTTCCTGCAGAACTTAGATGAAGGGTTGCAAGCGGGGTTGCATCGCTCAATCTCTTGTTCATGAGCGATTATGTATTACGATATGATGGATTTGTTTCGACTGGTTCGGTCACATAGCTCGCTATCTACCTACCCAGTCACTTGTACCGATTTTCTTTTTCTTTTTGTATTTTTTTGATCGAATCTGTATGCACTGCGGGTGCTAGCGGATTTTGACTTTCTGGAGAAAAAGCTTATAGAAGGATGGGAAATGGGGTTAGGGTTGTACGTATGGGATTGACAGAATTTTTGTTTCATTATTTTTTTCTTGCTTACCTGAGGTATTTGTATTTCTGTGGTGTTGTTGGTTTGTGCTAGCCGCGTGCTTGTGTATTTGCCTCGTTTTCTGGATTGGAGGTTTGGATCGGATTGTATTGGTATGGATGGGGATGGTATGGTATGGTGGTTCAAGGGCCTGGCTGCATACATTTGGATGGATGGATGGTAGTATTCGCGTGGGAGACGGTAAATACTTATATTACAGTACAGTATCAGTATCTTTTGGTATTTGGCACCTGATGATTGGGATACGGAGATGTTGGGTGCACTGCGTGTCTGTGTGAAAGCAATGGAGAGATGTAGTTCTTGTGTATGAGGAGACGGAGAGAAGAATACATACATACATACTCGAGAGTAGTTAGTTCTAGATGCCAAGCGCAAGATGCTTAGTTTAGTTTAATATGAAGATAAGATATCATAAAAACTCCCTCTTTGACTTTTTTTGGTGATGGTTTCTTAAGATTTTAATGCTCGCGTGTGCGTTTGCGGGATATGGTCTACATTATGTTGCTTCTTGAGTAGGTTATCATCGCTGCACCTTCTAGTTTCACACATTCGCAGTTTGGAACTCACATTCACTTAAGGAGAACTTCTCAATCAAGTGGGTTGTGTGACCTATAATATTTTGTGCGATTTGGAAGATCTTGCAGTGTTGTGTTGTGTTGTAAGCTGTATGAGAGCTACAAACTTTAGCATACATAGATACGTATTATTATTACAGTATGCACACAGAGGTTCACACCAATAAATGGCAGACCATCAAAAGAAAGCGGAGGAGGAAAATTCCTTCACTTCTTTAGAAAATGAAAACAAGTAAAGAGTATACATGTGAAAATAAAACCACTTCATAAACAATTCCTTCCAGTTAGCACGCTGCCCCTTTTTACGCCTATGCACCTCTAGATTTGTTTAAATCACTCAGTCTTTGTCGTCTCAACGATGATCTTGACGTCTCCATCCATCCATTCTGTCTTTCTCACTGACAATAGAGCCATGGCATATGTTGCCTCTGATTTGATCTCGACTAAGCCATTAGGACCTAAAACCTTCATAGCTGTCTTCTTGTAGGGTGCCTTGATCGCTGCGTCAACATGTGCAGTAAAGCTTACGAAGCCTACACAATTTGTAGGGTTCAAGGTAAACACGTCTCTGATACGTTTGCCGTTGTGGATAATGTTAATATGGTACTCAAGTGGTGCCGGCTGCTTAGCACTAACTTCTGGTGCTTTGGCAGTTTGCGTCTCAGCTACAATATTAGCGGCTGAATTGCCTGCAATAGGTTTATTGACTATATTTTGATCGGGTAAGGTGAGTTGGGGATCAATTAATGGGGATTGAGATGCTTGACTGTTTCTGAAGGATGTGGCGCGTAACTGAAATAGCTCTTCTTCTTTCCTTTTTTGATTTCTAAGGTTGAGGGCATATAATCGCTGTCTCTCATTGGTAACCATGCGACGCAATAAAGGAGTAATTCTGGAGATAATCCTGGAGATAATTATTAGCAAAGATAGTATTAGAGTTACAAATCACAAAACTCACTTGTTTGGCATGTCAGGCCAAATCCATCTTCTTGTAGCACCACTTGGGGAGTTTCTACCAAAAAGTCTCTCCCCCCATCCCTCTCCCTCATCGGCCAAGAAGTTCCTGACGCAAGCATAGAGCTTCAGCTTGGTCAGGTCATTATCTCTTTTTTCTTTAGTGCCAATACAGGCGCTTCGATCTGGATGTTTCGGATCTAGCATGTAGTCCTTGGCTGCAGCCTGGAGCGTAATGAAGTCTTCAGGTGCTAACTCCAATTTTGTGAAAACCTTTGCCATCGCTGGTCCTACGGTCTGATTAGGCACCTTTTTGTATAAATATACTCGAAAGACTTACTGGTGTATTTTCTGCCAGATGCAGATGTTTTTCGGAAAAGTGCAGCAGCTGAATGAACGCCATGCGCTCTTGGATTGAGATCAGGAATTGTCGAGGACTTGGCTTGCGAATTTTCACCCTCGTCCTCGGCTTCTTCATCATCTTCTTCGACATCAGAAGGTTCCGACCCCCATATTTCTCGTTCTCTCGCAGCTTCTTCCTCTTCTTCCGCTGTGAGTTTGCGCACTTTTCTTGGTTTAGCTTTGGCATTTATGAAACCAAACATTTCCTCTCCTTCCTCTGCTCGATCTTCTGATTCATCCCTACCACGCTTTGAAGATGTCCTTGCTGGCGAGCCTCGAGTACTCTGTCTGTTACCATTGTTACTCGATGGGGTACCTGATCGCCTGGCATCTACCCCTCCAGCTGTCTCGGCAGCGTTTAAAAGGCTTGCGAACTGTGCATTTGTGCGTGTGGTAGGGGTATCCAAATTGCGAGAGTCCCATTTTGTGTTTGTAAGTTTTTCTAACAATTCTATTGGATCATCTATGTCTGCAATGTCCTTGACGGTCAATTCACGCGTGTCTGTTATTGAGTCAGTATCAAATTGAAAAACTGAGACTTTGATCACTTACGTGACTGATAACCGCTAAAACCTCCACTTCTGTTGCCAATTCCATTACCATGGTCATTAACATTACCATTACCATATGTACCTAAATTCACGACTGAGGAAGCTCTACTTTGAGTTGTTGAAGGTGTATGCAAGTGAGGTTCATTAGCCATGATGCGCTCAACAATTGGTGGTGATGACTGTGGGTACACCACTTTGTCCTGTTTGCTCTTTTGCTCAAAATGCTTTTTTTGCTATTTGGCTTGGTGGGTTGGTGGGTTAGTTGAATCTGCACATGTGATTGATTGTCGGAGGATCGGGGTCAAAAGGTTCTTTTTTTTTCTTGCAAGGTCAATATTAGTAAATGCTTAGCTAATAATTGCTTGATATTTTATCTTGTCAGTAATTGGTTTAGCGTGAAAGCTTTGTGGATGAATTACTAACAAAAGCGGACGAGGAGGGCACTAAAGTAGTAGTCCAGTAGTCCTTTAGTGGGCCGTACTTTGCTTCTATTGTGTGAGTTCATCATACTAGGTAGGTACTTTCCAGGAACCCGATAACATTCACTCAACCACAAGGAGCTGAAGGAGCAATAGATAAATATTCATTCTGTTCTTGATCATTCACACTTTTTGTCAAATGGAAACACTTTCTAGTACTGTTTTGATATAATCATCATGATAGAAACTTTGGCAACTTCATCCCCGATAGGCTCCGAGATATTTGCTCTGATTTCATTGCTGGTTATCAGTTTAGTTGTACTACTTATACTACGACATTATCTTCCTATCCGCACCACTCCAGCATACCTTCTCGTTCCAATCTTTTTCGCCCTTTGGTTGCCGGCAAGTATCGTATTACTTGTTCCTATCGATCTTGCTTCAAGTGCAAGGACTGAGGATGCAGGAAGTCGAGGGATATGGCTTTACGATCGAGTACTCTTGGTAGCCTGGCGCATCACATATTGGCTTACATTTGCCTTGACTTGGTTCGAATGCACCATGCCTCTCTTTACTTGGGATCATACTGATTTGTAAATAGGTTCATTCTACCAATTCTGGCCGAATACGCTGATGCCGGATACCGAGATCCAAAAGGCCGTCTACTGTTTTCTTTGCGCGCAAATGCCCAGTATCAAGCGCTTATTCTCGGAGCTGGTCTTGTCACAATGTTATACATATTTATCAAACAGGGGGTATCTCCCGAGTCATTGAAGAGTGTGGTCATGGCCCTTGCATATTGTTGGGGATTGGTTTTGGCTATTTATCTTATGGGTCATGGGCTTGTCGCCATTCCTCGAAACCTCTTCAGAAATGCAACCATTAGTGGGAATTTGAGGAGGATTCAAACTCGGGCACCAAAGGTTCATGAAAATATGGAGGATGCGATTCAGAAACTAGAGGATTTGGAAGCACAGGTTGCACAGTTGGCTCAAAGAAAAACCGGCACCGCGAGAGATTTCAAGGACTGGATCGAGGAACTCGCGGATGAGACACACTTACCCGAAGCTCGACCACGAACTTTGGCACGACGAATGTCTGAGCCAAACGCAACTATTCCGAATGTCATTACGGAACGATACTTGGCAGATCTAAGCCGCCAGCTGACGAGAGCGAGGCACAGTCGTGCCCGATATCTCGATGAATGGGACCGACTACTCAAAGATGCTGTGGAAACACAGGCTATATTGGACTCAGCCGCATCAAAAAAGATTGAAATTGGCCAAATTTCCCCCCATTCTTCTATATTCAATCGAGTCACTATTTTCACACCTTATACTCGGTACCTCTTCCACTACTACTTTTTACCGTACTCGAAAATTACATTGGGTGTTATCTTGACTCTGGCCTCGATATGCATCATCTGGTCGGAATTTATCAAGTCCATCAATCCAATTTTCTCAATAATTGCGGTCACCGTCGTTCATCATCGCGATAGCGAGAAAGGGGAGATTGGATTCGCAGGACAGATGATCGCAGCTTTCTGGATTTTATATATGTGCGCAGCAGCTTTGAGCTCTCTTTCTGAAGTCAAGGCCTGGAGAGGGCGCGCGCTCGTCAGAAGGAACACTCATGGGGAAGCCGCTATGTGGTTTGCCATGCAAGTAGCCAAGCTTTCTGTTCCACTTTCATTCAATTTTATTACCTTTCTTCCACCAGATGTTTACAAAAAGACAATGTTTTACAAGTTCCTTGGAAAGCTGATTGTTTTCACACCTCTTGGGGATTGGTTTGATTGGTTTTTCCCAATCTTCATATTAGTTCCTGTATGCGCAACTCTTTTCAACCTCTATGGAAAAGTGAAAGACTGTGTAGGATATGGAGGAGTTATTGAAGATGAAGACGAAGACAACGAGAGTGGCTATGGCACTGGATCATGGCGTGAAGGGCGCAATTTGATTGAGCGTGAGCTGAGTCATTCGTCACTTGGCGGACTTGGAGAAGTTTCTGTTGATCGACGTTCAGTTCCGAACAATCCACATAATCGCGCCGCTCCTGTATTGACCGTACCGCGAGTCGAGAGGCATCGAGCCCTTGGCACAGCATCTACCCCAAGACCGAGTGTTGAACCACAACAACGCCATGTTGAACCAGCAGAAGAAGAAGAGAACTTTTTTGAAGCATTAGGCCATAGAATGAAGAATACAATCGACACGTTTGAACCACCACGATTCCTTGAAGGAATTAAGAAACCAAAGTGGATGGGAGGGGATGACGAAGATGACGGACAGCCAAGCCGGGGTGGGAGTGACTTCACTCGCTGGTTTGGAGGTGGTAATCAAGAAGGAAGAGTACGATTATAAGAAATATTGTACAGTTTGTACGTTTTTAGGGCATAGCGGATGGAGTTTGGGTAAGAGTTGGAAAGGTCGGGTACATAAATAGACTTTTGAATTCATGGAATAATCAATGATAAGAAATTAGTACTGAATATCTCTCAACGGTTTTCATCAATTAGCACAAGGGTCTTTTAACGGGATTATGAAATGAAGCCTGCAAAAATATATATATATGAGATGACCTCGGATCAAGAGTTAAAAATGTTTTCTTCAATCATATTGGTGTCTTTTGACGAGAGAATCTAGTCTGGTCTACTCGGTGAACCCCAGAGATCGTACAACGCACCAATTAAAAACTTTCCTTAAAACCCTATAATCCATTCTCCAGCCTTTTTTTAAAAAAATTCCCACGGAACACCACTGAACACCACTGATCAAAGCCTCAATAAGCCTAGGCCTGCAGTTCTCACCGCAAGAAGTAAAATTCCTTGCACTCACAGGCTTGGCTCCACACTGTATCTCCACAAGTACCGCTGCCATTATCTATCTATCAGACCCAGACTTGCCCGCCCACACGGGTTTCTCGTCAGAGCCGTACATGTACCGGGCGATTTTGTTCTGGGATATGAACTTCTTCTTTTCTCCCATTTGTCTGTTTTTGTCTTCTTCCAGTTCGCCTTACAATACATTGCACTAGCCTTCCATATAATCGAAAAGTGGCTTTTGGAATCGAGGCTTTTTCCGACCGTTGAGCTACGTGGGCAAAAAAGTGATTTTTGATATGGTGAATAGTTTTGAATAACCAACCCAGAATCTATCGTTGATAGAAAGGGATCTCATAATCGCATTTGATAAAAAGAGCATTTGCAAACATGGATGATTATATGTTTACGTGTGTATTACAAATTTTGGATTTGGGTTTGAAATTTTTGCTGATCGGATTTCTTACAGGACAAATGTCGCTCGTTGCAGAAATGTCACTGAACATACCAGCTATTTGGAGATGATATCCTATTCGGTAAGAACTGCATTTAATAGTAATGAAAATCATTGCTAATGCTTCTCAGGATTCATCTCTGAATTCGATAGAAGAACACCCTCTAACTCCGGATGAATTTGAGAATTTCCTCAACCGAAGGGTAAGATGGGTTAACCTCTAGCATTATGATATCCTACTAACGCTCATTCTTCTATAGGGTGCTTTTGCTCCCCCAGAATTACCAGAGGGAGTAGTTCAGATAGCTTGCGTTCGATTGATGTGAGTAGTCATCGACGAACCTTTCTTGCCAGGTACTGACATTTTTAGTCTTCAATTAAATGCTAATCATCCTGACACTTTCGCCCCCAATGTCCTCAGTTTCCCATCTTCCACATATATTTCCATGGTGAAGACTATGAACCTACCTTATAGATCAATCGAATCTGGGAGTGCTGTTGGTCCAATATTCTGGGCTGCTTATGATCAGGATGAAGAGAACCCTCATCTACGCAAGTCTTCTCTTATCGTCTCTGTCAACACCCAACTAACATGACATCAGAGATTGTAAACCGTAAAAGCGATGTACGGAAAAAGGGTATGACTCGTGGTTGGGAACTTACTCTCTCCCACGATATCAAAAATGGCATCACGACGGGATATGCGAAAGGCACACCAAGCTCCGACATGGTAGAATCCATTCAACATCTCAAAGCCTGTATTCTCCAAATTGGACATCCGATGCTCTTGCCGGCTATCATCTTTTCCCACGATATATCATTCAAAACTGATCTTAAGCAACGAGACGCACGTGACTGGTTGCGAAAACTCGAGCATGCTGTATCTATGCGATCAGAAATCGAAGAGAAGGAGGGTTATGTGAGAGAAGGTGTTATCGATCTCGATGCGATCAATAGAGATTTGGTTGAATGTCATTCTCAGGTTCTATGGAAGAGACCGAAGGCTTACCTACAGATTCTATCACAGCTTGAGAAGGCGATGAAGATGTTTGATGAAAGATTACCAGAAGAGAGAAAAGATGCATCGATGAGAGCTTTACAGGCTAGTATGTTGGCAAGATTTGATTTTTATCGGGTGAAACTTCAGGGTATCGAGAGTTACGCGTATACAACACTCCAGAGATTAGATATCCAAAGAAGTGCAGTGCGTATTCCCCTTTTCTCATCCCTAGCAAAACTAACCGAAGAAACCAGCTCTATAACATCATCGCGCAAAAAGAATCCAAACTCAACTTCCAAATGGCCAAAGAACAACGTCAACTAGCTCACGCCGCAAAACGTGATTCCAGCACCATGAAAACAATCTCTCTTCTCAGCGCCATCTTCTTTCCCGGCGCCTATCTCGCCTCAGTCTTCTCCATGACATTTTTCAATTTCCAGAACGATGGCACGCCAGCTGTAAGCGAAAGTTTCTGGCTTTATTGGGCCGTGACGATTCCCTGCACGATGATTATAGTAGGCTGGTGGTATATTTGGGAAAAGAAAAGGGAGAGAAGGTATAACTTGGAGGACATTGATCTAGAGCGCGGAAGTGACGATATGGAAAAGGAGATTATGGCGACCATGAGGAAGAGGACTATGAGTAAGGCCAGTACGTGGGATAAACAGAATCCACCGATGGTTGGGTCTCATGGGAATGGGCATGTGCATGTTCATGCGATTAGTGAGAAGGTTCATGGACTGGGGGAGAAGCTGGGGAAGAAAATGGAGTGAGTGATGCATGAGTGGGTTTAGCCTGCAATCAAATGCGATTTTGACGAAATGAAATGAAGAAGTGCATACGACGGAGTTTGGATATTCCTCCATTTTATTTATTGGACACGAAGGATGGGATAGCATAGCATAGGATGGGATACATGCATGGAACGGTAAAAGGAGTTTTGTTTGTTCGTTCCCCTCAGCCTTTATTTTTTCACATAGGATTTACGATAACGGGAATGATGAAAGATGACGATCACGATGACGATTTCACGATGGCAAATGATGATGATACGAATTAGATTGGATGAATGAGTGGAGATTAGATAACCTTATAAAAGAGAAAATATAAAATATAAAATATAAAATATACAGATTAGAAAAATAACAAGAGAGGTGTAGCATTTATAGTGGTGAATACTTGATATATATTATCTAGGTAATTAAGATATTAGTATAATATTATAAATAAATAAATAAATAAAAGAAAATAGATGTATTTTTATCTAATCTAATCTACTGAGTGATCTACTGAGTGATCTAATCTAATCTTCATCTAATCTTCATCTAATCCTTCATTCTTTATCTGATCATAATAGAATATTATTTCTCAGGTTTAATTATATCAGAGAAAATACAAGGAGAATTATTGGAAGTTTACCCTCCTTAAAATTCTAAATACAACATGCTAAGTAGATACTGCATACTCGATCTATATTAAGCGCTTTCTTTTGTATTCACCGGTCTAAGGAATTGATTACGTAGTTCATGGGGTATGTTATTGATCATTCGATAAATCCTTAACTTCAAGCACTTTGTCAATTGGATGAAATGTGGTATTTATTTCCGCATCCAGAAAATCACTCCAAATAATCCATATTCATGTATACAGATAAGAAACATCAATTACAGTTGAAACCATAACCTTCCTCCCAATTTGGTCTTATTCATTGTCCAGGACCGACCAACCGATTATTACACACAGAAACGCCGATACAAAGCCACCGCCATTCCCAAATCCTGGCCGCCAAACCCTACCCATACTACTTCATACACACATATATTTCCATATGTAACATTACTCATCACCATCATCACTAACCTTTTCCCCTCTTCCATCCGGTCCGGATCCTCCAGCAACATTAGCAATAAACTCCTGATATTTGAATACATCCTGCCGTCTAGCTCCACCCATCGCTCCTGTATGTTTTGACAAAGCTTTTCGTGCTGTAAATCCACCCATAACTCTATCGACTTCCCGTTCAGTTAAAGGTTTTACACCTGGATCGGGAGCCGTATTGATTAAAGCATCTCGTAATTCTGCATAGTCGACTTGACCACTATCATCTTCGTCGAATGCTGAAAACGCATCTAATAGTTCTGGCGTTGGTGAAAGGGTACAGAGAAGTGTAGCGAGCGAATTAAGAAATGTAGGAAGTGTGACGGTTTGTGGAGTCGACGGTGGAAAGTAAGCAGCTAATTCTGAAGCATTGGAGGAAAGACCTAAGAAATATTAGCTTGGAGTGGTTGGAAAGATTATCAAGGTGAACATACCCAATTGTGTCAACATATCAGCTACGTCTTCTCTACCAACTTGTCCATCACTATCTCTATCTAGTATCTGAAATCCTTCCCTCATTTCCCTGACTTGCGCCTGCGATAATTTCGAGATCGCATTATCATCGCTAGAATAATTGGAATTCGCACCCTTCAATGGGCCACCAAATACTGGACTTATGTTTGCGCCTTTTGTAGGTGAAGGTTCAAATTCACGAAAGGCAGGAGGAATACCTCTAGGAGTCCATTTACTCGTAGTTGTCTCAGTTGTTGAATTGGAAGTACCAGAATTACCAAATCTAGTTGGCGTCAACATATTTTTTGCAGCTACAAGTGTTGGATTCGGAGTTGATTGTCTGAGAGGAGAAGGAGAAGCTGCGGCGGGAGATTGGGATTCAGGTCTTCGAAATGGTGAAGCTCGAGGTGAACCGAAAGAGAGCGGTGATGGTTTGTAAGAAGCAGACATTGACTAGCCAAAGTCAATGTGCGTTAGTCTTGCATATTTTTTTCTGGGACTCCATTCATCATATTGAAGAGTTGGAAACCGCGACTTTTGAAAAGTGGAAACGGTGAACAACTTACCATGGTTGTTGCGGAGATTCGAAATATTCCCCAGAAATCGAGTATAAAGAGAGTTATGTATAATTGATGATGATTTTTAGTGAGAGTACAGTTTTGGTTAATCTTGGATGTTGTGTTAGGTAGGTACAATTGGATATATTCATTGAAGAAAGGAAGGCAAGAATGGGACTGGGAATTTGATTGAAATCGATTGGATGGACGGATGGATGGATGGATGGATGGATGGATGGATGATATGATGTTGTGTGAAGGTAGAAGTAATTAGGTTATGTTATCGTGGATGAGAAGCTGGAGATGAAAGGCTGAATGTTTTGGTTTTGGTTGCCGGTGTAAACAAATCCAATTGGAGGTTTGGTTGCGAGACAAAGCAAGGTTGTCAAATCATCAATTCCGTCTAATCGGTGAATTAAATTATTATTACAAGAGATGATTCCTTCTAGCGCAAGGCTACCTTTGGAAATACTCACTGGCTTTGATCATTTCACGTAATAATGATAAAATTGACTAATCGGTGATTTTGATTTTTAAAAATAGAATTTGAACCAATTATGTTAATATCTTGGATAGCCTTATGAAAGCCTTGTGCTAACACTACTGCATATTACGTAAACACGATCGGCGAATCCCAGTTTCTAGTTTTGGACCCATTTTAGGATTTTACCCCTGAAAATCGAGAATAGAAGCACGAAAGGCACGAAGTGAAGCAACGCGAAAATAACACACACGCTTGACAAGTTGACAGACAGGGACAGGTTGACAAGGGTCTTTCTACTACTCTCTTTCTCACTACTGTATCCATCTATCAACAGCCTTCTTTTCCATCTTCTAAATGGTACGCTGCAAGCTACAATGAATAACACTACACTACATGAGTACATGACTACATAATACATGAATCCATGAATTCTATGATATGAATGAAATCTTTTCGTCTTATTCCGCTTCTTTTCCTTTTCTCTCTTTTCCACTTCAATTCATAATTCCTACTTTATCCTTTATTATTTTTCTCAATCATTTATCCGTCTACTCCGTCCTTGAGTAGCATTGATCTTTTCTTTTCTTTTCTTTTCTTTCCTTTCCCTTTCTTTCCTCACTATTTTATTAGAGTACCGGTAATGTCCTTTGAAATTCAGACGGCGATAGCCCTTGAAGTTCAAAAATTCATCGGCGGGCGATCTGCGCACGGATTGAGTTAAGGCCTCATCTTTCACTCGAAAAGTCTCACAAGTGGGACTGTTACTCGTACTAGCGTAAACCTAGTAATGTAATGCTTTTCTTGGTCTCCAAGAGGATTCTACTATGGCTTCGGCACTTCCATATGCGCCTTCAAGCCGCAAGGCCACTTCTACCAACATGTCGATGCAAGCACTTCGTCCCACCACGCGGGGTACAATAGGAAGTGCAACGACTAGTTCGAACGGGAGTTTTCAAAGGCGAACATCATTATCTTCATTTCCATCCTCTCGTTCGCCTTCAGTCATGTCGCAGCGTCGCCCTTCACGAAGTCCCAATCCCACACCAATAGACACGGATCGCAGGTCGGATCCAAGTACCGTCAATTCAAAAACGCCTACCAGTGGTGTATCATCACAACACTCCTCATTATCCCCGCCAAATCATTATCACCCAGGAGCACACCCTGCGAGAAAGTTGAGGTCGCAATATCCTCGAGGAGATACCGAGAACCATGTCGAATATATATTGGTGGCATCATTTGATATTGATAAGGGCCCAATTATGGAACATCAGTATCCTGTTGCTATAACGGGCGATGAACATATGTTAGCGGAATTAATGTTACCGGATCAAGCCCATGTTCGAAACCAAGATTGGACGATATTTTTCTTACATAAAGATACGAGTCAGGACGAAGATGAGGCAGAAGAGAAGGTCAAAAGAAAAAGATTACGACGAGCGAAAAAAGAAGCCAGGGCAGCACTCTTTGAAAGTGGAAATGTTGATCCTTTGGAACCTGTCGAGGACAGTGATGAGGATTCATCGGAAGATGATGAGCCGGAAGGAGGGGAAGGTCCACCTCTAATATATGTGTTGAATCTTGTGAATACCAAACAAGATAAGACTGCCAAAAGAGGAGCTGTAGTGAAAGCTATGGCTATATGTACTCGACATCCATTTCTGCACATTTACAAGGTGGGTCATTGTTGAGTCTAATGTGGAATCGAAATAATACTAATAATAATCGACAGCCACTTCTACTATTAGCTCTCGAAGAGTATTTTAAAACCCCTCAACCATCTACCCTGGCGGAGTTATATGAGGCAGTTAATACAATGGATCTATCACTAATGCCTAGGCTGAGTCTACTCGAACGACATCTTCTACAAGCCAGCGACAACAAAGATCTGTTTGTAGAAAAATTTGAGCAGATGATTCAAATGCGTATGGCAGAGGACAAGGGGGAGGCGCCGGACGATATGGCAGCCATGTCCGAAAGCCCAGAAAGGAGACCGGGTCTGGTGCGAAATGGTACCAAAGCACATGTTCAACAACTAATACACTCGACCTACTCTGTACCCCGGGACACACATGAGTTTGAAACCAAAGTCATGTATAATGGAATCCCGATACCGATCAAGGTTCCCGTTGCAGTATCTCCTGAGACCGTTGGGGATTTCTCCCTAGTAAAACTTATCCAGACATACAACGACCCTCACGTTAAATCTCCCATTCCGTTTGCGCTACATCCTCACCTCACAACTGGAGGGATACATACCCATCCTATTATTGTATTGGTCAATGCTATGTTAACCCAAAAACGTGTTATTTTCCTTGGTCACAATCGTCCATCAGGTGAAGTTGCTGAAGCTGTACTCGCAGCTTGCGCTTTAGCATCTGGTGGAATTCTGCGAGGATTTACTCGCCATGCATTTCCATATACCGATCTCAGCAAAATCGACGACCTTCTCAAAGTGCCAGGTTTCATAGCTGGTGTAACAAATCCAACTTTCGAAAATCATCCAGAATGGTGGGACCTACTATGTGATATTCCCTCTGGACGAATGAAGATTAGTAGTCGGATTGACCCAGCACCACTTACAGAAGGGCTTGCTAACTTTCAGCAACAAAATCCGGCTTATGCCAGTGCGACGAATGTTGCAACGTCAACTAGTCAAGCCGCTAGTGACCCAACAGGCGATGCTGCATTCATGAGTGACGTGATCCGCAGTATCGCAGCTCGACATGGCGAAGGTGTCATTCGAGCTAAATGGCGAGATTGGGTGGTCAAGTTCACTAGAATTTCGGCTCAATTCGAAGAGAGTGTTTACGGTGCGAGTGCTTTGTACATTGGGGTAGAAAAGGCAGAGCCCGGCAATGAGCATGTCAGTGGTCATGGATATGTGTGGCCTGATGAACATTCGAAGTTACGTGAGCTTGCTAGTAATGTAAATCGAATTGAGGGCTGGAGAAGTACTCGAAGTTATTACAGCTTTAAGCAGGTATGTCTTATGCTTGGATTTCATGATATTGCGAACTTACACTACTTAGGATCTTGTGCAACTCTACAACTTTCGATCTCTCAAAGCCCTGGATCTCCATCATCTGCACGATCGTCTCCGAATGACAAAACTTACACCTCATACAAGCCGTGAAATATATCTCGCTATGGAGAAACATACACACTCTTATGATGAGATATGTCAGCTCTTAGCCGTAGCGCCTGAATCACATGCGGGGCTCTTTTATATTGCACTCGGACTTTTCCACAAAGACCGAGATGTTCGAATGAGAGTTGTCGATTTATTGGAGAGAATTAGCGACCATGAGGCCGGACGACATTGGTGGAAAGCTTTAAGTCGATTTGAAAAATTGGCTTTTATCCGAATCAAAAGAGAAGCAGAGGCGGAGATGAGAATCAAGCTGGGAAGTGCTGGGAGAGATGTCTCAGCTGATAGTGATGCGATGGTTATGGGAAGACGGATTAGTTGATGTAGTAAGAGGTGGATTTGATTGCATGTTGGCGTTGGCTTCTTTTAATGATATTACGAGATCATGATCATGGTGATAATTTACTGGGGTGCTCGGGGTGCTTGGATGCAATTGTTTAAGGATTAGGAATTGCATTGATCCATTACTGGATTGGGCCATTACTCTGTACAGAGCCATGAAAGGACTGAAGGAAGTCCGAGAAATAGATACCCCGTGAAGACAGACCTGCAGAGGAATGAATGACATTTATAATGCCATATCGTCACTCTTCGATAGAGATCTTGCATGCATGTTGAAATCGAGCTTGGTGAATGTCCCGTTGAGCTTTATGTCTTTTCTCTGTGAGACTTTTGGACTCAAATAGATAAGTCCACTGGAATTGTTTTCCTATTGTAGCAAGCATCAATACCAACAAGGTAAACTCTACCGAAAATTCCGAGCAATGTCCGATTAATGTGGGGTAAGCTCAAGCTCGAAGGAGGGGTCGAACAACTCCAAGCGTCATGTCCCACATCATTGTATTAACCCGCCATCAACAATCTTTCCTCCGTCCCTTACTCTTCTTCCATTCTTTACAGTCCCCCTCTACCAAAATCCCCGTCATTTCCCAAATTATTCCCGCGAAACAAACCCATTCCCTCCAGGTCCATCTCAAACACAAGCAATATGTCCTTCAAAACCACGGCAACCATTGCCTCGTTCGGCGGCAAATTGCTGAAACTCACTCACAATGCCAGCACAGTAGGTTGTGAAATGGCGTTGAATCTTTACCTACCACCTAAAGCTTCTGCCGAAAAAAAGGTGCCGGTCATTTTCTACTTGGCGGGTCTTACATGTACAGGAGATAATGGAGCAGAGAAAGGATTCTTTCAAAGTGCGGCGAGTGAGAAAGGAATCGCGGTGGTTTACCCCGATACTAGTCCGAGTAAGTTTCCTCAAGGCCTCGAGGGAACGAGTCACTTTTGTCTTGATTGATTGAGGTTTAGGGAGACGATGGAGCGGAAAGAGATAGCACAAAAGCAATCAATTAAGAGGTCTACAACTAACCATGTGCTCATTCACAGGAGGCCTGAACATTGCCGGCGAAAACGATTCCTGGGACTTTGGCACCGGCGCTGGATTTTACATCGATGCCACAAACCCACCCTATTCTACCAACTACAAAATGTACAGCTACATCACCTCTGAGCTTCCCTCCTCTCTCTTCTCCTCCTTCCCAGAGCTCGACTCCTCAAGAAAAAGTATTATGGGCCATTCGATGGGTGGACATGGTGCTCTTACACTATTTTTGAAGAATCCGGGGATGTACAAGAGCGTGAGTGCTTTTGCGCCAATTTCGAATCCAGTTAAGTGTCCATGGGGAGAAAAGGCGTTTACAGGGTATTTTGGTGAGGAGAAGAGGGAGGAGTGGGTGAAGCATGATGCTACGGAGTTGATTAAGGGATTTAAGGGAGAATTTCCGGCGTTGATTGATGTGGTGAGCTCCATTCGTTTTTGGTTATGCATTAATACAGGGAGATGGGATCGATGGCTGATATGAATGGAAATTGTGCAGGGAACCGGAGACAATTTTTATAAACAAGGACAGTTATTACCAGAAAATTTTGCGGCTGCAGCAAAGGAGTCTGGAAATGATGGGAATTTAACATTGAGATATCAAGAGGTATGTTTATGTCTTGTTCCTCTGTAGGGTGAAGCTGGAAAGGCGAAAGGAAACTAATGTCTTCGAATAGGAGTACGATCACTCATACTTTTTCATTTCGACTTTTGGAAGAGACCATATTGAACATGCTGCGAAATACTTATTCGCATAGTATGTCCTCTATTTTTTAGTTGCATGCAGACAAGGCTCAAATACTGATTTTCATAGAAGCGGGAAGGATAATGTAAATAGGCACAAGCTATAAATATAAATCTGTGATTCTTTCTATATAAAAATTGATTTAAGCCAGAACCTGTCGGGCATGTAGAGGTAGCGTGTATTGGTCTGTATGTACACTATGAGATTCATTGTAAAGCCCACGATACAGATAATACAAAGGACTCACCAGAAAACACCTGCTAATTGATATACCAAATAAAATTAAAATCCTGCATCAAACATAAGCGTCTAGCTTCTGTGGTCCAATGGTTAGGATTCCACCCTTCCAAGGTGGAGGTTCGTGTTCGATTCACGGCAGTTGCAAATTCTTTTTGCCCACTTTGTATCCACCTTGAATGGAGTCAGTGGATTACTAGGTATGTACAATTTTTAAAATGTATACAATCGAATCCCGATATTGTGAAATCAAGTCAGAATTATTTATAGATGATGAACTTATTGGAATTTTTTGTAAGTAATGTAGTATTGGAAATCCTTGATTTAATATATCTTTACTATTCGAAAGATTTCTCGATGGAAAATAATACTAGTAGCACTGTCCCAAAAATGCCAAATTGAAATGCCGGTTTCCAACTTGATCTGTCTTGTGTTCGGGAAGCTTTGGGGATTGTAATTGTTTTACCATCATGGTTTTTTCGTTCCAAGTACAAATTCGTGAGGTTCATTCCTCATGAGGCGAGTCTTCTTATACAGAAATTTGAGGAACAGAAATAGCACGCCCACCCTTCAGTTAAAGCAATGTATACTTTAATTCTCGAGTAAATCAGGGTTCTTATGCTTCGTTTGAAGCTGTGCAGGCGCATCGCACTAAGGCAATGCATCCAAGCATATACTACCGCCATTCATGTCCAATTTTTTATGTATTTGTCAAAGTAAATCCTCCCCATTACTTATAAGTTAAACGCCTTTCATACGCCAATCGCCCATTCCATGCGTCTCTCCATAAGTATTACCACAAATGTAAGAAAATGACCGCCATCACCTCTCACTGCAGCAATTCTTCACAAGTCCAATCTTCATACCTATCAAAACATCAGTAAAACCCCACAACAAATCACCAAAATAAAACCTACCATCCGTCGGGCATATAACGTCTCACAATCAATGGAATTTTCTTATCCCTCAACTCCTTAATGGCAATCTGCAAAGGATCCGTCTCACCCTCCTGATCAACCAAAATCGGCGCATTCATACTGATTTGCAAGGCTCTAGTTCCTAAGATTCTGGCGCGCTCGTATTTGGTCATGTAGGGAGTAGTAGTTCTTTGCTCCTTGGGAATTTTCTTATCCTTGGGCGCGATATTGCTCTTGGCTCGATTAGCAGCATGTAAATCGCCCGATGTTACGACGCCGCGTTCGCCAGTGGTGAGTAGCTGGTCGGGATTTTGAGTCGATACTGCCACATCGTCTACTTCACCCGTGGAAACGTTGTTGGTGTCTTCAATTTCTTCGGGATCATAGTCGGGCTCTTCGGGCTCATCTGGGTCGTAGGTTGGGGAGAAACTGGGGGCGACAGGTTAGTTCAGGTTCGAGAAAAGGTTTGCGGGTGATGGGTTGGCGTGTGTTCTTAGAAGAAGGAAAGAGAACTCACCCTCCATCATAATTTCCTTCGTCGTCAGACATTTTGATATACTGTAATTAAAGTGATTGAGGTGTTGTTAAGAGCTTTCTTTGTTGATGGAGACTTTGTCGGTGATGAAGAATCTCAAAAATAAATTTGGCGCGGCTGATTTCTTTGCGTCTGGATTATTCCGATTCAAGCTCCATATTATTTAAGGTTTGGGTTTAGCGTATTTCTCTGTCATTAGCGTGCCAAGATTTCGACCTTGGTCGATAGCCACAATAATTTTGTAAATATTTCGGATAAGATGATGGAGTTTGTATTGAGTATTTTTGAAGCCAATTCAACGGCGTATGGAATCAGCAATGGCTACAATTACTAGGAAGAGAAGAGATAATTCTTTAGAGCTCTCTACGAAAAGATTAAGAATTGATGCCTCTAGTTCTCTACCAGGTTAGTGCAATTAGTTCTTGGTCTAGACCTCGTTTTGGGATTCGATAGATTGACGGTTCCATAGTGGCAGATGTTCCTGATGATGATAATGACAATGATTACCACCAAGAAGAAGATGGAGTCTCGGAAGATGATACTATGGAAGCTGCAGAAACACCAAATACTCCGTTTTCTCCTGTGCCTGGAAAAAAGTTTCCATCCGAGTATAAAACGATCAAATGTACTTATGAAGGATGTACAAAAACATTTAATCGGCCTGCAAGATTAGCAGCACATCTTCGGTCGCATGCGAATGAACGACCATTTATATGCTCATATGAAGGGTGTGATAAAGCATACATTGAGGAGAAACATTTGAAGCAACATATTAAGGGATCTCATACTCACGAGCGAGAATATACATGTGATTGGGAAGGATGTACAAAGAGTTTCTTAACAGCTACGAGGTTGAGACGGCATAAAGATGCTCATGAAGGTCATGAGAGATTTAGATGCACATCTTATCCTCCGTGCAATCAAACATTTCGAAAACATCAAACGCTTCAACGACATATTCGCTCCGACCATCTTGACCTGGCTCCATTTCCATGTACATATATTGATCCGATCACAAATGCACTTTGTAAAGCAGGATTTGATGCTTCAGGTGGACTCAAAAAGCATATGGAAAGAACTCATGGAGCAGCAACATTTCTATGTGAAGAATGTACAGTACCAGGGAAATTTCACGAAGATGGTACGCCTGTACCTTTAGCTTTCACAACCAATGCCAGGTTACAAGCACATATCAAGAAGGAACATGCAAAATGTATGTTCTGTGATCGAAAATTTTCTAGTCAACAACTACTTCAAAAGCATATTGATACTCAACACTCGGGGTCCACACTCGAAGAACGCAAAAATATCCCTTGTGATTATCCGGGTTGCCCGAAAACTTTTACGAAAAGAGCAAATCTACAGGTTCATATGCGTACCGTTCATGATGGTCAACGTTTTATTTGCGGAACATACGATGTTTCCCAAATCCTCGACCTCGCATCCTGGGATGGAAGTGATTCATGCGGTAAAGATTTCGTTTCAAAAGTTAATCTCGAAGACCATGTTCGAACTCTTCATCTTGGTTTACCCAGTCTCTTAAATGCCAGAGGTAGACGGAAGACTGTTTCACAACCAAAACGTTCTACGAGAAAGGTTCCAGACCAAACTGAAATTGAAGAGTTGGCGGGTTATGATGTTAGGAGAACAATTGATTGTGTTGTTCAAGGGTGTCCTCATAAGTTTATGAGGGATTATGATTTTCATGAGCATATAAGAATTAACCATCAGAATGTTGGTTTGATGGATGGACAGGTTGATATGAATGTGAATATGGATATGGATATGAGCATTCTGGGCGAACTTTCGTACACCAATACAGGAGGAGAATTACCAAGTCTAGATTTTATGAATGATGGCACGAATATGGGAATGGATATTCTGGATATGAGCATGGATATGATTGATCCCGCCTTACAGATAACCAACTTCAACCTCGATACACCAGTATCAGGATCAGCTTCAGCCTCAGTCCCACCATCAATCAATGGATGGAATCACACAGAAGCAGGACCAGAAGTGGCAGCAGATATGGATCTTGATTGGGAGCTTCAACGACAGGCTTTGGAAGGAGGACAATTCTGGATTGGTGGTGAGGAACAACAAATTCCTGAGGGGATAGCAGAGTGGTCGAGAGAAGAGGCGGAGATGAGAAGATTAATTGATGGGACTTGATGTGACTGTTTCGGAGGATGTTTTGGGACCTCAATTCGACTTGGAGGTCTGTCTCACTTTGTGAAGATGAAGGTCAAAAAAGTTTCACACTGCGATCACTATTGTATCTTGAATGGATTGAGCTACCTATGGTTACCAGCTCGACAATCCAAACATATCAAGAGCCAGAACTCCATAACACCATGTACAACGAAGGAAAAACTAAGGAATTTACAAACGAGATAAAAAGAAAAAGGGAAAAATTCAAAAAGAGCTGAGATAGCAAGCGCTGCATATATCTCTCTTGTAATTATAGCTGGACTATCCATTATACTCATTGCACTGTATCATATCATATACATATCCTATCAAGCTTATATAAAAAACCCCTAATGAAACAGAGCAGTAAACTTTGATATAGCTCATTAATTAACGAGTTATAATCAGAAGAAAGAAAAGAATTAACTTGAAAACTATCTAGATAGAGATTGTCTTCAGGAAGAATACTTTCTGATTATTGATAAGTATAAAATTTGATATTAATAAAATTTAATTCGTTTGATTATGTAATCATATAATTAATTAGATATATTTTATTGCTTTGATATATTTCATACTATACTAATACCGGTGGGGGGTATTTAATCTACTCTTTTAGTTTATTCTACTTTATTCTACTTTATTCTATTTTATTCTATTCTATTCTGTTCTACTCTGTTCTATACTATGCTATCGATGTATTTGTCTGTAATGTGATATAACTAATATATTCATTCATATCTACATATCTACATATCTCATCTCATCCCATGCCATCCGCCTCAACATCCACCTACAAAGCCTACTGTATAGCATAGCCTAGGTAGGTAGCCCAACGACAACGATGATGAAGACGACAACGAAAAAGGAAAACGGGATAAAACTCAAAAGGTAAGAGTACATGACTATGCATGCATGCATGCAGTACTTATCAACAACCCTACTGCCATCTAAGCACCTTCCCAAACCAAACCAAAGCGTGCCCCAGACCTTAAACTTAAAACCTTAAAGCTTAAACCCCAAATCCCAAGCTCCCTCGATAAACCCAAACCAAACCAACCTAATCAATGCATCCACACTTTCCTCGATCCCTACATCTTTACCCCCATTTCACCCATCTTCCTTTTACTCTTCTCACCCCTTCCACCCATTCATACGCTCCTACTCAAAACCCAACACCAGATTCATCATCCCATTATCCGTCTTCCAAGAACTAGTTTTCCCCGTATCATATCATCATCATCATCATCATATTTCCCCACGCAAGATCTTGCGACCTTCATTTCCTATTTTCTATTCATTCGCAGTTCATTCTGAATCGAGTTCCCGAGTCTCCCATTTATATTTTCCTCTCTGAGATAAGGGGTTAATGCATATGGATGTGCGTGTCCGGGGCCCGAATGGAAGGTAGAACTCTTAGAAGTAAAAGAAGTGCAAGAAATAGCCGAATCTCTTCTATTATCTTCCGATAAAGGAGGAATGGAAGGGATATTCTCATTCATATCTCCTTCTCTGATGTTTTCTCTTTCTTTATCTTTTCGAACATAGATTCTTCCATCCCTACTCGAGGAACTAGGACGTTGTAGATTAATGACTGGAATCAACGTCTTTCTAATAGTATTCATAGCGGGAGCACCAGGAAGCGGTGTTCTACTACCCACATTCGCATTATAAGGATTTGCGCGAAAATGAGCTAGAGAAGGGAGGTTCGGTGATGTAGAATGGATTTGTAGACGTGAAAGTGGAAGATCAATTTGATTTGTTTTTACTTTGTAATTGGCGAGGGAGAGACGGAGTCGTAGTGCTTGAGATTTCTAAAGAAGTGGGGTTAGTTTTTTGAATAGTTAAAGGAAAGGTGATGGAAGACGAACTTGTCGAATTTCTTCTCGGGATAGGGATTTCGATTTTGAGGTACGAGAATTCTTTGTGGTAGAGGCAGTGATGAATTTGGAAGAATTTTCCTCGGTCATGGTAATTTTAGATGCTTGGGAATTAACGCCGGTGATATCAATATCTTCTACCTCTACTGTGGAAAAGGAAGATGTGGGAGAAGCGAAGGAGGTTTCAAATTGAGATGAGCGTCGAATTCCTCCATGAAAGTTCTATGGGTACATCTATTAGCAAAAAACCCACAAATATCAAATATCAACTGTCAATACATACGCATCGTTCTCCAACGTTTTCATGGCCGCAACCGTCAAATTGTAGGCCAGAACTCTCTGTGCATACTCCGTGCTCAAGAGTTGCACGACTACATTGTGAACAGCTGTGATTCTGCTGCGTAGTTGTAGAATTGACAAATTCCTCATGAGGCTGTAGCTCTATCCTCATCCTCTTACCATGTCCTTCCCTTTCTCGAATGCCAATATCTTCTAGGTTATCTTCAGTAGCAGCGAAGCTTCTCCTTTTACCAGCCCATTGTATCGATTTAGCATTTAATAAACCAAGCGATGTTCCAGAATTCAACGAATCGACTGTGGCAGTTCTCGTATTTTCCAAATTTTGAGATGAGATCCCTTGATGCACTTTTCCCACTTTAAGACTTCCAACCTGTAAATCTGCAGTGATTTCCCGACGATTCTCCTGTTGGATTTCTGTTGTCGAACCTCCCACCACTTGTTGAATATCAAGTATTGTTTTGAAAGATTTATTACCAGCTGATATTTCCCGTGTGTCGGAAACGAGGGACGCATGACGGGGTTCATGGGCAAATGTATTGATATTAGAATTAATATCACCCAAGACGCGACGCGAAGTTGATATTTTCGGAGAAGCCATTGTGGAAATGGAGAAGAAAGTTTGTGAAGTAAAGTAAAGTAAAGTAAATTGAAGTAAACAATGGAATAAAAAGTAAATTGGGAAAGTGTGAAATTGAATAGCGCGTTCGTTCGTAGTTGTATGTTTTATATTGTAGTTTCCTGAGCATTAATATTCACCACCCACTATCAAGACTTACAAGTAAAACTCCCTCCAATTACAGAGAGGAATAAATGAATAAATGAATAAATGATTGAATACAACCAAACCCAACATCCAATCTCACTCTCAACCTCAAGACGCGATTCCATTCCGAACCTAGAATCTAGAACCTAAGTGAGATAAAAGAATTCTGCCACCGCCCACCAAGCAGCCCAGACCGCCTAGCGAAAGCCAAAGCCTTGCCACCCCCTTCCTTCCTTCCTTTCAATAAACTAACCCAACACACTAACTAACCAAGTACCCCAGTAACCAAGTAACCCAACTACACTCAGCACAATAATAAAAAAACAAACAAGCATAAAAACAAACCAGGACATCCTGTTCCAATACCGATATACGTCGGTAAAAAGAACAAATACATCCGTATACCGTACATCGTATAAGAACAACCAACCAACCAACCAACCAACCACCCACTCACCCACTCACCCACTCGCCCACTCACCCACTCACCCACCCGTTACAACTGCATTCATGAATCGTCATCCCATCCATCGATCGAGCTACTGAAGATCAGGGTCCGTCCTTCCTGCATCCGTAAGGTTAATGTAGATCATGCAAATCCAACAACGCCACAATTTCTTTCCAACTTCACTTCGATCCAAAAGCAAGATTTAAAGATTACTGTTAATATTAATCCATAACCTTAATTATTCATTAAAACTGATGATAAAATTTTATTATTATACACAATATACCAAATATGCAAAATACTATAATCATAGTCTTTCATACATGCAAACATACGATCCGACCGGGTGAAAAACAAATCCAATATCTTCTCATACTTCGCTTTTCATTTTCCTACTATTCCACATTTGAAGAAAGAAAATTGAAAACTATTGTCATTCGGGTAACCAAAAAAAACTGTAATATATATCTGTTCAAGAAGCCATTAGAATCATTGTGCATAGCAATAACCAAAAGCACATTCCCGTAAAGGAAAAAATTCTTTCATCCCCACTGAACGCCCTGCTAAATCAAAAAGTGCTATAGTAGGCAAAATATCCCGTCCTTTCCTCGTAATAGTCTTATCCCAAGACGCCGTGCTTTTCATTGGTATATCATCTCATTGATTTTCCAATTACCCTGTATTTTCCTTTCCATCACAGAAACGCCTTCCAAAAGTCATTGACGAGACCCCGTATGCTCAACTAGTTAACATCCATAGAATATTGATCATCTATGTTGAATTGGAACGGTTGATCAAAGTTTACTTTGCCTTCCATGTCATCCCAGTTCTGTGGAGGGTTGGTAAATTCTAAATCATTAAACATCGTTAAGTTTTCCGCGATATTTGCATTATAAAAATTTGTATTGTTGTCCACCAGGGCCTCGGTATCGCTTAGCCCAAAGGGATACCATGTGTCGTCAATTACGTCCAAGGCAATATCCAAATTCACTCCTTCAGAGATATCACTAGTGGGCTCTGACACACCGTCCTTACTCGACTCTGGCGTATCATTGGGTGTAACAGATCGGTAGACATTTACATCAGAAATAGCCCCGCCAGCCCCGCCTTCGAATGGTTGGAAGGTTCGGACAAGTTCATTAGGATCGATAGTTGCATTTGCCCAAGCATCAACAATAACTTCTTGAGCTGGCGGATTTGAATCTTCCTTGTTGATATCTTTCTGAGACTTGGAGGTATCCGTGGCGAAGTCAGACTGAGGTTTCGCTTTGCCCTGCATCGTGCCACTCTGTTTGTTCGTTGAACTTTGACGATTCATAGGGGTAGCAGCTGACGCGGATGGAGTGATAGTTTCAACCTTTGGTGTCTGGTCTTGCTTGGATGATGTAGCTGCATCCATAGTCGATGCTGCTGCATTCGACTGGTCTTGAGAATCTAGACCTAGCATTGGACGAAGAAAATCCTCGGCAAACTTCTGTGGGTTTTGCATTGGTAACCTATGCTCCACCTGAGTATGACGAGAGAGTTCCTCTTGACTCTCGAATCCAATATTTTGACGTTCACATACCTCGTCATTACATGGCCAAGTTGGTTTAGTCGCGATTTTCGGTTCTGGGATTTGTTGACGTTTGACCTCAGGTGAGGGGACTTTGGTGATCTGGGGTGAGGAGGTAGATCCCGGAGTGCCTTGACCTTGACCTGGCGTTCCATTTGGCTTCTGCTTCTTGCGCGCAGGAATATGAAGGGTCTCCTGTGTGACAGCCGGTGGCTTCCCAATGTATCTGGGCTGGCCATGAGGGGATGAGGCTCCAAAGGGAAATGGTGGCTGGGACGACGTAGGGGCTGCTGGTGGATGAGAGCTGCGACTGTTTGATCTTTGGTGATGCATCTTGTTGAGCTGCTGCTGCTGCTGTTGTAGATTGGCAGCATTAAGAGGTACTGCTTCCGAATTTTGAGCGTTTGATGCAGTAGATGGAGTGGCTGATGTCCCTTGGGCATCGGAAGATCCACCACTCTTTTTCAACATTGGATGTTTATTGCTGAGATCCACAATGATTGCGGTAAATAATGTTCGAGCTTGCTCAACATCAGTGAGCCTTATTGAAAAGGTATCTTTGAGCTCTTTCATATCCTTGGGATCTTTAAATTGCCGTGCCAAGCGCGATCGCTGAAAAATGTTAGCGTTATCCCTGAGGTCTTTACTTAACTAGATTCATAACTTACCGCGCGGAAAAATAATTTGGCTCGGGTATCATCACGAGTCAGGTGATACCACTGGCCTATGGTTCGCGAAATGTTTGAGAGATGAGCAGGCATAGGCAGCAAGGCCTGCATCATGCTTTTCTTAGTCTCTGCATCCATGGGTATGTCAGAAAGAGGATTCTCCGCGATCGCCTTTTCTTCTTCAGCAGAAAGCTCTTTGAGTTTCCTATTAATCGCTTCCGCTTCAGAGTTGCCTGCAACCGCCTGTTGTCTTCCGTTGATCGATTGACGTAGCATAGCTTCATAAGTTTTCCTTTGCTCTGGATCAAGTCTGGCTACTTGGTCTGGTGTGAGCCTGGGCGCAGCTCTCTGCTGTGGTGCTGGCGCTGGCGCTGGGCGCTGTTGCCCATTAGGGTTGGGAACTTCTACGACATCATCGCTGCTAGCCCGTTTCAAATTATTCTTAGCTGGTTGAGCAGGCGAGGAACTTTGTCCGGCTGTCGACTTGTTATTGGGTGGAGGTCGAGGGCGACTTGCAGGTGTGGGAATGGATGGGCCTGCTGGCTCTGGTACTGAAGCGGCTGGCTTTTGTTGTGGCATTTGTCCCGATGGTTGCTGAGGAGTAGTCATCTGGGAAGAGTTCGGTAGTCCTGGTTGGGTATTTTGGGGTACCTGCTGGCCATTCATCTGCGCCATGTTCATTTGAGCTTGGCGTTGTTGGGCTGCCTGGATACTTTTGAATTGGTTTTGCATTAGGAACCCTCGAATTTGTTCATCACTGGCGTTAGCAAATTTACCGGTGTGATGATTACGAATGTTTATAATGTCCTGGGGTGTAATCTGTCGCATCATTCCAGGGCCCATATTCATCCCATTGGGCATTTGAACTGGATTTTGACCCATAGGGGCAACAGGAGCTGACATTCTGGGAGGTACCATAGACATGGAATTTTGACCACCCATTGGAGCTGGGTTACCACCCATTGTATTTAGCTGCTGCTGTGCAGCTTGTCTTTGCCGGCTAAGCTGCATGTAATGCATCTTTTGCAAACCTCTCACGGTGTCAAGTGCCTGCGGTGGCATGGTGGGAGTCGAGCTGACCCATTGTTTTAACTGGCCCCACTTTTTGATTTCTGGGGGGATTCCTTGAACCATGTGAGGATTAGTAAGGTACGGGGCAGGGATATCCATATTGTCCATTTGCTGCAATACCCGGCTCTGATCTACAGATACATTTCCAGCTCGCGACTGCATGGCATTCTGTGTCATTTGTTGTTGTACGATCATTTGCTGTTGCGGCGTCAAGTTGGCCAAGAGCGATTGAGGAAGGCGCTGCCCAGGGTTGCTCATCAAAAATTGATTTATAGCATGTTGTCGTTGCGCAAATTGTGCAGCCTGTGGGCCTGGCTGTCCTGGACGGAGTAGATTATTGTTCCCTTGCATTGGCATTTGTGTAGCTTGCTGCATCTGATTTGGCTGCTGCTGAGCTTGCCAGGTTTTGGCGAACTCATTCATCTTTTCGGGTGGCAAAGATGCAAAGTGTTGTCGTTGTTCTGGACCCATGTCCCGCAACATTGCGGGGTTGAATCCATGCATGGTGTTACCAAACATTCTCTGACCACCTGGCGGAAAACGTGGATCTAGTGGCTGACCAAATTGTGGGTTATGATTCATTCCACCAACCTCAGAATGACCCATCTGCTGTGGTGTCCTTAAAGGGGTGTTAAGCGTATTCATGGCAGGGCTCTGCTGTGAAGGCATTGGGCCGGAGCCCATTCCGCCAGGCTGACCTTGCAAACCTATCTGTGCCTTGGCGGCCGCATTCGCCCGAGCTTGAGCTTGCTGTGACTGTTGCTGCTGCTGCTGCTGCTGTTGGATACGCTGTGACTGTTGGGCGTTAAATATCTGAGTCTGCTGCACCTGTGTTCTCGCCATCGGGTTCGAAACTGAGCGCTGTTCGTTCATGTTCATTGCTTGACCTGGCATGGAAACATTGGGCTGAGGGGTGTTATTCCTGGGCGCGCTAACGGGTACAACAATTTGACCTGCTTCCTGAGCCAACACTCCCGCTTGCTGCTGCTGACCGATCAAGTTCTCCATGTTGCCCAAGAAGGAATTAAAGTCTGGGCCACCACCCATCGTTGTGGGTGGTTGCGATTGACCGTTCATAGGACTCGGATTCATAGACCTCTGCTGCTGCATCATAGGAGCCGTTGCGGGGCCATTTTGTGGATGCTGAGGAATTGCAGACTGCTGTCCTTGAGGAACACCCTGTCCTTGCGCCATCTGAAGTTGACGGTTACGCCATCTCATCGTAGCTTGCTGGCGAAACCATAGAAAGGCAATGTCCGACCCACTGGCCTCCTGCTGTTGGACTTGCGCTGGACTCATTTTTGCTCGCAAGTTCGCCCTTATGTTAATCTTGTCATGGTCTTGAGCTTCGCTTAACATTTTCATTGCTTCTCGATTAACTTCCGCGGCATCGTTCCCCGTTGGTTGTAATTGGTGCTGGCCATTTACAGGCCTGCCAGGTCCGTGCTGGATTTGATTTGGCATACCATTCGCTTGCATCTGTGCATTCTGAGGCATATTTTGCGAAATGGCATCATTTGGTAGACCGTTCGGCATGCCCTGTGATTGCTGAGGCGGTAATGGCGACGCTTGCATCTGGTGCTGAAGGTGCTGAAAGCCTTGTTGGGGAGGTTGCTGAGGAATGTTTCTCGGCATTTGGCCTTGCATACCATTTTGATTCATCATCATCATCTGCTGTTGGGCCTGCGCTTGCGAGTTTACCTGTTGTTGCATGGTTTGCTGGGATTGCATTCGAGCTTGGTGTAACTCACGTTGCTTCTCATTCATTTTATTCTTATAGGAAGCCTAAAATCGTTAGCTATGAATAGTGAATCATTGACATCATCTAATACTTTATCGGGTGAAGTAAGAAAACACTCTTGCTCGAACTTGACAGCAATTTCGAGTAACTTTGGGATCCCCCCAGACTGATTTTGATTTTGGTTTTGAGCGAGAATTCGGAGAGCACCAATACTGTATAAAAATTAGTATCAATGGTCCGTGATTATGTAGTACATGTGCCAGTTAGGAAGACTTTTCGCTACATAAATTACAAAAATTAGAATCATGAAGGCTGAAAACAACTTACATATTGAAAATCCCTCCCATACGTTCTTGAGGCGATAGCAGCGCCTGCCAGCCCGATGGCGTCTGTCCTTGTTGTTGAAGTCTCTGAAATATCGCATTATGTATCTGCGTAGTCACTCCCTGTTGCCGCTGTTGTAAATGCATTTGTTGCTGCATCTGTTGTTGTTGTTGCTGGTGCTGGTGCTGGTGCTGGTGCTGCTGGTGCTGCTGTTGTTGCTGTGGCATCATCTGGCCCGCACCACCCATTTGTGGAAAATTTGAGGCCATCTTGGGGTTCGGTGTGGCAAGGCCACTCTCCTACGCAGAGGAGGACCGACTTGAATTTGATTCAGACCGCCAACCTAATAAGATCAATCGATGTATTAAATATGTTATGTGATTACCCCAAGTATAGTGAATAGTACACGGTACTAGTTGGGGAAAGTGGTAAAATTGAAGCTGCTTTGCTCTTGCACCAGGCGGGGGAGGTTGAAGGTTCTATGGATTGCTGACAATAGGCGGCGAGCCGTAAAATGGCTGCAGGCTGCCACGGTTACATTCGAATAGAGCTAGACCTTGTGTTCCATGAGAAGTTCCTATTGGAAAATAGTGCCTTCGTTTGCGACGCACTCTGAAGTGTACGAGAATCGAAAATTAGGTATCGGATAGGGATTGGCGGAAAGATGAAGGAGGGATGACAAGTAGGTACTCTTGTCGTCGAAGGATGAGGCTGTAAATAGCAAATATGTGTGATGAAGTAAAAGAGAAGGAGAAGAAGAGGAAGAAAAAGAGTCAAGGGTAGGGTAGGAGAAATTAATTTGATCGAGGTTGACTGCCTTTAGGTGCCCTAGAAAGCCAACACATTCGGTGAATCAATGAATTGATTGACTATTCATTCGATAGGTTGATTGCGTGAATGAATGAATACTAACAGTATTTGAATGACGAATGACGATGCGATGATCGATCTGTATTAGAATTTCGTCCTTTTGTTCTTCTTTCCAAAAGCCAAAACAAAAAACGAACTTTGAGATAAGAATATTCTATGATAGGGGAGGGTGGAGGACCGAGTTGAATATGCTTTACCCTCAGTTCATATGAGAAATTCCGTTCGTGTCGTTGGTAGGGAAGTTTGTTCAAAATGTCTATCCGTACAGGATGTATGTGTATGTATGATGGTTGTGGGCGGGAAGTGAAATGCAAGTGAAATAGCAAGGGCAAAGAAGTGATACCAAGCTGGGCTGGAAATGACCACGCTAGATTCGATTGTGCAGGGTATAAAATTTTAGTGCCTTGTTGATGCTTGAACATCTACCTACCTACTTTTAGTTCGTAGTAAGTAGGTAAGGTTGCTTGAGATAAATACTAGGGAAAGAGGTATATAATTGATAATTATAGCACAGTGCCAACAAGAGATCAAATTAGCAAATTTACATGTCGGTGGGCAGAATCACCGCGCGAGAGGTGTAAAGATATAAAAATGTTGATGTGGTTCTGACGGAGAGGAGAGGGAAAGGGCTTGTCTTGTCTTGTGGGGAGAAGAAGAAAAAGAGGTCAAGTCCTCCGTGGTAATAATAAAAGCATTGTTCCGTTCCACAGATTTGGAGGGATGTGTCGGTATTGATAGTGGAGAAGAGAAATGATCGATCTATAGTCAGTGGTCACAACCCATTTCAGTAATAGTCAAGCCATTCAAGCGATTCAAGCTTTCTTACACCAACAATAAAGTGGTTAAGTTGCAACGCAATTCTTGTTGCGAGTCCAAGTGCTTGTTCTGGTTTGAAAATAATTGAAATAGTACAATAAATACCAAGTATCAAGCATCAAGTGTATCCATTGATACGTCAACAACTTTAGATCAATTGGTTAGAGATCATTAAGCGCCCAATGATATTGTGAGAGAGTCAACACGAATCCTACCAAAAGAGACGAGTGTAGTATAGTATATACTGATCGTAAGTAGGCGCAAGTAGGTAGGTACGTACATCTCTATCTGCACGAAGCATGCTAGTATGGCAAATGGTGAATGAGATATTCATCCACATACACCGATATATCATGTACAAATGAGAAGGATCCAATTGGTGCTTTCTACAGTGTGTACCGACAATGGCATGCGTCCCTGCATGGTGTAGAAAATAGAGTTGGTACTGGTAAAATAGAGTTGGTACTGGTGAAATAGAGTTGGTACTGGTGCTGATGCCAGTGTTGGTGAGAGTTTCCCGTTGAAATATTTTGATGTTTCTCATCGACTACTTAGGTAAAATCTTACTGTTTGTTAATAGTATTTATTGCACTTGGTACCACCTTTCACCTACCCTACTCCGTACTTAATAATAAGCTTCGTAATCTACCTAGCAATCGGTATCGGTAGCTAAATGAGGAAGAGGTCTGATTTGATTGATTGTGTGAGAAGAAAAAGACCCACAATGGGCTTGTCAATGAAACAAACATACCGGTATCAATTGATGCCTTTTGCTTCGAATTTGGGGAATCTTGTTCTCCCCCACCGCTCACACCACCGCTCACATCACCAGCATGTTTGAGTCCATACATACCTAGGATGAAACCCATGAACCTGCTACTCACCTCTCTTCCACGGAGTACTCTGCACATTTTCATCAACAAATCAAAGAATCAAAGAATCATCGAATCATCGAATCTTTCTCGCAAAGCCCACCGCTAAAAAGGCTCGGCCTTAGTGAACGTTTTGAACGATTGAATCTGAATCAGGTAATAATTTACGATTAGTTTTCTTGGGATGGATGGCACACGTAAATTCCAATCCTCATTAATTGGGTAGTATAGTCATGGGGTCAATTGGATGTTTAGAACTGAGGCTGTCTGACTGGGACAAGAGAGAAAGAAAGAAAGAAAGAAAGAAAGAAAGAAAGAAAGAAAGCGAAAATTAATGAATATCGGTGACTGGTTCAAGTATATTGATTGGGCCGTCCGAGGAGATGCCCGTCTCTCCTTCGAATATTCGGTTCATGACTTTCTGGTTTTTTAATGCAAGTAAGGGCAATGCAATTGATTGACTCGACCAGATACAACTCCACGGTGTAATAAAGATGAGGAGGAAGGATGAATCTCCTTGCTGCATTGACCCGAGGGGCGATATAAAGTTATCCATCAGTCCATTGACGAGCCTTGGTGTGTTAGAATCAACGTTGAACTTGTTCTTAAAACTGTTATTGTAGGTAGTAAATGTCATGTCATGTCATGATACTTACTCACCTACTATTTACCTACCTACCTACCTACCTACCTACTTATCAAGTTATTCCTCAGCTGATGCGTTTTCCCGTCAAAACATGCAATCCTTCCAAACCACATTCACATTTTGGTCACTCTCGTAAATGTACGGAGCTATCGGTATGAGGCAGATTGAAGCATTGACAATGGGCTGAGCTGGGGGAAGTGATGATCGTCAGAATACCTAGCAAGGCAATGCAATTGTACCACCATATATCCCCAATTCGTCTCATCTCATCCAATCAATATATGTCACGACTTTCAAAGACTTTGCCCAGGCGGATGTTCAATTATAACTTTCCTTTGTTTGGTTTATTTGGATGTGATCACGATCACAACAAATTCAATTCCTACTCAGTCATTCGACATTTTGCTTTTTATTTTGATTTTTTGATTTTATTTTATTTTTTTCTCACAGAATTAAGCCTCATCTTCTTCCCTCGATGGAATTCATCAGAAGACAATAAACAATAGAAATCTTCAACCAAATGTCAACATGGCTGCATTTATGGCGTTTCTTTAGTGGTAATCAGTGCCGGGAAATATTAACTTTTTCGTGATATCTGCCATCGAATTGGGATCTTTGAATTTTTGGGGTGTCTGCAGGAACAGGGGACACTTTACGGAGTACACTGGTCTTTTCCATTTTTCTATCAACTCCATCGACTCAACTTTATTTACTTCCCGCCGTCCCCATAGCATTTCAATATTTCAATCGCAATATAATAAGGTTACCGTTACCGATACCGACACTTTACTTTTCATCTTCTTCATTCGCTCGAAAGTACCAAAGACCCAGTACTTTAATACTCCCTCATGTGATTCAAATGACTACTTGCGCAAAATGACTACTAATCCCAGGGACTAATCAAATGATTGCTACCGTACCTGGGGATCATCAAGTCACTTCATACATAGGTACCTACACCACACTTCATTCACACTTCACACCTACTTCTCCTTCTCAATCGCTGGCAAACACGAATTCATCCTATGCTAGCTAACAAGTGGCACACAACAGAGCAGAACAAGATCTGATGTGTAACTGGGGACGAACTCTGAGCCGGAAGACGAAAAGCTGCCATTCAAGGATGTGAAGCAAGGATAGACCTTGTTGATGTCTCCGATTTTCTTTTAGTTTTGGCCACGAGGGTCCATTCATAGAATTTCATTCATTCTTTATTCTTTCTTCAGTAATCGAGAATTGTACGGAGTGGGGCTACTTCGTATAAAACGACTCAAGCCACTGTGGCTCATTTATCAATTTGACACTTTACTCAGATAAGAAAGTACCTAGAGAATGGAGGTAGTGGCTTGATTTTCTGATTTCTGATTGGTACACATGGACACCCACCATGCGAGGCCGATAGGTGCTCGCTGGTAAGTGCGGGCAGGTAACACCTCAAACAGAAATGTCCCACCTAATCTTCCACAGGTGAAATCGAAAGAAGGAAACTATCTAATGTTGAAAATACCCTCAACATCAATTTATTTTTCTGTTACTTATTCTTCTTCTCCATCTTCTTCTTTCTTCCTAAGTAAATCTAAACTTCCTACAATATTCTCGAGATCTTATATATCATCCACATACAAAATGCCAGCTAGAACTCCACCAACTGCTGAAGCAAAAGCAAATGATTTTCTCGATTTCCTGAATGCTTCTCCTGGTCGTAAGTAAACCAAGCTATCAATACCATCCCGTCCTTATCTCTGCAGTTGTACCTAACATATAATTCTTTTAGCCTACCATGCAGTACACTCTGCCATCCAACGACTTTCCAAAGCGGGCTTCACAGAGATTAAGGAACGAGATAACTGGTCTACAAGTCTACACCCCGGAGGAAAGTATTATCTCACGAGAAATGCTTCTTCGATTGTCGCTTTCGCCATTGGCAAGAAATGGAAGGCAGGTAATCCAATTGCTATGATTGGTGCTCATACCGATTCACCTACTTTACGTATTAAGCCCGTGTCGAAGAAACAAGCTTCTGGCTTTATACAGGTGGGTGTGGAGACATATGGCGGTGGTATCTGGACATCATGGTTCGACAGAGATTTGAGTATCGCTGGTAGAGCTATGGTTAAAGATGGAGATGGCAATTTCGTACAAAAGCTGGTCAAGATCGATCGACCAATTCTCCGCATCCCCACTTTAGCCATACATCTCAATCGTGCCACAAGTTTTGAACCGAATAAAGAGACTGAATTATTCCCCATTGCCGGTCTTGTGGCAGCCGAGTTAAATCGTACAGGAGCCAGTGAGAACGGGCCAACTCCGGTTGAGGAAAATAAAGACTCGGAGGAATACCGACCATTACAAGCCATGACCACTCGACATCATCCATACATTGTCGAACTGATTGCAAAGAATGTCGGTGTTAATATTGATGATATCGTTGATTTTGAAATGATCTTATACGATACACAAAAAGCTTGTTTGGGTGGATTGAACAATGAACTTATTTACTCGGGCAGATTGGACAATTTGGGCATGACGTACTGTAGTGTCGAGGGACTTATTGAATCTGTGAAGGATTCTGCTGCTTTAGATGATGAATCATCGATTAGACTAATTACCTGTTTCGACCACGAAGAGATCGGTAGCACATCTGCCCATGGAGCCGCCTCTAATCTTCTTCCCGCCGTCCTCAGACGTTTATCCGTCATCCCCGCTTCAACTACAGCTCCTGGCTCAAGCTCTTCCTACGATATGGTACATCGTGAATCTGATGTGGAGATTGCAACAGCCTATGAGCAAAGCCTCGCATCTTCCTTCCTCATCTCGGCGGATATGGCCCACTCTATTCATCCCAATTATGCTCAAAAATACGAACAAGACCATCGTCCTGAAATGAACAAGGGGACAGTCATCAAAATTAACGCAAATCAACGCTACGCCACTAATTCCCCTGGTATAGTCCTTCTAGAAGAAATCGCTCGTAAAGCCAAACCAAGCGCTGATTCAAAGGATGGAAAGAATGGTGTTCCCCTTCAACTTTTCGTTGTTAGAAATGATAGTAGCTGCGGAAGTACTATTGGACCAATGTTGAGTGCAGCACTAGGAACGAGGACACTGGATCTAGGTAATCCAATGTTGAGTATGCATAGTATTAGAGAGTGTGGAGGGGCTTTTGATGTAGAGCATGGAATCAGATTGTTTGAGAGTTTCTTTAATCATTTCTCGGAATTGGAGGGAAAGATTTTGATTGACTAGAAGGAAGGGAGTTAGTATAGGGGTATGAACGAGGTCTAGCGAGTTTGGTTTAGGGGAGCGGGATGATGATGGGTTTGTCCGTCGTTCGTTGTTTGAACACCTAGGTAGGCAGATATAAATGAATTATGAGATGTGAGAATGGGATGAGACGAAAATGAAAATGGAATTAAGAATCTTTGTGATAATATTTTAAATGAAAGTGAGTAAATAAAAAAAGAAATTATATCCTTCAAGGAACTTTTATACTCTATATCAATTTAATACTCGTTTTGATCCCATATCACATCACATCATATCACAATACAATATATCACTACACATCACCAGCAGTACAGCATCTATCTCATCCCTATCTCAAACGAACGAACAGAAAATACATAATATATACATAATTAAAAGAAGCAAAGGGTATTCATTCAAATAGAATAACTAATTATGACTAGATGAATAATCGACTGTTTTTTCCCACTCCATAATTGTATCTCATCCATTCCGCTGACTTCCTGTTATATTCACTTCATCTCCAATCCATCAGTCCGTCAATCCATCAATTCATCATATATTTATCAAACTTTTGTGCACCAACCCATCAAATGCAGCACCCATATTATTTGCAAGCATCTCTGAACGTCAACTTCTCATCTTAATTTTCTCCCCTCCCAGCAAAAACCCCATGAGCTCCTACGCAATCAATCATCTATTCCATCACAAATCATAAAATGCGGGACTTGCAAAGTTTCTATTTACAAGTAAATGCAAACCGGAAGTTACATCGTAAATGCGCTCGTGAAATCAAAACGCTCAAAGCACAATGCTAAATTTGCAAATGCTCGACTTAGAAATGCAAATCAAATGAGGCAAAAGTACAAGGCAAAACGCATCATGTATAAACATGTAAATCTCAAAATACATGGATACATGATGTGCAAATCTCATTAAAGGCCTAGTCTTTTCTCTCTAAGTCTCCAAAACATCCTTCTCTTCTTCACTTGGAAGCAAAGGAGTCTCTTTCGTGGCGTAATTTTCATTCTTCTCCCACGTAGCTCCCGGACCATGGTAAGAAGGTTCCTCAATAGCTCCACCTAGTCCTTGGGTGACGGGTTCGGATCCGTAAGGAAGTGGTCTGGAAGGCATCTCGCGGGTCGACAGGTCCAATTTATGGGCCAGAACATCCGATTGACGCCTAGCAAGCATTTCAAGTTGAGCTGCTGGGTCCTGTCCGGCTGTCAGTGAGAATTTCCTAAGATCATCCAATAGCCTATTGAAAATTTTTAAAAGCTTTCCAAGATCGTAAAACAAGGTACGGGGGCCAAGGGCTAGTCTCTTGGGGTTTGCAAAGAGACTTCTGAAGGCATCAAAAGTTCCATTGAATTCATCAAAGAGGCTTACCCAATCTTGTTGTGCTGGAACTCCTTCCGCGGGAGGCAACGTGCTACTCTCTTCTCTCTCTTCGCCCCAGAAACTAGGCTGCGTTCTAACGGGCGCTGGGGTCACGGGTAAACTAGGCCGTTCAAGCTCTGTTGGAAAGTCTGTGAGCTTCATACTACGCCTACGTTCTGCCGGATTGGAAATCTGTGATATACCTGGTCCGTATCCTTGTAGTACTTGAACGTTGCCTTTGCGATTCTTTGACATGTTTCCAATATATCGCTCAATTTCAGGAACCTCATCCCATGCGTTTCCTCTCGTAAAAGCTTGCCATGGATCAGTAGCCGCTGACATGGTAGGGGTTGTAGGAGTAGCTGGCATGCTTCTTTCATCCTCGGTGGTTGCGACTACCGAACCGGCGATGGGGGTTTCTGGTATTTCTGGTACTGCTGTGTCATCATCATCATCTTCAGGAAATACTCTTGAGGGTACTGGTGGGTTAGCCTCCCATGGAAATATGGGTGGTGGTCTTTGGTATTTCGGGGCTTTTGGTACTTCGTAGTACATGTTGCTAGGAGGGTCAGGGTAACGGTTCGGTGCTCGGAATGGAGTAGCATCGTTGGACATCTCATAGTGGGTAGAGGGGAGATCCGAGGCTTCTGGCCTTGAATCTTGTGGTGGCGGTGCCCTACGAAAGGTTAGATGATTCTTACCATGTCCAATAATCAAGACTCACTTGCTGGCATCCCATGGTGAATATGAGAATGCCCGGTTCCGAGATTGGTCCAATTTTGCCTGTACTGGGGGATCATAAGCTTCTTCTTTATCAAACGTTCTTTCTGCATATTCATGGATTGGTTCCTCTGCTGTAGTAGTAGTATCATTAATGGCAGTAATATGTTGAAATTTCTCACAGTGGGCTCCTTGAGAATGGTCCTCCTGTGTCTTGGGCTGGAATTCCCCAAAGACAAGGTATTGTACAATAAGGGGTGCTCCTCCGTCGGAAGTCCCGGTAGCCGACTGAAAAACATTAGTCTCCTCCATGGTTGCGGGAACCAGGCTTACGGTTTGCTTGTAATGTTTGTCATAGACTGCCCACCATCTTCCGGTCATCTGGTGGTAAGGTGTGGCTCCAATACTAGCTTGTCTTCCCACTTTCCATGGCTTATCCGTTCCGATGAAGTGGGCGGCACTAATGCTCGATTGGAAATGTTGAAATGCTGGGAGATACTGGTAATGAGCAGAAGGTGTGACGTTGTAAGTGAAGCTCAAACGGTTAAACGTGTTCTTGAAGTGCATGTTAAGTAAACCTTGATCAGCTCCATCGAAAGAGATACCTCTGCGTGCCATTGCTTCCAAAGCATAGTAATCACCCATATTTGGGTCCAGGACCATGAGACCAGTGTTGAAGATGTCTGGCCATCCAATATCGGGTGCAGCGGAAAATGGGTCTGGCAAAGCGAACAACTCATCTGGTGCGCGGAGAGCCACCATATCGGCATCCATGTAAACTATTCTCCGAAATTGTGTCTGTTTCCATAGTGTAATTTTTGTAAAGGTAGAATGGAGGTCGGGACGACCCATGAGGTCAAGGTTGGCTGGAGATTCGTTGACTACTCGGTCGACAGGGATAACGAAGTCGAAGTTTCTCTAGAAATACATATTAGGAACAGCTCGAAGATTACATGGAACAAAAACGTACCTGGAGCTCAGCCATACTCTCAAAGGTCACCGAATCAGTAGTGACGAGCACTGCAATTTTCTTGGTAGTGCCAGCATCTCGTAAAGAATGTGCCAATACAAGAGCACCTATTTGAAAGTTACGTTAGTAATTTCCGACAGGTTTAATGTCATCAAAAATACCTGGAAGGTAGGTGTCGGTCAAAAGAAGCTATCACCAAATCATCAGTATCATGCCATCCTAGTCTTGCTGCGGTAGTGATAACTTACCGTTGCATAAACATCTTCTCCTTGGGAAGCCATTGTCTGAATATATGAGGACTGTTTTGAGTTATGAAAAAGGAAGTCCTAGATATCCTGACAAGGTGCCGAATTCGAACAAAAGTTGTAGATGTATGTAATGGTTGGAGAAAGATGTAGAAAGAGGAAGATTTTAGAAAGTAGATGGAACAAATGTAAGTAGTGTAAGTAGTGTAAGTAGTGTAAGCAGGCAAGCTATCAAGGTTAGTGGAGGTATGAGGTATGAGGTAACAGGCATCTGGTTAAAAGATGTAATGGAAATGCTGGGGAGGGGAAATGGGAAATGGGAAAATGGAAAAATGGGAAATGGGAAAATGGAAGATGGAAGATGGAAGATGGGATGGAATGGTTATGGGAAAGGGAGTGGGAAAATGACAGGGAAGAAGTGGAAGGGGGAAATGCGAAGGAGGTTGGGTGAGGAAAATGAAGCAGCTTGAAGACAAGACAAGACAAGACAAGACGGCAAGACAAGACAAGATGAAAGGGAAAGGAAAGATATTTATTCGTATTCGACTCCTCGTAGATACTATTACTGTCGATGCCGAACTAGGTAGGTAGGTAGTTGGTTGCCCGTTGACTTCTTCCCGTACCCCTCGCCCCTCACCCTCGCCCTCGCCCCTCACCCCTCACATCTTACGCCTCACAGCCTTAGACTTCGACCCCGCCAATGCCATTTTTATCATCATTCTCTCCCAAAACCCAGTCGAGTAAAGATAAGAACAATATCAACTTTTTCATCACCCTATTTATGACACTAATTGGATGAAATAACCCCCTTCACGAACACCAAGCTGCCACGTACTACCTCTATTTGCCTCCTCCATCCAACTAGTTTGGGTAACTTTTATGAACTGCCTCGTCGAGAACTCAATAGTTGGATAGTTGGATAGTTGGATAGTTGGATCGCTGAGCATTTCTGTGTTGGAGATGCGTTTCCACAATGATGCGTTGAGATGGAGACCACCCACCGGTGAACCATTCACTTCAGATCCATTTTTGACCGCCCGCTTTTATATTGAAATTTAATATCCTGGTCACTTTATTCTGGGTCCATCGTCTGGTGTTTGGTGCTTTCTGGTTTTTGTGTGGTTACTGTTGTACGCACTTTCATGATTCCCATCCATCCCATTAATGTAATGCTCTTTACCCCACTGTCTATCAATTTCTCTTTTCATGAGATGCCGTTGGGCTGATATCAAATTGCAAATATGATAGTCAGTCTTCTGACGATAGAAACATCCATCAATGGAAGAATGAAGCGGGAAGGATAAAAGATAATTCTTTTTTTTGAATCTAGAATGCAAAAATTCATCAAAGATTGAACTCTCAGTCATGTCAATCTAAACGACCCTTCATCCAATTTTTTTAATATCTTTTTTTCGATTTCGTTCATGCATTCATGCATTCATTCATGTATGTCTCAACTTCTCAAGCCCAATTCAGCACCTTATCTGCAAGCCCGACAAATGATTTTAGGTGGCGTTACTTTGCCATCCTTTACCATCCCTCATAATTGTATGGTTCAGGACCGGTAAAACTCAAGCCACTGTACTCACCGACAGCAGTAGTTCATTTCTACCCAGCTAAGTTAGGCTATCCACTAGGGAATGAAAACGCACAAAATATTCTCAAGGCAGGTCAGCCAATTCAAACTTCCAGAAATCTCCAGCATGGAAGGATATCTCCATTCCCCATTTTAGAACGAACGAGAGGGGTCCAGGTGGATATTTCTGGTTCGATTTCTTGAACGATTTCTTACTCACATATACGGAGCACATGTGTGTATGTGCAGCTGGCGTCCCACATATATCAAGTGTATGTATGATAGGATTCCTGCAGTTGTGGCAGCTTTCTGTTCGATTGAAGATATGAATATACACTTGAGCTGGGTCTCTTTCGAATGGTCGAGGAGCTTGGAGCACAGAATAGTTTCTTGCTTTGGGCCTAATTATCTATCTGGCACGCACCCAGATGAAAGAAGTATGTATGCATGGGTCTATTTGTCCGGTAAGTATAAAATGATTTTGTTTGAAAATTGTTTGGATCTTGATAATTTCTCCTAAATCCCTTCTGAGTAGTTCTTGAGAAGGAGGGTTGGCAATGATGTTTATTTGTCCAACTGTCAGAAAGGTTTCAGTATTGGGCAATATTGGGCACAACGATAATACAATCCGTTGTTCTTCGAGTATTCTAGCTATGTCTCGATCATTGCCCTAACTTTATTGCTTTGGAACTAAAGATGACTCACTGACTAGTGTCTGGCATCAGCAATCAACGATTAGATTTCTAGTGGTATCATTAGAACAGCTTCACTTGGAACCAACTTCGAATTATTGTAATCATTTTTATCTACATGAAATGCATACAAGTTAGAGGCAGTTGTTCAGATCCAATTTGGTCATGCCAGTTTTCTAAGTCCGTAGTCTCTTCTGGCTGCCTCAGTAACCACCAGTCGTCCATCTTCTCTGGACCCCACCAAAATGTCAAACACCTTCATTACCTCTCTTAGCCTGCACGAATACTACACCCATAATTCAAGCTTCCTATAAATAATCGTCTATCACCAACTGTCACTAGCAATAAATCTAGAATCCAATTGTGGATAGTTTCTAGGTTAATAAGAATCAAACTTAATCAAAGTTTACTCCCCCGCATTATGATTCAGCTTAAAGTGAGAAAGCAGCACATATAGCCTGAAGCTCAAGGGTCAATCTGTCAGTCAACATATCCTTATCTTTCTTGAGTGGATCATTGAGTAGTTCCACTCAAATATTCTATATCTTTTGAAGGGCCGATGTTGCGATAAACCCGCATACGGCCACGCAGTCCCTTAATAACGTTCGGGAATGTGGCTTTAGGAATTTGGAAACGGCCCTGCAATGCCGCATTAGCCTGTGGCACTTACTTATCATTCTCGGGTGAGAAAATACGTTATCACGCTCTCATTTCCTCAACAGGTCGCCATTACATGAACTTGTTAGAAGTCAGCAAGCAATCTTCCAGCCAATGGTTTGACCACGACTATTTGATGAGAAACACATCTGCCGCTTAATTAAGTGGATCTAAGAGCTCATCAGGAACACTCTCACCATTCTCGACGCTCTAAAACGCTTCTGGGATTGTTTGAATTTCTTGGGTAATAGTCCTTCCCATTTTTCCCGAACACAATCTGATTGAAGATACTTTTCACATGATTCTCGCTCCAGTTAAATATTCTTTAACAAGCCAATAAAAGAGATGCCTGAGTAATTGCAACTCGGAAACGTGCGAGACTATGGGATAACAAGTACAACCATCAACTTGGCGAAGAAAAGAAATTTCAAAGCCACTTGCTATCATGACAGTTTTCCGGGCCCCTGGTGTCGAATCACCGGTCGTCATCAGCCAATTACCATCTGTGCTATACTCTTGTGATTGAACGAACCCAGCAACCTGTTCACCACAAATAGTAGGGCACAGGCTGTTGATTGTGTAGTAATCGACATAGCCGTCTACAAATATGCATCCTCCAAAAGCCTGTGCGCAAAGTGTTTTCATTCTACCACGTCCTTTGACTATTGAAAGCATTAATGTTTTCTCCAACTATGTCGATATGCATAGTTGAAGATATTTCATCTATCACGAACCCGTCATTTGGATTACTCCACCGCCAGTTTATCAAAACTCCCAATAGCAGATTCTTATAAACGCATGCTTGGTGGATGGCTATTGTATATAGTGCAGTTCCTCGGAAGGAAATGCTATTAGTATCATCCAAAGATAGTAATCTTACCACAGATTCATTTCCCGCAAATTAGGTTAGGGAGAGATAGTCGTAGAGAGGGACATGAGAATCACAATTTTTTGAGATGGGATATAATATCAGAATTATGGCTGTTGTAGGTTTTAAGTTGAGGTTATGTTGTGTGTTTCGTTTATATGGTTGGTTGGTTGGTCAATCTTTCATCATCTTCATCATCTTCATCATTTTCATCATCTTCATCATCTTCATCATCTTCATCATCTTCATCATCTTCATCATCTTCATCATCTTCATCATCTTCATCATCTTCATCTATATCGTAATGATTTACTCGAGTAATATATGTGTATACCCACACCATTACGGATAAATCATCAGTTCGAAAAATATCGCTAAGTAGGGCCGGAGTGAGTGAGTGCAGTGAGGTTTAGCATTTCGTTTATACTCCGTCTTTTCAAAACTATAGAATACTTTCTTCAAATTGGCTTCTGGTGAATCGGATCGTGGCCTTTTTCGAGATTCTTGAGGTGGATTTTTGGGATTCTGGTGGATGTGGATTACTCCTTAAGCTGTGGTGAAAATTCTATGGGTTGTTTCATTCGCTTTTTTGGGTATGGTTGTGTGGGTAGGTGGGTGGGTATCTTTGATACTTCCTAGTGTATCTACATCGTCACTGTCTCAGATTGAACTGATGGTGATGAAAATAGGGCTAGCGGAAGAAGGATGGATATCCTCGAGGCAAGAGCTGATGTGAGCATATTGTTGGAATTTAGAATTTGGAATTAGGCTGAGTTGTTGAGATCGAGATTGATTACGAGTAAATGGTGGAGAGGATTCGATTTCAAATTAGAATGATATATTGCGAGATTGAGAGATGAGCAATACGATAGAGACCTAGAATATACACGAGCAAGAATGGAACTAGAATTCAGCAGTCTGGAAGGAGAAAGTGAAGAGATGAGTGTGGGCCAGTTAATTATGTGTCAAACAGATACCTGGTGGGATATCCAACAATCAACATGATCGGTATGTTGTGTACGAAATACTCGGGATCTGTATATAGGTACGTGATGTTGATATGATATGATATCATATGCAGTAAAGTGATCCATTATGCAAATGAGAGGATATCATATATTAGGACGGCTATATTATAGCTCTCCTTTAAACTTCTTGCTAAATATACTTGTGTACTCACTCTTTCATTTCTTTATCCTCGGTATTGAAAATGATTATTGTGATTTTCGTAGCTCCTTTTACCTTTATTTGGATATGCTAGAAGTGCGAAGAAGGTATTGATCAAAAACCGGCAGGCACTGTTTTAAAGTACTCCATACCTATTGAAATACCAATGCTATTTCACACGCACAAACCTGATGATCCAACAAACACATGAAAGAAAATCAGCCAAATATGAACATCAGAATAGAATAATATACCCCATTAAAACCTATCTAACCCATCAATTGTCTAATATCCTCCGGTGGCCATCTCACCTGAGCAAAACTAAGACATCTCTTGATACTTTGCAAAAATTTCCTCGTAATTTCATCACCCATTACATGTCCCTTATCCGTCTCGTGCAATTTCTCGCGCGCACTACGCTCGTGAATACCCACCATCGTAACTCCGATTGGCCATGCAGCTTTTCCAATACTGAGACGTAGATATCCATCATTTGCATCGACGTAACGTTTTTCCTGCGCAGCTTTGACGATTTCCACTATGGGTTCTAGAATTCCTTCGTCTAGATCGCCTTTTTCGAATTTGCGGAATAGCTATGGATCATTCGTGTCAGTTATTATATCATAGGATAAAAAGATATGGGACGTATAACTTACAGGAGTCATATTTTCCTTACTCTGCACCATAGCATTATAAGCCGCCTTACTAGCAAAAGTATCCCTCTTCTCCTTTTCCAAAGCTTGTTCCCATTCCGTCAAAACCATGGTAAAATAACTCGCCAACTGTCTAAACAAATATTTCCTCCCCTCCTCATCCTTCGGCACAGTCTCCACCTTCATATCCTTCTCCTCGACCAAAACCAACTTCGTAGGAATGGGTCCCGTCGTCATAACCACCCCCAATTTCCTATATCTCCTCAACCTCTGCTTATGACTCTCGGCGAACAGTTTCGCCGGATGTCCCATCTCGCGTAATTTCAGAATCAACTCTTCATCCGGGATATCATCCTCCTCCACCTCCTCAACATGTTGCTTAACCAACTCCGGTAATCCCAATTTCTTCCTCCTCTTCCTTTCTTCCTCCGCCTCTCTTTCCTCTCTCTGTTTTCTCGATTCCTCGGCGAATCGTCTTCGTTTTTCTTCGCGCGCTTTATTGGCTTCCTCCTCCTCCTCCTCGCGTTTGCGCTTTTGTGCTAATTTGGCCTCGCGCTCGGCTTCAATGGCACGTTGCTCTGCGAGATATTTGGCTTGACGTTCTGCTTCAATTTCGGAGCGTTTCATATATTTTTTAGACGTATCTGTGGAAGATTCGGTCTTTTTGGATATCTCCTTGGACATTAGAGATGCAAAATCCATGATGACGGCTGTGGCGGTTTGCGCCGGAGGATATTGAATTTATGGTGATTGAATTATAGATTTATGATTATTATGAATGTATACTTCGTGGCTAGATCTTTCGGAACTGGTAGAAGATAGAATTAATTGAAAGGTTGTGTTGTTGTTTATAGAAAATAGATGGTCTAGTCTCCAAATTATGAAGTGTACAAACCCGAGGCTGAACATTTTTTGACAAGGCCTCGATTTTGCCTCGAGAACTTCTTCACCACCATCTCTATCTATCCAACACCAGCATACTCATTTAGACGCACCATAGTAAATATACAATAAATAATAAAGCTATGGCAACGACTACACTAACAAAAATCGATCGCAATATAACCGTTCCATTCCATCTCAAGCTTTTCTACAAAACCGGTTCATTTCACCGGTATGTAAATAAATCTCAGCCTTCCCAAAATATTCATTTTATTAATGTGAAAACTAGACTCGAGGAATTTAGTCCGCATGGTGAATTACCTCTTCACGTTAATATATATACATGGCAATCCTGCACTTTGCGCGAATTATCACATTTACTAGCGACTGCGCTTCCAGATCTTCTGCCCGATCCGGCGATTGGCACTCGTCTTTCATTTCGTCTTATCTTTCCCGATTCACGACCTGCTGCTAGTGGTCCAGCGAGATATATAACTAAAGATCTGGGTAGTGTCGTGGTTGGGGATGGGGGACCGGGAATCCTACCAGATGAGGAGGAGAGTGCGATTGTTTCGGGAGGAATTATGGCGGGGAGTTTGATGGGTGAGCCGGAAAAGACGTTGCAGGATGCGAGATTTGTAATTGGTGATTATGTTTGCTGTGCGATATTACCACCCATGGCAGATGGAGGAGTTGCGCCACCACCTAGTGGTCCTTCGAGAGGAGGGTTTGCAGGTGGAAGATCTGAGACGAGTGAGTTTGGTGGTAGAGGGGGGATGGGACCTAGACAGAATGGGTTTGGGGGCGGGTATAGAGGGAGAGGGGCTTCAAGAGGTGGAGGATTCAGTCAGGGTATGGGTCAAGGACCTGGAGCAGGTGGTGTGCCGAGTGGAGAATGGAGACGAGGTGAGAGGATACCGAATGGTCCGTCCGGGGGAAGAGGTCGTGGTTATGGAGGTGGAGGGGGTTTTGGAGGTGGAAGAGGCCGATATCGAGAATGAGGCGACGTATGATACCATTACGCGCTTATTACGAATGACGGCGCCGCTTTTCCTTTGGAACTATACATTTCGTCTTTTGCTCGATTTTCCGCGATTTTGGAAGCGAATGGTATATTTTATCCATCATCTAACTCTTTAGGCAACCTTTCGCATTACCAGCAATGTATGGAGGATGTCGGTTTGCAACTTAGAAGTTTATTAGGTCAGCCCTACAAAAGTCATGTCGGCAGTTACCAAACCGCAAAACGAATAATACCCAGATCATCCTGGCATGTTTTAGACCACGGTGATGAATGCAAATTCAATTCCATAGACTTCGATTGTCCCATAAAGACTCTCATGATATCTCCCTCACATATGTACAGCCTCTAGCCTTTCGTCTCGGAGCCTAATTCCTGCCTTCTTTCCCTTCCCCATCTCCTCTCTTCCACTTAAAATTCCGCAATAACATCACCTCTACGCTTTCCTCTCATTTCCCATTTTCCCTATCTCCATATTAGCTCTCCATTTTCCTTCCGCAGAGTCTGCGAGCTCCGGATCGAATATCAAATCTTACATCAGTCGTGTAAGCCAAATAACCAACAATACTGGGAATGAACGCCCCAAACACAAATGTGATAGCAGCAGTACGACCCGTCCATCGAAAGTACTTGTGGCGGTTTATGAACATATCTTTTCCCATTAGTATCTCCCATACTGCCAAGTCTATCGTCGTAACCATTGCATGCGGCAACAGAATGATATGGTGTGATTGTAGAACATACTATTATATTTGACCAACGCGGGGTCCATCGCGAGTGCTATCTCCAGTCAGCCCAATCACCAATTCGCAGCAGAGTAATACAAACAGTGATTATGTCCCGCCATCGTGAATAAAGTTTGCGAATATCAAAGCACTTGTGCTGTTAGTTATCCCGTTTAGTCGTAATTATCAGGCGTATGAATTGAGGTTCATGATGTTGAGCTAGGACTGATCGGAAAAATGGTTTGCCCGATATAATCCGTGCTGGGATGAGATTTACATATGACTCCCTTGCTTGTGGTTAAGTAATGACGAATGATTTGTTATTCTTCTCCAGTTTTATCAGAGATTGGACCGAGGTGGGCTGAGGGGAGCTAGTTGCTTACCTAGATAGTTAAAAGAAAGACGTCTGAATTCCTTTCACTTGTGTTTTGGTATCAATCTTGATTGACTTTCAATACATCCTTTAGTCTTTTCATATCTATCAATCATCGATTATAGTTACAATCACAACCGTAATACACCAAACCAACCATGGCCTTAGAGAACCCCTCATCAGAACAACCAAAAATCAAACTTTACTGGTAGAAACCCTCCCCCTCCGCCTTCTCCTTCCCTCTCAGCTATCTATCCATATCCACAGCCCATTAACCTCCCCCTCCCAATTCCAACTCCAATTCCAAGATCACTAACCACTATCCTAAGGCTCAACCAATCCCGCTCCCAACGCATCCTCTGGCTCTTAGAGGAATTAAAACTCGACTACGAATTAGAAATCATCCACAGACTCCCCTCCAAACATGCACCTCCTGAACTGAAAAAAGTTCATGCATTGGGAAAATCTCCTGTTCTTACTATTCTCCCCCCTGGAGCTACGGAACCGTTGGTTTTGGCTGAGAGTGCTTTTATCATGGAGTAAGTTTTTTGGGGGTTTCTTCAATGGGAATGATGTGTTTAGGATTTGAGGCGGCGCTGGGGTATATATGAATTTGAAGATGAAATGCAAGATCGAAGGGTTCAAGTAGTTCTTGGATCGTGATCTGATAGTTTATGGATAGGGGATGTTAGACACCACCATCCTACCCTCCTTAACTACCCAGGAGAAACCCATTTATAGCCCATACTAACACATCTGAGATATCTTCTCGACCACTTCACCCATGGAAACACCCTCCTTCCCACGCGCTGGAAACCTGGTCAAGAGAATACTCTCTGTGGCGAAACAGAGGAATGGACTCGGTTCCGCTATTACATGCATTATGCCGAAGGATCCCTGATGCCCTACCTCGTCGTATCGCTTATCATGTCCTGTAAGTGTCATTATTTTGCCCTGCTCATCCCCTCTCCCTCATCATCCCAAACAACACCAAATAACACTAACAAATCAGTGATCGACTCCCCCAACCTCCCCTTCTTCATCCGTCCCATCACCGGCATGATAACCGGCAAAGTCATCTCCACATTCCTCGAACCAAATTTCAACACCCATTTCACATTTCTCAATGAACAAATCCAGACTTCCCCATCCGGTGGAAAATATCTCTGTGGTGAGCATCTTACCGGTGCAGACATACTCATGTCATTTCCACTTGTAGCTGCTAAAAAGCGTGCTGGATTGACGGAGGAGAAATTTCCGGAATTGTTTGCCTATATTGAGAGATTGGAAAATGAAGATGGGTATAAGAAAGCTGTGGAGAAGATTGTGGAGATTGAGGGGGAATTCCAGGCGGTTTAGTGAAGGGTTAGAAGGATGTTGAAACTGCACGTGGCTCGCGTTGAGCTGGGAATGAGAAGTGGAAAGACGATGGGTAGACATTCATGACTGTATACACTCTTCGCGTTGGCCGCCGGATAATCATGTTGTTCCTTGATGTATTATTATATAAAATCAATTCCAATCTTTCTTAACACATGCCCATATTCAACTTTTATATACCGTCCTAAAGCTCCCATAACCTCCCTTGAAATTCCTACCAGGATCAATATTAACGACAAGATTCAAATACCGTAGCGTAATAACCTTATGTACGGCACTGCTCAGCTCTTCCATACATCGAGACAATAAGAATACTTGAGACGGCTAGGGAGACGCACCGATCAATTAATCATATCTAATGGAGGCACTGGGAGTTGAGTGACACTCCTATCAATTAATCCCAAAGTGGACAATACACATGTTTACAAATACGCAACAAAAGTGTAACGACCTTAAGAATACTTATTCATAGATGTAAGAATATCTTTGGTTATTAAAAATGACCCCGTGTCATTCGTATGAATTTTTGTTTAATAACTTGATATTAATTAGCATTCACTATCTAGTTATGAACAGAACTTCCAGTATCAGAGTATCAACTCAATATCCGGGAAGTGGGAAGAAGCCGTTTTGGAGTTATCTGGCGGGAATGGTTAGCATTTTGAAAATAGAATTTTTTTGAGGCTCTCGTTAGCTGATGGCTTCTATCCTTTACTGTATTAGATTAATAAATATCCACCATTTATAGTTGGCAGGAAGTTTCCTAGTTATTAATCAATAGGGGCTGGGGAAAATATACTATATATTCATGCTGATATAACAAGAATAAGAGACATGAGTCACTAACCGTGCCCGGGCCAGCCATATTTATCAGTAACGACATTGGTTAATTCCAAGACAATGGATTGGTTAGTATTTGTTGGGACGTCATGTGATTAACCTCATAAAGGGGAGCCGTAGATCTAGCGACTTCTAGCCCCTTCTTATTGTATATAAATAGTCCCCATATCCCATGATGTAGAATGCAAGAATGAATAATAGAATACTATAATAGTACTATGTAAATAGTATCACTGAAGTGATACTAACGGTATTATTTGTTGATTTTAGAGACACAGACCGCTAGGGGAAAGATCTTTTCGTAGATGTGTGATAATGCGGGAAATGAACACGGTGGATTGTATTAAAGAATGCGGGAAGAGAATAAATCTATTTGAATGGCACTTTTGTGATTCTGATCTTCAGGTAATGTGGGGCATACGACGAACAAAGTTCAGAATAGCAGAAATACTCATTCTGATCGTGACTGCTGGAAATTGCCCTTTTCGACTGAAGACTTTTGGATATTTAGAGTGCCTGTAATATCCAGGAAGATTTATCTTCGCAAAAATGATCTGGATATCACAACCACATAGGCAGCATGTGAATACAAATATCTCTCTATCCAATCTACGCCTTGCACCTCATATCTTAACTTACCAAACCCTTCTGGGTTATCTATATTTGTCTTGCTTATCCCAGTTCGACGAATCACTTGATGCCTCGTTCATACAATCTACCCATCCAATAAAACACCAAAAATTGTTTGTTGCACATCGCATGTATGACTCATGATAGAGAGATAAAGATTGACTAAATGACATACGACGGGACATCAACAACGACAACAATGCAACAGTAACGAAGATAGGACAGTTATAACGCGATCAAGCTTTATGATGTCGCTGGCTTGGTATTGCAATTAGACGACCAAGTCAACCCTGGGAAACCTTAACCGCTCGATGGAGAAGAATCTCCTATCCCTTCCCTTCCCTTCCCACATCAAACTCAGCTTACACTTTTCATCAAAGGAACTTTCGTTCCGACAGACAAGCAACAAATTTTTTGGTCTAAACAACCTGTGAAGTTCATTCGTTGCTAGCCGGCTCCCAAAAATCAGGATTTTTGTATCTTCGAGACATGAAACAAAGGATCTCTTTTTTCTTGATTGAACAGGTGGGAAACATGTTTCAGATTTGAGATGTGCAACAAAACCAAATTTACATACCTTTCCTTGTCTGGAGGGAAGGCTGAGGAGAATTTTGGGTATAGTAGATTTCGGGAATTTTTTCCTTGGCAGAAGATGTTGGTTTCAGTCCTTCCATCGCACGTCTGAACATACAAGCAATGAAGGAAAAGCAAAGTTCTTTGTTACAAACCCCGTGACTTTCTCTCCGAAAAGAAGTGTGGTTGGTGGGTTGCTGTTACACAGACAAAGGGCTAGGAGTTTAGAAATTTTTGTTGCACATCTGAAATGAGCGCGAATTTTATGAACTCGCAGATATGGATGGTCTTTAGGTCGTTCTGCCATATGCCAACCACTCGCTAAGGTTTGAGGTTCAGGGAAAAGAAACTTCTTTTTAGACAACAACGGCTTCTTACATGAAAGCTTGAAAGAAAATTCTCTAAGGAAATAAGAATAAGAAAAAGAAGTAACGGAAAGAAATGCTACTCCAAAACATCGCAACTAATGGATCTGTGTCTGAAATTCTATGATTCCGGAGCTAGAAAGTAACGGAGATATCTTTAGAATGTACCTACGAATCATGTGAATGAGGTTTGCGCCTTCTCTGTACCGTTGGACATAAAACCTGGGACCATCAGCTTCGCGAAACCCCAACTGATGAAAGAGGATCTCTAGATTGCGAGAATTTATGTTTTCGAAACATGACCTAAGTAAGAGTATAGGCTCTTTGGCCTTAGTGTGTTACCATTGATTTAATGAATCGTGATGTTAGAGTATGTTCTCTCGGGAGTTCCTCGGCTAAATATTTGAGAAACAACATACAAAGTACGAATCCGGGTTTTGCTTCTCTGCGTCTTCAATATATATGCATATACGCGAGTTGGAGTATAAAATAGTCTGGCACTTTGGCGGAGTGGTTAACGCGATGCCCTGCTATTGTGTAAAACAAAGTCAGGCATTTCCTTCGGGAGCGAGTGTTCGAATCACTCAGGTGTCGTTTTGCATTTTTGACTTATTCTCCAAAGGAAAATAGAATCCAATGCTGAGATTATTGTTTAGACAGAGCCTCTTTTGGATCCTGGAATCTTTTTTAAATAGAACTTTTTCTGGATAGAGCCTTTTTTTTTTGTGAACAAACCTTTTTTGAATGGAGTTTTTTTTGGATAAAGTCGTTTTTGGACAGAATCTCTCTTGGATGGTCTCTTTTGAATGGAGTCTCTTTTGGATGGGGCTTTTTGGCATTCTTCACAAATTATGTTGCTCATTTTATTGTTTTCATCGTGATTTGCCATTTGCTTTCTTTTTTCTAACTAGAAATTATTACTCCAGGCAATAGTATGGCTTGAAGAATTGTTGCAGCACCTGTCCGTTACTGCGTACCTTAATGGGTATCTTGTAGGTCCTCAGAGTACTACTAATAGGTAGGTATATACAGTTATTTGTGCTACATCCGGTGATACTTTGTAGCTGTACTACTTAAATTTTCTCGGAAGCAGTAAGAATTTATGATAATATAGATCAATGTCCCATTACAGCTACTTCATAGTGCCTAAACAAACGGGCTATCTGCTCCGTCTTATGGTGCTCCTCCTCGAACATGTCAAGTTTCCAATCTAGTCGTTTTGCGGTTTTCAGGTCGAATATCCAAGCAAAGACAGAACAATCCAGAATTGCGCTGAATGAAATCGAGTTAGGGCTCAATCTTTCTTGTATGATGAGTCAGTCACCCCTGTGTTATGATCGAATGTGACCTCTGGCTACCAGGTTAAAAGTGAAATATTGAGTTGCCCGGCGCAGCGGATCGTATTCATCGAACGATGAAGCAGGCGGAAAGCGGACTGGATCAAACAGCCGACAGTCGAACATTCAAACACTCCAGTGATCGTGGTAGACAAGGGGAACATACGGAAAAACTGGATGCATCAAGGAGAGACCAAATTAACAATACAGGAGGGGACTGATCAAGGGATGGGATCATAGAAGGTGTAGCGATCCTGTGGTGTTGGGGAGAGAAGGCCATATTTTGAGATCAAAGCTGCCCCTACATATCCAGATAATGCTCGAATATCTCTCCCAAGTATTGCGCTTACAACGGGGACTAGATGATAAGAGTCAATCCTTGGCGATGGTATTCAATGGTATATCCATAAGAATATACCAGCCAAAATCTTGTAAATAAGACTTTAGCCAACCTTGCTTGACGTTGATTGGTGTTTTCGGGTGACTTGTTCTTCCATTAGATAGGACACTCAGAAAATCAGAAAAGGGTGCTGGCATGGGATAATTGTCAGTACGACCAAAAAAATACGTTTTTGATATTTGTGGAATGTTCTGAGGAAGGATACTGCAAAAGGTAACGCTGCTACTTTGCCTGCTAAGTAGCCTGATCCACAGACTAGGTCAGTCAGCACAATGAAAATGCACCGTCAACTCTGGATATGTCTCTCGATATGTCTCTCGATGATACCAGAATCAGTTAAAGAGACCTGCGGAACTGATAAAGTTGACCCTTTGCTAATTCTCTCGATTCTCAGATTCATAATTGTGTTTCTAGCATGTGTTGTGGCACAGATATTATGAGTGGCGCACTAATGTGTTAATGCCCCAATAATAAGGTTAAATACATTACTAGCGTCGGCCAAGTTTATGAGAGCCAAATCCATCCACGTATCTATGAACTTTCAATATCAGATTCAACTATTTGACTTTCATCAACCACGACCTGCAAGAATACCTGAATTTCGATTTCGATAAATCAACTAATATTAAACAATATGTGGCTTCTCGATTGGTGTATGTAGCGCTCTTGGAAAGAATTGGAGATGAAGTGGTTCACAACATGACAGCTTGCTGATATTATTTCCTCAAATAGTTTGGGATACTCTTGCGTCCTTGGGACTCCTGAATAAGCATGCAAAACTTTTGTTCCTCGGTCTTGATAATGCCGGAAAGACAACACTGTTACATATGTTGAAGGTGCGTTGAAGAAATTAGCCTAGGAGGATGCTGGACTTAAGACGAGCCACAACTTGCTTCTCGTATCCGGGATAAGACAATTGCTGACAAAAATTTCTTCCAGAACGACCGAGTTGCCATTCTTCAACCTACTCTTCATCCTAGTAAGGAACTCTAAGTCACGCACATTGGCGCAAAGCACACGTAGTCATCAGTCACTGACCATGCGACAGCATCTGAGGAACTTGCTATCGGCAATGTCAAGTTCACAACTTTCGATTTGGGAGGACATCAACAGGGTATTTGTTCTTACAATGCTGAAATGGTGACATCAAGCTAATGCGTATGTAGCTCGTCGTCTCTGGAAGGATTACTTCCCAGAAGTCTCCGGTATCGTCTTCTTAGTCGACTCAAAAGATCATGAACGTTTTGTCGAATCGAAAGCCGAGCTCGATGCCCTCTTGTCAATGGAGGACCTTTCTAAAGTACCTTTCCTTATCCTCGGAAACAAAATTGATCACCCAGATGCTATCAGCGAGGATCAATTAAGACACGAGTTGGGATTATATCAAACTACTGGAAAGGGCAAGGTTCCTCTTGAGGGTATCAGACCCATTGAGGTATTCATGTGCTCTGTGGTTATGAGACAAGGTGCGTCCTTTGTTGTGCGAAAGTTACCACGGCCTAAACTAATTCTGGATATAGGTTACGGTGAAGGTATTAGATGGTTATCACAATATGTCTAAATAATGGAGGTGAAGTGGCAGGGAAGGAGGTATATGGGACGATGGGGACGATTTCTTATGGAGATCTGTTATGATGGACGGAGTTACGCAAAGGTCGTTTTTTTCAATGCTTTTTTGGTAGGTTCTGGGAGCCCATGAGAGTTTCACTTCAGGAGCCAAACCGGCCAACATATTTGTACCAGCATAGTATCGCGATCAAGACTTTTATCTCTCTCAATATAAATGTCATGAGTCCCGTGCATCTGAACTTTGTGAACGTGCTACGAATAGATATTAAAGTCCTGGAAGAACCGAGACATTTAGTGATCAGGCCATAGCATCATATGATTTTGTGCATGTCTCAGTGGTGTTGAAGATGCCCCATAAGTAATTTTCAAGGCTTGTAACTTCCCATGGCTACCTAAAATACAAACTATTCGGGTAATTGTAGTAATTTAGAGGCTAGAACGCAAGTCTTAAGAAAACTAGCATATCTACGTCATAAACTATTTCTGGATGCGAGGCTCACCCAACATAATTTAACATATTCTCCCCACACTTTTCCATAATACTTCATACTATAGCCATACTTCATTCGCATACGAGACACGAAAAACCCCATTCTTAATGCACATATATGCAAGGCGATACATAGAATAGCTGTCTTCTCCTGAAAACACAGCCAATTATTCGACAACAACTCAAAGATGGCGGATCTCCGCCACAACACAGATGGTCCATCACCACTTTCCGCAGAAGGCTACGATGAATCGCTCCTTCCCGATTTCCACCGTGAATTCATTTCTGAAGAACACCTCCAAGAATTTGCCAATGCGCTGAGCGCACCAGATCCAACTCCTAGTTCAGATGATCTGTCAGTATATTCGCAAGCTCAGAGCCCGAGAGAACCATCCACACCACATCGCAGCAGTATAGATATACGGAGAAATAGCAAAGTTACACTTGGGAGTGGGTCAAATACACCAGGGATAGGGAAGTTTGTTTATTACTGCCCAGAATGATTGGGCTCCGGTGAATCCTACGAGGTTAGGCGGGAGGGGGAAAAGGAAAGGAGAGAAGAGGAAGGCGGGTAGAAAATCGAGAAGAAGTAAAGACGAGACGAGAGAAGGATATCTTTATTCGATTTTGAAATGGCCATTACTGGGAGTGGTTTTTATGTGGATTGGGGGGCTAGGATTATCATATTTGGTGACGAGATTGTATATTTGGACATATGAGCATTTCATTGCGGTAAGTGGTTTTGTGACTCGAGTGCTTATGCAGAGATAGAGAAATGTTGTGGGATGGCGGCATTTTATCTCGAGTTTTGGGCCTTTACTTACAAATTCATGTACTAATTACCCAGTTTTACAGTGGAGGGGCAAACGAAATCAATTGCGAAAACGACTGCACAGCACCACGAACTACGGCGATTGGGTCAAAGAAGCACAAGAACTGGATACATATCTAGGAAATGATAAGTGGAAAGCTGAGGCTGAATACGCATACTATGATTCCAAGACAGTACGGAGAGTTTTGGAACAGATTCGAAAGTGCAGACGGAGAATTGAACAAGAGGATGGAGCAGGAAAGTCATCTAACGGAAGTGCTGCGACAAAAGCCAAAGCAGTTGAGGAACTGAAAGCATTAATCGAGGCATGCGTAAAGAATAATTTTGTGGGAGTAGAAAATTCAAGATTATACTCTCAAACTTATTACGGAACGAAGAATTTGGTACAGAATTTCGTTGATGAAGGTAGATTGAAGTTTTGCGCCCCTTCATCAAAAAATCAACTGACGAAACGATTTAGTCGAGAGAGGTGTTTCAATTCTGGCAAAATCTGATCTACTCCAAGATGAAGAAAAGCGTACACTCTTCAAACGGATGCACACAAATTATGGTCGCACGGCACTTTGTCTGTCTGGCGGGGCATCTTTTGCTTACTACCATTTTGGAGTTATTAAAGCATTGTTAGATGCGAACCTTTTGCCGGAAGTGATAACAGGAACTTCAGGGGGTGCTCTGGTAGCTGCTTTAGTCGCCACAAGAACCAACGATGAATTAAAGGCGTTGCTTGTCCCCGCTCTAGCTGGTCGAATCAATGCCTGCTCGGAACCATTCACTACTTGGGTGCCTAGATGGTGGAAATCAGGAGCTAGATTCGACTCTGTAGAATGGGCTCGACGATGCAGTTGGTTTACGCGAGGTAGCATGACTTTCCGTGAAGCATACGAACGAACTGGACGAATTCTTAATGTGTCATGCGTTCCTGCTGATCCTCATAGTCCTACCATATTGACCAATTATCTGACAAGTCCTGACTGTGTTATATGGTCAGCAGTTCTAGCTTCAGCAGCTGTTCCTGGCATTTTGAACCCGGTAGTTCTTATGATGAAGCAACGAGATGGTACTCTTGCACCATACTCATTTGGTCACAAATGGAAAGACGGGAGTTTGCGGACCGATATTCCCCTCAAAGCACTAAACCTACATTTCAATGTCAACTTTAGCATCGTTTCTCAGGTTAATCCTCACATTAATCTATTTTTCTTCTCTTCACGGGGTTCGGTCGGTCAACCAGTCACTCATAGACGTGGTAGAGGTTGGAGAGGTGGATTCCTTGGAAGTGCCACTGAACAATATCTCAAACTCGATCTCAAGAAATGGCTGAAAGTAGTACGCCACCTTGAATTACTACCACGCCCTTTGGGTCAAGATTGGAGTGAAATATGGCTTCAGCAATTCTCGGGAAATATTACAATCTGGCCACGATCCATCATCTCGGACTTTTGGCGTATCCTTAGTGATCCGAATCCAAAGCAACTGGGCAGGATGCTCCACGTTGGTCAGCAAAGTGTATTCCCAAAACTAATGTTTATTGCCAATCGACTAAAGGTCGAAAGAAATATTGAGTCTGGAAGAAGAGCAACTCGACAGAATGTGAGAAGAGGTAGTATCGAGAGTATTTTGAGTGAAGATGATTTGAAAGATTTACTTGTACGAAGTGGTACAGCCAGCGAGGCCGAAGGGGAGACGGCTACACAATCAGACGATGAACTAACGGATAGTGTGGTGACATCTGAAGATGAATTTGACGGACTCAATTTGAAGATGAGTGAGAAGGTACCGCTGATTAATGGGGATAAGGAAGAGTAATATTGTGTTTTGGAAGCGAGTTTATGAAGGACATAGATTGGTATTCAGGGTTTATATTGAAGCGTCAGACAAAGGGCATAGTTAGGATACAAGGGTTAGATACACAAATCATATAATATCGATTTCAATTCCGGAATAGTTTCTGGCATAGCTGATGAATTGTGTGCAACGTCGGATGAAACTACATATCACTGCCACTTGATCTTTCTCTTCCATCTTTACTTGACTTTACTTGACTTTACTTGACATTACATAACGAAGGTTTAATCATTCTCTACCCGCAGAAGATACAGTGCAGTATTTCTAGTCAGCGTCTAACTAGCGAATCAACCCTTTAATGAAAGTGGACCGGAAGTGCTGCGTCTTCGACGGGTTACAATATGAGCGAGATAACATATATAGACGTTCACTTCCTACATTAGAAGGAGATGCAAAATAGCCGCGTATAGAATTCCCCCTGAATGCTTGGACGTCAACTCAAGATGAAAATTCTCGTAAACAGGGCTCAGTACGTCGTCTACTCATTTCTGAAGTGGACTGATTTTATCCTGTGGCATAGCTCATTAGGATAGAGAAGGCTGAATTCGAGCCCGTCGAGGGAGAACGGATGAGAGGATAAGCTGCTAACGACGGTGCAGATAATGATAGAAATGAGATTTATCTTACTTTGAATTAAATGCCTGGTTTGAATTTTGATACATGTACATGTTTAGATTAAGTTTATGGGACGCTTCGGGCTATGTGGGCTATGAGAAGATATAAAATCGGTTGTACGTCGTACGTCCGACAACCAGGAACTTTATATTCCTTTTCTCGCTTACTTAAGCACCTTCAGCTCCATCGCGTTCTGTCGCGTCCATGTAACACCCGAACCCATCCCGCCAAATCCTCGAAAACATCTACGAATCTTAGAGTTGCGCAACACAGTATTCCTGTGCCTACCACAATAAATATTCTCAAAAAGTAAGGCGCATACATTAATGATAAGGAATTTCTGAGGTCAGCTTTTTGAGCCAATTCGGATACGATACTGAAGTCAACATTGGCTGAGATCCTACACTTTCGAGCACTTTGGGATAAGAAGTTTACGAGATTTTTCACAGGCGCAAACGAACGACAAGACATCACCAGTAAATTAGAAGATAGCGGCTGGCACTCATATTATGGCGAAATTAAACAATACAAACCCTGCCTTCAAGGCCCCGGTTCGGAAAACGAATGCCACAAACCAACAAAGCCCTGTTGAGCCAAGAAAGGGAAATGGAATGGGGAAGGATGAAATCGCAAAGAAGGGTGAGGAGGGTGGAACGTCGGCAAAAATTTCTGCCCGAAAGACATTTGGAACGGTTACTCAGTTCAACAATTCGGATAGTCCCAGGGCACCAGTCGCGCAGATGATTGCGGATATGGAAAATGAGGAGGACCAAGATGATGACTCAGCGGACGAGATATTGGGCGGACGCAGGGCTGGCGTAGAGGAGGAAGAGGACGAAGACGATGAAGCTGGAGTTCAAAACCAGTTCCAGCGAGAAGTGGCACTTCCGGATTCAACAAAATCTCCAAAAAAGCCAAAATCGTCGAAAAAGCAACTTGCAAGGAAGACGGCAGCAATACAAAACTCTGAGGCCCATCAAGAGGAGACTGCGCAGCACGGTAAACCGCGAGAGGGGCAACAACCAACTCCGATCAGCAAGGGACGATTGGGAGATGATATGTCAGCAGAGAAAGAGACTTCGCGCAGTAGAGGAAGACCGAAAAAGTCAGCCGGTTCGATGGCAACACCTGGTAAAGAAACTGAAATTATAGTGTCGTCGAAGAAATATTCAAAAACTAGCGGCAGACCTAAAGCCTCCAAGAAAATTATTCCCGCAGTTGAACAAGCCGAAAACGAGGATGAAGACGAGGGTCAAGAAGTTGGAGAAGACGAGAATCAAGACGAGGATGAAGATAACGGAGACGGCGATGATTCCGAGGGCGAAAATGCGACGGAAGGTCTCACCAAAGAATCCTTTCAACCCCGTACAGTGCGAGCCTCGCGAATAGACGGTGAGGGAAATGAGCAACTGCTTATTGAGTGGGCAGGATACCCACTTCAGAAAGATTGGACCTGGGAGTCAATTGGAAGGTTGAGGGAGTCATGCCCGGATAAAGTTAAGGAATGGGAGAATGGCGTGCAGAAAGCAGCGGCTGATATCCAAGAGGTCGAAGAGATTCTGGACAAGCGAACGTTCAGGGGTAAGCTTCAATATCGTGTGAAGTGGGACGGATGGCAACATAAACACAACACATGGGAGCCGGCGGAAATGTTAGAATTCGATGTCCCGTATATGGTAGAGGATTTTGAGAAGGCGCTAAAGAAGAAAGCGGAAAAGAAAGGAATAGCAAGAAAGCTAGGTGCGGACGCAGAGCTACCTGCAGCTAAGAGAAGGGGCCGACCCAGGAAGTAAGGAAGACTTGTGGTTTCAAGGTTGTGAGAATAACATTCGGGACTTTGGGGCGGGTTGAGTTGATTAATGGTTAAGACATTTCGAGGTGGAGTTCACAGGATGCACGATACCCCAGTGAAATTTTCAGGATTGCATTTGCTTTGCTTTGCTCATGTTTGTTGTTAAGATACTGATACAACTATGGAACATTTTACTCTCGTTAAATCAGGAATGAAGATCTTTCTCATATGCCATTCTTTTCCTACATATTTTGATTGCTACTATAATGGATAGGATTTGCTGTAGCTATAGATGGATTTATATAAGATGACATACTTTAGCTAGCTAAATTAGTGGATACGTTTCCAGGTCGCTAAGGTTACAAGGTTCCCCGCAAAACACCAAGTTGAACATTGATTAGTTGCCTTGGCAACATGATTCACAATAGATCTTGCAGCGAACGACAGAAGGTTAAGAACTACTGAATACCGATCCGTTAGTGTATTTTGTTTCCCGGAAAATAGAACGCTTCTTCTTGAGAATCATTCCTTTGGTCTTGGAATCTAAAATGATCAAACTATATATATTATAAAGGAAAGATATTGCGGCTAATCAAAGGTATAGTGGTACTTGTTTAATTCTTATCTGTAAACTATAGATAATGGATTAGTTCTAATCGGGGGTTTTTTTTTCACAATCATGAACTAATCATTCTTCAAGTTTTCAAAATCCCAATACCTTTTTTCGATTGAGTATATTTTCATCATAAGGTTCAAGTTAGTCGGCATACACATAATAATAATTGCTTATACTCGCTTATTTGTTTTATCTCCTCTGTTTACTTGTTTATTTATTCATCCCTTATCTATTCTTCTTAGCCATCTCTCTTATTCATCGTTTTATCCATATCTGCGCTTCCTCTCTTCACGCCTTCAAAGAATATCATCATCCGTACAAGTGCATCTTTCTATATTTTCCCCTAAAGTCAAAATGCCGACCGCGGAAGAATTTCAAGAACAACTTCGCTTGGCTAACGCTCGATTTGAAAAACGTCTTGATGAAGAAAAGAAACGGGCTGATGAGGAAAGAAAACGTGCCGATGAACAAAGAAAACGTGCCGATGAACAAAGAAAACGGGCCGATGAACAAAGAAAACGGGCCGATGAGCAACAAAAGCGTGCTGATGAGAAAGAGCAGTTCCAACGCAGAACTACTCTCACCGAGTATCTTGATCTGTGCCATACACATCTCTTCCAATCAATATCTGTTCAGACAAATAAAGCCCTGACTACCCAGAAGGGTATTACAAACCCGAAAGGCAAACTCTGTCCAAACTACCTTCGTCCATGGGATGATTTCCTCCGTATTCAACAAACCACTCACCAGCGCTTGAAGTTGGCATACCGAGGCTCTGATGAGAGGATCTTTGAAAGCCATCATTTCATAGAGGTACTAGGACAAAGAGTGGCGTTACGCAAAATTTCGAGTGAAGCAGATCTTGCCTCTATTCAAAGATCGACCATAGAAGAGCCTGTTACCGCTATCATCCAGCATTTGCAATCCATTGACTCTATACGGAACGAGTTTAATGTTAACTCTGGGATTCTATTCGACAATCACTCTAACGTATTGAGTGACACAGGCGACGAAGTTGCTCAGCGAATTCAGAGTTCACCACCCTCTACGCCTCATCGTTCGATACCTCCTCTTAGTGGTCTACGAGCTGACCAGATATGCGTATATACACACGAAAACGGTGATTCTACACTTCGAAAACTCGCATTTGTGGTGGAATACAAAGCTCCTCATAAGCTCGTCCTTGCCAGTCTTCGTTGTGGCCTCCGGGAGATGGATGTCAAAGCTGTCAGAAATGCTTCTTCCATTCCCAGTCCCAAAATCACGGACGAGAATAAACAGGAGATAGACAATCCCGCGCTTTTTCAATATTATGCTGATCGATTAGTGGCGTCTGTCATGGCACAAACATTCTCATATATGATTCAAGGTGGAGTACAATATGGTTACATTACAACAGGCGAAGCTTTTGTTTTCCTTCATATTCCACCCGAAGATCCAGGGACACTATACTATCATTTGATCGAGCCTGAAAATGATTTGAAGTTAGAAAGGGACGCAGGGCAAGAGTCCATCAATCGTACTGCAGTAAGCCAGGTCTTGGCATTTAGTTTCTTAGCAATGGAGCCGGAGCCAACGAGCCAAACGTGGCGTGAGGATGCTATAAATATACTCGATACTTGGGAGGTGGACTATGAAGCTATTCTTCGTGAAATACCTGGAACCGTACGAAAGGATCCGCCACAATCGGCGTATCGTGGGAAAGCGTATCCTCCGGTTGACCAATTCAAAATGGTCCTACGCAAAAAAAAGCTCAGTCAGAGCACATGCAAAACACCTCCGACCGCCCCCAACAAGATCGATTCAGGCCTATCTGATGACAGTGACCACGGTGATCACGGTGATCACGGTGATCACGGTGATCACGGTGATCACGGATATCACGGATATCATGATACGCCTACTCGTCGCAAATCGCAACCCGCCAAAAACAAACGTCCGTCGCAGAATCGAGGAAATCGTTGTAAAAACGCAAATGTTCCTCAGGACGGTGCTCAGAAACGACCTTTTTGTACCCAAAGGTGCCTTAAGGGTCTTGCAGAAGGGGGTGTTTTAGATATGTTCTGTCCTAATGTATCAGACCATCTTGTGAAGGGACTAAGTAGCAATCAACATCAACTTGATAGGCAAAGCTTCCTCACCCTTCTACATCAACAGCTTAAACGCAATCGAGATGATGACTGCTATCCCTTGGGAGTACAGGGTGCTCGCGGTGCTTTGTTCAAAATAACACTGACTTCACACGGCTATACTGTGGCAGCAAAGGGAACAGTGGCAGCTTTCGTAAAAGACCTTGAGCACGAGCGCCAGATTTATCGGCATTTATGGACAATGCAAGGCGTTCTGGTACCAGTCTGCTTAGGAAGCATAGACCTTGCTCATCCGTACTATTACGATATCGGAGTGCAAATAGTCCATATGATGATTCTCTCGTGGGCTGGAGAAAGACTGGACGGGAATATGGCTCTGAAATATGTGGATCAGAAGAGGTTAGATACCGTGGTGAGGCAATCGATTGAAGAACTCCATCATGCTGGGATATTACATGGTGATCTACGAATACCAAATGTATTGTGGAATACAGAAATTGATGGGATTATGTTGATTGACTTCGAGCGATCAAAATTCATAAAAGATTTTGGACGAGCCCTCGCACAAATTTCTCCAAACCGGGAGAAGAAGCGGCATGTCTCGGTCGAGCAAGTCTCGGGTAAAAAGGTCAAAAAGAGTTCGTCAAACTCGAAAACCCAGGTCGAAATCATGTTCATGAATGAAATGTCATCTGCACAAGGAGAGGTTGCTAGCTTTCTAAACCAAGTGATTGTCAAGGATGGGTGAGTGTTGGCACAAGTGGAAATGGTAATAATTGGCGATGGACTGCTGTGTTTTTTCTATTCTCTTAATAATCCAATATATTATACTCCGTAACGAATGCACGATGGGAAATAGCTGGTATAACGAGGTTTTGGGCAGAAGGCAATTGTTTTATTCTTGTTATTGATAAGTCTATGGTTCAACGGGGCGCTCTCTCACTACTAGCTTTTGAAGTAATATAAATTATATCATTCGGTCCCTTTCATTCTGGTTTACCTTCATGAGTGAGTGAGTGACCTGTAGCTTTATGAGGGTTTTATTTAGTGTCTCTGTCGCCTGATTAACAGTACAGTACAGAGTCGATTAATATGAGACGTTGACGAGGACCTGGGAGTATGCACATATATGGAGTATATACTCGAGTATATACTCGAGTAGCTACTCTTACAATATTTAAAGGAGAGAAGAATTGGTCCAACCGGGGTTACTTCGGTATATCTTTTAGGCCGAAAATGGCGGCGGAACGCCAAGGCCCCTACCAAATCAAGGAGGATGATGTTCCTCTGTTCCTTAACTAGTAGAAATTTATATAAGCCACCGTGACATTTAATTCGTGATGCCGCAGTGCCCACTATTCATCGCGGGAGTAAAATGAACATGAGGGGTTGAGGGGCAACTTGTTATATTATTTATAGTGGTGCTCTCCCATGTATCCAAATTCTTCTTCTTTTTTGACAAAGTATACACTTTTTAGCACATCATCTATTCAAAATGACACATAAAAAATTCAATGTGGGAGTAATTGGCTATGGGTATGTACTCTCCCTCAAGATCTCCTCTGACGTAGACTAACTGAAGCTCATAGCATGTCAGCCAAAGTCTTCCACATTCCACTCATTCTTGCTACTCCATCCTTCAATTTGCACTCAATTGTCCAGCGAACCCCTAAGCCAAATGACGATGCCTCCAAAGATCATCCGGAAGCAAAAATCTACAATTCCGCAGATGCTATGTTTGCAGATTCGGCAATTGATATCATTGCCATAACGACAACTCCCGAGACACATTACCCCTTCACGAAAGCCGCCTTGCAAGCGAATAAACATGTTTTGGTTGAGAAACCATTCGTGCCTACATCTGCAGAAGCTTCGGAGCTTATTTCTATATCCAAGGAGACTGGAAAGTTCATTTGCGTATATCAGAATAGAAGATGGGATTCGGATTTTTTGACTGTTAAGAATTTGATGGGCAGTGGCGCGTTGGGAAGGGTAGTCGAATTTGAGACACATTTTGATAGATATAAGGGCGAGAAACCTGCGACCTGGAAGGGCACATTAACCATGGAGGATGCTGGAGGTGTGGTGTATGATCTTGGAACACATTTGATTGATCAAGCATTTTGCTTATTTGGCCTGCCGAAGACAGTCACAGCGATCTTTGCAAATCAAAGAGCTGATGGCTCAGCAGAACCAGATAGTATGACAATTATGCTGGGTTATGGCGCAGAGGGACCGTTAGTAACCGCAAAGGCTGGGGTAAGCATCCATCAAATTTTTTTCGTTACTACTCTCTTTGAAAATATTCTGATCATTAACTTCTGTAGGTTATGTGTGTCGAAGAAGAGCAGTTACGATACTGGGTCCGAGGATCACAAGGCAGCTTTAAGAAGTACCATCTCGATGTTCAAGAAGACCAACTGAAGGCCGGTCTTAAACCCGGTGATGCTGGCTTCGGTGTTGAACCAGAAGATAGATCCGGGAGACTAGTAGTATTCGAGAATGGCAAACCCAAGGGCAGCACAGTCAAGAACGTGACTCCGCAGACTTATGCCACTCTCTATCAAGGCTTTGCCGATGCTGTAGCTAGTGGCAGCGAAGATGCTGTTCCAGTGAAGGCAAGTGAGGCTAGAGACGTTTTGAGAATTATTGAGGCAGCTAGGGAAAGTGCTAAGAGTGGAAAGACCATTGCGCTGTAAGGCGGTCGATTCCAGCTTTTGTTTCGGATTGACGAGGAAATATTCTAGGAATCTTTCAACTGTATATTTTGACATGTTGTCTTCCTCTCTATCTGTACATGATATAATAATACACAGAGACATAGGTTCATATGAACTTGATAGTGGGAGAGTTCATCGATGTACTGTTTCCATATTACCCGTGGAATGAACAGATCGTATGGTCAGCACAATATCGTTTCTATATGTGAGGCTTCCACTACCAGTATATGAGACGTATCATTTTTTTTTGACCGCTACCTTCAAGTGTGATGCGCGGCTACTGCTTTCTCGTCCATCTCCCTCTTCTCCTCCACCACCAATTATCTGGCTCGGTAGACTCCGACATCCATCTTGTCCGGTATCAAAGCTGAGCTATAAACTTGGCAAAGCCTTATCACTCGTAGGGCTCAGCTACATCCCTATGGAGTTGATTAAAAGGAAACCTACTTGAGCGCAAGTAGTTAATTACCAACAGTGATTTATTTCTGTTTGTGCAAATGGTATCCGATATCGATATTCCTTCTATGCCATGCATTGTGTGTGTGGACTTGTTTAGAGCTCTGAAATCACTCAGTACTTACGTCGTAGATATAGACAGTCTGTTGTTGAGAAACGGAACGCAATTACTCGTTATATTGTGGTTGATGGCAGATTTCTAGGTACTTGCTACATTATATCATGTCATTTTCACTCATTTTAATAGATGTTACCTACCTAAGTAGTTAGGGTGAATATCTTACCTTTGGAACATCAAAAAGTGAAGGTGGTTTTCTGTAAGAAATCTGCGTTATTGTATTCATTCAAATAGAGTATAATTTAGATTTAAACACTGGAAATATTGATATTAATGTATGAATATTAATAGTAATTCTAATACTAATACGAACCTTATATTAAACCTTTTCTTTTGGTAGGTTAGCCCTGAAAGGCTTTACTTTACATCACCACGACCATGCGCGAAAAATCAAAATCTTCATGTAATAATTCTATGCAAAGTATGTGATTATGGATAAAGTATCTTTGGATTTCTATTACCATTTGGGGACTTTTGACTAACAGATTTATCGCCTTTTTAAAATGGCGATTACCAACCATCGCTTTCTGGCGAAGGCATCTCGATCCTCTGCTCCTCTGTCTGTAAGCCACTCTCTCTCAACACCGTTGGCATCCCTTTCATAGATGGATTCTATTTCCAACCCAGCTGCTGCCAGATTTTCGTCTTCGAAGAACCCACGCATTAATTCCCGGCCTGTGTGGAAACCTGCACATATCCAAGCCCTACATATTCATTGAATCAGTACTTCTGCCAAAGGGGGATTCCATCCACTCATCTGTACCTAACTCAATATTTTCCACTAGGTAAGGGCAAGAGAAACAAAAAAAAGAATGAGACAACTCCTTCACCACTCACCGTCCATCTTCCTTCAAAAACCACCTAATTGACTTCAAAAGATTCTCATGCTGCCATGGCATCCACAAACAATCTGACGCGATCACCCTAGTAAACCTCTCTTTATTATCTATCGAGAATTGGTCGTCCAAAACTCCCCATTCATGACCTTGTACCGTCACATCCCCGAACCCGCTGGCCTCAATATTCTTCGCTACATTCGTCCGTAAATTCGCAAGCACATTTTTGTCAGGATAATCGCTAAGAACCACCTCTTTTGCACCCATCAACGCAGCCACTATCCCCGCTATCCCAGTCCCGCTTCCCACTTCTAAAACACTCTCCCCAGTAACCTCCCATCGTTCCCTACCACCTCTCTTCCCATCCCCGTCTTCAAAAAGCTCCGCTAATTGTAATCCGGCATTCCATACATAATGCGCGAATAATAGACGACCTTTTTCACCTGCTGGCGCAGATAGTTCTAATATTATCTCGCCTAATGTTGGGGATGTATATACAATATATTGATCCCTATCGCCGTGATGGTTTTGGATATCGTCGGGAAAGAGCACGGAGAGGGAGGTTTGGAGATAGTCTTCGGGTTCTGTGAATTCGGGCTCGATGCGAAGTTTGTCGGTTAGGACGCGAGACATTTTTGGGGGAGGGGATGGGGATGGGATTTTTGGATGTTTGATGGGATTTGGTGATTTCCTTGTAGGGTTATTGTAATGGGAGTAATTTTATCAGGTCACATGTACGCTAGTATAGTTTAGATCTAATGCAGAACTGGGTATTTCTACCCTGTCTGTTCTATCCTTCAATCTACACACCTATCGTCTAAAACGCATCGCTTTTCTAATATGGCTTTTTTTTTCTTGGCGGGACGGTGTTAGGCATAATATAGCAAGCACGATAATGAGTGGGTCTATATAATCAGGTATCGTAACTCCAATAATAGGATAACCCTCTTTACACCTACAATATAGAATCATTCATAGTGACCCACACAGGGAATAGGTTCTTGGAAGGGTTCCTGGCTTCAAGAAGATGATTTGAATTCTATGTTACACCACTCGATTCGACCTGCCAGTATCGAAAAATGAAGATATACTCCTCGATTGACGATGTACCTCAAGCTTCACTCTCAAGTTCGATCCCCTTGTTATTTCTCAGGTCTGCTGCCCGTACAGGGCGCTCAACTACGAATTCTGTGGCCGATGATTCGCTCCGGTACACATACTTTCGTAGCTTCAAGTCCTTGATTAAGGCATATTTCCGATAAGCCGATAGGTTTTCAGATGAATCGAATGCCTGATGACGCCATAATACATTGGTTTATATGGTTTGAGGCTGAGAGGCGGTTAGCTTCAGAATTCGGGGCTGGGATGGTTCAAAGGTTTTGCAGAGCTTGATAGCTAGAAAAGGGTACGGGAATAGCTTCATATTTGCTGGTTTTTTGATCGATATTGTTAGGAGGGAGGGGGATTGTGTTAGGTCTAATATAGTAAGTATAATAATAAGACAACCCTTTTCACATGTATAATATAGAATCATTCAACGGAATAATTGTTAAGTGTGAATACTAGCCTTGACTAGGAAGGTGGGGCAGATATGGAGCGCAAGGATTAGCGCTGCGGGACGACCCCTCACACGTGATTTTTAGCTCATTAAAAAGGATGTCTAATGTTAACTAATACACCAATTCAAAAGATCGAGGTATGAATCCTTTTTTTAAAGTCAAGATCCTATCCCAAGTCCTTACGCAAAATGCAACATGCAACATGGGCAGATATCAAATGTATCCCGATTCAAAGGGCATAAGATTACTACCAGAGCTTAAGCAAAAATAACATCAGATATTGAGGTATACGCTCTTTGCAGTCACAGAGATATACCACTATTTTGACTGTCGATATGTATACAAACGCCTCTATTACCAGAGAAACTGATCTCCCACTATCATCCTCTGGCTTGTCGTCGATTTCTATGAGATGAAGTCCAAGCGGCCACGCGTTTTAATTTATCAGACAAATATACCGGATATCCCTTTTCCGTCTACTAAACCACGTTTAAATAAGGTCATCATTTGAGATCATATTTTTCTGTACTCAAACAGCCCTTTGGATTTGATATTTTCTCGGGAATTTTCCATAACACAAGCCAAACGCCTCGTTCAACGCTTACATACCTCAAGAACTAGGTCATCGGGCATATTCGGACCAGATTTGTAAATCTTAGCGTAAGATGCGAATCTACACTCTTGAAGTAACGGAAGTGAATATGATGAGGAGATATCTGAGGGCTATTCCTTGAGCTTAAAAGAATCTACTGGAATACCTGCTGCGAATGCAAAGGCCGGCATTCGGCAAAATGCCCGCCCATTGCGACGCAAGTGGTATGCAAGAAGATATCTATTAAGAAGCAACGAACTCCTCTAACAAGCTTTTTCACTACAGCGAAAACTTGCCGAATTCCATTCGAAGCTTTCAAATCTGCAGCTGGCCATATTTCTGAAGCCGTCAACTGGTCGATAATGATGTGTGAGATTCCGAAGCTAATTCGAGAGATTTTTATTTAAAAACCGCATGCGCGTCAGATCAAATGGCAAGATTGGATGTATGTTCATTGCCATTGCCATTGTCATAAAAATTGACATACTGCTACTAGAACATAGTGTAGTAATGAAATATCGGAAGAGATATCGTCGGATGTTAATCTCTCATACTTTGCATTCCTGATTCATCGTAAGTTCAATGAAAAAGGCGGTCGCGCTGGACTTGTGTACGGCATATTTGTTGTAGTGTTTGTCTCTATTCCTTGGTTATCTGAAGCATTTGGTAATTATCAACTCCCAAATATGGGCCGAACTTCTTGGCGTGACTGAACTTTCTCTTTGTATTCACCTAAACTCTTTATAATACACTCTGCATGCCATAAGAAGCTGCCTTTAACTTTTGAGCGTCCCAATAGCCGCTTCCACGTTTATGATAGTGGGTCATATCCTAAATCGGTGGCGGAGCGGTCTGAGGAGAAAATCCTAGCAGATCGTTATCGCCAATGCCATTAACATATACATCTTCAAAAACCTTATGGGGCTATTCACTTTCCGGGTGATCTACAGCTATCTATAAATTTGCTCGAGAACTAGAAGGAGTGAAATGTGTAACTCTATAGCGTCACCAAATGAGGAAAGACTAAATGTAGTATCATCCGAAAATTCAGAATCAGGTACGTCCCGAAACACGGGATTCGTCTTCACACATCGATGTGCCGAATCTCGATCTAAATTTCTTAAAATCCTTATTAGCTACAAATGAGGACTACAAATGTAATGATGAGAAGAATGAAAAGCAATTGAAGAAATGGCCATATTCCTATTTTCGACAGTAATAGTAATTCGTGAGAAAAAGAAAAGTAACGTCGATGTATATAAATCTGCTAGACAAAAAAATTGCACGGATGAACAAGATGTTTCGAAACCGTCGACTTGTTACTGGTGATGAGGTTGAATTTTCATTGATCGTTTTCTATTGCAGGACCTTAGAATATATAGTAAGACACGAACATAAGCCATAGAGCGCGAATATCCATCTTTCCTCGCTTAACGAATCTCCTGCTACGCATACGTACTATCACCTAATCCACCACCGATTTACCACATAAAATTGTATATACAAACAACAGCCATACATTCAGAAGCCACTAAAAATGGGAGACACCCCAGGAATTTCCTGGATGGCACATACAGCCGTAAATGTCTAAGCTATCGTTGCTGTTCCCGTACTAGCGAAAACCTAACCCCCTTTTTTTTTTTTGGCTTTTCAAATCCATACATTGGTCGTGCTTTGTTGATTAGACATATTATTAGACATATAGTATAAGAATTTTTATGGTGGATGTGTAAGAAGAGTGTTATTGGCGAGAATGGTGATTCGTTGGGAGGTACACCATTCTCAATACCCATGTTCGGGTTAATATTTCGACGGAAAGGTAAACTCGGACAGTGGTGACTTGCCCAAGTACTTGTCCATGGCTCTTTATCATTGAGGCAATACGCCCAATATCACTTAATGGATGAGATAAATGTTTATGTCCATCTATAAATAACATAACTGATTTCTTTTTCGGGAAATTTGCATCGATAATCAAATACACCAGGAAACTCGATGCAACTGGAGCTACTTGACACTTTACAAATGCAGACTACTGCTGATTATTAAAGCACGACATGTTATCTCAAGGAACCAAGCATGACTTAATCGAAGGGCAGAACAATGTAGCAGCAATAGCAGGCTTTCACATAAACATGTTTGATAAAAAGGGTATCGTAGTACAGCCTAACTCCAGATAATTACGATTACTCCTCGAAGAAACCTCCATCACTAACATTTCCGTCTTGTGCCTCGTCTGCTTTTGCTCCCTCGACGGCCCCAAATGCTTGGTTCTTAGAAAAACCTGTAGACTTATTCTTTGCAATCTTCGTAGCCCTCGAATCTTTCACCCCGCGCTGGGCTCTTCTCTGGCGTCGATTCATTCCTGTAGTATCAATTGATGGAGCTTGCTCTTCCAATTTTGGTTTTGGTACTGGCTTATGTTTTACAGACTTTCTCTCCGGAAGTTTGATGGATTTTGTGGTTGAAATAGTGGCCTCTGGTTTTCTATTCCTTAATCGATCAAGAGTTCCTTCCTCCATGCACTTTTCAACCTCCTTCCACATCGGAGGCTTCGCCTTATCCGCTTTGTCCTCTGTATCCTCTTTCGATCCTTTCGGGGGATATAAACTAATGTATGTTTCGCTTAGAGGGTGGTATTGAGTATAATTGAGATCCACTTCAAGAATGTGCATTTCTTCCTTCAATTGCTCAACTTCCTCGGTAGATTGTGTTTCCAGAAGGCGTTTTCGAAGCTTCTTTAGTTGTCTAGTGGCCTTTTGACGCTCTAAAATACCAAATTAGTACGAAAAGCAAGCCCTATGCGACAATATCATACCAAAGAATCGAACCATGTGGTATTTCTTGATCATTTTCTGTCTAATTTTCTCTGCTTCCGCAGAAGCCAATTCCTGTTGATATGCAGCAAGAGCCCGTTCATTCTCTACGCGCACATCTGCAGGAAGATCTTGTGCTCTTTCAAGCTTCCTTGTTGTATCTCTTATCTTCTTCTTTATGGTATTAACGCTTGAAGCATGTGCTTGTTTCTTGTTGAATGCGGGTTCTGACTTGCGCTTCTTTGCAGGTTTAGGCTCATCACCATAGACTTGAACTTGTCTAGATGGGTGTACCACTTCCGCGGCATCTGAATCTGAAAGTTTCCGTTTAGGTGCCATGATGTTGTTGAGTTGGAGTAAAACTTGTTTCAATGTTGAATTTGTTGTAGTTGCTCAGCCTTGTCAAATTTGTTAAACTTACAGAATATTATTTTTCCTCCACACCTACCTACCTATCCGGAATAACCTCGGGATGACAAAGCAGGAACATCTTCAAGATAATTGCAAGAAGTAATAAATAAGTATTTCGATTTCCTCTCTTCAAGTATCTCTGCTTTATTATTTCTCCTACGTGAAAAAACTGAAGATCTGATCCAGTTCTTATTTTCATCTCATCCCTTCAGTCTCATTGAGGGGCAACCACAGAATCAACCTTCAAGGAATACATGGGTTTTGGAAGCTATTCAAACTAACAGTTGATTTATAGATCTAGGACGGAGAGCTACCTGCTACTCCAAACTTGTTTGGATCGCGAAACCTACGAACTAGCAAGTCATTAAAAACTATCGCTCCCTACTCAGGCGAAAATTAACGAATTTTAAGTCAGAAATCTTGGAATTCCAATCCACTCCCCTGAAAACACGGATATTGAAGATCAATAGGGCTACGAATTCAAAACCTTTCCAGAGCAGGACTCTGCCAATCATGAACTGTGAATGAAACTATTTTCGATTTTTATCCTTTCAGATTTTGGCCAAAACGTTCAAGCTTTGCGACTCTTCATCTGGACTGTGAGTTTCGCTGAGGTGCCTCTTGACTGCAGGCAGATCAGCTGACAGCTACTTTCCAAGTCGGAATAGGGACGGACTTGTTACCGTAGCGATTCAACCAGCCGGGTAGAAGCGCGAAGTCAATAAGTTCAAGCGGCTAGATTGAGTTAGGGATTACCAGACTGGAACTTCCAGCAAACATGGACAAGACGGAGGGAATCATTAGATGGTCGCCAAACTCAGCTCGTGCGCAGTTTGTCGCATTCAATCTGAATTATCGAATCCTTCAAGTCTATGAGGCCAAGGGCCTTGCACGGCCAGGAAACTTCGAGTATGAGCCCCTATCTCGTTACATTGATATCCCCTCTTTGAATACGTTCGACTGGTCGCCAGTTGTCGAAGGATTGGTTGCTGTTGGTACTTCTAGTGGCGAGCTTCAATTACTACGAGTTGACGACAATTCTAATGCTGTTTTGTCTCTTTCTATCAAGCAGCCAAGAGCATGTCAAGCCGTCGCTTTTAACACTACTGGATTGCTAGCGATTGGTCTTGAAAGAGTTCGCAATGATGGCTCTTTGCAAATTTGGGATATTAATCAACGCCTAGCTGATTGGGATACTTCTCAGCCAGGATGGAAAGTCCCAAATAATGCAGTCGAGCCGAGAAAGTTAGAGTCGGCCACCGTGAGTGGACGTAAACAAAGCACCCTTGACGGCGCTACTGACAACAAACAGGTAACTAGCATTAAGTTCTTTGAAGATCAACCGCAAACCCTTGCTATTGGTATCAAGAACTCTTCTGTCCGGATCCACGATCTCAGAGGTTCGTTGAGTTTCATCTTGTCGGTAACACATACTGAAATAGAATAGATCCGAGTGGTGGAGTAATCACATTTCAAACTAAATGCAACAATAACCTCACCATCGACTACTCAGACCCCAACTACTTTGCTTCTTCTTCTTTAGATCAACCTGGAGTCATGGTCTGGGATCGACGTGTCAGCACTCGAGCTACTGCCTCTCCGATGTACTTGGACGCTTTTGATAACGATGGATATGCTTGGGGGGCCGCTTTGCAATTGAAGAAGGTCATTTCCACCGACAAACAAGGCTCATATATTAAATCATTGCGCTATTGTCGAGAGCAACGGGGAACTTTGGGCGTTCTGTCGAATACCGGCCAGCTTCAGATTCTGAAGACTAACAAGGAGTATTACGATCCTGGTTCTGAAGATGATGTTAAAGGAAGTCCGGAGCTACTTCAAGTCAGCAGGTCGTCTGATCTCGAATATCCATATTTCGACACAGATCGTGGGCGCAAGCAGGAAGATAGGATAGTCTCTTTCGATTGGTTAACCCTCGGTACTACAGATCTACAGCCACGTGTTGTTGCATTGAGGGCTTCTGGATCATTAGAAATCATGCAAACACCGCCTACTAGCACCGATCAAATGATGGAGTTCATGCCATGGCAACAGCCACATAATCACGACAAAGTGCCATATCACACTTTGATGGACTTTGCAGATGCCACCGAGCGTAGAGCAAATCTTGGCCCTCTTTATGCAAACGAACTGAAGTTTAATACACCCATATTTGGACCAGATGGATACAACACCCCACATGTTCAAGAGTCGCTAGCGGCTGCTCTTGACAAAGCTCTTGAACGTCCCGAAGCTCCAGCATCAGATGTCAAGAAAGAGACCCCTGGCAGCCAGATTAGCAGAGCATCTTTCACGAAGTCGACTTTTGCGGAAGCTATTGATCGACAGTTCGAGATTGCCGACGATCCTGTTCTGGAGACATTCCCCAAGGGTGGAGGTGTCGGCGCTGAGAGCGTCCATGGTTCTTTGAGCGAGAAATTATCTGCTATAAATCTGTTGAGCAAATTCAAGTCCCAAGATCCATCAACAACTAAGATTTGCTCAAGCAGGGATATGCACGAGATCTTACTTAGATCTCGCATACCAGCTTCTAAGGCCGACGCTATGCTAATTGATAATCTATTCATTGAACGTGCTCTCAACGGGTACTTGTTTGATTGTAACAAAAACAAGTCACTGGTCAAAGAAGATCCATGGCTTAGAGACGTATGGTATTGGATTTCACGTAAGTTACTTTTCTGGGTGTTATTGATACTAGCTAATATAACTAGTGGCCGAGAAAGCAGCCAAGGATGATGGAATGCTGTCCTCAACCCTTGACCTTAGCTATTTGGGAGCCTATACTTTATGGAACAACAAATTAGGTGGCAAGGCCGAATCAAGACTTGTCGAAAGTACTGTTGTTCCTGATCCTACTCAGTGGGAAAGACTTATTGCTGTTATCAACAAACGTATTGGCTATGAAGAGTATACTGGTGTACCAACTATGAGGCCACAGCATCGACAATTATGCCTTGCTCAGTGCGGTTTTGCAAAACCTGTAGCAGAGCTTAGAGAAATTCTTGCCCGCTTACAAGGAAGAGGAGAGTATACCAAAGCAGCTGCACGGGCGCTTTTTGAAGGAGAACCTGAACTTGCAGTTGATATCCTTAGGCGTGGAGACAAAGAGCTAGTATTTGCTGCTGTAGCACTCGATGTTACAACCAAGAGTCCTCCCAACGTTGATCTATCCAATTGGAGCAAGACGCTTGAAGATCAAGCTCACATGTCTGGAGATCCATATCTCCGAGCTATCTTTGGCTATGTCACAACACGAGACTGGGAGGTCATCGCAAATGAGACAGCTTTACCATTGAGATACCGCGCTGGAGTTGCTTTAAGATACCTTAGTGATCTTCAACTCACAGAGTGGCTTGACAAGGAAATGGAAGAAGCTATCGTACACGGAGATATCGAAGGCATTGTTCTTGCCGGGATCACAGACAACATGGTCGATATTTTAGCGAAATATGTTGCAAAGTTTTTCGATTATCAAACCGCCATTCTAATCATGTCTTTTTGCTACCCGCGATACATTTCTGATATTCGCTGCGATGCCTGGCGCCAAAACTATCAAGCTTATTTAAATCGCCATCAGCAATTCATCCTACGAGTCCAATTTGACCAAGGCTCAGCCAAGAAATCTCGTCAACGAGACGGCATTCCAGTTATCAAACCTCCAATCCGCCAAGTCACCGTCCGCTGTCTCTACTGCGATAACCGTTCTTCAAATGATCGTCACAATGCTTCAGGCGCTGCTCCCGCCCCCCCTAATTCATCCGCCGGTCCTTCCTCTTCTGCTGATGAACGCAATCCTTTAATCTCCAGTGGAATCAATGCAGGTCTTAGCTGTCCTCGCTGTGGTTCGCACTTACCTCGCTGTGGAATATGTTTAGAAATTTGTGGTTCTCCGAGGTCGGATAGGCCTGAGCTGTCAAACGATCCGATGATTAAAAGGATGGGCAATCAGTTGACTTTCTGTATGAAATGTAAACATGCTGCTCATATGGATCATGCGATAAAGTGGTTTGATAGACATTTGGAGTGTCCAATTGCGGAATGCAAGTGCCAGTGTAACTTTAGGCCTAATGCGGATATTGCTTAAGTTTAGATGGAATAGTAGGATAGGTTGTCAGAACGAGTTTCAATGGCGTTATGAGTGCACGGATGCACATGGGTGGGTATACCCCTTTCTAGTATGATACTGGAAGCGTTCGTTATGGTGCAGAATAAAAATTTGTTTAATTGTTGTGGATGATACACCCGCGTGCGTGTATTGCAGTTTGCGAACCACGATTTGAGATGAGTCCGTGGGTAAAATTCGACAAAAGTGAGATAGCATTGCAATGACCTATCTCTATCCGGAAATGCAGATGTCAATCCTTTTAGTAGGTAGCCATTACCCTCTTAAGAGTCTGTTCTTTTCCAAGCTTATAGATATTTCTAATTTGCCGGCCTGAAAACAGATTCGTAAGTAAATATACAGATCATTGTTTTGATCAGATCATATTGAAAGGATAATTTAATTAATGACTTAAAAAAAGAATAATAGTTTTTTATTTAAGTTTTGATTTTTGCTAGAATTTAAATAATGAAAACTTTGATATATTTTTATTATCTATTTATAATAAATTGAATTAGATTAAGTCTGAATTAATATTATTATAAAAACTATGTAGAAATAATTATTTGTATTATGCACACTATCTAAACTTTTATATACGCTGATTGCAGGCAAAAATCTATTTTTAGGGGGGTTTGCACAAGGCTGGTTGGCCTCCTCGGTAACCTTACCTGTCTTTCTATCGGTAATGTTGCTGTGCTTGTAACGCCAATCTCCTAACCCTCAATATAACCCAAACGTCTTCCATTTTGGACTCCCCTTTTTGCAATTGAAAATAAAACTTCTGATACTGATACAATCCCTGGCTTAAAAAAAAACCCCTCAATGAATTAGTCTTGAAGATCATCGCTCCCCAATCCAGCGTCTCATCTACAGACCCGGAATGCCTGCTTAAATAGGGTAGCTGACCTCTATCGTGGCAGTCACGCTCGAATCCACCGGCACCCACACCACAGTTGCTCCCATGGCACTAGCTAATTCCTGGCGAGCCTTGTGCGTACCCTCGATCTTCACCGTGACAGTGTTTAGGTCCATTTCCGCCGCTGGCCATCTCGATTCGTGCCAGAATACAATCCGGTACTCCGGCCCGATGTCCTTCTTGACCTGCTCGTCTGTATATTTGCACCATGGCGTGCTGACTGTAAGTTTTTGTGTATCTCGGAGCTGATCATCGGCGAACTGCCTTGTAGTTGTCTGTTCAAATTTGACATGGCGAAAGATACTCTTGGCTTTACGATCACCATATGCATTGAATGACTGCATCTCTTCATTTCCTTGCGGCGTGGTGCGCAGCGACGAAAGATATATATTGTCAGGCGCACTCTCCCTTGACACACCGTCGTCGAGATACATATCGTACGTGTTGTTCTTTCCAGGATATACGTTGATTGTGATTGGATTCTGGCGAGCGTCCCTGTCGTGCCGGGTGCGGTCAGGGACGCTGTCGCGGACTTCAATCTGAGGAATGATGGCACCTTCACGGATGTACATTGGAGTCACGTATGGAAGCTGCTCTTCGTTCGGAGAAATGTGGCAGTCAAAGCAGACGTACGTGCCACCGCTGACTTTCGGCTTAAGGTGTTCAGCAAATATGCCACCCGAGGTTGTTCCGGGCCGGAGATTCATAGGATACCAACCATCCGGTGCGGGCAGGTAAAGTTTGCGATAGCGGCGCTTAGATTGCTTGTAGAGGTGTGGTGCAACGAGCAAATCGTTGCGGACCAAATACTGGCTTCGAGTGTACACTTGATTGGCTTGATACAGCGATGAATCAAAGGGGTCAGTGATGATCATGGAGCGGGCAATAGGCAGACCAGTGATCATGTTCTCAAACATGGCATCATAGAGAAGCTGAAGCAAACTGTATCTCAACTGTACCATGTAACGGCAGATTGGCAACACGGAATGATACATGTTGTGGTCTTCTTCGGGCACCTGCTGCCATTCAGGTTTGTCCCGTAACTCTCGATATGCGTACGGCTCCTGGAAGAGCTTCTTGCCTTCCTTGGCTGAGTAGTGATTTCTGAACCAAGGAAGCAAGCTGTACGCACAATACCACCGGATCAACAACTCTGGGTCAGCCCATTTTTCACCTTCGTTAGGCTCAAAGCCTCCAACATCCGCCCCAGCAATAGTCATACCAGCAAGGCCAAGGGCAAGCACTTGAGCTACCGATATATCCAAAAATTCCCAGGTGGAGGCATTGTCACCTGTCCAAAGTCCAGCAAAACGCTGGGCACCGGCGAAACTACCGCGGCCAATGATGAAATTTCGCTTGCCTTCACGGCTACCTAGATTTTGCAGGCCCTGAAAAGTCGCTTTGTGAAGGTTGTAGCTGTACAATGACCAGATCTCAATCGCTTTCTTCTTATCGGCAGCACGTGGGTCTCCGTTCCACCCATCTGAATCAAGAAGTAATCGGAATGGCCATCTTTTTTACACGTGTCAGTGCCAACTAATGGTGTGTGAGAGAGATGGAAAGATTTCTTACGATTTCATATCCCCAAACCCTTCTGCCATACAAGGCGAAGTCATATCTTGCCAAACAAATTCAAGTCCCATCTTAAAGAGATATTCGTATTGCTTTCCCCACCACATCCGCACGTCTTTACGATTGAGATTTGGATAGTGACCGGGAGTGCCCCTATGGTCACCATAGTCAACTCCACCACGGAATGGTTTACCAGTATTGAAATAGTCTTTAAGCCTAAAATCATCCGGGGGATCATACCGTGGAAGACTACTCTCTAGATTTGGGTTTTTGAAGTAGCGATTTCCTTTGCCAAAATTGAGCGAAACCTGATGCTCGGCCGTGGGAGCCGACGGGTCGATGTCGCGGCGATCAAGGACAAAGTATTTCTTTTCCAAACCTTCTTCAAATGTCGTGTATGGTTCTCCGGGAATCTTACGACAACTGATGATTGGTGTGATGTTTGTGCTACATTTGACGCCTTGCTTTCTAAGTCGGTCAAACATTTCGTCAGGGTTGGGAAATTTATCGTCGGCAGTGTCGATAGTGAAGGTGCGATAATCACGCTGGATGTCAACATCAATGTGCATTCCATCCAAGGGGATCTTATATGCCCTATATTTGTCTACCGTTTCTTGTACTTTCTTCTTGGTATCGTACCCGTAACATCCTTGGTGGTAACCAAGCACGAAACGCGGCTTTAGCTGTGGTTTTCCAATGAGTGAGGTGTAGGAACGAATGATCTGTGCAACATCGTCACCAGCGATGAGAATGCACCGAAAACCGTTGAATCTGGTGGCAACACGGACCTGGGTGGATTCAACTAAGCCAAGATCCACTTTAACGTCTGAATAGTTGTCAATAAATGTTGCCAGTTGCGACTGTGCCCCCGGATGCGCATTCATTTCTATCCAGTAGGGCTCAGAATGGTAGAGCGGTTCGCTATCTGAATAAGGTCCATCTCCATAAACATTATTATAGCGCATATTGTCAAAATCTGGCCCAGACAAGGTTAGCTCGTCACGATAATACTCTAGCTAGATATCGCTCACTGAAATAATTCATGAAAACCTTGTCTTTAAACATTGTGCGTCCGCCTTGTTCACCAAATCCCGTGTACTTTGCGTTGAGGGGCTTCTCTACAGCTAAAATAGTCGCATTATTTCCTAGCCACTGCAAAGGACAGTCCTTTGTCTGCCAGATGATTGCAATTCGTGAACCTGGAGGTGCTTCAATAAATAGCTCCCTTGCTACTTCTGGATCCCTTGCTACGGCAGTAAGAAAGTTTGGAACCTGCGTGTAAGCACCTTCAGCTCTGATTGCCCGGATAGCAGTGATCTTGAACGGATCACGATGAATCCAGAGTTGAACCAGAACCTTCCGAAACGTATTATTTTTTGACGTCGATTTTAAGACTGATTGAAGAACATAATAACGCTCATTTGGCTCCTTTAGTTCTACGCACCAAGAGATTCCTTCCGCATTGTCCAGAATCTCGATGGTCCTCGTGAGTGTGTCTTGAACAATGTTTCTAGTGTTGTAGTCGGAAAAAGCTGTGGGTGATTCGTTCGTACTATGAAATTGCAGGCGCCATACCTGTGGTCGCATAAACTGAACGAGTAGAAATCCCAGTTTGTCGTTGAAGCGAAAGATACGTCCATGGCTAGAGACAGGATTGGGCATATTATCAACCATTTGGTCACCTAGGTCCAAAGAAACTGATCGCGGCCGCGTGGGGTTGCCATTTTCAAAGTCTTTGAAAAACCACTCAGCAGGCTGGAAGATGTATGGGTCTTGCGTCTTCCAATGCTCTGCATCCGTTGATACAGGATCCGAGGTAGTCCTACAAGTATCCAACGAATTCATCTTGAGATAGCATGAATCAGATTGCGCAAGAGTAGATGAAGGTTGGGCAGCCCTTGAAGAGGGGCAGAAAATCGTTTGAATCAACGAAATGCTGCTCGGGTACTTTGATGGGGATTGTCTAGCTTATGTATCTGATGCTTGATGAGACCTAGAAGCAAGAGGAAACAAGAAAGAATGAGGTGATTTATTAATAGTATTCGATATTGGAATTACTATATCCAATATAACGGAACAGATAGTCCTCTCACCGCCACTAACTAGTAGCTCAGGTTCGTCCTGCGATGACTACTGTCACTCGTTTAGTCATGTATTCTACCGGCCCTTTTTAGTTCTGGAGGTCTTAGTACTCGATGTAAATAATCGCTCCTTCTAAACTCTGCAGATACTCTATACCTGTAGATTCTAAGTCTTATAAGATATTAAGTGACTGACGAGAAAAGATTCTATACTAGTAAAATCCGAACTTTCTTATCATAAAAACATTATCATCTTAATCAGTCAATACAATAGTTAATAAAGATTTTTGAAAAATTGAAAGACTCTAGCATGTAATATATATAGTGAGGAATGGTTATTCGACAGGAATTAGGCGCAGCAGAGATTATATTAAATCTAATTCCGCTTTGGGATGTGCGGAAGTCTGGATTCAGACCCCTGTCTAGATAGCTCACCTAAGGCACTACGGAGTCTCAGGGACGACCCCTGATCCAATGAACTCTGTTTGACAGATCCGAGCTCTACCAACGTGTGTTGTCCCGTAGCGGCAGCCGCCAGCTCAGTGTTACGATCAAGCATAGGAATGCTCGTTGCAATATCGGAAATGGCTGTGAAAACTCTTCAGTAGGGGGCTACACCGAGTGGACGGCGTACACCGTGGTGGGATCGTTTTTGTGTGTGGACGGTTTCGTGGGGACGTTTTCCTGTATAGGTATAAAAAGAAGAGTTTTCTGGAAATTAAAGGACAGTGAAAAGTTTTGATACCGTTTTCAACGCGCTGATCTTTGCCATCGTGACTTTTTAACTCACCATTGCTGATCAAGGATATTCCAGTGTTGGCGTTTGAATACACTCGGAGCTAGACTAAACAGATATTGCCTAGTAAGCATTAAGTTGGCATTTAGTTATCCGGTGAAAAGTTTACTCTTGTAAATGTAAAAAGGATTCATTTATCATTATCGTACAAGTGAAAGTATATATATATACCGTATAAACTCAATAACTCTGCGAAACCTTTCTAGAATAAGGTTATTTATAATTTCCTATTTCCGGATAGAAGAATTGACAAAGTGGATCGAATTTATCAATCCACTTTATAATTCGTTCGAGAGATATAATAATCTCCCTATAAACATTATTCTGAAAAGGGTTTAACGTATCGCCGAGTTATTGAGTTTATCCGGTATCCCGCTACACTCGTACCTGCTACCTAAAACCCGGCCATCTGGTTAAATTTTTAGGGGCCCATTTTCGGAAACGGACAACTTGATACGTTGCGGAACTTTAAGATGTGGGGCAAAGATAAAGCCGAGTTCTACGGAGCAAACGACACGTTTTCCAACCAGAAAGAAGGGAACGAGGTATGAGACAAGGGCATAGGAATGGATCATAATCCACCGTTACTGTCCCTGTTGAACACCATTTGGCGGGACACTCAACATCATTACTTTACCTGAGCTGGCTTCCAACACGGACATCCCTATAGACGGACGATATGTGTACGAGCCTACCTCTGCGGGGGATGAGCACACAGGCTGTGGAAGAGAGTTCCAGGACAAACGGAACCATTGTAAAATTAATGCATCTCCCACTGGGCGGATTTTCTGGTATTACAAATTTCTCTCATATGTTTGGGGCAATCACCGTGGCAGAACCAATCTCAGAATCAATGGTAAAGTTTTATCAATCACAATCCACCTTTCCCACACCGTTCGTGCGCTCGTCCCAGAGGGTGAAATGAAAAGGCTCTGGATCGATGCCATCTGCGTCAAGCAGGATGACTTGGACGAACGATCCCAGTAAAGGCGACTGATAAGGGACGTCTATGAACGCTCGAAAAGCGCCCTCATCTGGCTAGGGAATGACGAAACTGCTATTGCCGAGGAGTGATTGAGTCTCGTTGCAGACACCGTGAGAATCTCGAGGGCCTTGCTCAAGAGGTACAGCCACCCAGATAATATCCCAAACCTAAAGGGGCAGAGTTCAATCTGCGCAGACCCAGAGAAATGAGATTTCGATCACGAATTGGTAAACTTCCATGGTCAACTCGAGTGTGTGGTCTTGCAAGAGGCCAGCTGGGACAACTGGCGACCCTGACATGGGGTGGATCAATGCTTGTTTTCAATGACTCGGTCGAAGTCGGCCTCATCTACTTCGATATGAGATTCACTTTCTTAACATCGCAGATATAATTGCATTCCCCGAGGTTCCCGTTGAATCCGTTGGAGCCACGTGCACGTGAACGTCGGAAGTCATTGCTAAAGAGGAGTCATGTTCAATACGCGCCGGTAAATATCTGATGCATACTCTAACAAAATTTTCCATGTTCGAAATTCGTACTCTTCTTCGAAAGTCTTTTCCATAAACTTTCGTGCAATCACTCCCTTTCCCGCCAATGAAAATGGCTTGTCGGCAATGATGATGTTTGATTTGAGGATACGTACATGGCTAGGTGCCAATGCGTTGGGTCCCTCAACACGGCTAGAGAGGCCCAATCAATGGCATTCTTTCATGCCTTGAACGTGCGGCTTAGGCTCCAAAGGGAGGCTCGCACGTACTCTTTCATTCCCAATACATATATACCGCAGCGCATTTGATATTTTCTTAAGGGGAAATAGTAGCAATTTTCGCCTCGAAACCCCCCCTCCCTTGTTCCACCAGGCCCGTCCCCCAAAACCCGTCCTCCCAAAAAAGTAAGCACCGACACGGTCCTAACCGTAATTGCTTACGGTAATCGGAGCTAAACATCATAGCGTGGACGACATTGGACGTCGACCACTTGATGATCAGTTTGGCTCAGTGCTTATACTGCTCAACAAAGCCATGGCTTAACAACCCTTCGCTTGGCGGTTATTCTTCCGAATACAAGCATGTGGGATTCATGCTCCCGGACAAATCAGGTAAGTAAGCGCTATTAACGATACAAGCGACGCCGCGATTTGTAGTATCTATGTAACGTCTTGCCTACTACATTGATAGTGTCAAAGAAGAGAGATCTACCACTATCAATTCAATAAGGCACAACAGAAGTTATTGCTGCACTTAGTTTTGGTGAATATATCATCCGATTCGGAAATAGCCAAGTTGAAATCTCAATCTCAATGGGTCGAGCTCGCGTTCGACTTGTTTGTCACAATGCATTGAATCATGACAATGAACTTCAAACCTAATCACTATATTGAAGGCTGAAATTGGGATATGATAGTTAATGCCACGAAGATAAGACGGAGCAACTATTATCCCCTTGTTGGGGCGATTCATAGTATTCCCTCTTCAATGCGGTGTTTTATTCGTGCAGCCATGTTTTGATTGTGCTACTTTGATCCCTGCATATCATTAATTCTCGGGAGGTCGTAAAGCATATAGGCGGCAAAGGTACAAATTGAAGAATGTCTGCCATTTAAGAAGGCCTGCGCCGCGAATCTCATTAACATGTAGCAAGGAGATCAAATCACGTCATTAGCCGTTAGAATGTGGCCGGGGTGGGCTCAGCTTCCGCCTTGTGGAAAGGTCGTATTTTGTTGGAGAATTAAGAATATTGCTAGCTCTCTTGTTCCTCCAACAGTTTCCAAATCCGAATGCAAAATCCTCTCACATTAACCCCGGGTGGGATTTTCAACTCGGTCTTTAAAATGTGACAACATCATTACCATTGGGTATATCCTCCACAATCCCATCTGAGTTTACCAATGATTCTTCCCGCACATTGTTCTCATCGTTTTATCTCTATTACGATGGATCCAAACACCAGGCCAGTATTGCAGCCTCCAATGGGCACAACGCCTAATCTCGTTGATCCATATATTGGCCAGCCAAACCTGATTGCCACCAGCATCGTCTGTTTGACACTTACAACAGTATGCATTTCTATTCGGAGCCTCACCAAGGCGTATATTTTCAAGGAAATGTGCCTTGAAGATTGTGAGTATCGATCGGCCCAAACTCAATGCTTTCACATAGTCTAATGACTGTAGACTTGATGATTTTTGCCGGGGTATAGAAAATCTAAGAGTTCCTTAACTTTTTCGCATATATTGCCACGGACACCGATCAACCGACAATCTAGTTTGGTTTCGCTTCATTCTCTGGAGTGATGCTCGCCGTGCGAGAGGCGGTCCAAGGAAGCCATCATTGGGATATTTCTACAACGGGATTGATGCATCCATGTTATACTTGTAATTTTTTACCTTACCCTTAGATTTGGTCCTCGGGGATTAATGACTGCAGCTGTCCAACATTCTCGAAATAATCTATGCCCCAGCAATGCTTGCTGCGAAAGCATCTGTCATTCTGCAACTGATGCAAATTTTCACCGCAAACGCCGAAAGCTTCGTCTATTGGTCTTTTCTAAGCCTTCTTGGCCTCAATGGTGCTTTTTACTTCAGCATATTCGTAGCATTCATTTTGGCTTGCCTTCCCAGAACAAACCTCACGGATCCATCACTCCCGGGCACTTGTATTTCTAATAACGGATACGTTTTGGCTACATCAGTTTTCAAAATAGTCTTGGATCTATCGATTTTGATACTTCATCTGGTAGTCGTCTGGAGTCTGAGAAAACGCTTGAAAAGGAAATTGACTGTTGGCGCTGTTTTTGGAACAGGAATATTGTTCGACGCTGTATTCTTGCTCATTGAACAGTTCCACTAACGTTACTTAATGGATGCAACTCTAGCATAATTCGCCTTGCATATACGGTACGGCTTACTTTGGCCGAAGATGTAGCCCATGCAATCTTTCCAGTGGACCCATGGGCGTAAGCATTCTCAACACTCGAGTACTTGTATCGAATTTCGCTGACTCGTTGTGAACACGAATAGTCTTCTCGAACTTACCAGTGTTATCATGGTAGGATGATTCCCGATTTTCCCGAGATTTTTCAAATTTGTCAGAGGCAAAGAAGAAACCAAAGGTTATGTGCATACAGATCAGGTCCATGTCGGACGTAAAATGTTCAATCAGAGCAATCACGTCCGTGTCAGCACGTTAGCATCGACTTCGAATGGAAGAGGTGTGGGGAGAGAATAGTGAGATCTCAGGATGATATCGAGTTGTATGATGGAAAGTCACACGAAGGAAGTAGGGCTTTCTCTCATGGGAATGGTGTGCCACATTCAAGTATCATGAGAATGGTATCCTTCGAGGCAACAATGGTGAGCGCAATGAGTTCGGCTTAATTCTTCTTTCTTTTTCGGCATAAATATTTCGCAGCGTGCCGGAGAACTTAGCTAGGGTGATTGTGAGTGGGAATATCGACTAGCTTTCTGCTTGAGTGAAGACCATCAGGGTCGTTGAGCTGTAGCACAACACGGTGAATCAGGTCACGGACATTCCGATGGCTCGCTTTCCTTGTCTTGAAGATTGAAATTCATTGAAAATAAGGGTTCCTGCCGAATTTTGAAGCTCAAAATACAATAGAATCTGGTTATATTGGATCAAAATATTTCGCCAATCAAATTCGATATAAAATTTTATTCAAAATTATACAGATATCAAGCTTGAAAATTTATCTTCAAACTTCGAACTTTTTTTCAATAATTATTACATAATATGCCGCCTACAAGATCAGAAGAAAACATGATAAACAAAATGCATGCATGCAGTACGGGAATCAGTTACGAAATCGATTAAATACCTAGAATACATAGCCTGGGTAGCTTAATCAATCCATCAATCAAATCTATACATCTAATCCACTACACTCAAACATCAAACATCACTTCCGTATACATCCTACCCAGCCGCCATTCCTTCCTTCTTCCTCTTCCTCTTCCTCTTCCCCTTCCCCATTTCCACCCCGTCCTATTTCTTCTCACTATCGCATCCTCGAATCATACAACTCTGTCTGTGCCATACAATTCTCATCTCATTCTCCAACAAAACCTCGTATACGATTGCATGTCTGCAAATGAATATAATGATTTTACTTTTTTCTTTTCAAAAGTCGTTTATTGAATCCTTCCAAGGAAGAACAAGTAGTCCCTTCATTCCATCCACCGAATTTGAAACTTAAGAAGCAAGTTCAAGTCGAGCTACACCCTCTTCCAAAGTATCGTTTCAACCTAAAGTCCGATTGAAGAGATCATGATATTCGTTGCTTCCATCCCCGATAATTGCATATCCATTCGTGGTATAGTTTTAAGTTTCGTTTCAATCACCGGCCAGCCATGATATAATGATCCAGTCCAACGCCATACGAAAATGCAATGATTCCTCTCCTCCCTTCATTCCGTCTAAAAATCAATAAATCCCTAACTCAACCTCGATGTAACGAAACCTTAATGTTCTACTGCATTCATCGCTCCTAGCCCTCGCGCGGTGAACGTACTACCTTAAGCCCTCCCTTTCAGCCAATTCTGCAAAAATGTCGCCAGCCCTTTCCTTTCTGGGCTCTCCACCATACTCTTAATAAACCCGCTACCATCGACACCCATACTTGGAAAGAAATTTCCTTGTAAATGCTCCACAAACATATTTCCCGTCTTCATATAAATAACCTGTTCCAAACCCGCTAATTCATTCAAAACGCTCTTGGATTGCGCATCAACCATTGGTCTGAAGTGTGGCTCGCGAAGAACTTCCCAACAAACAGGGTGGAAACGCTCAATTAGGAAAGTATCAAAACCGGGAAATGTGGGCTGCGGCGGGACAGATGAGGTGATGGGTTGGCCTGGGGTAGCGATTGTTGGGCCACCCCAGAGCTCTGCCATCTTTGTCATTACGTTAAAGGCGATTTTGCTGGCCGCAAGATTTCCAGTTTCGTTTGTGACGGTTTTCGCCAATGTTGTAACTGACTGAATGAGGGGGTCAAAGAAAGCTTGGTTCTGCTCACTGACGAGTACAGAACCAAGATCATTATTTAGGATAACCGTTACGAAGGACAAGTATTCCCTTCGTAGTTCGGCGAGCTGAATTCCATCATCTGTTCCAGTAACCGGCTCACTTAAGCTAGCGAAAACTCGCTGGAAAAGCGGTGTGAGAAGGGAGTTTAGAACTTCATGGATATCCTTTTTGAACCCAAATACCACTTGATCCAATAATCGTAAGAACATGCCTATTTCTTCCTTCGAAGAAGATTGTGTCAACAAGCCATCGATCCACCTCGGAAGGAGGGGTAACATGGCAACTCCCATGACTCCCATAAGCCTAGAGAATGAAGATCTCGCCGCATTACGGATTTCCGAAGAAGATTTGAGTGCCTCCAGTGCAAACAAAATTGCTTCCGCGGCACGGCTAAATTCAATAGTTATTTCCTTTGCAGGTGCTTGTCCAGCTCGTTTCCCTTCTCCAGGAGACCAGTCAGAAAATCCATGGGCTAGTGATCCGAGGGCAAAAATAATGTGATGAATTTGCAGAACAGCCTGTGCATTGCCTGACTTGGCTTGCTCTAAATTTCGCTGAACATCGGAAAATAAAGGATCCATGATTGTTCTTGCATAAATAGCCTGCTTCTCTATCGGAGTCGAGGTTGTAGAAGAAATGCAACCGATCGCCTCATAAAGATTAAGTTGAGCATTAAATGCTACGTCTGCCGCGTCATGACTGCCGTCTTCTGATGACATATCATCGTCACTTTCCTTCGGGACTTCTGCCTTTAAAGGAAGGAGATCACTGATTGACTGGATGATAGTCTCCGCAACATTACCAACTTGACCTCTCAAGTGTTTCACGAATCGGTGGAATAAATACCACGAACGTATCCTGACTCGTGAATGATTATGATGCACAAAACCAACGACTTGTTCGAGGACCTGAGGAATATATTGGGTTTGGTTTTCGAAAAATGAACAGTATCGGACGCAAATTTCCATATACTGGAGGGAAATAGCGGGATGATTGAACGAAGCAATACCTGTGCACTATTAGTCGCTTTTCCTGTAAAGGTGTCTTGGACGATCCTACCAGATTCGACCATTTTGGACATCATGACGATCAAACGTTCGGCTGCTATACTAGATGGCTGGCTCTTGGCATAAAGGCCACCATTTACGAGTGTAAGTTCTCCAAAAAGGTACATCTCGTGTAGTGCAAGGTCTAGATCACGCCAGTCTATTCGACCATTCTGTTGATCAAGTCTCTGGAACGTGTTTCCGATCACATTACTCAAAACGTCAACATATAAAGCTTCGTCAACTGCAGCGATAGTCTTTTGAAGGACGTGTAATCGTTTTCGAAGCTCTTGAAATTCCGCCTCGTCTGTTAATTCATCCTCATCCGCATAGGAAGAAGTATCGTCGTATCTCATTTTCTGGATTATTGCATTGAGTATAGGTGTCAACATTGCTGAATATGCAGGTGGCAATGGCTGTGCTTTGCGCAAAAACGTGTTGAGCTCTGTAAGGGACGGTATAACAGTTGCGCATATCTCGTCGTACTCATCTGAGAAGAATCTGAGTAGGAGGGGAAGGAAGGTTTGCAATGATTGCTCTGCTTGGGCCCGTACTTCGTGTTCGACTTTAGTATCTTCAAGAATTTTAACGAGATCGGAAACGACATTGTTGACAAGTTTTGCAACCGCTTCTGCAAGATCGGTGTCATAGCTAGAAGTGTTGCGTAGATCATGTAAGGCGGGGCTGGCAATAAGTTGCGAGACAACCTCTCCGAGATTTAAGAACAAAATCATTCCTATCTTATCCGAAGGTTTCATTTTCTTTGCCACAATCTCTGTAAAGCAGTCTATGGCGGCATCCTTAACTTTGTCCTCACCACCGTTGGGGTTTCGTCCAACTAATGGGAATAACAAGTTCAAAATATCCTGGTTCACGACCAAAGAGATATCGATCCAAGAGACCCATTTTCCGATAACCTTCAACGTCATTTCAACGATAGCATCGTTGTTGCCTTGCCAGTATGTGAGGATTTGTTGGAAAGAGCCTGCTACTATTTGTACATCTCGAGCACGCACCAGATCCTTCAACTCAACATTTCGCTTTGTCTCCCCTCCTGCCCTAACTATCATCAAATCGGCAATCTCGTCATGGATCGAGCTGAGAAGTCGCAAATATAATACAACACCGGGAAGGTTATCCACAGTCCCGTTTTGATGGCCGGTGAAGCTCAAGAAATCCCTTATGAAACTTTCCCAGCCCTCCTTGTATAATGACGAGAACAGGAATGTCAAAGTTTGTGTGAGCTTATTCTGTAAAGCGGGAGGATCGACTTCGTTTCCAGAGGCATATGTTCTCCTAACATAGTCATGAAGCTGTTCCTTGAGCCCACGCAAGCTTTGATCGTCTATATGTTGAGTTTGAATCGCATTATTGACAATATCCAACGAAACCAGCCTCACGACTTCGGCAGCTTTGGGATCTCTTGTAAAGAGGTTAAGGCATGCTTGTAGACTCGAGCTGTCGGCCCGTACTTGGGTGAGATATTGAACTGCTTGCTCTTTTAGATTCTGGTCAGATCGAGGGTCCCATGCGATTTCGATTGCTTTCTCAATCTAGAAAACGAATGGTAGATCAGTACAAATGTTTCATCCCATGCATCAGAACTTCCATCCTCAAGTGTTGCCCCCGCCAGCGCAGAACCTCCGGGAAGCGGTGTATCAAGAACATACCTGGGCGTCCATAACTGCTGTATTCCCAAGAATTGAAGCTTGAGGTTACAGCAGACAGAAAGGTATAGGAAGTTCAAATGATCCACAATTATTGGAAAGTAGAGCGCATGTACATCTGTAGCATTCTTCGAGACTCCGCTATCGAGTCATAGTAATTTTTTTTATGATTTATTCGTTGGATGGTTGGGGACGAGACAAAGCTCGCAATAAAAAAGAAGACCTAGTGCACGATTATAAGTTTGTATGGTGAATCCTATCTGGTTCTTGACTTTGTAGCCCGATTCTGAAAATAATTATAAATGCCAGTATTGCGTTCTGATGGTGGAAAAGTTCTACTGAAAGCGGTTCTGTGAAACTATTCTGCCCCACCAACAAATCTGAGAAGCACGGCAAGGTTGAATTTCAGCCTTTGGCTAGATGGGAAAGTGACACGTGAGAGACGGCCCGGCCCCTATTTTATCCGGATTCAGCCCTCATTTAATGCTCGTGTGCTACTTGTTGAGGTTCTGGTGGATTGTTCTGGGGGAAAAGATCTGAAATATTTGGATCATTGATTCAATACCAGTATAAAATTAATTATATTTAATTCACATTCAACACAAAAATGAATCTTCAAACTACGTTCATTAATAGTCTATTTAGCTCAAAGTAATAAAAGAAATCCTATGCCATTATGATAAATACCATCAGACATGTACATTTCGATTTCTCATATACCACATTACCCCCTCTCAAATTTTTTGATGCTGTTTCAAAATCTGGCCAGTATGTATATGGTTATCCTTTCATCATGCTTCCAAAGCTTCGAACAAAATTGGAAAACCACGACAAACGCCTGCAATGAGATCTAGTCCCCCCAAGTTCTATGAAGCGTCGTAAACACGACGCACATACATGGTAATTCTGATGCAAATGTACACTCCGGCCATTAAAAAAGCTAGAAGGGCCAAGAGATCAAGAGGAATAAGAACGCCCGCCAAAAGGAAACCCATCCATGCTTTACGTAGCCACCACGTCTCGTCGATATTTTGAGCTTTTGAGAAATCAGGATTTTGACGCGAACTCCTTGAACTGTCCTGAGGGGTGGATTGATCTTGTTTCGTATCCTGATCCTGATCTTTATCTTGTCACTGAAACGAGAATCCACCGGGGAAGCCTTGAGGAGCGCCTCGAGACCGACCTCCTTGAGGCATACCTCCGCCAAAGCTGTGGAAACCTCCTCCACCCCCCCGGCCTCCACCCATACCACCACCCATACCACCACCCATCTGGGCTCCGAACATCTGCATGAGGATTTCTATTGAAGATATTAGCGGTGGGATGTTGATAATTCGAAAATGTAGACCAACCCGGATCAATGTTCATTCCTCCTCCACCTCCCATGCCACCACCTCCAAAACCATCCATTGGATCCTCCAAGTCTACACCACTGTCGTATCGTGCACGTTTCCTAATGTATTCTGTTAGATTCTGTAAGTGGTGACATAAAAATAGGTTAAACTTACTGAGAGTCACTCAAGGTTTCATAGGCCTCTCCAATGTCCTTGAATCGCTCCTCAGCATGTGGATCATCCCTATTCTTGTCTGGATGATGGATGATGGCAGCTTTTCTGTAAGCCTTCTTGATCTGATTGTCATCTGCGTCTTTCTCCACGCCAAGGATCTTGTAGTAATCCTTTCTCTTGCTCTTCTTCAGCTCTAGTTCAGCTCTTCGCACCTCCCTAGCAATGCTCGCGTCCGATGGATCTTGTTCTTGTATCTGCTTAAGCTCGCGCACAGCATCCTCCCACCGGCCAGATTCACCAAGAGCAGTGGCCTTTGTCTTCTTGGCCTTCGTGTATGAAGGGTCAAGTTGAAGAGCTAGTTCGCAATCCTCAATGGCGGCCGCATAATCCTTGAGGCGGGATTTGCACAAAGCACGATTCTGCAGCAACTTTGAATTGGTTCCTCTGTTGGTAGGGTCGAGTCCAAGAGCTTCACTGTACTTTGCAATAGCATCCTGGTACCGCCCAGCCTTGAACTCTGCATTTCCTTCGGATTTCAGCTGATCAACCTTCCTGACCAGTCTCAAATACTTGACTGCGTCTCTATAATCAGGATCACATGTCAAAGCTTGTCGGAAATGCTGTATGGCCTTGTCGTTCTCGCCTTGGGAGTACAAAGCTCTTCCCCTCAAGACAAGCGCCTCGGGATCCTGGCTGTTACTGCGTAACAAAGACATCGCCACATTTTGTGCGTCTCCCAAAGCATTAACGTTGCCCATTTTCAGATAAGCCTCACCACGCATCAATTGCCATTTGCGTGGCCTAGGTACACCTGTCCCAAGTAATTTTTCTGCCTGCTCGATCGAGTGTATTGCCATTGACCCGGTCCCGTTCTTGAGTGCGTCTGCAGCAGATGCAAGATGTTGCAGCATAGCTTTAGCTGGAGCCATATCTTTTGCAGAAGGAGGTGGTTGAATACGGCCAAAAGTGTCCATAGCTTCCTGTGGTAATCCCATGCTGATGTAGATTCGAGCTAGACGAAGAAGTACTTTGTGGTTGTTGGGGTCAAGTTGATCAGCTCGCTTGGAATCTTCTAAAGCCTGGTAATATTGACCAGCAGCCATATAAGCAGCGGCGCGATTGTTGATGTAAGTGGATGATAATGGCATCGCGTCGACGGCTACAAATAGTTTAAAGATCAGCGATTGTCACTTATCAAAGCCTTTCGAAGGCACGAACCCTTGGTGTATTCTTCAATGGCCTTCTTATACTGCTTAGCCTTGTAATATCTGTTTCCTGCATCTTTGAATGTTTCTGCATCTTCTAGAGTTGGTTGTGCTACAGCTTGAGGACTAGTTGGGTTTGATTTATGAGCTGGTGGGGGAGGAGGTGGTCCCTCTCCATTAGCTGTGGCATTTTGACCATTGGATGCACTTGAATGCGGAACTGGCTTGGGAGCAGACTTTGAGGAAGGCTTGGGGGCAGGCTCTGCAGGCTTTGGTGTGCTTGGCTGAGTGTTTGGCTGTGAGCTTGTGGCGGGTGGCGGGGAAGGATTGCGAGGGCTGGAAGAAGACTCAACGTCAATATCCATCGGTTCCGACATCCTAACTTGAGTAGATAACCTCCGCAATTGATCTGGCGGAAGATTTAAAGGATGGGTAGTGTTTGGGTCGAAAGCAGTTTGCGATGGATAAGCGCTCGACTTTCGTCGAATACGGCTAGATTTTGTTTGGCCGGAGTGTTGTTTTTCTTCCGATTTAATATGTTCCTCTTCCTTACTTTTACTGGATCTCGAGTAAGACTTCTTTAGTGGAGATCTTGACCGAGACGAATCAATTTGAATCCCCTCCTCGTTATCTTCAGGTTTCTTTGCTTTTCTTGGTGTTTTCGAAAAGAGGTTAAATGACATTGAGAATGAATAATAAATCCCACTGATTGGGATGACGGTAGCTGCGTGTAGCCGGACTGGCAAGCGATTGTGGTTGGACACACTGGAAATGACGATGATTTTAATGGCTTACAGTGGTTGTGAGAGCCGTAAATTTGTGTTGGTGAATGTGAGATTTTTTTTTCCCCGTAGCTAGAATCCTATAGAACCTCTTAGAAAATATTCAATTGGAGCTCCATTTTGATGTGGGATACAACCAACACAACAACATTTCGCACTCCGTTCTGATAAAGAATGAAGAGGAGAAGGAATATAAAAAAGGATTGCGAGGTTGGAAGGTTGGAAGGTTGCAATATTCAAGAAATAGGAAATTTGTTTACTTTTTTGATTTCCTTTTGGCTTTCCTTCCTTTTGCAATTGCTGTCTGTCTGTCTGTTTTTCTTTCCTTATCTTTTACTTGTCCAGCCTTCTCTCCTTGTCCTTGGGTCTTATGCGGTATTTTGAGGCATCCAAGGATGTGTTTGATATAATTGATGGATGGAAGAGGAGTCGTAGAAGAGAAGTAAAAAACTAAGATCCAGATATTGATTGTAAGGAGGGCAAAAATGATGTTTAAGATGAGAAGAGCGATGATGTTGTCGAAGATGGGAAATAGAGATGGGGGGATGGGGGATAAACAATGACTTTGAACCTCTTATTAGATATTGGACCAACAAATAGAGTGGTAGTGATATTGTATTGGTGGTAAGGTTATTGTGGTATTCGTATATTCGTATGAATGTTATAAGTCAATCAAAATCAAGTCAATCAAATCAATAAGCAGCTCATCAAAAGTTTGTTAACCATTTATTAATTCCTCCTTCTCTCTTTAGTAGTATCCAGATCTTCTTTGCAGGGCATCAACCTCCAATAGATTTTTTGTGGTCCCTTGAAGCCTTTCAAATTATTCGTCCGTGCTGCCATGTCTACCTATTGAAGTGCGGAGCGAGAGTAAACTTTTTGATGCTGTGCCCGAATTATCCTATGTGCTTTCACTCTGTTGCTCAGCCATCTCATTTTTATCCTTTGATGATGCCTGGATGGATGCATCTATCATATCATTTGGCATTGTAGCATTTTGGCTGTTGGGCTGTTCAGCTTGTTGAGTTGTTTGGCCATTTGCTCGTTTCTAGAAGCTTCTTCTACCTATTCAACCTGCGTCCTCGGTATATCTCTCTAGGTAAGCAACACGTTTTTGTTTTGGCAACTTCCTGCTTTTCCGAGTTCCGCGTGATTGAAGGGAAAGGGAAGGTAAGGTTTTCACAATTATTATAGTTCGTCCTAAGTGGAGAATTCGTGATAATGGGAATAGCTTGAGCAGTTTGAGGTACAGATTGCCTAGGTATCGGTATATAAAGAATAGGTAATAGATGTGTAGAGAATCGAGATAGAGAGACTTATTGATATATGATGTATTGATATCGTTGGTTGTTGTAGAATTGTACATTGTCTAGCTCTAGGAGACTAGTAATAAGACCTACCTACCTACCTACCTACCTACCTACCTACCTACTACTCATCAATTGCCCTCTTTTCACATCTTCTTGACTTCACTTCTATCATATACGAGTACCATGTATGCTTTCCTATAATTCTACTCGAGTATCTGTTGTTTACAATAAAATGGTTCCCCAGCCACCAATATTCATACACCCCTTCATTTTCACCTAACCGATATCCAATCATTGGATTTTCCGATGGCGGAGTCTCCATTTTTATGATCTCTCTTAGCCACTTTGATCAATACCTGGCTTCTGCAATTTGGCTCAGGCCTGTGTCATACCAGTCATACTCGGCACTCTTCCAAGGCGGGAGTACCCCTTCCCTCAACGTTAAAAATCACGTCGCCAAATCATGTTATCAGAAAAGGGAAGAGGATTCGCTTGATAAGAGAGTCCAAATGAATTGACCCTCCCATCAAGTATTAAATCTCGTTTGTTGACATCTGAAACGTTGTTGGAAGTCGCTTGAACGGGGTAACGACTCGGACTTTTATTCCAATTGGTGAACCATAAGTCGGCATTCAAGGAGATGTTACGATACACTCGCCAGTCTTGTGATTCCTTGGAAGTAACCTTGGAAGTTTATGAGGTTTGAATTCGGGTCGACTGGCCGATTTCATTTCATTTCTCAAATCCCAAGGAAATGTACTCATCTTCGTTTCCATCTTCTGCTGAAGTACAAAGTGTGATTGTTCAATGTTCATAGATATCACGGAAGTATCCATGTTCATGCAACGAGAGTCTCCACGGCGGAGCCAAAGTCACGCACAGGAGATCACGCCCGCGTGGCCGAAAGTTGCAGGCAATTAGGGTATCCCTACCGCTAGAATGAAGATAAAATGCAATCAAATGCAATCAAATGCAATCTAATGCAAATTCGGATATGGACCTCCAATGAACTCTGGTAAAAGATGCTCGTTGGCGAGCCTTTGATTGCATGATGTCGGGGAGCTATTGCGGGGCCAATGTGAGCTTCCCCATGTCTTTCATTTCATTGAAGAAGTTCCTTCACCACTTCATCAGTCAAATGGACGCAGCGAGCAATTTCTTGTATCTTCCTACAAATTATCTGATTTAATGGTAAGTAACCTCCAACTTCGTATCCCCTTTTAGCCGCTATGGTGGCATTTGAGTAGGGTGGTTGTTGCATTCATCCAAAAACCTAGACGGAGAATTGCCTTGACACCTTGCTAACAGACCTCAATGCCGAAGCCGACAGCGATCCACACTTGCCCCCGTTCTCATGCCATCAGGTCAACAATTTCCGCTTTCACATCCGTACATTTCTCGGAAGCCAACTCTAGATTAGTCTCTGTGCATTACCTGGTTCCCGGAAAATATGGAAGTGAGTCCCGGTCCCGCATGCATTATCTAAGATAACTGATTTGCCTGTCTTGATTCAAGGATTTCATTTGGGCAATGAAAATTTCTTCAAAGGTGATGCAAGAGGTAAAGCGCCAGCCTGCTGCTATTTGATAGGTGGTTTTATGGGGTGGGTATAGTGCGACTGGAGTTGTGGTGTGGCAAGAGCGCGATGATTTTAGCCAGGGAATAGTACACCTGCTATTGAAATGGTGAAAAACTATCATGCTCCAGCGTTTGTTGCACAGCGTAGTACGTTGTTGCGCATAAACACCAGCGGTTACACACAAGAGGGCCAGCGCTCCCATGTCACACACACAAGCAAACGTTGTCCGTTACACGACAGGCTGTTCTAGTCCTATGAATAGTTTTCTTGACCTCGGTCAGTCATAATGTTTTCATTTGCCATTGATTTGAGTGGTCAATCGAGAACCCTAATTGCGTTATGAATAACCCCGTTCAAGTTCGACATCGAAGATATTACGTCCAATAAGTCGACAAGGTATGAACCAAGTACCAGGTCTCGCTCTGAATATAGAAGTAGCTGTCATTCCACATGCCTAGATGAGCGAATTCAGTATCAATGCCTCTTTTCTCGCTTGGAAAGTTCGGCTTCTGATGGCTTTCTGAAATATTAATTAAAGCATTGATCATGACATCATTGTGTCTGGTATAGAATCTACGATTCTGAATTTCGTGTGAAAGTTTTCATATCGATATGAGAGATATATAGAAACTAGAATTTCCGTTTTCTATCTAATAGGTGATGATACATTTAAGTATCGAAGCAATTATTCATCCTATATGACAGAATCTAGCATCTCGTTTCACATTAAATGTTGAATCAGCTACCATATTAGTTCATTCAATGACAAAGCCAAATATACGAAAGCATTCGAAAACTGAACACCTATCATCTGATGAAATACAACATAATTTCACACAGTCAAGGCATGTGCTCGATTATAGAAAGTCGAGAAATCCATAATCAAAAATCATTCGTAGTAATGGATGGCTTTGACATAAGCAAAAATCCCAAACATAACTCCAATTTTGTAACTAATCACGATATCATTCATATACATTATCTCCAGCGCGATATTCAGTAAATTCATCACCAACAACACTGCAACTCTTAAAGTATGAGAGGAACTCTCAGTACATGTATACTTTCTCTCCTCGTCTCGTTTGCATATCCGCATATATGAAAGTACATCATATCAATCCACAATCAGTCCCAACCGCAATGAATAACAGCGCTTAGGCTCTTCATGGTCCCCGGCTCCAGCTCCAGTTCCGGCAGTCTCTTTATTGAACACTCTCTTTCATACTCATGGTACTTTACGCGTGATATAGGTATTAACAATGTATATGCGTCGTGGTAGCATGGGATTAGGCTCTAGTTCTGCTGGCAAAATTATGTATCTTCCAAAACCTCTAAGCCGGGCTGGTATATTAGATGTTCGGCTCTGTGGTTATTGCATGATGGCGAGTAAAAACATTCAAGTACTGTCTGATGAGTGGAAGGCCTTGGGGTTAGTATGTGGTTGAGTTAAGTAGTAAGGCTGTTGAGTTCAATGGGGGGAGTTTTTGTGAAGGTGTTGGAGACAAGATTTGTCTGTGCATGTCCGGCAGGTTGGTTCCGGAAACTTTGAGGAAGAGAATAGGAGAATCGAGATGGTAGCCATGGTTTCCCCTAGGCGAGGAACAAGAAATGGGGAGATGGAGACTAGCAACTGGATCTATCAAGCAGGTATTAAATCTTATTGATACTGCTGTGTTCTTATTAATCTATGGAATAAGAACGGTTAACAGCTTTGGTAGATAGAGGACAAGTTGACTTGGATAATTAAAATATCCCTCGCCCTCATTTTCATCCTCGAAGCACTATAGGTGCATTAATTTCTCGTTAGTTGTGTTGACTCAGCTCAGTACAATGCTGGGTCAACGTCATGACGCGAAGCCATTTTGGGAAATCCATTATGATTTTTGCTGACTTGATAACTATTATTCAAAAAAGGAGATCGATCTATGACTGCTCGTTCAATACCTATTGGTTGCCCTAGGTGGATGGTTGGGTTCGTCGAGAAATCTGGCACAGATATGTAAGGTAGCTTCTTATATCAATAATTATCAATTAATCTCCATCCCTCAAATACATCTTGAATTAAATACATCACATCACTACACCATATCAAGGTTTACGTATAATTATAGGAGCCAATTAATTAATTAATTACACTATCTATCGAATTATCAGCTAGAACACTTGTCTGAGTTCGAATCTAGCACGACGTTATCGGGAGTTCGAGTAAGAGTACGAGTTCAGTAAAATCAGTAATGACAACTATCTTTACAGGCTATGAGCTAGAAAATATAGTATTAGTCGGGAACCTGAGTTTGGAATGAGTTCTCTTCCTCGATTTTTTTTCTGGTTTGAGAGGTTGGAAAATTGTTTTTGTTTTAGGTATAGGGAAATGGAAAGTGATTATGTGTTGTGAATGGGGATGAGGATAATGAAGTACGTTATTTTTTAGAAGAAGGGGGGCGGTTCAGGGGGGGAACGAGAAATTAGTCTGAATAGAATAAAAACCGTGAGTGTGAAGGAAGAAGTGTTTAATTATAATTCCTGTCTAAGTATTTAAGAAAAGTAAGAGAGGAAGAAATTTTCTATAATTAGCTCTGATTATATTTAATCATAGAATACCTAGGTAGTTTTTATCAGGAAATATTAGTTGGGGTTCTTGGCTATTCCTAGTCAAATTGATAATGGAAGTGAAATTATTGTTGCTGTCGTATAAAGTGGCTGACTACTCGTACCTATAAATACTCGTTTTTGGATTTGTTCTCCAGTCGATGTCGTAATTGCGTGGCTACTTAAATACATTTAGTAAGTCGTTCTTCCCTTGAGGGCTAGCTTGATGGTTTCGAAGCAGAACATGTGTTGAAGAATTAGATGTGTTTGAGTGTCCATTTGATTAGTAGAGAGATCTTCGAATTATTCATCTAGTACCATGTATGCGTATATATCAATAATATCTTTAAGTAGCGAGCTTTTTATATTATCTAGATTACCATATAAGGAGTCAACTAATTCAAGTCGATTACATAACCTAAATCAACAACATTCCTCGCCTGGCCCTTTTCACCCATCTCTCCTGAATTCATATATTCACTACCCAGGACCCTCATCTACAGATCTAAATAGCAGGCTTTGGCAGACTCAACAAATATCCCGTCTGAAAAGTTTCCTTGCTTGTTTAAATCAGCCCTAACCTTCTAGTCCCTACTACCCAGTACCTCACCGCAGAGTCTCCGCAGATGAATGATCTAGGTATCTTGGCATTTCGTTCGAAGGTAGTTATAAAAACTTACTATTAAAGGATGCAATCATTCATAAAGGATATCTATTAGTGAATACATAGCTCTAAACATCTTAAGCTTACGAAGTTCTTGTTGTCCATCTTGCCTTGACGATAATCAGTATTGTTAATTCGTTTAGCTCGAGCTATTCTAGATTATATCGATCGTAGTAAGATTATATTATTTGTGGATTTGATGTTAGATTAAGGGTTTTATAATTAATCGTAAGATTAGTACACTTAATTTATTGGTCGCATATAATTATATCTTGTCTAATGCAAAATCTTTTATGAATTCCATGTATTCTGTTTACTTCTTGTCATGTATATATACCGTATATGACGAGTATTCCTCTCTTCTCTGATCTAGTGAGTTGAATAATCCGAAGTGTCAAAATCTTCAACTGAAGTTTTGTCGCACATCTCAAATTCAGATCGGGACAGTATACAATAGTCAAATAGGCTTTCTAGCACCATCAATACCGTTAATTGTAAGCAATATACCCTAGGTATATATGTCACTTTCGTTCCAGTTCCATAATAGGACATATTTCGACTCATCCCATCTTCTAATACATTACTACGAACATATAAATCTACACATCCACCTCACTTCCTAAACCTATCCTCACTCTCTAAAACCGTCTTTTCCATCCCCTCAAACGCCCCCAAAACACTTCCATATTTTTCCCAAACCTCAGCTCTATACCCCTCATCCACCTTCTCAATAGCGCCTTCCTCCTTCCACCTCCTTCCTATCAATTCCTCGAAACTTTCTCCCGTCCATTTAGTATCATTCCCACTCTCAATATTCTCCCTCCTTCCGCTTCGCTCAACACCCCAAACAGCTTTATAAGCACCACCCAATGCACACGCATTCCCACCAACATCCAATCTCCACACACCCTCCACACCTCCCAAAACCTCACCCACAATCTTCGCAATCGCCGGATTAAGTGATCCACCCCCTACAAGATAAATACGACGAGGTTGAGCTGGTATATCCTTAGAAGGAGACGTAACCAATTTCTGCGAACGAAGACGTAGAGATAAGATTTGCGATTCTACGATAATACGAGCATCTGTTTCGGGATCATATGGTGTCTGAGCTTCGTTTAGAGTATTTTTAGATGAAAATTCGTAGCGGAAAGTACCGGCGCGGATATTTGGGACGATTTCTGGGAGGGGAAAGTAGAGGGCTAGTTTTGCGGGATCGGATGGGGAGTTTTGGGCTAGAGGTGGGGTTTCTAAGGCGGCTCTGTTGAAGTTGGACCAGGGGTCTGAGGTTGTGGAGGCGGGGAGTGCATCTCTGATTTTCTCGCGGGCTAGTCCGCCGTTTTTGTAACAGAGCATGAACATGTAGAGGCCGGCTGTAGTAGGGTGATTAAAGAAGTGGTAAGCAGGGTCTGGGACGTAGTTGGGTGTTGACATGAGGAAAGTTGTGGATGTTCCAAGCGAGACAATGGCGTCCATAGGACGTAGAGGTAGTGCTAGGATTGTGGCGGGGTTATCGCCCGTGAAGGGTACGATTGCACAATCAGCGGGGAAATTATAGCGAGATGTGAAATAAGAGGATATGGAACCCATACTTCCCCCACCATCTTCTCGTACCTCTCCAAGTTTGGATTTCAAGGAAGCAAGACCATCAGAGCCGGCTGCAAGGGTAAGAAGAGGTTCGCTCCAGGATCCAGATTTGATGTCCCAGAGATCCATACCACAGACATCGCTGATGTCAAAAGGAGCAATTTTACCAAGGAATAGAGATGCTAGGAATGATGAGACGAGTGTTATACGAGAAGTACATCTGTAGACCTCTGGATACTTTTTATGAAAACGCATGATTTGTGGTCCCGTAAATCGCTGTCAATATTGTTAGTCAAGAAATTATGCCTCGCCACATGCCCGCGGATATATTCGCTAGAAAAGAACAAAGGGGAACGAACATGGTGAGCTTTGCTCCCCGTGGCCTCCGCCAATTTCTCCTCACTCCCCAGTTCCCGATCAAAAGCATTGCATTCCTCCTGCGTGCTCGCATCCTGCCAATTCGGACTCCATGGATGCGCAAAAGTTTCCTTTAACTGATCTACCAAAGTCTTTTCCTTCTCCAAAGCTCCCAATACCTCTTCACCCTTTTGACTCCAATAAACACTTCCATGTTGTTGACCGGAGCCCGAAATGCCTTTAATGAGATGGAACGGACAGGACTTCTCCGAAAGTCGTTGAAGAACTAAATCAACGGCTTCTAGCCACATAGCTACTGGTGCGTAGACTTCTCTTTCAGCTTCATTCACATGTACACCTTTTTTGATGCCATATTTGGAGAGATCGGCGTCGAAATCGACTTTTGCTTCGTAGCGCACTTTGAGAGAAGATGATACCACGATTGCTTGGAAAAGTTAGTGGGATAAAGGGTGGAAATTGTGTTCACGTGTACACACCTTTTAGTTGTTGGGTAGAGAGGTCGAAACCTAAGTATAGGGCTTCATCGGGTGAAGACATGTTAAGATTTTTTGACTTTGATTTTGATCTCGATCTTGATTTAAAGAGATTGCAATAGACAAATAGGTATCACCAATTGAAGAGTAGAAAAGAATAAAACGTTCACACATAAACATATATGGGGAGAGGGATGATTAGTAAAATTTGACGTTGGAATAGTATCCACATTTAGCCTGAATGAAAGCCAAATTCGAGTAATTCTGGGGAATTAGATGCGCACCAATCACAAGCGGGACAAGCAATTTCCAACAATATGGTTCTATGTAGATTTTGATACACTGCATAAAGTACAAGCTCGTAGGAATGTCACCTCCAACGCCAAAATCCTTCTCTACAAAGACTTTATTAGCTAGTCTTACCACCTATCCTTAACGCCTATCCTAATTCCATGTAAGTTCCACATGATGCTTTATGAACATATCTTTTATAAGGTTTTCTTGCTGTCATGGCTATGGGCGTGTCCATTGTGGTGATCGTGGTCGTGATCGTGATCGTTAAATTCAGGTTCGGGACTTTCTCGCGGACTCACATTTCCAGGGATGAACTCGTCGAAAAGGGAAGGTTTATTTTCATCCTTTGGTACGAAACGTATTTTAACTCGTCGAACACCTCGAACCTTGGAGCCAACCATTTCTCTGACACTGTCTTCAACTTCTCTGACATCCTCAACTGTCCATGCTTTAGGCACAGCGAGCTGGAGCTCTATTAGGTAGTTCTGTCCGGACTTGACACCCTCAACCTCCCGTAACTCCACTTCTGATCCTTCTGTTAAATCGACGAGACTCTTCTTCACTGCCTTTGTGACGGACTCTTTAATCTCAGGATCAATCCCTCTATCTGCCAATTCGTATAGCGCTGATATAGTATTGCCCCATCCAGCCTTGATAACAAGTAGTGATATGAGAAATCCTCCAACAGGATCTAACCAAGCTGCCGAGTGTAGAAAATTCGCACCAAGAATCGCGAAAAGGGTAACGATACCAGTTAGGGAGTCGACTCTGTGATGGACCGCATTACTTGCTAGAACCGTGCTCTTCCTATCTCGTGCGACTTTCATCGCTGTGAGAGTCACGTCAGTATATGATAGTCAATGAACGATGTGCCAATGGCAACTTACTTGCTTGATATAAATATTCTTTGATAATGATTGTACCCGCAGCTAACCAAGCAGCATGTAAGCTGGGGAGTAATGGCCCGTGGCTATGACTGTGGCCATGTGCATGTGCGGCTGCTTCCGCGGCCGCATGAGCATCCAAAAAGAAATGCGCATATAGTATCTCTGAACTATTCAAGCACATGAACATCCCTCCGAAAAGAAGCATGCCACTGACTCCCAAGGACCCTAAGCTCTCGACCTTTCCAAAGCCTGTTGGAAAGAGTTCCGTCGGAGGCTTGAGACTCCAGGACACTGTCGCCAATGTGAGGACATCACTAGCAAGGTCAGTGACACTATGCCATGCATCTGCCAACATAGCTTGAGAATTGAACATGTATCCCCCTACCCCCTTGGCTAACGCCATGCCCAAGTTCGAGTAAAGTCCAATGCGAGTAATTCGCACACCCGCATCGTTCTTATTCGTTGAGGTAAGGTATGTATTATCATGATGGTGATGATGATGAGAGTGACCGGCGTGTGAGCGCGTTTGAGTACTTGTGAGAGCTGCCATTGGTCTAAGTCTTGAATTGGAGTTATGGGATAGTAATTGAAGTCTTGGAAAGGATTTAAGAGGAATGTTGTGAGGTTTAGTACTATAATTGAGTAAGGCGGTATCGAATGCGGCAGTCTGCAACACTCGGGCAATTTGATATTGAGGTGTCCTTATGTTAGACTTAAGGCCCAATGTGACGACAGGCCTTAACGAAAGGCAATGAAGAGGCATGGACATAAATAATTTATTTTTGGAGTTAACCATTAATGAGAAAAAGTATTCTAAGCGGACAATTACCTTTTGGTACAGCACCTTTACGATTACACCCTTTCTAAGTGTTCATTCAAGGTACTAGGTACTTTACAAGGAGTGCCGCGCCACGTTAATGTATACCGCTATCCGCTCTGGAGGGGGAAGAAATGATAAAAGCTTAATGTGGAAATATAACTTTTGCTTAGTGGAGATTGGTGGATAACGAGTACCTGCCTACTAACTAGTACAGCCCGCGTGGAGTAAATTCTACCAGGCTTTCGTAAGGTTAATCTAATAAACTGCATAGTGCATATGGATGTACTTCTATAGCTGCGATGGACTCGCAAGCCAACCTTCCCAAATGACGACGATTACCTGACTATGAAGTAACACGAGTGGACGGAAAAGACGGTAGCTAGTCATGGAAAAGCCCTGTGAGCATCTTTGAACATTAGATTAGATGAACGTACAGGGTGAGAATGTCACCCTCCTATGTAGCAAACCACATCCGAAAGCTAGATGGAGAAGTTTCATGACGGTGCGTGGCTGTTGCGTGGCTCTTGGATGAAGTGCATCTTGAGAATGTCACTGGGGAAATGTACTAAAAATTGTACGGTGTCCTCGGTAGGTACTGAGTGTAAGACTTTGGAGGTTCAGGAGCTCTATTATCCTTCTTCCTACTGTCATCCACACATTTGAGTAGACGCTCTGTATTTAATAGTTACTTCAGCCGAATATCATCCCTCGAGTTGTGTAACCCTACTTACTCAAGACTCGAAGCTTTCAGTGGCTTAGTCAATGCAGGGATGTAAGACTTAGACATTTTCAAGATACCTTAGCTTGGTCCGCCACCAATCATGACGTTAATATATTTTGGATTTCAGTTCATCCATTCTATCTACAATCTTTCCTATATCTGAACGCGCGTCTGATCCATGATCATCCAATGCGAAAACCCCTTATGAGAATACCCTACACGGGTCCATTACCCCCTCCCTCTATCCTACCACGAAGCGCAAACTCATTACCAGGGGCCATTCACGCTTTGTCGAAATTCCTCACTGCCCCGCCTTCACCTAACCTTCCAGATGGAATTGCAGATCCACAGTCGACAGTAATATTGTCAGGAGCTGGTATTTCTGTGGCTTCTGGATTGGCGGATTAGTGAGTACATTGAGTTTCGTTTTTGATATCAAGGTCACTGTTCATTCCCTGCAAAAGAAAAATCATCTGCCGAAGAAGGTTCTTGTTCAATGGCATGGGTATAAATGATGTTGCATCTTCCATTGCCAAGCTTCAATTGCGTGGCCAATTGCTAATCATTCATCCTCTGCAGTCGAGGCTCGAAGGGCACATATGTGCTGAACAAATCATATCGACCTGTTTACTACCATGAATTTCTTGCCAGCGACCAGGCACGTCGAAGATACTGGGCAAGGAGTTTCTTAGGGTGGACGAATTTACACAAAGCCAAGCCCAATTCAACTCATTATGCTATTAAAGACCTTGCCGGTATGAATATTGTGAAGCGGGTGGTTACTCAGAATGTTGACTCATTTCACTCGGAGGCACATCCAAATTTGGCAACTGTTGAACTTCATGGATATCTTCGAGCTTTGACATGTGTCACCTGCCGAAAAGACCTACCTCGAGATGTTTTCCAAGAATCTTTAGCAAGATTGAATCCAGCATGGGCGGCATTTTTGGCCGAGATTATCGAATCTGGAGCTTTGACAACGGAAGATCCAGAAGATCGTCGAGCGAAAGGCATGAAGGCAAATCCTGACGGAGATGTTGATGTGCCCGGAGCACCATATGGTACCTTTAGATATCCAGCATGCCCTCATTGTCTTGAAAATCCTCCAATTCTAAAAGACGGATCACAATCGATTGTAGAAGTTGACCAGGATGGAGCTTGGAAAGCAACAAGTACAGCTGGTATATTAAAACCTGCTGTAGTCATGTTTGGGGAGAGCATAGATGCGCAAGTAAAGGAAGCTGCTGAACAAGCGATAGATGATTCTGGTAGGCTGCTGGTGTTGGGTACTTCTCTTGCTACGTATTCTGCATGGAGACTAGCACGGCGTGCTCAAGAGCGAGGCATGCCTATTGCAATTCTGAATCTAGGCGGTGTCAGGGGCGAGGAGGCATTCTTCAAAGATTTTCCTGGCGGCCAAACTGGAGAATTGGGTGTAAGGGCCGAACTAGGAACTGACATAGTCCTACCTGCACTTGTTGATCAATTAAACCGGATTGGATTCACGTCTAGAAGAGACGATATTCAAACTCCTTACGAAGCACGACAGAAAAACAGTGGTATGTTCAAGGACATGCTATCGTAGATATACATCAATCTTGTATAGTAGATTTTTTTGTACAAATATTTTCTCAATAGAATCCCGAGGGTCCACTACTCTTATTCTTCGGTTGTTCGCGAGTCTTCTCTCTTGTCTCTGGGACGACAGCGTTTCCAGGTTTTGATTTCTTTGGAGGGGCCTGTTGTGAAGCTGCCTCTTCTCGTTCGATCTCTTGTAATACTTCAATCACCAAGTTAGAACGATACCCCAAGAACGAAATGTAGATTATACCTTCTTCCCACTCCCGCTCCTGCTCTTGGTCTCCAACACCTAGAAGTGCTTCAACATCGGGCTTCTCTCCGTTTCTTATTCTCTGGATGAGCTCTCTCAATACGGCGATCTTTGCATCTGCGCGCCGAGTGAAAGTTGTATATTCATTCCGTAATGCGATCATCTGAATTGACATTGATCCAATCAGAAGGAAGATCCATATAAAAAATGTCGCAGGATTCCAATCTTTTGATTTCTGTCTTTTGCTTACGGCTCGTTCGCTCTTTCGAAATGGTTTAGGAATCATGTTCGTCCAAAATGAAGGTTGAGTAATGCTCTGAACGGCATATTGACGGGACTGAGGGAAGAATAATTGTTTTTGAACAAGTGTACTTCTAAGAGCGGGCGGTGCAGAAATTAGCCTTCGAATCATCATTGATTTATTCATGGTAGCTTGATAGTTGTATTTTTTATCTTGTTGTAATAATGAAGATATTGAAGTTGTAAAATTTAAATTTCCGTAAGGCTCCGGGATGAGGCCGAAGATTTTAACTTTACGGTCGGTTGGTTGCCCTGGAAACAAAGTCAACAGGGAACCTCTTTTTCGATTATGGAGATTGATGATTCTTTACATCACTCGAAGACGACATCAATTGTTTCTCTTTGGCTTTTTTTTTTTTTGGAATAATGTCTAAGTACCAATAACACTGTTTCTTTCTTGACAGAATTTCTTATAATGAATTCATCACAGCAATCCGCGGATGCTGTGCGCGCCGCTATATCCTCGACAGCAACATGTACTCTAGCAACGGTCACCCTCCTCAGCGACCTATTAACTTCTAAGGCGACTACTACTCTAAATATACCTGGACCCTCCAAAATAGTTTCTAGAGCGACGGCAAAACCCACGAAAAAAGGCACAGTTCGAGCTCCTGCGTCGCGGTCCATAGTCAGTGAGGCAGACAAGGAAAACACAGACGCGAACGACAATCTAGAGCTGCTATCTCCCAAAGAAAAATTCACACTGGCCACTGAAGCTATTAATATCACACTGAAAACTTTGACGGAAGCAATCAAAGTGCCAACCCAGCTCCGAAAAGCGCCAACTACTAAGGAGAAAGTAGCAGCTCCCAAAGGCCTTAGACGATCCAGTTCAGTTCCTCAAGCACCATTACAACCAAGAGCTTTGAACCGAGTTTCTAGTTCACCCAATATTTCAAAAACAAGAGAGAGATCCGCATCCACAGCGTCAACATGTGCGCCTGGAGTTCGAGCAATTGCGGAATGCGCCAGAGCTGCTTTTTGTGTTGAGAGGATTTCAGCTCGCGAATGTGGCAGGTCTTACTATGCCACATTTACAGCTCGAGAATGGGATGTCTGTACTGATTGGAAAGCTATTGGCACTGGGCTTGGAAGATTTGGCTACTAAAGAGCTAAGAATCTTAAAAAGACGGCTGGACATCGAAATTGGAGGGAAAAGTGCGCCAGTAGCAAAAGACACGGCGACCATTGTAGCACCGCAAACATTAGCTGAACTTTTGGACTTTGGAAAGATCTTGGTAACCGGCGCGAAATTAGGTCTGATAATCACAACCCAGTTACAGGTATTAAGGCTTATGATCGCTTCGCGTAAACCTAAATCCATTGGAGCTACTCTGCCATTTCTACGGCCCGGATACGCCTCCTCGCCCGTGAAACTCCTTTTAAGAGTTGCCGAGGATCCAGCTCAAGTAAACAAAACTGCTCGTCAACTTCAGACCCTGTCCGATATGCTTCTATCCATGAGCCCAAGCGTCTCAGCCTCGGAAGATGCCACCGCACTAGATTGCAAAGTTAGCATAACACCACATGCGGCGTTCGTGTTACAAGCATTAGCTCTTGACGTGCGGTTGTCATGGTGGAAACTCGCGAATCATGTAGGAAACGTTGAAAAAGATATTTTTGATCCTTTCCTTCGTTGTGTTCAAGCTTATGCTCGGCGGAGTCAAAATGAGGCTTCTAAGGTTTATACAACATGTTCTAATGCATATTCGCATCTCAAAAAAGCATCACTGAAATACGAGACTACTGGTCTCAAGTCAGCGCCAGCTTTGATGGGTATATACCGTTTGTTCGGATCGCTGTCGAAAGAAGCCAATGCCATTGACGAAGCTATGGGATGGGTTGAAATGGCACGAAGTCTTCTTGATTCTAGAGGCGACTCGAATGCTAGATATAGTGCTCTCACGGCACGTCTAGTTTCTCTGAGTCTGCGAGATCCACAACACAAGCAGACGGAAAAGCTTTTGACCGAGCTGTTGGATGTGCTAGAGCGACCGTTTAAAGGGGAGGCGTCCGAGATTGAGGAATTATTAATAGAAGTCTCCTCCACACGGAGAGCTGCTATTACAGCTGTTTCGAATCCCGTGCCTGAGGTATCATCCAACACCAATGGCAGCCTCTCAGTCGAAGTCCGCCGAATGTGTGAATCTCTCGTTTCCTTATGCCCGCGACTCTCACTTCGATATATCGGTAGGAAGCCGGATGAAAATGCTACGAGCAAGGACGTTGTGCGATTCGAACAGCGTAGGAAATTCATTACCAAGTCCTCCGTCTATGCCATTGATTCCACATTATTCTTAGTGAAACTACTTCTCAAACAGGAAGCATCACCATGGGAACATATAGACTCTTTGCTGCAAGATTGCCTTACATTACTCGACCGGCTAGAACTCAGTTCTATTGAAGCCGAAAACTTCGATGCGAAACAGTATTATATCAAAATTTCTAACCTTTACTTCACGTACTTTCTTGAAATACGTCGCAATACCGACCTTGGAAACGATAATCCACAGGCACGAGTGGTACTCCGAAGGTCAATTGACTGTCTTAAATCGAGATCACTTTCGGACAGGAAAGCAGGCCTTATATCTATGAAATTAGAACGAATGGCGGATCTTTCTAAAATTACGGGCCGGTTTGATGAACTCTTCGAAGCTCTTGTCATGTTACGAGATGAGATGGTAGAGAACGGTGTCTTATCCAAGGTTGTTGAAGGTGCCAGAAATCTATCAATCCGAAAGGCTTGGGAATGTAGTGAAGATGCCTCGGTTCTTGCTCGAACTATACAGTCTCTAGTAAAGGTATATCTCAACCATCCAGAAGTTTCTGCCGAGCCTTGGCTTTTCGCTATTTCTTGGACGGATGAGCAAAAAGGTGCTGTTCTTGAGCATCAATTGGACATACTGGCTGGCCTAACCAATCCTACTTCTATTGCTGTGGATTTGAAACGCAAAGTCTTTGATAACCTCCTCTCTTTGTACGACTTAAACCAATATCCCGTTCGTAGACTACGAGCAATGACCATATTTCAACATTCGCATGATAAACAAACAGAAAGTTCTATGCTCGATACGCTCGGAGCGCTTATGACCAAGTCTATCGATTTCGAAACATCTCAGGATTCTGGTTTAGCAGGTTACGTGAGGCACTGGGTGGCTATGGCAATGAGTATAATTGAACTTCAAAAGGATGAAATCAGCATCAAAGTTCTGAACAACTGCATCGTAAACTGGCGAAAAATTCGTTCTGTTGTTAAAAACGTCGCGGCTATGCAGCTTCACATTGAAAACATTCCGCAGCTCTTGCTTCACTTACAATCACTTGCCAATTTCATGGAAATGAGAGGTCTTGAAACTGACAAGCTTGTCATTCTTCGACTCATTGCTGATTACAACGAGCTCTATTGTGAAGTATCTGGTCACAACGACATTGTGTCAACCTACAGTGCCTTAGGTCTCTCATGGCTCCAACTTGGATATTCTGGAAAAGCTGGCTTAGCATTAGACAAAGCCCAAAGCTTTAGCTTGCGCAGCGATCTTGGCGCCAAAACGGACCTTCACATTGCGTACTCTCAATATATGTTAGCACTTGGAAATCTTGAAAAATGGTATGTCTATAAATCTTTATCCTCCAGATCCTACTAACACGTGATAGTCAATTTCATTTAGAATGTGCTGAAGGAGCCTTCATTCTGGAGCGAAAAGAGATAGAAGAAGATAAAGCACCTCTCAGTCTCCAAGAAAAGACTCGACTGAACTGTGTGGTTGCGAAAGCTTCTCTGATACGATCAATGCTTGCAATTGAACAGGGAGGTTCCGAATCTGCTCTTATTCATGCTAAGCAAAGCGTTAGGTTGCTTAGACGCGCCTGGGCTACCACCGAAGCAATCCTCCAAAAAAAGAAACTAGCGGCGGCGCGCAAAGAGGATTCGGAAAAGGTAGCACATGAACTGTCCCTGCTAGACGTTTCTACAAACAAAATAGCCGATCATCCTCATCCACAAGATAGCCCATCAGGAATTGGATTTTGGCCACTAGTCAGCCCTCTTTTTCAGGGGTTGGTCCATTTATCCAATTTATACGCCCATCATGGATTATTCCAGGAGACATTGCATTATGCGGAGCAAGCCCATGAACTCATTAAAGCATTCAATTTTGATGGGCAGACTGCAATAGCTTTAGCAACACTTGGAAGCATTTGGACTAAAGCCGGGGATCTTGACAAGGGCACTGATTACCTTATGGACGCCGAGAAATACTATAAGAATGGTATCAAGGGCAAAAGCTCGGTGACTGTTGCATGTCAAGTAGGCCGTCTCCGCGGAATGCTTGGAGATCGTAAAGCTGAAATCGCATGCTTGGAAGAAGCAAATCAAACTCTCAAAACTCTTACAGACCCTACATTTCTTGCAGCTCTGGAATCAGGTAATACTGGCTCAGAGCAGGTCCCTGATACACTGAAAAGCGGAATGCAAACGCTTGAAACATCGAAGCGAAAAGCGCCAGTCGCCAGGAAAACCACCGTTAGAAAAAAAGAGCCAGTACCCCGAAAACTTGTCATTCGTTCCAAGACTCCAACTCCAATTGAATCATCCGTCAGCACAGAGTGTCCTCAATTAGACTCTTTACGAGCAAATATTCTGTGGCAATTAGCTGACGCTTTAATGAGTGTGAAAAGAAGGAATGAAGCCCAAGTTTTCTTGGAGGAGGCCAGCAAATGCTCTAACAGCCAGTTGGATGAGGTAAATAAAGGCCTCTCGGAAGCTAGATGCTTGCTTGTGCGCTGCATGGAGCAAATGGCCTCCGATCCAGTATATTCTGTGCTTCAAGATTCAACGCTCTCTTTTCCATCAGTCGTCGGAACTCTAAAAGGAAGCAAGGGTCATGTCGAAAAACCAAATTCTGCACATCAATCATCGCCAAGAAAAACTCAAGCGTCGAAAAGCGGTCGTAGAGCAAAGAGCCCACCTCCGGATAGTCTTTTTGACAAGTTGCACCGAGCTCAAGAAATTCTGGTCGAAACTTATCCAGCTGCATTTCTCGTTGCTCCAATTTCTGTCATGCACAAGATAACGTCTCTTTTAAATAATGTTTCTATTCTGTTGTCTGCTGCAGGGCCCATCAAAGGAAGATCTCAACCTGGCCTTGCAAGTTGCTCCATTGATTCTGCACGAACTCTAGCATTCCGCAGAGAGCGCAAAGTTATTTTACAGGAGACTTGTATCCCCGAACTGGATGATCTTCGATGGCCTGATTGTGGAGCTATGTCACGACGATCAAGTCTTGGGGCTTCATTGTCATTCTGCGACATCCCAAAATTTCAGAAAGAATATATAGATATCCTACCAAAAACATGGACTGCCTTTTCAATATCTTTGAGCGAGAATCGTCAAGAACTTTCTATTACCAAATTACAAACTGGCCATGGTCCGTTTGTTCTCCGTCTACCTCTGGGTCGAAACAATTCTATGGATGCGGATGAAGAAGTGTTTGGTTTTGAGCAAGGGAAATGCGAGCTTTTGGATATTATTGATTCTGCGAAGGCTAACTCACAAAGTGGTCCTAGCAGAACGGGTCGTGAAGCTAAGCTTGCTTGGTGGGCAGAGCGTGAAGAATTAGACTCTCGCCTTAAGGATTTACTAGAGAACATTGAGAAAGTATGGTTGGGAGGGTTTGCAGGAATATTTTCCCAATACACCAGAAAATCAGATCTACTTGCTCGCTTCCAGAAATCCTTCGAAAATGTACTCGACAAGCATCTCCCTTCCCGACGAAAGAGTAAGAGAAATTCTGGACCTCGTGTCACTTTGGACAGCAGAATTCTGGAATTATTTGTCGGTCTCGGAGATCCGACAGCGGATGATTGCGACTTTTCAGAGCAATTGACCGATCTTTTGTATTTCGTGGTTGACGTTCTGCAATTCCATGGAGAATTGAATGCGTATGCAGAAATTGATTTTGATTCAATCGTCATTGAAATCCATGATGCTCTTCGTTGCTATTATGAAGCTGCTCACAGTTCGATTCAGGGTGAAGAAGGAAAGCATACTATCCTAATATTAGACAAAGCCCTTCATATCTTCCCATGGGAATCACTACCCTGTATGGAAGGCCTAGCAGTCTCGCGTTTACCATCGCTTGGCTGTCTTCGAGACCGGATCTCCAAACAACAAAAAACAGAAAGTGAAGGTCCAGAGGGTCATTACATCGATCGCAATAATGGCGCCTATATCCTGAATCCAGAAGGGGATCTCAAAAATACTCAAGCCACCTTCCAAGCTCCCCTCGAAGCACTTCCCTCCTGGTCTGGCATCACCAACCGTGCACCGTCTGAAGAAGAGATTAAATACGAACTTCAAAATAAGGACGTCTTCTTGTATTTTGGTCATGGAAGCGGAGGACAATTCATTCGTTCAAAAGAAATCCGCAAGATGGAAAAATGTGCAGTGGCGATATTGATGGGCTGTAGTAGTGGTGCGCTCACTGACTATGGAGAGTTTGAGTTGGGGGGACAGCCGGTGCATTATATGCATGCGGGGAGTGCAGCATTAGTCGCGACGTTGTGGGATGTCACGGATAGGGATATTGATCGGTTTGCGGGAAAGATGTTGGAGGGGTGGGGTTTATTTGGGGGTGAGGGTGAGAAAGCAGAAGGAAAGGAGAAGAAAGAAGGGAAGGGTAGAGGAAGAGGAAAGAAAGCTAAAGCAGAGAGGGATGAAGAGCATGGGGGAAAATTATCTTTGGTTGAGGCCGTGGCAAAGGCAAAAGGTGCTTGTAAATTGAAGTATCTTAATGCGGCCGCGGTTTGTGTTTATGGTATTCCGGTTTATATCAGAGATTAGTGTTGGGTGGTGGTTGGGTACATATATAGGAAAGCGAAGAAGAGAGTATGAATAGGCTGGGACGAAAATCGGTTTTTGATGAGTGGCGTATGGATATTATAGGTGTATTGTCTTTATGGTATGATTATGGCTATGGTCATAGTTATGGTTATGATTATGTTTAAAGAACGAGTATGGATGGCGAATATCCCCTTTTAGTGATACTTTTCTTTAGTTATATTCCCAATGAAGCATTTACATGATTAACGAATAATTAACACACTTTTTCATCTTTGCTGAATGTCAGTGAGTCAATAATAGTTACAATAATTATATTAAAAATTCTAGTCAAATATATCTACATTTCTTTATTTATTTATAGAGTACTATTCTCCTTTCTTCTTCTTTACCTCTTTCATTTATATTCATATTCATATTCCTCTCCTCGTCCTTATTCTTATTCTTATTTTTTATATTGAATTAATAAATCACTTCTGAGTAGCCAACTTCTGAGTAACCGACTTCTGACTTCTGACTTCCAGCTTCTGATTTTTGGGTATATGATATGATATATAGCATATAGCATATAGCATATAGCATATACACATGCACACACATATATATAATAGCACCTCAACTTCAATATCTCAATAACTCAATAACTCAAGACCTTTTCAATTTTTTCCCCCTGTTCTTTTTTGTTTTATTCTACTCAGTCTTATATTTAGAATAATAGAATGATAAGAAAAGGAAGAAGGGAGAAGAGGAAGGAAAGAGTAGATAGAGAGAAGCAAACGAAAGCAAAGAAAAACTATCTCTTCCATTAGTATTCCCATTTTAGATCAAGTTATATCAGATCAGATCAGATCAACGATACTATACTATATACACCGCACCTCCAATCTCCAATCTCCAATCTCCAATCTCCAAGTAAAAAGCAAAAAGACGGAAAAGGAAAAGAAAAAAATCATATTGATGCCTAGGTATCTAGGTAAGTAGGTAGGTCAGTTCAACTATTCATTATCCATTTCAAACCCTCAAAGTTCGGCATTTCGTAGGTAAGTAAGTATTGTTAATAATTGTATTTCCGATTTCCTTCCGAGGTTTCCTTTTGCTATCCGTTTACTTTCCGTTTAAAAGAAAAAGACACAGACGCCGTGATACACCAACTAACCAACCTTAGCTTTATTGTAGGCATGGTGGATATATTCATTCCATCCATTCCACCCATCCATTGCATCCATTGTACGTACGAACCCAGAGCAAACAGCCGTAACGAGACAGCCAGCCAGGCACAGATATCTTCCTCAAAACACCCCCCATGTAACTTTTCCTCCAATATACATCTCATCTCATTTCATCTCATCTACCTATATAATCTCCCAGCTCTAATCATCCCATTCCTCATCCAATTGATCAATCAAACGATTTTCATCCTCGCTCCCTGAATTTCTTCTTCCGCTTTCATTCGCACTAATACCCCTATCTCTTCCATTTCCACCTCTTCCACCATTGGCACTTCCCGAGTTGCCATTTGCAGAGATACTCAAGACGTTGTATCCCCTATGAGTAGGTAAACATCTGGCACACGATGATGTTGCGATGATGAAAATATCCTATTTGGAGAAAAATGTGTTGTTAGTTATGCTTTTTTGCCAAGATTTTGTTCTGCTGTATAACTAGGTAGGTGGATAGCTTTATACTGAAATAAAAAAGAGCAAGGAAATGTGAAATTGTTATATGTGATTATGAATATGGACTGGATTAAACACGCTTGTGAAGGTTTGTATTGCGAGAGGTAGTGCAAAAGGAAATGTGATATTCTTTGATTGAAACGCCGGGTGTGGTATGCTATAATGCTGAATGCCTATCCTAACTGCAGCCTGAAAACCGAAAAGAAACGCTATGCTGAATGCCGCTGCTCGCTCGCGCATCAATTTTTGATATATAAAGATCTTGTCCTCCCACATGAGAGAACTTGTATTCCGCGTATAGGATTACTCGGAACGTATGTACGACTTCTGGGATCTGCGACTCGACATCCCCCTCACTTCCATAGTCGGTAAAATGGACGTGCCATCCCTAACGGACGCTACACGGGGAAAGACTTGGTACTTTGATCTCATAAAACATTTTTGCCCGCTCACCTTTATGAAATTTCCTATGCCAGCCCAGAAGCTATAATTAGGCAATTGTCTCCACCCTCTTGCATGCGCGACGTTTCGTTGGTAAAAGACACCACCGAGGAAGTATACCATGATGGCTATAACCCCTATGATGGCAAAGACAGCACCGGGGCCTACAGTTTGTTTGGCAGGTTCGGAGCCTCCACATGCAGCTTGCGAGCGCACTTCGAAAAAGTACGCGCATTCTTGCGGATCAGTGCCTACGTACGAGGCTGACGCCGTGGCGAGTGGATCTTTCTCACAATGAAAGGATATGATACTAGATTTTCGGCGTATTGATTTATCGTCGTCATCGTCATCGTCATCATCATCATCCCAGCTTCTTTTCTTGTTCTTTCCTCCACATGGTGATCCATTCGTATATTCCAGAACGAGCTTTCTTCCACGTAGTGTTAGGTTCCCCGATTGTTGTCTGAAGCTTGCTGGTTAATATTGTTCTCCGAGAGAAATCAAACATAGATCCACTTACCCGACAGAATACTTCTTTCCCTCAAACTCATAGAATGCGCTCACATTCCGCCAATGATTTTTGTCCACCCCGACAACATCTTTCACCCCTTCTACTACCGGCGCGCATACATTCAGTGTAAAATTCCCTTTGTAATCATATCCTCTCGCGTGCCAATCATCCGTCTTCGCATTTTTGGCAGGTTTCTTCCCTTCTTCCGGAAGCTGTATCGATAATGGTCTCAAATCAAAGAAAGATCCGGTCGTCGATGATATTGTACATGGGTCTACAGGCTTGGGTTTCTTGTCTTCCGAGGCACCTTCTACTCCAATGTGCAAGGTAAGTCCAAGCAGCAGGGCCGAGGGTAGAGATGTAAATCGCATGGTGGTTGGTCTGCGCGGCGGGGTTTTGGAAATATGAGTACCTCCACTATTTGGGGCGGTGTAAATGTCGAAAAGTAGTACTGCAGAGAGAAATTGGACTTGTTAAATGAAGTTCAAGTAGCTCCTCCGATATATGATGTTAGGTGAAACTCGAAGCTTCTCCAGGTACTGAGGAGGACACATAACGCCAGTGCACCAAAAGTAATGTTTTGGGCGCTTATGATAACGATCACGTGCTATTAGCAAGCAACTCATGAAGTAATTAGAGAAGGTGTTGAGTGTGAAGCTATTAAGCTAACTAACTGTATGACCCATTCGGAAAGAATCATAGCCAAACGATAGTAGTCATGATGATTGACTAAAAGCTAAGATGCTGTGAGGTCATCATTATCTGCAGTGTACCTACATAAGAATTCATAGCAAACCAAACCCTATAAGGTTCCGTGTTAACAAGAGATTGAGCCAGCTATACATATAGAGCATGCTAGCTAGTGCTGAAGGTTATTACGATGTTAGTGAGCTCATGTGCTGCGAGCAGTCAGTTAGAATCACCAAGTCATCAAAAGCTCCACCAACCTCCCAGTATTATACTGTACCGGTGAGTAGTAGCTTCGGGAGTCTCGAGGTAAATTAACGTGTGGAACCATTGAAATGTTCTTCCAATGCCAAGATATCCATACCACATGGCAATTGACCCCGGAACATAGTCATTGTTTTGTGTTGCAACAGCCGCCATTTCAAATTGGCAAGAGTATTTCGGATATAACCTTAAACTTTAAAGAAAGCATAGAATCGTGAATGCACAGTCGTGAGTTAACATGGCATGGCTCCTCATTTGCAAACTGTCCTTTTCATTTCAACACGTCATGGATCACCCTATTAGACTGCTGGAGGGCGGAGAATACCCATTGGAGATTTCCACACCGGTGCATGAGTATCCCACAATCTCGGTTGCCGAGTGCCTACCAAGTTCCAACATCAAGACACCCACCCGTAAAAGGATTGATCATCGAGTCAATGATGGTCGACAATACGGAGTAAGACTCGGTCAAAACCCAGCAAGCCGTTGGTTATTAGGCTAGAAGGTCATTTCTTTTCTTTTGGGTCCAGCCTCGAGTTAAATCTTAGGATCCATTCTTTCTATCCACCTCAAGACCTAAAGACAACTTCAAGGATTGTAGAAGGGCTTTGTTTTGTGGCTCCGTATGGGTAATTTGTACTCCACCGGAAAACTTCAGCTTATCACGCGGCAAGTAGCCGCAGCTGTTCAAGGGCGCATGATGGTCATAGATGTCGAATTCGGGACCCATTTACTAGACCGACGAATTGCTGTATCGGTGTGAATGTGAATGTGAATGTGAATGTGAATGAATCACTATTGAAAGTGGGTGAAGCCTGAAGATGACTGCCAATTTGGCCTCGCCATTTGAAACGTCAGCCATATTAATATGAAATAATTCCCTCCTGGGTCCTTCATTGTTCAAGGATTGGGTCATATGTTGATGGAGCTTTCAAGGTCCATTGATCATGAGATATGGATTTTACCGTGTAGTCTTATTTAAGACCCGTGAGGATTTGAGAAACGAGATATCAAGTCCCACAGTCTCTCTGGTGGATCTACGTACGCTATATGGCAATCCCAATTCAACATCATTGAAACCTTAAAATAACAAAAGTGGGATGATACTTGGTATGTCATGGTACAGATAGAAATACAGTGCTTTAAGGGTTCAAACATGGTGATAATTACGGAGTACAGCCTTATGGCATCTGTCAATGTATTGGTCAATCTCAATTAGTGCGACGACGGCCAAAGAGAAGGCTTTCAGTACGGTGCAATGTTCCTGGCTATACCTTCTGGAATAGGACAATATTGTAGATAAGGCTCCGTGGAGATGTGTTTGATGTGATGGGTAAACTTTATGCAAGAGAGAAAGTCAAACCAACCATATTCATCCCTACCGCATGGGAGGGACAAGGGTGTCTATTCAAGGTTATTGCAGAATTTCTCGAACCCCCCAGATACCAATTGATGAATCATGAGGCACGCTTCGCCGCACGGTGTGAAGAAGCTGCCTACCTAGTACCTACTCCGTACATATGGATTATGTATTATGAGGGAAGTAAAATGCTGTGAAGAAGGACTAGATGTACGCTCAGTATCCGCAGTGACTGACATTTGACCTTTGACCACTGACCAGTGACAAGTCCGTAGGAAGTGGGGAAACTTGCTAGTCTACAGTATCTGTGCAGTGTACAGACCATACACGGTACACCTGGGCAGTTTTTGAATTCAAATGTCCATACTCCGTGAACCCAGTTAAAACCTCTTTAGCCAATCATAATTCAAGATGGCGTTGACTTGCTCCATTGTCAGGTGCAGACTTGGCTGCCGCCCTGAGAAACTTTCTCTTTGGACGACATCAATTCATTCAAAGGGCAAGTTGCAGCCGAGTGAAAAGCCACGATAGGTAAGACTCCAATTGAACCTGGGAAATAGATCAGGATGTGAAGTTTACCAGTTGGCAGGTGATCAAAAATTATCCATGCTCTGTAATTGTGATTAGAAGACCTCTCAACTTCTCGAGTAATTATGAATTTATGACGGCCATATCCGAATGATGGCTTTCAGTCAGATTCGACTTTTGTGATGATCAAGTTGAATGACCAGATTCCCGGAAATAGCATGCTTACATTATGGTGTTGAGGACGGCCTCTTGGAGAGGATGGGAAATTTTGGCCAAGTTTAGCTGATAGGCAGTGAGTGAGTGGTAGATGGTAAGCCTTGGACCAAAGAGGATGGTAAATGGCAAAGAAAAACTATGCAAGCAAGCATTTACCATGGCGCTGGTAGGATGTAACGAGAACTGGTCCCGTACCACTCACACATGGTGAAAATTTTCAAGCGATGCCAATGTATTAATGTAAGTTTTATTTATGCAATGTATCCTTTCAGGCAAATCGAGTAAGCAGGCAAGTGAAGGAGAGAGAAAAGGGGAGCTATCAAGCAAGTGAACAGAGAACAAATGGAAAATACAAAATACAACATACAGAATACAAAATAGAAAATACAAAATAGATGAATGACCAGTTTCTCAACGGTTTCTAAACAGCCAAGTTCTGCTGCTGCTGATGGTTCGTTGATTTATATGAGTGGCTGACTGACTTATGCATGCTCGGATAATAACATACAGACCGTGTAGATGTAACTTTGATGGAAGCCATAAAGAAGATTGTTGGAAGGCCATCAAGGCAGGGTTACGGAGAGCGGAGTGCAGCTAAGTAACTGTACTAAGTAAGTACAGGATACGATATCCACGATGTCCACGATTCCGCAGTTGATCTCTGAGTCTCTGACCCTGGTTTAGTGATGCCGAGATAGCGCCACAATAGTGTTTTTCTATGGAGAAAATATCCCTAGCATCCCTAACGAGGTCCCATTTGGGGCAGGAATCGTGCATGTTGGCTCTCTCATTTGCCTGTAACTTTGCTGCAACTCGCTGCATTGCTCGTACCATGCTGGGTTTACATCAACCGTTAAATGTTAATACCTCGAATGCTCGAATTGCATAGTAGGTACAGTACGCACCAAGCAGCAGACGGCTACTTTGGTACACTTGCCGAATTCCTTACTTCAGGACCATCATCCTGATGCTACAGTAATATCCCAGATAGGACTTCGATCACCGTACAGTATGTATGTATGTATGTATGTATGTATGTATGTATGTATGTATGTACTATGTAGCATCCAATTCTTCAATTCTCCAATTCTCCAATTAAGATACACTGATACAGACACAAAGATACCCAAGTATTGATGCTCCATATTAAAATATCTTGAATGGATTCATCAATGGTCGTCCTAGCCCTTTCGGCGTTGTGCCTGGCTAACTGAATTCAAACATGCACAACGCAGTACTCTAGATTACCTTCCTTAGTACCTGCTCATCTGAGATCCCGAGCTGCATCATCTTCCCATTCCCATTCCCAGCCCTTCTGAATGCTCGTTGCCTCTTCGTGGATCACATTTTAGTCTGGCCGTAGATCATCATCATCATCAATCACCGTACTCCGTCTAGCGTTTTCCAAATTCCAGCAAACCTCAACCAAACGCCCCTCTTACCTGAGATGAATAAGTTGCCAAGATCACTTTCGTACAGGTCAAACCTTGTCATTCAATTCAATCATATTGCATTTTTTAGATGAATAGCCCGAGCCGCACCAGCGCCAGTCGCCAACACCCCCAAAACTGCGTCTCCGTTGGCGGAATCGAAAGAAAAAAACTAGTGGATCAAAAAGTTAGAAAGAATTCTAAGAGAACTAGAAACGTCCAAGGTTCTTTCTAATAATTGTACCGTGCTTCCGATTCGGATCTAAATGACACCCCTCCCTAAAGTGTGAAAATATTCTCCTCCATCTAAAAGGAGGAAGCTCCTCAACTGAGTTTTCATTACACAACTTTTTGACCGAAATCTTACATTCTCATTACTCTATCTTTTACTCTATCAATCACTTTTCCACACTACATTGTGATTTGTATCCAGTCCAGTCCAGTCTCTATCACGCAATTGCCGGTTCAACGCAGGCTCTCAGCCTCGTACGCCATCCCTACCATATTTTCACTTCCCAGAATTGGAAAGTCAGTGGAACAGCCAGCGCCTATAGGGCCATATCGCATCTGATAACGAATGGTCTGTTACCCTTTTAGACAGAACCTCGTTGTCCAAGCTTCGATCAAGCATTCGTGCTGTACTGGTAGTGAGGTGCATTCACTCATTTAATTCGTTTGGACGCTGTAGAATTGCCGAGGCCAATACCTGGGGTGGACAAAAAGGCGGGGTTCGAGTATCATAATATCGTAATCTTTCGTTATTGAAATGGCAGATACCTCAACAAACATGTCTATCGACGCAAAAGAATCAGTCCGAGAGGGTACAGATGAATCTCTGGATGTCTCTACACCAGAAGCCGAGACAGAAATTCCTCCAGAAAATATTGGCCAACAAAAAAGAAAGGGTGGCCGAAAACCTGTATGTTGACAAGATGTGCTTAGCCCTGTAGTACCTATTTGCTAATGTGATCCCTCAGATTTATGCTACTTCAGAAGAACGTAAACAGCGCAATCGCCAGGCGCAAGCAGCGTTTAGAGAACGTCGCACCGAGTATATCAAGCAACTTGAGGAAACAATTCGAGTTCATGAGACAAATCTCCATAGTCTCCAGAATGCTCACAGAAGTGCCGCCGATGAGTGTTTGATGCTCCGCTATAAAAACTCTCTCCTTGAAAGAATTCTTCTAGAGAAAGGTAATTGTATCAGTTGAGCCTTCATTTGAAAATAATCTAATTGTTTGGACAGGCATCGATGTCCAGGCTGAATTACGGGCAAAGACAGGAAGTCCACACCTTGGTCCAACGCACATGCACCAAAATATGGCTCAACCACCTACTGTTCAACGTGCTATAATGAACAGACATCATCAAGCTAGACGATCAAACTCGAGCATTGCACCAAAGCTTGAGCCTGGTGTTTCTTTTCACAACAATCAATCGCCACAATCGAGGCCTACTCCATCATCACATGCCTCATCGCCAACCACAAGCTCGTCAGGCTTTAACCACCAAGGCGTACTAACCCCACCTTCTTCTGACTCTCAAATGCAGCATCAACAGCAACAGCAGCAACGTCTCCACGCCGCAAAAACGCAAGCACAGCATGCATTGTCAGGTACTACAGGACTTCTCGTTAATACTAGTGTGGCATCGCCATTAGGGGCAAAAGGGCAAGGAAATGGCAATGGTGCGGGTAATGCGGGCGGGGCTACCGGGGCCCCTACGTATTATCCGTCATTCCAAACTCATATTGAGCAACTCGGCAAGCTGACCCGTCCCCTGTTATCATTTTCTTTTTTTGGAACCATGTTCGTCCTAGATTGATTCCGTGAGTACAGAACAGGAGTACGATGCGCAAGCCGATATGGTTGACGATCAACCCGAAATCGCAGGCCCCGGGCCATACCCCGAACCGGTTCCCGCTGGTCAACTCAACCAGCTACAGGGAAACCAACCGCAACAACTCGGTCACCCCCCGCACTCGCAAGGCATGCACGGCGAAAACGCCACTCAAGCCTACAATCCGATGACACAGCTACTTGATCCATACGACCCGATGCTCGATATGGATCCTTTCGGTCTTTCTGCAAGCATGCAATTTCCAACGCAATTCTCCTTCGATACGAGCTCAATGCGATAAGCGCTTATGATACCCATGGTTAGGCATAATCTCTTTCATGGTTTCGGCAGGTGTTCTAGGGGGTAATGCATTCGGTTTTAATGTCTCCTGGGATCAGGCAATGAGTTTTGGTTTTAGTTTTGAGAGCATCTGGGATGGAGTTTAAAACCCCAAAAAAAGGAAGGGATGGGACAAAAAAAAGTTTATAAGCAAGGGCTATGGCAGATCCTCGAGTTGTTATAACATTGCATCAATTGCATGTCTTCGAGGCGATCACGCCATAAGCACAATTCGCAAAAGGAATGTATCTTTTGAGCGTTTCATTCTCTCATGGTGGGGACGGGTTTTATGATGGGAATGAAAAATGTATATGGATATCGAAGGGCGGTGGGTTAGGCGGAGCAATGAACGGATATTCCTGATGAGGATGGTGGAAAGGAAAACAATGACAACAGCAATGGAAATATGTTGCATGGTGTTCCTCTTATTTCGTCGTTTTCAACAACATTTCCTTCCCGATTTCGTCGTTTTCCTTTCCCTTTTTTTTTCCTTGCTTTACTTTCACTTCCTTTACTTTCGATCGGTGCTTGTTCACTAATGAACGATGCCCATGTACTCCTTGGAATATACGTTGATGATGGTATTGGTGTTGATGTTGACATTGAGGTCGACGATGTAAAATTGTATCTTATAAATAAATGATTAATACCAGTGATTGACTACCTACTAATCCAAGTAAGAAGTCAGTCCTTAGATGGCAATTTCTATTATAAAGTTATCAAGTCTCTCGCAATACTAGTATGATACTAGTATGATAGAAATCCAGAATCGATACCTGAAATACTCATGAGGCCCGTGACAGGAAGAGGAAAGAACAAAGAATTGTCAATGATCAATGAACTGATGAATCATAGCTTAGAAACACAATGTTACACAGATAATTGTCATATCATTTCGATAGTTTCATTGAAATTATATCATAATCATAAATTTATCTCACAAAGCGCATTCTCCATATGATATCAATAAAGTCAACAATTTGCAACCACACGTTTTGGCCCCGTTATCATTTCTATTACCACTATCAACCATCAGACTTAACTTTCCCTCCTTTCTTCACCCCACATCTCAAATTTTGGAAAGCCCTGGTGGGCTGCTCGCTTATGCCTCACACTAAACTAAACTTAGTTTAGATTCTTTGTGTACTGAGGAGCGAACTGATTTTTCAGCATCAACGACGATTTACAAGTTTACCTTGTTCTTCAACCGCAAATCAGCAATTCTCGAGAGACGGCTTCCTTGTGTTCAGGAATCTGTCAGTCTCGTTTTTTTAATCCACAACCCCCGAATTGTTCTCTCGGTAGCAAAAGCTTCTTCGGAGGCACTCGAGAAGCAGATCAAGATGTCGGGTATCGCTTCCAAGGTAAATTTTTCCTCCAACAATTAACAATAGAAAATTTCCAATAGTTTGGGGCTTGAAAAGAGATGCGCCATTCTCGCTAGTCTATCATTTCTGAAGTGTTTAAGAGCTTTCAATGCTAATATGATTTATCACAGAACCTTTACGAGCTTCTCGGTACGCACGAATTTACTTAAATTACAATATAGTGGGACAAACGAAAACTGATGAAAGTGACATGTAGGCAACGATCATGAGTATGATTCCGACAAGGAACCAGAGCCACCAGTGAAGGCTGTCGATAAGACTCCAGCCCGCACCACCAAGCGCAATGCTACTGGAGAGGCACCAGCCGCTAAGGCTCCTGTAGCTGATGGACGTGGAGCTCGTCGTGGGGGATTCACCGGAAACGAAGGAGGTCAGTACATGGACACTTTATTTGGGCGCATATCAATAATCAAAGTTTGCGGCACAATGAGCCTGGTGCGATCATTATTTGGAGTCTTTACTAACAGTTGTTGTTTTTACAGCTTTCCGTGATCGCAACGCTGGCAGCGCCAACAACCATGGCAAGCCAGTCGATGACTCTGTCAGAACTGACCGTCACCCAAGACATGTTGGTGGACGTGGCCGAGGTGGTGCTCGTGGAGGTGCCAAATTCGACCGTCACAGCCGCGGAGTCGTTGGGTAAGAAATTTCTTTCGTGATAGATTTTGTAGCACATATGTTGATTCTTAAAAAAGTGATTCCGAGAAGCAAGTTGCTCATGGCTGGGGTGCTACCGAAGGTGGCGCTGAGCTCGCTGATGAGCAAGCAGGTGAAGCTATCGCCAAGAACGATGCCAAGGAAGATGGTGAAGCACCAGCTGATGCCGCTGCTGAAGAGCCTGAGCCAGAAGATAACAGTGTCTCATACGCCGATTACCTCGCTCAATTAGAGGAGAAGAGAGCTGCACTCAACGCTGCCACCCCTGAAGCTCGCAAGCCAGACAGCAAGGTCGACAAGAAGTGGGCCGGCGCTAAGGCTATCACCAAGGAGGACGAGGAAGACTTCGTCGCTGGAACTGGTGGCAAGACTAAGCGTGAACGTCAACGCGCTCAAAAGCAAGTCGTTGAGATTGATCAACGTTATGTTGAACCCGCTGAACGCGGTGGTAGAGGAGGTTTCCGTGGAGGTCGTGGACGTGGTGACGGACCACCACGTGGCGACAGAGGAGGTTTCCGTGGACGTGGTGAAGGTCAACGTGGACGTGCTCGTGGTGATCGAGGCCCACCACGCCAAAGTGCCCCAAGAAACGGAGGCGCCTCTGCACCCATCCAGATTGAGGACCAATCCGCTTTCCCAAGCCTTGGCGCATAAAGTTTCATTATTGAAACTAAATCTTCCGAGTTTTCAAAACATGGCATAACATGATATGTAGAAACGATCCCAAAAATTTGTGTTTTACGCAATCGTTATATGAGAAACAAAAAATTTGATCAAAAACCGGCCCTAATTTTTTTTTTGCATTGTGAAATGGTTAATGAAGGGAATGGCCGGCTCATGATGAACGTACGGAGAGTAGCTTTTATAAAAGAAGGTTCCAGAACGTAGTGGATGTCAATGATATCTCGTAATGGACAATTTTTTCTCATTCTAGCAACTTTGTCTTTTTTTGTCTTTTGTCTTGTCTGGCTGGTTGTGATTATCATGGGCTTGAGATCGAGTCTGGATACCTGGACTAGTCTTCGCATTTCACTTGCTTGTTACCGTAGATAAAATAAAATGATTTTTCTCTTTTCCTTCTCTCTTACTTTTGGGTGTAGGGGAAGGTATCTTGATGTACGTATGTATGTGTACATGTGTGTATGTGTATGTCTGTGTATGTCCTTTACCCTGGATTCTTGATGATTACTGTGATTATCTCAGGAGATACGGGTACGGCCACGGGTGGTAGGTAATTAATTATGTATTTTCGATTGACTAATATATATTTATCTATATGTATGTAGTGTAGTGTAGTGTAGTGTGCAGTGTGAGGTGTGAGGTAGGTTGTATATACGATGTGTGTTTGTATGGGATATGTATATATTTTGTCGAGTGAGTGGGAATTACGTTTGCTTGGTTGCTTGGTTTGTGGAGTGTATACTTTTCTGGAGTATGGAGACTAGTGTTTTTAATGTGGAAGGGTACTGCTTAAGAGAGTAAGTGACTGACTGGTCTGGCTGGATGAGGTCGTGTTTGTTAAGGAAGGTAGAGGTGGGGATGGTTAGGATGTGGGGAGTTTGGGAATTCTGGGAATTGAGGAGTTTTGGGGGGGCGGGGGCCAGTGGAGATGGATTTAGTGTTTAGGATAAGGAGGATTTAGTGTTTATAAACTTTTTTGGTTGTAGGGTGCTTTTGTTCTTAAATGCTTTGGGAGAGTGCGATGGAATGATGAGGAGGGGGTTAGTGTGTATCAAGAGGAATTGCGATTGAATTTCCTGGGGTGTTTTTTGATGTTTGGGGGATATTATGACATTAATGCCAGAAATGATCTCCTACAGGAATAGGAAATGGAGTTTACTTTGAAGGTATGGAAGGATAGAGGTGGTGAGATGTCCGAAGGGGATGTTGTATTTTGAAAGCTCATTTGGTATGTATGTAGAAAGCAGAGATAAGATAGAGAGATGTAGATTTTGAAGCTATATTAGAGATATCTTAGATATCTAGTGAAGAGTTGATGACAGATGGGATTAGATTTTGGAATCATTTTGATTTTCGATTCGGAGGATAACGATATCATCTATGAATAGAATATTTTCAGACTATATGCACCGTGGACGTATCTATCTCGTATAAACAGATTCTTGAACCATTGACAAGAATCGGGAGAAAACCAGACGGTTGAGATGAAAACAGCAGTCTGGATACATAAAATTCGATGTACTTCAATAGTCCACGCCCAATTATATGTATTAAAGCTAGATGATTATCCAAGCTAGAGTAATCATCAAGAACTCCACAGTACACCTTGACATCGCATAAATAAGTCTTCAGATTTTGCGAGGATAATTTATGCGTGGTATTTCCTTCTGTGGCTAGGAACGCGTGCAAATTGTAGTTTACTTTTATGTCCTGAGTTATATACCCCTGAGGACTGAGGACTTTGTAGATGAATGTCTTCTTAGATCCTCACCTCTATAGCTAACACAACGATACTTAAGAATTCAATATCTTTATATTTCGTTTCGTTGGTGACAAGTGACCAAGAAAGAAGAAAACTTTTGCTCCCTCTAAAGCACGGCCACGGAAGATATTCCTATCATAGTTGCTACTACTAAGTCCAAACGGTATGATGGGTTGGAAGAGCTGTAGTTAGTCCCGGAAGCTTGCGCGTTAGGTTTCGCGGTAGTGATGTGTGTAAAGATTGAGGACGTGGAGGACTTCGACAAGGAATTCAAATACTAGATCGATTCCTCTACACATATCACGGTCACGCTTACTTACCGTCGTATTGTATTGTATTGTATTGTATTGTATTGTATTGTGCTACATTAAAATAAGTATACGTCGATCCAGAAAGACGGGTAGGAAGATACTCTTTACTTTGAAAACTTGAAGTAAGATTAGGATGTTAGGATTTTGGAATGCTTTATGATTTCCTGTATACTGGGACCAGCTTGGTGCCAATATTAGTGGTAACAAGTATCCACATCGTCCCGGACATGTATGGCAAGTACAAGCAAGTACAGCAAGAAATATCAGGATAGCAGCTACTTAGCTAGTGTTAAGTGAATAATTGAGCTTGGTGCTGATAAATATATTTTGGGGAGCGGGTGAGATTTGGATAAAGATCTTGTAGCCATAATGTATATATGTAGTGCTATGGCTGTGATTTCAAAATGCCATCAGAAGTAAAAAAAAAAAAGAATATAATTAGTTTTTAGGTTGTTGGATTTGTGATAAATACAATATTTCTTGGTAATCTTTCTTAGTAGTATTATTAGTATTCAAGTGAGTATACATGTATATTCTAATCATACCATTAATATTCTTCTCCTGAACTCTTGGCCTCTACCTTTCTATCATTATCCGCAAGTATTACGCTAGATTCCGTATCAAATCATCTAGCTGTTATGGTACTATGATGACTGAGTACGGCAGCATTTCCTTTCAAAAGATCTTTAAGATCCATTCCTTCCACCATCTACCATCTTTCCTTTCCATTCCTCTTCCATTCCTTCCATTCCTTCCATTTCCTTCATCTCTTCCTTCCTTCTTCCTCTCCTTCCCTCCTTCCACCCTCCTTCCTCTTCCTTCCTCCTTCCTTCCTTCCTTCCTTTCCTTCAATTCCTTATCCACCTCAAACCCCAACCCTTCCTCCCATCATATCAGCTCCTCACAACGTTAATGTTAACCTCCATATTTAAGCGAAAATCTAACATTAACCAATTTAACCAATATATCAATATCAATATCAACATCACCCATACATACACTTTCACTTATACGGATGTGCTTATAGTTATCTAATTTCTCCTCTCTTTAGAACCCTTTAAGTTCCTATCTCTTTTCCTTAATTTCATGAGGTTGAAGATATTGGTACTGTATTCTTAGATCATTTTTATATATCCTCGAACTTCTTACATCTATCTTTTTTCCCCTCCTTTTTTGAAAATGGAAATATCTATTCTTCCCTTCTTCCCTTCCTGCCCTTCCCTCCCTACCCTCCCACACCCCAAAACCTCACAAAACAATAATCTAATCCAATTCTAGGACTCCTATAATACATGAACAATCCAATCCAATCCAATTCAATCAAGTAATAAAAGTTACAAAACACAGGTCATATAATTGTGATACTAATGCTAACCGTTTAAATATTATGACATTGTGAGTGATTTTATACTATTATGCTATGCCACTCGATCACTCACTAATAACCTCACCAATCTTAGAATAATAAAATCATCACTCGAATATTGGGATTTCATTATTTCCTTGATTTTGTGAACTGCTGATATTGTTTATAGGTATGATGATATGAAGAAGTGTATATCTGAACAATAGTAAAATCCTACAATACAAAAAAAAAACAAAAGAATCGACAGTCGCCCGTCTCAGATCTATGTCTATCTATCCTGGCGGATCCTTAAATAAATCCAATGTTGAGATAATAATACAAGGCTGACTTCCTCCTATTCCATCGTATCTCCTATGCTTCAATCTCACAGCTCATCTCAAATATCAAGTATCGAGCATCGAGTACTTACTCAACTCCGCATTGAAACCCAAATATCATTCCATCTACCACTCCACCTATCCAAGCCAAAACATACACACTCCCCAAACACATTCATTTACTCCAACCTCGCACCCATCACCCCACCCTTCCCACCCAGCACCCACCTTCCCCCTCCATCTCCTTCCCCGCATTAATATCATAAGCCCTCCCAGGTTTCCTCAAACCCCCCTCCCCATCTCCATCCACATCCCCCACAACCTTCTTCTCAATCTCTCTTCGTGAGTTTTCTTCTGAAATACGTTGATTTTCCTTAACTATTTCATCTGCTTCCCAATTGTAGTTACCTGCGCCGCCTCGCTGTATATATATTTTTAGGTTAGTTTTCTATTTTTTTTCTATATCTTTTGTTTGTATTATGATTCGGGTTTCTTTCGCTCAAGTGAAGAGAAGAGGGAGGAGTCGAATGGAGGTGAAATAGAAATAGAAGACTTACCCCGCCTTTATACACAACACTCTGCATACTACTCTTTACATTTCTGGGCGAACTCGATGGGGGCGCGGGGTTAATGGTGGGGTTTTGGTAATTAGTTGTTGTTTGGGTGAGACCTGAGTTTAGGAGAGAAGCAGGTGAAGCGAGGTTTCCTGCGCCGCCGCGGCCGGTGTCTGGTTTGGGTGTTAGTTTTTGTTGGGAATGGAGGAGATGTGAGTGCGAGGGAAGGGAGATAGGGAGAGCAGATGAGAATGGGAACAAACGTTGATATTCAGGTGGAGGTCCACCACCTACTGCGCGCAGTGCTTGTGAGATTAAGGAGGGCGTTTTATTGTGTTTTGTTGAGCTTGAGGATTGCGCTTCGAGGTCCTTTGCGATTAAGTTAGTCGTTGCTGGTTGTATCGAGTGAAGGAAGGGTGAAGAGGAATAGATGAAGGGGCAAGGCAGAAATATACATACAGAAGTCCCATTACTCCTCTCCACATCCTGTTTACTATAAAAATTCCCCGCGCCTCCTCGTCCAACTTTCTTATATGTTTCTTCAGACATCTCTTCGATTTTCAACTTAGATCGATCCTCTGTTCCTCCTTCTAGCTCTAGTCTATATTCCAGATATAGTACAAGTAGGTATAATATAGTAAATCCAATCACGAAGAATAATAATATCACTAGGTAGGTAAAAATAAACAACCTCCAAAGTCAATAAATAGATAGATATTATCGCCACGAAAGAAAAATTGCGATACCTTCCTTCAAGTGAGTCTTCAATAAAATCGTAGTTAATGCAAAGACCCCAAAAATGACGATTTTTCTTGCATTTTCTTCGTCGATCTTAAATTCTCTGATAAGATAACAAACGATAATTCTCCCACTCCTAATAGCACTCCTAATAGCACACTTGACTCGTTCTAATCAATCCATCATTCCAAGCCATCAATTTCCTACTCGTTAAAGTTTCTGGGAAACCTTTTTTCCATTTTTAAACTCAGAGCTTCATGGATTACCAAGTAGACCTGGGTGTACTTACGGTGTCTATCATGTCCGGAAACGTTTTCGGGGATTTTGTGCATGCAAGTAAGTACCAAGGAGGTACCTATAACCTGCTAGGATATCGTACTGATGATCATCTTATTTTTCTATTATTTGGCGGGGTAATTTGCGAGGGGTAGAACATAGAGGTATGTAGGTATTCGTACTGGGTACTCCGTATAATACTTCATGTTCACGGGGTTGTATCAGGTTTCTCTCTGTCAAATAACGAGTGTATTCACATACATTCAGATATCCTCTGGTATACAACTCGCAATATGGTATGCCGTAGCTATCTAATGCTACCTACCTGCCTATGCTTGAATGCACGCACGCAAAAGGCTACGTCTACAGCAAATGTCAAATTTAATGTAGTGTAACGCAGACATATCAGCCATGTTCCATACAAACTCATAGCATCATTACACAACAGAAAATTTCCCCTCATCACACAAAGGCTTGAAGAATATTTTCTACGCTTTGGCTTTTTCCCATCTTTTCTTCAGGAAATCCGCAAGCCTTTTCAACAAAACTTTTCCGTGTATCGTGATATAAGACACGCCTCCTACGTAGCCCCTCACCTCCTACATCGGAAAGAATCTAGGAATGCCGAGTGGGATCATTGAGTATACAGAAAACTCATGTGTGGCATTCAGAGTTTTGACCTCCATCTCCGGTCCGGTGTCATTTGATGGATGGCTCGATGCCGAAGAGCTGGAGGAGGATTCTCGCTTGGTAGTTTGATGCTCGTATGTATGGAGTGAGTTTTATTGGTTACTGTACTATCTCTCGGGTAGAAATATAGATATATGATCCATGGTTCCAATACTGCAGTACGCATATCGTCGGACCTGTCTTGTTGATTCCCCGGGTGAGAAATTTGGGTTTGTGTATGTGTATGTGTATGTGTATGTAAGATAACGTCAGTGTGGATCCATATTAATGAAGAAGTTTTTGAAAGATGTGTGGAAATGTAAGGATACCATTTTTGAATTGGTTGAACTGTGACTTGGGCAAATTCATCTATGGCGAGTGTACAGTCCGTATAGCAACTCGGCTCCGATTTGCTAGGAAGTCGGATGAGTCTCCTGCCGATGAGTACATACCTATGAGACTTTGAGGAGTAAAACCTGAATAGAGTCAAGTAGACGAGCAGCTACTCGATCCTAAAGCACAATATCATGCTTCATCCCGCCATATTAGGTATATTACCTACCCCATTTCGTATACCGTGTGCTGCCAGTCATACAGAATCAATCCATGGTAAGTAACATGATCCTGCATTAGTAACCTCATTTTGACGCCCCTTTCATGATGTGAAAAAGGAGAGGAGAAACATAGCCTTTAGAGTAAAGATCCAAGAATTTCCCATGTAGGGAAGAGTTGACTTGCTATGCGAGTGTCCAAGTGATAATTTTGTAGATGTGGTTGAAATTTACATGAGGTAGATAAAGTCTCAATTGGTACCTAGACAAACTTGGTATTTGTAAAACAAATCCATATAAACGTTTAAATTGAACCTTGGAAAGTCCAAAAGGGTTTCCAAATTTCCTACCTATTGGTTTTGATTCGAAAGATATTATCCAGGAAACTTGATCTGTGTAGATAAGGAAGTCTTGGTCGCACAAAATGCCATGGTGTTAACACATTCCCATTTTCACAATCCAATCGCAGGATCTCCAAGATCTCTTCCCATTTTTCTGGAGTGGTACCTGATGAAGCACCACTTGTTGGCACCAACTATTATCAATCTATCTTTTACAATCATCAGCCGTCTTTTTATCTCTAAAAGGAAGATTCAGAATTCCCAATCCATGGTTAAAAATATAATTATAAATTTGTAGTGATAATGAAGGGGTAAATAGCAAGCCATAGCTAGGTTAATATATCTCCAGATGTTCCTCCCGGCCTAAAATAAATGGGAGGAATATAGATGATTACCCATGCGAGCCATGCCATGTAGCCGCTGTGGGAAGTACCTAGAGTAGTAATTGATCGACGTGGTTCCTGTTGTTTCGTTGCAGCGACTGAAAGATGAGGATAAAAGATCGTGTTTGTTATGGAATCTCTGTATCTATTCGATTTCTACCTAAGGTTCTATCTTTTCAGTATCTAGAACGTATATTCTTCAACAGTTGAATTCGTGTTCTTATTCCCCAAACCTGATCTGGGTATTATATCCAAGGAAAACATATCGAGGTTTAATCTTGAGATAGTCGACAAAATAGTCATTAAGAACCAAGGCTTTTTTTGTACGGAGTATCTACTTCATGCTAGAGTGATCTGTCCGCCTAGAGAAATAAGCAGCGATGATCTTTACCTGCGATGAGAGCAAGCGCATCGTGAACCAGGTATTTAAAAAGGTCTAGAACGATCCTCCCGCATCTACGTGAGCATATCCACAATATAATTCTGGTTTTGGGTTTCTTTGGGATTTCCATTTCTACTTCCATTCTATTTCCATTCCGATTCCATTGTTAGAGTTAGAGATGAACAAATCCCAAATTTCCGACGCAAACATAAATAATTGTTTGAATCCGGCTGAGAATTAGCCACACGGGAATTCAAGAACGGCATAAGTCACTGTCTCGGCGCAGGAACAAGAGGTACAGAGGGTATTACGGGAGAACTTTCTACATTGGTGGATAAGTGGATGTGATGCATAGAAAAAGAAAAAGCAGCAGAGACAGCAAATAGTAGCTGAGCTGTACCTTACGTATACTTACTTGTCTACGCAGGTCATCTTACCGCACACTAACTATCTCACGTATGTACGTATGTATGTATGTATGCTGTATTGAGAACGTGAGAACGTAATGAACTTTTCTTTTCAGCGTCTACGGTGTGAACACGATTCTGTGAATTTGTCATGCGTCGGGCGAGCAAATGGAAAGTTGTTGTGTCGTTGTCGTTTTCTCCACTTGGGTAGATACATAGATAGATGATTGAGGAAGGGAGTCAAGGTGCAGGAGTTGGTTGCTGGAGCATGCATCGCTAGATTTTCGTCGTTGGGTAAAAGCTATGGTTATATTGGAGAATGAAACTTTGCATTGAGGGTATTCATCGTGTTGGAAAGTCTAACGGATTGGATCTGGGTTTCTTATCTCCCGTTCGTATAGGTCAGCTAGATACGAGAATACATAAGTGTGCAAGAGGTAGATTTACAACATCTAATTATGAACGGCCTAGCAATAAGGGGTATGATACGTTGGATAACCTCCTGAATACCTCCTGAAGACCTTCTCGAAGTTTGTTTGCGGTCACTCATCAAAATCTGAATCAACGTCATGCATGGCCCTTGGTACTCCGTATGGAGATTTAATCTAAATTAACCTTTTATCATCATCATTATGCAATAAATTTATCCTCGCGGCTGCGATTGCGCTTCATATTAGTATCAACCCTTGTTAGTTGCATCCACACTTGAATTTAATTGAGTCGGATAGCCAACATTTGGGAAACAAGGGATAGGGAGGGGAAGAGAAAGAAAGGAGGAAGGGGATGAGAGATATACGAAGTGGAAAGGAGAGAAGAAGAGTATGTTCCGCTAATAGCTAGCACTCACCCGCCCAGGCGTTTCTAGCATACAATCATCAAAAGAATGAATGCCTATCTAATAAATAAACCGCGTACACAAATAGCATCATCTCTCGTACACCATAATAATTAAATATGAAGCCAGGTGAGATGGTCACAACCCTCACTATAAATCCCTACTCTCTAATTCCATGACCAAAGTAAGAACGGATTCGTAGCGTTCAATCCCATCACGAGGAAACTCCACGCTCGAAGGAGTTAAGGTGTTTCCTAAATAGTTACAGAGATGTCTAGCTAGGGATTCCAGGTTCGATGTAGCGAACGAGTAAAGAGGCAGTGTAAACTTTATGATGCGATACATCTGTGATTCTGTGCTAGTACCGTTCGTTTGTTATGCAGTAATAATACCTGGGTAATAATAATAATAATAATAATAATCTTCGTAGCCACACCCCATAAGAACAGATCGGGGCTTACATTAATTATCCCGTCCATTTCCATTTCCATTTCCATTTCCTTGTTCTCAGTTTTCTGTTTTGATACGGATTTCATAGGTTAATAAGTGTGTGTCTTGTCTTGTCTTTGGATGTGTGACGCTAGACGCTATGAACTGTGTGCGTCTACGCAGGTGTCTGGTGATTCCTAATCTAGATCAGTCAATCAATGAACATACGAAACCATGCCTCCTCTAATAATTGCACCTTTTCTTTTCATTACTTAAGCATTCTAGAAATGCAATTAGGGACTACTAGGTAGCATTACCTTGATTTTGTCCTCCCGAAAAATATATCCCAAATAATTTTATTTTATTTTTCTCAAGGCCTTTTGATTCGGATGTTTCTCGTTTCTCGTTTCTCCTCTCTCTCACTCTCTCATTGCTGACATAGCAAGTATATTTCTTTGTTCTTCAATCGCGTTACAGTATAGTACATTCATTCATTCATTGCTCATAACTCATTGACTGAAAACATTGTTATCCTTGTATCTTGATAAAATATTTTTCTATCCGCATACCATCTCAATCCCAATTGCCATTCCAACTATTATTTTTACCATTTTGGTTTCAAGAACATTCACATATAGCATTTTGATTTTTGAGCCAGCGTTTACCACTCACTCACTCACTCACTCACTATCTTGTCACACGCACAAATCGGTACCTACTGTACCTACTGTACCTACTGTACCTAGTCCGTATCCAAAGCATACCTACCCGTCCGTAGCTATCACCAAAAGCCAAAGCCATCCATCCTAGCCCCGTGAATAGCCTACGCCAACCCCATAATTCACTATTCAAGTGCACCTCCGACTTACGGGCTGGATCGAAAAGGAAACTAGTGGACCAACCAGGGAGTCCAAGCCAGGAAGTCAATTCATTGAGAGTGGAAACCTCCCATTACACTACACTACACCTCAGATCGAAATCGAATTTATCCCATCATTTCATTTTTATCCATCTACCTAGTTACCTACTACCTACCGAATAGTCCAAGTCCAAGTCCAAGTCCAAGTCCAAGTCCAAGTCCAAGTCGATATCAAACAATTATTATTACCACACTCAATCCAGCATCGTATCTACCCAATTCAAGTTACCACCAAGTCGCTCATCAATCCCAGTTATCACTCTTCAATTAATTTTATTGGCCTATAGGGAATCGATTCCTTTCCCACAACCAACAACAACACCCAAGTGGTATCCCCGGGAAAGGAAAGAGACAAGCAAAAGAAGCCCTACAAGCTTAGCAAGAACCTAAAATTGGCACCAGATCTACCACTACTACGACTATTTTTTTTCTCTGGGAAAAACATTCTGGATATTTCTATAGCTTGCACAAAAAATTGATTTGTTTTTGCCAGCACGTCAATTATTTCACAGATCGTTGCAGATAATTACTCATTTAAAGGAAGAGAAGAAATAACGGGGGGAAATACTTCATTGTCTTTTTTTTTTATATGGACTTGTTGTTTCTTTGCAATTTCACTCTTCTAGAAACAAACCCATCTTTCGAACTTTCGAACATTCAGCACAAGTCTCTCAGTGGCCTCTTCCAACGGAAAACTTGCGAAACCCCGCTGGCCTGCATCGTCTCAGCCATTCAAATCCTCCGTCCATCCTGGATTCATCCCGGTTCTCACTAAACATTTTATTTCTCCATTCCAACTGCGACAAATTTCCCAAAGAATTTCTGGGTTTGGCGGATTCCTTACCTGGCCTTGTTGCTCTCAAATCTTTTTTATTTTATTTTATGAAATTCATTGATTCACTCAGGAAACTTCCTTCTTTTTATTTGTGCTCTCCCAATCACCCTCCAATCACACTTACATATCATTAAAACAAATAGCTCTCGCCTACATAAAACCACGCGCACTGTAGCTTGAGCTCGAACCCGACCAATTTACGAAACCCAATCGCCAATATTCCGTCCAAATTATTTTGTCTCGCCCTCATATTGTTGCTTATCATAGCTTCGAGGATTGAGGGTCGGCTCACCGAGTTCGAAAGTGGAACAAAAGAAATAAATTTTGTCAAGATGGCATCTTCCAAAGTGATTACCTTGTTTCCCTTATTACATACCAACCCATCTATTTATAGGAACACCGCTGATCATTCTCATCTTTCTCACAGGAAATTCAGCATTCCTCAAGACCTGGCCAAGTCCGTCTTCCATTGTCTACAAATTCGAGTTCCTATCCACGACAATCACATTCAAGAAATCATTCTCATTCAGTATCGGGAGGTTCCCTTATACCAAGCAGCAGAGTAACTCGACGTAAAAGTGTATCTGCGAACGTTAGTAATGTCGAGGCAATCCTAGCTGCTGCGAAGGAGGTCGGTGATAATCCTTTGGCAATGCCAATCTCTACACGAAGAGCAACAATGTCTAAAAATGCCTCGAGGTCCGGACCGATGGGCAGCTTACCGTCTCCACCATCGAGTCTGCCAACTCATAGAATGAGGTTGAATTCGGCGGTGAAGTCAGAGCGTGGAGAGAGTGCAATTGACGACGATAACAATGACGAGGAAATGGAGGACGAAGACGATGATTTTACAAAGAGCAGATTGAGGAGATCAAGCGAAGGATCACAACTTTTGAAGGACGGCAAGAAGGCTAATGCCAATGATCTCAAGTGTGACAAGTGTGGAAAAGGATACAAGCACAGCAGCTGCTTGTCTAAGCATTTGTTCGTGCCCACCATCCTTTCCTATCTTCCTCCACATGGGCTTTATCGCGGAAGCTTTCTACGATGGAGTGTTTATGAACCGTTATTAACTTTTTGTTTGCAGATGGGAACATACACCTGAATGGTCTTACACCTCAAAATTGTTAATTTCAAAGCATCAACAAGTACAACTGCTAGAAGCCGCCTCTGTCCTTGTAGGAATGAACCAAGATGCTGCTAACACTCCACCGGATTCTGCAAAGGACTTTCAAAGTGACGATCAGGATTCTGCATCCCCGGGGGCATCTAGCTCAGTTGATCATGAGATTGATCGTGCCAGCTCTGCGGATACGACACCACCACCTGCAGATATGCGGCACGCATACGGTGGTGGTTCGTACAACAGATCAAAGAGATACACTGGAGATAGTGATCGGTACATAATGTCGGGCAGGCTACTTTACGGTGGTAGCGTTCCAGCCGGATTCGGTCATTCTCGCCATCAAAGTCATGAGCGTCGCCCACCCTCCTCTGGCATGAATGAGAATCAAGAGGAGGAAGGATTGACTGCAGCCATCCACGCACTTTCGTGCGGCTTTGCAAGTCCCGGAACACCTCGAAGTGGTCCACTCATTCCAGCTGATGCTCCTCCCGTCCCTGAAATTCCAGCTGAATATTTGAATGATCTCTCGACTAGTTTCACTCCTAGCCTTCACCCACGGCAGAGGGAAAGTTTTGCCCGAGAAAGCTATACGAGAGGCAGCTATGACCCACATCAGATCCATGGGGATGGAGATGGAGATGTTCATATGGAGGATGGCGATGATAGTGTTGGAGATGAGGAAGATTATGATCAGCGATCCAGAGGTCGTTCTGATGATGACGATGATGGCGTTTTTGGACATATGGAGGAATGACCGTCAGCGACTTTGAATGTGTCAATTGAAGCAGCTCTTCAATTGATCATTGTGATATTTTTCCTTTTCTTCTCCTGTAGTAGCAACATAATATGTGTATGCAGTGAGCAAAGTCTCCACCGTCGATTCTCAGCACCAATGGGTGGATGTTTGATCCACTGAGGTTAAAACTGAGGATCGAGCTGATATACCACAGCAATATAAAACAAATGATATCAATGTAACAAAATTCGATTATGAGATAGACAAACGACTGGGTTCAAAGCCACTTGATTTCGACATTGAAGATGTTAAACATGATGATGATGATGATGGTGATGGTGATGATGATGTTTATATCGATGTGATGGAAGTGACATATTGAGGTGCTGTCAAGGACGTAAGTACAAGTACCTATGAAAGAGAATCACTTAGCTTGACGCGTTTAGACTTCCCTATATTTCGTGGGGAGATAGCACTTGCTTGACACTGGATGAACATAGTGCGGCGTGGTATCTGGGATAAAGTTTGAGGTAAGAGGAACAAATAATAGTGCATGCAGTATTGGCGGGCGAGTGAGAAAAACAAACAAACGAAAGAATGGAATAAACAGATACAGCATGCAGATGCAGATGAAAGTGCAGCAGCAATTTTGAGAAAGAAGAGAAAAACAAGATAAACATCAATTGAATATCAACAGTAATATAAAGCAAACGCGATATATTTAACAAAAAACATTTAAATTTTCCATGTGGATACCAATTGAGAAAAAAAGTGAAAGAGAAAAATTGTAATGAAAAAAATTGATATGAAAAAAAAAATAAATGGTTGGCAGGGCAGAACGACTGACTCTACGTGCAAGGAACTAATTACTGAGTTAATGAGAAAGAAAAGAAGAAGCTCACCGGTAGTGACGTCTGTGTGTCCGAGCTCAAGCTGCATCATGTCATGCAAACAAAGCAAGCAAAAAAATTCGTGTGGGCAAGCAAAAACATAAATACCGTATACTTCATATGTATTGGAAGTTTACGTCAAGAAAAATCAATTCAACGATCGATCGATAGGGAGAAAGAACAAAGAAGTGAGATTGAGATTGAGATTGAATTTAAATTTGGAATTTGGAATTGAATCCTGTTGTTGTTCTTGTTGGTTTTTGATACCATCTTGATAAGATAAAGAGAGAAGGGATTTGAAAAGTGAGGAGAAAGTTTAGTTTGTTTTTGTGGTGGTGGGATAAAACACGCCGTGCTTAGTCTTTCATAGGTTTTTAGTTTTTGAAGGGACGTGTTGGTTTCTTGTTTATTTGACGGAAAGGTTACGATTTATTCAATTTGTTTACCATTTATAAGTTCGGGATTCTCGCGATAATATACTGCAAGGAATATACAAACGGAAATAGCAACAAGGAACGAAACGAAACGGAAGGGAACGATACGATACGATACAATGGCTCCAGCGACGAGATCATTGAGAAAAGATAAGATGGAGAGTTTGGTGGATAGTACCGAGGACGCGGCAGATCAACTGATTAATGGGGTTTCGAGCAACTTGGAGACGAGTGATGATTTGGATGAATATTATTCGAGGAGGGAGTTGGAAAGAGAGAGTGAGGGGAGGATGGCCAGAAACTCAAAGCTGGCTCATTCCATGCTTGTCGAGTCTGGACTTGCACCGCGATCGCAATCGACAATGCCAGATCTATTGAGATTTCCTGTCGTGGTGATTCTCACTTCGGTGATGAGTGGGTTGGCTTATAGTTTGAGAGCGAGTTATTTGGATGGAGGGGAGTTGGGGAGGGTTAGCAGGTCGCAGGAGGGTTGGGATGACTTTGGAATTTTGTTTACGTGGAGGACTCTTGAGTTGGCTTTGGGTTGGTTTGGTAATTATGATGGGTATGATCTTGCGGCTTTGAGTGTGTTGTCTCGTGGTCCTCCGGTAAGTTTTTACTTTTTCTGCCCCGCTCCAAAGTTGCGATTGTATTTTCCATGTGTATACTGATTCTCGGGATGTAGTTGTATCTTCTAGGCTCATTCTATGAAGTTAGCATGAAGACTGTTTTGACATCTCTTCTCATCGATACTCTCACAACCTATATCCCTTTCCGATTACTCCGACCTCTCTCCCCCGCTCATGCAAACTCTCCATCTGTCCCAAATCGAGATATTACTTCAGATATTCCCGTTCAAATCATTACTACACTCCTAGCGGCATCTATCTACAGCGTCGCCCTCTATTGTGCATACATGTCGTACTTGCCAGTTTGCCTCGCCACCTATTTCGAAGGTATCCCATCTATTGCTGCCGCCTACTCCGCGACTCCCACCTCTCTCCTTCCCGTTACATTCCTCTTGGGTCTCGCGACACGTTCATTCATCTTCACTCCAGCTACCGCTACCAAACCCTCAGACTCCAAGGCCGAACCTTTCAATCCTGAGACCGCTACATTGGAAGAGACTATCTGGTACAACTTTTGGGGCTGGTCGAAGAAAACTAAGCTCATTATTAGGCGAACAGCTACTTTGATGATGGTTACAGGTGTCAACACTTTTGTGCAATTGTATGTTACGCTTGAGGGTGTTGAGGCGCTTGGTGCTGTGGCGTATTCAAGTGTCTGGGTTGTGGCGGCAGGAATTTGTGGGGCTGTTTTGGGGTTTGTGGGTGCGGTCTAGGGAGATGATGTGATGCAGGTTTTGGGGTCAAACCTTAGGGAAGAGATAAAAGTATGAGGGGAGAATACAAGAAGAAGACACGTACGAATCTTGCTATTTCCTATTTTTGGAGTGGATTTTGTTGGTTTGGCGGTACAGTTGAATGGCTGAAACGAGACCTTTTTTGTTACTGTTCACAGGTTTATGATATGGGGAGATATGTTTACATTTTTACTTATCAATAGGGCGAGTAGGGTATGGGGAAATAAATCATATGAATACCTACAATAAACATATGGTGATCGTTGTGCTGTGATGTATTTTCGAGCTTTGATTTCTTGAGCAAAGACAAAATCATACTTCTGATACAGATGCAGTGCATTTGGTGGATATCATATGCAAGGTTTCTAAAAATAGACATCTACATGTATTGATTCACAAACAAAGGGGGAGGGAATATATACAAATGGAGGTGGCAAGAATGAAGTGAATTTGTCCAAATGAATTGAAAGTTGCTCGTACTGATACATGTAGATATTCAATAAATGATAGTGTAACCACTTCATATACAACAGTTATAAAATTGGACTAGGCTCACATCTGGAAGGAGTAATATGCCTGCTTACATTTGCATCTCAGATCGTATTGTGTTATCGTGTGACCCATGGCCAACCGCAATTTCAAGATGAGAAATGAGAAATGAGAAGGGGGAGGAAAGGAAAAGGATGAGTAAGTGAATAAAGGGTGAAAGCGCAAGTGGAAAAGGAAAGGAAAGGAAAGGAAAGGAAAGGTGCAAACATTTAAACTGCATCGGAATATAAGAATATAATCAAACCTTTTTTTGATAAATCACCATCTACCTAGTCCCTACATAGAATTAAATGAATATTCATAATCTATATCATTTCCTAATTCAACACCATACCACACACCTACCTGGGCTACTGAAAGTGGTTCAGCATTTTAACCTTTCCCGGGTTTGGTTCGCAGAGTTCATCAAGTTCAGCTTCTTTGATATCTGCCTCCTTTTGGATTGATCTGGTTTATCTACCGGATGTTCCCAAAATTCACCTTGTCATCTGCCACTTTCTGATTATTCTGGAATACCTAATATCTATTTACTTACTTATTACCTACCTTTACTGGAACCAACTGAAAATATCACGAAACCAAAACCAAAACCAAAACCAAAACCTTGGAACCCATGACACCTTTTTGCATATTTTATATTGAGATATGTAGGAATCGTAACACACCAACCAAAAACGAGGAATTTTTTATGGTCTCTGATTTGATCTTTTGATTAGAGACTTTTATTTCGATTTTATCTATTATTTGCCATCAATCTTGTTATCTATTTATCAATCTATCAATCTATCAATCAATCTATCTGTCTATCACCGTATTTTGCAACTCTCCTCCCTTTCAGAGCCTCATCGCGTCGCCACTATCCAAACTAAACAAATACAACCTCCCGGTCAAATAAATATCACATCATATCAGACAACCACAAATCAAAATCAAAAAGAAAATGGCATCAGATGCATCAAGAAGGTATGTTCCGATTGTTTGTTTTGGATGAAGCTTTCTCCCCCCTTTATTTTTCATCTATTTACTATCTTACTTTCCACTTTCCCCATAACTACGACACTTTGATCTACCTACATACATTAGCTGTTTTCATAGCTTGATTTTTATTTTCCCCTCCCCTCCACAAAAAGCACGTGCAATTTTTATGCTACGTACATACCATATCTAGGTACTGTACTTATTATTATTATTATTATGACACTTGCTTTGCATCTTATGTTTGTTCCTATTCCCGTCCGCGCGAGAAGATGGGGGGACAGAGCAGGATAGAAAAGAGAGCAAGGTCAAAAATAGATAATAAATATTTATTATTTATTATTTATTTATTTTTTAAAGAGAGCTCAGGCAAATCATCAGGAAAAGAAAGAAAAAGAATCAAAAATCCCACCTCTACCCCCCCAAATTCCCAAAAATGCTGCCAATGACTGCGAAGAGGGCGCTAAGCTAGGCTAGGGTTTGGATTGGTGTTAGTATCGCGCTTTAAGCTTTTACCGATAGATCGCGTTGCTTTCACGACAGATTACTGCCTTGCTTTTTCAACGGCTATCTCTATCTATCTCATCTTTTGTCTTTTTCTTACATTTCATTCACGATTGACCTTTTAAGGTTTATCATTTTTTGTTGACTATCCTCTGGATTCGGGATTTTTTACTAATTTGTTTTTTTTCTTCTCTCTTTTTAGATGGCTTGACGAGTCAGGCATTTGGAGTTGTCGTATCAAGGTTCCCCCACAGTCGCATGTCGATAATTCAAGAGCGATTGATGAAAATAATTCCAACTCCAACTCTTTCACAATGTCGACGAACCATTCAATGGATGCCGCTTTGGAGATGACAAGTCCAAGGCGTAAGGGCAAGCTTGCGGAGACGATACAATCCATGGCAAACTTGAATAGCAATATCGAAAATATGGAATTGCCCATGGATCCGGATGCGCAGGCAACAATCACAGACTTTCTCGATTTTACGGAATATTTACCTTCGGATTTGGTTCGGTCAATGGCGCTCATCAGTGATCTGGATGAGAAATATGTCAATGCCTCATTGAACGTAAATGACTTTACGAGAACCTATGGTCATCTTCCGGATCTCCCCGCCGACTCAAAACCTGATCCTGTCTCTCTGCGAAAAGATATATCTACGAGCTTGACTGATGCCCTTTGCGCACGCACATTAGCTTTCGCAGAAGCATCACATATGGTTGAGAATGTGGAGAGACATTTCAAGAGAGCGCAGAATATATTGGCGAAGCTTGAGGCCATGGCCGAAAACTATCCTGAAACCCGAGAACCAAGCCCTCTTCCGCAGAAATCCAATTCACCTGTCGCCAATCGAGCCCCAGGAAAGCTACTCTTACGCGCTGGAAACTCTGATGGACGTATGCGTGTACGCAGACGACGCGCCCCAATCATTACTGTTCCTGGTGAGGTCATGGCTCCATATGAGCTTGATTACGAATCTTATGATTCGTACAGTGATGATTCGGAATCGGATGTTGGTCTACCTACACCACGTCGGCATACACCTGCACGATCCGTATCAGTCAATCCTAAGATTAAGTTGAAAGTCAAGCCACCTAAGAAAGAGAAAGTACCCAAGACCCCTCGAGCACCAAGACCACCAGGAGTTATGGGAACGAATGTACATAGTGCGGTTGCCGGTATATCGACGAGTAATGCGTTAGCGAAGCTTCAACCTCCACCACCAGATGCGAAAGCGGGAAGCGAAGATGCGCCTTGGCTTCAATTGACCGCATGGGAGCTTGCTAAGCTCAGAAAGAGAATGAAAAAGAATGCGGTATGGAGCCCGAGCGATACAATGATCGCACGTGAATTAAAACAGTTGGGACGAGGAATAGAAGCGTATCGTACTGCAAAGAGTAAGGCTGACGCTGCAGGACAGCCTTTCGATCAACCGGTACCCCCCCAACTCACTGGGAAGACAGTCATCGCCGAAGGTGCAATAAGTGCGGAAGCCCTGGGAGCAGAGGAGATACAACTCAGCAATCGTGGTATGAAGCTCAACGAAGCTAAGAAATTAAAAAGAGAGGCTGCCGCGAAAGAGCTGGCTAAGTTGGCGGCTGAGGAAGCAGAAGAATCTGTACGAAAAATGACAGAAGCTGCTAGTACAGTAAAGAGCCTTTTCGGAAATCACCCCGAAGATGAGAAGAAAGAAAAAGAGAAAGAGAAAGCTACTACTAAAACACCAAAGAAGCAAGTATCGAGAAAACGTAAACGCGAGTCGACGATTGAAGATGTCAAGGCAAATGGCGAGAGCTCATCAATTGTAGATGGCATAGCTGACACGAATGAAATCCAAGGTGATAGAGTAAATGAAGCAGATTCTTCGAAATTAGGTAAGCCTCAATTCAAGAGAACGAAGACGGAAACTCCGGTTCCGCCCCCTCATCCCATCATCACAAATGCCACTCCCCGCGCAACTCCTGTACCTACTTTGGAATCTGCCGTCTCCGTGGCATCTTCCATTGCTCTCTCAGCAGCCAATACAGATACACCAACTGGATCTACTCCAATTGTTCCAGTATCCGCTACATCACCACCAAAATCTTCAACGCCAATTCTTCCTCCAGGTGTGGAAAAGAAGGAAGCTAAGAAGGAGGCGAGAAAAGCAGCAGCTGTTGCTAAGAAGGAAGCCAAAGAAGCAGCCAAAGCAGTTGCGGATGCGGAAAAGGCAGAAAGGAATGAGGAGAAGAAATCGGAAAAGCCAGAGAAAACAACTAACACACGTATCACCCGAAAAGCAACTCCTGTTGCTTCATCAATGGAACCTACTACATCAGCAACAGAATCACTACCATCTAAGAGACCAACATCTTCCCGTGGTAAAGCAGCTGCAGCAAAAGAAGCAGCGTCAGCCGCTATTAAGTCAGAGGATCCTGTTTCTGCCGCTCCAACTCCGGCAGCCTTGGATCGTCCGAGACGTACCAGCACCGCTCGTAATACACCCGCACCAGAAACTCGCCAACCAAGTAAAAGAGCTAAGAGACCTGCACCAGGAGTCGTAACTGTTAGTACAGAAGGTGGCTCAACTGCTGTAAGTGTTGGCAAGAGAAGAGCCGCTCCACGTAAAAAGGCAGGACAGAAAAAAGAAAAGAAAGATGGAAGAGAAGGTAGTGCAGTTCAAGAAGTATTGGATGAGGTGGATGACGATGGAAATTTGATTGATCCAAATGAGCCAAGATATTGCACTTGTAATCGGGTTAGCTTTGGCACGATGATTGCTTGTGAGAATGATAATGTGAGTTTTTTAGTTGTTTTTTGTTAATTTTTTCGGAAATTTGGAAGTCAGAACTAACGAGCTATTTGATTAATAGTGCGAAAAAGAATGGTTTCATCTGGAGTGTGTGGGTTTACCTGCAATTCCTCCTAGAACTACTAAATGGTATTGTCCGGATTGTAGGATTATTTTGGGAATTGGTGAAAAGGGGGAGGTTAATGCTAGGGGAAGGAAAAAGTAAGGGAGTGGTCTGGCTGGTTGGTTTGTTGGCTAGCTAGCTAGCTATCTAGCTAATATGGAGTTTATATTATGCCTGGTTTGGCTTGATAGATTGATGGCTTGATATTTGTTAATAGGGATTTGGGGATGAATGTATGAATATATGGATGTATGGATGTATGGATTGTGGATGTGTGGATGTGTGGGTGTATGGATGCATTCGGCTATATTGGTTTGTACAATGGATGAGGGATGGTGAAGGTGAAAGGTATACAGGATGTAGGATCTAGGATGCAGGATGGAATACAAGAAGATGGATGGATGAATGAATGGATTATGAATATAAAATTTATTTCCATGGTATTTTTTTACTTTTCTTTTCACTGTTGTTTATTGTGGTATTTTGTATTTTTATATTTGGTGTGTGTGTATGTGTGTGTGTATGTATGTATATATATATGTATATGTGTGTGTGTATATTATATATATATATATGTGTATGTGTATATGTATATAGATGTATATAGGTATATATATATATGTGTTTGTGTTGAGAGTAATGAGGTGAGGTAAGGATAAGATGAAGGTGAGGTGAGGTAAGAGTGTATGATTATTTGTATTTCTATATATATATAATAGGGTTGGGATAAAGGATAAGATATAATAAATGAATAAGTGTAATATATATATAGAAATATATTATAAGTGTAGTAGATAAATGAATAAATGAATAAAATAAAATAAAAATAATAAAAATAAAAATAAAAATAAAAATAAAAATAATAAATTGTATTAAATCTTGAAAGGAAGAAAAGAATAAGATGAGTGTTAACGATCTGGTCGAGGCAGCGGCTGTCTGAGGTTTTCTATAGTTGGTAGTTGTAAGTTAAGGTTAATAATCACTGGTTATTTACTTAAAGGTGAATATGTTATTAGTGTCACGATTTACAATTAAGATAAGGATATGTTGAGAGGCAGCAGTCAACTTGTCCACATGAGCTTAGGCCTTATCGAAAAGCAGGGCGATTCGTATACAAATTTGTATGGTAATCGCCTCATGTGGTCTCCCCACCTTTAGCAAGCTCGGACATATAGTCTGGGAGCTTCGAAAGCTCCTAGAGCTCCAGGAGCTTTTTGGAGCTCTAGGGCTCTACAAAGCTCCTTTACATTCATTAGTATATAATCAGAATAGTTTCATAGTTTAAAAGCTTCGTACTCAACTTAATTATCAATTAGTTTACCTACATTCCAATCGATCTAGTAACGTATTCACCTTCGAGTGGATAACCAGTGATTATTAGCCTTAACCTACAACTACCAACCATACGAAAACCTGAGGCAGCCGCTGCCTCTACCAGATCGTTACACTTTGCTAGTTAGTTAACAAAATTAATATTATAGGAATACTAGCTATGCTAATTAGTTAGTATAACTAGTATACAAAGAAGGGAATTAATATATAATCAGAATAGTTTTATAATTTAAAAACTTCGTGTTCAATTTAGTTATCAATTAATTTATCTATATTCCGATTGATCTAGTAATATATTCATCTTCGAATGGATAACCAGTGATTATTAACCTTAATCTACAACTACCAACCATACACATCCTGAGGCAGTCGCTGTCTCAATCAGATCGTTACAATAATCAAAATAGTTTTATAATTTAAAAGCTTTATATTCAATTTAATTATCAATTAGTTTATTTATATTCCAATTGATCTAATAACGAATTTATTTTCAAATAGATAATTAATAATTATTAACCTTAATCTACAACTACTAACTATATGAAATCTTAAACAATCATTGTCTCGATCAGATCATTATGCATGCGCCCCCGGACCCCTGGCTTTTCGAGAAAGTTTAATAAAAATTTAAGTTTTAAAAAGTTTATAATAAATTTAAATATTAAATATATATATTAGAGTGTAGATAGAATATCAGCTTGTTTTGATAATTGAAAATTTAATAATAATAATAATAATATATATTATTATTATTATTATTATTATTATTATTATTATTATTATTATTATTATTATTATTATTATTATTATTATTATTATTATTATTATTATTATTATTATTATTATTATAATAATAAGTTGAATAAGATAAATTGAATGAATAAAGTTGAATTGAATGAATAGAATTGAATTAAATGAGTATAGTTAAATTGAATGATTTTAATAAAGTCAAGTTGATATTACGATTTACGATTAAGATAAGGATATATTAAGGGGCAGTAGTCAATGTGTTTATATAAGCTTAGGTCTTATCGAAAAACAAGGCGATTTGTATATAAATTTGTATAATAATTGTTTTATATAATCTTTTCATCTTTAATAAATTTGGATATATAATTTGATCTTAATCATATGATAAAGAATCCTGAGAGTTTCGAAAGTTTCTAAAGTTTTAAGAGCTTTTTGAAGTTTTAGAATTCTATAAAATTTCTTTATATTTATTAGTATATAATTAGAATAATTTTATAATTTAAAAGTTTTATATTCAATTTAATTATCAATTAATTTACTTATATTTTAATTGATTTAATAATGTATTTATCTTCGAATGGATAATTAATAATTATTAATCTTAATTTATAATTATCAATCATATGAAAACCTGAGATAGTTATTGTCTCGATTAGATTGTTACACTTTGAGTATTGTTATAATTAAATTATATACAATATAATATCTTTTAATCAATAATCTATCAAATTGTTTTCATTTAATTCAATCAAAGTTTTTATTCAAATTGTTATCATTATAGAATATAAACAAATGATTCAAATATTTATTTCTAATTTATTTTATAGAGATTGTAATAAATATCAAGTTTTTGTTGTACAAGTTGATCTTTATTATATTTTTAATAAACAATTTTTTTTGATTTCTATATAAAGGATTTTATAATTGATCTTTTTTTTTTATAGAATTGTATTTAATTGAATTGAATTATTTTTCAATAATCTAATAATCAAGATTATCGATAATTAATTGAATGAGAGTATAAAATCTGAGATTTATTATCTCTTCCTTAGTTATAAATTGTTCAGATAAGGATTCGATAAAGTATTTAAGGAAGTAGATCTCGATTATATAATTGAAAAAGTATTATAATAATTCAAGTAGATTGGATTAATTATAATTTATATTATCAAATTTCAATAATATATTGAATATATTATTTAGGATGATAATTATTTAAAATCATAATTTTATAAAAGATTAAAAGATATTATTAAAAACAAATTAGTAAAAGCTTTGAAATTATCTAATCTTTTCAAATTAATCAAAATCTTTATTTTTATTGATAATCGATTTTATAAATAACAAATAAAGAAGAAAGGAATTATTTAAAAAAACAAAAAATTTCAAAAACCTTATTATTAGAATAGATATTATAATATCGATAATCTAATAAAATTAGATAATATTGAATAATATTATATAAAACTAAACAATTTAAATATTGATAAAAAAAAAAGATACAAAGAAAATAACTTATATTATATTTATAGAAAAAACAGATATATATTCCGAAATGGTTTTCAAAAAAAGAAACTATTTACTACAAAAAACAAAAAACAAATAAAATTTCGAAACAAAAAACAAGGTTTTCGAAAAACAAGGATTCTAAAAAGAAACTTGAAAGAAATAGAATTACTGAAAAGAAATCTATTTTAATCTAATCTTGAATAATTAAAAGAACTAGATATCAATAATTAAAACTTTAGAACTAATATTGAAAACAATATCGATTACAAAAAAGAACTCTCAAAAAACCTTGAATTAAAAAATAAAGAATTAATCGAGAAATTAGAAAAGAATTAATAATCAATTGAATTCTATTATTTGTTTTAGAAAAATAAATTATAATATTTAATTAGTTATTTAAATAAAAAACGAATATAATATTATTATAAAAAAAAGAAATCTGATTTTATTAAAAAATATAAAATTTATAATCATCTTATTTTGTTAGTATTTTATATTATAATATATAATAATATTTATTGTATAATATTTAAAGAAAATACTAAAACAAACAATATTAAAAGGTATATTATAAATATAGATTCTTTATTTTTCGATAAAGTATAAAGATATAATAAGAGTGATTTGAAAATTAAAGATATATAAGAAATCCTATTACAAATCGGGATTCATTGTATCTAATAAAGAATCGATAAAGATAACAAAGAAATATTAAATCAAAATTATTATCAAAATTTCTAAATAAGATCAATAGAATTATTATTTATTATACTTTATTAATTATTGAATATAAATAAATATTAGTATAAATAACTGAATCTTTTTATCAAAAAATAAATTATTGAATTATTATTGTTAGAATTAAATAGTATTATAAAAATCAAACAATTAATTATAGAAATCAAATTAAAGAATCAATAGATTAATATTTTGATTGATTTTAGAATTATAAATATATTTATAGATCTCAATTTTGTAAAAGAAAATAGAATTCTTATAGAATTAAAATAAAATCTTTATTAGTTGATATTGTTAGAAAGAAAGAAAGTTGGAATTGATGATTGGATATATAAAGAAATTAGTATTATCAAAATGATTATACTAGATAAATATATCAAATAAATCAAAATGGATTTAATATTATTAGATAGATATATAATTATCCTTGGTATTCTATAAATTAAGAAATATAATCCAAATATCGATTGAATAAAAGATACTTTAATATTCGATTGTTATAATTGTAATAACAAATGATTATATAATCTGAAAGAATAGATTTCTTAGGAAACCGGATATTGTATTATAATAACAATAGATCCTTTATTAATTGATAGAATTAATAAAAAAGAAATTCTAATATAATATAGAAGATTTGTTAAATTCTTCGAAGACCTTTAAGATTTGAGGGTTTTACTAGAATATAAATCTTGAGATTATGAAATCAACTTCAAAAAAGGATTTATATTTCCTATTGAAAAATTGAGATTATATAACTTTAATATTATATAAATATAAAAAGAATACAAAATTAAAATTGAAAAGAAAGAATAAATTAGAAAATCCAAATCCTTTTGTATATTTAATATATTATTAGTATTTAAAAAAGACAACCCAAATAATCAATTTTACAAAGATTATTATCGAATTAACAATAAAATAATCAAAGATATATATCTAATATCAAAAGTTCAGAAATTCAGGGATAAATTGAATAAAGTTATAATCTATATAAAATTAGATTAAAAAAACACTTTCAATTTGATATAAATAAAAAAGAGTTATAAATAAAAGATAGCCTTTATTTTATTATTAGGTTTATAAGAATATATAATTATACTATTCGGGT